AGAAGGGTAGCTAGTCCTAAAGGGTTAGGGTTAGTTCTCGGGCAAGATAACTGAGGGAAGGGAAGGGGTTTTATCGAGACGATAGTATTAGAGGAGGATATAATAAGTTAATAATATAGCCTAAGTGTAATCTAAATAATAGATTAATAAATAGGTTAAATAAAAGTATAAGAGCTTATACTTAGGTTCCTATATACTTAAGTAATCCCATAATATCCCATACTATCATGAAATCCCATGCGTAGTGCATGTGGGATCCCATAGTATAGTCACGTGACGTTCATGTTATGTGATCCCAGTGTCCTATGGTTTGGCGCTTAGGACACTGTGGAACATTACCTAATCTTGGTGGGGCCCGAGGTCAAATGCCGTTATAAGCGACCTCGCAGCTTGCCCACTCCTAGGATCCTAACACCTTTACACTATATATAATAATCTAAATAGGACGCTATCTACTTAGAGCAAGCTTAATAACCTAAGGTAAAGGAAGGGCCTATTCCTAAGCCAATTTACTAAGTTTTAACACCTAGTAGCGGATACCCACCTTAATAAGGAAGCGTAAATTAATATCGTACACCACTTACTATCCAATGACCTCTAACGCGTAATGGTGGGTGCAAAGATCCCATCTAATATTAATAAATACGCATGTAATAGTTCATTCCTCACTTCGGTCGTCATGAACAATAATGTCTAGTATATATAAAGCCTTACCATAGGACTTGCCAGGTAACTTTAGAGAAGCCAACCATTTGTGAGAAAGCCTCATCCCTCTTATCGACCTTTTCCAGTAGGTGAACCCCACCGGATCTGCTAACAAGCCGTAAATCTTTACCAGAATCCCCTTGCAACTTGCCTGGTATGTTCTTCGTGACCATGCGATCCACCTTTTCGATCTTCTCCAGTTGGTCGAACTGGAGATTCCAGAGCACTTTATGTCCGAAATTGGATATGAACCTGATACCACTGCGGCTGATGATAAGGCGACCGGATGACTTGTCCTGACTCGCACCATAGCTGTTGTAATCGTGTTCCATATCGAATGTAGGAGAAGCTAATGCTAGAGCGGATGCCACAGGAATGGATTTCTCTGCCAATTGAGTACCTTCGGCTTGAACGTATTTGATGGCCCATTCCGCTGTAGTTTCATTAGTAAAGAACCTAGAGCAAGCACTGTGACACTCACCGTGTGTTGGGATGTTCCAAAGAAATCGCTTGGCAGGTGATACCAATAGTCTGTACTCTGGGAATTTGACCGCGATCGGGTAAAGGCCGAAAAACGACACGCCCATACCAAATGTGACAACTTTAACAAGCAGCCACATGGGGGTCAAAGCGGTCGCTAGCGTAACGACCCCAAGAACGATCATCGCGTACAACGTTCGATGTGGATCCCGCCATTCGTAAAAGCTTTCTGGGTCAGTCATAATGGATCAAGGCGAGCTGCGACTACGTACCTGTGCAAACTCTCGAAAAAATTGGCCAGATCCGCCAGTTGCACCATGAACCACGGCCCCAGATCCTCAACAAGTTTGTCAGACCAATTCTTATCTCCTTTCTTGACGATCAATTCGGTCAAAGACAGAGCAGTACGGCGTTGATCCTCCCGATGCTTAATCTCGTCGCGCAGGTCTTCCAACGTGTTGCCGTGAGTGCGCCGTTGGAAGACGAGATATATGCATGCTGCGAGCTGTGCCGATTAGCAATCGTTGCAAATCACAGATTCAGATAGATGACCTACAGAGCCTGGAAGAAGCATGTCGAAGTACCAAAGTGTGGAGTATAGAAGTAGATATGTCAATGTCTCTGCCGGTTGCTCCCATCGATAAATTTTACGCGATGTCATGACGAACTCTTGAATTGGGGATGAAGCCAATAATAGACGTTCGATGTTTGGCATTACGGTCTCTTTTGAAGGCGCTGGTGGGTCGGAGCCAAATCCGATATACTGCCCTCCATATTGATGTGCATGATATACAAGCAGCTGCGATGCGTTAGGTCGGGCCGGTGAGAGCTTTCAATTGAACGTGAATGACTTACATGCTGCACATATGCTCTCCAATTAGTGACCGTGTCTGCATTTTGGTCGAGTTTCTGGAAGTCAGATCTAGGTCTTACTTTAATCTCACCCTGCGGCAAACGCCTAATCTTGGTAATATGACGATCAAGCGTCCACCGCGCATAAGTAGCCTGACGCTCTTTCATGAGTCTAGAAAGGTCTTTGATGGCGAGAAGTCGCTGGGTATCATTACCTGCATCTTCCACTGCTTCAGACGCACGTATCATGTCCACTTCGTCGCCGTGGGGGACCTCTTTCGCCGTGATCTGACCTGATACTTGTTGGTTGCCTTTCTCTGAGATCCTGGCCTTGACGGTGTCAATAGGATTATGAAGGAAGTCTTTCATGGTCGGTTCGTCCGGTTCCGGCGCATCAGTCATATATCGTGACCCTGAACCTTCTGCGGCAGCACCCACAAGCGCTGTTGTGGTGTATTCAAAATCATCCGATGATCTTCCGATATGAAGTGTCTTCCTAATTCTCAAGCCTGCCCTATGTTTCCGCGCCTTCATCGAGTCAACAACATTGTGGGATGATGCCGCCGAACTTTCAGCACTGCGCAGGTGACGCTCATCCTGTGCACCTTGCGCCTCATGTGTCTCAGGAAGCTGTATCTGTGCAGTATTGGTAATCTTGGCTCGGTCGAGTCCCACTTGGAATTCATCAACGAGGACGAACTCTTGTTGTGCTTGCATGGTGTCTCTGCCGTGGGTCGTGTCACACATGGTAGACATCTTCAAGGTGGCACAATGCCAAGCCAGATGTTGATGGGAGGGTTTGTCTAAGTAAAAAATCTCAGGGACATCGCAATATACCTACTTGCCTTGAGTACTAGCTGGTTTGGCTGCAATCGTCTTCCGCGGTGGAACAAGACAACGTCATTAATCGCCACGGCGTCACTGAGCGACATATTACGCGGATGGCTCGCATTTAAATATGAACAAGGGTGTCACAGAATTCAAAGCTGACCTTTGGCATCTGTAGAAAAGCGCATCATCTGAATACGTCTTATCCTGCCGTCTACCTTAAGTTACCACTGGTAGTGTCCGCCTTGCAAATGCATCGCTAGATAGCGTGTTTACGAACGCTAAATTTTGTGACACAGGAGCTCGGATGGAAACACGCTGCAGAGGCATGAGAGTGGCCTGAAGACCATTTTTCGTCCACTGGAAGATTTCCGATGATGCGTTCCAGGCGCAGAGCAGGATGTCCAATGGAATGCGTTGGGGGTTGATGACGACCATGGTGGTAATCCTTTGACCCGCACTACCTAGGTAAGCGTGTGACCACGTGTGCATCACTGAAGGTAGGCAAAAATAAACCTGGAACTAGCAATGTAGTCATGGTGGGAGCATAATAGCTTATATGTATATTAAGTAGGTGTCGACTAACTCAGCCTGTACAAGCAGCTTTCTGTAGTAGTAGCAGCATAGCGCTTCCACAGATGGCCAGCCGCGAACATCGCCCATCGTGGCAAAATGGGGAATTTGGGAGGCGGACTAATGTATATACTGTGAATCTCCACGCTAACTTATTATAAAATGAATTTGCAGATGTATAAGTAGTTTAACGCAACACAGGATAAGGCGCGCTCGTCCTTATCGGCTACTCAAGTGCTGTGGCATTGACGCCTTGAAGTTATTTTAGTCACGTGACCTTGCCTTTATTGTTTAATCCTGCCGAGGCCTGCAGAGTAATGTCAGCGAGCGCGGCATCGTGCAACTGTCAACCGCTACCAGAAAGCGCATAGCGGATTGTTCTGAACAAAGCTCCAGCGGCAGCTACTTTTCTAATTCGGTAATAACATCTTCACCGGGTTCTCCGCTTTCCCCACGGGGTGCGTCGAGGGGCCGAGGTACACCGTTAGAGCAAGAGTACTGCGGGGATGTTATCACCAAACACACGCCTCTCGTACACCTACTCTGCGCTCCGCCATACTGCATCACTAATTCGATACACCCGCAGCGGGCCTGTCAAGATCCCGCTTGGACCTACTTTCAGACCAGCAAGCACAATGGCGCCTCAGTATAACGACATCAAGTTCGAAGTCAAGGGAAAAATTGGTGTAATTAAGGTACGCTATTACAAGATTATTCTTACGGTGCAATTGGATCTTAACATCGCATCGCGTACAGTTCAATCGTCCCAAAGCACTCAATTCATTTGGTGGGACGCTTATTTCCGATGTTATCGCCGCCCTTCGTGAGCTCAACGAGCATCCGGACACTGTTTTCACCGTCCTGACTGGCGAGGGTCGCTTTTTCTCCGCCGGTGCAGATGTTCGCGGCGGATCACTGTCACAGCAGGTATGACACGTTCCATATTGGCATTACCAAGTAGCGACTAAGGGCATTTGCAGCCTAAGGAATTCAAGAATGCGGGCGAGAAGAAGTTGGCATTTTTGCAGAACTTCACGTACGGTGTGTATACTCAGGATCCCATGTAGTCTGCTTATGTACTGATATGTGATCTTGATAGCACTTGAGCTTCTAAGGAGCATGATAGACCATCGTAAGGTGCTTATTCTCGCACTCAACGGCCCCGGCGTAGGAGGTGGTGCTGCATGGTTTCCAGGAATTGCGGACATCGTGCTGGCCTCTTCCTCAGCATGGCTCCAGTGCCCCTTCAGTGCGCTTGCCCTGGTGCCTGAGAATGGATCTGCCCTATCTTTCGCGCAGCACATCGGTATTCATCGCGCAAATGACTTCCTCATGTTTGGCCGTAAGTTGTCCGCACAAGAACTCCTCGACGCGGGCATGTACAATTACGTATGGGACAAAAGCGGCGACGAGTTTCACGCCGAGGTCATCAAATTCCTAGAGGGCCAACTGGAAGTCAATGACGGGAAGAGCATGATGGAGACGAAGAGGCTGCAGAACGTAGGCGTGAGGGACCAACGGATGATTGCAGTTGTGAATGCGGTTGATGCGTTGGCGGAGAGATTCGTGGAGGACGCGCCGCTGCATAGGTTCGCGGAGAAGAAGAAGTTGATGGAGGAGAAGAGTAAAACGCGGTCGAAGATGTAGCTTCATGACGATGAATTCTTCCACAGCTATGTCGTACTCCGCTGCCCTACCGCCTACTGCCGCTCCTCGGCTGCCTCTAATAGAACTTGGCTCCGCCCAGTGACTCAACTTTCAACTTTGCCTCTTCTGGGGAGTTGTGCGCATCGCCGGCACTCTGAGCAGCCTCGTCTCGTGCCTCAGCCTCTGCGGCCTCCTTCAGCTTCCTCTTCTCCGCCGTACTCTGGAAAAGTAGTTCCTCATCCTCAATCTCTTTCAGCACTGCGCGAACATCAGCATTTCCAATTGGATGTAGAGGGTGAACACGGTGGTACTTGCATCCAGCCCACTCCCTCTCCCGCCCTTCCACCCCGGTCCCTAGTATGCCTTCCACATCCACTTCTTCGCCCCGCTGCACCCGCTCGACCACCTCTCTCAGTATGCCCATCTTGGCCTCGGCCCTCCTCGTCATCAAAGCCCTCTCCTGCTTCAGCCACAGGATCTGAATGGCCTGGCTGCCGACCAGCAATGCCAGCACGATGTACGGCGTAGCAGGGTTCCACTGGCGGCTCGGGACATCCGAGGTGGAGGAGAGTGATTCGCCGGATCGCAATGGGCGTGGTATCATGGACTTCCAGAAGGCGGGTCGCAGGATGGTCGGCACGCTGAGGTGTCGCGCATACGAGTGCTTCGGAGAGAGCAGGGCGAACGTGTGCGGTTGCGGGCGGGTGGCCGAGCTGAGGAGGGTGCGCGCGGTATGCGGCTGGCGCAGCAGCTGACGGAGGAGAATGTGGGTATCCATGATTGCACGAGATGTTGTTAGAACACAGAATGGGAATGCGACATGACCTTGAAGCTCAAGAAACTTTGGGAGACCAAACTAGATGACAGGGGCCGCCGTCCAATCAAAGTGCCTCATTTTCGGCGTAAATCCTCTGGGCTGCACCTCGAACATACCGGAAACCGGCACGGAAATTTTGCTGGTCATGATAACAGACTGAATAGAATGATCGTGGTAAGAGGAAGCGATCGACGCATTTTCAATGTAATTGTTCTGGATTGGTGCAAACAAGGATGTCACTACATGAGCTTTGAGCCACACAGGAAACAGAACACCTCTGTCTGGACGTCTTTTTCGATTTCCTTTGCAACCCGTTCGCCATGTTAATGACTATTACGATTCAAGGCATTTGGAGAATCGCCTCACACTCCTTGTGCCATCGAACCCTTCGCCCTCGAAGGATCCATGCCACACAGGGTCCTGTCGCAACCGATACTGTCTCCTGCGAATGGCCGCCCCCCACAGGCTTGCGAACATTGTACGCATCGCGTGTAGCCAAGCGTACATGTCTAGCCCACAGAATCATGTTAGCAAACCCCATGAGACTTTGGTCGAGGGTATGGTATAAATTATATTTTAAGGTGGCTTAATCACGCATCAGCTTCGCCTATAGCCACCGCCACTTCTCTTGCATCTGAGGTCTCTGATCCTGCGGTTTCAGCTTGGTTCTTTGTAGATGGCGGCTGTTCCGAGGTTGGCGAAGCCACGACACCAGCCGGCGGGACGAACGTGTCACCCTCCTCAGTGTCGAGTTGCATGAGGAATGTTTCCCAGATTTCGATGAGCTGGATCAAGTCAGCACAAGAAAGCGACACATACGTTGCATGCTTCGCTTACCTCTTTCTGCGCTTCCACAGCGCTTTCCAGATATGTCTCCACGCCAGACTTGAAGTCCTCGACTTTTTCCCGTTCGAAACGCTCCAGTTCACTTCTCATCAAGCGGCCCATGTCTTCAAACAATAATCTCGCCTGATGAACGCGCCGCTCCGCATCCGCAACATCGGCGCTGAGTTGGTTCAGACGATCCTGTTGCGAGCGTCCTTGCCTCAGCAGCTTATCTTGCGTTGTCTTACGCTTGTGAAGTTCGGCTTCGGCAGCGTGCCACGTGTGGTAAGATTTTTGCCTTTGCAGGAACGCTTGCTTTACTGATCCTATCAAGCGAATGTATTCGTCAATGACTATGCCCATTGTAAGCACATCCTGCTGAGCTTGGCGCTCGTAAAGCTCCCGTATCCGGATCTGAATGTCTGACAAGCTGTCAAGCGGACCGGACAAAGACGGAGATAGCTCGACGGTGGACAACGAGTGTAGCGAGGCCGAGAAGTCCCCGCATGCTTCGGCCAGTCCTTTCCGTTGTGCCACCACCGTGTCGGTCGCTTTAAGCAGAGCCTTCAATTGGTTCTCGAGCGCGTCGAGATAGATTTTGCGTTCGTGGAACCACTTCGATCGTCAGTATGCACAAACGTGGACGTTGGGTGGTATGCACTCACGTCGTCATGCTCAATGAATTTGCCGCTGCTGCCGCCTAGCATCGAACCGAACATGCCTTTGCTCTCGCCTAGGCCGGGGTCTTTGCGCTCCTTGTTTTTGATGTCGACATTGAAAGCATCGCTCTCGAGGAAGATTTTGAGATCGCCGTCGTGCTGCAGAACGGAGTGGGCGGCAATCTTGTTCAACATGCGCTCCAGAGCCGCACGTCTCGACTCGACAAAATCGGTATCGAAACGACCAACGGCTTGCTTCTCTGGAGGCGGTGGAACAATTATGCCAGGATTGTTGCTGTGTAGCTGGTTGTACAGCCATAGAAAGTCACGGTAGCGGCGGGAGACGGTAAATTCCGAGTTGCGGTACCCCTTAGAGGTGGTCTGGTAGTCAATGAGCACATGATCGACTCAAGCAAGGTAGCAGGGCGCGCTCACCTTGGTCATGACAGAGTACTCGGTATGCGAGCTCGTCAGATCCCCGACCTTGTGCGGATCTCCCACATAGATGCTGAAGGTAGGCTTCGCTGCCTGCTCGATGCTGACGCTCGGCTGCGTGTGGCGGGCGGGCGCGGCTGCTGTGGGCGGCTGGACGGGCGGCGGTACTCGTGGGCCCCGCGCGAGCGGCTTGTCGTCGTCATCGTCGTCCAGATTGACCGAGTCGAGCGTGTTCTGCAGCGACGGGATGGATGCGGAGGGCAGTGGAGCGGCGGCAGCGGCGGCGGCGGCGGCAGCGGCAGCAGCAGCAGCAGTATTTCGTCCTGCCTGTTCTTTCTGCGGCGGCGCGGGCGGCGCTTCTGGCCCGGGGGTCGAGCCGCCCAAAGGCGCCCCTAGAGGCCCCAGGGGATCCTCTACGGCCTCGAGCTTCGTCGCCTGCGCGCCGTACTGTTTCCTTCGCGGCCCTCGTGCGGCGGGTGAGCGGGGTGCGGCCGAGGCATTGGGCGCAGATGCCGCGGTAGGCTGCGCATCGGATTGCGATGCTGTTATCCGTCAGGTCCGATCTACGTGCATGGTCCTTCTGCTGTGGTGCTCCTCGTACCAGACTCGTTCTCCTGGGTTATCGTGGGCACCTGGGGCGGTGGAGACCGCGAAGGCACATCTGCGCGCATCAAATCAGCACCGAGGGCAAACCAATGTCTGTGGTGGGCACACGCGACATACCGCCCCACGGCGAACTCCCTTCGTCGCCGAGATCCATTGTGTTGAGCCGAGTGCGTGTAGAGAGCTGTCTATCAGGCAGGCAGGCAGGCAAGCTGGCCAGCTGCATGCGTTAACGGCCCCAGCCAGGCGCGTGGTACGTGCCTTCCGCTCCGGATGTCTTGGCGCCTGTCCGTCACTGTCTTCTCGCACAACCGAGGGGCCTCAACTAGCTCGGGATGGTGGTACTAAATGATTCATTTCTGGCAACAATGGGCCGGCGCACAAGCCTCGGTCTACCTACCAACACGGCCGTGATTCCATCCCATCTTCGCCAGCCAACGGCCAGTCGTGCTTCGACGCACGAGGTGCTGGTGTGGGCTCGTCGAGTGTATCTTGAGCACCGCATTGTCCACACGGTGCCATACAACGCCCTGGGGTCTTGCTGCCCACCCCTTCAACACCTGCACTCACTCACTCACTCACAAGCTTCCCTCACGCTTTGCAACGATAACATTAAACATTTGCTTTCCGAGCAGCGACTCTATCTGTCCGTATATACACCTGTCGTCATTGCGTCAAATCATTACCTTCAATTGCCCGCCGAGTGACCCTTGCCCCTCGCGAGACCAAAGCATTCCGCCATGCTGAAGAAGATATCGATGCTATTGTACACGCCAGAAAACTTGTCCTGGCACGGCCCCATGGCAAACACAGGCACGTCAGTGAGCGAGTGCACACCCTGGTCATTGCTCACAGGCAGGTTCCCGTTGATCTCAATACCATTCTCGGCATCCTCGGGGTTGGTATGGAAGTCTTTAGAGCCCTCTTCGAGTTCAGCAGCCGGCTCACGCGGACCGTCCTTGTGCACCGTGTAGTTCTCACGGTGGTCAGGGTTGGCAGTCAGCCCGGAAAAGAGAGTGTATCGGGGGTCCCAATTGCGAGGGAAGTTGGAGTCAACGTAGGTAAGATTGCCCGTGTTCTGATACTGCGACAGACCGCTGTTCTGATACGTGCCGATCGCATTGCGCTTCTTGCGCTGATCGTCCTGGGCGGCAAGATACTTGGTATCCACGGAACCCATAACGTCGAAACCGTGGCCGTGGTCAGCTGTCACGAGGATAAGTGTTTCCTTGAGGCACCCCGTTTCGTTGAGCTTGTTGACGGTGGCCTTGATAGTGTCGTCAAGCTCGAGAAGCTCACCAAGAGCGCGATCATAGTCGAGGACATGCATCATCTTGTCGATCGAAGCGGCCTCCGACATGAGGAAGAACCCCTTGTCGCCAGACCGCTCCGAGAGAATATCGATAGCCTTGAGCGTCATGTCCTTGAGGCCCGGCTGGTCAAGAGCAGCCGTCTTGTCACCCGTGGGAGATAGCGATTGGTTGAGGTTCTCACGGTAAACGTTGCGATCGAGCCATTTTGCCATGTTGGAGTATGTGAAGACTCCAAGAGCCTTCTCGTTGCTGGGAGCAGACAAGAGGGCAGTGCGGTTCTGGAGAACCTGGTAGCCCTTCTTCGCGAACTCGTCGTAGTACGTCTTGTTCTGGTAAGTGATGCCACCAAGTTCGGGCGAGTAGAATTGCTCAGCACCTCCACCGAAAAGGACGTCAGGACCATCCCACTCTGTCCAGGTGTAGTTTGTGATGCCATTGAGGAAAGAATCGACAACGGCACCGTACTCACTGCGCGCACGCGTGTGAGCAGTAAGACCAGCCGGTGTTGCATCGGCAAGGAAGGCAGTGGAGACGATACCAACGTGTCCGCCAGTAAGACGGTGGAAGATCTCAGCAATTGTTTCGACCTTAGGGTCATCGAAAGGGTCTTTGCTCGAATCCGCGTAGACTCCCAGGGCGTTCACAGACGACTTGTGCCCGGTGTAAAGAGCGGACGCGGAATTGGCCGAGTCAGTAATAAAAGAGTCGATCGAGTGTGTCATCTGATGGCCGAGGACGGGGAATTTGTCCATCTGCATCCTGGTCTGGTACTTGCCGTTGATGGTCTTGTGACCAATCAAACGGGCAGCCGTGATCATGTTGGTGGTCATTCCATCGCCGATGAAGAGGATGATGTTTTTGGCTTTGCGCTCCTCTGCAAGATCGCGTACGAGCCATGTTGCCTTGGTGCTGCTGCCGTTGTTGTAGTTGAGGGTCGCAGTGTACTCGCCGGGCTCGTGAAGTGCGAGACGACGGTAAGCTTTGGATCTCACATCGACGAGTGAAGGAGTCTTTGCATCGCGAGCGAAAAAGTCTAATCCTGGTCAACTCGCTTTTCTGACTGTACTCTACACATTATTCTCTTACCCTCAAAGTAACTGAAGGTCCAGTCCTCAAGCTTCGCATCCTCAATGCCAAAGAACTCGGTCACCGGCTTTGCCACACCGTCGCCCTTGGCGATGGTGAAGGTGAAGGCCTCATCCGGGGGAAGGCCGATCGCCTCGGAACCGTTCTTAGGAGCGTGGACCTCCAGACGGATGTCGAAGTACTGCCCGGCCAGGAAATCGGCCCTGAAATCAATTGGTCAACTGAAGCTCCAAAAGAGATTCTTCAACATGAATTGCTTACTGGTCAGGAGGGAAGACGCAACCTGAGCCCTGTTAGCTAAAACCACTATTAGTGAATTCAGAAAAACATACCAAGGGTTGGGCAAGTGCCCAATCTTTGGAAGGACTGCGCGGATACAGCGCTCACGAATGCAGCTACCGCGACACCAGCAACCTTGGAAAGGATAGCCATGTCTCGTAACTTGACAGTTGCGGAGAACTTGAAGATCGAGGTGAGAGTCGCGACGCGTCGTGAGCTGCTGGGACGCTGCATATGCAGCTTTTATAAGCTTGCCAGGGCCCTGGAGCAGTCATTCGAAGTCCACCCGAGGAGCCAGCCAGGCCCTGGACTTTCATTTGCCAGAATGCACGCATCTCCATGCCGGCCGGCGCCGCATACGCAGGACGACGGGTCCATTGACGCGACTAGGCTTCCTCGTGGCACGTTCTCTTGCTTTCACTGCTCCATTGCTGGTTGCGCCAGGAACCCGGTACGCGAGCTTTGCCCGCTATGGCGGTGCCTGGCATCCCGGTCATGAATGCAGGCGATCGAGCTGCCTCTTCCAGCCGGCCTTCGTGAAGCAGCGTGTAGTCGAAGGCATGTCCCAGCAAAACGTGCTGCGCAGGATAGTTGTGATTCGCAGAGGTCATTTTTACATCGCTCCCATCATCTTGGCGCCCTTGGCACACTTGGCGGAAATTTCCCAGCCTTCAGCTAGGCCATCGCGTGTTACCTACAGTAAAGCCATTGGTCTCGTTACCCCGAGGACATGTGGACGCACAACTGTGCCGCACGTGAGATGGTGCGCTCAACGCCAGTGGCGTCTTCGTCAACGTCGCAATGCTTCCTCGGCGAGAGCTTGTCAAGCTTCTTTTCTACGCTCCAGCTTTACGTTTCGGTGCGAATTCGTTTGTCTTCAACAGTTGTGTTCAGCGTTCTCTTGATGGACAGGTCGCGTGCTCTCGAACGCTTGAGTCCTTCGACGAGTGTCTCCGGGGCCCTGGTATTGCCTTAGCGTACCCAGCACCCTGGTTCCCCCCTTGTAGCATAGAGTAATCCTTGCGGTCGACTTTCAAGTACTGGCATGTAAACAATTCTTCTCTGATGCATAGGATGCAATGGTGGAATGGTAAACGTCACACATCCATGGAAGCTGGCCGATGGATGCGGATTCAATCGAAAAAGAACCCGCTTTGGCATTAGTGCGTTGACTACGACGTCACCACTTGCGGCTCCTTTCACAACTTTCCAACACAAACATGGGATGCAAGGTACAATAACATCGGTTCATTTCACATTCTATGATCCTGGCAAGAATCCTCAAGCCTCAATTAATTTTCATCATTGAGACAAAGACATTGTCAATTTGCCCAATATCACCACAACTTCGTGAGCGAAAAGCTGCAATTATCCGAACAATTGCAACCAAAAGCAACGCCAAGGCAAAACGCGCGACCGTAATCGAACAGACATCTGCAGGTACCAACAAGAGCGAACCCACAATCACCTCGAACATGTCGAAGCGCTCCTCATATAATCGATCCGAACTCGGACGTCCCTCCACTAAACGTGCCAAACAAATCGATGAGGACCGACCATTTGACAATCTCATTAAACTGCTCGAGGAGCAAGAAGAGAAGAAAGAAGTCACAAAGGTGGTCCACTGGTTCCGCCCCAAAGATCTCCGCATTCACGACAACACTGGTCTACACCATGCCTCGCATCTCTCTCAAAGTTCCAAGAGACCACTGGTATGCATCTATCTTCATTGCCCTGCAGAGGAGAGCTGGCATGGTACAAGCCCAGCCCGCATGGATTTTATGCTCGAAGGCCTGAAATTAATGCAAGAGGAACTCAAGGCGCTGCACATTCCCCTTGTATTCTTAGAGTCGCAAGAGCGGAATGGTCACTTTCCCACGGTTGCCAGATTTCTGAAAGAGAACCACGTATCGCACGTATTCGCCAATTTCGAGTATGAGGTCGATGAGATCCGCCGGGACATTGGGCTAGTTCAAGAAGTCGGCAGTGACGTGCAAGTCTCCATCTATCACGATCAAACCGTAGTTGAGCCTGGCTCTATGCTCACCGGTAGCGGTAAACCGATGAAGGTCTTCACACCCTATCATCGAGCTTGGCTTGATAGAGTAAAAGAAGAACCGAGTCTGCTCGATACTCAGCCTGCACCAGCGAAGAATGACGCCTCGGCTGCCAAAGAGCTCAAATATCTTTTTGGTTCCAAGTTACCGAATGTTGCGAAAGATAAGCAGTTCGCTTCGAACGATGACAAAAAGCGCATCCGTAAATTATGGCCAGCAGGTCATGCAGCAGGCATGGAACGCATGGATTCTTTTCTATCACAGATCGACAACTATGCGGCTACTCGCTCGAATCCGGCCGAAGATAGCACCTCGCGAATGTCAGCTTATTTCTCCGCAGGTATGGTGTCTGTGCGGGAAGCATTATCTAAGGTCCGCGAGTACAATGAAGGCAGTTCCGACTTCACCGAAGGCGGTTCGAGCCATGGGGTGTACTCTTGGGTGCGCGAAATCGTATTTCGAGAATTGTATCGCCAGACACTGATGACAACACCGCACACGGGAATGAATCTTCCGCAAAACCTCAAATTCGATTTCGTGAAGTGGGAAGATGACGAAGAAGGGTGGGAGAAGTGGTACAAGGGCATGACTGGCGAACCTTTTATCGATGCTGGAATGCGACAGTTGAACACGGAGGCATATATGCATAATAGATTGCGTATGAATGTCTCTAGCTATTTATACTGCAACCTTCTTCTCGATTACCGACGAGGAGAGCGGTATTTCGCGGAGACGCTGATTGACTGGGACCTGTCCAACAATACTCAGGGCTGGGAGCCCAGCTACACTGTTTTCAATCCTGTATCACAGTCAGAGAAGAATGATCCTAGTGGTAGCTACATAAGGAAATGTGAGTATCCTCTGGATACAATCTCAGCATCAAATCGAGACTGACTATGTATAGGGGTACCAGAGCTAAAGGATGTCCAGGGCAAAGCGATCTTTGCGCCCTACAATCGGCTCAGCAAAGAAGAATTTGAGAAGCTGGGCTATCCAAAACCGCATGTCGACTGGAAGGAGACAAAGCAGCGAGCTATTGAACGATTCAAGTCCAACATGCGCGATGTGACGCCTTGAGCTATCGTTGTCACCCATCGTCCAGCACTCCTCTTAGCTCTAAAAGGCTTTGGTCAGGTTTTCGCTTCCAGGATATCGATCTTTACACGTGCCTTTGACTACCGCAGTAGATCGCTTATATCAGAAGAATCAAGCATCCATTCAAATTGATCGAATCAGGCTAACGGTAACGAGTGGATTTCATTTCGGTGAAGAACAAATCCTTCTTTCATTGCAATGAATCACCTAGCAGATACGCTAACCTCCAAATACCAGGAATTCCGAGTAGCTTGTCCAGTAGCACGTTACGAGGAACCTGGCTTGTTCATTCGCAGTCGTGCTCATCTTCGTAAACTGGCATCATGAACCGGCACCTTGTTCGCCAGCCACCGGTGACCTTCAGCATCGAGTTCTTAGACGGGGCAGGTCTGAGCCATATCAGTACTTCAAAGCGAAGCATGGCATTGAGGAAGGGAAAAGTCTCACGCTGCCGCAAGATCCGCAAGTCTTGGTGCCCTCACTAATAGAGGCGCTGCATTTTGGGCCTATACTCGCGAGTACAACGTCAGCCGAGTTACAATAGTGGATTTATGTACAAGTTGTCTATGCTGATACATGGCGACTTTGCACAGGAGTATCGTACAGTTGTTGTGCATGTTGATGGCTTCTAGTGTGCTTTGAGGAAAGGCAATGGATTCGTGTTGTATGGTGCTTGAGTCTCGGTGGTTTGCGATGAAGTTTCTGCTGAGGTTGGGCTGAAGCCGCGGCGGGGTGGTGGGGTCGATAAATACGCGTGCCTTCAGTCGCGAGGGAGGGGTCGTTGGCAGCATGCAGGGAAAGGGAGCTAATGCGCGCCGTCAGATGATGGTTGCGCGGGTAGAGCGGGCTAAGCTGTGATTGGCGAGGTGCACTCGTGGCCTATCTATATGAAGTCCTGGAGGTGACCCCATTCACAAGAGGCTTGGTACCATGAACAAGGGCAAGTTGCTGACTTTGTACGGGATAGCATTATAGAAAAACATCCGATGTCTAAGGCCTATTGTAGGCCACCACTTCGCCGTTGATTACAGCGAACCACCCGTCCTCCTTGCCTTCCATCTCCCTCCATGTTCGCGCAATTTCTTCCAAATCTTCCTCAGTGCCTAATCCACTCTCTAGCACCCTGGCTTTGTAATCACTCTTGGTGCTTCGCTCAGCCCACAACCCACACCACCATGCTCGCTCGTCCGGCGTGCTGAAGGTCCATGCACTGACGCTCGTATCGATATCACTCCTTGGGAAGCCAGCCTGCATGGCTATTGCATGTAGTCTCTTTCCAATGTCCGGGTCGCATTTGATGCTCTTCGCGACCGATCTATAGAGGTCGAGCCACTTGCTCATGCCCTCGTTGGGAGGGTAATGGTTCATAGCACTATAATCGCAATCACGGACCGCGAGGATACCGCCTTTCCGAGTGAGCTTTTTCATTTCCTTCATTGCGCTAAGGGGATCTTGTAGGTGCTGTAGCACCTGGTGCGCATGTACAATGTCGAAGCCGCTCTCCTCGATGCCTGCAACAGCACCCCAGTTGAAGATGTCCCCGACCTCAAAACGTATATTTGTAACACCTTTCTCTTCGGCATGTTTCCGTGCTTTCATTATGACTTCTTGAGAAGGGTCGATGGCGAGAACTGAACCCTGAGGAATGCGGGCCGCGAGATCGACTGAGATGGTTCCCGGGCCACAACCTACGTCGAGGATTTTGAGAGACGTGTTATGGAGGTGCGGAATAAGGTGCGGACATGAGTTCTCCACCGTTCGCCAGCTGTGAGAGCGAAGGACTGAGGCGTGATGGCCATGAAGATACGGGCCTGATGACATTGCTAAGAGTTTCCAGGTTCACTTCGCTGCTGTAAGTGTTTCCACATTCACTGAGTGGTTTGTAGGTAAGGATGTAGCCACGGAGAAAGTGTAAATTGGTCTTGTAGTCTGGACTGAACAAGTGCGATGATTTAGAGGTCAGCTTTATACGTCACAACCGCAGTCGGTTTTCGAAGTCCACTCCGAATCGAAAGCACTGCGAAAGCGGAGAGATTTCGCACGTGGCACTCAGTGCAATGGCACTCACATGTCGGTCGTAGGACGTCAAAGTGGTGACGGCGTGAGGAGCCGCGGAAGCTCACACTCCGATATCGGCTGATGATGCTTACATACTCCCGTGCTGACTCGGCACGTGCATTGCAGTCCTACGCATACATGAAATCTGATATATTGCCTCGAGGTCAACCACTATGCAGAACTCTGCCTGACTACATACTCGGTTTCTAACTGCTCAATATCAAAGACCCGGGTTCGCAAGATATGAAATGCAGAAGTAGCATCTCTACTCTGAGTTCATCGCTTAACGCCCGCCCGAACAAATATGCCTTCGAGGGAGCCTAGTGGAACCTGTTCTTGTCCGCTTGCACGTCGTTCTCTAGGAATACTTCGATCTTGTCGTTCATCTTTGGCCCGATGTCGTTCGAAAAACAGCAGCAGATGGTGCCGACTACACCAAACGCAATGCTCGTTAAGCACACTGTTCTCAATGCTACTACGTAACTCTGCGTAAACGCCGCACCAGCAGCTGCAATCATAGCCTCGGTTGTACCAGACACCTGGGAAATCGCGTCGGCCCCGAGCGGCAGAGCGGCGAGCAGTTGTGCGGCGGTGGCCTTGGAGCCGCCTGCAGCAGCGATGGCGTTGGTCCCAAGGCGGGAGAACTGCTCAGATTGGACGTTGGATAGGATGGCGAGATAGATGGAAGAGGACATGGCCCCTCCTGTCCAACGCGCCACACCTGCAAGTGCGCCCGAAATACCGAGCTGGGTCTGCGGGGCGCCCATCTGAATCCATGTGATGCTCAACGTTTGCGCCCAGCCGTAAGCACCCTGCACGATGAAGCAGAATACCATGATCATGGCCATATTTCCAGTATTTCCGAGAGCCAACAATGAGCCAAAGAGTGTCATGACGGCGAACGAGCCAATGAACTGCCACTTCCAATGTCCGATCTTTATGCCGAAGAACCATAGAAGCATTGAGCCAAATATCAGGCCTAAATTCTGTGGGAGGGTATATTTCAGCGATGTAGACAGAGGGGTGGTCGAGTCGGTCCAGAGGACGTTAATCATGGTTGGATATACGATGTTGACGGAGTAGAAGAACATGTTGACGATGCAACCGGCGATGAACGGGTACGTGCTAGCAGCCGGTCAGCATGAGGATGCGGCGTCAGGACGGCCTTCTATAATAAGGTAACTCACAACTCTTGACCCTTATCCTTTGCAAAGATGCCAGGCGGACATAGAGGTTGCTTCAACTTCCCCCATCTTTCCCAGCACGCGAAGACTCCGATGACCATGAATCCTACCACAAGGAGAGCAACAACCTTCGGATCGGAGGACGGCACAATATTTGTGTAGGTGACACCGGTGAACACACATGCAGCACCAATTATGAACAAAAGTCCTCCAACATAGTCGAGTTCGCGCAGAGCTTGCGCCCAGGCAATGCCCCTTGGGTGCTTCGGTGGGTGGTAGAGCCAGACTAGGAGACTGAAGACGATAGCGCAACCGATAGCAGCGGCGTAGAAAAGCCATCTCCATGCATCACCATGTCGAATGGCATACCGAGCCACGATTGGTCCAAAAAGAACTGCAACCCAAGTACTGGCATCTATCGGCGACGTTAGTGTCATCGAATGGCTCTACAAGCAACATTCTCACCAGCGATGAGCACACCAATGTGCCGTAATCTGTTGGGGAGTAACTCTGGTATTCCGAACGCTGAAAGTTGGCATAAACCAGCCCCCTAAAACCGTTGATCAGGCCATCATAAGAAGCTTGAAGGATTGCTTACAACGCCAATGGATGTGCACCCTCCAATAATGGTCTCCGTATTCTTTGCAGCGCCGATAGCGACATAGCCTGCACCGACCAAGATGTTACCACTGATGACGAACCAGCGACGCCCGAAGAGGTCTGAATTGCCACCAAATATCATGAAGGAGATGGCCGTGCACATGGTGTAGCTAGACATCTCATAAGAGGGGAATCGTGAGGTGGATTACTGACTTGTACTTACATGGTAGTCCACCAGGAGGCATTGGACGGATTGCCTAGCTCGGTCGCGACTTGCGTTTGGATGGCACTGATGGTTGTGACAACCCAGAAGCTTAGGCCGTAAGAACAAGAGAGGACCTGCCTAGCTTAGAAAAAGCAAGAGAGAGAGGGCCTTATTACACACAACAATCACCATCCATGTTTTCAGTGTAACCACGTCTTCATCCTGAGCTGCGTTAGGAATGTAGTCGTCGTCAGGTGCAATATTCTTCTCGGCTGCGGATGTAGGCGATGAACTTGGAGTCTCCGTAACCTCAATGTTGTCCAACTCGGCCTTCTCCATCCCGGTCGACATGGTATAGGGATCAAGACTTAATAACGGTATGATGCAAATGTGAAGGCCCTCTGACCCAAATTGTTTTGGCAATAAACAAAATGGGTGAGATGCTTCCTGCTGCTATATACTGCAGATAGATTCGGCGGTCGCACATATGCTCAAGCAATAAATTGATCCTCGAAACTTGCTAGCACACATTTACAGGTCTGACTCGCGTCAGAACCTTATCGATCCACAAGCTAAAGGAAGTTCACAACCGAAGCTAATTCATAAGCTGTTAGTCGTGGAGTGCCAGCAATCAGCTGCCTACAGTTGCGGAGGAGATTTGTGGGGTAGCTTTTCTGGGGAAACAGTGGGCCAGAGGCACGGAAAGAAGTGGTCATAGGTGACATTTTCGAGTCGCCTCGGAAGGCTTCCCCGTACGCGGAAGCTTGTGCTCCGCTATGAACACTTTCTGTATCCAGCGGATGCTCGGAAGCTCGGGGGGCTGAGTGCCGATATCCCTTCGCATGCGTCCAGTGTTATGATGGCACATGACTGTCACAGGGTTAGCCCGTGCTTGTGCACAACCTTGAAAGCAGAAACATGAACCGCAGTATTCCACTGCAATATCTTGAGCCGTTTCTGCTCGGATGTCTCTGCATAATTGAGGTGTGGGTGATGGCTAGGGGTTACAAGCCTAGCCCAGGATCCCTGAGGGATATCATTTACCGTACGAACAGCTCTGTGAGCAATTTTTAGCTTTTTACGCATCGCGACTTTCCACGTTAAGAATGTGGAGTATAAGGCTGACTTGCGAAAATCACGTGGTGCCAATTCTCTCATTGTTGCTATTATATTGCAAAAGTAAATCTTCGATAGCCTGAGCAAAGACACCGGCAGGTCTTCAGTACAACCATTATTCTGCTCACATGATGGCAAGTGCATTTGGCGGGCTTGCGACACCTCCTCTGACATTCAAGGGCTCGCTGGTAAGCATGAACGTCCAGCGCTTTTGTCTCTCGCACTCCTGAGCAAGTTCATCGAGCGCAAACATCTCTCCTATAGGCATGCCGAACCCAGCTAGCAGGATCTGGTGTAATGCATGCTCGGAAGGAGGCCAAGCTTCGAAGCCAGGGCAGTCTCCTGCTACTGCAGCGATCTGTGTATCCCATAACCAGCCAAGTACTTCGAAATTACTCTCCATTCCTGGGTACCTGAAAGGGCTTTGAGCCATAATCTTCTTCTTCGTTTCAATACTAGCCTGCTCAAAGGCAGCGGTAAAGCCTAGTCTTTGTCAGATGCGTTCTGGTACTAAAAAGTCTTCGCATACCAGTTCGAAGTAAGACAATGTCGCCAGCTTGGAAATCGAAGCTGCAATCTTGGGCAATCTGCTTCGCAGTCTTCAGAGGAACAGCGTAGAAATCTAGGGGATCATATTCTATATTTTTCTTCGCCGCGTAAGACACAAAGTCGATCAGGACGCCACGGCCTACAAGACCATGCTTGGCCCAAGCTAGACATATTAACGAGTTGGCGATATTATGAAGGAGGTTCTCACACCTTGTATACCCAGCCTTGGTGATTTGTTCTCAATGATCTCTTTCTGCGTAAAGCCATTATAGAAGCGGCCATCATCGAAACCCCAATGCCGTAATCCATCCCATTGTGTGCTTGTTTGCGTGTTAAAAGTTATGCGGTCATCCTCAAAACGGTCAGTAAAGCCTTGGATTGGTCAAACCAATCGTACATTCATGTTCTCGCCCAGCTGAAATATCTCGTGCTTGATGGTTTCACGGAACCCACCAGTGTAGTCCATTTGTTCCAGTGCCCAATTCAGGCCGAATCGCGCGCCTGTCTTGACTTCCTTTGCGGCTGCAACAACACGCTCCGGCGTCAGATGGTTAAGGGTCCCCAGCTCATCGTCTTTTCCCCAAAGGCCCCAAGCCGAGTATCGAGGGTGTTGGGGATCAAGTGGTAGTTCTGAGAATTTTGGATATGCTCGAGTCATCTGTGAGGAAGCCATTGCGCTGTACTGGAAAAGACGACAATGATGTATCAAGGGATACAGATTTGTCTCGAAATGGTATACAGGCTCTGGTATCCGTTCACCGGAACTCCGGCTTCGATAGAACCATTCTATCGGGGGGCAGTTTGCGGGGTCTCGGCTATCGAACTCCGCTAGATCGATTCTGGACAAAATACAGGTGCGCATCAGGACTTAGGTCCATTGTGACTTTGTGGAGAATACCAGTCAAACTGTGCTAATTCTGGAATTGCGATATTAGAAGGAGTGATAGGGTGGTTAGCCGTCCCGTCGGATAGACCAGCTTGCTGCATCAGGACTCGTGCTTGATCCAGACCTCTACGTATCAACGGAAGATGGTTCCAAGGTCTCAGTAATTCGTATGCGTTGTGTATGTGATACTCTTGCTTCGTCTCCTCTACAAAGGATAGCGCTGGGCAGTTGAAGGTAACAACTAGTGTGGCAAGCATAGCGAATGCACTGCTAGAAAATTAGCACTGTCGATGCATTTCTCGCCTAGGGCGACTTACGCCCACATAGAGAAATGCGTGCCCATCGTTCGATCCATTAGTTGCTCGTCAGCGACGCTTAAAAATAAGCAGCACCCTCTTATGCATCCAGCGGCTTGCTCTTTCATGGCAGCGACCGCCGTTTGTTCGAAAGGTGCTCCCTCACCAGTTCCATGTTCCATTATCTTGAGAACAGACGGCCATCCTAGGACAACGAACAGTGCAACGTACTGCCCTCTGAGAAATGACTTACGGGAGTCAAAGACTGGGGTTGCATCCAATGGAAACCGAACAACAGCAGGAAGGTGATCATACCATTCGCGAACCTGTTTTCTCAGCTCTCGTGTCACTACAGGCGCATAAATAACGCGTCCGCTGTGGTATCCGACAACCTCCAGGGACTGTGTCAAGAATTTGCGGAGGCTTATCTGGGCAAGGAAGTAATAGAATCCCGAATCTTCTTCTTCAAACTGGGGCAAAGGCACCATCTCGTGGAATTGACGTATACCGACAGGAAACATCTTCATCGTAGCCTCCAACTCGTGAACGATGGTCGATGTAGCCCAAAACGCGCGGTTGAACGCTTCTTGCTCTGCTGGAGAGAGATGGTCTCTCATTCTGGAGCTGCAGATGTGCATGCAGTCTCTTGCCGCTTGGGTGATGGAGTTCCAGGTCTGCATGGGTCTGATGGCGAATTTCAAGTAAGACGCTTGCAACACGCGACACTGGAGCGTCATAAGGTTCCCGGTTCTCAATGACAGACGCTCCAAAATCTGACAGCCTCGAGCGAAGTAATCAAGACCGGGGAGCATACTCTTGGCATAGTCACCTTTGTCTTCTGTGATAGCGCCCATAGCTAACAAGAAAAATGTCAGACAAGTGGAGGGGGAAGATTCGACGAAACTGTGCGAAGTTGCTAGCTCAACGGCACTCACGCACGTTTGCTGGTCAAATATAGGTGTCCAACGAAGGAAGTTTTCCACGAAGCTTTGCTGCAACCGCCGAGTAGTTCTCCTGGCGAGGTCAACTGGCTGATCAAGTAATGTGACTAGTTGGTCTGAAAGACTCTCGCCAGCTAAGATTTCGTCGTCATAGAACTCCTTTGTGAAATCCCAGCTCTCCACAGGGATGTAAGGTGGCGCGCGAAAAGTCAGGAGGCTCGGCCTTGCAGTCTGGCTTTCCGTGGCTGTTTGTCTGTAGGCAAAGTCGTAGGTTACTGGCGTGCCGACTGAGCCATTTGATGTCGCATTCACGGAAGTGATGTAGTCCACAGCGGGCCTGTTCACACTTGATCTTCGGGAGGGCAGTTCCTGTGGCGGAAGCATCCCGCTATGATGGGACGCGTTTGGTGACATGACAACGGCATTTTGCATCTGTACCTGCTGCTCCGTTGCTTCTAGACGTGACTCCAGCTCCGAGAGTCGCCGCTCAATATTGTCCAGTGCCTCTGAAGGGGGATCACTGGCTTTACCCCTGCCATGTGGTCAACTCAGGTGAAAGTCCAGCCAAAGCTTTTGCAAGTGCCTACGGACCTGTCCCCTACTGTGGGTTTGCGATACGTGCACTCAATACCCAAGTCTGTGCAGAATCCGCAGGAGGGTTTCTGAGCATCGCATCTTGTCTTTCTGAAGCGGCACACATTGCACTAGAGCGCATTAGCCTTGCCACGGATTTTCTCGAGAGAAGACGCATACTCACAGCGATTGCGATGCGTTTCCTGGGATAGTTCTCCGCTACGCGTGCCGCCTGTGGGCTTGCGGGCGCAGTGCCATTATCTGGTGCTGCTTGCGAGGAGTCGGATGGTGGCGAGTCATCGTGCTTTCGCTTGGTGGCCATGGGTCTCAAGCACTGGAGATGATGTCTGCAGGCATTGCAGCCAACGCGGAGCAGCGCCCTCACGTTGTTTGGTCGGAACCTGACAGCCGTTCCGTCCGCTCTGCTTCGCTCGGTTCGTGAGGCTGGGCTAGGTCGGCGCTGGCGTCCCCGCACTTTCCCCCGCCTCCACCCGTTATTGGCAAGGCAAATCACGATGGCAGATGCAGCTGCTAGTTATGATGTCATGGAGATTCGCGATAACTTTCGACTAACGATGCGGATGCAGTGAGATTCTACGACGCTAATGCTATTGATGAAAACCGCACCTCTGTTCATTGCACAGCTGGAAGCACTCTGACATTCAGCTCTGGCTTCACCCAAGTCGAATAGGCCTTCATGTTTTTCATCTGGCCCTCCGTCGTCCAGTCTGGCGCCCCGTCGACGCTCTCTACGTTGTACCTCCAGAAGAGTCGGCTCAAAGCAAGGCGCAATTCCATGTATGCAAGGTTCTTGCCAATACACCCTCGGGGCCCCATAGAAAACGGTCGACTAGCCAGCCTCTTGTCGTTAGCGTATTTCGGATCGTACCATCGCTCTGGTATGAACTCATCCGGGTTTTGGAAATTGTCTGGACTGTGAGCTGCACACCAGGTGCTCACAGATACGGTCGTCTATACATGGTCAGCTTCACTCCGGCCTTGTGTTTGACTTGAATTGCAATACGAACCCCTCCTGGCAGGTACTGCCCGTCTATTGTATCGCCTCCCTGGGGTACAGATCGTAGGAAACCAATCGGTGCAGGGGGCAGTAGACGCAGTGTCTCTTCGACGCACGCGTTCAGGTACTGAAGGTTCGTTGCTTTGTCCACCGTGATCTCCTCTTCGCGTGCGTATGTGCTGCGAATCTCCTCCCTCAGCTTAGCAAATTTGGCTGGATGCGCCATCATGAAGTTCACAGTCGCGGACAGAGTCATGGCTGTAGTCTCGCTGCCCGCTACAATGAACAGCGCGCCGTTTACGATAATCTCATCTTGCGACAGGTCAATCTTCTTGCTCTGGCGCACAATATAATGCACAAAATCTTTCCTGTCCGTCTTTGTATCCGCAAGACGCTTGAGCACCTTTTCTCTGCTGTAGGCTAAGTGATCTTTGCGTTGCTTGCGCATCTCGTTGGGGATCCACTTCATGAGGTATTGCTGGAGAGGAGATCCAGGTGTCGCAACCCGTCGTGTCGCGGTCTCCACTGCCCCTGCTTGCACAGCGCGGAAGATCAAGGTAATCCAGAAATGGAAGTCTCCCTTATCGAGACATCCAAAGGATTCACCGAAAGCAAGATCACCAATGACGTCGAAGGTCATAAAGTTGAACCAGTCGACAATATTGAAGCTCTTCTTCTCCTGGGCAAAGGCTTCGACGTTATCTAAGAGTTTCGTGACAAAGGATTGGACGATCTCTTCCTGTCCCCAAAGAGCTTGTTGAGAGAAACCATGAGAAAGAGCCCGGCGTTGGCGCGCATGCGTTTCGTTGTCGGCCATCGAGATGGTCGAGACACCTGGTACGGGATCAACGGAACCGACATGAATTGGATCTTTTGATAAGTTGGGTCGTCCCGGCCGCAGGCCATAGATATCTTCCCATGCTTCGGGTGTATTGAAGGATAGCTCGTTTGGACTCAGTCGTACTATGGGCCCATACTTATCATGGATAGTCTTCGTGTGCATTGGCAACCGACCGACGATCACTGCGTATATGGCTGGAATCTAATGCATGTTAGCTAAACTGTGCAGCGCTATACAGAAAATGGAGCTGGAAATCCGTTCTTTTGGTATCGGGGTCCACAGCAAGAGTTGTCGAACTCGACTTATCTTTGCGGAATCTTACCTGAGAGACCCGATTGAGGAAAGGACCTGGGTACTTTGCCAATGGATGGAACCACAGGCGGTAGATCACGACCCCAGTGATGTACAGTATTCCGAATGCGATACTACTCCCCAAGAGAATGGCTATTCTGTTCTCAGCGTAACCCATTCTGAGATGAACGATCTCCGTTTGGTCACACTCGTCTGAGGTACGCGATGAAAAGTGAGAAAGCTAGTTGTACTAGATTTCAGAGTGGTGCTTGCAAGATGTCCCGCCATAAAATGGAAGACTTCGTCTATCAGGCGAGCCAGTTTGAGGTCCATATTTCCATGAGTAGACGTCGGAGGAGCTCAGGAACAATCTGAGCATGCATCCGACATCCCGAGCTTCCCCATAGCTGGGTAGCGCAGGAGCGGCTCTGGGCGTACGAAACAGCCCTGGGGGTAAGGGAATAAACGCCCGAGCTGGGCGGTTACACGGACAGCAGCTAGGCGTTATTTTGCTAGTACCGACGATTAGCGCATCGACTGTGGCGTTGCATTGACTGCGGGGAAGAAGAATATAGAGGAAATCGATAGCCGCATCCGCCGAACAGAGCGCAGCGACCACGCCTTTTCCAACCCCTTCGATATTATGGCCTTAGAGAGCAGTTTTATTCATGCCTTGCATCCAGATAGACTTCTTGCTGCGCAACAAAGAGTCTTGCGAATTTACACTATGTAATTGAGGGAACAAAGCGCCAACTAATGCTGATTCTTCCTCCAACACGTGACGTTGTGCAAACGCGTGTCCTCTATAATTCTAGCAATTCACAATGCCAGTCAAGAGTGTATGAACTATGTTTTGACAAAGCTATTCAAGTATAAAAAGCCTTGCTTCTCATTACGGACCACAGCATAAGGCGCAGCCGCGCAGTGCCAACACAGGTCACTTTGTGTCAACCCATGGGCCCATGGGATCCGCTAACATGGCAGACACCCATTCTATGCCTTTATACAGTGCATGTATACGCCGGGCAAATAGGAGGCCTCTTATTCCACAAGCGCGTGCTCTGTGGTGCATTTTATCCCCTCCAGTGATGGTGTTTCTCGACCCCAGTGTTCACCGTGTCTTTCGCCACGATCACTGCGATCTATACGACCACGACGCTAGTGCCCTTCCAGATGTGAATCGAGTGAATCGGTGTTCGCCCGTCAATCAAGGTCTGGACGGAAGTTCAAGTGCGCACAGAGGAGATGATAGGGACGATTGAGACTCCAGAATGGTTGCGAGCCGCTGACGGATCAGCTGCAAAAGGGCAATGGAAACAGCCGTGTAAATTATGCCTCCTTGGTCGGTTGCTGACAGCATGATAGGTCACTACTAGACAGCATCTAAGTCCAGGTAAGTTCTTCTCTCCCCTAGTAATGCTAACCTATGTGCAGGGAAGATGATTCTCACCGTAGCCTTAATGCAGCTCTATATACAAGAAAAATCCAATCTAACAACGGTAAGCCGTTTGATTTTTTGCTAAGAGTGAACAGGAAATGGAAGCATAAGGGCCGAACAGTACCAGGTGAGTCTAGGCCAACCTTTAATTATGCTTACTGTGGACAGGCTGTGTGGTCGAGCTCATGTAGGACGGGTTCGTATGATCGTCGATCTGTCCAAGAATCACAGCTCAGTGAACAGGTCAGATACAAGGTGAGTTCTTCTGCCCCATAAAGCCGCTAAGGTAAGTGTAGGGAATCCCACAGCCCTAGAGATGCTATCAGCTGTCAGTGTCACCCGGGTTCGTCATCGATTGTAGAAAATGGATAATATTTCAAGCACGGGTAAGTATGGAATACATGCCTTGAAAGAGGCGCAAAAGTAGACTAGCAAGAACAATTGCGAAGTTGGGCAATTGCCGAGTGTCCGTGGTGTGTGTCCGAGGAAATAGATCGAGTCGTAGCACGGGGATAGTCTACTTGCTTATACAGCCGCACCAGCAGCAGCTTCTCGAGCGGCTTTCTCCTTTTTCCTCGCCTCTCGTGCAGCTCTTCTCATGTCCCTGAGATCCGGGGGCTTCTCGATACCGAGCCTTGTCCTGAGCTGGTCCACGTCGGTCTCGAGCTCCTCCTCCCAGTACACGTTGATGACGTCGTCGCTTTGCGCGCCGTTTCGTGCTGCCCAAGGACCGTATATGTCCCAGAATCTTCTCCATTCACCCTTCTTCAGTGTGAGCGCGCTGAACACAGCCAGTCCAGTCATGGGCAGCCCCGTGTTGGCGAACTCGAAGGCCTTGAGGGCCACTTCGCCTTCGCGGAAGACTGGGAGGCCAACAAGCGCATGGTAGAAGTCGTGACACTCGCGATAACGTTGCATGACATATGCACACTCTTCGTCGTCGATGTAGCGGACCTGTGCTCGTGTGTCGGGAGACACGCCCTCTCGATCCAACCATTCCGTGTAGGCATAGCCGACGGTATTCTTAGGGAGCAAACGAAGCCGAGGGATATCGAGCGAAGTGGACGTCAGACGCGGCCGGTCACGCAGTATTCTTCGGCCCGTTGGATTCAGCAGCATGCGGTCGCGGAGATGGTTGATGAAGTAGGGCTGCGCTGTCGCTTCGCCAAATGCCGCAATGAGGTCTACGCAACTTAGCAACTGGCCGCCACAAGCTCTCTGCATCGAACGCGGTACCTCCTCTCCGAGGATCCAGGAAGCTCATGAGCCCCGAGCCGAGCGCCAGCCCCAGTCTCTCCGCACGCGTGAGCGGGATGTGGCCTTCATAGTTGGGCGGCGGTCGGTTGAGCACCGAGAAGCATCGGTCGCTGCAGGGCAAACGCAGAGCGTGCGGACCGAGCTTGGAACGAGCGGATGTCAAGCCCGCAGCAGGCCGCATCAATGGTGCTGCCATGGAGGATACGTTGGAGGGAGCGTGCAACACCTGCGTGCATCACGCATCATCGTTCGACAGCTTCCGCCACATCTTATCGATAAGGCGCGTCGGTTGCGCCACAGTCCATGTCGCAACTTTCTGTCTTGTTTGACTCAGACTTTGGTCCATCGCGTTCGGCATCCTGGACAAGACGCCGCAAAGTCCGAGCACGGCGCGCGAACCGGCCGCTGTTGACAGGTTGTGCGGCAAGGGTCTCAGGGTGCAATTCACACTCACCGGCTTTCGTACAAACCATGGCCATGGCTGCCGCTATGGATCCGGGCGAGGAGCACGCCCACTTCGTTGAGTGGGCGCAGTCCAACGGCGTAGACATCAACGGCATTGCCCCTGCCAAATTCAAGGACAGCGGTATGGGAATCGTCGCCGCAACGGATATCAAGGTCAGTCGCTCGTGTCTGCGTACCTCGCGGTGCAGTGCTTCAACGAATCGTCCCAGAATACAGCCCAGGCCGACCGCATGGACATGCAGCAGCTGCCATTGGCTTACAGCATCATGTGCTAAGTTTTCAAGAAAGGAGATCGAATAGTCCATGTGCGCAACACTTCACTCATCACTGTTGCGCAACCAGAAGTTCAAGCGCTGAAGTTCCCAACCAAAACTTCGATACACGCACGTCTGGCTGCGTATCTGGCTCTTAGGTTTCCAGACGACGACTGCCAGCATCGGCCATGGCAGGATATCTGGCCCAGTCGAGACGAGTTCAAGGAGATCCTTCCCCTCCACTGGTCGAAGCAGCTGCAGGATCTGCTGCCACATGCTGCTGCAGTGCTTCTCACAGCCCAGCGGTCTAACCTCGACCGAGATTACCTCAGCATCCACGCCATTCATCCCTCCATCTCGAGAGACCTCTTCACCTATGTATGGCTAATCGTCAACACTCGTACCTTCTACTGGGAATACCCCGATCTTCCCAATGCACATCCGCGCCTTCCAAAGAAGCGTCCACAATTGACAGCAGACGACTGCTACGCCATGTGCCCCTTTATGGATTACTTCAATCATTCCGATAAAGGTTGCGACCCCAAAGCTGACGCAAAGGGCTATTCGGTCACCGCCGATCGGGCCTACAGAGCCGGCGAAGAAGTCTACGTTTCGTATGGCTCACACACAAACGATTTCTTGCTTGTCGAGTACGGCTTCATACTCGACACCAATGGATGCGATTCTCTACCCCTGGACCACCTTATCCTCTCCCAACTTTCCTCCGAACAGGTTCAGGTTCTGAAAGAAGATGGCTTCTACGGGTCTTATACGCTATCGCCGACGACCCCGACGATATGTCACCGCACTCAGGCTGTTGTCCGTCTGTTGACTTTACCCTCTCGGCGATATACGGCTTTCGTCAGCGGCACAGATGAAGGGACGGGTGACCAGGGCAGAGTCAATGAGTATGTCATCCGGCTATTGGTCAAATACGAAAGGCAGATTATGGAGATCATGGAGGAGGTGGAGGGACTGAAGACCGGCGGAGACGCAACAACGGCCCAAAGAAGTACCCTGCTTAGACGCTGGAAGCAAGTCCGAGCAATCGTCAAGACGGGAATAGATGTCCTGACCAATTGAGACCTTAAATCATTGGGTCGTGCTTGGCCTAGTCCTGGGAACCATGCGGAGTTTGACGTGTTGGCACGACGTGAACCATTTTTGGCACTAGTAAGAGCTGAGGAATCATATCACGAACTGTATCTCGCAGATCACAGCTAATTCGCACTTTCAACTGCGGCCATACCGCTATGTGCAACGCGATGACACCGTTTTTGTCCGTGACCAAGTTTTCGTGTTACCTGCCGGGTGATTCGCTTTCAGCAAAGGCACTTCCTCAACTTGGCATTTACGTATTTACAAGTCTGCTAAGAGAAGATTTCTTAGCCATCAATCACCAACACGAAAGAATGTGACGCCTCAACAAGCCCGTGTTAGCAACATCGAGAGCGCCACGGCTCGGCTAAACAACATGCCAGGTTCTTCATCGAAAAACCTTGTATTCGCTGAGTGTGATCTAGTACAAGCCTCAGCGCTGTGCAGAGGCTCGTTTAAACCTGTCGTAGATCAGGCAAATTGCTCCAAGCGTTGGTCTGGGGTTGCGCAAATACGAGGTAAGCTTAAACCATTCTTCCGCTCTATTCTTAGTCCGCCGTTTCGTTGCCTCGACATATACTTTTCTGTCAGCATTCCTAGCTTAACGCGTTTTATTTCCCCTAGGGTCAGTTTCGCGTTCTGGAATGCCACGCGCAGCCGCCTGCCGGCCCAAGCTGGGACACAACTACCCAGCTTGGAAAAGAATAAACCCAAGTCAGGATCGCATAGCTCGTGATCAGATGCAGTGTGCTAAACGACCAATTTAGGGATGTATATGAGGCTTGGCGAGAAGCTGTACAGCACCTATATAGGAGGACTGCGGGAAAGGGCAAACGTGGTACTTGCTCCTTCCACCGCACTTGACTTTTAGGTCCGCACGCACCTGGTTTGGTGTGAAAAACTACCTGCACCGCCATCATGAAGGCATTCCTACTCCTGTCTCTACTGGGAGCCTTTACATTGGCGCAGACAACTACATCGATATGCCGATGTCCACAAGTCAAATGCCCAAGTAGCAATGCTGTTGTACGCTTCCCCTCTCGGAAGATTGCTACATGCTAACATATCCTGTCCAGGAACTCTGCCAGTGCCTCAACTCCCGCGAAACAATGTGTCACAAAGCTTGCCCAATGTACAAGCCCACATACATGGTCAGTCCTCGATCCCTTCCTCTCGCGATACAGCACTGATTGACACTACTAGCCATGCCCGATAAACCCTCCGACCCCGTGGCCGACTCCTTCGCCAACCCCAGAAGTGCAGGCTGAGCCAACATGTACATGCGAACCTGGATTCTGTATCCAAATGTGGCCACAGTCATGCTATTGCGGCAATGCACAGAAGCAGCGTTGCTTTGAGAAGTGCGGTGGCGTGCAGCCGGAGCTACAGGTCCGTACCAACCATAGTGCACATGCATTGTCTAGCGGTCACTAACCCTTTCCAAGGAGTGCCCTCCCATGGAGACGCCCTCGATTGTCGCCAGAACCGTCGAAACACACCCGCCAAAGCCGACCAACGTGCACAAACCATGCGGCGGCGGCCGTGGCAACTACCGCGAGTGCGATCACGGCGAAGTCTGCATCAAAGATCCATACAAAGATGGATGTGGGCCTGCGTGCGATCAGGTGGGCATTTGTGTGAAGGACAAGCTATGCGGCGGGGTAAGGAGCAGATGTTTGCCTAAACTTGTCGATGTCTACTGATCAAACAAACCAACAGTTTGCGGGGTTCCCATGCGAGGTCAAGGGCCAGGTATGCCAGGATGACCCGCGTGATGATTGCGATCCACTGAACCACGGATACGATTGCGGAGGATTGTGTGTGTGGCCGTTGAGTCTGAGGCACGACTATGGTGAAGGATACTAGGAAATGATGGGTATGGCAGTATATCCAGAGACGATGGAGCTTGGATGTTGGTGAATGACAAGTTCATACCTCTTTTAGTGGATCATGCAGAAGGAAAAAAAAAATCCTGAATGAAAGTGTTCGAGGTGGTTGGTTGCCTTATGTACAGCACTGATGAACCTATCCACTCTGCTTGCGACGCTTGTCCTCACTTATTTGGCTATTCAGTGTTGATTTAAGTTCGACCAACGATCTTTCCGGCGCATCTAGGTTACGAGAGATCTCGATTTATACCCGGAACAGGCTCTTCATTCATCTTTCGTCTCTCGCTAGATAGGATAGCGACACTTCCTCATACCCTTTAAACCTGCCCATGGTAAGCAGCCCACACCATATCGGCCTCCTTGTAGTCCAGTCTTTCATGAACTTCGCAAGCTCCGTCTCGTTGAGCTTCCTACCCTTAGCTTCACCGTCAACAGTGCTCTTGTTCGCCTTCAGGTAGGCCATCTCGGAGGTACTGCCGCCAGCAGTGCTTTTCAGTGATGCCTGATTCGGATCATGGTATCCGAGGCTGAGCGTGGCCTAGTCGTACTTCGAGGTGCAAAACCACTTGCCGGCGGCTTCCTCGCGGGAGTGAATGTAGTTGCCTACCGCATAAGATTGAGTAAAATCCATTGTGAACAGAGTAAGATGTGATATGGTAGACAAACTGGGTGGCTTTGCTCCACATAAAAAGTGCACCTGGGTGCTGTCTTGGGCACTTGCATTTGAAGTGAAACCCATGGCTCTCCAACAATGACGTGCAGTACGAATTTGCACCTCCCCAGACTCCGTCAGTTCGGTACATGTGGTACCGAGGTGGGTTTTGGGTATCGTCACGGTGGTCCTTGTAGATAGCTGCGAGTGTCGCAATGTCAGCCTCGACACTTCGAAGTATGGTGCCTGGATTCTGAGGGATTGCTTCATATGCTCCAGTGAACGCAGTCTTCCGCAGGTACGTTCCATTCAAGCTGTTCTACGTCATAAGAGTTCTGCGAGCCTGTTAGTGTATCTCAAACATATCCTGATTCATATAAGACGACACTTACACCACCGAGACCACAGCTGGCATTTTTGTTGCTTCCCTTGCACCGGAATTCGTGTTTGTGGCCGCTGACATCAGAGCTGATCTCGGTGAAGATCACAACGTCGGAATCCTCGCAGCGAGAAGCACCACCGGGGTCGTCGTCATTCGGACCAAGGATCTTGAAACCGTCCAATATGATGGCATTGTCCAGGCTGTAGGTGGGCTGCTGGACCCAAAGGAGAATGAAGTCGGCGGAGCTGAGGTGCGCCGGCGCGGTCACGAAGAGCGCGACCACGAGGAGCTTCATTGCTGCTGGGAGATCGCGTTTCTGATGTCTTGATTGATTTTCTCCACAGTTGGCGAAGATTGAGTAAGTGAGGAGAAGTAGGCGGCCGGGGAACCAGAACCCGTACCACCCATATAGGAAGTTTAGTTACGCTGAATAAAAGACATGGTACCAGCAGGTGAAGCATGTGAAGCACGGACATGCTTGAGGTGAACGTTGCTACCAGCACAAGAACCACTAGAAGATGGTTCATATCTCCAAGTGAGCTAAAAAGAAAAACAAGTTGAGGAAAGAATATCTTGGTACAACCAAGACGAAAGGAATGAAGAGACGAGAGAGGATGGCTACAAACGGCTTGCTTCCTCGCAGCGGATATCACTCAAGTGCAAACCTTCAGCATGCCTCGCACTGTTTCGTACAATCAACCGCAAATTGACTAGAAGAACAATGCCGTATGCTGTGCCGCACAGAGAGCCATCATAGATTGTTAGCAATTTCCTACACTTAGGGTTGTCCTTAATGATTGTTGTACTTCGATATGATTGTCTAGCAACGTGCGTGTTGATTCTCCCCTAATCCGCCCGACAACAAAAGAAAACGCCCATTGTATGCATGCAATAAGCCAATGTAAAGATGGTGGCAACGCCTGGTCTATCTATCAGTTTCGAGGGCAGCGTTCTTGCCCGCCGCCTCTTTGAACGATTCCCCCGAACGCCAAAACCTCCGCAGTATGTATAGGGGTATTATATGTGACAAAGAAACCACCAAACATATCCACGCCGAGCAAAATTCAGGTACCAACACTATGACTTTGCAGGAGGAGCAGGCCCTTCTGTCAGTCAACCTCCAACAAGAGATCAATCGCAGTCATGGACACCAGAGTCGAAGTTCCTATACTGCGTCCGGAATGGGCTACTGAAGTTTCTGGGTTTGATCTCCCTGGCCTTGTCCTTAGTCGTCGTCTCTTTTCTCTCCGCAGGCGACTCTGTGGTGTCCTCTAGATAGTCTTCACCTACACACCAAGCCCGTCAGTAATTTGACACCAAGTGTGCAAAACATAAGAAAGCCAACGACAATGCGCAAGAGTCTTACGCACTCGCTACCCCCAACCCCTCACAAAGCTTCTTCCTCCACATTCCGCACATTTCTTCGAAGCCATTCACGACGTCACCGCAAGCAGCACCGGCCTCTCGTTCTCTTAACCGCCTGTCCCAGTCTCCATTGTCAATATATGCCGTGCCCAGTTCCCTCAAGTCCACGTCTTTCTTCCACTCGGCCAGCTGGTCTTTGCTCGACCTCAGCTTCCGGCTTGCCTCATTCGCCTTCTGTCGGGACATGTGTAGGCTGTCTGACAAATTTGAGAGGTGCTCCAGTAGTTCGCGTGTTGAGAGGGTGAGCTGGGAGAGGGCAATGAGGGCTTGCGGGGAGGACTGCGGGATCAGCTCAAGGGTGCTCTCTATTAGAGGGAGAAGCATTTCGATCTCCTCGGCAGGAGGCATGATGGCGCGGGGGCCCGTCATCATAGCGGTAGCGGAGTTCAGTGTCCGCGACTGGTGCGTGAGATGTGTAGTCAAGGCGTCGTGTGCGGTCTTTAGTCTGCAATCACCCTGGGTCAGGCGCCGATAGATTATATTGTAGAGGAAGCTCACCTAGTTGCTCCGTTCTCGATGCCGATCTGGCTCCCGAGATCGCGCAATTGCTCGGTAACACGCTTGACTATGCCGTCTGCCGCGCTGCCATTCTCCTCCATGCCCCTCCGTGCCAAACTTTCGATAGCGGCCATGCGGCTCTCGAGGGCGGGGGAGATACCCTCGTTGGCTTCCAGATCCGAATCGTCTCCGTAGTCGGACCCGTCGTACAACGAGTGCTGTCTCTGGTGTTTCCTGCTCTTGGCTGCAGACGGTGGACTCAGCCTGGACCCCGCTGGTGAAGAAGTTTGCATTGCGACTCCACTGTCCCTGACCCCGTTCACGGTGCCAGCACCCCCGTCGTGGTCCACGGCAACGCCGATGTTGCTCGCGTCCTCGTCGTGCGGTAGGCCATCATCGTCGTCGTATTCACCCTCGGCCCCGTCGTCGTCGTCGTCCCAATCGTCCAGTTCCCCTAGTTCGTCGGCCAGATTCCCTAAGCCACCGTCTCCACCACCATCGAAGTTGTGCGCCGGGCTTTCATGCTCGAACTCTTGCGACAGCCGTGGAGTTATCGACGAGTAGCCGGAAGAGCGCCGGCGGAACGAGTTTCGTTTGGAGGACGGCGTGGCGTGGGACATGTCGAGACTTGAGGGATGGCGGCGGTGAGACGAACTGGGCCTCTGTGTGGGGGTTTGCGGCGGCGAGGACATTTTGTTCCTGCCAGTTGTGTTCTGCGCGCCGAAATTGAAAGGACGCTGGCGGCGCGGAGCGAGTGGAGCAGTGGGTCAGTTGCGGTGACCGGTGAAGGTGCGCATCCGTGTGCGGAGAGGAGACGGCTTTGTGCGGGCGGCGTGCAGCGGCGTGCGGTGCCTTGGATCGAGGCCTGCGGCGTATGTGCCAGGCCCGTGGATTCGGTTGTCGCCGCGAACGAGGGGCAGCGACGCGTGCGCTGGGCAGTGGGTCTCGGGGGTGTGGCAGATGTGTGGTATCGCCGGTCTTGGCTGGCCTCCAGCGATGCAGCGAATGGATGCGACAGCTCAAGAGCGCAAGCAGGCCCCGGGCTTGCCTCGAAGAATGCACAAGGCGCAATACCAGGCGGCAAAAACGTGGTTTGCGGAGCGAAGGTGCGGGCTGCGGGGACGTAGTCTGTTTGTTGACCGAGTCCAGGTGCAAGCTCCGTCATGACAACGCCGGTCCCTTCTTCGTTCCGACTAGAAAATAACACCCAGCACATATGCCCCAGCGCGCCCGGGATAGCCTTCACAACCACCATCTGACAACACATGAACTGCATGCAGCTGCTGACGACAGCTGGTTTGCACGTTATCGTGGTCCATTACGAATATGTACAGATGGACCATTCCTTGGGCCGTACATGAACCTTGGCCGCTTTCCCAAGCTCCAGATGACGCCCCCGATGAGAGAATCCAGACAGATGGGTATCCCTACTATACCAGCAAGCAAAACTGCAATTCTCCGCCAACGCCTAGTGCTGCAATGCCCGTCCTTCCTTGATGTACACATTCTGCCCGGTCTTTCGACACGGAACCGGCTCGTCTTCGCGAAGAAACAGGTATAGTGTAGAGTGGTGCGAAGAATGCGATAGCCCGTGAACTCCCCTTATGCCCTAGAATGCCGCTGGAAGAAAACGCGTGACGACCGTGCTACGGCTACGAAGACTTGCCCTGGTCGAGGGCCACGAGCTGCTTCTTGAGCTGCGTGAAGAAGTCCTGCCCGCTGGGCATGAGGTGCGGCATGTTGCCTGCGTTGACGTCAGTCGAGCATTTCTCCACCGGTGCATCTCAGACATACCTCGTGATCCCCAGGCGCCGCTGCTCCTCTTTGCTACCGAGTCACCCTGCACCTTGTGGTATGCCGACGGCTGGTCTAGAGGTTTGGCGTTAGTCCCCGTGGCTGGTGTAGATGCGCTGCTCGAGGAGGATATACCTGCGACGCTCTCAAGATATTCTGCAGCACACGTTAGAGGCAGCTCGCGATTCTGCGGGGAAGCTCCGAGGGGTATCAAGAATTCTGCGCCTCAGGCGATGCCCCGCTGCCAGCTCTGTGCGCTTACTCTTCTTCAAGAACTCCTTGACCTCGCCGGCATTGAAGTCCTTCACAGGTACGTGCTGCTCCGCAGGGACGCTGGGAGCCGGCGCGGGCGCGCGCTCAGCGCCGCCCTGGCCTTGGCCCTTGGCCTTCCACGCGTTGCCAGACACTGCCGACATGGCTTGCTGCCTCGCGCCCTCTTTGCTGGGATTGTTCGAGCTCGAGGCGCGGTTGCCTCGTCCCTGAGGCCGCTGCCAGCTGCTCCTGTCTGCCATCAGACCAAGTTCGTCGATCAAGCAGGCCGGAGGAAGCTTACCGGTTCTCGCCCGCACCGCTCATGTTGCGCTTCCAAGGCTCAGAGGGAAACTGGTGGGGTGGGATGATGGGGAAGGGCGGAGGTACTGTTAAATGCGCGCCCAGTGAGAGTGGAAAGCGCGACTGTCTGTGCAGGATTGGCCCAGCGTTCGTGCCCTCCGATGCTGGGCCAATCATGGCGGGCATTGGCCCTTTGCCAGCGCACAACACCCACTTCCTTTTCTACAGACCATGGGCCGTGAGCTTAGTGCTGAGCTGCTTCCCCCATCTGCTGGACGAGAGAGCTCCAAGCTTGCCGCGGGGCAGACGTTAGGTAACGCAGACTTTCACGTGGCGCGCAATAGTCGAGTGAACGGGTGCATCTTGACAGCTTCAAGCCTGGCACAGTGCAAAGGCGGTGAGCGCGTCACGTTGTACATTGGTCTATTTGCACACAGAGAACCTATGCCTCCTCCGTAGCCGCTGGGGCAGGCGAGGCTTCCGGGGACTCGGATAGATTGGCAGGCTCCATCTTACGCCAGAGAGCTATAAACCCGCCACCGACTACCTCCAGCCCTGCCTTAGGCCGGCATACCATTGCCCACTTCTCCTCGTTCTTGGCAAGATCCCGTGCCAGCTCATTGTCTCGAGCCTCTTGTCCTTTGACAGGGTCTATTGGTTCGTCACCGGACGACGAATCTGGCGTGTCCTTCAGCTCCGCTTTCCTTAGGGTTGCCCTGGGACGTACAGCCCTCACATCCCATTCACGAATAGTGCTCGCACCTAGCTCGACGACTTGGTCGAGCAGATACGGCATTCTGTCCTTCCGAATTTTCTCAACACATTCCACAATCTGAGTGATGCTCGGATTGAAGACTGCAAGCAAGCCATTGACTTGCAGCGCTGATGCCACAACGTCCAGATACGAGTCAGCACCCGGGAGATCCAGCAGCACATGGGACAGGAAGGGATCTTCAGTCTTCCTGACCTTCAGCTGTTCCGTAATCCAGGACGCGGGATCTCCCACGTGGAAGTCAACACTGCCTGCATACATGCCATGCCTAAAGCCTTCTACAATCTTGCGCGCATGCTTCGAGTGTTTACCGGAGATATCCAACGTGTGTACGATGGCGCCCCGATTCGCGCGCCAGGTCTCGATATTTGCGTCTTGTAGGTCGGCCATGGACTCCCCTAGGTAGACGGGGTCTTCTGCCTCTTGCTCGGAAGTGTAGTTTTGAAGCTTGGGCAGCCGTGGGTTTGCAGCATGTATTGCGCGAGCAAGGTGCAACGTCAGTGCGCCATGGCCCGTACCAGCCTCGAGTATCTCCACAGGCGAGTTACCGTTGGGGCTTTCCGAGGGCGTCTCGACGTGAAGGTCTAAAAGGGACACGATCAGGTTCGCGTCGGACGGGTAGATCTAGCCTCTGTTAGACGTGGTTCACTCGCTTTGAAGGCGTTAGAGCGCGTTCGGTGCAGTGGACGCACAGGAGTAACCAAGCGCGGCGTCAAACGGACGTACTCTGCAAGCGTGGGCTCGTGAATGCGATAGGCATTTCCGCGCGTCGAATGCACGAGCTGTCGCGGCTCTTTTCCGATGATGTCCGCATGCGCCAGGTTTCCACGATGGGTGTGGGTTTGCTTTGCGGCCTGTAGCTTCACCAACACGCCCTCATGGCTGGCAGCCTTCTTATCCTTCAGAAGCACAACATCGCCGTCTGTGCGGATGTGAGCAGCTCCTCGGCAGGAAAGAGCGGATGGCGTGCATACCCTGGAAAGCTCGTCTGAGGAACGAGCTTGTCGCAAAGCTCCTTTTGATCGAGTGCAAGTGCAGCTGAGCAGACGTGCGCGCAATTAAGCCTGAACAGCGCATGGCTTGTAGTACGCGCAGGGGAGAGGGGATCGGACGGCGAAGCGGAGGTGCGCCCGGAAGTGGCACTGAGCTTGAAGCCAAGCCGACATGCCGACTTGCAGACGTTGAAACAAGTCACCTGCACCCCTACGCTTCACGCCTCTTCCGAAACCCAAGCACACAAGCGCATACGACTATGGCTACTTGCTGTGCTGAAACTCATTGATATCATTAAACGACCGCACCTGCGGTGTGTGTCTAACAGTTTCCCCGCGGAGGTCTTTCCAGCACCATGCCTGCGCCGCGCAGAATCGCAAGTCCTCCCACGCTCTCGCTGTCCCGCCATACTGACTGTGAACCAGGTGCGGACGTCGGTCCAGCTCGGTGTGCTCGCATCCGCAGTCTTCCTCCTCGTATTGTTCCTCGATAGTCGCTACAGTGTGCTCCCACAGGCTGTGCACAACCACCTCCCGCTGCACCACGAGGGCCTCGTAATCACCGACATTACTATACAGACTTGCTCATCCCTGAATCCGATTTCCAAATGCCAGCTCGATCAAGAACTATGGCACCGCGTGGAGAAAGACTTGTACCTGGGTACAGGTTGGGTGTCCAAGGCATATGTTCACATCAAGCGCAAGAAGGAGGAGGAGCTCACAGATGAGGACAAAGTAATCGTGGACGTGCGCACAGGAAAGCTGGATCCTGCTATGGGCGACAAGACGCAAGCATCCGAGAAATGGGAATCGCGCCCTGCAGGCATCTGGATCAAGCGATCAGCCAAGCGGCACGCAAGCGATTCGAAGAAGACCATAACAGCGGTAGATGTGCTGTTCGGCGCAGATGCGACAGAGTCTCGTCCTGGATGGCAGCTGGTCGCCAACGGAGCCATACACCTAGATACCGGCGGTGACGACAAGGTGCCGCATTTGTCAATTCGTAGGGGACAACCGGAGGCGGTCAAGAAACCTGTGCCTAGAATCACCAAGGACGGCAAGTTCAAGATCATGCAGATTTCAGATCTGCATCTCAGCACTGGCATACGACCTTGCAGAGACCCCGAGCCAAAGGATTACAACGGCGGACATTGCGATGCCGACACGAGGACTATGGAGTTTGTGGAGAGAGTGCTGGACGAAGAGAAGCCTGACATGGTGGTCCTCTCTGGCGATCAGGTCAACGGTGGTACGGCACCCGACGTTCCCAGCGCACTCTTCAAAATTACCGCCGTCTTGATCGAGCGCAAGATCCCGTACGCCGCCATATTCGGCAATCATGATGACGAAGGGGTAATCAGCCGCGGCATCCAGATGCAACTCTACGAATCGCTTCCATACTCGCTCTCCGAAGCTGGGCCCACCTCCATCGACGGCAGCATGGGCGTCGGCAACTACTTTGTTGAAGTGCTCGCTCACGGCGCGAATAAACACTCTGCTCTCACGCTCTACTTCCTCGACACCCACGCCTACTCCCCGGACGAAAAGAAGTTCAAAGGCTACGACTGGCTCAAGCCGAACCAAATACAGTGGTTCAAGAAAGCCGCCGATAGTTTGAAAGAATCGCATATGAAGTACACGCACATACACATGGACATGGCCTTTATTCACATTCCTCTGCCAGAATATAGCATTGTAGAGAACGAAAGGCTTGGTCAATGGAAAGAGCGCGTTACAGCACCCCGCTTCAACACACATTTCAAGGACGCCTTGGTGGAACAAGGCATCAAAGTCGTTTCCTGCGGCCATGATCACGCGAACGATTACTGCATGCTCTCGAAGAATCAGCAGAGCGACCCGGAGCTATGGATGTGCTACGCTGGCGGGAGTGGCTTTGGAGGATACGGTGGATACGACGGCTACCACCGACGAATCCGCGTGTTCGAAGTGGATACCAACCAAGCGCGAATATCTACGTGGAAGCGGCTGGAATACGGCGATATTGCTTCTCGGCTCGACGAACAGATCATTGTGGATGCAGGGAGGTTGCTGCCGCTGCAAAGTCAGTAGCTGGATGTGTTACTGTCCCTGATACTGGTGTTCAGGTTCCGGGGGGTCTTCCACGGCTGCTGGGGTTGGGAATATTTATACCACATAGCGAGGCGTTATGGTACTTTTGGGTTGGTTGCGCCTTGCTTGGGATTGTTATCAGCCGTTTTTGAATTATTTTGGGCTGCAGTATATCGTCGAAAAGTCATGAGCGCTGACTTGCCCCAGGAGGAGCAATGGGGTGCCCACACTCCCAAGTCTCGTGGTGCAGGTAGCTTGTCGTTGCTAGTGTCATTAGGCTTATGCCCTCTCACGATCTATCTTACATATCTTAAATGTCTAACTATCGTAATGTGCGGCAGCGGTGCCGCCCATCACCAAGCAATGCGCATGGCGATATCTTGAACCTTTCTCACGAAGTCACGGCCGACACCGAAGCCACACTCGCAGCTGTTGCAGCATTCCCCGAAATCGCGGTTTTGGTACTCAAGAACATCTCGAAATCATTCATCGCCGTCGTGACCGCCGCAATATGAAACGTATCCCCGAGCGTCCCGTCCAAGCCCGCATTGAAGAAGCCAAATTTGAGCCCCTTCTTCATGCTCATGGTGTTGTTCAGCGCGCTCGCAGCCACAATCTCCTCCCCCCCTCCATCTTTCCGCAGCCACACCAGCTTCCAGCCGCGCTTGTACGACCCGAGCGCCTGCACCTCCTCGCTCTTTGAACTGCGCCACTCAAAATAATGTGGAGCCTTGTTGGGAAGCGCGATGCAGAAGCAATGCTTGGAAGAGTGGTTTTCGATGGTGATCTCCAGAGGCTCGAAGACCTCGCCGCCCTCGTGGGGGAAGATGGTGAGCACGGAGGTGCTGCCCAGGCCTTTCATTTTGAGGGTGGAAAGCGGCGGCGCCTTTTTGTCGTCGCCTTGGACGAGCGCCATGGGTTTTCGAAGGCCGGTTTGGACGACGGTGAAGAGCTTATCATCCTGGTGGGGGCCTAGGGTGAAGGTGCTGAAGTGGGTGTAGACATTGAATTGGGAGGGGAAGCGTAGATGTTGGGGCTGTAGCGAGAATTGTTGTTGCGGTGCGGCTTTTGATTCGCTGCAAAGGTAATTTGGTAGTGGTTGATTTTGGACGTATGCGGGCGGGGCCGGCTCTGCGGCATCGGCGTTGTGAAGGGGTGTGGTCTTCTCCGGGACTCCCATTCTGAGGCTTCCGAAGTCAATGTCGGGAGACAGAGGTGTGGTGTTGATTTATGTCTCCCTTGTGCTTCTGGGTATAGCTAGGATCGGTTGTAGTGTTGAAGTATCTCAAATGCTATTGATCGGTCATTAGTGCAGTATGCAGAGTGATGACAGGAGAAAGGCATGTCAGTATATATCCTTTCACTTGGCTTGGCAGGTTGGGGGTTGTGTTGCGAGGCGGAGCACATGCGCTACTAAGCCTCCCATGTTTTATCCCAATCTGGCTTGCGGAGCATTGTCGGGCTGTACACTGCCTTCCCTGTCAAAGCAACGATCTTACCTACGGTCGGATACAGTGACATACACATGCATGCGTGACTCAAGTGTTGGCGACGGAATACTGCGCAATAACCATGTGTACTGGTAGCCGTGAGCTTGGTGGTCAATCAAGACATCCAGCATTGCCGCTGTCTGGCCTCCAGCGGGCAGTAGTATTTTTGTCAGGAATGGCGTTCGTCTCATGTAAGACTAATGCAAGCGCGATGGACTGCAGGCCCGTCGGCTCGCGTAAAAGGCTCTGCACAGGATTCTGGGAGGCGTGTGGTGAGAGTGAACGAGGCCGGGCCATGGTCCATGGCGTCACAGACGGCGCGACGCGAACCCCTGCGGCTGCGCTAAGGCAGAAATCACCTAGACTGTTTACGCTGGCAACGTGGGACGGAACAGCGCCGGCGATAGCACAGGACATCTTCTTGTACACCACTTCGGCTCTGGCTTCCTCTTCCTGCAATGTATATACTAGCCTCCCTATGAAGACGTGCACTCGCACACCAACCCACCCCCGACACCATGGCAAGAGAGGGCGCGACGACGACGCGCCTGAAAAACATCGAAACCGAATTGCGCAACATGGCAACATGTACCGCCGCGACCGTCGCGGAGCTTCAAGAACTACTCAAGCTGTCTGGAGACGCGGCGCAGTCGCAAAAAGAGAACATCCGCAGCAGGAGCGCAAGAGCACCCAGCGCCCAGTCGACAGCTCGCAGACGGCCTGGGACAGCTGCTTCTGCGAGGACGGAGCCTGGCGCAGATGCAGCCGCGCTTCTGACTCCCCGCCAGCGATACGTGCTTGCCACCCAGACGGTCAACGCGACCCTCAAGTCTCTCGCCGACGCGCTCAAAACGCCCGCGACGCCACAGAGGCCTAGAACCCCCACAGCTTCGGCGAAGGTTGCACACACGTCCCAAGCCAAAAGCACCGCGACATCGCAGCGTCCGCTCAAAGAACGCTCCGTCAGCCAGATCACGAACTCGCCCACGAAGCCGACGCCGTTGCGCCGCTCCTCGTCCTACTCGACCTTCACGAGCCCCGACTCGGGCTTGGTTGCGACTGCCGAGTGCGCCAGACTTGCATTCGCATACCTGAATACATCAGAAGGGATCCAGTTTGTGGGCAAGGACTCCCCTGAGCTGGCTCTGGAAAATGGACGGCTGTCGCTAATTGGAAAGCTGGTGACTCATGGCTTGGATAGCCTTGCCGTCAAGGAGATGCGCTTGTTGAAGAAGAGGCTGGATGCATGTACTCGCAGAGCGAATGCCACAGAGGATGCTCGACCTGCATCTAGTCGGTCCACATCACAGCAGGCGCCATCATCGGAAAAGGAGAGCTTAGCAGCTCTCCTAGACTTCGGCGATGTCCATCACAGCAGCGCCGCCATACCCATCATCATCAACCTGCAGATTTACGTGCTGCGTGTGCTTGGAAGAACAAAACGTCCACGCCTTGTAGAAACGGCATGGAGCTATCTCAAGCTGTCCCATCCTTCCAACCCCACCAACCTCATCTTGCACACTGCAAAGGAGAAGGCCCATCAAGCTAAAGCAGCGCGCCAACTGGAATCACTCGCTCAGACTATCCTTCAACTTTGTCCAAGCATCTCTATGTCCGCCGATCAAGACCTGCCACAACCGTCTCCAGATATCGTCCTGTGCCTGCAACATCTCGCGTTCGGGATACGGCAGAGATGGTGGACTCTAGCCCAACACAAAGGCAGCAAGGATAAGGAGCTCGTTGAACCCTTTGCAAAATGTCTCGTGGCGTTTGCAAGGCGATCGACCTTGCCTGCCGTAAAGAAGTACAAGGTAGCCGAGTCCTTGTATTCGAACTTGTTGGGCACGGGAAATAGTACCGACTTTTCCCAAAGGAATGGGAAGAGTCTGGCTGGAGCTAAGAATCACACCCTCGTCTCACTCGCACGCGCTGCAGATCTTCCCGACGAAGCCCTTCGTTGGTTGGGTGATTCCTCCTCTTCTACAGCCACACAAACTGGGCCCACAGCTGCGGTTCGATCGGTCCGCATCGCCACTGTATCTCTAGAAGCTTATATAAGAGATCCCTCACGAACTGATCAGGACGCCACTATCAACGCTGCTCTCGAAAGCCTCTCTGGTAGCTTGGATGGGACTGTCCGGGATCTGGAGACGCTGCTGATAGAAGTTCATGCATTACGACGGGTGGCGACCCGTATCATTTCAACTGCGTCTTCACCAGACAAGACAGACTGGTCGGTGACACTTTGTGGGCACTGTATACGCATCATTGCAGCAAGCATTCCTTTTTCTAGACGATTCATCGGAAGCCGACCTCCTGATGATGCCTCGCCTAGACAAATAACCGCATACCAAGCGCGTTTTGCGCTGGTTACGAAGCTTGCGAGGAGCACTGTCGATTCCGTGTCAGTCTGTTGCAGACTCCCACTTTCATCAGAGGCCACCTGGGAAGAGCTCGATAAATTGATCCAGGACTGCATACGCCTCATATCACAGCTCGAGGGAGAGCCCGCAGGTAACGACGATGCGAGTCTCGCGTCTCAAGAAGGAGCAAAGTCGGTCTTTGTCAAATTCTCCAATCTGTATTCGGCTTTCCGTCGACCTCTACAAAAACTAAAATGCGATTCGTCTGCACTCAAAACTATGCAAAGGTCTACTACGCTTCTCTATTCACGGCCTCAAGCCGAAAAAGAAGCCGGACAGCTCACCTCGAAGCTAGAAAGACTAGGCGAAGAGCTACACGCGCTTGATCGTTTCCAGGAGTCCCGTCAGGCGTACACACAGTGTCTTCAGACATCACTTGATGGGGGCTTATGTCAAGAGATTGTCAAGGCGACTTCAAAGCACCATGTCGTGCATGTCTTTAGGCAAGACTCTCTAATTGGTGATCTAGGAAGAGTCCTGCGGTTGTATCATCGCTCCTTCACGAAGTTTGGTCTGGGCAAATCCCAGGAGCTCGCTTTCTTCGACGACGCCAATTGCCCTGCTGCTGCGCGCGGAGCACTCCTGGAATGGCAGCTAGAAACATACCAACAAACGCTATCTAGAAACCGCTCTTGGGATGCTGCCCTCAACTCGTCGCTACAAGCCATAACAGACCGCCTTCTGAGCATATACACACCTCACCAATTTCCGCTGAGACGAAAGAGGCTGCACCTACTACTTCTGCAGCTATCGCAGATGTATCCGAACATCATATCGAACGCCTATTTTTCGGACGATTATCAGTGGGAAAGCGACGGTGACATTTATCAAACAGAGGATGGGGGTTTGGCACGATTCGGAGATCACCTAAGGTCTATGATCCTTCTCAAAACCTTATTGCACCGAGGAGACCTGTCGCTTCAGCAGCTTCGCGACTGCTTTAGTACCTGGCAGAATATGTTGGATGCCACCAAATCGTGGGATGAGGTGGAGGATCGAGTTGATAATACTCAAAACTGGCTCGAGGCGATACAAGCAAGTGCGGACTTTCTCTGCGCTAAGGGCGAAGAATATGAAGCGCTCCCAGTTATCCACCTCCTTGTTCGGGTTCTGGAGCTTCGAAAGGGCACAGATCAATCACAACTAATCTTAGCTCTGAATACACTGGGCTTGCAATTCTTGAGACTGGGCTATTCTGGCAAAGCAGGGCTGGCTTTCGCTAAAGCTGAGTTTTTGTTGAATGCAACCGCATCGATTGAAGCAAAGCTGCGGTGGCACATAGGCTACGCTGAGTACCTCTTGGGTACTGGCAACACTTCGAAATGGTTAGATCTCGCCTTTCATATTCCATCACCTTGACTTACGCACAATAGCGAAACCATACTCTGCGCCGCCGAGACACTTGCTGGAAAGGATCCTACCTTTATCGACCTATCGAAGCCATCCGCAACCCATTCCATGCGCATGACGTTCAACAATATTGTAGCAGAAGCCTGCTATGTTTCATCTCTGCTCTGTGCAAGCAAGGGAGACTACAAGAACGCGGCGAGACACGCTCGACAGGCAGTCTTGGTCAATCGACGTATCTGGGCTGCGCGAGAGGGCCACGTCAATACTCGCAAAGCTGTCTCAGCAGAAGGACCGACAGGTGCACCTTTCGACCCTCTAAGCTCCATTCGCGATGAGAAAGGCACATCGATTACCAGTTCTATCACCCACGAGGCGCTCAAAGGACCGGAGTTCTGGTCGCTGGTGCCGTCGCTATATAGGGCCTTGATACAGCATTCAATCGTCATAGCAAGCCAAGGCATGCTCGAAGAGGCTGTCTACGTACTCCAACAAGCAGAAAAAGTGGCTTCCGCCATTGGTTCCCGCACTTTGCTTGTGGATCATGCCAGCCGTCTCGCTGATTTATGGATCCAGAGTGGCAGACCCGATAAAGCACAGCCTTTGTTCGACGGACTAGATATATCTCAGTCCTCAAAGCACTTGAGCACTGTTTCGTATCATCTGTCCCTTGCGAGAATGCATCACGTAAGCCAACGGTTCGACGAAGAGATGGCCGAATACGATACCTTGGAAAAACTACTAACGTACTTATCTTCGCCCTCATACATCAGTTCCAGGACTAGCTTTACTTCCAGTCTGGATGCTTTGACCAAAAATGTATCTGCCCTCACTCTGGAAGAGTCAACGCCAGCGTTGGTTCAAACGACACGAACTGTGAGAACTCGAACAACGACTGTCAAAAATCCTGAAAAGACAACTATTCGCAAGACTGTAACGAAGACGACCATGACCCGCACGACTCGTAAAGCTCCCCTCAAAACCGCACCCACAGCAGCTTCGAAAATTTCGACTAAGGCTGCCACTTTGCCTGATAATGGGAAACAAAGTGCTACTGAGCACTGTGCGTCACTCGATGCGATTCAAGCCGACATTTTGTACAGACGTGTTGCCACATATCTCCTGCAAGAAGACGTTGCGAAAGCCATGGACGTTTTGAGTAGAGTTGAGATGTCAGAACAAGACCGGGAAGGGTCTCATGCTTGGGTACGCTTCAAGGCAATGCTAGCACAGGCTATCACGAGCATATCCAACGATTTCACCTTCAACACTTTACCCGAATCTACGATTGCGTTCCCTTCCATCCCGCCAAAGGACCGTCGATCGTCTGAAGGAATCGCTGCCAAGCGCCCAGCTGTCAAGCCTAGCACGAAACTCGCACGTGGGAAAAAGCAAGGTGGAGATGACTTCGTTGAACTGATCGAGAACGCTCGCGAAAAGTTGGTCGAGGCACACGCTCAGCACGCTACTGCTGCCAGTAATCACGTATTCCGACAGCTCTGCGCAGCTTTGAGCCATGCTACGATTCTCCTTTCCGCTGTATCTCAAGGTCGCATACGCGGGTCTATTCACCCGCTGTATTCTGCATACATGAGTGGTAGGTATTGTTTGTCATCTACGTAAGCGTCGCTGACAAAACGTAGAAATCCCCAAGCACCATGCTTTGGCACTTGCTCAGGACTCAGTGGAGGTTGACCAAGAAGTCATGTCACGAGAAGTGTGTTTACAATGGCCGAAGCTCACTGGAAAACAGCGATTTATCGCATCACCAACCGACTTTCAACATGACTACATCGACATTATACCCGAGACATGGTGTGTTGTATCGTTAGCGCTGAGCGAAGAACAAGACGAGCTGTACATCACTCGTTACCAAAGGAACACGTCTCCCTTTGTCCTGCGACTACCGTTGGCTCGTCATTCTTCCCGCGACCTGGATGAGGAGGAGTTTACTTTCGCGGACGGCAAACGAGAGCTTGAAGAGATCATTGAGCTCAGCGACTTTACGACGCGAAATGCTAAGGATCTGACTTCAAGAGAAGGCAGAAGACAATGGTGGGAAGACCGTGAAGCACTAGATGTCAAACTCCGCGAGCTGCTGCTCAACATCGAGAAAATCTGGCTTGGTGGCTTCCGGGGCATCTTTTCGGATCACGTTCATCAACCGGGCCTCTTAGCTCGCTTCCGCAAATCCTTTGACAATATCCTGGATCGCCACTTACCTTCGAGACAGAAGAGGGGGCAGCAAAAGAGACCGAGCCTTGACCCAAGAGTACTGGAGTTGTTCATCGGCCTAGGTGACGCTTCCAATCCAGACCTCGATCTCGACGAAGCACTCACAGACCTCATTTACTTCGTTGTTGACATCCTCCAATTCAACGGCGAGCCGAACGCTTACGATGAGATTGATTTTGACTCTATGGTCATTGAAACGCACGAAGCTTTGCGCGCTTACTATGACAGTGCAACAAAGGTGTCACCGGTATCTGCCCACACCATCCTCATATTGGACAAAGATCTGCATATGCTTCCCTGGGAATCGGTCCCATGTCTCGAGAAGCTCTCAATATCTCGACTTCCTTCGCTGGCCGCGTTGCGAGAACGCTTGCTCGCAGCCAGATTGCCAACCGCGACCCAGAATGCACCCATTGGGCACTACATTTCCGCCGATGCAGGCGGTACAAGCATGCTCAATCCTTCGGGGGATTTGGGTCACACATCCAAGACAATTAAGCCTCATTTGGACAGTATGCAAGGTACCTGGACGCACATCGCCAACCGACCGCCTTTAGAGAAGGAATTCGAAGATTGCTTGAGGAACGACCAGCTGGTACTGTTCTTTGGACATGGCAGTGGAGCGCAGTACATACGTTCGAAGGCTGTGCGACGACTGTATCTGAATGGGAAAACGCAGTCAGAACCAGAGAAGAAGAAGTCCGGTTGCGCAACTACGTTCCTTTTTGGCTGCTCGAGCGTTCATCTGTCAGACAACGGGATATATGAGCCTTCTGGCATGCTCTCAAGCTACCTTACTGCGGGAGCGCCGGCAGTGTTGGGCATGCTCTGGGACGTCACGGACAAAGACTGCGATCGTCTCGCTGTCAGAGCTGGCGAGCTGTGGGGACTGTGGCCAGAGCCAGACCCCGAGGATGAAGTTGTTGTTGAGCCGCCACCTACGGTTAAGAAGAAGAAAGGAAAGAGCAGGGCCGCGCAGCTCGTTGAGGAGATGGACACCCCGAGGGTAGCGAACAAGTCGCGAAAGGGTAACGCCCGCGAGGATGCAAGCGTTAGGGTAGAAAGAAGACGAGGCATTGGTTTGGATGAAGCAGTCAGAGATGCAAGGAAAGCATGTGTGTTGAGGTATTTGAACGGGGCTGCTGCTGTTGTCTACGGGATACCCGTGTATTTGGAGTAAACGCGCGCCAGCAAGAGTATCAAGACGCAGTTGAGACGTAACATGGGCTGGTGAAAGAATACTTCGAAGAATGTGTACATGCATCGCTTCCACACGCTATTTCTCCGTAAAATATTACGTACGATGGATTTGGCGGCAGTACCGCGGGACTTCTTCGCTACGCTTTCTGCGTGTACATCTGCCGTGACTCGAGTTTTGCACGGTTGCCTGTATCGCAGGCAGGGCCCGTCTTTTGGTACGAACCTTGCACTGTTACTGCAAAAAAAACTCACTGAAATCCACCGAAAACGACAAGCAAAGAAGTCTCTGAGACGCAGATAGTCTTTGAGCGAGCATTATTTGCTGTCTAGAAGGCCGCGAAGTGGTCGTCTGCCGAGGAAAGAGGCAAGCACTCAATCTTGAGTTAGTGAACAGGTCCTAAACGTGCGACTTTAGATTTACTGATGACGCCTGACGATATGTGCTGAGCTTGTCAAAGTAGGGTAAACAGCATCGTTGAGAAGCAGCATCGGTATACTGCCTCCATTCAACTTGCACCACGATGAACACAAACAGGACCCGCGTACGTATTGAGTCAGCCTCGTGAGGACCGCTGTAAGAAGGCAGCCACTAACCTCATATACACTAGGCAGGTGCCATTTTTGGACTTGATACCAAATCAGCCCCACCGAATAAGAGCATCAATCTCTTAACGATCTTAAAGTGTCTCCACCACCATCGCTTTCAAATAACCTGCCCTACAGAGTCGGTTCTGTCGTTGCCATTCTGGTAATACGCTTGATTGAGTAGTCCTGGGGCGTGGCGCTGTTCGGTGATGCATACCAAACGTGCGACAATGACGGCGGAGCAGAACAGCGGTTTCAAGGCGTGACGCCGTTCCCTGCCACACTGCCATCTGGATCTATGCAGGTTCTTCAGTTGCCGATATAACCCTCGCGACGTGGTTGGCTAGCTCGTTTGGGGGCCGACCAGGATCCTTCAGGCAACGACGCCGTTTCCTACGCACGGGAGCCTAATCAGGGTCGCACGGGCATCTTGACGAGAAGCGCAGGGCTGTGCCGACGCACGATGGCCATCTTTGGGGGTGATCTGGAGGAGGAACGGGCGGCAGCGCAAGGCTTGTGCGTCACAGAAGGCTTGCCTGGGGGACATATAGTGGACCCTCCGTCGCCTGCTGCCATCTTGATTTCCTCATCACAAACCTTTGCCTACGATTTTGCTCTGCGTCGCGCAAGACCTTCCACCTCGAGTGAATCTGGAGGCAATAATTTGCGAATACGACCCGTTACTTGAGGACGACGTCACTTTCACCATACCTACCTGTCGCACGTACGTACATTTGCCATTGCAGTACACCCGCAAGCGCTCGACATTCGTCACACCTTTCTCACCGGTCGTGCGTCCCACAATCACATCCCACAATGACTTCGCCGATCCTCAACTTCGCGATCCGCGGATTCCAAGTCGTCTTTGCGGCCGTCGTCCTCGGACTGTCTGTCGGCATGATCAAGGGCCAAGGACCAACCCTTGATTCGCCCATCTCTCTTCGCTACACTGCGTTCGTTGGTGGTGTGACCTTCCTCACAGCGATTGTTGGTATCGCTGCAGAGTGGATCTCTGTTTTGCAAGGCATGGTTGGACTAATCATCGACGGTGTCGTGATACTTCTCAACATAGCCGGCGGTGTGGTACGTTGATCCTATGATATTCCGCCGTTTGTCACCCGAAGCAACACTAACAAACCTCATCGTTACAGCTGCTGGCCATCCAGATTGGCGTCCCGAAGTGCAGCGACACAAGCCCTGAGAACATGCTGAACCTGTACCACAACCATCTCTTCAACGGCGGCTGCTACAAGAAACTCCCAAAGGTAGAGGGCGAATACCAGTGCTGGAATGGTCCATTCAACGACCGTGAGGGCCAGTTGAACGCCAGATGCAAAGAGGCACAGGCTGACACAGTCTTCTTGTTCTTCACGGTTGTGATCCTGCTCGTGTCGGCTACGATGACGTTCTTGCGCCAGAAGAAGGGCTACTGAACGGGAAAGAGGTAGAATGATGTGAGTGGCTGGGCGATCGGTAGACGGGTAGTGGCAGGAGTTGTGTGCAATGGGTCGATGGCTATTTATTAGGGATTTGTCCGGTGCAACGTGGTGTAATCGTTCGAACAAGGAGTGGGGGGAGGAGGATTAAAACGGTGTAGTTACCCCATGGTGCTGCGTTGCGACTCGTCTTTCTTGTCATTCGTTAGATACCCACACGATATGAATGATTGATGTTTACGTCCACTACGCTCTCCGAAAACTCGAAACTCTGATTTCTGGACAGTTGCAGAGAGGTGCTCATTCAATCAACAATCCGAAACGCCGGAACAATCAACGAGTCCTTTCATTGCGTCCTGCCATGCACGCTACGCCGAACGCATTTTTTGGAGATCTTCCTCCAACTTCGCATCTCAAGCCCATTTGGGACGCAGCACTGCGCGCCACGCAAATCATCTCCGCTTTTGTCGTCCTGGGCCTCTCAACCCATCTCGTTGCAACTGTACTCCAGGGGCTAAAGCCATTCACCTTGGTCTGGGCCAATATGGTGGGCGTTGCAACGTTGATAATGAGCATACTTGGCGATGTATCAAATTGGTGTGAACGCCTCGAAGGCAAACCCATGCTCCTGTTTGATGGATGTACGGCGGCGGCAAACCACGCAAGTGAAGTTGTGAGCTGATATCGGTCAGGCGAAGCACGAATTTGCTGTGCTGATATGATGGACAGCTCCTTGCTATTGGTCTGACAGCCGCAGAATGCACTGTGCTGGGCATTACCGAACTCGGGAAGAATATTCCCAGCTTACTATTCCCCAAAGTCGACTTCCCCGATGACCAAAATTGTGAAAATCTGTATGAGCCTATGAGGATCCTAAGTAGGCGGGACAAGTCGCACATGAGATGGTTAATCGCTGCTCCCCAGTGTAAATCGGATGTTCTTGGCGGCAGCGCTTTTCTTCGTTACCTACCTTTGCGCTGGATTCGCTACGCTTGAAGAAGGGTCACTAAGTGGGGGTCTCAAGTGAGGCGAGCATAGTCTCCCAGTGTGCGTTACATGCTTACAAGCATTAGTGATGCTTGTGTCTGGGAAATTTTTTTGTACCGGAGTCCATGTGCATCACAGTGTAAGGGAATTGGCCTCTGGAATTTGTTCTCCCCGCACCGTACCATTGCGCACCCTCATTGTTTCAAGTACTTTCATTGGGGATAATGTTGCCTCATAGAGAAAATACTCGCAAGTATCTAATTGTTCAGTGAGACTCTCCAAAATACTTCAGGTATGGGACAGTTCCAAGCATCATGACTAGGAGCCAGCGTTGCATACAAACCTTCTCTTTTCAACAATGACCCTTTCCACGCACCGTTCTTAGGCTAGCGCGGGCCTTCCGTAGATGAAGTGAGCACCTCGCACTTCGCACTTTTTTATTTTTAACCCGCGTTCGAGCGTCGAAAACATTGCTTCGTTCCGCGAAGATGTTGTGTGAGGGTGATACTCTCTTCTGGGTCCTCCTGTTGTGATAACGACTCTTCCGTCTTCTCAGTCAACAACTTTTCGAGAAGTCAAAAAGAAGGTATATAGTTTCTGCACACCCAAAATCTTTTATTGCAATAGGACATGCGCACGGTGAGGTGTTCGTCCATCCTCGAGAATCATGTCCACACTGAATTTGGCGTCCGATCTGATTATACAATCGACCCTTCAGAAATGGTCATTTTCATATCACAGAGAATGTCGGTGGAATATGTTCAATGTTTTTGAGAACTCAGTCTTTTACATACACAGATATAATACATCCTACAACTTCATGCCAAGCGCCTTGTGTACCCTCAATGCTTGCCTGATGCTCAAGTCAAGCATAATCTCCTCGCTACCACCAGGAATAGCGTATGCCCTCACGTCTCTGTATAACCTCTCGACCTTTGCACCTTGGCCTCCTCGGCTGTAGCTCAGCCCGCCAAAGATTTGACTTGCTTCTCTTGCGCAGAATTCGAAGGTTGTTGTGCTCTGGGCCTTCAAACTGGCAATGGCACCACCGAGCTTCAACATGGCCTCCATCTCACCCATCTTCTCGCACTGGAAGATGAGGTTCTCTAGCCAGTTGTAGGAGGCTTCGATTTGGCGAGCCATGTGGGCGAGCTTGAGACGGATGACAGGGTGGTCGATGAGGCGCTTGCCAAAGGTCTTTCGCTTGTGCGCATATTTGATCGATTCTTCGTAGCAGACGCGGGAGAAACGGAGACATTGGATGATGATACCAATGCGCTAGAATCGAGAAGTCAGTAATAGTTCGTGTGGAATGTGGAAAAGCACGTTGTATACATGTATAAGACATGTTCGCATCGTACGGCAGTGTTGCTTACCTCGTGGTTGAAGTTGGTCATGACGACCTTGAAGCCTTGGTTTTCTTTGCCAATCAAGTTTTCGACAGGCACCTTGACGTCCTCAAATGTGATGTACGTAGTACCGCTGGACCACACTCCCTGGCAGTCCATTCGTCGCGTTGATACACCGCCAGCCTCGCGCTCGATGAGCAGCACAGAGACTCCATTCATGCCCTTGTCGCTTGTTCGCACAGCAGTGGTAAAGTAGTCGCACCAGATACCGTTTGTAATCCACTTCTTCTCGCCGTTGACAATGTAGTATTTACCGTCTTCGGAAAGTTTGGCTTCGCAGCCGAGATTCGCAACGTCGCTACCAGCATCTGCGTGAGGTCAGGAACACTCGATTCAGAATCAAACAAAATGAACATACCGGGTTCAGTAATGGCAAGACAGATGCGTTTTTCACCGCTGAGAATCTTAGGGCCAATGCGTTGAACAAGCTCCTTCTTTCCGAACTTGAACAGTGGCGGAGCACCGATGCCGTATCCACCGATGAGGTTCCAGACGAGACCACCACTGCCGCTGCGCGAGAGCTCGTCGGTTAGTAGCATCTCGTGGAATAGATCCCACTTTTCTGGGGCAACGCTCTTTACGCGCTTGTCCGTCAAATGTGTGGGGAAGTGCATGCCGAGCAGACCGGCAAGATAGCCGCGGTCGCCCATTTGCTTGTATATCTCATCTGGCACTTTTTTCGCCTCGTCCCATTCGGTCACGTTGGGTTGAATCATCTCGTCCACCCATTGTCGGACTTCATCGCGGAGCGCTGCATGGGATTCATTGAAGTAGGGCGAATGGTACTGCGCAAGTCAATTAGCGACGCTACCGTTAGCTTTTGGAATTGCGACTTACCGACTGGTACCATGAAGGATCAGCGTATGGGATGAGGTCGCCGTAGGGGTCCAACGCCTCGGCTTCTTCGGCCTCTGCAGTTGGCTGAGGAGCAACAACGCCTGAGTTCGCTTCCGGCTTGACTAGCTCCTTTTCTTGCGGCGGAGGAGTCGCTGGCGGAGTTGGAGGTGCCGCTTTGGAGTCCAATGACCCAACTTGAAGTTGTTTCTGGTACTTCTTGAGGATGCTCTCGTTATGGTACTTCCAGAACTGCTTCGATGCGTCCTTGCCTGCGACACGTTGCAGAACTTGATGTGGTTAGCCAATGAGCTGCTTGGTCCATTCTGACAGAAAACATACTCTTCTTTCCGCCGGGATGATCATCTTGGAACTTGGTCAAGTCGTACACATCCTCATCAACAATGATCCAGAGGTTGTCGACCTTGTTGTGCGACGCAACATCGGCGGTAGAGAATCGCTGCGACATGGCTGCTGTGATGCAATGAACAGAAGATTGAAGGAAAGAAAAAGAGGGTGCACTCCTACAAAAAGGTGTTACAGAGAGAACAATGCCGGATGCCGAGGATTAATAGCTTGTAACGGAGGTCGAGGGCTTTCACATGCCATCGGACCACGCTAACCAGGCGACATCTGACGGCCTGGAGCCGCAGCAAGCGTGTGGAGATGGCTTCGGTGACGCGCCCGTGATTCAGCGATCTCGTGAGCGCTTTCGAAGCTGTGTGATTGGTGCCCGGCTCACCTGCTCGTCTGAAGGAAGTAAACGCGTCCGACGTCATGCGCAGACATGCCGAGGCAGTGCTGTTTCGGGCTGGTGCACGTTCCACCAGCTTTCACAAGCCGGTGAAGCTGACAATCAGCTGCGATCAAATACGGCGAATTGTGGAGGCCCGCATCGTCCCCAGACTGAGACGCGGTCGGCTTGACGCGCAGGGCCCACTGTGAACGTGCTGGCCTTCTTCGTGTCTTCCACAGGGTCCAGGCACGTGAATCGCGAAAAGGCATGATTCCGCCATCGCCTGCATCATCGTCCAGGTACAATCGCACTTATACCAACACTTTAGTAGTCCTGCACTATGTCTAAGATTGGTTCATCATCTCCTATCAGTATCTCAGAACCGTCGGAACTGTCAAAGACCCAAGCGTTTGGCAACGGCTGCCTGCACCAGTGGCCTGCCTCTGATACGGTTCACATACTCTGGATAGCTCTACGGATCTGGAAGATCTACATTAACGTGATTCAGAAAGTTCGTGCTTTAACGCAGCAGGCTCAATTCAAGAACTGGATATGGCTATATAGCACAGTATATGACAGTATATTGGTACATGGATTGACCTGTCATCTTAACAACTATTGTACATGCGAGAAATCAAATGGATAGCGAACTGGTTGTTCATGACCTTGCAAACGGATGTTGGTGGTCATGCGCCAAGCCATTTTGTATTTTATAGCGCACACAAGGACTGAACAGGTGCTGGCGTCTTCCAAGGTTCGCACGCGCGCACAAGGCGAACGGTTCGAAAATAGGGTGTAAGCGGCTAATGCATGAGGCTGAATCCTTGAGTCTCTCAGTTTGTCGGGATTGGCGACCGTTGTACAGTTCCACCTGCGCTCATATCACAATTGTCAATTCACCGGACTGAAGCTTTGAATGAGTGCTGAGATTGTCACGAAAACAAACAGTTCGAGACATTGCTGGGAGCCCTGAGATGGAGGATATGGAGTAGGTGGAGGCTATCACAAGTGGTTCGTGTGATCAGAGACACCCTCGTGTCTCCCCAGTCGTCGAATGGAGGAATGCATAAAGCGCAGAGCCAAGCATGAGGTAAGGAGAAGTGCCCCAATGATTGAATGCAATTATCCTGGAAGTCTGTATGAAATAAAGGCCAAAGCCGTCCCTGCAATCTGACCCGATCGAGTTCGTCAAGGACGTGGTATACAGGCTCGTTGTGTCCGTATTCCGTGTGCCCTAGGCTATATTGCTGAGGAAAGCGTTTCTTCTGAAGTGTGAAACCTAAAACCCAGCGTTTCTCGCGCATACAAGCAAGCAGTCCTGCCTGATCTTCAAGAGGCAGCTGCCGGCTTCGTCCACTTCGCCTTTCGTGCTTCTGCACGCTCTCGGTCTGCGGCGCTCATCCAGGTGGAACCACTGTCATTGCGTTTGTCATCTCTCCTGTTCTCTCGGTTGTCCCGTCTCCTGTCACCATCATGGTTGCCTCCGCGGTTTCCACCAGCGCGTGGACCGCCGCCACGGCGTTTGTTCCTGCCGGCATCGTCGTTGTCCTCGCGCCCTCGCTTTCGCTCTCGCTCTTTGCGCTCCGGAAGAGCCTCGTCAAGGCCCTTAAGTGCTCCCGATTCGCCGAACTTCTTTGCGCGCTCCAACTTCTTGAGGGTTTCGTCGTCCTCGACCTTCAAGCCGAACTTGGCAGCGCGCTTCTTGCGCTTCTCGATTTCGGCATCGAGGTCGGTCGCCGCAATACCAGCCGCATAGCTTGGAGCGGGTTCCTTGTTCTCTTCCTGCGTTGCTCCGGTAGCGGCCTCCGTCGCCTCACCGGCCGGCTTCACCGAAAGATCGTCCGTTTTGGAGGGGTCGATATCAGCCTGCTGATTGGGCACCGCCTGCGGGTTCGGCGGCTGGCCAGTGCCACCTGCTTTGGCGACGGTCTCTGCCTGGGTCAGGGTGGTAACGGCGACCTCCTCAGATGTCGTCTTCTTGTCTGGCTTCTCTTCCTGTTTCGCAGCCTCATCACCGTCGTCCCAGTCAATCTCGTCCTCGGGATGCGCGTTTGACGGTGCAGGCTCAGATATCTTCTTCTCGTCGTCCTTGGTGAGACGGTCCACCATTTCGGCTTTCTTGCCCGTGGTCGGCAGGCCGCGCTCCCTGAGCATCGCCTGGAGCTCGTCGTTCTTCATTTTGGCGTATTGGGACATGTTGGGCGCTCTTCAACGTCTTACAATGTGAGTGGTTGCGGTGAGACGCGACGGCAGGGGAGACGCGTCGCGAAAGGGGTGCGAGCAGCGGGCGGCGCGCGGTCAGCTCAGTGGGAAAAGAGTTTCGCGCAACAGACAGCAATGCAAAGCTGGGCGACCGGAGATGCGAATGGAGTCCTGACGGGGTTTGGGTCCGGGAGTTGGTGTCGTTGAGAATCCACACGTCGACAAAGACCACAAGAGGAGCATTGACAAACGAAGGACACGCCAAGCCACTAGCCACAATGCACCGCCTCATCGGTCCCGAAGGAACGCGGACGCGACAGTTACGCACCATCATTTTCCACCGGCATGTCTCGAGAAGTAATACGCCGAGCTCGAAAAATATCCGAACCTAAACTCTTGCAGATGTGCCAACAAGGCGTATATTGTACCTACCGCTGGCGCTCTTTGGAATCGTATGAACCACGTGGTAGTCCACGCGGATTCGGACGAGGCGAAGTCTAGTGTTGGCTGTTAACAATGGACTCCGCAGCCGAGGAACGCCTTCGACAGGTTTTGAAGCACAGCTTCTGCCTCATCATGCGGTTTACAGCTTCATGACCCGATTGTCGACGACTCTGTATCTATGAATAGTCACTCCCGAAGCACTCAAGCGCTTGTGGCATTCACACCAATATCGCAAGTTTCGACACTACAGGGTTTTCAGTGACCCAAGTCCAAGTCACCCCGTATTGTGCTATCGAAGAATCACCTAACAGAAACATCCATGTCGCGACAGCATTTGACCGACCTGCAGATCATCACGAGATCGTATCTCGCTCAGAAATCGTTGACCGACCAAATCCCAGGCGGTGACAGCATACCTCCTACAGTCACATTAGGCGCCGGGGCTATCATTGTCAGTGTATGCAGGATCCGTTCTGGTCTGCACGCAGGGACTGTGCCGTACACCGTTGGTGAAGAAACCCCACTTGTCCAGTCCAAGCGGCGTTCACCCTGATACAGTCCCAGTTAGTTCCAACAAGGGCACTTGAGCTTTACGTGCGTTCGGCCATCTGATTCGCAGTGACGAGGAGTGGTACGCTTGGGGAGGTCCCGTTTGCCGTCCCCGTTCCACCCGCGACTAACGGGATCGCAAAGGTAGGGCATGCCTGTCAAATACTTCAACGTCAACATCGACGGCATATGCGGCAGGTCGCACTAGAACTCTCAACAGAAAGCGACATGAGGCATCTGGACTCAATCTAGAGCTGCCCACTATGTAACTACCAAAACTCAAAGTGCTGACGACAGATCCTTGTCTTAATGTCCTGGCTCCGCGGTGTATGTTTTTGCGAAGCAACAGGGCAACATAAGCGCATCGGGGCGCGTCACGCGATCGAAACCCATCAGGTGGACAGTGTAATGTCAAGAGCCAAGCTAAACGTACCCGAGAGAACGAGCTGTCCAGATGGGTCCGTGATCTTGCAACGATTAAGCCGTGGTCCGGTTTTGTTCACGTTACAGCAGGTATGTCACCAACAATGAGCAAGAGTCCCTCTCTTGTAGACTCGGTTGTTCACCGTTCACCCATGTCGCAATGCCGAATGTCTCACAGGGACGCAAACGCTTGTTGGTGATCGTGGAAGCAAGAAATCGCTGTTTCCCCTGCATAGAGCCGCAGCGAGTGTTGGCCCTTCGAAGTGGCATCTTGCTCTGCCATTGGTCAACGGCCACTGCAAAGTTGACCTCCTGTGGTATAGTCTCATCACATGACCAAAAGCTCATGTGGCAGGGTTTATGTGAATCACATCAGTGACTAACCAATGAGCGTGCCGATGAAGCATCCGACAGAAAGTGGCTTGGGGCCAACCTGGATGCCGGATCTGACTGTTGGGGCGGACCCTCCGCAAAGGCCATCATGATCTTGTAAAAGTAAGAGACACTGAGCACCATCACATAGAGTAAAAAATGCTTCTTGGTCTGGCGTCACGTCACATCTATCACCAGAATTATTCGCCTTCGATGCGCTGGCAGGCGGCAGTGCTTGAGTGGCGACGTGGAGGCACCAGCCTCACTTTGTGGAGCTAATGCCCAAGCGCATGCACCTAGCCACCCTTCAGCTTGCGCGGTCTCTCCGGAACTCGCAACCTACGAAGGATCCTCCATATTCATCGGCCCGTAGTGACCGACAGTCACGAGAATAGCAGCGAGTTGAATCAGATCCTCCAGTTTCGGGCGCGCATGGCGGGAAACGCGCATCAAGACCTGATGACTCCTAGGCGTGTGCGCATCATTCGTTATTGAGCCCATGTTGGTTGGGAGGCCTACGCGGCCTGTACTGAGATCCATCAGTCCAACTCCTCATATTGCCGATTGAGGAGAGCTGCATATGACATTCGAAGGTTGTATTGGCTCCGGCTTGACGTTCTACGTATCCTTGAATTGGATCCCTCTCCTACCATCCATACAACACGATCTGAGTTCCAGCCAGTGATGTTCTGTTGAGAGTCGGCTGGTGGACGCTGTAAAGTAGGCTTTCTCGTGCTTTGGCTGAGCAGGACAGTGGCTTTACTGAAGTATCTCTTCCAAAAGCCAGCACATACTGCGACTCGTCAATTATCATACCTCAGCTGCGATTGAGTCGTCTGGTCTCCACCAACGAGGAAAAGTGGACTCTCAAGATGGCTATTGCTTTTGATCGTCGGCAGTCGCATGATATTGTGGGAAAACCCGATGGCTAGTGAGAGTACTGACACCCAATCGCTGGCACTCGACTCTCGTCTAGTCACGCCTCCAGCATCCCGTCTGTGCGCTACTCCTACAGGGATTAGTTACGAATCGTCGCCCTCCTCTACAGTTCAGGCGCCTCACTGGTGGATGGCCTCTTTCGCTGAGACCTCTCTACCCGCCCTCTAAGCGCAAGCGCTCTGCTAGACGGCAATGCCCCGGACCCGCGAGCCTTTCGTCCCTGGCCAGGAGAGCGCCGCTTCTCGTTCCTGAGGGTCGTGTTGGGCCGCACGCCATATATCAGACCTAAACCCCGCTTGAACTTGTCAGACAGTAGAGTCAGCAAGTCCGGACGCGCCCATCCAACGACCAAATTATCCCCTAGGTGTCCTTTTGATCGTTGAGCTAGGAGTCCCTTGGAGCTCCCGGTCTGCCTTTTCGCTTAGAACGGAATCACTCGGACGATACCCACAGCGGCGACTCACCCGTGGCCGACGAAGGACCGTGGAGACCAACACGGGCGCGTGAGCTACAGCTCCCAAGTTATATCCTCCCTCGCTGGCCCGTCCTTGAGCGTCTGCTCGCCTCGCAACGGTTTTGCTATCCTTGTTATTCGGTTGCAAGCACCGCCACACTATTGCCAGGATCGGACTAACCGAACGCCACGACTCACTCGGAACCGCCGTAGGGTGGCGTAGTTGGAGCAAGAGTGACCAGTCCTCACCGAGTTTTTGCTGGACATTTGGGAATTGCGTAGTAAATTGTTAGCCGTCTTAAATGGCGCGGCTCCCGCCCGATGTACCTGAAGTCTAGTCAGATTCGCCACCCCCAGGCTTCCAGTACTCTGGGTAATCCGAAAGCTACACACAGCACACACCAAATAAACGTCCGGAAGCACCCTGAGCTGAACGTTGCTGACGACACCAAGAGCGGACTCGACTAGCATACCCCAACATCGACCTTTTTGGCGCCCGAAGTCGCCTTCTTGTTGACCATACCGATGTCTCTATGAGCTGCTCAGCACATACAAGCTTTTGGTATACAGGGCCTGGTCTATCGTTGCGCACAGTCTTTACCCGTGTCGCACCGAATTGCCCAACATGGCTACCTATAAATCACATTCCAATCTTCCAAGGAAGATGGAGGAACAACCGCCGTACCCCCGCCGTGCACCTACTGGTAGATTGCCACAACGATCTGTCACGCCCACTACAACTATTTCCCAGGTACCTGCGCCCGTACCATCAAAGCTCCAGAAGAGGAGGCCTTCGAGAGATGAGGTACTCCTCACTAGAGGGGCTCCTGGTCAAAGAGTGCCGACGCCTAAGGCAGCGGTAATGTTGGGGTCACGCCAAGCTGGCGCTTCTTCCACTGTACCTATAATCCATCCCGCCCCACGCCAGATGGCTCCTAAGTCTGCTTTACAGAGCTCTTCCCGCCTACCAAAACCTGAAATGCCTACGAATACACGCACGCCATCCCTAGTATCAGGATCCTCCGCCTCGACCGTCGATAGTCCACAATCAAATCTCTTGAGGCGCAAACAGACAAACATTGGAGTCGGAGGTTCGCGAGAAGACGGAAGTTCGGTGTCTTTCCAAGAAAAGTCCATCATGCCCTCAGGCATTCCTGGAGGCTACAAAGATCCTTTCTCCGAGACGGTGCTCGGCATATCGATACCATCAACTTCTGCAGTTCTTGCCCACTCAGCCGCAGAGTTGGAGCTACAGCATCGTTCTCCTTACGAATATGATTTGGGTCCCACAGAGATTCTACCGCCACCCGCTCCTCATTATACTCTTTCCACCACTCCTTCCACTCGATATTCCGAATCACCTGGACCATTTAGTGTCTCGTCAACTCCGACATCCATGTCCTCGTATTCTCCAGGAGTCGTGATGTCGACGAAGACGAATACACGTACGCGACAAGTAAGCCCATTACAGGGCAAACCTCCGGTCGTAAGATACAGAACTCCGGAAGAGCGTGCACTCCCATCACTACCAGAGCCAGCGGCAGTCTCAACTGCTGCTTCTTCAGCGCGTATGAACTCTGAGTCAAGCAACGAGAGGTCACAGATTGAGCGACTCCCAACTCGACCTTCTGATCCTACTTCCAGGACGACACATACGCGCCTCCCAACATCACACCGGCAAGCGGACGCAATGAAGGGCGACGTGAGCAAAGGACTTCGACGCCCATCTCAAACCATGGAGCAGAAACCCCGAGTACAGGCACCTCCCGAACTGGCGCATTTGGCCGATCAGCCGTCATCAACTGCAGCTCCCCGAAGACCCTCACGGCCAAGCAGGGATGGCACCCCCGAAATAACTGGATTCCGTGGGCCTTCACCAATCATTCAAAGTAATATGAACAGCTTCCCGTTCTCGCATCAACGAACTACGTCTACCGGCTCGACTTCAAGCGTAGGGATGAACAGCAAGACCCGATTCGGGATTATGTCGCCAAAGCAATCGTCTCGCAACCCGTCCCCGAACCCGAGCCTTACTTCAAGCTTTGCCCCAACCTCACGTGTTCCTACTCGAGGACCTACACCGGACTTACAGCCAGACAAGAAGCGGTCGTCGACGCTGCCTACTCCTGCTCCCGCCCCCAGCCCAAGTAAAACATCGCGGTTCGGGTTCTTCTCCAGACGGGCCAAAACGGAACCAACCGCCCCTGCTGTCAAATCAGAGAAGAAGCTTCATCGACGGGGTCCGGCTGCTGGTACAGGCCACGAAGGATATGGCCGGTATGCTGTTGGGGCAAGAAGTGCGAGTGGGGCTAGCGGGTCAAGTATCGGAAAGTCACTAAGCGCTGCAACTACTTCCGAGAGCTTCGACAAGACCCCTTCTACCCGTAAGAGCAGTGTCACGAGCACTACCAGCACAGAAATGGACGACTTCTTCCTCGAGCGGCTCAATCCTGTAGTAATCCGCGGAAATGGAAGCAACAGCGAACTGACAATGAGCCCGGAGCCGCTACAGAGCACGAGCAGCCTTGACGTCTCGAGCCCTCGACTTTCGCAGTTGAGCAAGACCACGAAGGGGCCCTCGGGTACCGACTCGGAAAAAGCACGTCCTGCATTGTTGCCCTCAGCAATGTCTGACTCAGTCCAAGGAATGTCGCCAGTAAAACGAATGCCTATCGGCCCACGACGTCCATCAGAGAGCGAAGATGAATTGAAGAAGTCGCTCATTCCAGCTATCGCCGCTAAGCGCGCGTCACGTTCTTCGAAATTCGTCGATACAACAACGTCTGCGAAACAGAGCTTTAGCAAAGCACGGAAGGGTTCGCTCACTGGCGCTACCTCAGATGGGAAGGAAGGTGGTTGGCTCAAATCTTCAAAGAAAGAGAAAACTGAACAAGAGGCGTCGAAGCCACCAAGAAAGTGGAACTTTTTCCAACGTGCCCACGGTGCTTCTCGTGTACCTACTCCGGCTGTGGAAGCACCAACCTCTTCTGCGGCTCGTATACCAGTTTCGCGGTCCGTTGCTCACTACGCCATAGTAGACTCTCCATCTGGACTGGATGCGAACGACATTGAGATGATTATGAAAGAGGCTGACAGCGCACCCGAAGAACCGCCAGCGCCAATTCAGCAGGATGAGCCTCCAGAGTTTAACGTCCAACCTAAGGCTACGGAACGTCTGCCATCGATGCTGCTACCTCCCAAGCCCATCTTGCCTGATATTTTTACGGCACCTGCCCGACCAGCTTCGCCTAAGGTCTTTTTGCGACCTGTGCCTGAGCCTCAACCCAAACTTACCCTGGATACAAGTGTTACTGAACAGGCTCATCGTGTGCCACCCTCGGTAGGCGACCTGACTCCGGTCACAGACCTTTCTGCTCCATCCTCTCCAGGCAGTCCGCTTTCCCCAGGGCAACCTTCAGACCTTGTTGTGTCGCCAAATACCCTCCCTGCACCGGTCTTTCTGCCGTCACCGCCAGCAACACTCTCCCCTCCGGGGCCACCGCCTTCCAATCCTCCTCCAAGGCCCAGCCGCCTAGCCCAAGTAGGGCGCATACCTCAAGTAGTTTCAACACGCCATAAAGCACATCGCCCCCATTCGCGGTCCTTCTCTCGGCCCTTTGCTATGACTCAACCGGGCCCAAAGGCGTCTTCGTGGACTTCATTTGACTCAATAGGTCCTATGACGGTGACAGCTGGCCCAGCAGAGCCGTACCCTATCCTTCATGGGCTTAACGCGCTCACCCACGGCACAGCTATCGCTACTGTGAGCCCGAGTGCGGTGGAGTCCATGCGCCAAGGGGAGTTCTTCGTTTTCCCATCCAGGAAGGGTTCTGAGGTGTCGTACTCTAGCAGCTCGGGCACCTGGAGCTTCCCTGCAACCGCTGGAACTGCAATTGTTCCCATTCTCGGGGCACCACAATCCGAGGACGAGGTCTGGAACGAATACAATGACCTTATTGACGAGGTTTTGTCTCCCACGGATTTGCAAAATGCAGACGGCGGCGAATCTGAAGAGAAGAGGTCCGCTCTGGAACCTCTGCCGCTGAAGCTCAAGCACTCCAGAGCGTCATCGCATTCGGCAGCTTCCACAACACGCGTCTCGAATCCCTCACTGCATCTGCGCCGCTCACGCCTACTTGCGGTCTTGCACTCCCAGTCTCCTACATCTTCAATCTCATTGTCCGAGTTCCTCCAGGAGTACGGAGATAGGAACATTAGTGTCGTGGATCCGATAAGTGGGCGTCTTAGCTTTCCATCCACTGCACACATGTCCGTTGGCTCGGGACCACGGGATCGAGTGAGCTCAAACCGATCCAGTCTTCCAGCGTCTCTGAACTTGAGCTCTCGCCAGTCTAAGGCCACCCTTGCCTCCAAATCGGACAGGGATCGCAACAGTGCAAGTTCCAATAAGTACAGGGACACCCGACTCATGGAGATGGCAGAAACACGAGCAGATGGGCTGTCAGCAATGGCCAACCTTCGCTTCGGTGCTTTGATGACCAGCAAGTGGCTTTCCTTCGGCCGTGTCATATTCAGCCCTGCACATTTCGAGCTGAAAGATCCCGAACATGACCGTATCCTTGTTATTGACGGCCTTGGCAAGGACTGGTCGTACTACTGTGCTCTTACGTATCCGGAAGCAACAGTCTACAACCTCGGGCCTGGTCAACCGTCCATAACTACCACGACGACTGGCAATGCGCCTGAACCATGGTCGACACTGAGCAATCACCGCCACTTCAATCAAAACACTCTCGGCGACCCTTTTCCTTTCCCGAGAGGTTTCTTCGCCTGCGTTGTCCTCCGATTCCCGTCAGCCGTTCCCACGTCTGTCCACCGCACTGTGGTGTCGGAGTGCAAGCGGGTCCTAAGGCCGGGTGGTTTTCTGGAGCTTAGCGTCCTTGACCTCGATCTCGTGAACATGGGCAATCGCGCCCGACGTGCCGTGCGTGGCCTGAAAGTAAAGATGCAGGTCGCGGACGAGGACGTCTCCCTTCGCAATATCAGCGACGAGATTATGGGTCTCGTCGGAAAGAAGGGTTTCACTGAGTGCAACCGATGCTTCGTCGGTGTCCCCGTCGCAGGTACACTGCCTAGTCCAGACCAGACCGACGCCGCTTCATCCAAGAAAAGGAAAGGAAGCACCGCCAGCTCCATCAACAAGCCAACTGGAGCCGCTACCAAGGCCACCAAGAAGCCTAAGCCCGAGGTCTCTTTCTCAGACCTGCTCAACACGCGCGCTTCCTCCGAGTCTACAGACAACACTATCACCGATATGGTGGCGCGCGTGGGCCGTTGGTGGTACTCACGCTGCTACGAGTCCCTTGTCCTCCCCGAAGCTGGCGAGCCCGACGCCGCAAACTCAGGCGACCTCCTCCGGAGCAGCATCTGGCGCGACGAGAGCCTCATCAATGAGTGCGAGAAGCGCGGCACCAGCTTCAGGCTGCTCATTGGGTATGCGCAGAAGCCCATCGTCGGCGTACGCCGCACTGTGAGCGTCTAAATATCTTCTTTATCGAGCTGTGCTCCTGTAGGTCCAGGAGGCCGGTTCTTTCCAGTATACGTTTTCACTAATGGGTCATCTTTCTTTTGCGGCGTTCTTTTTGGTTATTTTTTTTTCCTGCGTTCAAGCGGTTTCTATACCCTCTTCTGATTTCTCGCTCAATGCATAGCAACGGTGGACTCGACTGCACAATAACAGTACTTTATACTGTATCATACAGATTGGCGCGAGCCAACTACAGGTGGGACGGCGATACTTGGTCGTCGCATCTCGGTGGGAGCGGAGTTGGAACATGCTGGTAATGGTCAACAAAGTGCGCATAATGTGGCGGTATACCCTTGACGATAGCATGTAGATACGAATCATGACATGAGATTGAGAACATTTACGCGCATGGTCAAATCACTTCCTCGTGGTATATTCTACACGCATCGCAACGATCAAAGTCCCGTGCGCGCATTGCCTTCCTTCCCTTGTCCTAATCTTCGCAAAACACGATCATCTTCTACAGATACCACCACTCTCATTCGCTTCGCCGCCCACCCTGTGCCCCTAACTCCCACCAACAACCATCCAGGTCCCCGCTACAATTTCCCCCGCCCCCACCCTCCTCACAAACCCCTCAACATCAAACCTCACCTTCCCCCACAACCCTATTTCCCCCTTCCCCCACCCCATCTTCCTCCTCACCTCCTCTCCGCTCATCTTCTCAGGCTGCTCCCACACCAAAAACACGTAGCGATGGGGCGCACTGAACCCGGGCGGCGCAGGCGCCACCCACGACGCCAGCGGCTTTTCTAGTGTACCTTCTCCACCCGCCGCGACGCTGGACGGCGTCAGCTGCACCCATGTGTCGGTCGCGGTGTCTGTTTTGAAGATGGGCGAGGAAGAGGAGGGGGCCGCGGCGAAGGGCGAGGCGGTGGCGGCGACGAGGTCGGTGTGAAGGCAGTGCAGGACGGGAGAGGCGAGGGGAAGGGCGGGCGAGGGTGCGTCGAGGTCGAGGGCGAGCGCGATGTATTTTGCACCGGGAAGGTGGGTGCGGAGGCAGGATTGGGTGACGGAGAAGGTGGGTGCGCGGGCGGTGTTGGACTTGGAGGCTTTGGTGGCCGGGGCGGGGATTTGGGTGCCCGAGGGGAAGGTGATGAGTAGGGAGGGCGCGGTATTGTCTTTGTTTTGGTCGAGGAACTTCTTGATCGTGGGTGTGGGGGACGGCATGGCGAAGGACCGTTTGTCTGAATCGCAGAGATAGGTGCCTTTGCTGTGGTTTTTATGCTCGATGACGGCGGTGCTTAGTTCAGATCGAGGAGTCCTGCATCTTGCACGAGATTGACAGATTGCTCCAGCATGTTGCGGCTTGTTTATAGTGCTCCTCCTACTGGACGGGCATGGTCGGTCTCGTGCTCCGTTGAATGGTTAACTCCGTACGCGGCACGTAGCTAAGCTTATCTCAGTCAACGATACGATTTACCTTCCGTTAGCTAGCTCGTGTGCAAGGGTACCAAAGCAAGTTGCCAATGAACGCCAGTGCAAGCATAAGGTCATTCAGTGTCGGTTGCGTTCAGCAATTTGAGTACGAGCGAGAGCGCGTCATACAAGGAGAGCTGTGGGGATGTTTGAAACAATGCACTCAGCAAAAGCAATGAATACAGGATTTGTGAACAAGACTCTATTAATGTCCGTCCGCTTCAAGTATGCTCCAGAACCCTGTGGCTACGCACTTGCTCGTTCTCGCCGCATGCTGCAAACCTCTGACCAACCTTGATGCTGCTGTAGAGGATCGCATCGGATGCTCGTGTCCCTGTCACATTCGCTGCCAGAGCCTCCTGCGGATCGCGTGAGCTGCTCCGCCGGACCCTTGCCCACTGAGTTTGGGTCTCTTCTTGCTGCTGTGGCATGGACGTTGAACGCGATCTCGAATGCGAACCCGACTACACGGCTTTAGTCAGCATTGGCCACCGCTATCTAAACTTCCCGCGCTCTTGATGGTGAAGTGAATCTATGGATATCGTGAAAGAAACTGGTACAAGGGAAAGAGATGCAATGCTTCATAAAAAGTCATGGAAAAGAGTTGGGCTGGGAATGAGGGTGAACTCATGCCTTCTCCTTTTCATGATGGTGCGAGTGATGCTTGTGCTTCTTCTTGTCCTTGTCTGCCTTGGTTTCCTTCTTCGCCGCGGCTTCGGCCATGAGCTGTTCAAAGGCCATGAAGTCGCCTTCTTCTTCGGGATCTCGCTCGGCCTGGGATTGATCAGTATTGGTTCAATACACATGGTGCGCTGACATAGTCTTACCTTGGCAAACATCTCGCCGATGATGACGAGGGCATGTGCTCGCTCGACGCGCTTCTCCAGCTTAACTTTCTTATCATTAAGCACCTGGTCGCACACATCGCGCAGCACGCTCTGGATCTCGAACTTGCTCCCTCGCCACGCAGCAGCCAGAATCTTGCCTGTAACTTTCTTCTCGTACTCGGCCTTTTTCTCGTCTGTCCAGTCTTCACCGCCCTTCTCTTCCAGCTTGGCCATTTCCTCCATGGTGAGCTGAGCGTCAATGGCCGCCGACATGGTGTTCCATGTCTCCTTGACGAGCGTGCCCTTGTCCTTGACACGAGAGAAAAAGCCAGAGATGCCGAGGAACTTCTGCGACTTGATGAAAGACGTAGCCTTGGAAAGATAAGTAGCACCCACGGCGTGGAGGATCTCCAGACCGAATGACTCCATCTTGAGGTTCTCAATCTCGAGCTGAGTCTTCTCCTTGAAGGCCGCGGTGACGTCAGCGCCCTTGTCCGTCTCCGTCCATATGGAAATGCGGTCGACGAGTTTCTTGGCCAGCGTCTGGACACGCTCATCCCGGATGCGCTTGCGCTCGAGCTCGTACGCTGCCAACTCTTCACGCTGTTCCTTGGTGAGACCACCCTTCTTCTTCTGCTTCTCTCTCAGTTCCTTCTCGGCGTCTGTGACGCCCGCCGCCTCCAGTCGTGCGTCCTCTTCCGACTTGTCCATTATAGCAGCTCGGATCGGTATTCCCCGGCCGGGCTGGGGCGTGCTAGTGCCGGACGTTGGGGGTGCTTGCGGCGTGGACCCAGCAGCGGCAGCCGCGGCGGGCTCAGCGGGTGTCTCTACGGAGGCCGGCGGAGGAGCAGCGTGTGCTGCGGGAGCAGCACCTGCCCCAGGAGCGGTCGCGGGGTCGGCAGCCTTGGCCTGTGCAGTGCTCGCGGGTTCGGTCGTCTTGTCAGCCGTCGAGGCAGCAGCAGCAGACTCGTCGGCGGTGGAGGCAGCAGCCTCAGCCTCGGCAGCCTCCTGCTCTTCCATCTCGCGCATGGAGATCTCCATGGTCTTGGTCAGGTCCTTCATGAGCGAGATCTCGCCGATCCAGTCCATGAAGGCCTCGCCGCCAAAGATCATGGTGAAGAACTCGGCGGGGTCCTCGAAGCCGCTGCTCGGTATCGCGCCCTCCTTGCCATACTGGTCGTAGTTCTTGCGCAGCGTCTCGTCGCTGAGGACCTGGTAAGCCTCGCCGATGGCCTGGAACTTCTCGTGAGCCGTCTCGTCGCCGGGGTTCTTGTCGGGGTGCAGCTTGATGGCCAGCTTGCGGTAGGCCTTCTTGATTTCGAGCTCGGTTGCCGTGGGCGGCACCTGCAGTGCGTCGTAGTATGCCGTTTCTTTGACCATTGCGGCGGTATGCTAGAAAAAAGTGTATAAAGGGTGAAAGGGCGGTGGGCGCAGGTGGGGTTGTTGCGGGCGTGGACGCGAGGCGCTTCTCTTTTTTGCACCGCCACGGGCCACATGTGCAGCCAGCCACCGCACTTTGCCTCGACGTCATTGCCCACATGCGTCGCCAAGCTGCCGCCGGATCCACGGGCGGAAGCAGCGGGCCAAAGCACCCTCGCACGACACAAGGTCGATGGCCGTGCCTCGAGTGAACATGCAGCATATGGTCACTGTGAGGGTGGGGATGCAAAGCGTTTGTGCTTTGCCAATGCAAACAAATCAAGCTCACGGTCACTATGGAATCACCGCAGCCATGGCTTCTATCGTAGTCATATTTGCCTAAGACACTGTCGTCTCGCCAGCACAACCCACCCCCCTGATCTTAGGGTATACTCGGGGTGCCCGTAAATCATGCTAAAACCCAATGTCACACCCATCGCCGCCCATGCTACGTAGACGCCATGCTAGAACCAACCAGCCAACATGTACCGGCACCGACTTTTTGTCTGAACCCGTGCAAAGGAAATCATGTAGACGGCATAACCAAAGAAACACTCCCGGGCCACGCTGCTGTCGAGGAACCGACTACCGCACTCGGCGTGGTATCCAGCAGCTTCCAAACCAAGAGCCATTCCACACCCGTTTCGAGCGCTTTTAGACAACAAACTTGGCCTTCGCACGGGTGCTACCGGCGTGGGCAGCATCCGTGTGTCCAGAGAACTCAACCGGGTCGTTCTCCTTGAGCTGCAAAGCCTGCTTGAACCGCTTGCCGATTTTGCTGAGCGTCTCCTTACCCTGCTCGAAGGAGCGGCCCTTGTTCTGATCATTGGGGAGAGCCTTGCCGACTGTCCGCGTCCAGAGACCAATACGGTAGAATCCACGGCGAACGTTGACAACGACACCCATCACCTCGTTGTCGTCCTCGTCCTCTAGGTTCTCGCCGATGGCAGCGAGCATAACGTGCAGCCACAGGGCATCGATGTTGACGGCCTTCTTGTCCTTGAACTGAAAGGCCCACTTGCCGCCGTGCTTGTTCTGGGCGTCTTCCCACTCAGGGCGCACGCCCTGCTTGAAGAGGTGGTAGTCTGACTTCAATGCGAGGTCTGAAGTGGGCGTGATGTTGTTCTGTGGATCCGTTAGCTTACGTTGCATCAATGTCAAGGGTGCTCGTACGTAGATTCCCCAGAATTCCTCGACCGAATCGAAAGAAATGACCTCCTTCAGCAGCTCATTCCAGTTGTCGCCCTAGGCACGTTAGCGAGGCCGCGAGCATGGTCGCCACACACGCATACCTTTCCGCTCGGCGGCTTGGTGAACCACAGGGTCCATGTGTTCATGAGCGGGTGCTTGACATTGAAGTTCTCGGGGTCGTGGAAAACGGTCCTGATGTCGCCGTCGGACGTGGCAGCAGTGGAGCCCGGCTCCTTGGACTCGCTGGAGGTCTCATCGGACGGAGAGATGGGGATGGTATCGAGGGGAACCTGCTGGTTCGGGTTGGGCGCGGTCGCGACGTCGGCCATTGTGACGGATGGATATGTGGAGCGGGTTGTGGAGAAGAGTGTGCCGACAGCGAGTGGCAGCGGATAGGAAAGGTTGCGGTCGGGCGTGGGTGGTGGAGAGTCGAGCGAGGCGGGGCTTCTGGGATCGCACCGGGCGAATTAGTAAGAGAGCAGTCGCGGAGCGCTGGTCGTCTGTTTGCGGCGCCGGTAAAAGGGAAGCGGGGAGTCGGCGGGCGGGTGGGTGCGTTTGTCTTTCAGCCTGCGTGCTTGCTGCGCGCTCACGAAGAAAATGCAGGTGCTGCGGTTGCCGCAACGTCTTGGCGCGGCGCTAACACGGCCATGCGATCCAAACCGTGGTGAAACCCCTCGCACATCAGAACTCGCGGACTCACGAGGCAACCTTCACACATTCAGGTGAGAGATGCACATGGTTCAAGTGAGATGGGAGAAAGGTATTGATTCAACTATCCCTGACGTCCAAGAGGACATGTTCACGCCACCACTCCGAACCTAGCCCACTGAGAGAGCCAGGCTGGGAGCAGCCTCGTCGCCGAGCAAGGCGCGTCTTGATATAAGCACTTCTAAAGCGGCACAACTACAGCCATGGGAAAGGCAGAATTGCAATTTGACATCCGTGCTATAGCATCACGAGGAATAAAGCAAAGGGAAGTGCGGTGCAGAGGCACCAGTGAGCTAAACATTAGTATTTGCTTACAGGTCTCATGCCTGTCGGGAAGAAAGGACTCGCCGAGTATTATAAGTACATATAGACATGATAAACGTTCGAGCCGTCGCCACATGCGATTATAGTTCGCTGTGGTCCGTTGACGGCTTCGTATCCAAGGGTGCGCTGGCATTGATCGAACCACCCGAGCCAAAAAGTTGTCCTAGTTGTTCTTTGGCTTGGCTCAAGGCAATGTCGAAACGTGCGCCCGCAAACCAGGCAACGACCAACTGGTGTTGATGTTAACGACGATGCGAGCAGCTTCTGCAGGGTGACTTACCATGATCCCAGAGATGAATAGAATGGTACCGATGACGGCCGATACCATGTAGATGGTCTCCCATTTGGTCTCTTCTGCCTCCTTCTTAAGCCTTGCGGCCTCCTCCGCATTGACTGGGTTCTTCTTCTCGTCGACAGGCGGCTTCTGTGACGGGAAGATGCTCTCGATGAACTGCTCGGTCTACAGCGATGGTCAGTCTTCTACCCTTGTATTCCGCCTATCCTGCTGGGCTGCTTACCTTGCCGCATGCGATGCTAATCTGGAGGAAGTTCGGGTCATGAGGATTGTTCTTCTTGTGGATCTTACGTGTGTATCGCTTGAACACATCACACACTAGTTGAAGGTTTTGTGTTGACTCCAGCATCAGCTGGCAAGCATCACCCTTCGTGATCTTGACATTCCGCTTGAAGATGTCATAGTTCTGGAAGCAGGCATCGAGAGTGGCGATAGCCATGGACTGGGGAATTGCGCAGAAGTTGAAAACACTCTGCTCCTTGATACCAGCGAGGTAGAAGAGGCAGTCGTCGGCGCGCCTCAGTGCCGTCAAGATCATTTCTGAGCTGCAGGCAAGGGCCTTGGCCTTGTTCTCCGGTTTGAAGAGGTCCTCGAAGTTGTCCACATGCTTGGACCAGATTTCCTTCGGCCAGAAGCGTCGCTTGTCGTCGAAGTCTTCCTTGATATCACGGATGATATTGACCTGCTGCAAGAACTGGCCCATGGACTCGTGAAGCTCAGTCCGCTTTAGGAGAGCGGGGTTTGCCTTGCCCTCCTCGACGAACAACCGCGTGCAACCTTCGCCGACAAGTCCCGCCACGTAATGGCAGTATTTCTCGTAGTCCTTGACAGTGTTGACACCATTGTCGTTGATGCCGAACTCGGCGTTCTTTACATAGTCAGCCATGCCGTTGCCCATGCGCTTCGTGATGTCCTTGATGATGGCCTGGTGCGCGGGCTTGAGCTTCTTGTATTCCTCAATCACTACGTTGAATTCGACACATAGCTGTCTATCCTTCTCGTTGGGACCGTTCTCCGTGAACGTCCAGCCGTCTTGCTCGATGATGTTGTGGAAATCGCGCAGTATGGGCTCCTTCTTCGCCAGCGGTATCGTCATGTCATCCTCAATAGTGTCCAGGCCCCGGAGGACTAGGTAAAAAATGGCAACGGAGACGAGGATGTCGGGATGCAACTCAAGGATGACTGCGACAAAGCTGCGACTGGTCTGTGCAAGAAAGTGGAAGCATCGCTTCAGCGACGCACTCTCCTTGGACTCATCGCGCTCGTGCACGGGGTTGTGCCAGACCTTCCTGCAGCGGGATAAGTATGCTGGAGAGCAGCTGGGCCTCGAGACGGCCAGGATTGTGCGAGGCTTACCATTGAATGATTGAACGCAGTTGCGTAGGGTGGACGGCGTAGTAAGCGATGTCCTTTACGCCCGGCATGGTTGCGGGTGACGGGTGAAGGGTGGGCGAAATTGACGAGGCAAGGGACGCGGGTGATTGCAGGTGGAGCGGGGGTGTCGCTTAGCTAAAAGGACACCAGCGGATGCGTGATAGAAACGGATGTCGTGAAAGGTGCCGGGTCAAGGCGGGGTATCAATTGAAGGGGGAAGGGGGAGTGAAGGTCCCTCGAGGAGCGTGTCGTGCGGTTGACAAAAAGCTCCCAACTCTCCACATTTGCGCACGGCCCCCTGACATCAAATTGCGCCGAGCCCCCTCGTCCGGGTTCGGCACCCGCACTGTGCACGCACGTCGCCTGCACGCATCCACTACAGTTGGGAGCTACGAGACTACCATTCATCAAGGCGGATACCGCGTGCATGATTCAAAACTTCTGTTCCTTCTGTTCCCTCTGGTCCCTCACACCATCCCGATTACGGTAGCGGGTAGCCACCGGCCTACCCTTCTGTGGAGAATGTCAATTACAGTAGCCAGATGCATCACGTACATCAGCTCCAACTTACGAACAACCCTCTTCTTCGCCCTGTGTCCTTCCCTCTCTTCCGCACCATCCGCTTTCATTGCCGTATCCTCGGGATCTCGGGTTCGTTTCCGCCCATGGTGCGGTACCACCTGATCTTCGAACGTCATTGCCCTCTTGTTCCGACCAAGTCGTTGTGAGACCTTCGGCTCCAAGCCTCCAAGTTTGTTTAGCAGTCCTTTTGGTGTCAACTTTGGTAGCGCCTTGATTTCTTTCTGGTCTTCTGAGCTATGTGAGGCCGCCGTATCGAACCCATTTTTTTCTGTCGTCTCAGCAGTAAGACGAGATGATTTGGGATTACGACAACGCTTGGAATCGGCTTTGAAGTCTATGTCCGCGTTCATCTTCGCGATGTAACTGGGGACCAAGGACCTGAAGTCCTTGTTATGTTGCATCATGTTGGTAAACATTACATCCGCGATGCTGTCCTCTTTCCTCTTGCTTCGTTGCATATGGGAGATACTGTTCTTCCAATCGCGGAGGGTATCAAAGGTGAAGACCATGTTGATTCTGAACGAGTGAGATGAGGAAGCTGCGATCTAGCAAGGGCGGTCCGAGTAACTGTTCGGCGGAAAGGACTCAGCGATACTTTTACGGAGATTCACACATGTCAACATACTTGCTCCAACTGTGTTGGGATTGCTGATCAATGCTACAAATCATGCTCGTCCAACCTCTCTTTTCATGCAATGCTCGACTCGCTGGACAGTAGACTGGATTCACATGTGTTGGGAACTCCGTTGTCGCGTTATTAATAATCCTCATAACGATTGGCATAGCTGCTGCGGTCAAACTCGCTGGCACCGTACTTGGTAAATTCGCTGCCCTGAATGCTGCTTCCGTCGTCCTTCCAGTCGATTCCGCTCAGTCTACCGCTCATTCTATGAGCACCGTACTCAGCAGCAGCGAAGCCCGTATGATCTGGTTCAGCCTCTGATACTGTCGACTGAATAGCTTCCTGTACGGGAACTTGGGGCAGAGCTGCACCAGCACGGCTGAGACCCAGGGTCTCGTCACTGTTACGCTCCCACGTATCATTTGATCTATGAGAGGCAGCGTCGTCAGTAGCCGGGGGATTGCGTGCGGTCTCATCGTGCGCGGGTGATCTTGATGGCGCAGGCGGAGAAGCTATAGCGTCCGGTATCTGGGCGGGTTCCAGATTGCTGGGACAATCATGCTTCCGAGTCTGATCAGCAGTCCATGCTTGATCTCGTATATTGAGAGGTATCGTCCTCGCGGCGAATGGCCTCGAAATGGTAGACCGCAAAGCTGCCGCTCGGGTTTCTTCACGTGCCGCTATCAAGCTTTCTGGCGTCCCTGGTCGTCTCTCGCGCATTTCGGACCTTGATTTGATACGGGCAATAGTTCCAGCATTGATTGCCGTCGCTTCAAGATCCTCGTACTCTTCCTCGGAATAATCCTCTTCGACGTAATACTTGTCTTCACGCTGCCACAACTTCCAGACGTAGGTGGCAGTAACGCATATGATAAGGCAACTGATAACCAAAGGGGTCCACGCAAGGGGTTGGACATGGAGCGAGCGGGAAAATACAAGCTCAAGCTGTGGCGCCAGAGTGACGGTCGGTAAGTGATCGGACTCTGCAACGAGCGTCCAAGAAGGAGGGGCTTGAAAATCCATGCTACTGACTTATAGTCTGCTGAGCGGGTGATTTCTGTACTAACAGATTTTTGTGGTAGAAAGATAGAGCGAAGCTCGTTACAAGCATTAACCTTATACATTTACCGACATCGTTTGAGGTTCGAAAGGCTTTCTAGCCGTTAGTTTGAATCTAATGGCCGAATTCAATGGCTAGCGTTTGCATCTGCTTCACATATCACGCATCAACCTTCTCCTGGCTTCAGTCGCACCCAGCCCTTTCTTTGCATCCTGCTCAGCATCGGAACCGGACCGACCTTCCCTATTCCTCAGATCAGCCATTGATATTGGCGGGGGCTCGCGCTTCGCTCTAGAGCTCCGTAATTTATCCATTTCGAGCTCAAGCGTCGCAGATATTCTTTGCAGAAGCCACTCAGCCTCCGACTTATTGCCCATCAGGGGGCTCCTGACACCGAGCCAACTCCATGCGATCCGTTCGCCTTCATCCGCGCTTCCGAGGTCGGGGCGGCTATGCGGTTTCCGCTCATGTTGCACCCTTGGCTTACGATGTGCGGATGTATCATTCTCATCTTGCCCGATCAGCCGGAGGTAGTAATTCCACTCTTGGTATGTGTACTGCTTTGGTGGCGAGGCGTCCGCATCTCGCATCAATTTTCGCAATTCTTTCGCAAGAACATAGTGGTAGAAATGAATGTCGCGGTCGAGCTTGTTGCCATGTTCGCCAGCCTCTTCTGCTTCAGCAAGCTCGTCCTCTTCGATGTGCTCTGCAAGGCGATCCCGCAGTGTCTGCTCAGCTGCAGACCGTCCTGTGAGTTTCCTTTCAGTTGAGTCGTCATCGCGAAAGATTTTTCCAACCTTCAGTTGTTGAATACCGGACTTCAGTGTTCCGCTGACGCCGTGCTCACCCGGGAGAACAGTAAACGATCCCACCCAGATAGTCAGGTCTCGGAAGGCTTTGATCACAGTGTCGCCCATGTTGCTGATCAAGATGGTGAGCGTTGGAACTGCGAGTAGACTCCAGAATACGAAGAAGGCTTTGCCGGAGTTACTCGTAGGGGAATAGTCGCCGTATCCAATGGTCAGTAGAGATGTGTACGAAAAGTACATCGAGACGAAGTAGCTCCAACCTTGTGGCTTTTCAGAGTGCATGAAAACCAACGCCCCGAGGAACCATAGGAGAAGGGCGGCCGTAGAGGACATGGCAAGCGCGGTGTATCGTCTTTTCCGTTCGCTCTTCGTTTGGATGCGTCGCATTACGTTGAATTCCTGTTCTCGTCTTTGAGCCTCGCTCAAGCCCTTTTCCGAGAATTCGATCTTCTCCCAAAGACCTAGCTTGATCGTCCTTTTTTCCTCGTCCATTGAAGCAAGTACCCTCCGCCTTTTCATCTCCAAAAAACGAGCTGACATCTTTTCTTTACCTCTTTCGAGCACAAGAGAGCGAATCGAGCCGATGACTAGACCAAGCGACACCACTCCTCCGATTGCATAGAAGAAGAGTAATGTCCGACCTGTATGGGTTTTGGGAACAAATTCTCCTCCAACTCCCACAGTCAACAGCGTAAAATCAGCCCAATAGACAGCATCGAGAAAGTTCCAACCTTCGACCTTGGAGAAAACGAGTGCACCGACAAGCAAGTAGAACACGAAGCTAATAGTCTGTAGCATCAAGGTGCGTTGACTAGCCGTGAGCCGAAATTCTTTCGGATAGTGGCCGCGATAGGCGCCATAAACAGTAAGAACCATGAGCGAGGCAATGATGAAGTAAAGTCCAGCGGCAATGATCCCGTAGTAAAACGCTTGGCTCAACGCGTGCTCTGTGGCCGGTTGTATGCGAAAGACGGATGCCGAAGCCACTGCGACGAGAGCGATCAACATGAACGAGGCCAGAAACCATCCGATAATGGTGATAGGCTGCGCGATTGCAAAGGATAATCGCCTGGTCATGTTAAGAAGTAAGGCCATGTTGGCGACGAGAGCGAGGACAAGAGATATTGAGTTGACGGCTACCAGCCATTTGGGATCTTCGACCTTTGTCCCGTGGCCCTCGTCAACCCCAGGGGGAAGGTAAACTCTCCATTTTTCGACCAGCGCGCATATGGAAAACGCATTTGCGATAGGTCCAAAAGTTCCCGCGATCTAAAAGTTAGGAGTATATGTTAGCAATAGGTACATTGTATCGAAAAACAGGAGATTGTAGGGAGGCAGAGGATTAAGCTGGGTTAGAGAATTAGCAATATCTGGAAAATTCCAGATATTGCTCACGCCTAGCATCCAGAATCTGTACTTCGAGCTTACGCACAAGAGGACATGCTGTCGATGCGAACCACCATCGACTGCACATATCAGCATGGGCCTCGCTGTTGTCGCAGGCAACTTCAGTACCTTGGATCTAGAAAGACCTGCTCCTCAGCCTCCGCCTTCTCCTTGTCGGCCTCGTAAACATTCTCTTCGACATCCTCTGCCGCCTGCTGCGCTGGCGCGTCAAGACCAGGGTCGTTCATTGGCTGATGGTTGGGACTGCGAAGGAGTTCGATGGAAGATCACAAAGATAGGGACAGCGAATATTGCTTCCTGCGGATTCATCTGCGACGGATTCATTTGCGCACGGAACACAACAATCAAGGCATTCAAAAGTCTAGATGCGGTACACGCGCGTGGGACAAACTCGCGAGCGGAATGACGTGGGTGTAAGTCCCTGGCCGCACTTGGTTGGTGGAAAGAGCGATGCAGGGGTTCTCAATGCAGCAAGCGTCCTGCCCACGGCTCCACGAGACCTGGGGTTGACAACCTCCGTCATTTGGCGGACTTCCTTGGCAGAGCTTAGGAGCAACCTCCCGATGAATTGATGTAGTCGTGGAAGGCTCCCTGCCGGGTTTCAGTGTATGAAGACGCCGTGCTTGGGCTGTTGATCTCTTAGCTACTCTTTATAGGACTGCGCGTTCTCTGCTATATAATACAAAGCACATGTTAATTTCTATGGTAAATTCTCAAAGTGCACTGTACATATTGGACTTGATAATGTGGACACTGGAAACCAATGATGTATGGACGCAAATACTGCCCGACTCGTAGCAAAAATACCCGTAGCATAATCCGTTAGCCTAATTCGCAACTCAGTTTTGATACCATAGGTAACTTTGCACGGGAGTAGGCCTATAAAGCTCACTTGTACGGGCGGGTGTACATTTACTAATGCGATCCTCGCGCCATCTGCATCGTTCGAAAGAAGTCATATCGTGTACTCTACATAACCATCGCGTGAATCCTTCAAGGGTACTCGACGAGGTCAAAAACGACACATCGATCCCAGTGGTCAGGTGCGCAGGCTGCTGCATTGTGGCCAGGAAGACGATTCAACAGGTTAGACGTCGGCTGGCTGCGCGTCTGACTTGCCTGTTCAGATAGTCTGCAACGGAAACGACTTTTGATACGGTTTCAAATGGACTTGAACATACTGATGTTGTAAATACCTTTTCGGAGTACAGAACGTCCGTTATGAGCTTGTATGGTCACTTGTGGTAGCGCTACTTACTTTTATTGAAGTTCCATATGACGATTGCTGCTTACCGCAACTGCGTAGAAAGCGGTCCGTTAAAGTCGAACCAAATAATATCTTAAACTGTCTAAATTCGGACTCGACCGCTGCTGGCGATAGAACGATATGTCCAGGAGACGAGTGGAAGATGCATTGCAGTTTCCTTCTCTAGCGCGAGCAACAAGGCTACGTAATCGTAGGTCTTCTCTTCTTGGCCTCACGTCGTCTGTGTTCTTCAGAATGCTTCCTTCAAGCCCGTATAATTCGCGGTCCTACCAGTAATGCTATTTCCTCCTGTCTTTCGAGATCGCGGATATAGTTGGTCTCACAGTCATATGTATGTATGTACACCGCCCTGATCGGGCGATCTTGCACGGCATAGAGAGAATGGAAGATAAGATGTGTTGCAGCTGTGACCGGCACACGTTATCAAAGAGTTAGCTGAGGCATGTTTCGACAGCCTTAGATCTTCTGTCCCCTGTGATTTCTTAGCACATATCTTCACACGAGTACGCCGTGTGCTGGTCCCGTGTGGCAACGGATTGACCGGGTGAATATAAAGCAACTGCATGGTACACGAAAGATCAGGCGGTCGTCCATCATAATCCGTGCGCTTTCACTAGGCTCTCTGTTATGTTAAGCGTAACGATCCTCTCGGCTCCTCCGACTCTCCAGAACCCGTGCTTCATATGATATCTCGTCTCAATTGTTGGCCACGCTCTCCAACGGGGTGGACAACGTTGGTCTGCTCGGGACTTCGCAATACCCCTCTTATTGGGCACAAGATGTCACAGTTTCCATATGGACAAGATGAGCCACTAGTATTGTTCTCCTAGCTTATGGGCACGTGTTCGCAGCCTACAAGCTGCCAAAGCCAGGCGTATCCACACCGATGGTGCTTAGCAAATACGTCCACCAGACCAATGCTTCTACCTTGTTCTATCTCTCACAGTATCCCATCACGATCGCTCGCAGGATCTGATTTACTCGTCCTACTGCTGATCGTTCTCTGCCGTGTCCTCCTGCATCCGCCCTCCGCTGCCGCTCTCTGTCCAGTCTCTCGCACAGCTTGTCCAGCGATGCGTGTCTGCATCGCGACCCTACGCCTTCTGCCTCTTGGGCTTTGGTCAGCCCGGCTCTTTGTATCAGCTAGATGCTTGCTTGTCGCCATGGTAGCTCTGCTGCATCAACGCACGCCGCCTTCACTGCCGCACGTCCTCTCTCACTCGCCGGCAAAGAGCCAAAGAAATCTCTAGTGACCCGCTCCTTCCTTCTCCGTCTTCGCAACAGGAAATCACGACACAGCCGTGCGGAGCAATCACGCTAAGCGAGTCGCCCTTTCTATAGAAACAACCACGCCTTCCACGACGTCAATCTCTGTCTCTTGCTCACCCACACACACCACCTTGCGCACTTTTCAAGGCCAGCTATCTGCTCTATTGCAAACGCCTACACTCTCACTAAGCCCACCTCACAACAAAACATCATTATGTCCGACGTTGGTGTAAGTTTTGGAGTCGCTCTCTCCCGTTCGAGCCGTGCTAACAGCCGTACGTAGACCAACGGCGTCGCGGTCGTCGACGACGCCGCCGCCGCAGCGTCCAAGGCCGATCAAAAGGCCGCGGATCTGCAACGCGCCACTGAGGCCGGCTGGCAGAAGCCTATTCCTTTCGAGTATGAGGCTGCCCCAAGCGAGGCGGGCGCAGCCGACGAGCGCGAGGTGAAGTGGCTGTCGGACGCCGTGGTCTACGAGTGGGTCGACGAATATGGAGAAATTGGCCCTCGCGATGAGCAGCTCGAGAAGCAGCTCTACGAGGATCCAGACATCCAGCGCCGTGGTGGGGACGCTGGTATGGCGGCTTACCAGGCTTTCGAGGTCCTGGTTCAAGGGATGGACAAGATCCATCCTTTCCGCGATGTAAGTGTACTGTACCAGCTTCCTCGCTCCCTGCTTACCTTCATCATAGTTCGACGATGCGGGCCTGCACCCTGCCGTCCTAGAGAATGTGAAGCGTTGCAAATACGACTTTCCAACCCCTATCCAGGCCTACTGCATCCCCGCCGTCCTGACTGGCCATGATGTTATTGGCATCGCTCAGACTGGTCAGTAACAAGCTTTGTTTCCTCCTTTTATTCACGCTCACACAGTCAGGTTCAGGAAAGACTGCAGCATTCCTCCTGCCCATCCTCTCAAAGCTTATGGGCAAGGCTCGTATGCTGGCAGCACCGCGTGCAGTTGAAGGAGGCCCCCGCGTTCGCGCAGAGCCGCTTGTCCTCGTCGTATGTCCGACCCGTGAGCTGGCCTGCCAGATCTTCGACGAGGCGCGGCGCCTGTGCTACCGTACGATGCTGCGCCCTTGTGTCGCATACGGTGGGGCTCCTACGAAGAACCAACGTGAGCAGCTTGAGAAGGGTTGCGATATCCTTGTCGCTACTCCCGGTCGCCTCATGGATTTCATGAAGAATCCTAACCTACTGTCTCTGGCTCGCCTCAAGTGAGTCGGCTATGACCGGACAAATTATCTTGTTCAATAATAACAATTTTAGGTTCACTGTCATCGACGAAGCCGACGAGCTACTGTCCAGTGGCTGGGAGGAGACCATCGACAGCCTTTTCGGTGCTGGCTCCGACACCAACGTCGACGCTGACCACACCTACCTTATGTTCTCGGCCACCTTCTCGAAAGAGGCTCGCAAGCTATGCCGGGAGTACATGGAGGAGGAGTACGTCCGCATCAAGGTCGGCCGTATCGGCAGCACGCACAGCAACATCAAGCAGTCAATTGTCTTTGTAAGTACACCCCGATACTGTTCATGGCGCGCATGTATCTGACAAGAGCGTTGTAGGTGGAGGACAGCCAGAAGAATCAGGCGCTCTTCGACCTGATCTTCTCAGATGGCCCTCAACGCACTCTAATCTTCGTCAATTCGAAGGCAAAGTGCGACATGGTTGATGACTTCCTCTACAACAAGGGTCTGCCATCAACGTCCATCCATTCCGATCGCACCCAGCGAGAGCGAGAAGACGCTTTGTAAGTTGACTGGTCGTCTAATCATTACTCATTGCCAACAACCACCAGGCGCTCCTTCCGCACTGGTAAATGCCCGCTCATGGTCGCTACTGGTGTCTCTGCTCGTAAGTAAAACTCGGTTAACCTGTATTGACTCACACTGACTTTATGTGCGCCTAGGTGGCCTGGATGTTGCTAACGTGAAGCATGTCATCAACTACGACCTGCCTTCTATGGTGCACGACGGCATTACTGAGTATGTTCACCGCATCGGCCGCACGGCGCGCATCGGCAACGAAGGCAAGGCGACTTCATTCTACAACGACCGCAACGAAGACCTGGCTCCGAAGCTTGTTAAGCTTTTACTTGAGGCAAAGCAGGAGGTGCCTGACTTCTTAGATATGCATAAGCCTGAGGACCCCAACAACATCGAGTGGAACGATGGCACCGATGAAGAGTCCGAGGCAGGCGACTTCGGCGGTGATGCCGGTGCTGACGCTGCGTTCGACCTGAATGCTGGCTTTGGCGGTGGCGACGTTGGCGATTTTGGTGGAGGCGACGATGAGTTCAAGGCTGATGGACAAAACAGCAAGGTTGATGCGTGGTAAGGGTTCGCTTTAGAGTGTCCCTTCCCGCATATTCCCTTCCTATGATCGCTAAGGTCGTAAGGTAGAAAAACTGCAGTTGTGATGGCCGTGATATTAGTTCGGAATCTGCTGTGGACTCTGGGTAATCTGCATCTTTGATGGTGGCTTACCTGTGCATGTGGCGTGGATACTGCCACCAGCTCATCTCTAGAGATGATTATCAAGAGGTAATCGTCAATGTGAATACGATCTGATCATGTCATTCTATCTACGCTTAAACGTGTGATTATTCAAATGCTGCTATGTGATGCGCTGAAGCTTACCTATGAGCTTCCATACAAGCTGGTCAAGCCATCTACAGAGCCGCCATGTCAGTCTCGGTCAGTGTGCCCAAGTCGTGTACATGCGTCACAAAGAAGCTGTACATCATGAATGGTTGTAAGCTGAAATAGCTTTTTCGAGTTGTGGTTCTGGCAAGTGTCCGTCTCCACACGTACTCATACATTGACCCGTCTTCTCTAGGTTCAAATCTCGGTCGCTGTGGCGGCGTCACAGTCCAGTATATTACATTTAGATGATACAGCCAACATGCAGGTCTAGAAGACGAAAGTCCTTGCATACTTCCTGTCCATGTCCTCGTACTCCTCCTTTAGCATCTTGGCCCGTAGCTTGTTTAGCCGCATGACCACGCCCTCTTCCTCTCCTTCTCTATCCTCGACTTCCTCGCGCAACTTTCGTGTCGCTCCCGGCCATAGCTTCCACCACAGCTTCTTCACGACACTGGACTCCAGCGAGTCCTGCCTTTCACGTGCCTCAGCTGCGAGATAAGTCATCATCTTGCCCCACGCCTCCAGCCCGACTTCCTCGCACTGCTCGCACTTCTTGCGCAGCGTGGGGTTGCTCTGTATGCTGGGGACATCTAGCTGGGCTGTTTTGGCCGTCGACACGGCGTCGCGCACCCAGGAGAGGCCTTGCGTCCGCCCGGCCGTGGAGTCGGCGACGGCGAAGAGAATCTCTCCAATGTAGGATTTCAGGACTGCTTCCTCGCAGCGGTCTTCGGCGCGGCGCAGGAGTGCTTCGTCCCCGGTGGGCGGCAGAGCCGGGTATTCAGGCTCGTGCAGCAGACTGAGGACTGTGCCAATGAAGCTGGAGTCTTGGGGCTTAGCGAGGGGTTTCGAAGGTGCGGCGTCAGCGGCTAAGCGGGCACGCAAGAGCGAGACGAGCATGGGGAGGGCGGTTGTGGTGTGTCCCTGGGAAGCGTGGAAGGTGGCGAGACTGGTGGCGGCGAAGACGACGTTGGGTGTTATCAGTTCTTTGGGGGCTGTGGAGGAGAGGACATGGCTTTTGGGGTCAATGACGGCGGAGTGGTCGGGTATGGGGAGGCCGGACAGCGCGATGTCGAGGGCCCATTTGTACATCTCTTCGGCAGAGTCGGGGAGCTTCTTGAAGGCCAGCCAGTCTGCGTATCCGAGGGCTGCGGCCATGCGCTGGTAGGTGGTGAAGCCGTTCGAGGTGATGATCTTGAGGTAGAAGGTCTCTGGGACATCGGAGGCAGGTATGCGGTCTTCCTCGTCGGGGATGGGGAGCTGGGAGGGGAGCGTGGCCTTGGGTCGTGGGTTTGTGGGTGAGGGCACGAATTCAGGTGCCCAGACGTAGCGGCGCGATTTGGTTGTGACCCAGCCCTCGAGTCTTTCTGCGGCGGTAGCCATGCCCATGAGGACCTCGTAGTAGCCCTGCCGCCATTCCTCGCTCTTTGCCGTGAGGTCGTAGCCGGCCTTTCCGACGCCCGGCACGAGTATCCCGCCTTCTTCCTGCTCCCGAAGTCCCGCGCCATCCTTGTCTGTGTTCTCCAGCCGCTTCAACGCATGCTCCAATTCGTCGTACACCCGTGCCCAGTTGGGGAACCCTTCGTCTTCGTTGTTCTCCGGCACCTGCCACCATTTCCCCCTCCTGAATCGGAACCTCGTGATCAAGCTCCATTCATGCGGCGAGGGGAACGCGCGCTCCTGGCGTTCGCTCAAGATGCCCAGACTTGCAATGCTGAAGCACGATGTTGCGAAGAATATGAGCAAGGTCCATTTGACCGTTTCGCGTGCCGTTTCTTTGATGAACTTCTTCTGATTTGCGCTGATGGAGAAGAGGCGGGACAACTGGGCGTTGGAGAGGGATGCGCCGGAGGGGTAGAGGAAGGGCAGTTGCGGGCGCGGCAAGCTGCGGTGGGAGACGAGCAGGAGGCGGGGAGGCCTGTGCGAGAACTGGCGCGGGCATTGCGACTCTACGCTGTGTGCATTCGGCGCATTGCGCAGTGTGCGCCCGGCCAGACGTATGCGACTTGTCTGGGGCCGCATCGTGGGCTTGTGGGATGGGACGGCGGTTCGCGCTGGCGGCCGGCAGCATGAGTTCGAGCTTCGCGTTCACCGCCAAGCGCATCGCGTGCACACCGCCCGGCAGAAAAAGTGACATTTCGAGAATTTCGAGTTCGCGTTCCGCACGGCTTCTCGCGCAACCACATAGCCAGCATTCGAGCCACCCCGCCCACCATGTCCAAGTCAGAGCTCAAAGACGAGAAGAAGAAGCGCAAGAGACAGGAGGACGGAGCTGTCGACGTGGCCAAAAAGTCCAAGAAATCCAAGAAGTCTACTGATGCTGCCGCCGAGGACCCGTCAGTTGGAGACGCAAGCAAGGAGAAGAAGGAAAAGAAATCAAAGCAGGCGAAGAAGGGCGGCTCCAGCGAGGATGCGGCGCCTGCTGCCGACGGCTTCATAGCCTTCGACGACACGCCTATGCCCGACGCATTTGCCGGAGCCATGAACGGCACCATTTCTGGGGACGAGCGCAAGAAGGAGAAGAAGAAGGAAAAGAAGGAGAAAAGTTCAAAGAAGTCAAAGGACGCCGTTGAGGATGAGGCCGAGAGCGCGAGTGTGGAGGCACCGGCGGAGAAGTCCAAGTCCAAGAAGGACAGGAAGTCCAAGGACAGCAAGGCAGACGCCGATCCCGTTGAGAGCGCTGCCGCGGTCGACTCCTCGTCTGAAAAGAAGGACAAGAAATCGAAGAAGGGCAAGAAAGAAAAGAAGGCGAAGAAGAGCAAAGGAGTGGACGAGGTTGCTGAGCCCATGGATGTAGATGGCGCGGCCGAGGAGACTCCCGGCAAAAAATCCAAGAAGGACAAGAAATCGAAGAAAGAGAAGAAGTCCAAGAATGACCCTGAGGATGCCTCTGAAGAGGTAGAGTCAACGCCTGCAGCGAACGACACCGACGACCACGACGAGCAAGCAGAGGGCGAGGCGAATGGCGCAGCGGATGACGCCAGCCAAAAAGGTCCCTTCATCGTCTTTGTTGGTAAGGCATCCCTTGTCCTGTCCTTGGTCCACTTTCTTACCTCTACAGGCAACCTCCCCTTTAGCACCACAAAAGAGCAGATCGAAGAGCACTTCGCAAAGCTCAAGCCTTTCGAAGTCCGTCTTCGCACTTACAAGGATACCGGAAAATCTATGGGCTGCGCCTTCATTCAGTTTGAGCGCTTCGACCACATGCAGACCGCGCTGCTAAAGTTCCATCACTCCGTTATTGATGACCCCAAGAAGAAGGAGGGTCGCAAGATCAACGTCGAGCTAAGGTACGTGCCTGCCTTGCTCTCATATTACTTATGAGTTTATACTACAGATGCTGACAAGCGAACAGTGCCGGCGGAGGCGGCAACACTGAAGCCCGCATGGCGAAGATCAACGCCAAGAACGAGAAGTTGGCGAACGAGCGTCAGCGCAACCATGAGAAGCGCGCCGAAATAGAGGGCAAGCAGGCAGAGCGCAAGGCGAAGAAGGAATCGCAGAAGGGCAAGGACGGCAAAGACGGCGAGGCCGGTGGTGAAGGTGCAGCTGAGGAGCCAGAGAACGCCGGCATTCACCCTGCGCGACTCGCGATGTTGGCTCAGCCAGAGAGGCCGCAGAAACAGTTCAAGCCAAACATGGGTAACGTGCCCAAATGGAAAGGTGGGCCGCCCGCGAGGGGGCCTAAGAGGTACTGAGTCCGCCTAAAGATGTAGGCGCAAGATGTGAAGGCATCAAAAGGAGTTTGGATAGCCATCGGCTTGCTTACAGCAATTGATCGCATATACGAGCACCAACTCTTGGTCTTGACTAACACCCGCGGCGCTATGCGCGCTGCCTAATAACGCCTAAAGCCCTATTGGTATCGAACATGTGGAAACGCACAAGATCCCCCAGCAAATAACTTAAACCATGTCCCTAATGCCTCTCTCTGGTCTTAGCTCCAGTTCTCCTGCCCTCGACGACGGCGGCACACCGCCCGTCGCCTCCCGCGACTGTGTGACCTCAGTGGTCTTCATTATTCCACCCAGCCTCAGAACCGCGTTCTGCGTATCTAGCAACTCCACACTTCCCTCGCTGCTTTTGTCGCTTCCGCCGTCCCCCCTGACGCTTACCGGGCTGATCGCCCCGCTTCCACGCTCATCACCTCCCATAGTCTTCATTTCATACGGGTCATGTGGTTGCCTGTCGGCCTTGCTTGAGTTTAAGCTCGAGAAGCCCTTCGCCTTCGCAGAAGCCGCGTTTGTCCCACCGCCGTACCCGAGATAGCGCGGTGTGTTCCCTGTGCCGCCCGTCCTGCCCCTCGATCCGCGACCATACGTAGAGCCAAGCACTGTGCGGAAGAGCGGCTTGAGGCAGGGGAGGTTGCCAGCGATAATGCCGACGCAGGTCTCGAGGATCGTCCAGATGGTGATGTTGCGCGAGTCCCAGAGCCAGTCGCCTGTACTGCCGTAGTTTGGGAGGAATGAGATCTTGACGAGGGCGGCGGCCGTGGCGAAGATGCCGAGACCGAGAATGCAGACTATGGACGATTTTTGCCGACGGTTTAGCTGGACCTGCCAGAGCATGGGAATCTGTGATTGTATGTGTTAGTAGATTTTCGAGCTGGAGGGCGGTAGCGCTTACGGGAATGACGATAGCGAAGAGGAGATCGGTGATGATGTTGCAGGCGGTGTTGGTGTAACCAAGTGCTTGGATGGTTTGTTTCGACCAGCAAGTGCCCTTCACCGATTGATCCCACTGGACAGCGAGATTCGTACACTGGAACATGATGGTCTGATGTGGGTTAGACTTGCTGAGAACTTTAAGTGGTAGAATTTGTGTGCTTACGAAAAAGCATCCAGTGGTATAGAACGCCATGAAAGCCATGATGCCCTGGATTGTGTGTCGATAGAACGGGATGGTAGCTATGCGCAACAAGAAGAATCCAACCGATAGCTTTACAATGCAGATGGCAATCAGATATATCGGCTGTGAGATGAAGTTCAACTTGAATCCGATTTTGAAGTCCTCAGGCGATATTTGGTCGATGTGTCTACCACATCCATAATGCACTTCTGGGACGACGATTCCAGCTCCTATTATGACCTGTGGTCGTCAGCATAGTACGAAGAAGTAGTTCCAATCCAACTCACAAGTAATGTTGCAAAAGACATGCAGTAGTCCTAGGATTGTCAGTGTTTAATTCTGATGGCGGACCTTTGGGATATCTCACATCCCACCCAACATTGCGTATCATCTTCATTCTGACCCAGAGTCGCGCCGCCATAGTGATGACGGCGAAAACTGTGATGCCAAGCACAACTCCCAGCACTCGCGGCCCATCGTTCTCTTGGGGGTAGGCACCTTGCTTGGGTTGCTCTGACCCCATTTTGACTTGACCACGTTCGCTTGGGAGCGAAGATCACGGCAGTATTGGTATAAGTAGTGGTAAGATCCTCAGGGGGAACAGGTTCGCTATGGCGTACTCCAAACGAACGATGAAAATGAAAGCGCTGTTCGTGGAAGCGATTCCATTACACTACATAATAGTGGGACCATGGGGAAGCGGGTGCCTGAGTCGCAGATCACATCTTGTCTAGAAACGGAGACGAGACGAACATCAAAGGAGAATAGCACCCGCGAGACGCGGTTGCCATGCCGGAGCAAGAATATCGCTGGCACATGCATAGGAACTTTACCTGTCTCCTGGACGGTTGCCGACCGAGGATGCCGCTAAGTAGACTGTGGACTACGTCTTGAGGCGATTGGTCAAAGTATAGGCGACTGTATTTCTATACCAAGAAAGTCACACTAACACAGGTAATTACGGGGCATCAACCTGCGACGGGTATCCCTGTTTCGAGCTCGACAATCTGCAAGGAGACATGGAGCGAACCGTTCTTCATCTCAAATCGAGTGGCCACTTGCATTTTCCCAGCAACATGCTCTATTACCCCGCGCACAATTGCATTCACCGCTTGCAATGCGACATGAAGCCTCTGTCGATCGGTTCACTGAAATGCCGACGAATGCTCCCGGGTGAATACCAATGGCATGTGTAAAAGTTTAATCGGTTCAATACGAGTGACCCTTGCCTTCATGCGGCGTCTTGACCACACTTATGGAATCGCGCAAACTTTGTTCGTTCGAGTTTCGATTGGGGACGCTTGCCCCGTACGTGCGCTCGTACCACTCGTTTATATCGACTATTGCTCTGTAAGGCAGGTTCCAGAAGTCTGGTGCTTGGCAGGGTCAGTCTGTATGTGATTCCATCTAATTCGGGAAATGTCAAGGGTAAATCGATTCAGCTGTTCGTCATGCAAAGCTTACATGGTCCAGCAAGCAAGGTTCGGGTCTCTGGGAAAAGCCCCAAAAAGGCCTGTTCACCCGGCCATGTGCGCCTTTGCAGGGTGTGCTTGGTGTATATAGTCTGATTGGTTTCGCCCTCTGTAACGCGCGGATGGCGTGTTCCACGGACCGCCACTGCAAGTGCTGGCATGATCTGACGCGGAGTCGGCAAATTCGCCGGACTGTTTAGACCCAAAGACTAGCGAGCATGGTACTGACGAACACGTGCAAGCGAGCCCACTTGTTCTTCGACTTCATCAATTGAAACGCCACCTTCTGCAAAGGCGTGGCACAGCGTCCCGACACGAGGGTAACGACCAGTCAGGTTTTTCCAGTGCCATCTAAGCGGGCGGCGAATGCAGTCTCCGCGGCACAACGACAACAACGCCATGCGCACTTCCACGGTTGACTTGCACGATAAAACGAAATAGTCCCCACGAAGGAGGGCGCTCGAGCGACTGGCAATACATATATTCTCCATGTTCAACAAGGGTAGAGAACACACCAAGATTTGTTACTCTAATTAGCCGCGGCAAAACCTTATGGCCAGGACTTCATCGCGGCTACATGTGGGTGGAGAAGGCCATTGACTTGGCATGCATGGGCGTTGCATGAGCCATCAATGCAGACGTTCACAGAGCCAAAAATCCATTAACCATTCCAAGAAGCTTCGCCGAGAGTGGTTCTGTCTATAGCTCGCGGGAGGTGGAAAGGGATCTCCCGGCGACCGCTGCCATCCTGTACTGATCCACTTTGCTCTAGCCCTCGAGTCCTTGTCCATCGGTTTACCTCGACCGAAGTCTCCAGCATGCACCATGCACGGAGGAACACGCCTGGAAATGTCAGTACGGTCGCGTACCTGACACGTACAGGGTGCCTGACTGGCCCCCGCCCGGCACTTGGACTCTTGGGATCAAGCAGTCCAATAGTTTACGGAAAAGCAAGTAGTCGAGGAGGAGGTATGCAGGCCTTCATCTTCATCTTCGAGGACCCTTTAAGAGCCGGCTAAGCGACTGCATCCGTGATTTTGAGTTTCACCTCCTTCCCAAATTTAATCTATCGAGGTGCCAAAAGGGTTCAGCCACTCGTTACCCTTTTATCCCGTCGTTTGACTACAGCTCCTCTTCGTACTTGTTGATCGGAACATTTCCACCAGCTAAGATGCGTTTCACCACTTCCGTGGCTTTGTGCCTCGTGGCGGCCCTGTCAAATGCCATTCCCACTCCACAGACAGATGGCTCTGCTGCCGACTTGCCAACCCAAGCCTCCCCAGACGAGGCCCAGGCCCTTGAGCAGCTTGCACAGTTGGCAGAATTTGCTGGCCAGACGACCAATGAAACACTCGCAGCGAACAAGAAGCGGGATGGATGCTCGCTTGGGAATCTCTCGATACGACGTGAATGGTACGTAAACCGAGTTTCATCATTAAGCTTGAAGACTTGCAACACAACCTGCATCTGCATATGCACTCATTCCTATCACAATGCATGAAATCCCGTCAACGGAAGCTAAGGATGGCATAGGTCTACCCTGAGCAAGCCGCAGCGGAAGGCATACACAGATGCGGTCCTGTGTCTGCAAAAGCTACCTGCCAGGACCCCATCCTCCGTCATCCCTGGAGCTAAGTCACGTTTCGATGACTTCGTCGGCACACACATCCAACAGGCAAACTACATTCACTACTCTGGAACCTTTCTAGCGTGGCACCGCTACTTCACCTGGTCCTACGAGCAGGCCCTTCGAAACGAGTGCGGCTACAACGGTGTCCAGCCATACTGGAACTGGGCATCGTCTGGCGCTGTTGGTCTTGCGAATTCGGCTATCCTCGATGGCTCCGCTTACTCCATGTCCGGCGATGGCCAGTACGTCGAGAAGACTGGTGATATCATACTCGGAGGAGCCGAGGGCCTCCCCCCTCTAGTCCTCCCCACCGGCTCAGGCGGCGGGTGCGTGAAATCCGGACCGTTTGTCAATATGAGCGTCAACCTCGGACCAGTCGGGCTCTCTCTCCCAGGTGGCGGCTACGAAGTCAATGGCGATGGATTGAGCTATAACCCCCGCTGCCTCAAGCGTGATCTTACCGACGCTGTGGTCCGCAAGTACTCCAACGCCACCGCCATCGCCTACACTATACTCAAGCCCCAGGAAGTCTATGACTTCCAGATGACCATGCAAGGAGTTCCCGGAAGCGGCAACATTGGTATCCATGGTGGTGGACACTACGCTATGGGTGGTGACCCAGGCCGTGATGTCAACACCTCCCCTGGAGATCCTCTCTTCTACACCCACCACGCCATGATTGACCGCGTGTGGTGGATCTGGCAGCTGCTCGACAAGAAGGAGCGCACGGGTGCAAAGGGAATCTCTGGCACTGGCACCTTCTTGAACATGCCTCCGAGCGCAAACACCACGCTCGACACTGTCATCGATCTTGGATACGCTGCGGGCCCTCCCGTCACCATGCGTGACTTGATGAGCACCACGGACGGTCCGTTCTGCTACGCCTACCTATGATCGCTTCGTCACGGAGGACCAAACACATGACAACCTAGTCATTGGAAATGCACGCATATTTAGTCATAGACTTGTGAATACAGCCTTCGATATCCTGTACATATAACTTCTAATACACTTGTTGATATCATTACTCTGCTTTGAATTGTGACTTCGTACAGCAGCATTCGTTTGCGCTGACGTTGATCATCAACCGCTCCATCCAGGTCAGCATAATTGCAACATGAATCTCTTCGTTCTGAATACAAGATCTTGAAAGTGGACCTCGCCTCCGCTACGTCCCATGACACTACTCCACTCACGCAGTCCGTCGAGCAGACCCTGAAGCTTGCACCCGACCGCTCCGGTCCGCCCATCGACGTACCATAGTCATTAACCGCCGTCCCACCACCGGGTACCATCGCAACTAGACCGAGTCGTGAGTCCCAGCGCAGCTACCATGAAGGCGATCCAGTTGCTCGCTTTTCCATCCACAGCGTCATCCCTTCCCATCCCATCCATTCTCGCGCGCCTTACAAGTCACAACCTTGCAATCCAATCCTTCGGCACTTGCACCCTCGATGCAATCGAAAGCCGACCACGGCACACAATATCACGGTACCGCCCCTAGCTAAACCTCTCCTCTCCAATCGCCCTCCAAATCTCGGCAACCGACCCGACCGACCCGCCTCGGAGCCCCATCAAACCAAGGCCCTGCCGCTAGCGACTCGAGTCAAACTGAACGGGTCCTGTGTGTCAACCGGGCGCAGCCGAGCCGTACAGGTATGAGTAGCGCGACCACGCGATTCAGATGCGGGAGCTCCAGCCTCTAGAACCTCTAGCACGAACACGAGGTGCCTTCTAGCCCCGCGGGTGCCTCGCGAGAAGGTCTTTTCCTGGAATGTCTTACCTCACCGTGCCGTGCCGTACTTGCTACTGGCGGCAAACGACCGCCTTCTCGTCTGGGCTCCGCACCACCGTCGGCTGTGGAATGAGCCGCTTCCAGGACACCAGCCAAGTATCCATGCGCAGCATGTGCACGACATTCGGCAGTTTCACTCCCAATTCACCGCGGGGCTCGGCATGCTAGCTCGCATCCTTCGCGCAGACAGTCCAGTCCTGCTCGCGAGCCCCTCTCGTATGAGGGGCTGCAGCCCTTGCCGTTTGTAGAATACAGTATGTAAACGTCGTGGGTCCGCGGCGACACCATCTAGTCGAGGGAAGAGCGATGCTAACCAGCATCGCGGGCCGGGTAGTGAGCTCCATAAACTTGCCGCGGGCACCACGGACCTGGAGGTAGGCACCGCGGAACTGGCAAAGGCGTCTACGCGCCGGGATCGAAGGCGAACGGAGATCTGCACTCCGACTAGAAGGGCTGTGGAGCATTCCCCGTTGCGCGAGTCAAGCCGGTAGAGCCCGTACAACAAGGTTCGACCTACGATGGTGGCCGCTAAAACGGAACTACTTCCGAAGGCATCGCCAAAGCGGGCAAGCTTGTGTCTCTAATTCTCACAATGCGCAGGGCCCGGTGTCAACAGATGACATGATCTACTCGCCCGCGGATGGTCGAAACTGCGCAACATGAGTCGAGATGATACCGATTTCGTCAAAGATGGAGTGTTATTGAAACCAGCAGCCACACGGCCACTTCAGAAGCGCTGTCTATGCAAGGCGCGTTCGCATATACGAACCGTGACTATGAGGCAAATGAAATAGGAAATATGCAAAACGCCTCAAAAACAACAACCTTAGCTCATGGAGCCTTGGCTTCTATTTACACAGCTGGCAACTGAATCGCCATACGAAGCTCGTACAAAGCGGACCACTTTACCGCCTTTCCACGAGCAGTAAGTGCATGGCGAGATATGCTAGCACAACAAAGGAGGCACCAAAGACGGCGAGGCCAATGCAATCCTTCCATAACGCAAGAACGTTGAAGCCGAATGAGCTCAGAATGGCGGAGCCAGGTACTTCGATATCGAGCCCATACTTGTGATCGACAAGCGAGAGGTATTTGACTTCGTTGACGATGAGACCTTCAAACGCGTAGTGAAATATCGATAGCTGATAAAGGTTGTTAGCTTTGGTCTCATACGTACAGGGCGGAACGGCTACTCACTGTTTGCAACCATTTCGCCGCCGGGGGAATACTGTCCTTGTTCAGGAAGAAACCAGAGAAGAGCAGACTGAAGAGCATGACGAGCACGCCGATCAGATTCGCTACTCCGTTGTTGCGGAAGACGATACCGATGAACAAGCAGACAGCCGCAGCAGCTAGGTTGAATAACACCAAGAAGAGAACGAACTTGAGGAACTGAGGCCATGCGGGAACAAGTCCAGTCATCGGGTATACAATGATACCGAGGATGATGGGCGGAATCAAGCGTAATGGTACAATGTCGAAGAAGACCTTGGAAGCAAAGTAAGAAAGTGGAGAATAGTAGCCCTTCGCTCGTTCACGCGTGAAGAGTAGACGCTCAGGTGCAAAGACCGTGAGGACTGTAAGGGTGCTGAAGCCGAACAAGGCCAAGACGAAGAAGAAGAGACCCAGACGGTTCTGGAATCCCTTGATGTCGTCGGTCAGACCAAAGAATAGGAAACCAAGGAACACCGCGAGAACGATTGCGATGGCGTAGTGGGTCAACATGAGCATCGGGTTCCGGTAGAGGTTGCGCCATGTCCGCCTTGATAGGATGATGAACTGACCAAGCAGTCCTACTTTTCGGAAGCCTCTGACTTTACCAGCTGCCACGAAGCCGTTGGCCTGCTGGTGATCGTCGCTGACGCCGTTCGCTTGGTTGGCCGACGAAATGGCACTGGAAATATCATCGCGAAGTGCAGCGGCCACGTCTGAGGTTGCGTATGCGTGCACAAGCGTATCCAGGTTCGTTCCAGTCCCGCCATCGGCAGGAGGTGGTAACTCATCCGGATCTTCCAGGATTTGGGGAGGCGGAGCACCTTGTTGACGCGAAAGTTTTAGCCACTGACCATTACTACCCTCGCGAGGCTGATAGGGGCCACCGTCATCAGATTTGGGGGACATCGTACCGTCATGCACGCTACTCTTCTTCCTTGTGAACAGCTCACGCTCCTGTTGTTGCTTGATTGATGCTCTACGCTTGCCCTTTGGTCGAATGCTGGAGATGCTTGGGCTGCCTACGGTGTCCCGGTCCGTGTTAACACTTCGAATTGACTTGACCGCAATGGCACTGCTTGCTCTCGTGTCGAGACCCTGCCTTGAGAAGAGCGAGTTGTTATCATCGATAGGCTGAGTAACGGCACTGGCGTGCATAGTAAGATCCACCAGATAATCCGCAATGTTGAATCCAGGCGGGCAAGTGTACCCGATATTATCAAAGTAGGCCTGGCAGTTTTCGAAGGGTCCAGAGTAGACAGTCCTGCCTTTCGCGAGTAGGATTAGCTGATCGAACAGAGCGACAATATTAGAGCGGGGCTGGTGAATAGTGAATACGACGGTCCTGTTGTAGGATTTGACGAGGTTGACCAGGCACTCGACGACATTGAAGGCGTTGAAGGCATCGAGGCCACTGGTTGGCTCATCTAGAAATAGAATGCTGGGTGATGTGACAAGTTCACAGGCAATACCGACACGGCGCTTCTCTCCTCCTGAGATGCCGCGTCCGCTCTCCTCAGAGCCAATCTTCTGGTGACGAATGTGGTGGATGCCTAGTTGTCGCTCCACATCGTCTACGAGCTGCTCTTTCGATGCACGGCTCATCTCTTTAGGCAGTCGCAGTAGTGCCGAGTCCAGGATCGTCTCATGCACGGTCAAAGTAGGCAGCAAGGTGTCCTCTTGGTCCACAAAGCCAATAACACTGCGAAATTCGTCATCGCGGACCTGCTCGCCATTAAGGTAGAAATTTCCTCCGGTGGCGCCAATCTTGTTCTTGCGGGCAAGGATGTCGAGGAAGGTTGTTTTGCCGGCGCCTGAAGCTCCCATGATGGCCAGAAGTTCTCCCGGGTGCACAGCACCGGTGATACCAGTGAGGATCTGTTTGCCCTTCAACTGGTACGATACGTTTTCAAACGTCAAGGAAGCGGGCTTGTGGTCGGCCAAGAGTTTTGCGTTCTCGTCTTCTTCGTCATCGGACAAGTGAATGGGTCCCCATTTGCGCCTTTCGGCTCTGCGGGCAAGATACCAGATGACCAGGATGACTGCCACGATGAACAAGGCGCATCCTGCAATGACACCGGCAATCAGCGGGGTATTGATGGTCTTGATTGGTCGCTCGTAGCCGGGGACTTCAGTCTCGTAGAGACATTCTCCAGCGTTGCACTTGAGAAAGATGCTCTCGTCGCCGAAGACGCTAGAGATGAGATCGTTCATGGCAGGCTCCGAGAAGATGCTGCCACTCTCCTTGCTGGGCTCAACAGTCGAAATGGACTTGAACTCGGCTGGGCCTTTTATCGACTCCTTGAGAAAGTCTCCGATGTCGATGGAACCTTCTTCACCACACAGCATCCTGCCGGGAACGCATGCGCATTTGATGTTTTCGCAGTTGTACCTTGAAATGTTGCGGTCGGAAAGGGCTTCGAAATTGGCGCTGCAGGTATCGAGGGCACAGTAGAAAGATTCCTTCTGATCGACCCAGACTGCTTCTGTTAGCCCAGGTGTCGGTGGCCACGGGACGCTCATGCTTACATTGGAAGTTGCACTCGTCGGTTTCTGCGTTGCAAGAGAAGGTAGCCTGAGGCTTCTTGTCCTTGAGCTGGTCGAGGATCTTCCTGTTGGTGATGTCGCACATCTGGTAGTTCTCCTTGACCAGCTGCCCTTCCTTGAAACAGATGCCACCCTCGCCTTCAGGCATCATGGCATTGCAGGCCTGGTTCGTCTGGCAGACATTGCAGTTGATGCCTCCCCAGCCCTCGTTGCAGTCGCACGTGTCTCCGCTTCTTGGAGCTCTGTTCCTGTTGCCGTCCGGCAGCGCGCCACACAGCGGCGTGGAACAGTCCTCTCCTCCGAACCCAGGCGTGCAGTCGCACTTTCCGTTTCCTTTGACGCACTTGGCGAACTGGTGGCACTGGAAGTCGTCGAGGTTGCAGTTGAAGCATGGCGGACAGCCATCCGGCCGGTCGTCATACAGCGAGAACAGGTCGAGAGGGACTTCGGCGGCGGAATAGTTGGCGAAGGTCTTGCGCGCCGTAGCTGTTGCTGGTCCCGCAAGCGACAGCGAGACCAGGAGCGCGGCGGTCCATGGGCGTCGCATATCGCGCGCCACTCGCCCGTGGTGCGGTGGAGATGCAGCAGCCGTCGCAGAGCTTAGCTGTTGCCTTGGTGACGTCGACACAAGCAAGGGCCGCCCGGGGGAGCGCAACGTGTGCGGAAGGAGCTGGAGGGATGCGGGAGCCCCAAGCAATAGCCAAAAGAATGGCGGCAACGGGAGTGTGCCGGAGAGACGTGCAGTTGGTCTGTTATCGCATCGTGTGAGCACTGGCTTGCGGGGGCGAGGCTGGTGGTCATGGTCGCCAAGAGGGCGCGCTTGCCTCGCGCGGGCCGGGGCCGAGGGAGACGTCTCGCCTGATCGAGATGCATCGCTCCTTGGGACGTGAGCCTCGTCCACGCAGCAGGGCGTGTGGCGGAGAACAGGCCGCGCACTCAGCACCACCGGCAAGCCGCTGCCCAAGTTGCTGAGCCCTGCTGCTCGCATAAGCAGCTGTTCCAACGCATGCCAGGCATTGCCGATCCAAGTACTGCACGTGGGCGCCCAAATGCACGTCGCGCTGAGCTAGCGACCGCAACGCCCTATGTCAAAATAGCCCGCCTCTGTATCGGCTCGCCGGGTTGACTGCAAGACACCGCACAGCCATCCGACTTGCTCTTCTTCTCAAGTTGCCAGTCTGAACCGTTCACAATGGTCAAGATTGCACGCTTCTCTGTTGAGGCTGTAAGTGTTGTTGAATGTGCATGCAATTGCCCATGCCCCGTGCTCGGCACGCTGCACCCAACACCCCACGTCCCAAGAAACGCACGCTAACCTGCCGCAGTGGATGGACAAGTACGAGCACAGCTGCAAGTACAACATCGCTGAAACATGTTGCGCCTCCATCTCCATCGACCAGCTACGCGAGCTTTCCGAGGACAAGGATCGCGACGTCGTCACAACATCCACAGCCCTTACGTATGGTGCAATCCGCGGCGCAGATGCATTACGAGACAACCTTGCCCGTCTGTACTCTGCCCGCTCTGGCAAAGTCTTGCCGCGTGACAACATCCTCACCACCAATGGAGCCATCCAAGCCAACTATCTCATTGCATACGCATTGCTCGGCCCGGGAGACCATGTGATATGTCACTACCCCACATGTGCGTCCACTCGGTGATGATTCCTTCAGGATAACGTAGGCTTACTCCAGCCAGACCAATCGCTATATGAGATTCCCAAGCAACTCGGTGCTGAGGTCTCGCTTTGGAAAGCCAGCCCCGAGAACAAATGGAGCCCCTCGATTGACCATCTCAAAACTCTCATCAAGCCCAACACGAAGATGATCATCATCAACAACCCACACAACCCTACTGGTGCTGTCTTGGGGAAGTCCTTTCTCCAACAAGTCATCGACATTGCGTCAGAGCACAACATCATCATCCACAGCGACGAGGTCTACCGCCCCATATTTCATGGCATCACACCCATGGACGCTGAGTTCCCACCCTCAATCGTCTCCATGGGATACGAGCGTGTCATTGCAACAGGCTCCATGTCAAAGGCATACTCGTTGGCAGGTATCCGCATAGGCTGGATAGCATCGCGCGACCGCAGCATCATCGAAGAGATTGCTGAGGCACGACACTACACCTTGATATCTGTCAGTATGTTGGACGAGCAGGTGGCCGCCTTTGCATTAGACCCATCGACAATCCACAGCTTACTCGCTCGCAACATTGCCTTGGCCAAAACGAACGTGGAAATCATGGAAAAGTTCGTGTTGAAGAACGACGACGCATGCGACTGGGTGAAGCCAGTCGCAGGTACCACCGCGTTCGTTCGATTTCATCGAGACGGAAAGCCGGTCGACTCGGTCGATTTTTGCGAAAAGCTTCTAGAGAAGACAGGCGTGATGTTTGTTCCTGGCAGTGACTGTTTCGGGCAAGATTTCAAGGGCTATGTCCGCATTGGCTATGTCAATCATACCGAGGGCGTCAAGGAGGGTCTAGACAAGGTTACACAGTTCGTCAGGAGGAACCTGGATGACGTGAAGTTGGCAGAGTAAAAGCACATAGTGGCATGAAGTGCATCAAATCAGTACAATCCCGAATGTACCTGGTCTCGGAGTTGGAAAGTTGCCACTACAAATGGTCAGAGATGCATCGTTCGGAAGCCGCCGCGGCCGTACCGCGGCAGACCGACCGTTCCTTATCTGTGAGTGTACAAGTCCATTTCACGACCCACGCCCCAGCACACAGCAGCGGCATCATCCGAATCACGATGTCGCCGCGATCCGCTTTCATAGCCAGCCGTGGCAGATATATAAGAGTCGGTGAACCGCTGTCAAACTCCATGCCATCAAAGTTCGAACCCCAGAATCAGAGAACCACTCCGACTTAGAACCCCAATCATACATCAACTCACAACATGCCTCACGCAACCGCTTCCGACATCATTGTACGCCCTCTTCCATCCCGCCCAGGCTCCAAGTACACAATCGGCGCCGAACTCCTCAACGCCAACCTCGAATCCCTCACGCCCCACGACGAAGCCACCATCAAGCACGCCCTCTACACCCACCAAGTCATCCTCTTCAAAAACCAATCCGCCCTCACGCCCTCCGCACAATACGCCGTAACCCGCCTCTTCGACCCGGCCGCGACCTCCTACGGGCACGGCAAAACGCTCGACGCCAAGCGCTCCGTCCTGCACCCGGACCTCAAAACCATCCCGCACCAGCCGCAGGTCCAGGTCATCGGGAACGGATTTGTGGAGGAGTTTGAAGGACTAAAGGATATCAATCTGAAGCACCCACACCACAGGACGTTCCACAGGGATGTCCTCAGCGACGAACTTGACCGTGACAACACGCGGTTCTATAGGTGGCACATCGACGCCGCGCTGTACGATCTCGAGCCGCCGATGGCGACGTCGCTGCTCGCAGTAGAGGTGCCCAAGACGGAGTGCCAGACACTCCGGTACGACGACGGGACGGGGGATGAGATGCGCGTGCCGCGAGGGAGCACGGTATTCGTTAGCGGGGAGACGATGTACGATGTGCTCTCCGAGGAAGACAAAAAGTTCGCCCGCGAGACAAAAGTGCAATATGCGCCGCACCCGTATATCTGGATGAGCGGCGCGCGGTCGCGGAGCACGGGGCTGGGCATGGTGTGTGAGGGGCTGGAGCTGGATGCTGCGCAGCTCCCGCCGGTGGAGGAGGACAAGATCAAGATCCTGCCCATGTGCTGGAAAAACCCTGTTACGGGGAAATTGGCGCTGCAGATCCATCCGAGTGCGGTGCAGAAGCTTGTGCTGAAGGATGGCACTGTGGTGGATGATCTGGAGGAGGTGCGGAAGATTGTCTATAGGCTGCAGAGGCCGGGCATTGCGCCGGAGCTGGTGTTCCCTATTGACTGGGACGAGGGCGACTTTGCAATCTTCAACAACAGGGGGGTGTTGCACTCTGTGACTGGAAGCTTTTTGCCAGAGGAAGTCCGCATTTTCAGGCAGTGCAACATGGCGGCTAGCCAACCGGTAGAGGGACCAGAAGAGTGTGCGTAACCCATCTCGGAGACTACGATACCATGCCTGTTTAGTTATTTTGTTGAAGAGCGTGATATATCCTATAGATATGAATAAACTACAAATACAAACCAAGGAATTCGTAACTGTGCTTGTGTATGCCAACATCGACCGAAGTCCCTGTTCCAGGACGTGGTATCTACCTTACTTCTCCTGGAGAAACGAAGCACACTCACACGTTTGATCAGGTGCGACATTTCACTTCTCCTCATCCTCGTCCGCTTTCCCACCCACGCCGCCAAACACGCCGCCCAAGAGTCCGCCAACTCCCTTCTGCACACCCCCAAGCGTGCTGCCCACGCCGCCCACAAAATCCCCCTTGGTCAGCTTCCCTACGCCATCACCCAGTCCGCCAGCGATCCCTCCGATCGCGTCCCCCGCTCCTTTTCCAATTCCACCCACGACATCTCCGACGGGCCCGCCGACTGTACGCCCCACTCCTCCGACCGCGCCGTCGATGGTGCCGCCGAGGCCCTGTTGTTGTCGTGAATTAGCATTGGACAGAACAACTAACAAAACAGCAAAGAAAGCTAGGAGAGACACACACCTTCCCCACTCCGCCGACCGTGTTGCCCACGCCAGAGCCGAGGCCGCTGGCTGTGCCTTTGATGTCGCCTTTGCCGATGGCGCCGGTGGTTTTGCTGACGGTGCCTTGGACGCCCTAGCGTGCAGGTCAGCAATGCGAGAGAACGTAGGCAGATGAAGTGAGACTGACCTTGGTGGCATATCCCGCGGTGTTGTAAAGGCCGTCGACTGCGCCAGTGGCAGTCTTCCCCACGTTGTCTGTAACATGCTTCACAGGCTTGCCGATGCCGGCGGGCACTTTGTCGAGTCCCTTTCCTGCTATGCCCGTGATGCCGTTGACCGTGCTGTTGAGCCCGGTAGTAGCGCTGTCGGCTACTGTGTTCACAGTTCCCGTGGCGAGACCAGTGCCCTTGTTCAGCCCACCAGTAACCGCATTTGAGGCAGTTCCGACCATGCCAGGCTTCTTCGGGGTGGTAGTCTGTCCTGTCTTTTTCACTGCGGCGGGTGTGGGTTTCGTGCCGTCGGCATTGACGGCTGAGGTTGATTTGGCTGGAGTCTTCTTGACGGGTGTTGCTTTCGAAGTGGTGGAGGTTGCGGTGGTTGCAGACTTCACGGGCGTGGTCTTTGCGGCATTTAGTTTTGGCGCTGCACTGGCTTGGTTCTTGATGTTGGGCCCCTTTACTGCTGGCGCGGATGTTGTTGATGCAGATGTCGTTTTCTTCGCCGCAACCGGCGTCTTCGGGGCGGGTTTGGTTGCATCGCTGGCTGCCGTCTTACTGGCAGCTACGGATGTCTTCTTCGCAGGCGTCGCATTAGATGTAGTGGAGGATACCGCCTTTTTGGCGGCCGCGGGTGTAGAAGGTTTCAGAGGCGTGGTCTTCGCGGGGGTAGTCGAGGTCTGTGATGCCGCACCAGATGCTGTTTTGTTAAGTTTTGCAGGTGCTTTTTTCACCGGCGTAGCTGTCGTTCCTGCAGTCTTTGCTATGGCGGGCGTAGCCTTCTTGACTGGTGTCACAGGCTTCTGTGTTGTTGAAGTTGTGGTTTTTGCAGCTGATGCGGGCGCCTTCTTCGCAGTGGAAGCTCCACTTCCCGCGACCTTTTGAAGGTTTGCTACGCCAGCTGAATTGGTTAGGACTATACTGACCATGCTGCGAGTAAAGCAAGGCTGTAGATAGCACGCGACATACCTTGAAGCGCAGCATTCTGCTTCTTCATTTCATCTAGAGCTGACATGGTGCTGTTAACGACTGGTGTTTAAAGGATAAGATTCTAGATTTGAAGAGCAGTTCAAAAAACAGTATCGCGCTTAGATGCACGCAGATCATACAAGGGCTGGATCGTTCTCCGATGTTGGAAGTTGCGATATTTATCCCATGACGCCTACGTCACCGCGCATGTTCACCACGCCGATCTGCGTCACCCAACCAAGTTTCAGTTAGGAACGACAGGCATCATCCAGATCGCGTGGGGTGCGGGGCCTAGCGGATAAGGGTCGATAAAAACGTGATTGGGGATCCGATGAAACCTGAAAATGTTGAGGTTGGTGGTGCTCGGTGCTGTTACTAGATCAAGGAAGTGAGCGACGCGCTGTAAATCTGGCTTGCCACTTTCACGGACAGCATCAAAGCGCAAAACACTCGATGTTCATCTAGCCAACCTAATCAATCAAATCTAAACTTCGAATATGGGTATCAATGCTGAAAACAATGATAGTATATGGAATGTGGAAAGCGCTCCGCAAAATCGCATGCGTCGAATCAAAAATAATACAGCCCGACAGAGTCACTGTGAGCCGAAACGAATTCCAAACTTGTCTTGCAAGAACTCTTTTACCTGCGGGTTCCCGGAGCCTTGAGCGGAAGGTGGAAAAGACACAACCTTCAAGCCCTCGAGTGATCGCGCACGACTGACTTGAAGGGGTATTAGCAGGCCGAATAGAGAAGGCGTGCATTGCAAAGTACTTACGAGCTACGTATGCTTGGCCTTGTTCGAAAGACTTTGACAAGTCTACAACAACTCGGTTCAACGTCATGCCCTACTGGCATTAGCCTATCCTGCGGTAACACATATGTTCCAAGGTTCCAAGTGGCTCACCTGACTCTTGTGTGTAGTCATAGCCCAGGCAGCCATGAGTGGAATCTGCGTCCTTGATAGCAAACTGTGCGGTGCCGTGTCTCCAAGCGAGTTAACCGTACAGTCGGCGTAGATTGTTCGCTGGACGCCGTTCAAGAAACTGAGTAAAACAATCAAAATCGAGAACATCATATGTCATCGAGGATGTACTCACCGAACAATTGGCCATGCCTTAAATTCCATTTGTTTTGCGTACTCCTGTAGTTGCGATTCGCGGAATACAGCATGGTCACCCTGCAACACCTGCGTACCCATAATGAAGCCATCGCGCTTCTCACGAGTGGTGGCAGCTTTGGGCATATTCTTCGGATCATAGTCTTCAAAGCCCTGAATGGTACCCTGTGAGCCATTGACAAGGCCCGCGCCGATGTCAAGGTTGTGTAGAAGCACAACAAGCATGCCCTTTTTTAATCTGATTCGACTCTCAAAGCGGTGTTCTGCTAGAGCCTGCAAAGAGCCGTCGGGCGCTTTGTACTCTCCCTTCGACTTGAGGTTTCCATGTGCTGTGTTCCATTTGAAATGATCAAGACATTGATACGTTCGTTCGACAGAGCGCAACGCCCTGAATCTCTCTTCATTGACTCTATTCACCTCCGCTCTTGTCGCGAAGAGTTGTATGGCATTTCGCGTTTCTGACTCATGTTTCAACAGAAGGTTCGTTTCCGTCGGGAATAGCCGAATGCCCATCCTGAGTTTATTCAGTATATTGATAAAGGCACGATCACTTTGCCGATGGATCTCCTGGAGATTGACGTGAACAAAATCACACTCTTGCCATGCTGTACTTCGAAACGCCCACTTGTCCTTGTCGTAGAATATGCCGTGAGCTCTGCACTTGTACTCAGTCTCGTCTCTATTCATGATCGTTTCTCTACCACATTCGATACAATACCTGAAAGGTTTGACGGGGGGAAGCTGACAGAAATCACCCGTCACGACGACCTGTACGCCGCCAAAAGCAATCTCTTTGTTCCTTGCCTCTTTCATGAGGTGGTTGATACGCTCAAAATGGTGATTCTCGACCATACTGACTTCATCGATCACCAGAACGTCGGTTTCGTTCAGTCGTTTATGCACAAATCTGCCATGCCCAGTCGCTCGCAACTCTTTTAAAGACTTTTTGTGATGGTCGGGAGTCCACCCAGCATATGTCCACGTCGTAGATCCGTTGATATCGAGGGCAGCTCGGCCTGTGGGGGCAATGATGTTGACTTTCATGCCTCTCTCCTCAAAGCGCTTCACAAACGCCTTGAGCACAGTGGACTTTCCACACCCAGCAGAACCTGTATAAAAGACATTCCGGCCGCTAAGGATGACGTCGACCAATTCAGCCTGCTCCTTGCACAGGGTGGGCTCCACAATAGGTACAATATCCGCAGCTGGATTATCGGACGGCGCGACATGGTTGTTGAAACTTTTGACGAGCTTCTTGAATTGCGACTTGGAGTCAATTTCCGAACCGTCCATCAGGGGATATTGTCCTGGCATGGGTGGAGAGTCCAAGTCCAGTGGGTTGTTTTGTGATCCTGCTAATGGAAGCTGCGGATAAGGCGCTGGCTGTGCCCTGTTCACTGGCGGTAGTAGCAGATCATCGTCGTCGTCCACTAGGTCGATGATAACAGGCTGTGTGCGAATCCCTGCCGGTGACCTTGACGCCGGAGTCTGTAGTCTCTTGGGAGGCGGTGATTTTGCGCTTGCGCTTGCGCTTTCTCTTTGCCGTTTGTTCTGGCTTTCTTTCTTAGGCCATGCGCTGGGTTTGGCGGCAGGGGCTGCATCTGCATGCATGCCGACCTGCCACGGAAAGACCTGTTGCCGTTGCACCATTCTCTCGCCGACTTCACCGCTTCTAAGGTAGGGAGTGTCCTAGGATGAGCTCCGTGCCTAGCTGCGGTGTGGACTGGGCTGCGAGTGTATTTGCGGCATACAGCGAAGGGTTTGCGGAATCGATGATTCAAATGTTGAATGACGGCCGGGAGAGGCTGATCTGCGCAGACAGCTGCGTTCCGGCGATTAACACGGGCGCATGAATACCTGGTATCATATATACAAGATCACCCAACAAATTCAAAGACGCTGCGATAGACGGAGCGAAAGTGCAGAAGGGATGGGAGAGATGCGGCGCCCAAGCGAACCGCGAACGCGTGGAGCCGACACGGGAGGCACGCGAGATCACGCGCTAGTTCGGCGCTATTAGACATGGTCGAATTCATCGAGGACTCAGCATACCGTTCAAGTGATAGACATGATGCAATAGATAGTCATATGAAAGTTTGCATTAAGCGGCTTGCACACGCGCTTTCACGCTTTAGCAAATGCGCTCAAGGTCATACATGCTACGTAGGGTACTGGCAATTCTCATCTTGACCGCTCCGCTCACACCTGGCGCATGGCTGGCTATAGTCGCACCTCTGCTTCCGACGCCTGCAATTCAGACACGCTACTCTCGCAGAAGTGACTCGGTATTCGCAAGTTTCTCCCTCTCCCAAATTTCTGCATCTTTCGCACGGCCGATTCCCGTCACAAAGTTTCTTCCTACGAGAACAGTTTGTACATGTCTTCTTCTGCTTGGGTCGTCGCGCTGGGTTCACGGCTGGGTCCGCAATCTGCCCTGGCACCGTATGCTCTTCGACCTCTTGCTCATCCTGTGTAGTGTATGCGCTGGTCACAGTTGAGTTGGGCCTAGAATCCATCCGTGATCTCTTCCGTCTGGGCATCTCTGTTTCGGTTTCTGTCGCCTCACTCTTTGCTCTACCATGCCCTAGCCAACCTGCCTTGGCCCAAATCGGCTGTAAATAGCCATCGATGTGCACGCCTCCAACCGTTCGCTCCTCGTTGTCGGAGTCGTTCGTTCGAGGATCATATCCATGCTTGCGTCGAACATGCTCTGTGAGGCGACTAGAGCCGCTGAAATCTTTCAGATTACCAGGACAGTCTGTATGCGGGCATCGCAGGCTACCGGGATCGAAGTATGGTCGTTTAGCGAACAAAGTCCGGATTTGTCCAGAGGATCCTGGTTCGCGCACTGCATCACCAGGGACAACTTGCGCTTCGTCAGGTGCCGGGATTTTGGAGGGTATGTACTGAACTGGTTCCAGGGGAGGCAGCGAAGCCCGTCCGTCACTGAAGGTCCGAAAGCTCATTTGTTCGCCAAAAAGAGAAGCGCATCGCTGAGCCGTACTCTCAACCACCCGCTTGTCGAACCCGGCAATAGCTGCGAGACCAAGCAGTTCACTCCAATCCATCACCCCAGCACCCTTTCGGACCTCCGCATTACTCGAGGCATTGCTGCGAGGGCTGCTGTTTCCCGAACCTGACCGAGCACATGTAGTTTTCAGATAGTCGGGCGCACCTTCATCTTCACTTTCAAGATCAGCACCATACTCCGATGCAGAGTCGCTGTCTGCAGCGTTGTGCAGGTTTTGCGTCGGCTTCTGAGGCCTGAGGGCCTGCTTTTTGCTGTTAGTCCTTTTGGGCCCACGGGAATGGGATTGGGATCTTGACAGAGATCTAGCGCGCGGTGCTGGTGTCTCTGCATCTGTCGTATAGTCGCTTCCAGAGCCTGAGCGATGCAGACCATCACCGGCGTGATTTAATCTGTTCCTGTGGACTGCCAGCGCTAGCTTATCGATTCTAGACAGGAGTGAGTTAATAGAAGGCTCGAGTATTCGTCTGGCCTCGTCATCATCAGCGAGGAAAGCAGCCTCAGTGGCCGACTGCTGTGAGTTAGACAAGCCTCGCTGCCTCGTTCGGTTCGGTAATGCGCTCTCTAACTCGCTGTCGATCGACATTCCTTGAGCTAGGTCGTCTTCGGTGTCGACATCGGACCCGTCCAATTGTCTAGTGACCTGTTCCCCATCTGTCTCAGAAGAATAGAGCTTCGAACTAGCACCTTTCGCCTTTTTCTTTTTCGTGCTGCTGCTGTGAATTTCAGGTTGCGCCTCAGCTTCAGAATCCGAGCTGGATGGAGGGGCGGAAGAGATAGCAATTGTGTCAGCGTGCAATCCTCTCTCCTCGTCAACCGTCTGCCTCTTTGCCCAATTGTCTTTCGCCGTCCGCAGGAATAACGCCAGCAGTTCTTCCCGCATGACTTCTCCGCTTCCACGATCTGTCGCGCTGCTGATGTACCATCCATCTTCGGAGTTTTCAGTTCTGTGCGTCGCAGATCCCTTTGGTGGAAGGCGCTTCGGTGGTAGAGGCCATGCAGTCCACAGTCTTGAAGGCACCAGCTCCGTCTCCAAGTCGCCAGTGAGAGGATCCCTAAACTGTAACTCTTCGCCCTTCTTCAGCCATGCATCCTTGCTCTGCCAATCTTTTATCTTTTCCAGCTGTTCCTCAGGAAGTCGTAAACGACGTTTGAGATTATGCGCATTGTAGAGGTGTGCGGCCAGATCCGTAGATTCGATGTTTTCTAGGGACTCTGCGATTGCGCGATCCGCTTCTGTGTATCTCCGCCAGCTCTGGGGCTTGACAGCGCGCTCTTCTCGAGGGGCAGCTTCGAGAGGGGTAGTTTCTGGTTCGGGAGAGCTTGGCTGGAAATCTTCGTCGAGCGAGTCGTCGGGATCGGGCACGGTGAACGGCAGGAAAGGTGCATCCTGCGCGTTCTGAGGGCTTGATGAGCGTTCTGATGGTGAGAGCGAATGGGCCGATGTGGTGCTTTCATCACCACCAAACAAGGACATCTTGGTTGACGTCCAGTTTCAGTGGGTGTGCGATGCGTGCGCGGCGTTGGCTGAGGTACATGGTGGGGTGCTATAGAGGTGGAGCGCGCGTGCGACGGGGAATCTTTTCCTGGCGGAGCGCGACAGCACGTGACCTAGACTCGGCGAGAATCATCTCAAGCAGCTCAACCGGTTTGTACTCAACACCTTTTGCAGCCATCTGCGCTGTTAGCCATTCAAAGTCCTGAAGGTCACCATCATTCCTCCCGCCCCGGCTCGTGAAGGCTTTAGCCTTCATCCGCCACAATTCTGGCATCGAGGCCACCTATACCCCACCCATCTCTGTAGGCGCGTATTTCAGCGCCGGGCAGACCTCATTGCCCAGCTCGATCACATCTACAGAAATTGTAACATCGGCGCCAGCGCCAAGACGTGCGGTATATTGGACAGACACTAATAAGAAATAAAATCAGCATGACAAGCAATGCAAGACGGCTTGAGGACAAGGTATAGTCATAGCCATCTAGCACCACGGAAAACCGCCCGTCCTTGCGCGCTCCTTCGAGAAACGCCCAAAGGGCAGCAGGCGTGCCAACGACGTCGATGTCCCCAGGTCGACGCCTGGAGCCATGGTGTACCATGACTCCACTCCCAACGAGAACAAAGTCTGGGCGGAGGGCCGGGGGCACAAGCGACGAAGCAGCCGCGCAGGCTTCTCTAAGGGCGGCAAGGTGGGCGGAAGTGATCGTAGCCATGATGTGTCATTATGCATGGTACGTTATGTTGGGGGACGGGTGGTACGTGATGCTGTTGTGAGGCTGATGTCGATGTTTATACGACACCCCATGTAGGAAATGCACGTAGGCCCAGGGCATTTCTGGTTCATAACTTCCCAAATTGACCACGCACCCAATACACTTTCCTTGCTCCAGTGTAGCGTGGAAAGACTCAAATATGTTCGCGTAAATTACTGTCTGTGTTACCTCCCCTCCTCGCTGTCGTGTATCTTACCCACTGAACCCTCTCAACACCGTTTTCATGCTTCAAGGTATCGTGAATACGCTCTGATATGCATGCGTACAAAACTCGCTTTGGAAGGCCTTCATCGCAGTTTCTGACTTCAGGGTAGCGTGACTGGACTCAAGTAGGTATGCGTGCAAAATTCGCTTTCGAACACTCTTAACACATTTGCTTGCTTTAAGTAGCCTGAATGGACTTGAACGAGTCTCTGTACAGTATTCTACCCCAACTTTTTCTGGGCTTTCTCGCTATTGAATTCATGACTTGGTAGGTCTAACTCCACCAACCAAGGCGCATTCTCCGGTTGGTTATCATCATCCATGATCGCAGCATTCACCATTAGGGTCTCTTGTGGATTCTTCTTGAATGTCTCAGCGGAGCCAGGCGGGAGACTAGCGTGATCCTTTCTCTTCGCTTGGTTTTTGCCTACCCATTCCTGAGGTAGCAAGACCATGTGATCGTCCCCTTCTTCTTTGATATTCTTCCTGTCATCGTACCGCACCCTCTGTGCCCCATACCCCTTGTGAACATGCCCAAAGAAATGCAACCTCGGTCGCGCCCTTGCAATTGCTCGGCGCAGATGTTCACAACCTGCACTGGTACCGTCTCCGGTTTTATCGAGGACATATTTTGGCGGACCATGAGTCATAACGATATCAACACTCTCGGGTATTATCGAGGCTGTGGTCCCAAAATTCTCTGCCCACGAAGGAGTCACATTTGACTGGTTGAAGCGGTCTTTGTTTGTTGTATATTGGAATGCTGAAGAGCCGTATCGTGGTGTCCATGGCGAAACAAATATCTTGAAGTGTGCTCCAGACTTCAACGTGAACTCGTGCGTTCCTTCTTCGAAAAATCGAACGCCGGGAGTGCATAAAAGTCCTCGTGCTTTTTGGTGACCTTCCGCAGTGCCTCCTTGGGAAAGATAGTAGTCTTTGTCAAGCGCAATCTCGTGGTTGCCAGCGATGAATAGTTTCAGCTCGGCTTCAATTTTGGAGAAGGCTTCAAGAGCTTCCTTGATGGCTTCTGGCGATCCGTGTTGGGTGAAGTCGCCGCAGTGGAGGAGAACATCGCATTGTGGAGTCGATCGCAAGATTTTGCCGTGTCCATCGTGAGTGTCGGACATGATGAGGAAGCGCACAGGAATGAGTGCCTTGATTGGGATTGACAGGCTTGGAGAAGACGATCGAGGCTTTTTCGAGGCGGTTTCATCTTTGGGTCTGGGCGAGTCTGGAGTGCGAGCACGCTTGAATGGGGTATAGGCCGACATAATGAGTAGCAAGGCGTATGAGTCCGTGAGTGCAAGACGGATGAAATTTTTTACCCCTACCTGAAGGAAGGGTCGACTTTTATATGTGAGGTGGATGCTGCTATCCGATGATAAGTTTGGTTGTGTCCACCGTTCTAACGCTCCAGCCCAACGCGTTGAGCCGCCGGTCCATGGATGCATCTTCACGGTTCGTTCCGTGCTTTCGCGCGTGAGAATCCGGGAGAGCGAGAGGTCCGAACCATATCTTCTGGGATTTGACTAGTCTAGGCCTCCGGTCAGAGACGTACACATATTCTCAAGGCGCGATCTCATGCCTTTCCATCTCTTTCTCTTTATCCTTATCATTCCACAAATCCAAGCCATGAACGTCAACATCAAAGTTCCTCCTCAATCCTGCGAACCCCTTGTCCACGAATAAGTAATCCACTTGCTCAAGAGTTTTACCACCTGTTTCTGGGCAGAGCAGGAAAACGAACAGCACGGCGATGACATTACCCGACACCACCCACAGCCAAAAGTACCAGCCAGTTTTATCGAAGCCAATAGGTCCCGCAAAAACTGTGATGAACGTCATCAGCCATTCGCCGAATGCCGTTGCTGCGCCGCCAATGTGTCGATACTCTAGAGGAGCGATCTCGGCACAGTACAACCATACACAACCTTGCCAGGCATAGCCAAACACGAATAGAAAGATGAAGATGATGCCGATAGCTGCCCAGCGGATTGCCTCAGTCGTCGATAGTGCGACGAGTACGGTAAAAATAGTAATTAGGACTGTCATGGTGATGGCGCCATAGAGCAGTACACTGCGGCGGCCAACACGCTCGATAGTGAAGTACAAAGGCACACAACCGAGCGCGAAGAAAATGTTGAGCACGCCAGATAGTAGGGAGACGAGTGACGGCTTGGCGATCGTAGCGAGGATTACTGAGCCTATCGTAGTGCTTTAGCTGAGTGGTTTTGTACAGTGGCCAAGGAGACGTACTGTAATATGCGATGAGACTGCTTCCCATCCACTCACGGATCATCGGTAGCCAGAAGCACATGCACAGGCGGCGAATGATCTTCATACGAGTATTGTCGACGATGCCCATGGTTAGAAACTGTTTCCAGTGTAGGCTCGAATTAGCCTCGAGCTCAGCCTCTATGGCAGCCAGAATCTCTCGACGGGTGTTCTGCACCTGCTCAGACTCTACAGGTGTATCGTTGAGCCGAGCGAGTACTGCGTCGCCTTCCTCCCATCGATTACGTGCGTAGTACCACCGTGGCGTGTCTGAGAGAATCCGTTAGAATAGATAACAAATCATCAAGGGGCGAACGCTCGACTTCATACCCGGCAAAAACCACATGCAGCCTCCGGAGAAGAATGCGAATATGACCTGTAGTACAATGGGAACGCGCCAACTGGCCTGGTTGTACATTTTGGTGAAGCCAAAATCCACCCAATACGCCAACGGTACACCGCTAATCAGCAGAATGGCGTTCAGAGCATTGGCTGGTCCTCGGTCCCCGATCTCCACGCCAGTCTCATTCAGATACGTTGGCACAGCTGAGCTGATACACCCGATTGCGAACCCAGTGACTAGACGTCCCACGATGAGTTGGGCGACTGAGTACGACGAAGCTTGTATCACTGCTCCAAAGACAGCGGCTAAATTGCCGAGGAGAATCGTTCCTCGTCGACCGATGCGAAAAGTAAAAGGGAGAATAGCCAAAGCGGTAACACAGGCTGCCAAGTCGTATGATGCTGTTATCATGGGGATAGTCCATACATCTTTAGGGCGACCGATGGCATCCAGAAAGGGCGGATGTAGAAGCACGCCTCCAAGCACACCAGCATCGTACTGTAATGGCTCAGTTTCTCGGAATGCTGAATGTCTATGCTCTGAGACTTACGCCGTACATCATGAATGACGTTCCGCATACGATCTTCATGAGGGTGTAGAGCGTTCGCCCCTTGAATTGGGGAAGAATACCCATCTTACGATATGTGTATTGGGTCCTACTATACAATATCCGTTCGTGCAAGTTCGCTTCTTAAGCGGCTTTTAATCTCCAGGCAAGTTGGCTAAGGAATGCCGCTCTTTTGCTACGTACTTAAGCTTCAGTATATGTACCCCAAGATCCTAGTAACGCGTGGTCGCTTCGCTTATCATGCATAGAGTTGGGGAAGATGTGGGGAAGTAACCCTAGAAACACCACGGAAACGATTACCCGTATATGGTGCCAACTCGGGGTCGTAATACTTGTTGACTGCGATGCCATCGACGTCGATCTTACTGACAGGTTGATCGCAGATCATCGGGCAGAAGGCCGGAGGAACGCGTAGTCTGAGCGGACATCGGCGTAATAGTGCGTTACGACGCAAGTGGTTACCTGTGAAGAGCTCTGAATTGAGTCTTGGGACTTTTGACCTCTTGGAACGGACTGTCTCGTTGTAGCCAAACGTGATCTAACAGTGTAGACAGCTGAAGAAGTCCAAAATGCCCGAAGTGCACGGTGGCATATTTGAAACCTACATCAATCAACGACTAGCTGGTGCACGACTTGGAAAAGCTTGAAAACAACGTAGTAATAGATATGGGAAGAGATGGGGAAGCTGGGTTTCACCACGCTGCCAGTTGCTGCCCGGGCGGGCGAGCATCAGCGCTCACGTCCGCGCCGAGTCATGGCCCGATCTCCCCACGTAGTTCTCCGCAGTAGCACCGTGTAAAACGCAGATTTTGAAGACAAAGCATTCTGTGGAGATGAAAATGAATATCCTGTCGGCGTGAAATGTGGGCAGTCTCAACCAGATAGTCAAGCGTGTCAGGATTTTGATTCCAAGGCCAGGTCAACGTCCAAGTCAACGTCTAATGGCTGTGCTGCTCACAGGTTCCTTTTGTAAGAGCACCAAGGATTTTTGGTCCGACTGTCGGCGACATAGCTCCTAAGCTCCTGGACCAAGTGTTGTCGAGCATACATGTAGTCTGGGTGCGGGTAACGATGATGAGGCTACGTCACGTGGTGTTTACGGCCCGTGCAGTATCTCCGACCGCCGACGAGTTAGCTGGTTGACGAGCGATTGCAACACGGGCTTGACAGCTCCATCGACCATACGCACCCTCTCACGTCACTCGGCGACCCCGCGACTTCTCGAAACACCCTCCATCTCTCCGTCCCTGCGCCGTGGAAAATACACCGAGCGACCCACGACCCCATCCCGACCCCGCCACAATGTCGAGCGGGCAGGTGCACAAGGCCGACAAGGACTTCACGAAGGAAGCCGACAAGGCGATTCCCGAGGCAGAGAAGCTCGGATCTGTATGTTCGGGTCTCTGGCGAGAGGGCGAAGCTGACAGCAGCCGCAGAGCAACCCGCAAGCGGCGATCGAGAAGCTACTTCTGTTGGAGAAGCAGACCCGCCAGGTATGGCCACCTACACATATCGACCCAGACCGGTCCCACTAACGGCGAGAAGGCCTCAGATCTCGCCTCGACCTCCCGGGTCCTCGTAGCAATATGCACAATAGCCAAGAATGCGGGCGATTGGAGTTTGCTCAATGAGCAGGTGCTGCTACTCTCGAAGAAGCATGGCCAGCTGAAGCAGGCTACCACCAAGATGGTGCAAACCGTCATGGGATTCTTGGATGACACCCCGAGTCTGGAGACCAAGCTTTCGGTCATCGAGACGCTGCGGACCGTCACTGAGGGCAAGGTGCGTGGCGCATCCACCCCGGGACGCGGGGCAAAGCTGACATCCCACAACAGATCTTCGTCGAAGTCGAGCGAGCTAGGATCACGCGGATACTATCCAACATCAAGAAGGAGCAGGGCGACATCACTGCGGCCACCGATATTCTGTGCGAGTTGCAGGTCGAGACCTTCGGCTCTATGACCCGCCGCGAGAAGACCGAGTTCATCCTACAACAAGTATCGCTTTGCATACAGAAGGGCGACTGGACACAGGCTGGCATCCTCTCTAGAAAGATTAGCACGCGATACTTCACGCGCAAGCCCAAGAAGTCGCCCGAGCAGCTGGAGAAGGAGCAGAAAGAGAGGGAAGAGAAGGAGAAGGCGCGGAGTGTCGACGACCCGCCAGTCGAGCCGGAAGACGATGTGACCGATCTGAAGCTCCGCTTCTACGAACAGCAGATCACTCTAGCCAAGCACGAAGACAAGTACCTCGATGTTTGCAAGCACTACCGACAGGTGTTGGATACTGAGGCGGTGGAGGAGGATCCGAATAAGCTGAAAGCTGTATGTAACCCATACGTATACGTAGCAATGCTTCTAACAGCTACAGATTCTCCAACGCGTCATCTACTTCATCATCCTGGCACCGTATGACAACGAGCAGTCCGACCTCATCCACCGCATTCAACGAGACTCGCGCAACTCGATGATACCACAAGATGCACAGCTCGTCAAGCTGTTCACTGTCCCCGAACTGATGCGATGGCCCATGGTGGCCAAGCAGTTTGGCCCTCATCTTACGGAGACAGATGTGTTCGACGCTGAGGCGGACGATTCGGACGACCCGAAGGCATACAAGAGGTGGCAGGACCTGCGCAAGCGAGTGATCGAGCACAACGTTCGCGTAGTCGCCAAGTACTACACACGTATCCAAATCCCGCGGTTAACGGAGCTCCTTGATCTGACCGAGGATGAGACGGAGAAGTACATCAGCGAGCTGGTCACGGCAAAAACCATTCATGCCAAGATCGACCGGCCAGCCCGCATCGTCAGCTTCGCTAAGCCTAGGGACGCTGATGACGTTCTGAACGAGTGGAGCGGTAACATGAAGAGCTTGCTGGGACTGCTGGAGCGCATTGATCATCTCATCACTAAGGAAGAGATGATGGCTCGCATCCAGGGGGCGAAGCTTGACAAGAGCAGCAAACTTGCCAAGGGCAAGGCAAAATAAGGGAAACGCTCAACATGTGTGTTATTGAAGAGGATCATGATTAGTCTAGACGTACTCGAGCCTCTATGATACCGGCTCCGCATACACTGCGCATGTAATATAGGCTTCCAAGCATCGCTTCCCTGCCACGTGTGATCTATCCTCTATATGCAACGCCATGCTAAGCAAAAATGTTGTGGATCTATGCGCCGTCTAAAATGGCACGTCCATGTCCTCTACGCTCTCCTCTTCCTGCTCGCCATTGTCCGCCTTATGCAGGGTCTCTTTTATGAAGCCCACCAGCGCTGCAACATACGTCTTCTGTGTGGTCAAGAAGTGGCCACCAGGATGGTACACCACCCGGTCTACACTCTGCTCGCACCGCTCTACTAGCGCTAAGCTCCGCGACTCTTCCACGACCGTATCAAGCGTCCCGATGAAGTGCAGCATAGGCGTCTTGATCTTTGGCTCATAGAACCCGCGGTAGGTATCCACGCCCCTCGCCGCAAACCCGGAATAACTGACCGCAAACTTGAGCGGCGCGTGGATTGCCTCCTCAATGTATCCCGTATCCGCCTCGAAAGACTGCGGAAACGACATCCCGCCCTCAACAGCCAGCTTCTCAAACGCCTTCCGCCGCTCCGGCTCCAGCAGCGCCGCCACCATCGCCGCCATCGCGCCGCCCTGCGAAAACCCTACGACACCGTCAAACGGGCCCTCCTCCTTCAGCACGCGCGCCAGCGTCTCCATGCCCAACTCCAGCCCCTCGTACGTGTACGGCTCGGCGTCGCCCTTGCGCCTCCACCACGCCCACGCATCGCTTTCCTCCGCCTCGCCGTTCTCCTTGACCTCCGGCGCAGCAGTCGGGAACGGGATGTCTGCGTGGGCGAGCCGGATCGGCGCAGTCGGGTAGGACAGCGTTATTCCCGCGGGGAAGGCTTTCTGGAGGTTCTTCTCCAGGGCGCGGGTTTTGGCGTGGAAGTTGGGGCCCGACTGCGTGAAGCCGTGGATCATGAGGATCTTGATTGGGCGCGAAGGTGGGGGTGCGGCGGCCATGGTGCGGCTGCGGTAGAGGGTGAGGAGGTTCGAGGGCGTGAGGTGGCGGGGGAGGAGCATGCGATGGGGTCGCGGATTGAGGTGGTGGTGCGAAGAGCCTCGGAATTCGGAATGGGATAGGTTCGGGTGCAGTTGCGTCATTGGAAGGCTGCAGGTCTAGCCGCGAGCTGTTATTTGTGCTACAGTTGTACATACAACTATACTTTCAACATACAATTACAGTCGTAGGACCGGAATTCGAGTACAACCAACTTCAGCATGGCCTACCCTGTTGTAATGACCTGTACTCAGACCTCTGTCCCAGTACTATACCCGCTCAACACGGGACTATGGGACCTCCGCTAGTATCACAACGTACATCATTCCGCCATCCTAGTGTTATCGAGAGCCACTCGGAAGGATTTGAGGCAGGGAAAGACTGATATCGCCATCAATGCTGGTTGCCAACTCTGCCTCTTCCAAGTCCCACGGCACCTCCGCATGCTCTCCCACCGCCAACCGAACGAGCTTCACCTGCCGGTTCCCCTGTCGAACGAGGTCCTCGTTAGGCCATTTGAGAACACCCGGAGTGTTCATGCCCACGCCTAGTTCAAGAACAACGGTTTTTCCTCCTCCTCCTCCTCCTCCTCCTCCTCCTCCTCCTCCACCACCACTCAAGACGCGCCTCTTGAATTTCTGCCAGCGCGCCTCCCCAGCTCGATAGGGCCTCTCGTTGAACCAATTCGCGGCGCGAACACAGATAAACAAGTCGCCGCCGCAGTTCTTACATCTGGGTACAGCAGAGTCGTTTTTTAACGATTGTGTAACTGGGTCAATAAGAGGCAGCGCCTGTTCGAGAAATGGTCTCGACGGCCAGTACGAATCTGGCGTACAGTTTGCCAGGCATTGGAAGTAGTAGTATTGCCCTTGCGGTGTAGACAACCTTGACTCGTCCCAGCCATTCGCAACGAAGAGGCCATCTGCATTCGACGTCCTGACATGAGCATTGTGGCCATAGGAATCCAGCCAACCAAGGAGTCGCCTGTACAGCTGGGATTGCGGCCAGTTGCTCACCATGTCTAGGTGTGTAAAGAAGTAGCCCCATTTGACCCGATCTGAAGGCCAGTTGACGAAGCCAAAGACGTCGTACAGGCGTTCAAGATCGTATTGGAGAAACGCTGGGAAATGCTCCCGGAACAAAGTCCGAGAGGTATAGTCGAGACCATCTGCAGCAGAGAGACCAGCTCCTGCGCTGACAATGATAGTGTCGGCTTCGGCGAGCCAGGCGCGAGCTTTTTCCATTGTAGGACTGCCGAGTGAAATCCCTTTCGCAGGTTCCTGGGTACACACAGTCCAGGTAGGCCGAGCTCGTTTGAGCAGGGCATCGTATATCTCATAGTCATCCTCGGTATACGTCACAAAGACGACGTCCGAGATCGAAGCCTCAGGATGATGTGCAAACCAAGCCGCAACTGTATCTACCGCGATACTCGCCGCAAGTTTAGCCGGGAAGGCGAACAGCCCTGTCGAGATACCGCAAAGAGCCACGCTTTTCCCTTCTGCAGTCTCTGGTAATCTCTCTGCCTCATCGAGGACAGAGTAGTAGCACTGGCTGAGCTGATGTCTCTCCATGTCGTCCGGTTCCGAACCCCGCGCAAGCTGTGGTCCGACGGTGTGTATTACATAGTCACACGGCAGGCAATATGCCTGTGTAGTAACAGCGTCACCCACGGGCAGAGCGTCCTGCTGGTCTTGTCTCGTGGAAGCAATGTCGAAGCACTCTTGTCGTAAGCGTGGGCCTGCCCAAGAGTGGATGACGTTGTCGATGCATCGGTGTGTAGGCTGAAAGCAGCCGAGCATTTGAGAATTTGCTGCGTTGGTAATAGCTGTTGTGCCGGGCGCCAGAGTGGTTATGTCGCCTTTCCATAGTCTTATTCTTACGGGTGGCCGGCTATTCTCTCGAGGAATGGAAGCCACACAGGATGTGCTGCTCACCTGGAGTGAAGTTAGTTCCGTCATATTTAGGTTTAGTAATTAGTGGGTCAATGTGATGGGGTGCTGTGGAGTTTCCTCTGATCATAACTTACTGGCGTGAGCACGCGACGACTCCGTTCGTGAATCAAGATATCATGGATGTCCCGCAAGACATTGGGAGGCAATCTTGGATGCGGAGACCGAATGCAAAGCAGCTGTCTCATGATCTGTAGCTGCGTCGAAGAATCGCCATGTTCAAGATGCTGGAGGAGATGCCGAGTCCGCACATTGCGAGATTCCGTGATCAGAAACCGTACGGTGCGCTCCAACATTACAGACATAGAAGACATTGTTCCTAACACCGACCAAAGTTACAGGCACCTTTGTGTACTTGGGTGACAGAACCATCGCCCAATCAGTATATATGTAAGTTGCTCAGGAAGGAAATTGGTCATTTTCGGACATTACAGGCGATTAGTCAACGGTTTACACACGCTCGCGGAAATGCGCCGCACTAAGCAATAACGGCTTTTCGGACCCCATATAGGTCCTCAAGTCTGAATTCGTGCGAGAGTGACAAATGCCCAACTGGATGCGCGGCTTGGGAATGCGACACGAGAGGTTGTCGATATGCAAGATAGGGTCTAGTTAGCGCCGGCTTTTGCTCGTGGCAGGTTCGGAAAGCACTCCACTCCCTCAACCATGTCTTTGCTTTCAGCATCCAAACATCTCTTCGATTCAATGTACTTCAGCATGGTGATCCCACTCGCTTTGTGTTGTTCCTCTCGCTGTTGCGTCTTTTGCTAAGCTGCTGTTTCAGCCCGTTGTGTACAACGTAATCCATCTGACGCGAACGCACAGAACGGTGACTGGCAACAATGACGGGAATCACTGCATATATAGCGAACCCCTACACACATACCCCCAGAATAGGCTACAAGACCAATTTCTTATCAGCATACTGTGAACTAAGTTACTATAGGACTAGGTGTACGTCAAAATCCCCCTCTTTGTGTCAGCCACTGTGCAGTATGGCAACCCACGGACGAACACAAAACAAATTGTGCAACAACGTGATGTAAATCGCAGAGAACCTGCTTACCAACGTGCAGCTTCGATTACACATGCCTCCTCACAATGCACATTTGATCGGAAACGTCCCAAAGTACCACAGATGAGCCAAAATATCCGTGATAAGCCACGCCGCGTTACCCCTCAAATTCATCACCCCCTCGTAGATTTTGAAGTCACTCGCTGTTACCGCCAGACCGTTGGGTCGGTTGATGTAGTATTCCGGGCTGACGTGGGCGAAGTCGAGAAAAATAGGCGGGATGTTGGGCACGGGGTCGTTCCAGTGCGTGACCCTGTAGTTACCACCGGGTTGCGCGGTGATGTACTTTGCAAGTTTGGAGCTGGAGACGCGCGGAGCGCCGAAGGAGTAGAAGGCAACTTGGTAGCCTGCGTTGCGCAGATCCGCGGCGGCAAGGGTGGCGATGGCCCCGCCGAGGGAGTGGCCTGTGGTCACGATCTTGTACGTTGGGTTGGAGGCGGAGAGCTGTTTCACGGCTGCGGTAACCGCGGAGCGGGAGTCGAGCCAGGATTGCCAGAAGCCGTGGTGGACGGTGCAGCCGGAACATAGGCTGGTGGATACAGCGTCGAAATCGAGATTTGTGATCCAGTTTTGGATCGATACGCTGCCGCGGAAGGAGACGACGATGAGCTTGTGCGTTGAGTCGAGGGCGACGTAGCCGGTCACGTCTGTTGAAAGATTGCTGTGGGTGGTGAGTAAAGTAGCAGGATTCATGTGGTGATGAACTGATTGGGTCGTAACACATGAACAGCTACACTCCATGGTTGAATACCGACCATGATGGCGACTTACCTGTTATACTCGATAACACTCGTAGCATTGGAAGCTTGAACTAAGGGGCAAGTTCCGTCGTTGCATCTGATTTGATCCCCAGGAGAGTTGTAGTTGGACTTGCAATATGCGGCTGAAGCGTATTGTTCCATCAAGGTGAAAGTTCCAAGGACCGCATTGTCGACGGGTGCGACTCCTCTTCCAAGTCAGCATTGCAATCTCCATGATTAAAATTCACCGCTAACCTCTTGTCGACTTCACTGTCGGAACAGCTCTCCCAAGCCCCACACAGAGCAAGCCAGTTGAAACGAGTGACAGCAAGGAAACCATATCGAATGACTGATGGAAAGAGCGACTTGACTTCAAAAAGGGGATCTGTGTATTTGAATATGAACCACTGTTTTTGACTGTTGAACTGTATTACCTCCTCGATCAAACAACGGTAATCCGGCGCCGTGGCCAATCTAGCTCATCTCAAAGGAGCAGGCGCAGTGTGCGAGGTCGAGGTCCAAGCCACGCGGACGCCAGATACCGAGCACATTCCGGGGAGGCAAACGCATGAAGCTCGTTGGGCAATGCCGGTGTATTCGCGTGACCATCCGCGGATGCTAGGTTGGTCGCGATCACAGTGATTTGCCTGATACGCAATGTCATTGGCCGAGGATGGGGGAAGGGCTCAGCGGCTACGGCCCTGGCGCGACGCCGTCATGACGACCTCTATGAGCTTTGCCTTCGTCGATGCCGCGTCTACAAAGGATAATCAGCATTACATTGGCACAACACAAGGTGGCGCGTTGTGAAGGGTGCATGAAGAGAAGTCGTAGTTGCAGTGGCTCATCTTTGCCGCCCGCTAGCGCTCCCGCGGAACCATCCACCTCAGTCATGCATGCGAGACTTTGAGCAGCGCTTCCCTGTACCGGTACGAGTGACCAAGTAGAACGAATGTGAATGTGGTTGGACGGTTCGTAATGTGAACGAAAATTAGTGGATCAAGTCTCTGGAGCAAGTACATATACGATCCCGCGAATCATCCAGAGACATACAATAACGCCTAACAAATGCACCTCAGTGCTTGCTACAAAATGTCTGTTGTGCAGACCAAACGCCATAAAATGCGCACCGTGAAATCGACGTCCATATGAGCTCCTTCAACCAGAATGCGTCGCGCGTATCAACTCTGAACATCGGCTCCAGCCTCACGTCACCTCCTCCGTCTCTGGCGACTACTCCCCTCGTCGTGCCTCGCCGAACTGTGCGTCTGCGAGCTGATGCAGTCCCACGCAAACGGAACACTTGACGCAGGGATCTGCACACCTTGATACCTCCTTAAACGTGGTGGAGGTGGAGGGGAGGGCTGCGCAAAGGCCTCACGTCGGAGGTGTTCCAGAGCCGTGTTTGTAGCGGCTAGCACTGCAAAGCGGCGGTCGTCGGACGGGTCGCGGCGCGCGGCTGTGTTTGCGCGGGCAGAGTGATGGTGTGAGACCTGGGAATGGTGGCGTCTGGAGCGAGACGGGGAGGGCTGTGGTTCAGAGGGGTGGGCGTGGTATTGATGTTGGCGCGAGGAGCGGTTGCTGCGCGATGAGTTTTCCACTGTGCGGGACGGAGCCTTCTTTTTAGGGGTCTTCGGCGAAGAGTGGGAGGAGATGTGATCATCACGAGAATCTGTAGTGCGCTGGCGTTTCGCGCCTCGACCTCTGAGAGTTGACTGCGAAGTGTGTTTGGCGTGGCGATGCCTCCTGTCATTTGCCGCAGGTCTATCGGGGCGCGGATTCAGAAGCATTTCCTCCGAGGAGTTGCTGCTGGTAGAGCCGGCGCGTCGGTGCCACATTGCTGTCGCTGTCAGTAGTTGCGCAGGCACAGAAACTCATTTGACCATACGTGGTACATTGACGGCTAAAGTAGGTCTACGGCTAGCCCCGCTGTTCTGGGTGTATGAGTATTGTGGGCGCGTATGGTGATCTAGTCTGCTGTGTATGTCTTTGGATCGCTTCATGTCGGGTCGCTCTGCCCATTTGCGCTCTGCCACTTCTGCGACGACCGGTATCTTTTCATAGCGTCGCTGATCGCGCGGTTCACTCCGTCTCTTTTCGTTTGAACTTGATCCAGCACTCTTGCGCTTCTTGCCAGATCCTGCGAACAGGGCGCTTAGACACATAGCGAGGGGTCGCAAGGATCCTCCTACGGCATGTTACTCAGAGGTTGCTGTGACCCCGCAGATGGCAGAACAACCTACAAAGCACCAATCTATCAATACTTGTGTTTCTCCAGCTTCTGGATGGTATGAGACGGGCCAGACAGAAGAGAATGCAGTCGCAAAAGCGTCGAGACCAATCGCGTGGCACGGCGACTCGGTGGTCGCAAGGAGGAGGGTTTGCGCCCGACTTGGGGATTCAATCAAGGTGTGCAGGGCGCTTGGTGGGAGATGGCAGAATGGGGCGCGATAACACCCAGGCTCCGCGCACAAGTTCTAAGCACAGTATCTCACGCGCAGGATGGGAAGAGGCTGCCATGTGCCCATGTGCGGAAACATGGCGCAGGCCAACATGGGCGCACCGCAGCGCGGTTGTCTTCGCTCGGCCATGGCGAGCTAGAGCAACGAGGGATTCCAGGAAATACAGCACCTTCGCAATGCGCCGACCAATCGTGCGGAGCCATGTCTGGTGGGTGGGTGGGAGTCGTGATTCGCAGGCACGGATTGGTGGCGGTCGCAGGCCATGTGACGTCTGCTCAGTTTGGGCTGACGGTGCGCCCGGATGAACTGGCTTCAAAACACCAGCTTGCCGTCGTGCGCAGGGCGCTGGGCCGGCGCATGCTGTTATATACATTTTGCGCTGCCTCTGCCGCTGCGGGAGCGTACATGAAGTCGTGGCCGTGGCTACGTGGCACCTCTGCTGCGCATCTGAGGTTGCGGGAAGGATGCGAGGGCATCCTGGGCCGGGCTGCTGCGCTTGTGCAGGCCCAGCTGACCGCTCGGCGTTCCTTCCCTGTCCTTTGGCTGCGGCAGGGGTGCGTGACGGCTCGCCTGGCCTGATCTGCGAGGCGACATCGGACGCGACTCGTGCACGCCTGCGCGATGCACTGCGGCGTGGGGCCGCACGTGGTGCCCTCACCGCTCAGCGCCGCCAGCCCGGCCTGCCCCGACGGCGTCTCCGGCCTCGTCCGCGGCGCATGCAGTGCAGAGGCGCCTCGATCAGATAAGACGTCGGCGGTTACGTCCCCAACAGCGCGGCAGCTGATCTGCAGCGGAGCCGCAACGCCAAGCCTGACGTCCTGCCTTCGTGACATCACACACACCACCTGGGCATGCAGCGCTTCGTTGCGATGCACGGTAGCTGGCACTATCAACGCAGCGGACGCTGAGCACGACTGTGCAAGCAGCTTGCGCGCACGCATCATCTTGACCTTTCGAACCACGGTATCGATTCAAAGCTCTCGAGTGTAGTCGGCCTGTAGAGTGCTCAATCCAGTGCAACACAGTGTTTCCCATGTATTCAGCCGTCTTCGACCTGCTCACAATAGCAGACCATGGACGCTTGGGCAGGCGCCATCACCGATACCATCACATAGGTTCGGCATGCAGTGAGTGCTACCTCAGCGTCGACCGCAACGTCTTACGCGAGCCTCTGTTGTGCTCGCTTTTGACTTGTTATCCCATCTACGACATGTGCGAAGACCCCTTTCACCTCTGTGCCCATGTGTCTCTGCAGCAACCAAAATGTTCTCAACCTACCCAGCATTCATCTTCACCTCACGCCCGCCTCGCCTCTTGCACCGCCCGTCGAGCAGGCGACGCTGAACCTTGCCGTGTCGACCGCTGAAGCCGTGCTTTCGTCGTCGCACACCCAGAAACTGAGCAGCGTAGTACCAACATGTCCGCCGCCGGAACACCTTACACTCGCCTCCCCGTAGCCGTCCCCCAGGAAACGGTCGAAGCCACGCCGTTGGCCAGTCCGGATGACCTCGTCAAGACATACCTGCTGCATGTCACCTCCGAACTCCTCGCCATTCAAGCCTCGACGACTTCGTTCGGGGCATCGTCTACCGACCGCTATAGCCCTTCACTTCAGGTGCTCCACGCCCGTCTCCAAGACGGACACCACTCACCTTTCCCCGGACTCGAGAATCGCAGCGGTAACGCCTTCACCCGGAAAGGGAAGGCACACCGGGTAGCGGTCCCCTCGCCAATGGTTCGACCACTAGGAGACTTCGAGGACATGTACTACGCAATCCTGGCCACGGTCAAGGAAACCCACGATTCCATCATCTTGAGGCTGAACAACGGTTTCGTCGACCCGAACGCATTGCTCTTCCCCTCGTCCCAGCACACGATTCACTTTTTTCAAGAGTGGCTCGCGCACCAGTGGACAATTCTCAACGAGCCGTCTCTTGTGCGAGCTCTCGACATCGCAGTCCGGGAGGCTCTCGTCGACGGCCATCTTTGCCAGGGACTACGTAGTCAAGTGGACTCCGGACAGATCACACACGAACAGGCGGAGACCGCACGCGCGCATCTGTATCAGTCAGATGTCTTCGCCGATATGCCCGGACTGAGCTGGGTGGGCAACGAGCATTCCGCCATGATCAACGGCCGCTTGAACGAGAAGTATCGCGTGGTGTTTCAGGCGGAGAAGCAGGCGCACGAGAAGAAGATAAGAATGGCCAAGAAAAGGGAGAGGATTCAGAAGACCGCAAAGATCGGCCCCAAAGCATGTGGTCGTCGTGGATCCGGAGAGTATCGTCGACAGCAACAGCAGGTCATGGCAGAGCAAGCACAGCAAGCCGCAGACATGTTACCGACATCGATGGGAAAACAGTCGCCTCGCAGCGAGGCAGAACAAGCGAAACAAGCGCACGACATAGCACGCCAAACACCGCAAGTCGATCACAGTGACATATCGTTATTCCAAGAAGAAGTTGAAGCTTGGCGCCTCTATACGCAACAACTAATGTCCTCTCGGCGCGAGACACAGCTGCGGTACCACGAGGACGAGTTGCGGCGGAAGACTCCTCCGGCGGCTACCGAGCAAGCCCTCCAAGCTTTACCGGACAGCTTACGCAGTGGGGCAGTGTCGTGTACCCCACAACGTCAAAGCCACGCACGTACTGTCACTCAGCCTCACGCCGCACACGTGCAGCAAGACACCTCAGATGCAGGCCATGCGGGCCCGGAGCGTACCTTCCCCGGTGCTAGTCCAAGAGAAAAACGGAAGCAGCGAGTGACGGAATACCAGGCTTGGTTAAGAGAGTCTGCAAGCGACCATGCGAGGACGAGGATGATGGGGCAGAGGCGTCAAACCCAAGCCCAGGCATCGGACGTGAGCGACGTTTCACTGCAGGCTTTCAACGGTGCCGAAGCCCCGATGGACATGGATGGTGACGGAGGATTCTAAGGTGAGGCAGGCGGAAAAGACCTTGTTTCTGGGGGAGCCACTGGGACATTTGGGCAGACATGCGGGAAATTTGGAATGGACGGGATGGGATGGTTCAAGGGTGGAGCGGGGAGCGGGATGTGAAGTCCACCAAAGCGTAATGGCTGGACGTAAGTTCCGGTCTGCATACGCAGGTAGATAGTTACTCCTTAGGTAGGCAGTAGATAGAGACGACCCCACGGCACCTACGATGCACTCTGCACCCACAGCACCCACGACATCCGCACCGTTCCCCTGCTCGTCTCAACAAAGCCCAATGAATTGATAGACCGTGCAAACATGCCACGGGTGGAAATCAATATATTGACTAATCCGGCAAGTATCGCGGAATTACCCCTACCGCTATTGTGTCGCTTCGACTCGACTCGAGTTGGCTTGACTGCACAGGCAGCAAACCAGGTTTTCGGGGAACCAGCCCCAACTACCAGAGCCCTATCTGCTCAAAACGCTCAAGCGAACGTTGGAATAAACTGCCCGATGTAGGGCCGAGTCCTGTACCCTATGATGCACGGATGGTACCGAGTCAACACAGCACAGCACAGCCAGCCATCGCACCCCTGCTCGCAGAAGTGCACCGAATGGGTGCACTGCGGTTCGGCAAAAGGAACTTCCACGAGAGCTAGCAGTGCGGGACGAGAACTGCGGCGATTTGTCACTCGCAGCGCCTCGTCTCATGTGTGCTGAGGGCCGAGGTTTGCAAGTCTGCACCAGTCGAGCCCTACGATCCTCCCGTCTTGGGCCGATGCAGGGGCGTTCGACGTTGGACCAGGATGGGGGACAGCCGCGCCTAATCCATCCGGTCCCTGAAACTATCGTCTACACAATGCTGTACGCACCTGTCCGGAGTGATCGGCTCGGGGAACAATCACATCCATGCAACGCCCTCGTTGTCAGGCATGCCCCGACATTTCTCCTCTTGGGGGGCTAGTTGGCGATGCAAGCAAAGCAAGGACGTTGGAATCTGCACGCACGGAGGGAAGGTCGTTGCGCTGCGGCAGCACGGATCGTCCTCGGGACCCCCAACGCGCATCGGCCACGTGAAGCCTTTCCGAAACAGTCCCCTAATGGCGCATGCCTCATTTCACGGGGAAGATTCTGCGGGTAGGGCACGCGGGTAGCGTTCGCGAGCTCAAGCTCGAGATTTGTTTGCACTAGCTCTGCCGATCCGACCAATACGTTTCCTGCATGCATGCCCAAAGCCATGAATCAGCGGTAGAGTCGTGAGGCTGAAGGCTATACTGTAAATGTTCTAGTGCACTAGCGTGAATGCTGAAACTGCCTCTTCTTCGATACTATCTATGACTATTGTAACTATCAGTGTACTGTTACATTCCACGCTCCGCGAAGCACTGGCCGCACTTTGCCTGCACTTATGGGGTGCACGGATGAGCGATTCCTTGTTGGCGCCGCAACACCAGATCACGTGCGGGTGATCCCTGTACATAGTCGGGACCAGGTAGGTGCGATGACCAGGACTGCGACAGGGTCGACTAGATCGCCAAGGTATGCTGCTCCACGTCCATAATGACATTAGAGTCACGTGAAGCGTCAAGCATCCGCTGATTTCAGAGAACGCTGAGACTGATAGGGGTGATGCGATGGAGTCTGATCGTGTAGAGACTCTTGTGTGACGACGTATTCGAATGACATTGAAGAAGGATCTTCAGATCCCTGGACGCCTGCGTTCAACCTGCATATCCACCATGACCTCGTCCGTGTGGTAGGTTTTCACTATACGCTCCTTGATTATCCAGAGCACCCCGACCTGTGATGTGACCCGCACCATCGATAGCGTCCTGTTTATAACCCATTCCTGTATCGAAGCCTGGTACGCTAAACCTAGGATCATATGGAGAAGAATTAATTCCAAGCTGGTGGCTCTGTAGTTGCGAGTGTTGTGAATGACTTTGTTGTAGCTGGGGTGGTGGATGGCCATGCGCCTGGCTTGGTATGGGCGGACGAGAATGCATCGTGGGCTCATACGGACCGGGTGTTCCTGATTGGCTAGGAGGTGCCGACCCCGACGAATGCGCGCTGTGAGGTGCTGAGGTGTCATATAAGGAAAGATCTTCAACTCTAGAAGAGGGCGCTTGGAGCAGTGATTGCTGGGATGTGTTGAATGGCAGCTGGGCACCAGTTTGGGCAGCAAGCTGACGTATCAATTCGGTCGAAGGGTATGAGGGCGATGCTATTGGTGGCAATCCTGATAGATCATCGTTCACACTGGATGCAACAGAGCCGATAGAACCTGAGGTGGAATCCATAGCGGAGGCGGACATGCTTTGAGGGATGTTGAGCGATCGAGGGAGAGGGAGGTTAGGTAGGACTTCGGAGACTTTCGCGAGGAGGAGGGGAAGGTAGCGTGTTTGGCCGCCACGGAGCGCGGAGAACAACGTGAGGAAACGAGAAACGTAGTCGCGCGGGCCTAAAGCAAATGTATCTGGTGAGAATGGTATGCAAGCGACAACGTCAACTAAGCAGCAGGCTATGTCGAATAATTTTTCGATCTGGCATGATGTCAGTATAGTAGCTTACAGAAGACTAATTCAAAGCGACTCCAGGCGCTCTGCACCAGGTCCCGTTGGAATTCCAGGGCCAGTGTTTGAAGGGGGTCTTTAAAAAGGTGATGAAGGATTGAGGGGCTTGAGGAAGATGATACGGAACGTGCGGCATTGTGAAAAACAGCTCAACTCACCAAACCCACGCCATGCACTTCCATCGCATGCTGGGAAAACTGATGTGTCATGGAAAGAAGATCGCGCGAGACTTCGATAGGATACTTGAAGGTGCGCGTGTTGTCCGCTGCCACACTGCTGACAAGGCCTTGGCTCACGCACAGTTGCCAGAGCATGGTTCGTAGCCATTGCTGGGTGATTCGTAAATCCGCAGCTTGACTTTCAGTGCAGTCTAAATAAGCTGGAAGAGCCTCCGTCAATTGGTTTTGGAGCTGTGCGATCCACGAAGGATTGCCGTGCGTCTGTACCTTATTCCACAGACTTATGAATGTGTCGTCTACTGGCTTATAAAGACTTATCATGCAATCAAGTCCAGATGCGATCGGTCTATCAGAAGGAGAATCCTCCAAGGATGGTGAGTGTACAGTCGGATATAGAGAGATGGGACGATGCTTGTGAAGCGCATGTGTTCTGCGTGCCAGTTAGTCTCCTCGCCGCACTCTGGTGGCTCAGGTCAATACCTTTCCGCGATTAAGAGAAGCCAGTACAACACGCGCTTGCGAGATATATCAAGTGGGTCGTTCTTATGGGTTTCTTCTTCGTGAAGACCAAGTAGATGCGCTTGAGTCGTGGCTTCTCTGAGATACGACCAAGCCGTATTGTCCTTTCCCAGTCCAAAATAGGATCCGTAAAATAACCAGGACGTTAACAGGGACAAATGCGTCGGATTTTCCAGATATTCAAAACCTTTCCGGACTCGTACCGCCTCTTCTAACAGGACATGGCCGATGCTGACATTGGAAAGTTGTGCCATTTCCGGACGGGGAAGCAAGCTGGGCGAGACTGTCATGTTGGCCTGTATCATGACATAGGCGCACAGCGCAACAATCATGCAGTACGCCTCGGAGGAATGTTCAATACTGAGCAGAATTTCCTGGGCGCGTTGCTGGTGAAGGATTGGCTGCGAAGGATACACATTGGCAAAGTAGAAATCGAGGCAGCTCTCCACGAGACCTGGCGGAAGCAGTCCTGGAGTGCGCGCGAACGTCGTCGGAAGTGCGCGCCCATCAAAACCTAGCTCATGGGAGAGGCCCGCTGCCAGTTGAGCATTCCGTTGTGTCTCCCGCAGCTCAGACAGAACCTTGGCACGGCTTCCCTTCGGGCCCTTCTTTTGCGGAATGGCATTGTATGTGCAAGCAAGACCGGCAGAAACACAATTCTTGCACGGGTTTGTTCCTTCGCCAATGCATTTTACTTTGCGTCGATGGCAGCTGAAGTTGCAAAGTGAGTGATGGTCGGCGGGTCAGGAATGCTGCGGAGACGCACCTATCGCAAGCTCTCTTGACCGGAGCAGACGTAGTAGCCGTGGACATTATGAGATGGTAGGACAGTGGAAGCTGTTGAGCAAGCCCCTCCCGAAGAAACGAGGAGTGTCCACGCGAATTCGAAGCGTGGAAAGATTTTTGGGCATGCTGCGCATAAGGTCGGAAGACGTTTTTGCATGCTTTGTGTCATTCTGCTGGAAAGGTCGCCCACTCAACTGGCTAACCGTCAACGTAGAGGCTTGGCTCACAGCCGCATTAGGCGTGAACTAGCAGTCATGCCAGGATGGGGCCGGCTGCAGACAGAGCCCAATGAAAGTGTGTGGAGAAATGGCCAGGGCCGCTGATTCACAGGTGTCAACGAGGTGAACAGGGAAGCAGGCCGGACCCTTAGCCGGACGTGCGGCAGACGTCCCCAGGCGCGCGTCGTGGCCGTTGGCTGGCACACTCGACTCCCGGGGAGATATCGAATGTTCGGGGTCGGTGCCGCTACGCAGGGAGCAATCTAACCATGGCAATGGCGTTGACGGCGGACGGCCCCAGCGCAGCGGATCACTAGCATTTGACTGAACACTAACCGACAATCATCCGACCATCGGTGAAGCTAGAGCCTGCTAGTGATCGCCCGCACATGAGGAAGGTCGTGGGTGGTTTGGATCCGATGAGGTAGGTCTGCCGCTGGTCAAGCGGTCGGAGCTGAGGCGAGTTGAAACGGGCGTCTCCACGAGTCTAGTGTGCGCACAGCAAAGCCATGCAGACGCTAGCAACGGCGCCGACCATCGCTGGCTTGGTCGCCGACAGTCAGGGTGCTTCCGCTCGCGCAGATTGCTGTCGTCATTTGGTAGGCGGTGCTCGCGCTCTGGCTCGGCCGCGAGGAGTCGTACTTGGCCGCTGGAGAGGAGAATCTACGGCACCCGCGAGTCGAGCAGGTGCGGCGAGCGAGCACTGTGTTGGGTGACCATCTTGGAGCCCAAAGGAGGAAGGGCCGGCCAGAAGTTGGCAGCGCGCAGGTACGTCGTGGCCGTCGCCGTGAAGCAAATCTGAGGGATGAATCTGTTCAGCCTGCTGAGGCGCGATGGAGTTTATAACCTCAATGGAAGGCCCGTCTACGGCCTCTCCGCGCTTTCGCCGTGAAGCCGATCGTCCGGATAGTACCATCAAAGATAGGTCATCATGCCTCGGACCAGCAAATGAAGACGTTTCGCGGCACAAGGGCGGGGCCTTTTATCACATTCGTGCATCGGAGAGGCCGTTGTTCTACACAATCAGCGCCAGCCGCGCAAAGGTAACAAGGCGAAAAGATGCCATTCCCGCATGATCACGCCTTGAAATGGTTGGGGCCTGCTACCCACTGCATCATCATGACCCACGAACGAAGCCGCCAAGAGGCCGCTCTTGCAAATCCGTCACACAAGCACACTAGCCCAGGCAGATCCGCCACCGAGACATTGAACATGCAAACATGAAGATAGCGCATCGAAACACTCAAAGAACAATCAGAACATTACGACGTCGTCATCATCATCATCATCAACAACAACAACAACAACAACAACGGAACTATTTACTACATGTACAGCCTGTGTTGCCTCCGCCTTTTCAAACCCATCAACTTGTTCCCCACGCCTGGAAATGCACAAAAACAAGAAATCATCAAGCTTACCGGTCGTCATGGTCGTTATGAGAACTCAACGCGACTTCCACCCAGTCTTGCCTGCTTCGCCTGGGCTCGTTCCGCTCTTCGCCGTCTCCGGTTCGAGTCGTAGGCGCTCACGTCCGTCTCTGTGCCATACACTTGCGTGCCCTGCGGACTGCTCATGACACTCCCACCTGCTCCTGGAATGGGAGGCGGAGGCGGAAGAGGGCTTTGATGGCCTGCTGACGTTCCCATAGGCGGCGGTCCAGGTGGCGGGCCTGGTATTATTGGCTCAGGCATGGGTATCGGCGCGGAGGCCTGTGCCATTTCTTGCGCCTGAGCGGCTTCCATTGCTGCCGTACGCCGCCAGCGCTCGTTGTTCTCCAAGTTGCTCAGTGAACTCATGCTGCCATCCCGACGCCTTCGATCTTTCTTTCGTGCTTCACGCTCGGCGGCAGCTTCCTCCTCGTTCAGCCTCCTCAGAGTCACATGTCTTCCATCATTGTGCATCTTGACCTTGACAGATACAGGCGGAGAATTGACACTTCCATCCCGACTGCCACGGCGCTGGCTGGCGTCTCTTCTGTCCGTCGAGGCACCAGCTGCCGCTGCACCAAGAGCTGCGGACCCTCCATTATGATGTCTTCGATGCCTGTGGCCACCTGCTGACACATATGCTTCAGAGCCAGAATCGGAAAGAACACCATGAGGATCCATTGGGGCAGGTGCGGGAGTCGTTGATGGCCCGGCAATCGTCTCTGTCTGCGTCAAATGCGTCGTGCTCCTCGGTGGCCGAACGCCAGGAGTTGTTCCTGAGATGTCGCTTTCAGAAAAGATTGTAGACGGCGGTCCGTTTCTTCTGGGAGGCAAACCATCCCCGGTAAACTTTCGCCGTTGGCTATTTGCCCGGGCAATACGCTCGTCTTCCAAGTCTTGTTCTTTCACAGCTGCGACGTGTGCGTCTTCCTTTCTGTTCCTCCTCTTGCTCCACTGATGCTTGAGGAAGCCAGCAAATCCGAGGGCGGCTATTCCATCTCGAAGTCCATGCGACTCCTTGGGTCTCACAATATCGTCGCCAAAACTGGTCCGGCTGTCGAAAGAGTCGATGGAGGCACCACTGCGGGTGGCTCGATGGCCCTGGCGCAGGGGGCTTGCACCCATAGCGGCCTCCTGCGCTGCTTCTCTTTCTTCTACCCGACGCCAGTGGTCGCGACCTGGGGAAGCTGGGGCCCTCCCTTCTTCAAGGCGACTCAGATCAGTCTGCGTAACCTCAGATTGGCCTATAGGCGGCCGACTATAGCTGACACTGCTTGCTGTTTCGCTTGGTTCGATCTTCTTCTTGCCGAACAGGGATTTAAGCGCAAAGAAACCACCTGTGGCTGCACCAGCCCCCAGCAGTCGGTCTCGCCAGGTGTGATTCTTTCGTCCAACTTCGGTATATTTCTCGTCCACCCGCGAATCGGTATAATAGGTGCTGGGGTGCGAGCTGAGGACCTCTCTTCTACCACCCCTTCTGCGGGTACTGCGACTGCGAGAACGATTTCTCAATGCCGCTAAGCCTGCGCCTGCCGCTCCAGCTGTTGCTACCGCGCCCAACCCATGGCCACGATGGCTTCTGCTTCTGCCGCTCATCGTAGTTTCTGTGATGTATGTGCTTGTCTCGTCAAAGCCCATCTCGGGCTGGTTCCTGTAGGAGAGGATAAACCATGCGCATAATAAGATAAATCCCCAAATAGCGTAGACGACAAAAAGCCACAGGGGCGAGCCATACAACGTTAGACCGAGGGCAACTTGTACGATACCCAGGAGGGCGATAAGTCTCCCTATCCACTGATGAAGCTGCAGGGCGTCAGTAAACTGCTGCGGAAAGGTCGACGCACGTACCATCAATTTAAGAGGTATCTTGTACCGTTCTTTCCCTTTTTCTCGCCTGTGGATCACACATCCTCCGATGGCTTGAATCAAAATCATCGTGTATATCGCGACACCAATCCCATGGTGCGGGTTGGTAAGAGATCTTTTCAGGCCCACCGCTTGGAATCCAAGAATGAAAAGTGCGGTCGATAATAAGACGGTGCCTATCTGCAACCATATGTGCAGGCGCAGCGCCATACGGGGGTTTCGGTGGTAGAAGCGGGCGAGGAAAATGGCTGCAGGGACAACGAACAGGAAGGTGGCGGCTGCCAGAATGCCGTGTCCTAGGATGAGGCTGTGGTAGCCACTCATGTTCCGGAAGCGATTGCCCATGCCTGCAACGTCAGTACCTGTTTCTGGATGAGCGCGGCATGGAGTGTTTACCGTTGTACTGTGTTGTAGCAAGATTCAAGCCTTGCAGGTTGGGAAGCAGAAACGTGTTCCGTTGCGAATCCCAAGTCCCATCGCCGACATACATAGTGTTGGACGAGTAGGCACCGCTCCCCGGCGCTGACAGACCTGACATGTTGCTGGCTTGGACCGAGAGCGACGTACAAACTGTGTGCGCTTGTCAGGTCAGTTATAAGGCTTGTAGACGGCGGGCAAGTTGGTGTCGTGCGCTGGCCCAACCAGAGCGTGTCCGGCGGCTGCGGACAGCTCGGTGGGGTGGAGTCGGTGCAGCGAGCGGGCGAGGTTGTGGGAGGCTCGGGACAAGGTCGTCAAGCTGAGGATGGCAGTCCGCGGTGGTCTCTCGTGGATGCGATTCCTCGAAGTCACGAAGTCGATTGTAGTGCATGTTAGGTGCAGCTGCACACTGCATCGGGCTGGGTTGGCAGCTGGCCTAGCCGTCCCGAGTCCTTGTTTATTCCAAGTCACCAAGGGCAACCATCGATAAGCTTTCGGGCGGTGAAGACGTGGCAGCGGCCAATCACAGAGCCCCACATCCTAGTCGCCCGCCGACATCAGCCAGTCGCTGCCAGTAACGAAACGAATGATGATGAACACCAAGTGGAGATATGGGCAGTGTTTTACGTCAAGAGTCCAAGCACAGCGTGTTACCATAGAATAGGTATTTCACAAGACAGTAATACGCATGCCTCTAACTTATTACAATACGCCTGGTGCTCACTTGTCCGCCCACGCGGCCTTATGCCCAATGTCTCCATCCGCTTCAACCACTTTCCCTCTGTCCCATTCCCTCGCCTGGCCCCGCGTGGTCCATCTGACGTCTTCCTCGGTTTTCTCGTCGCCTCGTTCCCACTTCTTCACCTGCTCCTCGCTAAACCCGGCTGCCTTGAGCCTTTCTGCTCCTTGTTGCTTCCATCGCTGACGATCGCGATATGCTTCGACAGCGTCGCCCCAGTCATCACCTTTGTCTGAGAACGCATCGATATCCATCGCTGGGTCATAGGTCGAGGAGAAGCGCGCATTGATGCCTTCTGCATCGCCTTTGCGTGCACCTCGACCGCGGGAGCGCACGGCTGGCGGTTTCGGCGGTGGTAGTGGTCCCACGATTGCCTCGAGTGGATCAGAATCGTCTTCAATTGAGGGGTCTCGTCTTGCTCTCGTTCGTGACGCGCGCCTGCTTTGGTACTGTTCGCCTCGTTTTGGTGGACTTCTCGATCTCTTTCTGGGCGAGCGAGGACTTCGGTCCCGCTTGGAAGCTTTGTCATATCGGCTGGAACAAGGCGAAGGAGAACGCGTATTGGTTCTAGACACTGAAACGGATCGTTCTCTTGCGCGTTTACGGCTGCGGTGCTCTGAATTTCGTGAGGATTGTGCTTTGTCTGTGTTCCTTTGAGTGTGATGCTCGCTTTCGCGTCGAGAGTCGGAGCGATACGCCGGCCGTTCTGCCTTGTCCGCACTGCGTCGTCTTCTGTGCCGACTTCCCTCGTCTCCCGATGCACGTCGCGCATGTGCTGATTTCTTAAAGCTCCTTCTATCCTGGTTCTCGTCACTGCTCACACGATGGCGCCCCCGGCCTTCAGCCCTCCGTTCACGACGGTCGTAGTCGTCCTCTTTTCTGCTTCGTGGGTTCTGCGTTCGATCGTTACTGCCGTTCTTTGCGGTATCTAGCTGTCGCAGGCGTGCGCGCGAGTCTTTCGCCTCTCGAGCCAGCAACGCTGCGTTGTGGCTATCGGTTTGGCGGATGATATGTCGCAGAAAGTTGGTGTTCGGCTTCGGAGCGTCTGATCTTAGCCTGGATACTGTTAACTACAATAAGTCCCATACGTGCAGCCAAGTGACTGTACTTCATAACCCGCGACCGAGGCATTCAACGCACCTCTTTGGGTGGAAGGCATCCAGGCCCACAAAACTGTACTTCTTCGAGGCGTCTACAGCATCTTGCTTGAGTAGGCGCGCAACGTATTCGTCATCGTCAATGCTATCGCCCGCCATGGTGGAGGTGTCGGAGAATGCTAAAGTGTGTGCGCGCTGAAGGCAGAAGGTGAATCAATGGTAGGCACGAGTAGACTGCCGAGGCGGGGCCATTACGCCTGGACTTTACGCTAAATCCGCCTACACGCGTTTCCCAAACAACAACGCAAACACATTGACCCCGCGACAGTTCGCGAGCAGCATTCTCAAGATACAGTCTTGGGTCGCTTCTACGAGTAGCAAATATGGCGCATGAATCTGGGTCGCAATTGACCACCGCTGCCGCAGCGCTCGAACAGCTGCAAAAGTCACCGCCTCTAAAACTTATCTTTCTTGCGGAGACACTTGCGCCGAAAGATAACTCCCAGTCCGCAGACAAACGCACTTCGACGGTCTCAGACGACAGCGAGCAGAATGGCGACACGCATCCAGCAGCGCTGCAGGCAGATCTTCAGCATTACAAGGTACATGGCGTCATCCACACACATTGATAGGTGGGCTAAAGCGCGTCCAGGAATTGTTCGGCAAACTTCGCTTCAGCTATGTCGAGCAGGTCACGAAAGAGAAGTTCCTACGCGGCATTACCGCGGATCCACCTAGTCTGGTCGAGGCCACCGAGAACGAGGCAAAAGAGAAAGATATTCTGGCTTTGAAAGCCACCTTGAAGCAGCGCAAGGTGGAGATTGCAGAGCTGTTACAGCAACTTGAGGCCAAGGGTCGAGAGCTGGCACTGCGGTATGAAGGTGTGCAGCTGAAGACGCAGCAGCTCGCGTCACTACCGGTGGAGATTGAGGGCCTGGAAGCGAACATCGAGACTCTAAAAAGAGAACAGATACCACACTCACAAAATCCTGAGCTCGCGCTGCCGTTACCGGAGACGTCCCAGCTGGTGGAGCAACGCGAAGCTGAACTCACTGCACTCAACGCACAACTTGCGAAGCTTCAGTCATCATTACCAAACCGTGCACGCGAGCTGGAGAAGTTGGAACGAGAACTCAAACCGCTGGAAACACAGAAGCAAGGCATAGTCGCAGCTGCGAAGGAGGCTAGACGACGGAAAGAAGATGGCGGTGGCATTGGAGACGAGCTTGAAGAGAGAGGGCGCTGGCTCAGAGCATCCGAAGTCGCCTTGAACAAGATGTTAGAGGTGTGAACTTGAAGTATTCGCAATGCGCGACGTCGGAAGCACGTTAAGACGGGTACGCGAGTCGCTGTTCAGGTTCATCAACACGCCGTCTCGAATAAATCTGTAAGTAGGGTGGTACCCTCAGACAGCGGTAAGCCACGCAGACTGCTTGTGCAGAGGCCGGTATTAGCTTGAGATCGACCAGTGTTTCAAAAGATAATGGATGCAAGAAAGGGGTAGCTGTATTGACTTCATTCATTTGAGACATTTGAGCGGGTTTCCGAGGACAAGACGTGTGGACTCGTGGTTCAATCGTGACAGACCATGATATAATTTTTCTGTAATGCCACAAGCTCCGAGAAGTGTCATTCGTCCTCACATCCTTCTGTCGAGGATGATTTACCGGGAAGTGATGCTCAAAAACGCCTGAGCAATATTCGATAACCTTGCCAGTTGAAAACCTGCCTGCCTTCACGCTCCCGCCCATTCAGCCCCTACGCCAAACCCTCTGTTGTCATCGCATCGTTTACTCGGTCGTAGGTCCCTTGGCGCCAGCGGGCACGCCAGTTCGGAAGCCGTTGGAGAACTTGCGGGAGACGGTCTTGAGGTATCGCATGCGTCCAGTGCCGGTGGTCTTCCTTCGCTTGGCCTTCTCGCCCCAGTTGACTGCAACATGTCAGTTGCATTATTCCTCGTTTACAGGTCCAATGGTTCACATACACTTGCGGGTCTTAGCAGCGGGGTATCCGCACGAGGAGCAAGTGTGCTTCTGGATGTGGAGGGAGCGGCGACCTGGATCAAAATCTGTCAGCGCCATCCTCCAGTCGTATTGCGACGGTATTCTCCCGCGTTGAGAGTGTCGGATGATGTAGTTACATACCGCAACGACGGCACAGGGTGTGCGTCTTGTTGTGGCGCTTTCCGAAGCTGGAGGTACCCTTCGCTATATCGCAGTCAGTCTCGCTGTTTTGGTTGTTCGCAGGTAGGTGGGTGTCGCGTACTCATTTTGTGGGAGGGGGTCTGGAGAACAATTAGTTATTACGCAGAAGTACGAAGAGCGCGGACGGCATACCTGTTGACGCTGTGGGTTAGTTTGAGGTTGTCGAGTGTCGCTTGATGTTGCTGTGTCGGAAGTCGATTTCGCTCATTGTGCGATGGTGGGGGCTAGCCGTTTGCGACGTAGCGGCTTGGCCACGCCAAAACCCGGAGCGAGAACTTCCTACTCGCATGCATTCGACATGTTATTTGGCACTGCGATTTGATCGTAAGAGCATTCTGGTGATATACCTTGTCGCAGGTCTCATGGCGTGCTCTAGCTCGCGTCAAGATTCGAATCCGATAATCGTTCCTCACGACGGCTTCTTTGTTACCTGGAAAGATGGACTGAGTCGCCATTTTCATCCATTCATCCTAGAGCATGCATTTCGTATATCAATGGTGCTGGAACACGTCATCTTAAGATACAGCACATGAAAGAACTTCGACAACATGCACCGCCCTTGAGGCGTTAGTCAAATCGACAACTGGACCCGTGTTAGGAACGGAGTTGGACTCTCTCTCGTGCTGAGAGTTCGCACCGGAATTGGATGTTAGAACCTTCGCTCTTCTATTACTTCTCACTTGGGTAGCGTGGAGTACTCAGAGTTTCTACTCTGTCAACCTTGCCTTGCCTCACAGGTGTGTACGTTCGCGTTCGCGCCAGGGTACGTTTGTACCGTTGACGTTCCCAGTCCATGTCTCGCCGCGAATTCAGGAGGTATGTGGACATGGAACGGATAGCTCCTGGCCCCTGTCACTTCCATCAGTCCGCTCTCGCGTCACCTTTCTTGAAATAGCACAGAGCTGCATACCCTGGGCATTGTTCGCCTTCATGCAATTCTGGTCAGTCCAACATATCAATCAAGGTTACAGCTTCATACGCCTCAAATACTTTCGCCGCTCAGATTAGATCGATTCTCGTGCAGCGCTGTGGGTGCGGATGTCCAACTCCTGGCTCGTAGTGCTTGCTACAGTTAGGCGCGATGCATGTGTGAGTAGCGCGCGCAGCGTGCACAACTCACACGAGTCTCACGCAAGCATTGCATCCTAGCAACAGGGGTCACGATCACCGGCGCAAGGCTCTTTTGCGATTGCGCATCGGTTTGTATCATCAACGATTGATGTTGCACCAGGCAGAGTACCTCCAAGGCTTCGCGGCACGTGTGATTCTCCTTTATGCCAAGCTCCTCTTCCCCACGCCATACTAAACCGTTCCCGCAATTTATGTGTCCACACCACAAGTTTCAAAAAAGAACATGTTCGGCATGTCGTTATTGCATTTCCAAGTGACAGGCCCTTTGTCTGTGCCTGGCCCGGCGTTTTGGGCGCTCGTGAAGGGCATGTGGAGAGAGCCCCACGATCCAATACAAGGAATAGCATCCACCACGCTCTGCGGTCTTAAAACAACTCGCGTTCATATCGTTAAGCACTGCAGTGTCGCGCCACATGCTTCAAGTCACCTTGCTTTTGGCTTGGGCATATCCTGTGCCGAGCGCGGCATCTAAGCATGCTTAGCCGTAATGCACCAATGAGCAGCACGTATGCAAACTCGTGCCGCTGTCCTCGAGGCTTGCTCGTGGCACCCACTCGTCGCAGTCCGCTCCGCCTAGAAACCAGAGCTCTTGCGTATTCATACCCAGGGCCATGGCGCACTGCACCCCAACATCGTCGACCCTCCACGACCCAAGCGTGCCCAGAGTGTTGCTTGAAGAAAAGCAGGAGCAGTCCGCTCATCGTGAACCAGCACCGACCTCTATTTTTACTACGATTCATGCCCAGTCACCGCGTCTGCAAGCTTACATCACTTTTGAAACAACACACGTCTGTCCGTCGTGAGCCTAGGCAGCTATCCAGCTGTTAGCCTCCGCCTACGAATGGGAGCCGAACGATAGGTCTCATTCTCGTCCAAGGACAAATACAGTACTTCGTCGACCCTTCCATTGATATCGTTTCCTGTTTTACATGGTTCGCTAAAGGCTGTGATACGGAAGTTAAAGTCTACTTGGCACGGTGTTTTACATCAAGATCACGATGCATTCACCCCCATTATCGAAAGCAGGCAACTCTGCTTACCATGATGCTACCAGTGTCTACGTGAGTATTCATGATCCCAACTGTTTGATCTGCCACTGACATGCTACCAGACACATATTGCTGTATGTCTGCGTGATCGAAGTCCCTACGAGGCGTCCGTCTACTTCCTTTGCTAACTGTAGCCAGGATCCCAATGAGCGGCGTCGGATGGCGCTTGCCGAGGTTGATAAGGCACCATTTGGGTGGTACCACGTGCGACTTGCTGTTGTCACTGGTATTGGATTCTTCACGGATGCGTATTCAGTACGGCTAATACCAAAGGCACATCGAAAATACTAACCTAAACTAGTTATTTGCCATCAATTTGGCTGTGATAATGCTCGGTATAGTATGTCAAGTTAATCCAACGTCTCCTTTGGTCCAGCCCATGTAACCGACAACCGGTATCATTGGGCGAATCGCATGGCTTACGTCGCCCGCCTATGTACTTACTGATACCTAGGTCTACTGGCAAGATGACGTGAACAAAGGCGTCATGCCTCACAATGCCGACACTGCGATCAAAGTTGCTACGTCTGCTGGAGCCAGTATGTAAGAGCTGAATGCCAGAAGTCGGATCGGCACTGACATGCCCCTTCCCTATAGTATTTGGTCAAGTCATCTTTGGCTACCTTGCCGATGTTTTGGGGCGGAAAAAGATGTACGGCGTTGAACTTATGATCATCATTTCCACAACGTTGGCGCAATCGCTTTGTGGAGAATCAACCGCTGTCTCCGTCGTGGGAGTCCTCATTTTCTGTAAGTCTAAAAGCCTAGGATGTTTGCTTGGTGTTTACCTATTACGTACGCAATCTAACGCTTTTCTAGATCGTGTAGTCATGGCAGGTCTCCCCTGGTGATGCACTCATTGACCGCCACTGATGAAGATCAGGGAATTGGCGTGGGAGGAGACTATCCTCTCAGTGCTGTAATCACTGCGGAATTTGCCAGCACCAGAAATAGAGGTGGAATAATTGGTAATTAACCTAGAGCCACCGTCCTTTCCTGCATGAAGACTGACTCGACGCAGCCGCCGTTTTTGCCATGCAAGGCCTCGGGCAATTAGCCGCCGCGCTCATGGCCCTGGTCGTGGTTGCTGCATATAAGAAAGACCTGATGGCTGTTCCAGATGTGGCATCCTGCAGCGGCGACTGCGTTGCGGCCGTTGACAAGATGTGGAGGATCATCATCGCATTTGGGGGAATCCCTGGCTGGTTCGCCCTCTACTACCGTCTCACCATTCCTGAAACTCCACGATATACCTTCGACGTTCTGTATGACGTTGAAAAGGCCTCTATGGATACTCGTCGCTACCGGTATGGAAAAGCAGGTAATACGGTAAACCCTGTTGAGCAAGCTCAAGTCCGACGTGACATGGTAAGTGAAGCCTAGAGCTGTCGTGCTTATATTTGCGCAATGCGCTCGTTTCAAGTAATGCGACTGTGTTATCTTAGGCGCTCCTAATGGAAGTCGCTTGCTGATAATACTTCCAGGCCAAATACAAGACCCCGCGTCCAACTGTTGGGGAGATATTCCGCTACTACTCAAAGAAACGCAACTTTATCAGACTTTTCGGAACATCATTCTCATGGTTCTTTCTCGACTTGGCATTCTATGGTCTCAGCTTCTCGAGCGCAAGTCTTCTAAGCACCATGGGCTTCGACAAGAGGGGGAGTCTTTACGAAAACCTAAGAAACACGGCAACAGGGCAAGTGGTTCTTATCTGCGCCGTGAGTATTTTTCTGACATAGTTGCTCACTTTTTAATTGCTCTCAGGGCGCGATACCTGGTTATTGGATGACAGTGTTCACAGTCGACCGCCTCGGCAGAAGACCAATCCAGATTGGCGGCTTCGCCATCCTCACAATCATCTTCTGCGTTCTAGGATTTGCATGGAAGGGGCTTACCAAGATCCATCTGTTGGCGCTCTACGTGCTGGCTCAATTCTTCTTCAATTTCGGCAAGTATTCTCACATCGCTGAACCTCATCGAACACGGCGCTAACGCAACCAGGCCCAAACGCCACAACGTTCATCACCCCAGCCGAAATCTTCCCCACCCGTGTCCGCTCAACCGGCCACGGCATATCTGCCGGCTTCGGCAAGCTAGGCGCCGTCATCGCACAGATCTTCTTCGCCCCCATGATCAAGCGCGGCGCCACGCACGATAATCCCACCCCCTGGATCCACGGCGTCATGCAGATTTTTGCGCTCTTCATGTTTCTCGGGTGCTTGACGAGTCTGCTGGTGCCGGAGAGTAAGAGTGCGAGGTTGGAAGAGCTTGCTGGGGAGAGCGAAGATGTATATGAGCTGCAGTTTAGGAGTCAATTTTATACGAGTGGGGAGAGGAGTCCGAGGGGGAGTGCGCCGAGTGGACGGGGGAGCGCGTTGAGCAGTGCTGGAGATCATCATACGAGGGGGGCAGGGAGAGGTGTGGGCCGGGGTGATGAGGATCCTGAGAAAGGGAGATGGTGGAAACTGGGTTGAGCATTTGCTTTGCTTTGTCTGTTGTATATCAAGTCAAGGCGTTCCAGCGAAGCAACGAGTTCTTTCATGGCCCGAGTGACGACTGAATGTGCACAGATATAGGGTATCACTACATTCATATCGCTTCTGTCTTATTGCAGGACGAACGATGGCCTTCCATACCGAAAACTCTGCTTCAAAATTGAGCAGACAACTTGTCATATTTGAGCAGACAGAGATTGTGATGAGCATGAAATGAACAGCAACTACCACTCCAGTACATCGCTCGAGCCCGATCGCTCCACATCGTCCTCGGTTCCTTCCTCAACATATCGCTCTTCCTGTTGCTCTGCGCCTTCCTCGTCCACTGTCCCTTCTGTATCTGACGCTTCTTTACCGGAACCGTAGTCCTCATTCTCCAAAATTTCCACGACTCTGCCTAAGTCATCTCTCAGCCCTGCCAGCCTTGAATTCTCCCTGATGCGTGTATAAAATACAGGGCAGTCCCGGCTGTCGCATCGGATCGTCTCTCCCCATGCAAGATTCGAGCAACTCCTGCATATCGCATTGATATTCGCGGCTCGTTTCTCACTCTTGCAGATGATGTTCTTCAAACCCAATAATGCCCTTGCAGGCTTCTTAAGGCACTGTTTGCAAAGCGGTAATCTCAATTCAGTATCGAATGTGTTGAGCTTAGGAGTAGGTGGAAGCTTGGACCGGCAGATCAGGCAGACCGAGCTTTTCAAATATCCTTCGAGCGTTTTGATGTGACTACCATTGCCTTCCTTCACAAGCGCGTTGGCGACTAGTTGCGGTTGGTTTAGGGGAAGTGTGACGTTTCGAATCCGCTGGACTTTGGGCATCTCATCGTACCACTGCCGTACATTGGCGCCCATGAGACTAAAGATGCGCTCGAGTGGTGGGATGAGATTCTTCAGGATGTAGTATTCCGCGTCGAGCTCGATGTGGTCATTTTGGAGCAGTGTTTCGGGGCTCACACAACGGTCGATAAGACGCGCACTAGGCGCCCCAGTGACCACGACATATGGCACCCGCTCGCCATATTGAGGCTCTGCGCGTGGATCGGCGAGCATACGCTTAGTTGCGATCAGTGCTCCAGGGGGCGGCGGCCCACGATCTGAATACGTGCCTAGTTTGACTTCTTTTGCGAACAAGAAGTCTTGAATGCTGACGCGTCCTTCCATGATTTTGGCGCACTGGCTCAGGAAGTAGCTCTTGACTTGCGATAGATCACTCGTCTTGAACAGAATCTTAAGTGCCTTCTCTTCGATCTTTTGCTCCGCTGGTGTCCCATCTCGGCGAACTGTTTCGATGCCTTTGGCGTCGAATTCTGGTACTTTCTGATTGCGGTGCTCGTACTTGAAGCCGACGTAGCGCTTCTTAGCCAGCAGAACGCATGGGTGATACACCTTCTCGAATTTGAGTTTGATCGGCCGTGGATTCATTTGTGTTATTGTGTCAGCTATCTCTTCTCCAATGGTGAAGGCTTGGTCCCGCGTACGCCCTTTGAGGTATACGAACAAGGAGTCTGTATCACCATATACGACTTCGGCATTCCACTTTTCAACAGAATGGATAAACGCGATTGCCTTCTCTAATGTTTCTCGACCAGTCTGAACGATGCTGTCGGCGATCTCAGAGGCTGGCATTCGGCCGGAAAACGAAGCCGACGTGTATCCATATGTGACATTTGCCAGCAGCTTCAAGGCCAGTTGCCGGTTGTTGAGCAGCTGTTGCAGCGTCTTGTCGTCTTTGTCTATTTTCATCCCGCTCTTCACCATTACACGGGTCTCTAGAATCTCTCCGAGCATTTTGGCAAGTAAAGATTTGCGCATCTGGGGCTTGACATACATCATACCATTAGGTGCGATATTGACATGATCTTTGACGAGGTTCAGTAATCCCGGCTCGCGATTAAAATCTGTAAAACCAATCTTGTTCCTGCCTCTCCATGGGACGACGCGACCCAGACATGTGGAATAGCAATAGTTGTAAGCTATCATGACGCTGGGGTAGAGAGATTGAAAGTCGAGGACTAGGAGCGGGCTGGAGTAGAACGCGCTTTGAGGTTCCATAACAAGGGGTAGACACTCGAGAGCGTTCTGTTGGCCAACTTGTTTTCGACTGGGGGAGACCAGGAGGTAGTTTTCTGGCTTTGCGATACGGAACATGGTAGACTCAACCTTGAACTGCGAGCCTCGTGAAATGACAGAGAAGAAGTCGACGCCGAGCAGACGTGCCTGTTCGCTTGTTCTAGGAACGATCTCGTTGGCCTCTAGGATGTCCAAGTCCAGCTGCACTCTAGTAATGAAGTAGTCAACGACTTTCGCCAGGTCTCGAGGCTTGGGACTAGTGTACCATGTTGTGAGGTCTGAGTATTGGTAGTGAGGGATTCGCTTGTGCAGGACATGGAAGACGACGTTCTCCATGGTATACTGAAGCAAGTTCAGTTCCCCTCGCATCGCACGCCATATATTGATCATGTGACGACCGGTTACCCGGATAGTGGAAGTATGGGTGAACCCCCATCGATCGGCTTCTTTGCCGAATCTGCCGTGCGATTGTGACTTGGTACGACTAATTTCATCGCAAAGATCGTACTCGAACTTCAAGCGAGCGCGCTCGATTAGATAGCCCCAAGAGCCATTGTGCACCTCATACCCGGTCAAAATATCTGGATCGAAGTGCCGTACGATGTCGACAATTCGGTTGATTAAGTCGAGCTCGTCTTCTTCGTATTCTACCGCCACTGACGTCTGCTTTCTTATCTGGTTTACAATGCCTTCGTCGTCAGAGAGACACAGCATGCCGGTGCGGTGGTGGTCACCGTTCGCACCGTCCTCGCCTTGTATGCACCAGAATATTGCCTGAATCTCGTCTTTGACAGGGTCTGGCGCAAATGATGCTCTCGAGTTGACATGGACCTCTAAGCTCAGGATACTCATATATTGAGTCTCGTGCTTGACGCTGGTTGATGCTATTTTCTGAGAGTACTTGAAGCCATGTTTGTTGTTCTGGGTGGGTCCTTCCACTTGCGAGACATGCTCTGGAAATTTGCGTTGGTGTGGTAGATTAGAGGCCTTTGGTGCTGGGCCAGCACTGTTGTGTTGCCTCTCGTTACGAAGCCATCGATTCACTTGTTTGTAAGATGGCGGAGCAGGTCCAAGCTCCCAATGTCGCAAGCTGCATTGCAAGGGACGTAGGGGATCTTCAGGGTGCTTCTTGTCGACGAATTCACTTTTGCTGTCAAGAAATGACATATTGACAGGGTCAAACAAAGGTAAATACGGAATAGTGGTACTTTGCAAGGTGAAGTCTCGACCTGCATACTCTCTCGATCGTTCAGGGACATCTGCCTCGTCGCTGTAATATGCATCTCGATACAGCACAGGGAGCCTACCAGAGGATATTGAGGTCTTGACTTCATTGGAAGAGGGGGGGAGTAATGTATAGTGAATGGTTTGCGCACCGCGTGGAGTTGCCCGCATCAGTCGTTTCAGCGTAGAGCTGATCGCTGTTGTGCCATTGCTGAGGCTGTTATGCGTCTGCTCAGCTATAGATGTACGCTGAGAAGTTGAAATTGGCTGCAGCGTTCCTAGGCCAGAATTGAGGTTCTGCGTTCTACCTTGCATTACCTGGGATTGAGAGGCGTTTCGGGACTTTGAGATATCGGTCTGGCTCAAGCGCAGGCGGGTCTCGGGGGCTCTTGGATTCTTGACCACTGGAAATGGCAATGTACTCGGCCTGGCTTCATTCTGAGATGACTGACCGGGACGTGAGTTTTTTTTGGAACCGTGTATTCCATGGCCGTCAGCTTTCACAGAAAGAGACGAACTTGGGGCGCTGTCTGTATCCTCTTGCGAGGGCCTATGCTTTTTACGCAGCCTCTCATCTTCTACAGATGTGGATCGCTTACGCGTGCCACGATCTTCGCTTTGATTGCTATCCAACTCACTGGAGCAACCATTAGGCAATCGACTCTCTTGGTCGTGTTGTGTCATGATCTGCGCTTCAGAAACACTAAGAGGGTCTAGTGAAGGCGCTTCTTCCGTATGGGTTGGATCATCTAGATCCATATCTTCTTTAACGTTTGCGACATCAAAATTATCCTCGGGGGGCGAGATGCGTGCTTGAGCATCTTGTTCAAGAAGCTGAAGCTGATCCTCTTCTTCTGCCAAGAGATGTGTTTCAAAATGCCCAGGGTAAAGATCTTCGACGCTCTCGAGAGCCGTCTTGATGTGGGCTTCACCTTCAGCTGGCTTTACAAATGTCGCTCTATCTGCAACAGGACCAAGGCGATTCTCATCGTTGACAAGCTGTTCCAGAAGCTCTCGATACTCTTCTTCGTGGATCCACCCTGCTTTCTCATTATTCCTCGTATCTGCGGACATGGACACGAGCACCTCGGGAGGAAATGGGCTACTCGAAGGATTGGTCAGACCCATCCGGCGTTTGCGTCGGATTGTTTCATCGCGCCACAGACCAGCCATCGAAGGAACATACTTTTCGTCTGACTTCAAAGCGAACGATTGCTCGAACAGACTGTGGTGGATTGGACGAGAATGTAGCTCGTGTCTGTTCAAGATGTCTTGTACGCACACGTCGATCTCAAGCGAACAATGACTTTGGCGAGGGTACTGGTCTGGTTCGGCAAGCAGATGATTCGATATTGATGCATCGTGCCATTTGTGACTTGTGATGTCGATTGCATCGCTGTCAGGCACAGGGCCTCGGAATTGCACTTTTGCACAATCGATATAGCCGCATCCATAAAGATTGTAATCGCACATCCACTGCAACAAATACTGCAGATGGCTTTCGTAGGGCTGAAAGGTGCGATTCATGATGGCCCCTTGGTGGAGAAGATCGGCGAATCGGGTCATGTGTGCTGGATTCAGCAGGTAAACCTTCAAGAAGAACTTGTAACCGACGTGATATCCATAGAACGGTATGCCTTTAACTAGGGTAATGTGTCCGACATAGACAGACTTTCCGTCGTAGGCGTTGCGTCGGTAGGTGGCGGCGAGCGCATGATCGATGGAGGCGCGCAGGCTTCGCATGTACGCGTCGACTAGGTTGTCAGCGACACCCTCTTAGATATGTTACAATATACGTACCTGCATCCTGATCTAGGCTACCGGTGTACTCTAGATAGAGATATGGCAATGCGCCATGAATATGCGCGCATACCTTCTGGCCTGTTTCTGTGGCACCAAAGACGCGAATAACGGGGACTTGCGGGGCACGCTGATGCTGAGAAATTCCAGGGACCCGCCTGAGGACCGGATCGAGATCAGTCGGCACTGCCTGGTAGTGATCGATGCAATTCAGGCGGAAACGGAACGTGTTCATGGAGGCACATACGCCGGGTGCCGCAAGGCGCGCGTTGTAGGGCGACGGTGGCGGCGTTCATGGGTGGTTATCAGTGTGCTTGTTCCCCGAGAAGAAGCGTATGCGCGAGCTGTGCTGTGGCGAGGCTTCGGCAGGTGAGACCAGGCAGGGAGTGGAGAGAATGAAGGTTGCGCAACAATGCACGACATCCAGGAGCGTCGACGCGCAGTCACGTGCAAGCGGGGCTGGCCTGCGTCCTTGCCGCTTCTGCAGCCCTACGCTCTAGCTCGCGCTCAGACGGCCGATCGCGTCTCTTCCGCTGCTGTCGAGCCTCTGCCTCCATCTCCACTCCACTCCCGCATACGCCTGCCCGCCATGCCGCCCGCACAACCACGCAAGCCCGACGTCTCCGCGGCAGCTAAAGAGCGCAACGAGTACATCCCGTCCTTCATCTCCAAAAAGCCTTTCTATGCCGTCGACGAGAACGGCGAAGACGGCGACTACCTCGAGCATCAGCGCCTTCAAAAGCAAGAGCAGGACTCAAAATGGTACGACCGCGGCAAGAAGATTGGGCCCGCTGCCACAAAGTATCGCAAGGGCGCATGCGAGAACTGCGGCGCAATGACTCACAAGAAGAAAGACTGCTTGAGCCGTCCACGCAAGACCGGCGCAAAGTTCACAGGCAAGAACATCGAGGCCGACGAGGCGGTCGAGGACGTCCAGCTGGGGTGGGACGCGAAGCGCGATCGCTGGAACGGCTACGACGCCGCCAACTTCACTGAGGTCATCGAAGAATACAACGAGCTGGAAGAGATGCGCAAAAAGGCGAAAGAGGCCGCCAAGGGCGACCAAAAGTCCGGAGATGAAGAAGAAGACGAGGGTGACAGATACGATGCGGAAACCGACATGGGGAGGAAACAAGCCACTTCGACTCGGAATCTGCGTTTGCGAGAGGACACAGCCAAGTACTTACTGAATCTGGATCTGGACTCAGCTAAATACGACCCGAAAACACGATCCATGGTAGACACAGGCGCGACGGCGGACAACGCTGCAGCACTGGTGGCAGAAGAGGGTTTCATGAAGGCATCAGGCGATGCGGCTGAATTTGAGCGGGCACAACGGTACGCGTGGGAGACACAGGAGCGGGGCGACAGGAACAAGGTCCATCTGCAGGCAAATCCTACATCTGGTGAACTGATGCGGAAGAAAGAACTACAAGAGGCCGAAGAGACTAAAGCCGCAAAGCAAAAGGCACTGATGGACAAATACGGAGGCCAGGACAAGTTCAACGATGACACTCTTCGCCGAGTCGGCGTCACCGAAAATGAGAGATATGTCGAATATGACGAGCGGGGTCGCATCAAGGGTGCACCAAAGGTCAAAGCCAAATCAAAGTACCCTGAGGATGTGCTCATCCACAACCACACTTCTGTCTGGGGTAGTTGGTGGGCAAGCTTCCAGTGGGGATACGCATGTTGTCATTCGACGGTCAAGAACTCGTACTGTACAGGCTCTGCAGGCAAGGAAGCATTTGAGGCTGCCGAGCGCATGCGACTTGGCGCGGACGCGCCGGACGTGGACGAGATTCCCAAGGCGATAGCACAGATCGAAGATGCAGCTTTGAAGAAACACGTGCCCAATACTGCTGAAAAAGACGATAAGGCAACACGGGACGACAAGCGGAAGAGAACACTGGAAGAAATGAGGGATGGTGTCACGGAGGCAGAGATGGAGGAATACCGACGCAAGAGGCAGATGGCTGCGGATCCTATGGCGAATTTTCTTGCCAGCAAGGAGGCTATCTAGGCTTCCATTTTTTTTTTCCTTCAGCGATATTGACCATAACCACATTTCTTGTAAGCATTGCGTGGCGTTCCAGGACCATAGTTCGTTTAGTCAGCATTTACATTTGGAGTAGAAACTTCAAGTACGATTTGCCCATGTATTGCCGACACTGGGGCGACACATTGTAGTCAAAGGCCTCTTTTAGCGCTACAGTCATCCAACGACAGTATGTAGAATGACATCAAAGTTGATAATTGATGCGTTGTCCACCACGATCGGTCTACAAAGAGCATCTGGCAAATGCAAGGCAACGAGTGCGGAAACTCCAAGTGCTCGTTTACATCAAATACCCCGGGTCTGACCCCTCCAGATTGTGCCAACTCAGCGGGGGCGACAAGGTTGCGCGTGCATGGCTGCGCCGCGTCCGCTGGCGTGGAAGAGGAGCTCGAGGCACGCGTGCCAAGGCCGGAGCTTCGTCACTCAGGGCGCCCTCCCCATATATCGATCGCTGTTAGCTCCCAGAGTATCCCCATCGTGTCGCCCGACCCAGGCAGCACCTCCCACGGTCTCTGCATTCTGTCGCCCTTGTCTGCGGCAATTGTCCCCCACGCGCTCCTTCCTAACCATCTTTTGGCGTACCTTCCAACTTGCGTGCACCGCGAACGCCCCTGCCCGTGCAATAGCTGGCCCAGCGCCGCACCCACGGCAACACCATGTCGCTCTACGGCGGGTCTTCACGCAATGTGGACATGGGAAAGTAAGGACACTCTTCACCAACATGATACACCCCACTCAACAAGAATTCAGGCAGGAACAAGACCTTGCCATCAACATCCGCAAGGCAACGAGCATCGAAGAGACGGCGCCCAAACGTACGTGCTTCTTCGCTGCCTCTCTTCCGGACCAAGCTCACCGGCGCAGGCAAACATGTGCGCAGCTGTATTGTCTATACATGGGACCACAAGAGCTCAGCCTCTTTCTGGCAGGGGATGAAAGTGTGCGTAGACCCTGGAACAGCGCTGCCGGATCGCGCTTGCAGATACTCTTTTGGATCATTCTGATTCATGATGCAGGCAGCCTATTATGGCCGACGAAGTCCAGACATTCAAAGCGCTCATCACTGTTCACAAAGTCCTCCAGGAAGGTCATCCAGTAGTCCTTAAGGAGGCGCAGGCCAACATCCAATGGCTCGACAGTCTGCAGCGCGGCACTGGTGGCGGCGACGGCCTCAAAGGCTACGGACGCCTTATCACCGAATATGTCTATTACCTCCAGGCCAAACTGGCCTTTCACAGACAACACCCAGAGTTCAATGGTGAGCTGCTCGCGCAGGAGACACTGCGGGAACTGACGGAAGCCTAGGCACGTTCGAATACGAGGAATACATTAGTCTGAAGTCAATCAACGACCCGAACGAGGGCTACGAGACAATCTCGGACCTAATGACATTACAAGACCAAATAGACCAGTTCCAAAAACTGATCTTCTCCCACTTCCGAAGCGCAAACAACAATGAATGCCGCATCTCAGCCCTGGTGCCACTCGTACAAGAGAGCTATGGCATCTACAAATTTATCACAAGCATGCTCCGCGCAATGCATACCAGTAAGCACGCTGTGTACAAGTACTCATCAGCACTAATACATGCAGCCCTTGGTGATGATGAAGCACTTTCTCCCCTGCGTGGCAGATATGACGCTCAGCATTATCGTCTCGTCAAGTTCTACTACGAGTGCTCCAACCTGAGGTATCTCACAAGCTTGATCACGGTACCGAAACTGCCGCAAGACCCACCCAACCTCCTTTCTGAGGACGACACAGCGCCTGCATTGCCTGCGCGCCCCAAGGTGGCTGAAGACATAGCTCCGCCGCCACCACGCGCACAATCTGTCGATCCCGAACCCATTAACGAATTCTGGAAGAATGATCAAAAGAGGCAACAGGAGGAATATGAAGCTGAGCAGCGACGATTGCAGGATCAGTGGGAAGCAGCTCAGCGGCAGCAGCAAGAGGCACAAATGCGCGCACAACAAGACTTCGAGGAACAACAGCGACTTCAGGCAGAACAGGCTCGCTTGGCTCAAGAGCAATTGCTGCGCGAGCAGTACCAGCAGCAGACTCAAGGGCGTCTGGCCGACCTGGAGCGGGAAAACCTGAACGCACGTGCGCAGTACGAGCGCGATCAGCTCATGCTGCAACAATATGACCAGAGGATGAAGGCCTTGGAGGGCGAAATACAGCAAATGAACCTGAACTTCCAGCAACAGATGGGTTCACGGGATGATCAGATCAAGGCGCTGCAAGAGCAACTCAACACGTGGAGGTCAAAATACGAATCTCTAGCCAAGCTGTATTCGCAACTACGTCACGAACATCTTCAGCTTCTGCAAAAGTTCAAGTCTGTCCAGCTAAAGGCCAATTCCGCACAAGAAGCCATCGATGCGCGAGATAAGCTTCAACGCGAGCTAAAGACGAAGAACCTAGAGCTCGCTGACATGATCCGTGAGCGTGACCGAGCAATGCTGGACAAGGATCGTAACAGTGGAGGCCACAAAGAAGAGCTCGAGAAACTAAAACGCGAACTTCGCTTCGCTTTGGAAAGAGCGGAGAATGCAGAGCGAGGCAAAGGTTCCGAGCTGTCGGCTATGCTCTCGAGACACAACCGGGAGATTGCCGACCTCGAAGAAGCTCTACGTAACAAGACTCGCGCGCTAGAAGACTTCCAGATGAAATATCGGGAAGGCGATTCAGATCTCGAACGGCAACTCCGCGAAAAGGAAGAAGAGCTGGAGATCTTCCGAGCGGGCATGGACCAGACCCTGCTGGAACTGAACGATTTGAAGTTAAACCAGAATGCCAATGACAATGTATTGGATGGTCACCTTGATGAGCTTATTGCCCAGAGTCTCTCAAAGATCAACGATATTATCGATTCGGTCCTCCAGAGCGGAGTACAGCGGGTGGATGACGCCTTGTATGAACTCGATTCATCCATGCACGCCGGAAATCAAAACGCTTCTGGCGCTTTCGTTCTCTCGCAAATCGAAAAGGCGTCTACATGTGCCATGGACTTCGCTACAGCTTTCAACGGCTTCATCGCGGACGGCCCGAACGCTACGCATGCTGAAGTAATCAAGACAGTGAATGCATTCGCTGGTGCGATTGGCGATGTCTTGAGTGATACCAAAGGTCTTACCAGGTTCGCTTCAGATGACAACAAGGCGGACGCTCTTGTCAACGCTGCGCGCCAATCTGCAACAGCAACAGTCAAGTTCTTCCGCAACGTCCAATCTGTACGTCTGTATGATCTTGATGCGGATGGCAAATTCAACGTCGTTGTAAATAACAACGCTGAAGTCCTTCGCAATCTCCAAAGCCTGTCGAAACTGGCAGACGCATTCGCGCCGAAGAGCAAGATCACCAACGCATCCGGAGATCTTGGTGAGTTGGTCGAGGACGAGCTTACAAAGGCTGCCAACGCTATTGACGCTGCCGTCGAGCGACTGTCCAAGCTGAAGAACAAGCCACGAGATCAATTCTCTACCTACGAGCTTAAGATCCATGACTCGATCTTGGACGCTGCGATTGCTGTGACGAATGCTATTGCTCAGCTTATCAAGGCTGCCACTGAATCGCAAAAGGAGATTGTTCGGGAAGGCAGGGGCAGCATGACCCGCACCCAGTTCTACAAGAAGCATAACCGCTGGACCGAGGGACTCATCAGCGCCGCTAAAGCTGTTGCATCGTCCACTAATACGCTCATTGAGACCGCTGATGGCGTGATCTCTGGCCGCAACTCGCCTGAGCAACTCATTGTTGCATCAAACGATGTGGCCGCCTCAACTGCACAACTCGTGGCTGCCAGTCGCGTGAAGGCTAGCTTCATGAGCAAGACGCAAGACCGACTCGAGAACGCATCAAAGGCCGTCACTAGCGCTTGTCGTTCTCTGGTGAGGCAAGTTCAGGCCATCATTGCACAGAAAAACAAGGACGAAGGCGAATCAGTGGATTATAGCAAACTCAGTGATCATGAGTTCAAGGTCCAACAAATGGAACAGCAGGTACGTAAAACCCCTCTCACTCGACATCGTCCAGTCGCTAATTATAACGTACAGGTGGAGATATTACAACTCGAAAACTCGCTTGCACAGGCTAGATCAAGGCTGGGTGAGATGCGCAAGTTGTCGTACCTCGAGGAGTAGAGCATTTGTGGAGCGGGTGGGTGTTGGTTATAGAGCTATTTTTATGCATTCGAAAGCTGCGTCCGCAAGCTCTTTAGCGACCCATTCACGTCGAACGGGTGGATTCCTGTAAGAGTGTTCTTGTGCATCAATACCATTTCATTGGCTCAAGTTTCTGCTTGCTTCACACTTCACCTTGAGTCTATGGTAGTGTAATACTGCAAGAATCCGAAGCTTGGGTGGCCGACCATGCCTTGTATTGTCTCCGCGGGCGGACATAGACTCTTCTTGGCGAAGTAGATCTAGTAGATCTTCGATAGCCTCGTTTGTACCATGGATGTACTATCTAACATAGGTACGCTCATCTCTTCAAGACAATTGTACGAGTGAATCACTCAAGCAGCATCACTGTGATCATCTAGCCGTAATGCATGCTCATAGAGCAGTCTACTTTTGTAAGACTCATAGGAGAAATATAATCTCTACTTCATGTCCCACATCAACATCTCACACAACGAGGTGAAAGTGCTGTTTCATTTGAATTGAGGCACAAATAGACTTCGAGAAGCCGCTGCATCCATTGACCTTGGTGTATAGATATTACAGCATACGCTCGTGGACATACATTCTCGAACAGACCTTCAGAACACCCCTCAATGTTTCAATTTTTCTATATGAATGTGCGTAAGAACTCTCCCAGCGCCATAATAGCCATAGCTTGCCCATAAGGCATGGAGGTAATAGGTATCTTGCAATAGAAATCCAGATCAGGCCCCATGGCAGTGCCAAAACTCGTGCCTTGCAGTTCGCCCTTGTCGTCAATCTTGCCTATCACGGCCTTGACAGCTTTTACGGCAGGCTCTAAGTATTCCTTCCCAAGGTATCCTTTTCTTACACCCTTCAACATGCCATATGCGAAACCAGCAGTCGCCGAGGATTCTTCGTAGTTGCCGTTTTCGAGTGGTAGGTCGATCAAGGTCCGCCACATGCCATTCTCTCCTTGGTACTTGACGAGTGCTTTGCACTGAGCTTCGAAGATGCCGAGCAGAAATTGTCGGAGCGGATCATCTGGTTGGAGGCGCAGAAGTTCGACGAATTCCGGCAGGACAATGGTGAGCCAGGAGTTGCCGCGAGCCCATCTAGCTCTGGCAAAATTGTGACCGATGCTGCCGTCCTTGCCTTCTTCCCATTTCCACCCGTGGAAGAAGAGCCCTGTCGAAGTGTCGAAGAGATACTGGCAGTGTAGCTGGAACTGCCTCCTCGCTTCGTCCACGTACTCGGGCCGATCTAATGTGAGCCCTATCTTGGCCAGTGGGAGCGCGCTCATCATTAGTGTGTCGTCCCACAGCTCGTCTTTGTTGAAGGAGTTGTACGTCTCGTGTTGGAACCCTCCGTATTTAGTTCGCGGTAATCCGTTCATCAACCACTCCGCCCACGTGTCTAGCCACGGCAGATATGTTCGATTACCGGTGTCTTCGTAAAGGTACGCGAGCGTGAGGAATGGGCTCATCGTGTTGATGTTCTTCGTTGTTCCTTTCGCCAACTGCTTCTGGAACCAGCCAGTCATGATGTCCTTGGTATTTTGCGACCCTGTGAGTGTGTAGTAGTGCCAAAGGCCATAGAGGCCGATGCCGTGCGTCCACTCCCACCCATCCCAACCTTTCGTATCAATTACACGGCCATCGTCGAGCTTCAGTAGAAATTCGCCGGTTGTGTCGTGGATATTTATCAGGTTGTGTGTGAGGAGCTGGATTGCCGAGTGGATGTCATCGGACTTTAGACCGTGAATTGTGAGTGTTGACATGATGGGCCAATCTTGGGCAGACTGTACCCCGCGATCAACTGACTCGCGTCTGTATAGAACTTTTGTAGAGAGATGCGAACAGAATTCAAGTTCCCCAAAGGTATCAGTGGAGCGTATGGCCAAGTTAGAGCTCCGTAGGATTGTGTTATTGAATCCCCAGAGTTTTGGCAATGAAATTGTTATCGTAGCTGCCGAGCTATAGTCGGTCCACAATGTACCGACCATAGTGGACCACCGTTACATTTGACCCCGAGGCCACATGATCCGAATTACATGAGACTGTGCAATTTTGTGCAACTACGCTAATTACACGTCTGCGTCAACAGATATCCCGATCTATCGCTACACACGACTCAAATGTTGGGGAAACAAGGATGCGAATCCGGGAACGCGGCGCGGCGGGGGACTTGGCCAACCAGCGCACGTGAGAATCTTCATTTGAAGCCTTCGGAGGTAATCTTCCACCAGCCGTCGCTCATATTTCGGCGTCTATTAACCCGGTGGCGTGTTGAAGCGTCGGATTAGTTGTGCACGGGTGCACTCTCCGAAACACCTGATTGCGCCGCCCCAGGTTCACCTCCACAACCTGAGTCGGGGAGTCCGCTCGTGTGGAGAACTTTGTCCGGGGATGGCTCTCAGTCGTTAGGCTCACGGCTCCCCTGCAAGACCGTTAAACCCTATACAGACTAAGTCGCACGGGACATTCCTCGCGAAGAGCGTGAGCTCTGCGGTTGGTGTTGTCCCGAATCGGTTCCATGCCCGTGCTGCCAGGGTAGGCCAGTTTTCCCGGGAGGAGGGCATGCAGTACTTAGAGACTGGCTCCACTTGTTCGACCATACCGTGAGCTCGAGTCTATCCTCTCCACCGACAACTTTGCGTAACAGCTCTCTCCGATCAAGGTCGCCATTGTCGTCAGCATGGCTCGATCAGTACACAACGACGTGCACGCTGCACCCGAAATCAAGAATGATAGCGCCAATGTCGAGCGTGTGCTTTCCACCGATGAAAAGGTGGACCACATCAACTACGACCGTATCGACGACGAACTGGCGAAATATGCCAACGCTGAAGCTATTGAGATCTCGCCAGAAGAGAACAAGAGACTGAAGCGAATGATTGACAGGCGTGTGCTTCCAATCATGGTCTTTACATACTTCTTGCAGGCACTGGACAAAGGAACGATGTCTTTTGCCAGTATCATGGGAATTCGAACCGATATTCCAGTCTTGCAGGACAACAGCAAGGTATGCGCTTCATGGTGATGAGCAAAAAGAGTATTTGCGAGAGATCTAACGACTTTTAGTTTGGTTGGCTTACTACCTGTATCTACATTGCTGTTTTGATCGTTGAGTTCCCGACCAATTGGATGATTCAGAGGGTGCCCATTGCCAAGTACCTGGGTTTCAACAGTGAGTAAACCCGATGCCACGAGTTGATATGAAACGAGTTCATTGAACTGACTCTGCTTTCATTTTAGTCATGGCATGGTCCGTTGTCCTCGCATGTCACGCCGCTTGCAAGAGCTTCCCTGCCTTGATTGCCGTCAGGACAATGCTCGGTATTTTCGAGGCCGTTTGCCAGCCGACTTTCTTGATTCTCAGTTCGATGTGGTACAAGCGTGAGGAGCAGACAACGATCGTTACTTACTGGTACATGATGAACGGAATGCAGCAAATCGTTGGCGGTCTCCTAGCCTACTGCTTCAGTCTCATCAAGTCTCCGCCCTCACCTTTGAAGTCATGGCAAGCTATATTCATGACCTATGGTATGGCTTCGTTCTTTTGGGGAGTATTCGTTATTTGGTGGCTTCCTGGTAGGTATCATCCACTGTAGGCGAGGAACATCATAGCTGACTTCCCTTTAGACAGTCCCATGCGTGCAAAGTGTTTCTCCGAGGAAGACAAGAAACTTATGATCGAGAGAGTTCGCTCCAACCAGACCGGTCTCCAGAACAGGAAGTTTCGTGCATACCAAGTCAAGGAGGCGCTCCTTGACCCTCAGTCTTGGTGCTACTGCCTCATTGCCATCTGCACCACTCTTCCGACATCTGGTCTCGGCGGCTTCGCCAACATCATCATCAAGGGCTTCAATTTCTCCGTCTTGGAGACACAACTTCTCGCCATGGTACTTGGCGTTGTCATCATCCTGACGCTCATCTCTGCCACCTGGTTGGCAAACAAGACGCAACAGAATCTGCTGGTTATGGGCATCTATGTCATACCGTAAGTTTCCCACTCAACACTGGACGAGAATCACTTGCTAATTTTCATAAGATCCTTCATCGGTACCATCGTTTTGATGACAGTAAGACTCCACAACCAGGCCACTCAAGTTGGACTCCTCATCAGCTACTACATCGTGCTCTCTTTCTGGGCTGCACAGACACTGTCCATGTCGCTTCTATCTCGCAACATCGCTGGCCAGACCAAGAAGACAACTGTGGTCGCAATGAACTTCATTGCGTGGTGTGTCGGAAATTCTATTGGACCCCAGGTTTTCTTGACCCGAGACAAGCCCCGCTACTTCATCGCTTTCGCGACCCACATGGGGTGCTACGTTTTGCTCGTAATTGTCATCGCGTTCCTGCGATTCAACTTTATGCTTCGCAACAAGAAGAAGGACACCTTGGCTGCGCAGGTGGCGGAGGCGAACGATGACCACCTTGTCCACGCGTTCGATGATTTGACCGACAAGGAGAACCCGAACTTCAGGTACATGTACTAGGTGCAGAGGCTGTCGAATAGTGTTAGCGAAACGCAGGGTGTGACTGAGAAATGAATGGAGCACTTTATTATTTTACACCAATGTGGAACATGGTGAGACTTGCCATTTGTGAAGTACCTCGCGCCCGGCGTAGTGCCCTTATTGTGATACCAGAGAGTAACACCCCGCAACAACCGCTTACGCCAACTGCAAAGCACGCTATGTTTGACGCAGGGACAGCCTGGGATCACTCGAGTCCCTGGCGCGAGTCCTGGTCTTCAGTACGGGGAGATACATGCGACACGTGACAGCGCGACAGCCTGCCCTGGCAGCCCAGAACATCCAAGTTAGCGACCTGTACACCTCTTGACAGCATGTCGCAAACAACACGGCCACCAGAGACGGCCAACATGGCCAGCAGCGGCAACGAGGAGCAGAAGCAGCCGCCGCCGGAAACGAAGCAGAGTCTCTGGCTGCGGCGAGCAGTCATCGCATCCTTCTGGGCTGTCGTGGCCTTCCTGGGCCTCCCCGTCTGGTACAAGACGACGGCCATATATCGCGCCGACCTTCCCTTGCAGGATATGACAGCATGGGCAAATGGCCAGGTAGGAGCAATCCTTACGTTTTGATGAGGCCGAGGTCGTTTGCTGACGAGCACAGGTCTGCAAGCCCGTCTTTCCCCTCCACATCGCCGTGCAAGCCCCGCTGCTCGCCCAAGATGCGCACCATCTCCTCCACGCCACGCAGCAGACCCTCGACGACCTGAGCGACTTCCCTGCCCACCAACTGCACCTCGCATTCGCCGAACCGCCACCGCCCGCCAATGCCTCACAACAAGTCACCGCTGACGGCTCGGGTCCAGCAGACCTTGACGACACGGTGGCTCTATCTGTACGCTTGATACCTGTAGAAACGGGTGTCACACCTCGTTCCCAATTGCAACCCTTCTCGGCCACCCTCGACGTATATTATCAGCTTAGCCAGATACCCACACAGTCCTCGACCAGCTCGCCACTTACAACCTTCATTGCCCATGAGTTACACCAGTTGTATGCGCAGGAACGCGTGCGTTTGTCTAGCTTGTACTCAGATGCAGCCTCCCAGAGCAAATCGCTGTCGCCCGAGCTTACAGCTCAGCTTCAGCGAGACGCCACACGCGCATTCAAGTATGCGCCAACATACCACCTGACCTTCTCCTTATTTACGCCTACATCGAGCCCGTCCGCCTGGGACATTGAAACCGCACTGCGCCAGTACATGAACCCTATCCTAGAATCTTTCGCCGGTATCAGCAACTTTACCATTGACACCCAGGTCCAACTCTACGCCAATTTCTCGCCTTCCATCCGACAGCCCGAGTACGATGAGAATACCAAAGCCTGGACCATCTTCAAGGAAGACGTGAGCGGTTTCATAAACGCCGCCGAATGGCCTCTCAGCCCCAGCATCGGTCAAGGCCCAACCATCAACTTCGCCCTCTACGTCCCAGACGAGGTCCAGTCTCCTTTGTTCGTGAAGGGAAGCAGAGACAACAGCTGGCTGGTGCCCCAGTGGGGTGGAGTCATGATATTAAATGCTCAGTCTCACGAGACCACGTTGACGAAGGAAGCGCTCGTCCCGGCTATGCAGGTCTTCTCGACGCAGCTGAGCTCCCTGCTCGGCTTGCCCCAGACCCCGGCTTCACTGCCCCTCCGGATATCCACGTTGACACGGATTCACGCTACATCACTCCTCTTCTCAGCTTCATCTACGCTGGGAGCTCTCGCGCAGGTGTACCAGAAGATGCCCACCATTCCGGTCCCCGACACTGTCGCCAAATCTGTCAATTTGTCCCTTGCACACCTTCGTCAAACGTGCGAATCCTTGCGAGACGGCCGTTTCCAGGACGCCTTGCAGAACGCGAGAACAGCAGACGGTGAGGCCGAAAAAGCCTTCTTCGAACGCTCGATGGTGGGCCAGGTTTACTTCCCAGACGAGCATAAGGTCGCTGTCTATCTACCTCTTCTAGGCCCGGTGGCCGTCCCTCTTATTATGGCTGCGCTCAAGGAGGTAAAGGCTGGAATAGCTGCTTTGAAGGGGAGATGATGGGTAAGACAATGTGACTAAGATATATCTAGAACCTGGCGGAGGCTGTGGAATAATGCGCAGTATCTCCTTTGCAGAACCATCGTGGCTGAGCGGTCGACCCCGAGAATCACTCCTCTTGATGGGCAGGCGGCAGTGTGGAGAGCCACCAGTGTCGTTCAGAGTAACCCGGGTTGCCCCAGGATAGACACTATAGCCGGCGATAACATCGAAGTCTTTGTCGAATTATTCGCATGGCGCCGAATGGCGCCCTATAGTTCAAAATCATGACACTTTTGCGAGCCGGAAGGTCTACCTCTGTGTTATCTCAAGATCATAGTGCATACAACAAGCTCGCATCATGTGAATATTGGCTTTGACTCCGGTGAGATGAGGTTCGGTCGGTGTCATCTCGTACGTCCGCTTCTGATCGGAAATACTAGAACGTTCCCAAGAACCTACAAGGGGCCAAACCCTTCTCCACAGCTCGACGTTCGTACTGGCTGTGCGCTGCCTCTGGGTGGTGAACGGACAACCGGGGCAGACCGCCTTGCCTCGCAGCCTTGCAGGGCATGCTCACCGTATTTTGAGCCATTCTACACAACAACTTGACATCTCTCCGCATCGTCTTCTTGGTCACTACATGACGCAAGTCCAACAGCTCCGCTCTGTTGGTACTGGCTTTGAGTCAGTCTGTGGCCGATCTGACTGCCACAGACCCCGCAATGGTGGGGTTTTTAATGAGCGAGACGCAGCGTGGAGAATTCTCGACACAGCAGGGTAACGCAGCCGTGAATGGCAGTGCGTTAGGCAGAAAAGCAATCAGTCGACGACAAAGGCTGCGCGCGGGTGCAGAGCGCAAACAAACAGACTACAAAGTAAGAGGCTGTGGGCGGGGCGGTTGGGGCTGCTGCCGGACTGCTGGGGTCGAGGCGCAATCTAGGGCGGTGAAGGTAGCTGCGTAGCGTGATTGGCTCCCGCCAGCAGTTTCCATGCGATTCTGCCAGCCTGCTAGAAGATTCTCGAGCTCCACCGCAGCCGTATATATGTCGACGCCTGCAATTCTGCCTCTGCCTGTTCTCCATCTTCTTTGAATTGCTCATTGAGACCCGCTGCAGACGCATCTGCCCGCCACTACTACCCACCACACGCATAGCTTTCTTGTAAAGCTCCCGGGTCATTCACTGCTTCACCTGTAAGTGCCTGCCGCCTGCGCCCGCACCTGCGCCTCTGAACACCCCGCCGAGTCAAAATCTCTTCCCCACTCGACCCGTTCGATCGCATTGTACATTGTCTGACCCAGTATCAGCTCCTAGTCCGACCTAAACACATACCCCGCCATGGCCGAGACTTTCGAGTTCCAGGCTGAGATCTCTCAGCTGCTTGGTCTCATCATCAACACCGTCTACTCGAACAAGGAGATCTTCTTGCGAGAACTCATCTCCAACGCCTCCGATGCCCTCGACAAGATTCGGTATGAGGCTCTCTCAGACCCCAGCAAGCTCGACAGCGGCAAGGATCTCCGCATCGACATCATCCCCAACAAGGAGGCCAAGACTCTTACCATTCAAGACTCTGGTATTGGTATGACCAAGGCCGACCTGATCAACAACCTTGGTACCATTGCCCGCTCTGGCACCAAGCAGTTCATGGAGGCTCTCTCCGCCGGCGCCGACATTTCCATGATTGGTCAGTTCGGTGTTGGTTTCTATTCCGCATACCTCGTCGCAGACCGTGTCTCCGTGGTCTCAAAACACAACGATGACGAACAGTACATCTGGGAGTCGAGCGCTGGTGGCACCTTCAAGATCGCTGAGGATACCGAGGGTGAGCAGATCGGCCGCGGAACCAAGATCATCCTCCACCTCAAGGATGAGCAGATGGACTACTTGAACGAGGCCAAGATCAAGGAGGTCGTTAAGAAGCACTCCGAGTTCATCTCCTACCCCATCTATCTCCACGTTCTCAAGGAGACCGAGAAGGAGGTTGAGGACGAGGATGCCGAGGAGACCACTACCGAGGGCGACGAGAAGAAGCCCAAGGTTGAGGAGGTCGACGACGAGGAGGAGGAAAAGAAGGAGAAGAAGACCAAGACGGTCAAGGAGTCCAAGATTGAGGAGGAGGAGCTCAACAAGACCAAGCCTATCTGGACCCGAAACCCCCAGGACATCAGCCAGGAGGAGTACGCCTCCTTCTACAAGTCGCTCTCTAACGACTGGGAAGACCACCTTGCTGTCAAGCACTTCTCTGTCGAGGGTCAGCTCGAATTCCGCGCCATCCTTTTCGTTCCTAAGCGCGCGCCCTTCGACCTTTTCGAGACTAAGAAGACCAAGAACAACATCAAGCTCTACGTGCGCCGTGTCTTCATCACTGATGATGCCACTGACCTCATCCCTGAGTGGCTTAGCTTTGTCAAGGGTGTTGTTGACTCCGAGGACCTGCCCCTCAACCTCTCGCGTGAGACCCTTCAGCAGAACAAGATCATGAAGGTCATCCGCAAGAACATCGTCAAGAAGACTCTCGAGCTCTTCAATGAGATTGCCGAGGATCGTGAGCAATTCGACAAGTTCTACGCTGCCTTCAGCAAGAACTTGAAGCTCGGTATCCACGAGGACTCCCAGAACCGCCAGTCGCTTGCCAAGCTTCTACGATTCAACTCCACCAAGTCTGGTGACGAGGCCACCTCGCTCGCCGACTACATCACCCGCATGCCCGAGCACCAGAAGCAGATGTACTACATCACTGGTGAATCCCTCAAGGCCGTCCAGAAGTCTCCCTTCCTTGACTCCCTCAAGGACAAGGGTTTCGAGGTTCTCTTCCTTGTTGACCCCATCGACGAGTACGCCATGACTCAGCTCAAGGAGTTCGACGGCAAGAAGCTCGTCGACATCACCAAGGACTTCGAGCTTGAGGAGACCGACGAGGAGAAGAAGGCCCGCGAGGAGGAAGAGAAGGAGTTCGAGGGTCTCGCTAAGAGCCTCAAGAACGTTCTCGGCGAGAAGGTCGAGAAGGTTGTCGTTTCGCACAAGCTTACCGGCTCTCCTTGCGCCATCCGTACCGGCCAGTTCGGTTGGTCTGCCAACATGGAGCGTATCATGAAGGCCCAGGCTCTCCGTGACACCTCCATGAGCTCGTACATGTCTTCCAAGAAGACCTTCGAAATCTCGCCCAAGTCTCCCATCATCAAGGAGCTCAAGCGCAAGGTTGAGGCTGACGGCGAGGAGGATCGCACCGTCAAGTCCATCACCCTGCTTCTCTTCGAGACCTCTCTCCTTGTCTCCGGCTTCACCATTGACGAACCCGTCCACTACGCCGAGCGCATCCACAAGCTTGTCTCGCTTGGCCTGAATGTCGACGAGGAGGTCGAGACCGAGCAGGAGGCTAAGGCCGACGAGCCTGCTGCTGAGGCGACTGGCGAGAGCGCTATGGAGGAGGTTGACTAGACGCCTCTCCCTCTCCCGCCTTGAAAAGTTTGGCTCGGCGTTTGATTCCCCCTTTTACGTGTTACGGCTTTTCCTCTTTCCATCCCTCCTTCTCACTACTTGCATGCATCGGATTAGCTATCTAGTTCAGGCGTCTTAAAGAGTGGTAGGAGGATATGTCTGAACGATATCCCTGGATGTGAAATGTACTCTAGGTAGTTCTTGTAATGCCCGGGCGTTAAGCCCGCCTCGGTACATACGAATGATGAAGCAATTCAGAAACTGCCTTTCCTATTGAAATTGTGCTGTAATTTTGCTTTTTGTGATATTGAAATGAAAACGAATTGAATTGCCTCGTCGTCTTGCCGCACACAAGAAGGATATGACTCCAGTAGCCAATTCGCCATTCGCCCACTGACGTAATCCCCTCCCGACATCTTCGCCGTCACTCATCGCTATCGCCCCTAAAAATCTGCAAACTCAACAACGTCAACAATGTCTTCGGCCCAATCTGCACCCGTGTCCTTGCCCCGGGTAGCCATCACATACTGCACGCAATGCCGCTGGATGCTGCGCGCTGCTTACGTACGCGACACTCCACCTCACGTGCAGCCCAACTACTTACGCGCAAAACATAGTTTGGCCAAGAGCTCCTCTCAACCTTCGGCACCCAGATCGGAGAGATAGCCCTCATACCAGTCACAGGCGGCGTCTTCACGGCCGAGCTTGTCAGTCCCCGTCATGATGATTAGCTCATGTACGCAACCATAGCTGACGGCGTATATCATAGACGTACATTCCGCAGGATGCGACTAGCGAAGATGGCGACGGAGATAGGCCTGTGGAGACGAAAACGGTGCTGCTGTGGGATCGCAAAGCGGAGGGCGGGTTCCCCGAGACTAAGGTGCTGAAGCAGAGAGTTAGGGATCGTATTGATCCCAAGAGGGATTTGGGGCATTCGGATGTCGGGGGGAAGAAGGGGAGGAAGGAGGGAGAAGGGAAGGAAAACGTGAAGGTGGAGAAGGAGGGTGAGGGTGGTGTGAAGGATGGGGAGGTTTGTGAAGACTGTAAGTAGGATTCGTTGGGTCTTTGTGCCTGCCAGGTATAGCTTGTGTGGGGTTGTAAGTTGTTGTTTTTTCCAACTCTGATTGAGAGATGAGCGCGATATCCAGACGTGCCAAATATGTCCGGAAACGCCTGCAACCTCCTCTCCACCTTCGGAACGAAGAGTCTCCAAGTTTGAAGTATAATGCTTGGAGCCATAGGCAGTACCTATGATTCGGCCCAGCAATGCTCATTGCCATGACTAGAGCGCAAAAACGAAACGTAGTCGTCTGAAGAATAACATTGCGTACATGCCAGCTCCTTCACTCCACCTCAGTCTCGCCTGATCCTCCACGTTTCCGGTCAAGCTTGTTCAGACGGCTGGCCGTGCGCACTTCGGCACGTTGGACTTGCCGCTTGAACTCCAGCGCGTCCGCTTCTAGTTTGTCCATCCGTGCCTTCAGCACGCGGGAATCGATAGGTCGTTCGTCTGGGGCGCCCATTTCTTGAATGAAGTAGGTTCCTTCCGCGTTCGGCGGTCCCAAAGCTTCCCTGTAGTTTTATATGTGGTTAGCCTTGTGTTCCGTTGTGGTGCCAGAAACAATTTCAAGTGAAATCGATCCGGGTATTGCCCATTCTCAGGTAAAACGCTATATGTGAGATCTCAGAACTTACCACACGTTGTCGATGCGCTCGTTGTTGTCCTGCCAAGCATGCTCGATGGCCAGTAAGCGCTGATCGATCTCCGCCAGTGTGTCGTTCCGTACGTATGCGGCAATGTCGAGGTTCTTGTTCACCAGACCACACACGCTCTGCATCTCAGCAATAGAGCTTCTCATATCGTTCAGGTCGGGTGGCTGGGATGCATTGTGGAGCCCGTTGAAGAATGTGGACAACGCGAGGATTGCAGTGAATGCGCAGCATGCCCACGGAAGATAAGACTGCATTTTCGCAAACTTGTTTGCTTGCTGGAGAGAAGATTTGGCTGCAATAGTCTCGAGAAGGTTCAGAGCAGCCCAGGTGCTTTCGGCGGCGGTAGTCAGATGCTTGATGACTTCAGCCAACTCAAACATGATGGCAACTATGGCAGTGTCTTGCTCTGTTGACTCATGCGCGTCTGTTCTGGCCTCTGTTTCGATATCTATCGTTTTGTCGCTCATGGTCTTCATCACCGTTGCGATCGTATTGCTGACCTTGATGGAGATTTCGCGCGCCTGGAACGTGTACATATCGATGCAATACATATTGCTGAAGCTACCCTGGGTAAGGTATCAGTACTTGTACATACCATGCAGTTGCTCAAAGTTAGGGCAACTTACAGACTGGACGAGTGTCTTGATGCCTTTTACGGTGTCTTCAAGCTCCTTGGAAGCGGTACCAAGACCGCAGTACTGCTCATATTTAGGCCACATGTTCAACGGCTTGTCATGCATATGCTGAGTGACAACATATACATTAAAGGCGCTCATCTCCGACTCTAGCGCAGCCATAGACACAATGAGGGCCTGCAAGTTTTTGCGAGTTGTGTCGTCCTGGTCGTCGCTGCCATTTGTGAAGCAGTAGTGATACAGCATATCCATGAAGCCGCGATTTTGCTGAGTTGTTGACTGAAGTGCTGTCAGTCCCCTCGTCCACGCCTGCCGAGATCATGTTAGCGTATATAGATTATGGCGACTGTTGTGGATTGCGCGACCTACGCTCGAGAGATTGGAGTGCGTGTAGTTGGCCGTTGGACACAAGGATTAAAGAGCAGTCAGCAGTTGATGTGGGGTTACAGAAAGAGGGTGAGAAGGTGAGCTCTATAGTTCAATCACGTTGCATGCGTGCGGACCGTTCAAGAGCTTGGGGGCGGCAGTCGAGCTTTGAACAGCCGTGTGAAAGTGGAAGTAGACAAAACAAGCTTCACCGCGCTCGAGCCCACTGTCCAGCGCGTCTATCACTTTCAAGACAATGAATGCAGGATGGCATGCTGCAGGCGCACAGCTCTTCCTCAGATCATTTACGGCGGCGTGTTGCTCCTGTCGCGAGCCTTCTGATGGAGCGCGTCCCGCGACTTACGTGACGAGGCTCCATAGCCAGAGACAGCGTTTGTAGTACAAGTGCAGGAAAAAAGTTTGTGCGCAGCCGGCGATGTGCTGCGCACCCGCGGGTGACACAGCATGCCCAAACCCTTGAACCGGTATTGTAGATGCGTAGAATATTGGCGTATCGCGATGTAACTTTGTGCTAAGCGACGGGATGGTCCGTCAAGATGGATATCCGCGGTTTACATGATACCTCAGACCAAGCCTCACTCGCGCAATCGCCTCCCGAGGTCCCGCGAGATTGACGACAGCTCACTGCATGATAGACACTGCGGGAACGGGGCGGTTGGTTGCCGTCGACCGGTGCGATGCATGGAGCCGCGCGTCGATGGCTTCTTCAAACTTCTTCCAGGTGGGGGACAGCAGCAGCAGCAGTGGTGATGCAACGGGATACAGCAAGCCGTGGGAGAGCCGTGGGGAGAGCCGTGGTGTTCAAGCCCATGCACTCTTGGCCGACCACTGAGATTGCGCCGACAACATTACACATCAAGCCCATCGCTACAGATCGGCGCCGACCCTGAGAACGGAATCGCAACGACTCGCATGTGCTTCCAGACTGCAGCGTGCTCTTGCTCCTCGCTCACCCATGGATTCCAGTCCAGCCTGGACAGCTGGGCGCTCGTGTCTGCCCCAGGGCGAGAAGCGCCTGCGGCAAGCCACCAAATGTGCTCCCACGGCATGTCCGGGATAGCGCGCTCAGCTGCGCAGTCGGGGCCAATATGTAGACAGCCGCCGACGATCTGGAGCTCCATCGCCGGCAACTTTCTAGCCCGCGGCCACAAGCTGCAGCCAAACGCGCCGTTCGCGGGCTAGCTGGAAGCCACCATCGCCTCCGCGTCCTAGGAGAGACGCGCAAAGCTGAGGTCACGTCGGCTACTTAGTTACAGATACACAGCTGTCTCGTACCACTCCGGAACTAACATCAAGTGCCTTATTCAACCCTCCTGCCCGCTATGCTATCCCCACTTAACTTCCTTCAGTCCCGACCCTTGATCTTCTTCCAGTGAACACCTCCATGAGCCTGCAGTCCGGACAGCCACGAGGGTGGTGACATTAACCTCTTCGCACAAGCTCTAGTCTGCGGACCTAAATATATTAAGAATTATCTAGAAGAACGACCGACTCTAGGTGGATTTCCTACAATACATACCCCAATGCGCCGCGTCGAGAGATGGGCGGGTTTAACACGCACAGTCAGCAATTGGGATGGCTTGCGAAGAGTGATTATATCTTCGCGTGTCACACGTACATTGCTAACCTACGTACAGGACCCAGAGCTTTGGGATGAGGATGGTGACTGCCTCGTACATCTCTACGCGGTTGGACAATCGCGACGCGGTCCCTCGTTCTGCGTCCCATTCCAACTGCTGAAGCATAGAAACTGCGGGTCCATGTTTAGCCTTTGCTTCGCGCAGACAACAAAAAATACCGTATCGAACAACACTTCGTCGAACGTGAAGCAGCTTCCTAGTAAAGCCTCACTTAGGATAGAGCTCTACATCCCAGCGCCCGAAGACACTAGTCGCGAAGCATCCTTCCAATGGCATATCGCAACACGGAATTTCTTCGCATTTATCTCTGGGAAACCACTAGTTGGGAGCCACTTGGGACAGGCAATGATCGATTTGCAAGAAAGAATGTGCCTTTTCCGATCCGGACGCGTGGACAATCATCAGGACTTTCTGGATTATGTAGAGGCTCAAGGCTATCGAGACTTCGTCGGCTTCCCGGATTATGCGCTTGCTATGCTTTACTATGCCGAGCACTACAAGATCAGAGACGCTTGGATCGATGCGTTTGCACACTGCGTCGGTATGAATGAGAAGCTCGTTCTCAGTCCTGAATTTCCAGTGAGTACGTCTACAGTTGGCGGACAGAGATTGAATAGCTCCGACTTCGGCACTGCCCGTCCTGGCAGTTGCTCCAATCTCAATTCGCGCACTGTATTTTAGCCCTGATTTCGTCGAGCGTTATTAACGTGCTCAGCATCAATCCCGCTTAACGAAGGCTCTGATCACCCGAGCGTGTCTAGAAATGGATATTGAGCTTAGCAGGACCACCTCCGCCGTGCGAGACTTTCTGGAAGACGATCTCTCCCCTGCGCACTTGGGTCTCACTAGTGGAGCCCGGAACCACCTCGACCGTTTCAGGTCGTTCCTGCACAGCTTTTACGTCGACAAATTCGGATATTGGCCCCCACCTAAAGGCACCACATTCTCCAAGGCTTTGTTCCGATCTTTGTATTTCGACTTCAAGACGCTGTACGACTATTTGGTCGACTCGGAGTCAACTGCAGATCTAGCGTCCCAGAAGCTGGCAAGCGGTGGCATCTGCGTTCTACAAAATGTCGACTCATTTGATAAAAGGCACAGATTCCCACCTCTGCCGCATCCATTGCCTTTGGTACCAAGCTACGTAACGTCGTCGAAGACCAAGAGAACAAGGTCACAAAAATCCCTCAAGTCTATGACGATCGGAACCAGGCAAGGCAAGGACGAACGAAATCTGAGTGCTCGCGCAGCTCTCATAGTGGCAACGAATGGTGAGAGCGAGGCTCGCATTATCCAAGCGTACATGCGCTTTGAGCGACAATGCATCACCAGCTATACGGAAGAGAAGATTTGCATTGCAGATGCTCGTAAAGTCAGGTGGCTTCTCATATACGGTACTCTGCAGCACCTTATCTCAGCCCTTCGCGCTCCTAGCGAGGTTCGTGATACTGAAGGCCCAAAGTACCACCTGAATTGCCTTATCAGGGAGCCTGCACAATGGCAAGCTGCAACAACTCCTATGCCCGTTCCAGCTGCGGACCTGGCTGCCAGTCCCATTGACAATTACATTGCTGAGTTGAACGGGACAACTTGCAACACCGATGCTTCTCTAATTAAGCTTACGGAAATTGAGCCGGACTGTCAAACTTACGACTACTTTTCACACACCAACACTGATCCTGGGAGCAGACGAGTTTCGGTGGAAATTCCTGCTCCCTTGAAAATCTCGCAATCCTCCCGAGCCTCATCGGTTCGTTCCCGCAGGCGCCTCTCGTTGCCATCGCTAGCGTCTAGCCGGAACAGTATCAGCATCAAACCGCAAATGCACTGCGAAATCCTTGTTCATGGTTATGGCAACGGCTTGAACGACGCCCTTGTCGACGCACCTCCAGAACTGCCGTCACGAGTGCCGTCACGAAATTCAACCGTCAATCCCAGCCTCACAAAGCGTTCGTCACAAGCTACGATAGGACCTGACACCTCTTGGCTGATGCCGACCACACCAGACACAATACCGCATCATTGCAACCAGCGCCCACGGGAGATCAGGCCGTGCTGCATTGCCATCATGGATCCTATGAGGACGCCCCAGGACGAGTGGGATCGTTGGTTGGAGCTTCCTCACTCGATCAATGATACCACCAACTCAATTCCTTCACATACACCACCTAAGGCACATTCTCCGGACAGCACCTCATCTCGTTGGTGGAGTGATGGTGCAAGCTCCGCATCGTCGATGTCCAGCACGTATGATGATCAGCTGGAGTCCAAGATCAAACCCGCTGAGGAGAGTGGACTGCTGGGTGGACTCGTACCTATTGCCAGCTCGACGCCGGCCTCAATGCCGTTCGTGCCAGTCAGACGCAGCTCATTGCCTTTCAGCATCACCAGGCAGCCCTCATCAGCTGAGAAATCACCTACACAAACGAGTGATCCCGACTCAGCTATCGGTGTTGCTATCTCATATAAAAATCCTTCAGCGGAGAGTGGTTTGTCTACATCGATCGCCCTGACGACCTCACGCAGCTCTCTCGGAGACGCAAAGATCAGCACGCGAATCAGCACGTCAATCAGTCGACGTTCGCCGTCGTTCAGACGGTTGATGGATCTACCCATCTCGTCCTCGTCGTCGCTTGAAAAATCATCGACCTCATCTGACCAGGATGAGTGGCCCATTAGGGGAACTGTCAGCAAGGCTGACCCGCCATTCGTTACTAAGATTAAGAAAGAGAGGAGATTGAGTTTCTGGAAGCGTTGAGCCTTTTGTTCTTCTTCTTTGAATATAACTGTACATTTCTAGACCGACCACTGTGCTTGTTGCGCAGTGAAAGAATTAATGACCACCACATTCCCGCTAGTATATTTTGTAGTGAATATCGTCACGCCTTTCCAAACTCCTTTGTATGCATTTGGACTGTAGACTGCATGGGGTAGTCCTTTCAAGATGTTAAAGTTGTACTCTTGAACGGTTTACCTCGGCAGTTGAGCGGTCGTGTTGAGACGGAGGCAGGCCGCAGTATTGCTAGCCAACGAGGCCTTGGGAAGCCGATCATATGGCGACGCGTCCCGTGGTGACTTGCTGTACAATCAATGTTCTAGTTGTGACCTGTTTGTTCCCGCCCGTTGTCAAATTGATCCGCGGGATTAGAAAGTCACGTTGAGATAGCGCGCCCATTTTAGCGCCGGAATTATCGGCGGATACAACCACATCCCGCCCATGTATGATGCGCTCGACCTGATAGCTTGACTTCAACCTTACCTCACCTAACCTTACCGCTGAGTCGCTCTCGAAAATGAGCTCCTATCAAGATCCACGAGATACCCCAAGCGAGCAAGACGACCCGCGAACCATTGTGTACGACCCCACCGACCCGTTCTGGCAAGATACCGAGGACGACAATGACGACATGGATTACTTCCCAGCAGAGGGAGGCAGCGGGGAAGATGAGAGTGAGGACATAGATGGGCAGTTCCACGGTACATATTGGGGTGACCGGGAGCTTCAAAAGCTGGCACGGCTGACTTTGGATTTATAGATGCGGCAGAGAATCCTGGCGGATTCGAGATAGAGGTCGAAATAAGCCAAGAGGAAGGCGATAATGTCGACGAAGAGGAGGATGAGGATGAAGAAGAGGATGATGAAGAAGGAGCGGAAGCATCTGGCGCGACTGCTGCGCAACCGATATACAGTACGGCTTCACCTCAAACGGATCCTTCGATATGCTGACCAATCCAGTATCCCGCGATCAGATACTCCAGCTCCTTGGCCGTTCGGGACTTCGACAGTTGTTCGCTGCTGGTGGCTTCGCCACAACTGGAGCACGATTTCGAACGCGACGCCTTGTAGACGACGATGATGAGGATGAAGATGACGACGACGATGATGACAGTGATTATACCGATAGTGGCGAGCGAGCGACTGGCTACGATCCAGTTGGACCGCGGAGAAAGAGGAAGGATAGAGGCCGAGCCGCCTTTGAAAAGGTTCCAAGCGACACAGGCAGAGAATTGATGGATACTGGCACATTTGGCGCGAATCCTCGAACCGAAGACAGTATCAAGAGAAAGAAGAGGCTAGCGTACAACGTTTTACAAAGGGAATTGGGGCTGGGCGGCGACGGAAGACAGAAGAACGCCAGTAGACTTATGAGACAAGACATGATTCCAGAGGGGGTGGCTGATACCATCATCCACTATAATGCGCGATGCTACTCTGGGCAGTTCTCGGACGACGGCAACTTCTTCTTTTCCTGCGCTCAGGACTTCCGCGTGCGTATGTACGATACGTCAAATCCGTACGACTGGAAATACTACAAAACGGTGGTGTATCCATACGGCCAGTGGACGATCACTGATGCCTCTCTCAGTCCCGACAATCGCTTTCTAGCTTATAGCTCCATCCGAAGTATCGTCTGTCTCGCACCTACGGATCCCAACAACGAGTCTGAACCGCATCTGCTTGATTTTGCGAACACCGGGAGTGTCAACCCCCACGGTTTCCATACGTACTTTGGCATTTGGTCTATCCGTTTCTCTGGCGACGGGCGCGAAATTGTTGCTGGAACAGGCGACAACTCGGTCTATGTATATGATATAGAACGGCGCCAGTCTATATTGAGGATACCTGGACACGAAGACGATGTGAACGCGGTCTGTTTTGGCGATTCACAATCACCACACATCTTGTATTCCGGATCCGACGATACCACAATCAAGGTTTGGGATAGACGGAGTATGGGCGACGGAAGGGAAGCTGGTGTCTTCCTTGGTCATACCGAGGGGTTGACCTACGTAGACAGCAAGGGCGACGGCCGCTATGTCCTCAGTAACGGCAAGGACCAGACTGCGAAGCTCTGGGATCTGAGAAAGATGATGAGTAAAGACAAAGCGGACCGCGTAGATCTCAATGCGTATACGACACGATTTGAGTATCGAAGCAACGGCTACGACGACAGCGATTACAGACCCCACCCCTATGACTGTTCATTAGTGACGTTCCGCGGGCACAAAGTCTTGAAGACGCTGATTCGATGCCACTTCTCACCTCCAGGCAGCACGGATTCGCGGTATGTGTATTCGGGAAGCTACGACGGTTCGGTCTACGTTTGGAACCTCGACGCAACGTTAGCTGGCAAGATTGATGTGCTCAAGGCAACCAAGAACTCCAGACCGCGAGATCCAGACCTCATGGCCGAGATGTACGATTTTCCTCGACGGAATGGAGGCAGATGGAGCACGTGCGTGCGCGATGCAAGTTGGCATCCAACCGCGCCCGTGGTGGCAGGTATGAAATCGCATGAACAGACTGCGAATTCAGGCTAATCGACGTGCAGCAACTTCTTGGAACGGGTGGGGAAATACATCGGGTACTTGCACAGTGCACACGTGGAATGATGGAATGGAGGATGATGAGGCCGAACCTCAATTAGGCAGACGGGTGAACGCACAGCTACAGCACGACGAACGGCTCTATAGGAGCATTGCGACAGGCGGTCGAAGGTACTGGTACGATGAATAAGGTCTTCTGCCTGAGGATCTAGTCATAGCTCTTGGGAATGGAAAGGAGCATTACTTCCAGATCGACTGCGAATGCCGAAGATGTGCCTCGTGAGGAACTAGAATGGATATATCGAAGCCCAAGGTCCGTAACCCTCCGGAGGCGGGTATTATACAACGTGCAAGCGTGTCGAAATGCGCCAATGCAACCAGCGTGCGCTCCCTCAGCGCCCTTTGCGCCTGCCTCTGCTGACGAGTGCCCTCCTCTCCTGTGCCCTCGTAGCCCCTATTCCCATGTCTAGCCGTTCTGCCGTCGAGTGCGAGAGTAGTCTATGAGCCGCCGACGAGAATGTTGTTCACGGGAACTGCGCGATGGTTAGAAGACAGGTTGCATGGTTGGCCAAGGTGTTGCGTACTGTGGACGAGCTTGACGACGTAGCCGATGACGCCCATGATCAGGAACCCGACTCCGACTGCTTGCGAGATCTTGATGAACTCGCGCTTGTCTGGCTTGGTGCAGCGGTTGACGAACTGTAGGCCGTCCTTGACGAACTCCTGGGGCACACTGAAGCACATGGTTAGCGCAAGCTGTGGCATGGGATGCGCGCAGCGTACTCGGCGAGCTCCTTGACTTGGTCCATTGTTGCGTGAGAGGCGGGTATTGAGTTGAAGGTCGTGTGTGTGTCGCGAGGTAGATTATTATGCGGAGGGCGAGGTAACGGGGCAATTGGACACGCTCTGGACTGGGGGGACAGATTGCGGGCGGGAGGCAGCTGCTAACCCCAATGCAGTTACCGCCGCGCCAAGAACTAAGCTCCGCGCCGAAGCTCAGAGATGCGAGAGCATGCTGCGAGTTCACGACCATCGAGACAGCCTTGATACCTCGACGCACTCATCGCAGCATATTCTGCGCCGTCGCGTTGCTTTCTTTACTACCGCCCCCATCTAGTCGCCTCATCCCCTGTAGGACACGTCCACGGCACACGGCTGAAGCGCGCTTGACGCCCTGCTTCTCCCCGTTTCTCCTCTCGAGTCGTCTTGACTGCGGCCCTTTCTACCACACCATAAGTAATTGGCATTCTGTGCGAGAAGACTGTGTGGGGGGCACCGGCTAGGCCTGGTTCAATACGCAGGCATCGGAGCTAGACATCGAGCTTTCATCTCTCACATACCTTTTGTACCTCTGTACCTTCACTCGTCCGCATCTGCCACAGAGGCGGTCGGACTCCTGTGTCTTGCGTTGGGCACCTTTTTCTGGAATCTGTATCAGCCCGCCGAGCAGTCCTGTACGTATTTCCTCTGTTCTGCGCGGTTTACGCGCCCATTTTGCGGTCTCTACCCCAAGACCTGTTATAGCCTTCCGCCATCATGTCAAATAGTCCACTGATGAACCGCGCGCATACAGACTTGCATGTATATCAGCTGTTAACTTGCCGGATCAGTATCCAGAGCCAAATCAATACCTTGCTCTTCACGTTCACCCTTCCTCGGCCCAGCCTGACCTGATTCGCACCTCGAGGCTGCGACCTCTCTGTACTAACTTCCAGCACCATGGCCGACGACGACAACTTCGATATCGACATCTACGGCGACGAGTCCGGGCCCTCCTTCCAGAATGCCACTGTATCGCAACCGCCCAAACAATCCGACCCCGCTGCCAACGAAGATTCGCTCGAGCCCGCCATGGAAACAAACGAGAAGCCGACAGACGCTGACGCAGCAGACAAACGCGATAGCTCCGTGACGGGAGCAAACGGCGCTATACAACACGACAATGGTACGCAGCAGATTTCAAGTACCGGCGCGTCAGCGAACAACCAGACTTTCCTGAAGCAGGCTCCTCAGCAGCAGGGCGTGAAGCGTAAACAAGGTGAGGACGACGACCGGCCGATGGATCCAGGCGCGACTGCTGCGCTTATGATCAATGACCTCAACTGGTGGATCAGCGAGGAGGACATCCGCGGCTGGGCCAACCAAGGCGGCTGTGAAGACGAGCTCAATGAGGTTACCTTCAACGAGCACAAGGTGAATGGTAAAAGCAAAGGGCGAGTGCTCCTACCACGTCTACCAATCCTCTGCTAACACCTCGCAGCCAAGTTTACGTCCAATTACAGAGCCCCCAAGCTGCCACAGCTCTCAAACACCAGATAGAAGCCTTATACAAGGATCAGACCCACACCAAAAAGCCCACAGCCATCTTCAACCCGCCCCACGTCAACCCTTTCAAGACTCTCCCGAAAGACGTACCCCAGCGCGACAAAAACCGTGGTGACCGGTCATCTTCTGGCAACTTTGGCAACCAAGGTGGACAGGGAAGCAATTTCAATCGTTTCAACAACCAAAGAGGCAACTTCAGCAATCGTGGTGGGAACAGTATGGGCTTCCAAAGGGGTGGCTTCAATGGTCCAGCTGGTAACATGGGCGGTAACATGGGCGGCTTCGGTGGACCTGGTCCCATGAACAACTTCGGTGGTGGCCCAATGGGCGGAATTAACAACTTCGGCGGAGGTAACTTTAACCGCGGCGGCATGATGGGTGGTGGTATGCGCGGCGGTATGAACAATCGCGGCCGTGGTGGTATGGGTATGAACAACATGGGCGGTATGAACATGCCTATGGGAAACAACATGATGGGCATGGCTGGCGGAATGGGTATGATGGGCGGCAACATGGGGGGTATGATGGGTGGAGGCATGGGTACGTCAAACATTCGGCATCTACTTCACGTTGGCAGGTCCTTGCAGTATTCTACCTCCACATGTATACAAGTGCTAACTACAATCCTCGCGAGTAGGTGCTGGCCCTGGCGGCTTCGGCGGCAATCAAAACTTCAATCCGGGTTTCTTCCAACAGGGTCAAGGTGCTGGAGACGGCAACTGGAATCCGCATGGCGCTAAGAGACCTCGTCCGGAATAAGAATTTCGACCAGTTAGACAGACGTGCGCATGTCTGCACCAAAGAGACTTTAACAAGTCCACAAGGATCTCACCTACCACCCCTCTGCGCTGCCCTTCCCACCCCACGGTGGTAGATGCAGCCTTGTCTTGCCTCATGTAGGACCAACTTCGAAACTCACACATAATCTGGGAAATTACAGGCGCAAACTGGGGCTCATGGCGTACGACTTGACACAGCATTTTGATGCCATTGTGGGAATAAAGGTTTAATTTTCTCAATCTCATCAACTCCTCCTAGCTTTCCCGCATCGAACAGACGGTGCACATGTATATTATCTGCTTGCAGTGACGACCTTGCGCGTTCCCCATATTGTCATTGGATATTTATCACGCTTTTATGGCACCTTTAGCTACGTTTTGTCGTATGAAGTTTATCATTCATAATGAACGCAAGTCTGAGTACAGTGTGTCACCTAGGCCGATTGTACCAAGACTTCTGTCCCAGTACTGCATCACTACATGGGAAGTCGAGATGCTCACACGTGGTTTCTCTATTCGAAAAGGAAGCATCGCACCCGCCGCATCATTTCCGTTGTATTTGGACCCTGGCGCACTCCGCATCGGCCCGCCAAAGCAGCACGCGACGCACATCACCGCTCGGTGTACTTGGCGGAAAATTCCCACGTCGTGCGTTCATTTGGCTATAGGGCCGACGGGACCTGCAATATGGTACCGCCACAGCAGCCGAGGAGGCGAGCGCTCCACGCAGCCAATCGCGGCCCCTGTCTGTAAATGAACGCCCTCCCCAGACTTCTTCACGCCAGGTACGCTTGCCCAAATTCCAGTGCACAAGGTATCCCCGGACCTAGGATGTTGCGCCGGGCTAGGAAATAGGGTGCGTTGCATAGGCGGGGAAGCGTGTTCATTGGAGGAAATGGGGATGTGCGCCGGCGCGGTCATTCTAGGGAAGTGTCGCGTCAGTGGTGTTGTGGGCTGGAGGGTATAAGGAGGAGATGGCCTGGGTATGGAGGAAGTGTGCTGCGCTGATCATCAAACGGCAATATGGTCGCTAGGCTTGGGTTGTTGCTCTTCGGAGCCCTTGTTCAGGGTGCGGTTGCTGCGAATGGACCGTACGCTCAATGTGAGTATTTCAACGTCTATAGTTCGTGGTTAAGTATTTGAGTACGCTGCGTTGCTCCTGTCCTGGAGGAGTAACACAGTACTCAAACTCTGGACCCAGTATTGTAAGGCCTTCGGAGGGCAGAGCTCACTGACCCGTATAGGCGGTGGCACAGGCTACACTGGCGAGACAACTTGTCCTTCTGGGTATACTTGCAAAGTTCAGAATGAATGTAAGCTGTCTATACAAAGCTCCTGATAGAGTCAAGCTCACACCACGTGCGTAGGGTACTACCAATGCGTCCCAGGGACAGCCGCCAGCTCGGCAGTCTCCTCTGCACGAACAAGCTCAAGCTCTGCGGTTAGCACGAAGCCTTCGACCACGCTGGTGACGTCTTCTACAAAGTCAGCATCAACATCGGCTTCCGCGTCCGCATCTGCATCTGCATCAGCATCTGCCACCTCGGGCGCTGGTGTAAAGTGCACTGGAACTTTCACACCGGTCTCTGCCAGTGCCTTCGTCAAGAACATAAATCCTGGGTGGAATTTGGGGAATACATTGGATGCGGTTGAAGACGAGGGTGATTGGAACAACCCGAAAGTCACGGCAGACACTTTTGACGGTTAGTATGTCTCTGAAGATACAGGACGGTACTAATTTGAGTGCCTTCCAACAGATATCAAGGCTGCCGGTTTCAAGGGTGTTCGACTACCCGTGACATGGGCTTACCACTTCACTACCGGCTCACCGAGCTGGGACGTAGATCCGGCGTGGCTACAGCGTGTCTCCGACGTGACCGACATGATCACCACTCGAGGCTTCTACACAATCGTCAACGTCCACCACGATAGCTGGGTCTGGGCCGACGTTACTGCCGCTGGGGCAAATCTCACCATGATCGAAGAGAAGTTCTACAGACTCTGGTACCAGATCGGGACGAAGCTTGCGTGCAAGGGGAGCCAGGTTGCGTTCGAGCCGATCAACGAGCCTCCGGGCACTACAGCTGCGCACGCGGATGAGATCAACAAATTGAACACCATTTTCCTGCAGGCTATTAGCGATGCTGGTGGGTTCAACGCGCAGAGAGTTGTAACCCTGGTGGGGGCCGGTGAGGATTCCATCAAGACGAGCCAATGGTTTAAACGGCCAGATGCGAAGTTCAAAAATCCATGGGCTATTCAGTACCATTACTACAGTCCATATGATTTCATCTTCTCTGCGTGGGGCAAGACGATCTGGGGCTCGGACGCTGATAAGGTAAGTTTTGGTCTCAACATGGCTCACAATCCCTTCTACACGGTAATCAGACAAAGGGATTCACTGACTTTCACCTTCTAGGCCGCCCTCGATGCTGACTTCGCGGCTATCCGCAACAACTTCACCGACGTTCCCCTCATCATCGGCGAATGGGATGCCAGTTACACGAACACCGAGACAGCAGCGCGCTGGAAGTACTTCGATTTCCTCATCCGCACAGCCAACAAATACAACACTGCAACTGTCCTGTGGGATAATGGCCTGGACCAATTTGACAGAATAAACCACGTCTGGCGGGATCCCACTGTTCTCAGTATCTTGACCAACACCACAGCGGGTACAACAAACAGCTTGCCAGATAGCACGACCGACGGTTCTGTGACAACGCAGTTCTCCTCTGCGTACGCTTACCACAAGGCTGGAGATGCAGTCACAGACGTAGTGCTGCCATACCTGTTCAACGGCAACACTGTCTCCAGCATCAAGAACGCTAAAACAGGGGCTGTTTTGACGAAGGGGGCTGACTACTCCACCAATTCCTCCGCGATAATCCTTACCTCTGCGTTTGTCAAGACGGTCATCACATCGAGCACTGCAACTGGCTCGCTCGCAAATCTCACAGTAACTTTCTCCTCTGGTGCCCCTAACACCATCGAGGTCGTTCAATACGCCACACCGGTCCTTGGATCTACTACTGCGAAATTGCCCGCTACATCAGCCGACCTCCCCATTCCAATCACATGGAAGGGACAGAGCCGCCCTGCAGCTGTCAAAGCCATCAAGAGCGACGGAGGCATTCTGATCGACGACTGGACCCAGTATCTCGGACCGTTGCAGCAAGGACGCATGACGTACTCTGGGCAGTGGGACTGGGATGCGAACAATGTCATCTTGAAGGCAACGGTGCTGGATGCGGTGAGAAGCGCAGGAAAGACGACTACATTTACGTTCGAGTTCTACCCACGCGAGCCAACAAATGTCGCCAATTTCACGTTGACGGTGTGAGGGTGGATCTCGCTCACAGTTGAGATTTGGGGCGTCGTATCCTTCCTCTGTAAAGACATTAAACTTTAGACAAGCGCTAGACCTAAATATATGGATTTGAAACTCGTTCTTACTCTAGCCCATCATAGATTGCTTTCTCTACACCAACCCATGCCTGGATGACCTTCGGATCACCGAAAGGAAGAATTTGGCCCGCTACGTGACGTTAGTATCTGAAACATTACGGCCTCTGCTTTGGGAGTGAAGGTATTGCACTACTCATCCTGGAGTAACACAGCGTACTCAAACTCTTGCTGAGAAACTGCAAAAATGTAACGCATATGCACTTACACAACATCCCAGCAACACCCTTCTCCCTATCAACCCACCAGAAAAGATTCGAGAGTCCGCACCACCACCCAGTGTTTGCGCCACGTCCTGTATCTCCCGGCGCAAGCGTAAGGAACATGCTCAACCCCCAGCCCTGCGGTGGATTCCCGGACTGAGGATACATCTCGGGCAGGCTGTTCGCCAATGTCGGATCCGCCGCTGCGAGGCCTGCACGTGCAAAGTCCGGCTGCTTCGGAATCTGGTTCTCCCACATCAGGTCCACCGTCTCCTTCTTCAGGATGCGGTTCCCCGTCGTTGGACTGACGCCGTCGTTGAGCAATGCAGTGAGGACCTTGACGTACTCCTTCGGTTTCGCGAACAGACCCGCGCCAGCGGAATGGAAGAACTTCTGCTGCTGCTCCTTCGTGGTCTGGTAGAAGGGGCGCCGGTAGAGATGGTCGCGCTCCGTCAGGGCGCCTGTTGCGGGGTCGCGCTGGTGCATGTAGGCAAGGTTGGCCTTCATCTTGTCGGTCGGGAACATGGTGACATCGGAGATGCCCAGGGGTTTGAAGATGTGCTCTTGCATGTAGTCATTCAGTTTCTGCCCCGTGTGGCGCTCGAGGATAATGCCGGCCCAGTCGATGTTCACGCCGTATTCCCACATGCTTCCTGCAAATTTGGTATATTGTTAGCCGAACTCCTCGTGTGGCCTTGGTCCGACTCACCTGGCTGGTTGACCATGGGAGAGTTCAAAATGTCTTCTTCATCGCCGTTGAATTCTGGATACAATCCGGTCAGAACTACTCCATGAGAACTATACGCAGTGCCAAGCCAGAAGTTCAAGCATAATCGGCCTGTACATTGCCAGGCCTGGGGCAACACCCGGCACTCAAACCTCTGACGTAGCGCTGCGGCCTAATTGGAACCCACCTGCGATCCCTACGGGCCTTCCGCGCATGCTGACCCTGGCATCGAAGAACGCATACGCGAAGCCGGCTGTGTGATTGAGCAGCATCCTCATCGTGACGCTGCCTTGCTGTTCAGCGCCATTGACACCATCAGCGTATACTTTTTTCGCGCCAATTTCCGGTGCGAGCTTTTTGATGAATTCAGGATCGTCCAGTGGTATGCTCCCCTGCTCAACAAGCTGCAAGACTGCAATGGTTGCAACGATCTTGGTACAGGACGCGATCCCTATATCAATAAAGTCAGATCAGAGGGTGCAGAGACCAGGGTGAGATTATATCTACAAAAGGTTGTGTCCATGTCCATGGGCTCCTGGGAGTTGACGCCACGTGTGCCAGAGGCGTGTTCTACGAGGGTCTTGCCGTCCTTGTCCACGGCCACGAACGTGAGACCATTCACGCCCGTGGGTCCCTCTTTGGTAGCGCCATCGAGGACCGATTTAATAATCTGAACGCTTTGGGCTGAGAGAGGCATTGCTGTTGAAATACTGAAGCCTGGTTCCTGATGCTGCGGCCGAGCATGAAACCTATCAGGTATGTATTGGGGAACAACACCGCATTTATACAGGGACACACGCGCCACATAAACTCGAGTCGTACGAAGCGTGTCGTTCTCAGCCGCACATGGCTTTGAATGGTCAGCAATATGGTCTGCTAGTTTTGGAAGCTAGTTTTCGCGGACAGCATCTAGATTTCTGCGGCAGAACGGGTTCCTACAAATGTATGTGAGCGTAAACGAACCCGCAGCCCCGCCCCCGCTTCCGATCCCCGCACCACTCGCGGAGGGCCACCGATCAACATGCAGTTCTACTATGCAACGCAACTTATGACAAGGAAAGCTCCTTCACTTCTTTTGTAAGCGCTGCGGTCCTGCGGAATGGCTGATGATTTTCTGCATCGAGCTTCTATAGCGCCAGGCTGAAAGTTTGAGCACGTTGTGCTGACCCACGATGCACTGGCCGATTGAGCTCACACATCGGATTGGTTACGGTACTGTGACAAGCATAGTATCTACAGTAGTGTACTATCCGCTCGTCCAGTTCTACACCACCCTAACAATTCAGCTCCGTGGTCCGACTCCATGCCTCTTGAGACACTATTCTCAGCACTTCTTCACCCTCGCGTTGACCTAATATCCTTTCGTTGACCATCTGTTCCAGCACCTCCCTCACTCCTCCTTGCTGTTCCTTCCAGCCGGGCTTAACAGCAACGGCACCACCCCCTTGCTCAAGAACCTGCTTCAGCACCTCAGCGACGACCGCCTTGGCACCGGCAGTCTTCGCTTGCTCTACATCTCCCGCTCTTTCACCGTAACTCTTCGCCCCACGGTAGAAAACTCCTGCATTAGAGACCAGCACGTTTCTACTCGAAATCCACGCGGTCTTGGCATCGTCCCGGAACGAGAGGCCGAAGCGGGTGAGGTCTATGTCCGCTCGTGTGTCGAATATGTCTGCGAGGCGAGATGGAGAGAGGAGAGCATTATGCGGAGGCTTGGCCAGTTGCGTCAGGGTCTTTTGTGCTTCGGATAATGCATTCCACTGAGTCTCCATGTCAGACGCGGCAGCTGACGATGCTTCAGCCACGTTCACCAGCGCGTCGGCGTAAGCGGATTGCTTTGCCACTTGCTGCTCCGGAGACTGGGGGCCCAGCATCAAGGTGGCAAATAAGTGGGAGACTGTGCTGGCATATTGTGGTGCTGTAATGTTTCCGCTGCGGTAAGATGCGTCGGCGACGGCGACTTGGAATATAGCGGCGGCAAGGAGGGCATCGTCTTTAGGGGTTAAGGCGTGCTCCGTTTTGGCGCTAGGGGATGATATGGACAGAGTAGGACCGGCGGCTTCGTCTTCGGTTAGAGGCCGTGGTGCGTTGTCTACCAGCGAGATAAGGGTCGAGATACTGGACCTCACTGTAGAAAGTCCCTCTTGAACTCGTTTTTCGAGGTTTGACAGCTCAGTGCTGTCGTACACGCCCAACAGTGTCGTCAAAGCACCAAGCTGAGCAGTGCAAGTTTCTAGAATGACCTCTGGGGACAGAGCCTCCTCGACGGTGGCCCATTCCCCAGCGGCAGAAGAACCTTCTGACGCAGCATCGGCATCCATTTGCTTGCCCGTTCCGGTGCCAACGTCTAACCTCACACCTCCATCATCAAGAGAAGCGTCGCCTTGTTCGTTCTGCATGTTCTTCCACTGCAAAGCCATCTGCTCATACTCACGCTGCTGTGCGGCAAGGACATTGGCGAAAAGATCCGCGGCCTCTTCGAGCAACACGCGAGCAGATGCTTTCCCCTCAGCTTCGGCCTCATCTTCCAACAGTGCTTCTGCTAATGAGCTGAGAACCTGTCCAGTATTGAATTGTACGTCCAGGTTGTCGCGGTTCAGCAGAAAGGCCGCACGGTGAGACGCCAAAGTCTCCTGCAGCAGGGTGATCTTGTTACCTAAGTGAGGCCCCACGCGTTCGTCTTCGCAAGCCTGGTATTCAAGATGAGCCCTGGATAAGTTTAGCGACAGTAAAAACGAGACAAACATCGACGTACTTGTTATATGCCAGATCAAAACTTTGCGGAAACTTTGCTAGTCCCTCATCGTACACCTGAACTGCTCGCTGAAAAAACCTCGCTGACTTGGCCGCGTCTCCAGCTCGCCATTTGCCCTAAATCTGATTGTTAGAACCAATGCCCGGTAACCAACTACACGGCAGCAAGCAACGCCTGCAGCGAAAAAAGGAAAGAAAATAAAAAGACTCTCTTCCAACCATGAGACAGAGCTTACCGCAGCCTGTTCAAATTCGTCTGCCGCCTCCAAGTACTCAACTTCGGACTGCGGATTCGAAGGCTTTGACTTGGCCTTAGCCTTGAAGTCCCTGTTCTTGGGCGGCATCCTTTGGTATCGACTCTTTGCTTGGTTCGACTGGCTAAAGGACTATCAGAAACAGGGTAATGTTGATAGAGATCACGCGAGTTGACTATGAGACCAAAATTATGCATGCAGTGACGTCTTGGCGCGCTCTAAAAAGAGACTGCGGGGCCTTTGCCAGTAACGACGTTCAAGAAAGCCCGTTTGCCAGCGCAGCGCTGGTGTCTGAGTCATCCCAGGATGGCGAAAGCATACAGCTGATTATAATATTCACTAAACGTCGGCGCCGCGCGCACGGACGTTTGTGCTGGCGCTCTGAGTGGTGACTTTGACAGCAAGTCCCGTGACTGCGCGTCACCCGAGGCAAAGCATATAACGCGTCCACGGTCCACGTGTAACATCATTTTGCAAAGCCCCGTGTTGTAAACCCTGATCTTACGAAGTGCTCACTACGATGCAGGCAAAGACGCTACCAGCAGGCAACGTGACAGCGTTCCAGACGCGTGTGTACACCCTCTTGCTCCAGGTTTGTCGGCCACGCCTTCAATTCATGCTCGAGTGTCTTACCGGTAGATAGATTCCCGAGGGCAAGGTTTCTACATATGCTGCACTTGCCAAGGCCCTGCAGAGTAGCCCCCGAGCAGTGGGTGGAGCGCTGCGCAACAATCCTTTTGCGCCAGAGTGAGCTTTGGCATCCTGAGTAGCGGATCCGTTCACATACTGATATGGCTAGGGTTCCTTGCCACCGGGTACTAGCAAGCACAGGTGTAAGATACATGTGTACTATAAGACTACTCAGATCTGACACTGACGCGCCTGCAGTTCATTGGCGGCTTCAAAGGAGATTGGGAGAAGGTGCCCAGCGGACAGAATCAGACGTCGAAGAGGGAGCTTCTCGCCGCCGAGGGTGTTCAGCTTGACGAAAATGGCTATTTAGTTGACAAGTCATGCTGGTGGGACAACTTTGACATCTCGTAAGGGGCGAAACAAGATAAAGCATTCGAGATGATCCCTGTTGCAGTGCACCCCGCATATCGGGTAGCCCATAACGACGGATACATTATGGCATTAGATGCCAAGAGGAAAGAATATGACTCATGATCGAACCACGGAGCGTTGCACCTGTCCCCTGTAAGATGGCAAACTCCCATTATTAGTCTGAAAGCTTGGATCCTGCTTTACTCCTCCTCTAGGGTAGCATAGGGTGCTCATGTGTTCGACAAGGCACTGCACAAAATCGCAACAACATTAAGCGTCCGATCCGCCCAATCTGCAAAGGCAATATCTAGTTTCAGAGTCTCCCAGTCGCTGTCATTCTTGATGACCGCGCGGCCTGCTGATCGCATTGCTTCGAGGCGATAGGGATGCAAACCCTCGTGGTCGTTGACCTGGAATGACGCTGTTTCCATGTTTTCAGCTTCAGGCCTCGGTGTAGCACAAACATGTGGACAATCGTCTGTGCCGGACACGGCTCTGTCCGATGCATCTGCTACAATGTTGCTTGGTCGCGAGACCATATCCATGAAGGTAGCTTCGTTGCTCGAATCATTGAGCTGAACATTGTTCGCAGCGACAGCAAGCCCACGAAGAGTATCGGGTCCTATGTCGAGCCTGCTTTTACACACTGGGTTTTTCGTTGGACGTTTGTATGTGTATTGCGCCATTAGATGGCCAATGCAGTCCAAAAGATCGGACCAGAATAACGAGAACAAAGGTGCTTCGGCTGTATGGTGCAGTCGAAGCGAGCCTATGATGCGCTCCTCCCGTTTTAAGAAGATGTTGATGTGTTTTATGTGAGGTGCCTCGCTAGTATTCTGCGGTGAAACGCTATGGTCACTCGATGAGAGGTCGACAATGGAGTGCGAAAACGGCAATGATGATGCTATGCTCAAATTCGTCGTGTTCGAGCCTTTGGGTGAAGTAGGCAGCTTCGTGAATCCAGGTGGAGCTTGTTGTTGCATAGCGAGTCCGGCTTTTTCAGCGGCTTCCAGACTGCCCTCCTTGCCCCTCGGAACCCCTTTGCGCGTTTCGATGGCGTATACGCGTTGTCGCTCATTTGTTACCATTCGACGAAGGAGGGGTGTGACAAGGCTCACAAGCTTGTTTCCATCTGTCGGCCATACCAGGTCGTTGTCTGCAAGTAGCTCGCCTTCTCCTAACGCTCTAGCAGCTTCTCGTGGATCTCCCTCACGTTGTCTCTTACTGGCTGCGGTTTCCCCAAAGTATCGTTCCCCGGCACCTCCGTCCAGAAACTCCCGCACGCAGTTGAACAATCGCAGCTTGACTATGTCCGTATCGCCTTTCCCTCTGTTGCCCACGCAATTTTGCCGCTCCGGATGTGCCGGATTAAGCATGTATGATTTGGCCTCGGCTTGGAGATGGAGGAAGCTTTCGGGTGAGAGCTGCAGCGACATGAAGAGCTTAGACATTGGTAAGCGCGTGTGTTTGCGAGTGTTCCTTTCTGAAGGTCGTCGGAAAAGTGCCGCCGCCGAATGGATTGCAGGATTATTTGGAGCGCAAGGAGTCGTATTGTCTGCTGGCGTCTCGAGACCTGGGTTGACTTGGGGCCCTTGATTGCCACGCGCAATATCCGGTGTTCCTTGCACCCGAGCGCGCTTGAATCCAGCTTCTGCACCGTCCTCGCACATCCCCGGAGCATCTGAAGTCCATTTCCTCTTCCCCTTTTGTGTAGCCATGGCGCGAGAAGTCTTGTGTCCCGCCAATGTCTGCGCCCTGTCGGCAGCAGTGGATGCAGCCTCGAGCAACTCTACGAAGTTGTGAGTTTCTTGTAGCGCGACGGCGGGTATATCGGACATCTGACAGGATGTGTACAAATCATCGTCCTTCGTCGAAGCGGATGGACAGCGAACATGGTCGCCAGTTTCTGGTGCTAACGTGACGTTTGCGGGTATCGCGTGGTGCTTGAAATATGGCGCGTTTACTGCTATATTGATAAACGCCATCCGATCGTAGGACGGCCCAGCGAGCCTTGCTGCTACCTAAAGGCCCTCTCAAGGCTGAGGCGAGTCAGTATACATCCATTGCGGCGCATTGATTGCGTAGACCAGGCCGTCCGGACTCACTGCTCACTGCGCCCCGCGAAGTAGGGAGGCTTCGAGCATGTCTCATGATGCCCCCAATTGAAGCGCTCGGCAGTAAGCGTGTTGCCGTGCTGTGTGATGGAATTACTCTACCTGCGGAGCGTTACTTGCTGAGCAACAGCTTCTTCCAGTGTTTGTTGTTTGCGGTGTTTGCATCTGCGCTGAGCGGGCGTGCTGCCTGTCTGATTGGCGGTGCAGCTCTCCTCCGAGAACATCAACCAGCAAAACACGGAATCATGCATTCCTTCACCAATCCGCGATCGCGGGCACACAGCAGTGGTTGGTGCATGGGCAACTACGTCGCCGAAAACCGTCTGAGATTTTTATCCTACACACGCTGTGGTACGCAGCGCGCACAGCAATAATTATTGTTTGGCCCGCGGACTCAAGAAAGGTTGTGGAATTGCTTCCGTTTTGTACCGGTACATGCTAACCACAGCTGAAGGGGCAGATATCCACCTTTGCTATTCGCACAAAGGTGCACAAGCCTCTATGATTAGAATCCGTCTCCTTCATGCCACTCCCGACCAGCTTCCTTAGCCCTATTCTTGGGATCTTTCCCTCTCTCCCAAGCGTCTGCCTTCAGCTTGTCGACAACAGGCCGCAGCTGCTGAATCTCTTTCTCCAATAAGACATTCTTGCCAGGCTCTGGCTTCTCCAGTTTCTCAGCATCCCCAAACCTGAGCTCGTCATTTGCTTCCTTGATCGCCTTTGCTTTGTCCCTCCAGTCGTTCAGCTCATGCTCGCGATCCTCCAGTTCATGCTTCTTTTTCAAGAACTCCTCGAACTCGTTCTCGCCTCCAAAGCAGCTGCCGTATTGGTCGCAGAAGCAGACGTGCTCTTTGGGGCAATATACATTGTTCCCCGTGAAGACGAACTGCCAGACGTATTCCCAAATGCGACCGGAAATGGAGTCGTGCAATTTTGTTGAGAAGAGCCAATTGCGATACCAGAGATATTGTGCGAATGGCTTGGCTTGAATGCGCTCACGGGAAAGTGCAAATTGGGCGCAACACGGCTGTGCCAGTACAGATGGCACCGGGTCGAGTGGGAATAGCTCGCTCCACGATTTGGCGAGTAGGTGTTCTTCTTGCTTGAAGACATTTTTCTCTGTCTCGCCGGGATTCATCCAGTCAGGACAACCTGGGTACCAATTGCATCGCATATTGACGAACCCTTCTCTCCATACCCGGGGGCGGCTTAATCTCTTGATCATGTCGGCGGCATTGTGCCCCAGGAGATCATCGTTGTGCCAAGTATACTGGTGTGCATGCATGAAAATGGCGACGTCAGGTAGATTGTCGTAGTGGTCAATGATCCAAGACAGATAAACCATAACCTCGTGGCCCTTGTTCTTGGGCGGGTGCAGCGGTGCGGTAGGGTCGTCGGCCACGTATATCGCCTTCTGTTGGCCGGCGAGCTCGCCCTCCATCCATCGTATATCCTCCCGCTTGGTTTTGGCAATCACCAAGACCGAAGTGTAGTTGTGATCAGGCGGCAGGGGCGATCCAGCCTTGAAGTTGGGCTTTGGATTCCAGTTGACAAAGTCCGGCTCTGTGTGCTCCGTGCCAACATGGTCACCAAAGTGCAGGTGCTGAGGCAAGTTTTGCCAGGACTCGTGCGCGGTGCGGCTGGAATATATGAAGAGGCACAAGAGAGCAACGCCGAGGGCGAAGAAGGGGAGCTTTCGCTGCGTCATGATACGCGAGCTGGGAAGGAGCGCGCCGCGGCTCGGGGAATTTGCGTGGGGTCCACGATCGCCAGTTGCTTTGTGGTAGCGGCGCGACCTGGTTGTTTGCGTGCTGCTCACACTTACGAGGTTCGTCGCGGCATGAGCGCGGGCGCGGCGGCGAATGCAATTCAGACCGCGAACGTGCGAGGTGGCATGGAACACAGTGGCCGTTTGGTGCGAATCTGGCCATCGCATCCCTTTTTACAGCGTCGTACTGCGCCGCGCAAGCCTGTGACCGAGCGTCGTCCAGGCAGCCCCACACCTTGCTCTACCTAACGCCCTTCGCAAAAGCTTTCAGGCGCTGGCTGTTCTGACTCCAAAAACAACCAACATACGTCGTGCAGGATGTGGCACAGTGGAGGCTGCGCAGTAGTCATATCACATTGTGGACTCGAGTCACAGTGGTACGTGATTGTGCAACGAAACGCTCTATCGTGTATTCGAAATCGCCCACAAGGTGCAACGGAAAAGAAGCTGGGTAGCCGCAGCCCTCGAGTCAGTAAGCTACGACTATGAGATCATTCTACGTTCGTGGCTTCAGGTGCATGTTCCGGTCGTCAGAGCCAACGTGAAACTCTGACCAGAACGATTAGCCTGCCGTTGTTGGCAGCCACGCTGCTAGGCCTAAGGTTTAATGGTGCAAGCGTGATCAAAGGACGCTTTACAGTGTGTGCTGGGTGAACTCGGACACCTTGACTACTAGAGTGTCTAGTCCTTCCTTGTGCTTACCACGTCCCTCGCCAGGAATGCTCATACGAGCCTGTGAGCGTGCGCGAATAGCTCGCAGGAACGATGTGACTGACGCAAGGTCGAAGATGCGCCAAGAGGGATTTGACAAGAATGGAAGGAAAGTCAACGCACCTCTGTTTACAGTCCCTGGACGAAACTCTGAGTACACCGACGTTTGTATTGCCCATCTTGGAGCAACACACTGTGCTCGAAATTTCGACTAGGGACCGGGCGCTGCACCAGCGGAATCGGTTGAGTTTAACATGCAATCGTACCCATTCTACCGCCACAGCACTAAAACAAGAGCCTGAGCACAATTAGCATGCCCATAGCCTCCCCCAGGGTAACACACTGTACTCAGACTTATGTCCTGGTGCTGTATGAGGCGGGTGGAAACTATGCCGGCAGAATGAAGGACGAAGTCCGTAACGCTGGTACAACCAAGAACGGATCGAGGATCGCCAATTCTTTTTATGGAATGGACCATCACTCTCGGGATTCAGATGATGTGGCGATGAAGGGAAGGCGAAAGACGTGGCAGGCATTGTAGCGGATGTTGATTGCTAGCGCACGTATTGATGAGCGCGGGCGATGACAGTTGCTGCTGGCATGGAGCCAGATATGATATTGAAGTATTTAGACAGTGCTGAGGGCGCGGATGTGGTGAAGACTGATAGCCGGGGACATATAGAAGTACAATTTGGTGTCGACGCAGACGAAGACGCATTGCGCACCCAAAGGCCAAGTCTGTGGCGTTGGGAACCTTTACCGAAATGTTGATACCGTTTCTCCTAAGGAAATCCACCGAGTGCCGAGAACCGTGATGAGATGCTGAGGCTACAAGATGGCAAACTATTCAGTATGCTACTTGCGCCGTGAACCTTATTGAAGAGCTTTTGTCGACCTAAACCCCGAACTGTGCCGTGATGCCGTATTATACCGAACCGCAAAAGTGTATAGGATTACATGAGACAAGAGTCGAGAATGGCAGAAAAGTTCAGTACACAATTTACCCCAGAAGGAGCAATGCAGTGTTCGAACAGTCGTGCCTTCATGCCTGATGACAGAACATCTGGATAGAGGTCGCTCAGTCTGTGTTGTGCTCCACAACTCAGAACTATTTCGGTTCTGATGGGGTCAGCGAGGCGTCTAGCGGGAGTAGCGTTCATCACCACCACGGTCCTCGTAAGGTCGACCACCACCACCACTACCACCACTGTACGCATCCTGACGAGGAGGGGGAGCGTCTCCATAGCCACCAGCACCACCGGCAGGTGGAGGAGGGCGCTCATTGTAGTATCCTCCACCTCCGCCACGGCGCTCCTCGCGGCCGCCGTAACGGTCGTCGCGGGAGGCATAGCGATCGACACCACGCGAGCTGTAGTCGTCTCGGTCGCGGCGATAGGGACGGTCCTCATAACGAGATCCTCGGTAGCCGTAGCCGCCTCCATAATCGTCACGACGGCCGCCTCCATATCCGCCTCCGCCTCCGCCAGAGTAGCCACCACCACCGCGACGGTCATCGTAACGGTCACCGTAGCGGGGAGGGCCTCCGCGACCTCCACGACCACCACCACTACCGCCGAACTCTGATGGCTATTAGCTTCTGTTCTTAATGCACAGTCTGAATTACTCACCACGCTTGGGCGGACCGTAGTACTTGCCCGGAGTTGGGGTACGGGGTCGAGCGCGACGGGCCTTCTCGATGCTCAGCGTCCTGCCCTGGTGGACTTCACCCTGGAGGCCCTCCTTGGCAGCATCGGCCTGGTCAGAGGTGACCATCTTGACGAAGCCAAAGCCGCGCGACTCCTTGGTGTGAGGGTCACGCATGATGTTGCACTTCTCGACCTCGCCATACTTCTCGAAGAGCCGAGTGACCTCTTCCTCGGTCAAGCTCGGGTGAATGCCAGTCACGAAGAGGTTGGAGCCAGGGTTGCGGCTGTTGTCGTCCTCGTCGCGCGAGTCTGGGGGCGGGCCGCTGTGTGCTGTCAGTACTGCTGCATCGACGGTAGGGTGGGAGCTGCAATTACCGGCTATCGCGATTGATGGGCGAAGCGCTGCGTTGGCGGGAATCATCTAGGTCGCGACGGTCGGCGCGCGGAGATCTGCTACGCTCGCGATCATAGCCACGGGGCTCGTCTGCGCGTCGTGTCAGTAAGCTTACGAGCAGCGAGCGAAGCGCAGGCGCAGGACATACCATCGTAGCCGCGTTGCTCGGACTCGTACTCCATCGAAGCCATGTTGTTGGATGATGGGTAGGTGTGGGTTGATGCTAGTCTCTTGGGCAGCGGAGTGGAATTTTTGGTGACTGATCGACGCTACGCAGCCGGTCGCAAGGGGTACCCCAAGGCTTGCGCTAGGCTGCCGTAAAGGGAAGAGGCGCGGTGGCTAAGGGTCGGTGGGTAAGAGGCGAGTGGAGAACAGGTCGCGGCAGGCGGCGCGGCGGTATTTATGGCTGCAGTCCAGAGAGCGACGTGTTGGTGAGTGAAGGAAACAAAGACGGCAGCCACGCGAGCTGAAGTGAGGCAGCAGCAACCGGGGTCACGGGCTCTTCACACCCTGTCAGCAGCGCTCGCGCCTTCCGCGTCCCGCGCCTCGTCTTTGATCATTATCGTTATTATCCTTACTGCGTCAGCCCTTCACCTGCACGGTGGCATTGGCTACGTGTCAGACACATAGTGTTGCTTACTTTGAGAGGGACCTCTCTGGTTGATTATACATAAACATAATGCATCCGCGCTAATAGTGCTGTGCAACCCTTGCAGGGCGAAACACGTCCAAACTGGCACAAAATCCTCCAAGCAGAACCAGGTATAACAGAAAAACCCTAATGTGTACACTTCGAAATGCACACAGTAATACAAGCCCCGCTCGCGCCGTCAAATCATGAACAGACATCAAGTACACCTTCGCTCCCTTCGGGGTGCTACCGAAGGCCACGGTTTCTGTTGCGCTTGTTTCGTGCTACTTCTTGCTCCGAGGCAACTGCTTCTGGAATCATACCTTCAGAGCCGGCAAGGCCATTCAGCTCTTCGTCGTCTAATTCACTCAACTCTTCGCTCATATCCCGTAATACGTCTCGACCCCGCCAGCGCTCCTCGTATACGGTTGTCCCTTCAGGATCGAACTCTTTCATGTACCAAGGTATGCCGCCATGATGAATCGGGCCAAGCAAATCTTGATCCGATCCCGGGGGTGTGGGCGGTGCTGCGGTTGTGTTGTTCGCTTGAGCGTCATCCACATCCATGGCATCAGTATCCGGAACCACCTGCATCGTGTGCTGTCCAAGTTGAGCAGCGATCGCAGCCTCGTCGGCAGCCTCATCCCGTGCAGAACGGTGGACTTCTGATAATTCCTCAGGTGTAGGTGCATGCGCAATTGATTCGTCGCTTTTGGCCGCGACCCCGTCCATCATCGTCTTTGTGGCTTGGACAGCACCACCAGAGGCCCCGTTCTCGATACTCGCATGTACACCATTGGCACCAGTCGCAGTAGGTGGTCGCGTGAGTAATTTCTGTTCAAGTATCGCCTCAAGATTCGGGATCTCTCTTTCAAACGGTCTGCCAGCCAAGTCCGACTCTTTGTGCATCGCATCATCGAACAAAGGTTGAATACCCTTGATGATGCGCTTGGCCAACTTCTTCTTTTCCTTTTGCTCGGTAGTTAGAACGCCGTGAGCAACGCCGCTAAGCTGTTGTTCGGCATCGCCAACGTCCGCAATGGCAGCAAAGCCAATGACTGAGCTTAAGGCAGCCACTATGTCTTCGCCGAAGGTTTGTACAGACGTGTAAAACTTCTCCGCAAGCCTAGTTTGCAGTTCCAGAAGGCCATCTTTGAAGACGTCTTTGTTGTCGTACCTGCAATTATATATTAGCAATGCATTGATCTTGACGGGAGAAGCACAACTCACGTTGCAGCTCGCTCAAGGATCGGTTCGAGTAACGGCGCAATTGGGAAATACATAGCATCAAGCATGCTTCTTAGTATCATGACTTCCTTGAGCTTCTCGGCCTCGCGTTTCTTGACCGATTCGCATAGAAGCAGAATCGATTCCATGTCATCCTCAAGACGCTCTGCAAACTGGATGCGGCGTTGAAGTCTGGGTCGGCCGACCGCGCCCATGCCAGCAAAGTTACGACGAGTGATTTCCATTGATGAGAATGCATCCAATTGAAGTTGAAGTCGTTTGATCAGGGCTGCGCCACGCCGCGCTTCTCGTTTCAGTGTCCAGTATTTGCAAGCCTCCTGGACAAACTCTTTGCGTTTACGAACGTTGAATCGTATGAGCGAGTTTTCTACGTTGTGGTACACGGCGTGGGGTACGACTGGAGCTCCAGATGGAAGTCGCCAAGATTTCACTGGTGGACCTGTACGTCTGCGTCGATTGCCGGAGCCGTCGTCTTCCTCCAGGCCTTCCACGGATGGGACCGGGTGCGAAGAGCCAATCGACAAAGCATAAGCCTGGCTGTCACCCCAACGAACGTGTCGCATCGTCTGTCGATAGAAGTACTTAGCTTCAACTAACGCACCTTCCACGTCGTTCTCCCGGCGCCAGTCGCTCGGTGAGTGTCTGTCACAGTAGGCTTTCAAAACGCTAGCGTCATGTGGGTTTTGAGATGAGGAAGATTTCATCTTCAGACATAATCGAGCCTTGCGCGCGCATGTCACATGGAACGCTTCGAAGCAGGACTTGTGGCCACATTGAATGCATGCGCCCATCTTCTGCTTGCATATATAGCACGTCTAAACCCGAATTAGCGACATCAGAGAGCATTTTTACGAAGAGTCATACCAGCTTCCATCGCGTCTTTGGTACCTTTTCAACATCTTGCACTGGCTCTTGGAAGGTCGTGTTTGCTAATGAGACTTCAGGAATCCACATGGCGCAGAGCAAATGCGCCCATTTCATGGCAGTGGTCTGTTTGAATGCACCGTCTATGTTTGGACAGAAGATGCAACCCTGTAATAGTCAGCGTAACGTGCATTCGACGCGCAAGGAATAGAACGTACCGGCTGTTCACTGACAGGGGTTCCACGCCCCACTAACTGACATCGTCTGCATAGCCACTGTCCTTCCGGTATGAATGGTACGCCATAGCACTCTTGGTGCACTGCCAGGTCGCAACCATCGCAAAATACTATAGCATTGGTGTTCTCGCAGTCACCGTCGTCGCAGACAGCGCACTTTGTGTCCTGCTCGTCACCTTGGCCCGCGGGCTCTCCATTTACTGCAGCTGCTGAGCTTGATCGTGGTCGGTGGGTTTGAGGAGGTTTCGGATTTGGTTTAGGTATACCTGGACTCGGATTAGCCATTTGCAACTCAGAAGCGACGCAGGATCCTACGTTTCTCTAGAGCATGCCACTCTTTCTCAATTTGTGTGATGGTGACCTCGAATATTGCCGGTTTGATGGCTTCTACGCCCTCATCTCGCCGCTGTGCATTGACGGTCTCCAGCCACTGATCGTCCTGTTCGTCCATGTCGTACTCCACGCGTCCAACGCCGACGGCGCTCGAGCCATCGCCTTCTGATTGTAAGGTTAGGTCCAAATCCTCTTCGATCGATCCCTCAGGCACACGAATCAAGGCCTTCTCCGGCTTCGCGAAGATCTCGCTTTCCTGATAGCCAATGCTTGCCATTGTCCGGTCAACGTAATTGATCTTGACAGCTTCACTCTCTTCATATGCCTTGAAAGTTTCCACTTGACGAGTAGAGGGTTTGGGAAGATTCAATTTCTCCTTTGGATTCATAGTCGGCAAGGGATTGATGCGCGGTCGTGGCGGCGAGCCTAATCCACTCAGCATGGAGTCGGTTTTGCGGGGCGGTCGTCCTGGGCCCCGTTTTCTGGGGGTCAGCTGGAGGCCATTTGTGGTGGTGGCATCTTGCGAAGCCTGCTGCTGGGCGCGAACACCCTCGAAATGGGCAGACACCCCACTGTCGATTGCGTACTGGCCGGTCGAAAAACCGTTCACGGGCGTGCCGGGCGCAGAGTCTGGGGGGCTTATTCCATCGACCTGGTCTGCGCTGAATATGGGCAGTTCGAGGTCGATGTCCAACGTCTGGTGAAATTCTTCCCACCCGCGCTCCTCGCGCGGCTTGTATCCATCGTTTTGCGCCACTGCGGCGGCGACGGCGGCGGCCGAACTGGAGCGTGGCCCAGCCGGCGGTCTTTCGCGTCGAGGGCGAGAGTATGAGGGCGAGGGCGCGTCGAGAGGCAGGCCCTGTCGTTCAGCGTTCATGCGGCCGATGCGGCCTCGGGGTCCAATGTATGCGTAGCCGCCAGGTCCTGTGCCGCCCACTGGTGTCTCGATGCCGTCCTCGTCGACGTATCTACCGCCTCCTCCAGGCCCGCCCGGTATGTATTTTCGTTTCTTGAGTGGAGGCGCGGAATCGGATATGGTTCGCTTGTTGAGCGGTCGCCCGGAGCTCCTCACGCGTGGTCTGGGAGTGCCGGGCAGCGGCGCCATTGGAAGAATGTGGGTCCAGCCGAAGGTCGACGAAGGGCGCGCTCTCCTGGATGCGGGACGGGGGGTTCAACGCGTGGAGACGTCGCGAGCGCGGCGGCGGGGTTTCCTGCGCGTTGGTGCGGTGCAGCGCAACAGCAGCGCGTTCGTCAGCCGTGCGGCAGAAGCGACAGCAGACGTGTGGAAGCGTGTCTGCGATGGGGACTCCACGGTATCTCCTGCTGAGGTTGGCCGTGCCCGCTCGGGCTAGGTTGCGCTAGTCCGAGAAAAGCTTAGACTCGCCACCCAAGCGTGGAGGTGCAGAAAGCTTGTCAGTAGCCGTGAAAGGCGCGTCAACTGCTATTTCCACACGACTCGTGCGCTCTGGCGCTTTCTGGCAGGTGATGTCAATGGTGCCAGTCTAAGCATACCATGCTCTTCACTATTGCGCCGTGAAAGATGGGAAGACGAGCGAGTGACCAGGCCTATCACCTGCTGTCAAGGCCATAGCATCCGGCAAGCGAAGCATTCTGTCCTGGACATGGCTCTAGATATCTCAAGTAAACCTCAAAACGGCTATTGCCAGTACCATGCAGATTTGTTTGCACTTGCGTAGCAAAGCGGACTGCAGCGACTGAGATGCACTTATGATTGGCAAAGCGGGTCAACATTTCAAGAGGCTGCTCATCGCATCGTGTCTGCAAAGAATATCTTCTTTGCTGTATGGATGACTGTACTTTGTCTGCAGTAGTGAGTAGACACAGGGTCATTCCAATGCCACCTGACAGCGGTCAAGCGTGGATATAGCGCAAGTGGAAATCGTAGACTTCACGTAGCATATACGTTTGGCTTAAATAGACTCCGATACATTTCTTTTGTGTGACTCCGTATTCACCTGGCGATGGTTGTTGCACGTGTGAAGTCGTGCTTGCCCCGCCACCGTCCATTCGGTTAGAACCTCCGCAATGTCTCCATCCACGCGCCGCAGGCAACAACCCTCCCGCCTCCATCATCGCTTGGCTCACCATCTTTGACTTTCGGTCACATTAGAGCTGTTTGTTCAAATTCAATCATGGCCACTCCCAAGGCTATAGTAGGAGTCCTTTCCATCGGCCAGATGGGGTTTGGGGTCGCAAAATTACTTCTAGCCCATGGCTTTCATGTTATCACCAATGTGGGGGATAGGAGTTTCGCGACGCAAGAACGTGCCAAATCTGCATCCATCGAGTGTGCCTCGTCGGATTCTGAGCTCGTTGCCAAAGCAGACTGTGAGCCGTATTCCAATTAAACACATTGTGGGTATCTTACAACCATTCGATGATCGCGAGTGTATCGACTACGGTGCTAGAACAAAGGTCTGATTACGTTGTGTTACCGAACTCTGTCTTGGTACTGTATGCATTGGAAAATCTTGTCTCGTCAGCCGTTTTAGAGGTTGCATCCTGGAAAGGTCTGGTCGTGATGCATGTTCACCATTCCCCGCTGGTGCACTAGACTGACTTGGGCCTCTCACCTAGACATATTATCAATCGTACCTCCGAGAGATGCAAAAGCTACCGCAGAGCGTATCTTGAATATTTTCAATCACGAAGTTGACCCGAGGACTGGAAAGAAAGAACAACTGTATTATGCAGACTTGAATGCGGTGTCCCCGGAGACCGCCAGAAACATAAGTGAATTATTCCAGCAAGAACCACGAGTAAGTCAGAAATACCACCGCTTCAGCTGGTACTGTGCTAACAGTGTAAGATCCGATTCATCGACGGCGGAATAATCGGAGGTCCTCCATCCCCCACCCCAGACACAGGAGGTTGGAAGCGCCCTGGCATCCCAATGTCAGGACCCCATCCACTTTCCGACGCGCCTATCGCCGGACGCGAACTCGCCGACACCCTCAATACGCGTTACCTGAATGCCGATATCGGCACAGCTTCCGGCCTCAAATGTACCTTCGCGGCTCTATCCAAAGGCTTCACTGCTCTGGCACTCCAGTCTTTTACCACAGCGGCGTCGCTTGGTGTGCTACCGGAACTGCAGGATTACATCTCAGAGTACAATCCCAGTGCGAAGGTCCGCGCTGAGAAGGGCGTTACTGGGTGTCCACCAAAAGCCTACAGATGGGTTGAGGAAATGAATCAGATAGGGCAGTGTTTTGAGCTTGAAGGGGGTTGGCCAGCAAGTGCGAATGTCTTCCGAAGTGTGGCGAGTGTGTATGAACAGCTGGCTGTTACAGTGGAGGAAAGAGGTGGGGCGGAAGGCATGGATGAATTGGAGGGCGCGCTTTCAGCGCTAACGAAGAGTTTGAAAGATGGGAATGATCTCCCTAAGATTAGAATCGACTGATCGTTTGTGACAGTCCAAATGACAACAAATATAGAATTCCCAAGCTTCATACCCCGCCGAAGGGCCGAAGCGCTGTGAAAGACAGGCTGGTCGCGATTTAATCACTGCAAGTAATTTAAGCACACTGTCCTTCGATACATTTTTTAGTCTAGAAAGTCACTCGATGATTCAGCGGCTGTTCTACGAAATACTTTAAAGTTCAGTTGATCTATGAATCTCGGCATCAGCGCGAGTTCAGGGCCCTCCGCGTTTTGGAGACAATTGACCATGAACAAACTCGCATAAGTCCAAAGACCTATAAAAAGCGCTCTGTTCGATATACACAGTGCGTTTACCTAATTACCCGTGGTTCTGAAAAGTGGTGATGGTGGTAATCAGCAAATGAGGACGACTATGAGGGCCCAGCCAGCGGCGGGCTAGAGAGTCCCCGAGTGCTGCTTATGTCCACAGACAATGTCATCAAACGTTTGAGAGGTGCAGAAATCATACGGAACAAAAAGAAGTGAATCGGTAATGGGTGCACAAGTGATAAGTAAATCGAGACAATCCGGTGCGCCTAGCGGACCCGCGGAATAAGAGTACCTAAGCGCCCATAGTACCCACGAACTATGTTTCTAGGCAATATTTAGATGCAAAGAAGGTCTCGATGTCAAAAAAGAAGCGAATCCACTGTTTGGCGGTACTGGGAATCGAACTGTTACAGTCAGTACAGAGCATTGAAATCCTCTCAGAAGAGGGCCAACCTACCCCAGGCTGGCGCGGTATTTGAACCACAACGCGACGTCGTACCACTTGACCATACCACCGTGTTATTGTGGTGAATTGAGCGTATTCAGGCAAAAAGAAGTACATAGACAGGTGAGAAATTGGAAACACAGGGTTTTCAATCTCCACAGAAGGACTAGAATGCCTATGACACTTCAAAATAGGTTATCTGCAATGCTTGTGACACACAGGAATATTTTTTTATGTCAATTTGAAGCATGGGGGTGGGCCTGGGGACTTTTCTGTGCGCTAAGTTCGCTAACGCTACGGGACAGCGCGATACCATGTGAAGCCCAAACGAATCATTCTAATTACATGGAAACGTTCTTCGTAGATCCATTTACCATCCCCAACTTCCTTTGCAGTGCGAAAAATTGGCGAACAATATTGGCCGGCACAAGCCTCCTACGTACCATTAGCAAGGTTGGAAAACCAACAATCAGGCAATCATGAAAATGAACTCCGGACTTGATGAGATCTCGTTAAAAGCTTTTGATCTGCAGCTGAGGGAAAATGTAATACTGTCTCGGTAACGTTGTGCTCAAGGTAAACGGGACAAGATATAGCTGTACTATCATAAGCACAAGTCTCTCGAGCGTTGAATCCAGGATACGCCTTGATGGCAACTGGTGATTTTCTTCTATACTATGGAACATCCATTATCGGCAGTTATCTCACTCAACTCAGTCTCAAAGCGGTATATTGATTGCCGGGTTCTGCTCTAAACCTCACTCTCTTACTTGTCCTCGTCACAAACCCCTCCAACGTTCTCAAATCACCGCAATTTCTATTACTTGCTACCGCTTCTAGTTCACTAGTCTAGGTGCCAAAATTCATGCTCGTTTCTCAACCTCCTCTAAATACCTCTCCACAGTCTACAGACGTGTCATCTCGGATCCCCACCACTCCACAACGATGCTAGAGGAGATATCTCAATCTGGTCTGAAGTCCTACCTCTTCCAACTTCAAGGCAAAATTACTTATACGCTTGTCCGTCCACAGCATTCTCCGAAGACAAATACGGTAGACACCACCAACTACTCAGAGACTGCAATAAACCACGAGGACGGCACCATCGAGCTCAAACCTGGAAAGCATGCAACTGCACATGGACTGTCTGTACATATAATGAAGAACGATCGCAAACTTGACCTAGACTTTGAGGGACATGATGGTCAATACTATCATTGGACGTTTCAAGGCCTGAACAATCCTGAGGGAGTGCACCAGGCATCACAGGGTGTGCAGACTGCAGTGACATAAGCAAAGGCTGTGGACAGTGGTTCACAGACGGATATGTCGCTCGAACCCTCGACGGTCTAAATGAAGCGAGAGTAAGTCTTTGGTGTAGCAGTCTCTCCAGTGGCCGTTGAGAGGAAGCGTAGACATGTTAGCAAGACTTATCAGCCGCACAATCAAGCACGCAGCACGCAGCACACCCGACTCTAACCCTTTAATGCGCCATCTGTACATGGAATGTACCCGCATATACCCTCAGATTATTCTTGAACTAGGGAGGACGATCTTCCTGGCTTCATCCACATTGACCTCAAGTCCGCCGAAGTATTTTTACCACATTTAGACTAGTTCGAAGCATAATTGCGGGCTCGGAAGGAAGCAGATAGATCTCCATGATAGGACTAGTAGGTCTTTCCTTTGCCATTTTTTTTTTTTTGCGTGGACATGGACCGTTAAAACGTGTAGCCAGGATCGCGTTAGGCCACACCAAGCACAGGAACCACACAATGATAATCGAGCATCTCACCTCCAAAGAAAACTAATTCCCTTCTTTGAAGCTAGGTTCGCTTCGAACAAGAACAAGGTGTATGACACGAACCGTTCGAACCAAGGTAACACAATGATGGAATTTGCTTCCGTGGTGCGTCTTTTTCCCCATGACATGGCCCAGGTTTCGCAGAGTACGGCATGCATCCACAATGCACGCAAATTTGGTGCTCAAGATGTTCCCAGTGAACGCTTCTCTCGTATTCGGAATGCTGACACAGCTCCACAGACGTACTCTCTCCCACCCGGCAATCCTTACGGTGGCGGCGGCTTCGGTAACGGCTCTTCACGTTCAGGCGACAGGCGCGACCGCAATCGAGCCAGCCTCTTTTGCCCTATGCATCAAGCCTCCGGTCACGACCTCAATAATTGCACGAAGTTCCCAGGCCTCGTCGATCAGGCAGTGGTGACTCGCCTCCTGCAGCTAGCCACGGGAAGTTCTCTTTCGGGTACGAAAGAGGATAAACCCCCACAGCACCCCTCGATCTCCCATCACGTCGTGACGCCAAGTTGGAGTGTCTGTGTGTAAGTCATCTGCACTTTCACTTTCGAAATTACCTTTTTTCTTTTTGAAAACCGCTCACAAATGATTCAGGGCGATCGCAATGACGAGGGGGAAGCTACCTTGAAGGCGCTCCGAGACGATATTCAGAACAAGACGGTGTCAACACACAAGTTTGAGAAGAAGCTAAAGGCAATCGAGCATGGTTTCGCCGACATCAAGAGACAGTGGGGGCTCGGAAGGTGCTGGGTGAAATGACGAGTGTCATTGATGCTGATGGAGCTGGCGGTGACAAGCAGACGTGCGTGGTAGTTAGCAGGCTGGTCGTCAATGATACCCTGTCACAGCGGCTGACACAAAATACTGGAGTTCAGCAAGCCTCATCCTGTAGGAACTCTCTATGTGTTACACGATTATAGATCTATTATCTCATGGTCCATCCTGACATTTCATAACCATGAAGGCCAGGTACTGTCAGCCACTGTATTTCATCTTCCAAGGGTACACATTGAATCACACTCAACTAGACTTCATGTGTGCATTGTGAGGATGTCCAATCTCCCTATTGCTGCTTGCTATGTTGGTTATTCATCGATACTCCTGTGCCGCAATGGCACCCCTGAAACCAACTCCATGCCCTCATTAATCTTCCAAACGCCGTCCCGATGCAGCATTAACATACGTTCCCTACCTTAAGCAGGTGCGGCCGCGCCGCCTCCATTCTCGGCGCTGCCACCGCCTGTGACACTAGCCACGAACTCCTGATACCTGAACACCTCGCCTCGTCCGAGTCCCTTTGCACCCTTACCAAAGGCCCTCCGGCCACTAAAGCCTTCCACAACCATGTCAATCTCGCGTTCGGTAAGCTTGCGCTCGCCAGGCTCGGGCGCCGTGTGGAGCAGAGCATCTTTCAGCTCGCCGAGATCAATCTGACCGTCATCCCCGTCATCAAAGGCCTCAAAGGCCGCATTCAGCTCGTTTGGATGCGAGAGCCCAGAAAGCAGATCCGAAAGTGTGTTGAGGTACGTGGCCAGATTGATGTTTTTGGCACCATCCGAAAAGTGCGAACTAAGCGTAGACGGCGTGGCGCTGAGGCCGAGCTGTGAGAGCATCTCTGCAACATCTGCTGCATCTACGAAGCCACTGTTGTCGCGGTCCATGACGCTAAACGACTCGCGCATGCTGTGGAGAAGCGGAGGCGGGATCCTGGCCAGGGCGTCGGTGGAGTTTGTTCGCGGGGCCATGGCTGGTCGGGGTGTTGGTTGCAGCGGCGGGGGGAAATCTATGTTGGCGGGCCGAGACAAGGCAGGCAAATGGTCCTTGCTGGAGGTGCGCTCGAAGGGTCGCTCCACGGGGAGCTCTCTGCTGGTGGTCCGCTCGAGCGGAGGCGCGCTCGCTCCGCCATCGAAGCGTGCTGCAATCGAGGCGGTATTCGAAGCTCGGATGGTGTGCTGGGTGGACGTGGATACTTGACGCGACGGCGATTTGGGAATCTCCGGCTCGAGCGAGGTTCCACGCGTGTTCAGCCACGAAGGCGGTCTCTGGGACGCATTGCTTGCGGCGGGCTTGCGCAAGGGTGCAGGTGTCTGCAGAGGGGTGTTGTCTGGTGTCGGCTTGAGCGGCGAGCTGCTGGGCGTGGTCGGGCGGGCGGTGGACGGCGAGTTTCCGGGCGACTGTGCAAGCGTGCTGGGGCGGCGGAAGGGCGAGGTGCGCGCGCTGTTGAAGGAGAGCGGCGACGGCTTGTACGGGGTCGGTGTTGTGGACTGCAGCAGTTCAGCGGCTGGGAGCTCGAATCTCACGCCGGTCTACCTACCATGGTGGTCGCGCGATTCCAGGCTGTGGCGGCCGATGTGGGCGGTGATGCAGCGTGTTTGGTGTTGACGCGCCGGCCAATGTCTCCCAAGCAACCCAACACCAAGCCAGCAGGCCCCGTTTATCGATAGAGAGAGACCCTTGCACATGCACGCTTCGGGGCCCACATCATTTCACAGTGCCCCCCACGCGCTCGTCAGCTCCAGGCTCGGCATCGTGCATGCAACAGGCCCATGCGAAAGCCTCTTGCATGTCCGCTGTCGTCTCATGAACTGATATCCGCGCTGCGCTCCAGGAAGTTCCGATCGGCTACATCCCTCCTGAAACGCGACTCGTGGATTAGTCCGGCGCGACGAGGGGCTACTTTCCACGTCCCGCCATCACACCATGCCCTGCCTGAGACTGTGATAGTGATAGCAACCCTATAATGGCTGAAGTAATGCAGCTGCGCGCCAACGGCGGCTCGTCAGCTTCGGCTCAGCCTGGCCTCCAGCGCCAGCCTTCCTTCTCCTCGTTCCCTCCGTCGCGAAGCCCCTCGGCCGTCTCCCTGCGCAATGAGAACAAGCGGCCGCCACGCTCTCCACAGCCACCAATGGTCCGCGAAGACGATGTCTCGATCGACGAACTGTCCCAGGCTTCATCCTTTGGCGACACAAGACACGCGCGGCTGCGCTCCCAGTACCCCGCCGACTCCATCGAGAACCATGTCGAGTACATCCTCGTGGCCTCCTTTGACATTGACCGCGGGTCGGTCATGGAGCACCAGTATCCGGGGCCTATAAGCGGGGATGAGACCATGCTGGCAGAGCTCATGTTGCCTGACCAGACGCACATGCGGAGTCAGGATTGGACTATATTCTTTTTGCACAAGGACACAAGTGCGGAGGAGGAGGAGAAGGAGGCGCGGAGGGAAAGGCGGAGAAAGGGCAAGCGGAAAGAAAATCATGATGCCGATGGGGACGACACCACGGCCGGCGCAGAGGAGTACGATGAGCCGGACGACGACGACTCCTCGTCCGAGAGTGAAAACGAGATGGACTCCGATGGCCCGCCGCTGGTCTATGTGCTCAACCTGGTAAACACGAAACAGGACAATACCGTGAAAAGGTGCGTTTTGAACATCGCTGCACGCTTTGTTTGCTGACACCCTCTGCAGAGGAGCCATCGTCAAAGCCATGGCCATCTGCACGCGACACCCCTTCCTACACATCTACAAACCATTACTACTACTTGCTCTTGAAGAGTACTTCCGAGCCCCAGTCATGGAGACGCTTGCATCTCTCTACAATGCGCTCAATACCATGGACCTGTCGTTGCTCCCCAAACTCTCCATGTTCGAGAACTTCGTCCTACAAGCGACCGACGCCAAAGACATGTTTATCGAAAAGTTCGAGCAGATGATACGACAGCGCAGAGCTGAAGATGCAGAGCGAGCTTCTCTTCCATCAGCGTCCTCCTCCGACCTCCAAAGAAAGAACTACGCACCTCCCAGAGATACCCACGAATTCGAGTCCAAAGTTCTATACAACGGCGTTCCCGTTCCCATCAAAGTACCTACCGCATTGAGTCCCGAGACAGTGGGCGACTTCTCTCTCATTAAGCTCATCCAGACCTTCTCTACGCCTCATGCGACACAACCACAGCCTTTTGCGCTCCATCCACACCTGACGACAAGCGGGGCATATACGCATCCTATAATTGTGCTGGTCAATGCTCTTCTCACGCAAAAACGTATCATCTTCCTCGGCCATAACCGACCTTCCGGTGAAGTCGCTGAAGCAGTTCTTGCGGCTTGTGCCCTTGCATCGGGTGGAATGCTGCGGGGCTTCGTGCGCCATGCTTTCCCCTATACCGACTTGACAAAAGTCGACGATCTTCTCAAAGTCCCCGGCTTCATCGCCGGTGTCACGAATCCTGCGTTCTCATACAAGCCTGAATGGTGGGATCTGTTATGCGACCTTCCGACTGGGCGGATGAAGATTAGTAACAAGATTGAACTGCCTCAACCAACAGAAGGCCAAGTGTTCTTCCAGAGTCAAGGTATACCCGTCGGAATCTATCCATCAGGAAGCGACAAAGCCGCCGACCCCACAGGAGATACACACTTCATGGAAAGCCTTGTAGCGAGCATTGCCAATCGCCACGGCGAAAATGCTATCCGTGCCAAATGGCGGTCATGGGTTCTTAAGTTTGCCCGCATATCCGCCGCCTTCGAGGAGACCGTCTATGGCGCCTCCGCACTCTTCGTCGGCTCCCACGAAACAGAAGAAAACGTCTACGGGGTCTCTGGTCATGGCTTCGTCTGGCCCGACGAGATTTCGAAACTGCGGGAGTTAGCGGCGAACGTGCACCGTGTGGAAGGGTGGAGGAATACAAGGAGTTATTACAGTTTTATCCAGGATCTGGCGCGACAGTGGGAAAAGCGACCCGTTCGGGGCATCGACCTCCATCACCAGCATGATAAACTCCGCTGTCTAAAGTTGACACATGATCAGTCCGCTGCCATCTACCTGGCGCTTGCCCGCTGCGTCGAAGAAGCTGGCGGGCCCAAGCCTTCGCCCTCACCATCGGACACAGACCTTTCCACCACCACGACCTCACAATCTCTCACTATAGCGAACGATCCAGACCGCAAGCCAGGCGAGCAGTTACAGTACGATACGGTCCTGCAGCTCCTCTGCGTCATTCCCGAAACGAACTCGGGGCTTTTCTATCTTAGCCTAGGCCTCTTCCATCCAAGACAGGACGTCAGGGCTGCGGTGGTGAAGCTCCTAGAGAGGATAATAGAACATCCAGCCGGAAGACATTTCTGGGCCACACTGGGGCGATTCGCAAAGCTCGCATTTTTCCGAGTTAAGAGAGAGGAAAGCCGGGAGGTAAAGACGTAGTTGGAGCCTAGTTATGCAAGACCATGATATATTGATGACTATATAGGTGTGGACGGATGTCAGTGTTGTAGGCGTACAGCAGGCCATTGAGGCGGAGACGAAATGCATGTTACTTTGAAACCATACGATGTACGCAAATCTTGACTTGACTAATGCCTTTTGCGATATCGGCACAACTGAAAGACTGCGCGCAGCATCAATCCAATCTCGCCTAACAGTATATCTTGAATCATCACACAGCAGTCTGGATTCACTTGTAGTCTTACGGCGGTGTACACTCTTCAGTCCTATACCGATCCTATGAGCAAGCAGCTTCTCAACGAAGCACCACTGTCTTTGAATCTACATCCTTGCCCTCGCCTTCGACTCACATGTCGCTAGTTCATCGACTCCTACAACAACGAACGCGATGTGTGGGGTGTTCTCAATGCCACGAGCCAGGTCCTGGGAGACGGGAAATTGCGGGTCCACCTTCCTATCTCGGTGAGCTATCCGAATCACGTTTTCAACTCATTGGTCCGCAACCATACGTCGGAGGCCCGAATTTGCCATCAATTGATGCAGAGAGTGGGCGTTGGAAATCATAGCGCAACTGCACGCATGCATATAAGGAACCCATGACGCTGGGTCACCTAGCCCTCACCACCACTTGACGCCTCCAGCACCGTGGACGACTTCATAATTCAACATGTGGTGCTCGACTCTCATCACCAGCGTCCTTGCTGCTGCTGCGACCGTCGAAGCGTATGGTATCAAGACGCACATCACCTACGAGGTGGTGACCGGGATTTTCAAGCAGGATGACCCAGCCACGGATGCATCGAGCTTCAACTTCACGGCGGAGAACTTCGGCCTGATCGAGCAGAAGTACCCGAGCGACTGGACGTACCTCTTCCAGCGGCCTACCTCCTGGCAGCGGCTGAACCGCTACATCGAGACCCTAAACCTAAAGGCCAAGTACAATGAGCGCTACACGCTGCTCTTCCTCGGCCGCCACGGCGAGGGCTACCACAATGCCGCGGAAACCTACTTTGGGACACCAGCCTGGAACTGCTATTGGTCCGAGAAGGACGGAAACGGCACCGTGACCTGGGCCGACGCGCACCTCACACCCAAAGGCATCGCACAAGCCCAGGACGTCAACAAGTTCTGGGAAACGCTGCTCACAAAGGAGAAAATCACCGCCCCGCAGACGTACTACACGAGTCCTCTGTACCGCTGCCTCGACACGGCACGTCTTACGTTCACCGGCCTCCCACTCCCAAAGACACGCCCCTTCGTCCCGATCATCAAGGAATACTTCCGCGAGGGCATCTCCGCGCACACATGCGACCGCCGCAGCACAAAGTCCTCCATCCACGCCGCCTTCCCTTCTTACAAGTTTGAAAAGGGCTTCGCAGAGCGCGACCCCTACTGGACGGCTCTCCACGCAGAGCCCTCATCCGACCAGGACATCCGTAGTAAGAAAGCGCTGGACGACGTCTTCGGCAGCGACCGCAGCACGTACATCAGCGTGACCGCGCACTCGGGCGAGATTGCGAGTCTGCTGCGGGTGCTTGGGCACAGGGTTTTTGGGCTGGCTACCGGGGCGGCGATGCCGGTGTTGGTGAAGGCGAGTACGGTGGCTGGTGGTGCGGGGAGCGCGACGAGTACGGTGGCTTGGCCGGCGCAGAAGACGTGTGGGGTGCCGCCGGCGGTGAGGGATAGTAGTTGTAATGATTGCTCGTGTTGTTCGTAAAGGGGACGCGAGGGGGGTTTGCATGGTACAGTGCGGAGAGTCGCCGCAGGATACGGTATAGTAATGTAGAAGACTTTTAATGGAGTGGGATCTGGAGGTGGCAATCACTGTTTATTCGTGAATCCGAATCTTTGGCTTGGGGTGGCCTGAGGTAGCACAGTCCGGGTTCGGAACGTCGACATAGTGACACTCGCTCCAATCTGGAATTTTGCTGTAAGGTACTCTGACATACCACGGCATGGGTTGTGAACGGGGATCACGGCATTCACCTTAATGTAAACACTTACCATGGGGTATCCTGAGTTAACACAACGCAGGTTGCGGACGCAGACGTCACTAGGATCACTTTAACCACCAACTACCATATGTACCGTAACTGCGGCTAGCACGTAGTCCATTACTACGTAATTTCAAGGCCTTGAGATCTGTCACGTCCTACCAGGCTCTCTCAAGCCAGAGCATAGACCACATTGCCATAAACGTCATCAAGTCATGCCATGCCACACCATTCATCTCCCCCACCGACAGCCACCATGCCGCCACCTACAAGCCTCCAGCGTAATCATGGTACGCGCCATAGCCATCCAGCACGGGCTCCGGCTTGATCTTGAACTCCTCCCCCTCATCCTCGACCCTCTCGCCCTTCACCTTCTTGCTTGGCGTCTCATCCGCACTAGCCCCCGCACCGCGCTTGCCGGTCCTAGGCGTCTTTGGAGCAGGCGTCTTCTTCGGGGTGGATGCAGTTGCAGTAGCGGGGTTGGACTCGCTGCCACTACCGCCGCCGGCGCCGTGTGTCTTGAGTTTGCGCTTGATTTTGCCCATCGTAACGGAGGCACTGCCCTCGGTGTAGCCGGTGAGGCGGGCGAGCTTCTTGATGTCGATCTGTGTGGAATATCAGCGCTGCGGCACAGGATCTGGAGGCTGTGGGTTACCCCAGGCTGGGGTAAGTCTTAGTACCTTGGGCTCCGACTCGAAGCACTGCCAGGCCAGCGCGAGGACCTGCATCTCACGCGCGCTGAAGGTGAGTGCTTCGTCGCTCTTGGCCATCTTGGAAGGTGCGGTTGGCGTTGCTGTTGTGTAGACTCCAAGGACGTTCGACTTTGGCGATCGAGTGTCAAGTCAAGAGTGGTGGAGTGGAGAGGGAAGAGTTAGAAGAGCCGCAGCAAGAACGTTATAAACGAACCGAAAGAGTTCGCGTAGCAGTGAGAGTGAGTGGGCATTGTGGAATTGCGTAGCACAGGTGAGTGAAGTCTGGGGTCGGTGCCTGGTTCACCACGGCAACCCTCGCTCTCACTTGGAAGGAAGGCGACCGGGCGAATCGCGGCATTAACCGGTACGATTTTTGTGGCTCTGTGTAACTCTGCGCGTGATCATTCTGGTAACGAGATAACCCGACGACTGGTAATAGTCAAGACATGCTTGGGGGTCATACTTGACGGGGACCTGTACGGAAGACCTTCACGAACACACATACATGTAAACGAAGAATTGTCCGAGTCGCCGGTGGGATTTGACATTGACACTATATCCGCTTCACCTCCTTGTCCCGCAGTTCCGGCCTCTGGACGTCCAATTCGTCCCTCAGCGCAGCAAACAGCGAGTCGCCGACTATTATTGACAAGCCCAAGCTCCATACCAGAGTGATGGCGTAGAAGAAGTTGGCATTGCCCGAGCCGGCGTAGACCCAGAGATGGTAGAAGGCCGGTCCAAGGAACGATGCGTACAGAACGGCTGCAGAGGCGAGGAAGGTATAGCGCATCACTGCTCAAACTCAAAACATGTTCGTAGTGGTGACGAATGCTGCACTTACAAGGGAACAAATGCCTGAACAAAGGCACAAGCGAGAGATAAAGGGCAGCATCTGCAACGCTGGGGTATGGGGTGAAGATGGCGAAGATGCCAGTCAGAGTAGTAGCAACAAACAGAGGCTGTGTGCGGAGGCGAATGGTAAGCCCCGGCGTGTACGATGCGACATGCAGCCAAAACACGCCTAGGAAGAAATCCCGAAACGAGTCAAACATCTCAGTGAAGAAGTACCACCACAGCCCCACATTGGGAGTGAGGTCTGGAAGCAGCAGTCGGACGCCATATGTAGCCTCCAAAAATTCCCATGAGCCGGAGAGTATCGCCGATACAACCAGCAGAGTTCCGCATACCAGAATCAGACCCAAGGTATACACGGCTGTGAAGGCCAAGGCATTGGGGGCAGCTTTCAGCTTCTCGGTGCGAGTGTCGTAGAGCAGCACCAGCAACGGCGGGAACAGGAGGATTGGATGCATGGCGAGATAAGACGCAGCCGATATGGCGAGCAGGAACGTGGCGCTGGCGCCGCAGCAGGCCTTGGCCATGGCCGTGAGGATGAAGAGATTGGTCAGGGACGTGGTAGAGCGGGCCATGCAGGTAGCAAGGGTGAAGGGATTGAACAAGAAGCTGTGCACAGTTAACACATGGCCGGCGCAGAACAATCATGAGGCCTACCAGGCTACAATGGCAGCGGTGCTCCATCGCAGGCCCTGGCGCGACGACTTGAACAGGCGCGTAGCAGCAGCATGGCCCGAGTCTGCAATCTGAGCCAATGCATGGGCGCTCAGCAGGTCGACTGCCGTAAAGACCAGATTCGTCGCGAACGGATAGTACGAGGCGTCGGGGAGGAGCGAGAAGAGCGGGAGGAGCAGCGGTGCCTGGTGGTACACGCCGCCATCGTAGGGCGACACGTTGTGGGTGTAGAGGTAGAGGCCTTCCTGGACTGGAATGGGTCAGCAGAGACGACGCTATCATGGCGGCATCTGGCAGGCCACATACGTCTCTTGAAGCTCGAAACGGGCGTGGACAGCTCGACGCGGCCGGCGAGGCGGTCGGGCAGAAAGGGAAAGGCCTGGAACAGGAGCAGGCGCACGGCGGCAGCGGCAGCGAAGAGGGCAGCCTTGTGCCGCGTGTCGAGGGCCATGGTCGTCTCTGGTCAGCGGGCGGCGGGCTGGCACTGACGCGGGCGCTCGCTGGGTCGCATAGCCGTCGACGTGCAGACTGCCTGCCCTGAGCACCGCTGGCCCACTGCAGCTCCACCCCGTTTCCCGCGGCGCGTCGGCGCCCGGCAAAACCCTTCTGCCGCTACCGTGGCTCCGCAACTTTTTCCATCTCGACAAATCTTGGCTGTCCGTCCGCAGCGCAAACCCGCCAACATGGGCAAAATTCAGAAAAAAGGTACGTCTGTCTGCTGCGCCATGCTCCCAATCGCGTGCGCCGTCGCTAACAGCCGGCAGGACAAGCTGGCGCCGCCAAAAACTACATCACGCGCACGCGCGCCGTGAAGAAGCTGCAGATTTCGCTCCCAGACTTCCGCCGACTATGCATCTTCAAGGGAATCTACCCCCGCGAGCCGCGCAAGAAGAAGAAGGTCTCCAAGGGTTCGACCGCTGCCACCACCTTCTACTACACCAAGGACATCCAGTACCTGCTGCATGAGCCGCTGCTGGCCAAGTTCCGCGAGCACAAGGCCGTCGCAAAGAAGATTGCAAAGGCGCTGGGCCGTGGCGAAGCCGGAGATGCTGCACGTCTCGAGAAGAACCTCGTTCCCAAGATCAAGCTCGACCACATCATCAAGGAGCGCTACCCCACCTTCACCGATGCCCTCCGCGATCTCGACGACGCCCTCTCCATGCTCTTCCTGTTCGCCAACCTGCCCTCGAGTGAGCATGTCCCGGCTAAGACTATCGCTCTTTGCCAGAAACTCTGCCACGAGTTCGAGCACTATGTCATCACCTCCCACTCGTTGCGCAAGACCTTCTTGTCCATCAAGGGCATCTACTACCAGGCCACCATACAAGGACAGGATGTCATGTGGCTCGTACCTTACCGATTCGTTCAGAGAACCGGAGGAGACATCGACTTCAGAATCATGGGCACATTCGTCGAGTTTTACACTACGCTGCTGGGCTTTGTCAACTACCGTCTGTACACATCCATTGGCCTGGTATATCCCCCCAGATTCAATGCCGATCTGGATGCTCAAGGTGCCGAGCTAAGCGCATTCCAAATTGAAGGCAAAGGGGTGGCCGCCAACGGAGACGTTTCACATGGCGATGTGTCCGAGACTGCCAACCCGGAAGCACAGGCGGTTGCCGATAGGATTGCCGCTGCGCCTGTCACGGAAGAGGAACAGCCAGAAGATACTCAAGTGGTGCCCGCTGCTGAAGAAGAGAACACGGAAACAATTGACAAGTTCGAGGCAGTCGCCCCAGATGCAGATGTTCTGCCCCAGCCGCAGGCCAGCAGCGCCGAAGTAGCCGCCCTTTTCGCACCATACACGTTTTACTTAGCGCGAGAGACCCCACGTGCTCCTTTGGAATTCCTGCTGAAGGCGTTTGGTTGCAAACGCGTTGGATGGGACTCTACCTTGGGAGATGGTGCATTCACCTCGAACGAGTCTGACCCATCCATCACGCATCAAATCGTCGATCGCACAGCCATTGCTACAGAGGATGCCTCCGAAACCCCCGACGGAGCCGCGCCTAAGGTGCAGTGGCCTCGCTCTACCATGCCTGGCCGAACTTATGTGCAACCTCAGTGGGTATGGGACTGTATCAACCAAGGCAAGCTGCTTCGTCCGGATTTGTATGCTCCGGGTGCCGAATTGCCACCTCATTTGAGTCCGTGGGTGAAGCCCAAGAAGGGCGAATACGATCCCAACCTACCTCTGCAAGCCCAAGAGCTCGAGGGTGAAAGAGAAGCATTCGAAGATGCTGAAGAAGTTGCATCAGAAGGGGAGGCGGAAGAATCCGATGACGAGGTAGATGAAGATGAAGGCATGGAGAGTGACGCGTCCGTCGAGGCTGGCGAGGGTATGCAAGTCGACGGCTCTGAAGATGAAGAGGAGGATGACGACGAGCCTCAAAAACCCGCAGACGAATTTGACGGGTTCGATTCTGATGCTGAATCAGACGTCTCTGAGGGTGAAGCCGCTCGCTTACAACATCAGCGCGAATTGGAAGCAGAGGCTACTGGCAAGACGCTTGAGCCCGAGGTCGAAACGACCAAGTCGAAGAATGCTGCCGTGCGCAAGAAGGCTGAGAGAAAGCGAAAGGAGGAGCAGGATGAACGGGACCGACAGAAGATGATGCTTTCGAACAAGAAGCGAAAGTTGTTGAAGCGAATCGAGTATGGCTCAAATAAGCGGGATGTCGAGGCGGAGAATCTGAGGAGGAAAAAGCGTAAGCTGGAGAAGGCTAAGGCAGCCGCGGAGGCGGTATGAGAGGTCAAGGTTTTCGATCCTGGCTAGGATCTCTCTTTGCATTTGCAGGCGTCAGGCGCGTGGCGCATTGGCCATATGAATGAAGCGACTCTATGTACATGCTGTCCACCAAGAAAAGTGAGAAATGTATAGTCGCGATACGCGAATGATGTTATTGTACTACCGAATGTCAACTCCTTCGGCATTTCAAAAGTGTGCAAAATTAGATGTAGAACGACAGTGCTGTGAACATGTTCGTGATCTTGGGCATGGGTCAAACCGCGATGACTGTTCGTGCGTTGACTCAACGCTGCTCAGCCACAATGCCTTCCTGGATGTACATATGTATACCCGTCCGTCGCCAATTCAACCGTCTTCTTCTTTAGGACCAACACCGTGGCAGCAAATCAAAGTAGTAACCAAACAAATGAACGATTCGCATACTAATTCGCAATCATGAGTATGTTCCCCAAAAATAGCGCCACTGCACCCTCGCGGAGGGACATTGGTAACAATGTGCGTGTCTCCTAGCTGACATACCAAAGGATAATTACTACGAACTTCCCAGACACGAAGGTGCTAAAACCTCGCTTCGACTATGGAGTCCCATCGCGAGTCCCGCCCACATGCATGCGGTCTGCCGACAGCGACCGGGAAAAATTTGCGACCGGCCATTGCGCATAGCTCTGAGCGCATACTACGATTGTAGAATAAACCAAGTGCGGTCGAGCGCTGTATTATTCGCGCCTTATTGGGCTCCTTATTGTTTCCTGTGTACGTTGGAACTTTGGTTGGCTGGCAAGTGTACCACAGGTACACAATAGGAGTACCATATTCACTCTACCTCGCTTGCGGTCACCCACCTCAAAACCGCGCATTGATTAAACAACAAGAACTCCGCCAAAAGCGATTGCGCCCAAACTCGGAAGCCTCACTCAGTCACACACCAACAACTTTCCCGCATCGCCATTCGCGGCCACTCAAAAGTCTCTCGCCATGGACTATCGTCTCCTACTACCCCAGCTTCCACCCGAGCTACGGGACATGGTATACACGCAAACAGTGACCTCAGACAACCACGCAACCTCCGCGGGTCTCGATTTCACCAGCAAAATCTACGAATCCAGCCACACACGCGTCGAAATCATCCCAGTCCACCATGGCAATCCCGCCATGCTCGCCCTACAGCGTTACCATTTTCTCGAAGGCGACGAGTATCGCCACTTCATCTTGAAAACTGCAGTTCAGCTCCGCATCCACGTGGTCTTCAAGGGCCACACGAACACCTTTGTGCAGGAGCACTGGGACAAGAAGATGGCCGCGCATCTCAAGAACCTGGCGAAGCGGCATCCCTGGCTGCGCAAGGTCGCGCACTACGACATCCGGATCCTATGGAAGCCCGCGTCATGGGCGCCAAGCAAGAGGAAGCGGCGCGTGGGCGCAATTGCGAAGAGGATGGTGGAGGTGCTCACGCAGGAGCTGGATGTGGAGCAGAGGGTGAAGCGCGGGATGGTGAAGACAGATCTGCGGATCGCGGACTTTGTGGTCGCAGATCACGTTCTCAAGGGCCAGACGCTGGGTCTGGGAGAATTCGTTTGGGATCTGGAGGCGGGCGCGAGGAAGCAGGTTCGTGAGGTTGGCGTTGCGCTGGACGCTGGAAAGGTCGACCGAGCAGAGGAGCCGGAGGGCTATATGCCTTCCAAATTCAAGGCATTGCCCAAGTTCACTTCGACGAAGACGCGGGATGGATGGGAGCAGACGGGGGTTTATTGTCAAGCTTTCCGCCGCGAAGTGGAGCGAGACCAGGAGATAGTTTGGGCGGATGTTGGGGATCAAGCTGGGTCTGCGCAACGTGCCGTTGCTGAGGAAATTTCCGCATTCGGAAAGGCATGATGGCACAAGGCGATGCAGCGGACAATCTGCAGCTTAGATTCTCCGCCAAAGTATTGATCAATTCGCCGCATTTTAACCTTGCGCAAGTAGTTCTCACTTTGTGATTGGATGCCAGTCGGACCGGAGCGACATCCACCCCACCATGTCCACTTGGCCTATGTAGTATGTCTCTTCCACGTGGTATTTGGCTCGTATGGCTGACAACGGCACCGCAGTCGTATAATTACTCAAGTCTCGTCAAGCTGGTCGTTCCTCATTGTAATCTGCATGAAAATGGCCGCACGAGAGAAGAATTCTGTCGAGCTCGAAAAAGCCAAACAGCTCGCCCACGTGCCATGGAGTGAGGAATATGAGAAGATGATATCGGGCATGCTGTATGCGCTCTCCACCTGTATATATATACTCTCTAATACCTCACCAGCTACGACTCCCACGACCCTTCCCTCGCAGCAGCCCGCTTCAAAGCTCGCGCCTGGGCCCATGAATACAACACCGTACCCCCTCCCTTCCTTGCCCCCCTCCTCTCCTTTCTCACTCCTTACCCCTAACCACCACACCCAGTACTTCCCCGCCCCCTCCACAAATCCCACATTCGACACCCTCGCCGCGGACCGCCTCTCCCGCCTGCGCGCCATCCTCGGCCACGTCGGCGACGACACCTTCATCGAGCCCCCCTTCCGCATCGACTACGGCTGCAACATCAGCATCGGCACGCGCTTCTACGCCAACTTCAACCTCACCATCCTCGACTGCAGCCTCGTCGCCATCGGCGAGCGCGTCATGTTCGGCCCCAACGTGAGTATCTTCGCCGCGACGCACGAGACCGAGGTCGAGAGTCGGAGAAGTGACATTGAGTATGGGCGGCCGGTGGTTATTGGGTGAGTTGGTGATTTTCGTGTCACTTGTCTTCTCAAGCATTCCTGGATGGAAGGGGTCGCTGACGCTGTATGTAGGGACGACTGCTGGATTGGGGGACATGTTGTGATTCTGCCGGGCGTGACGATTGGGAAGGGGGTCACCGTGGCGGCGAGCTCGGTTGTGACCAAGGATGTGCCGGATTGGAGCGTGGTTATGGGGAGTCCGGCAAGGGTTGTGAAGAAGGTTCAGGCGGTGCCGGATCTTAAGGAGGAGTGATCAGGTGCGGAGAGAGCATGCGGCGGCGTTGCATTTCCTGGTGCGTTTGGTTTGATATACAGAACTATGAATAGACATCGAGTGATGTTTGGAGTTTGACTTCATCTGTTGGACGGCGACTGCAAAACACATGGCCAGTGATGGAAGTCAGATGTACAACCTACATTATTTGACCTCGAGGAACACATCTTGAATCAACAAATATTTAATACTCGCTACAGAGTCCCAGCACATTGCTCGAGCGTGGCAATTTAAAACATATCCCACTACCACCGAAGGCCTGCTTTCGTGACGGTAATATACATCGCTAATAGTGATACAGGACAACAGAAACGCCCTTAATGATGCTGCTGAATGGTTCCAAGGACTTGCTCAACGCTTTACGAAGCGAGTACGCTGGAACAACCTGCTCCTCAAAGGGCGGCAAGGGCAGCTCTGAGTGTGTCCAAAGCTCTGTCTCCAACACCCTGGAGGCCCTCTCGCAGAGCCCAGGCAATGTCACTTTGCATTCCCAGTGGCAAATACGCCGCTCCCTCCTCTTTTCTGGTCTCCATACGTTCTCCCAGACGCGACGTATGCTCCCACTCCTTAGCCGCGATTTCTGCATTCTCAATGATTTTGCTGGGAATCCCGCACATAGCTGCACAGTGCATACCGAAGCTTCCTTCAGCAACACCATCTTCAAGCTTGTACAAAAAGGTGATGGATCGTGAAGCATCATCCACGTGGATACGCATCCTCTTGTTCAAGATCTCTGGATGCCCTTCAAATTCCTTTGCCAAAGAGCGGTAATGAGTGGCAAAGAAGCCGACGCAACCAATGCGAGTGCTAATGTCGTGAAGAACAGCTTGCGCGACTGCTACTCCGTCATATGACGAGGTACCACGGCCAAGCTCATCCAAGATGACCAGCGAACGTGGCGTAGCCTCTGTAAGTATCTTTTGCGTTTCGGACAGCTCAACAAAGAAGGTGGACTGAGCAGCGAATATGTTGTCGTTGGCGCCGAGACGAGACATTATGCGATCGATGGGCGTAAGTGTGGCAGATGTGCAAGGCACATAACAACCTACTTGTGCCATAATGACTGCAACGCATGTCATTCGAAGGATCGTCGACTTACCAGCGGCATTGGCACCCGTGAGTAGGTTGATGCTCGGGGTACCTCCGCCTAAGGTTATGTCATTGGGAATAAAGTCGTCCACGGTATTCAACATGCAGGGATGGCGAAGTTCCTGGAAATCGACAATGCTGCGCTCTGCCTCGGAGAAGACGGGACGACAGCTTGGTTCTCCAAGCGAGGCCGATGCTTTTGCAAGACTTATCAGGCAATCAAGCTGCGCAACGACTTTGACTGCAGCTAGCCACGTCGCGTAGTTCTCGTCGAAACGTTTACAGAAACGTCCGGCCACGTCACGAACAATCTGACCGTGGGTCTCTTGCGCTTCCTGGAGAGCTCGGACGAGTTTACGTAATTCAGGCGAGTAGTATCGAGTAACCTTAGCAGTGGCAGACATCTGATCCCAATCCTTGGGCACCTTGACCTTCTTAGGCACCTCAAGTTGGTATATCTCTTTCCCGAGGTCGTTATAGACAATAGCCGTGCAATTGAGATCGCTTCGTGCTTTCTTCAAGAGGCGATTCAGGTTGTCTTGACAGGTGCTGATCTCGTCCTGACTGTTGTCGAAGTCTTCTTCTATGCCTGGTGCGGGAACGAGCACGCCGTCCGATCTGGCGGCCTTGCGATCAAAAGCAGATTTCCAGTCTTCCAGGACGCCGGAGAGATCCGGCATAGAAGAGACAAGTTGTTGGATAACAGTGTCGTTTTCGCTGAACTGTTTGAGCAGCTCAAAGGTGTATTCAATCTGTTCAAACCCTTCGAGAACATTTAAGAAGTCCTGGGCTCTGCAGCGTCCTGCGTGTATCCTTGAAATCAAACGCTCCAGATCTGGCAATTTTCCCAGAGAAGCGGTGAAACTTTCCGTAACGTCTGGGTTTGAATTCAATGCATCAACAGCATCGAGGCGAGCATTGATTTTCTTTGCATCTGCAAGAGGGTGGCAGACCCATTGTTTCAATAGTCTCTTGCCGAATGGCGTAATGCATCTATTCAGAAGCTTGAAGACTGTGCCTTCACCCGATCCATCGAAGTTATTCGCAAAGATCTCCAGATTGATCAGGCTTTGGCCATCAAGTACCAAGCTGGTGGCTTTCCGTATTGGATCATACCAGGAAAAATTGCTCAGCGTGACCAATTCCCGTTCGATCATAAGGACGCGAAGATACTGCAGAAGGGCGCCGAAAGCTGACATTGCCAAGTCGTGATCGCGAGCTTCGCGAAGGACGGGAGGCCACGCTTCAACGTCATCTTCTGTAGCAGACACAAAGTACTGCGATGCTTCGATCTCGCGTACAGTGTCGTCAGCTGACCAAAATTCTTTGCCAGGCTTGAGGTAGTTCCAGAGCGTCGACGGCGTTGTGTTATTCTTCAATATTCGTAGAGCTTTCGCGGAAATACATGACTTTTCGATGATGAGCTCCTGCGGTCTCATTTGGGCAATGAGGGTTTCGAATTTAGTCATGTCGATATCGTCAGTGAACTCGCAAAGCTGAAATTGAGCTGTAGCGGTGTCCACGATAGCGACTCCAAAGGTCGGTAAGTTGTCACGATCAGTTTCCTTGATCGCCATGCAATACGTAGACATGTCGTTTGTGAGCATACCGGTTTCTGTAAGAGTACCCAGGGTCAGGACACCAGCTAGTTCCCGTCGGATGATCTTATCTTCCTTCTTCGGCGCCTTGCTTGGTTTCTTGTCACCCCTCTCGCGCATTTCTTTCGCAAGAGCAGATTCCATCTGATCCACCCGTGCTACCCTGTACCCTTTGGCGACGAATTGGTTTGCCCATAGGTCCAGGGATGCTTCGGGCACCCCAACCATACTCATGTTGACACGGTCGGTCAGCTTCAGATCGAACAGCTGGTGGCCAATAACAGCGTCCTTCTCATACAGCTCGTAGAATTTACCCTTCTTGAAGAACACAATCGAATCCCAGAACTTCTTTTTGATCTCCCAGTACTGTTTTTCGAAAGCAGAAAGCTTATCGAAATCATTTGGAGGAATGTACAGAGTCCGTGGATCATAGTCTGGGTGATCTGGAGGCCTCCGTTCCGCATCGACCTGATTCGCAAGCCACAAGTGTCGCTTCTCAGGAGTTATAGAAGAAGCCTTTACCTTGGCCTTGCTTGCGTCAGTCTTGGGTACACGTATAGCTGTGCGAGGTTTCAGCGGCTCGAGATTGTCCGGGTCGAATGTCCATTGTTGTGCAGTGGAAGGCACACCGCCCATGACAATGTCCTTGTCATCGTCGCTGTCATCTTTCTGTATAGTCACAGGCGGCGAAGATGGGAGCGCCGCTTTTGTGCTCGGCTTGGAAGGTCGTTGACGCTTGCGTTTATTCGAGGGAGCCTCTTCCTCAGAATCGTCAGGTGCGATGAAGTCGTCAATGTCTATGACTGTGTTAATGAGACGTTCAGATTTCGCGAGCCATAGAGTAATCACCATCCTCAACCAGCGCTTGCTGGGTGGCTTCATCGAGGGCAAACTCATCGTCCGAATCCTCGTCTACAACCACACGTCTACGTTTAGAAGCTCGTCCCGTGCGCGCACCATTATCGATTGGCTTAAAGACTTCGTCATCTTCGTCCTCCGATTCAGCGTAGTTTACAGCCTTCCGGGCCTGTAACGTCTGGTCAGTCTCGCGTTGGAATCTCGATGAGTTAGTCTTACCTTTCTCGAGGGGCTGTTGACGGTGATGCCTGTGACCTCTGACAAGACACGGTCAGTCTGTGGATTTGAAGGTGTCGTGGATGCATGCAGACCATTCTCTTTATTCTTCCCCTGATTGCCCAGTCGCTCTTGCCGGAGGGGACTTGAGGGCTGGGCAGGATCACTGCTTGGCTGAGGCGTGAGGGATGGCACATGGGTTGCGGACGGTGTTTGAGAAAGGGTTGGCGTAGGTATTCCCTTCGTGTCGCGTGTAGGAGTTGGCGAATTGGTGGACTTCTTCTGGAAGAAGCCCAGGATGGACTTCTGATTTTTGGCCGACTGGGAGGCGGATGCCGGCTGCTTCTTCTGAGACGAAGCCCGGGGGGTCGACATTTCGTTTCCCTCTATGCCTCGAACCATGTTGGCAGACTGGAGAGCAGATTCGGAATGTGGGAGACATGAGCTCCGACGCGCGCGCGAGGATGTCGCGTCGATGCGGTGGCCCAAGCGCCCGCGTCTGTCACGTGGGCTCGAGTGGTCTACGGGTCCACTTCACCGACTCCCGCCTTTCGCATGAATGTGAACGCGAACACCGGCGATACATTATTACGTCCAGGTTCGACATGTTCATAGTAGCTCGCGTACCCCCAGGGTAGCTATCAAAAGCCGACCTGTAAAACAGCTTACACCTTACGACTTACATATGGCGAGAGCCCCGCAGCCATCGGCGTTTGAATGTCGCAAGTGTCGGCAATTCCACCGTCACGGCGTTTCCGCCGCGCCGCCAGGCTAATGACAGCACTGGGCGGAGCTCCTCTATTGAACCGGTGGGACCAAGCACATCGGAATGCCGTAACCGGAACGGTTCCGAAAGCGTGGGAGGAGGGGCAGCTCTTCATCTAGAGTTGATTGCGGCTGTTCATATTTTGTTAGATACTTCTCAGACAAAATCGCGCAATCACCCAGTTGCCGACCTCTCTCGCTGTCCTCCATCGTTCACACCACGCCGTCGCAATGGCCCCAGATCTCTCACAAAATCGCTGCCTCAAGATCGTTACTCACGCTGCGAAGAACAAGTATGCAGTCCCCGCTATTTGCTGCTACAACATCGAGTCCATCATCGCGAGTGTCAAGGCCGCCGAAGCCAAAAATTCTCCCGTGATCGTCCAGCTCTTCCCATGGGCAATCCACTTCGCTGGTGGCATTCTCGTCCATGCTGCGAAAGAGGCCGCGGATAATGCCAAGGTGCCGGTAGGTGTACACATGGACCATGCTCAGACACCCGAGATTGTCAAGAAGGCGGCGGATCTTGGTGGCTTCGACGGTATCATGGTCGACATGTCGCACTACGAGAAAGAAGAGAATTTCCGCCTGACGAAGGAACTGGTTCAGTACTGCAACGAAAGGGGTATCATTACCGAGGCGGAGCCGGGCAGGATTGATGGAGGTGAAGACGGTGTAGGCGATGTGTCCGCGCTGGGTCTGGAGGCTATCCTTACGACGCCCGAGCAGGCTGAAGAATTCGTCTCCCTGGGCATCAATTGGCTTGCTCCTGCATTTGGCAACGTCCATGGCAAGTACGGGCCAAAGGGGCCACAGCTCGACTATGACAGATTGAGTCGTGTCCACAAGCAGGTCGGAGATAGAGTCGACCTCGTGCTCCACGGTGCGGGCACGGAGTGGTTCAGCAACAAGGAAATGCTGCAGAGCGTGATCCAGCGCGGAGTCGCCAAAATCAACCTCAATGACGCCATCAACAATGACTTCACGAGAGTAATGGCCGAGAAGGCGTCGAACACGCCTTTAACAACGTTGCTGGAAGACGCAACAAATGCGATGCAGAAGGCTGTCGAGGACCATATGGATTATATGGGCTCGACCGGGCAGGCGTGGTGATTATCGAATTTACAATACTCCTTCATGTAGATACCAATGCTCACGCCGTCTCCTTGAGAGATCCTGTCCATACAGCTAACTACCTGTGCTAACGATCAGAAAGTTAGTGGCGATGTTGAGTGAATCTAGGACTGCAGTGTTGAGTCCAAGGGCAGTTCATTAGTCCTCTTGGGGCCACCCATACCCAAACTTTTGCCGCAGCACTGTAGCGCAAATTTCGACAAACACTGTGGGAGACTACAAGTCCGAGAGAACGAGTTCGACTATTGATATTGTACGACAGTGCACACAGTCATGTATCGGAATCCCAGTCCCTCACGTTGCATGATTGTACAATATACTCAAGATACAAAACAAATACCTTATCAATATCATTTACTCCAAAAGCGGGTAGACGACGGATATATTCAACGCCTGTGCCGCTGCCCCTGGTCAAGCGCTCTAACTATCAAGTTCGTTAGGCGATCCTGTGGTATTCAAGGCGACAAGCCTAGGAGGTGAACACAGTGATTCCGGACAGGCAAACTATCAGTTCGCGCCCATTGTCTCACTATCTTTCTCCAGCTGCCTCTCGAGGCTCCCGAGCAAGTCAGGCTCGCCGTCCGGCGTGGGCGCGCCGTCCGCTGATTGCTCCACATTCGTAGCCGATGAAACTTCTTTGTCAACTGTAGCCGGTGCCACTACTCCTTCAGTACGAGGCGCTTCTGATGCTGCTCCGGGAGCTGCTTCGAGTGTCACCTCGGGCGCTTTTCCAAGCACTACTTCGGGATCAGAAGGCTCTGGGACGACAGTAGACCCCAGTGGCACACCCAACTCTTGAACTGTCGAAGTCTCCGGGGTAAAGATCGGTGTTAGCTGATTGAGGGAATTGTGGCGGCTATGCGACACGGCTGAGAGAGGGAGTTCTGGAGAACTCGATGGGTCCCGACGAGGTGCCTCTTCTGATTGCTGTTCAACAGACGGTTGCAAGGAAGGTTCGCTGTGCCCAACAGCTGTAATGTTTCCTGCAGGAGCTAAAGCTTGAATTGGTTGATCCGGCTCAGTCGCGGCTACGGGCGCAGCTTCTGCAAGGGGTGGTGCATCAGCCATACGAGTATCCGCTTGTTCAACATCAGGAACGTTTGTTGGCGGGGCGGATGCTGTCGAAATGGGGATCGCTTGCACAGGTGTTTCCTCGTGGTCCTCGTTTCCTTCCTGTTCCTCGTGGTCTTCATGATCATCATCGTCCGAGCCTTCTTCTCCAGATCCCTCGTCTTCGTCTCCAGCGTCTGGCATCGGAGTATCTCCCCCCTCAGATGGTTCGACTGACCCCTCTTGTTTGACACCCGGCACGGTGAGCAGCTCGCTGCCTGTGCTCGAAATGGGTGTTCCTTGCTCTGTAGTCCCTTCCGCAAACAAAACTTTCTTTTTGCCTCGTCCGGGTCCGCTCTTCTTCTTCTTTTTGGGTGGAGGGGGCCGTCTTCTAGGCGGAGTTTGCTGTAATAGATCATTTGCTACGACCACACCTTCGGCGTTCACAACACCAACGCCTTCTACAACAGTTCCTGGGGCTGGGATTGCTGCGTCAGTGACGGCGTCGGTCGGTTGTACTTCGCCTTCCACAGCTTGACCTTCTGGTACCAAAACCTTGTAAACATTCACATTGCCCTCTGCATCGGTTTTCTTGACCTTTGTTTCTCTCATGGGGGTGGGCTGGATCATAGCGGCGCCATTGACATACTGCGAAGGAAGGCCTTTGCGTCGCTTGGCTAGATACTCTGGTTCTGACTCTTCAAGATGCCTCGGTACTTTCATCCACTTCTTGACAGTAAAGCCTTGTCGTACCTCCTTATGCTCCTCTTCTTCATCCATGATCTCTTTGTCCTCTTCTACTGGCGCTGGAGGCTTGTAGATGCGAGGAGCCCTCGCTCTGGCAAGGATCTGTTGGGAATGCTCAGGCAGTAAGTGAGAGTCCCGGGGCATGGGGAGGGCCGGCCAATCATCCTGATCCAGCTGTTTGATTTCGGTGGTGTTTGGCCCAATGGTTATCTCAACTTCTCGGTACTGGTTGATTGGAAGTCCTTCGAGCACATTATGCTCCACCTGACCACGCCCAGATCTGTTGGACCGATCCCTGTTGCGGAACTAATATCATGTTAGCTACTGCTTAAGTACTCGAACGTTTTAATCAATGAAATACAAATGTCATATTAGTGCATGGGCCGGGTGCTTGCTTCGTCTTGCTTCCGTCGGATGCAGATCGCGTGCGCTTAGGTGCCTCGGACCATGACGCGGAGCTGTAACCATCGGAAGACGTGTCGCAAGACTCAGGGATAGACATTGATCATGCTAGGAGAATATTGCGCTATGTATGGATGGATGGAATGCGACGTTTGTGCAGACAAATGGCAACGCGCGGAATGAGCAAGGACACTGAAGACTTACCGGAGCCATGTTGGACTCTTGCTCACTCGGTGAGTGCCCACAGCAATCGCAACTCGGTGAGGCTAGCGCGTTGTTGCCTTCGCGGGAAGTTGCGGCGCGATGCAGTGCGTGAAGGGCAGGCGCGTCTGAGGTGAAGTCGCCCATGCTGTGCAACCGTGCGAGCGCCCTAGGCCGCATGCGGATGGAATTAGCAGTCCCCTGCGAGAAATCAACCCAGTTTGCCCAGGTGAGTGTGAAAGCACAAGTCAAGATGAAGAAATCGTAGCTACGCATTCTGATTTAATTACAAGTGTTCTGGTTCGCATGGTTCTGTTGAGAACAATCTCATGGCTGGTTTCGACTCTAGAGGAAGCACTGGGAAGGGTGCGATCCAGCCCTGGAGTGTCTTGCCGGCGGAGACGAACAACACTTGTCACAATAGAGAGCGCGGCAGCGCAATCAAATTGAGCAATCCATGGCATCTAGTTGGGGTAGACGCGACAGTGCTTTTGCGAGCCGTCCTGGGCAGGTGCTGGCTCCTTGAGAGACTACTTTCATAGTGGGTCCTGGATGGCCTCCCTTCACGTGTCGCTTGGCTCACAATCTTTCTTGTGTACCAGTGTTGATCGAGCGGTCGTAAAATCAACGACTCTATGGTAGCTGTGAGGTATCTCATATTGTACATTGACCTTTCCTTCTATGCCTCCGTTAAGCACATGCTATGATACAGTCCCCGCTATGACGTGTTGAGTTACTCCAGGCTGGTCATTTCTTGCTCCCTATCCATAGGACGTGATGATCGGTCGCACTTCTCAAGTCGCAGACCCAAATTCAGTCACGGACCTAGGCTCAATCCCACCTACACACGGTCAGCCAGCGAACAGACAGACAGATCATCAACGGCTTACCCTTGGTCTTTTTGTCTCACAATGTCGCTGTCGGTACCCGTTTGCTTCCCTGTCCTGCCTCCCTCAACAACGAGCCGGTCAAGCTGGTAGAACTGGCTGACAACGGTTTGTCTCTGCATTCCAAGTCATTAGCTTCTGTACCACAGCGAGTCCCACAAGTGGGGTGTCTTCCTTAAGCCTACCTTCAGCATTTGCAACGTCTTCAAGCCTTCCTGAACCAGCTCTTGTATCCTTCTCTCCTCGCTTTCGTTCTGGTGCTGTCGGAAGCCATCGCGGGTCCGTCGCTTCGCATACTCGCGGAAGTTGTAGGCGGCAAATTGATTTCCTTGTCTCAACAATGAGCGATACTGTAAATTTGGTCAATGAAAGTCTTTGCGTTGTGTTCCGGTCCAGTGTGCTCACGGTGGCAAGCTGGGCGTCAAAACATGCGCCTGGCCACCACATGCACCTAGAGACTGGGGACACGTACAAGAGAGCGCACTTGGTACGGCATATCGTTTTTCGTAGCTTGCGCCAATGACATGGTATGTGAGTGGATTGCGAGTGGCTGTTTCGCGCGGGGACAAGGTGGTTGACAATTATATCATCGACCTAGGGTCGGGGGAAAACCAGATGTCCGAGCTCAAGCTGGAGCGAGCTAACTCGCAACCAAAACTACCCAGTCGCGGCACATTTTCACGCAGCAATTGGACAGTTTCAATAGAGACAGAGGCTTTTGAATCGTTTATTCAGGCTAAGGACCGTGGTCACCTTGGCGAGACAATATGTGCTTTTACGCACGCAAATTCAGATCATACCCGCATCAAATGGCATGTCCATGAACTGCACCCGGGCCCCCTTATTGAACGCCATCCCATGCAATCCCTTGTTTTTACAGACGCGCACAGGTTCAACTCCAGACTGACGAACCATCCGATTACTACTGCCCACCACCGTGCTTCTCATGTATACGACGCAGCTGGTCCTGGAGGTTCATCGATTGCATTTGATGGATCCTAGCAGCGTCTTTTGCCGAGTCCGGCTGTCCGTCGTAGGACGTCGCAGCCTTCTTTCGTCGCGCAGCCTCCTCCTCAGTTATCGGCACACCAGTAACACCGTCGTATATGTCGTCCCGTTGACTTGCGAATCGTTTCAGATTATTCGCAGCCTCATTTGGCGTGATGACGGTAGAGTAACGTGCTTCGGTCTTCGCTCGCTGCTCCTTCCAGCGAGGATCGAGTAGTTCAACTAGTCAGATGGTTAGCAGGGAAGCAAGTAAAGTGGCACGGGGACTTGCTTCGCATGTGCTCCTCTATCTCATCTGAAGGGAACATCTGTTTGCAATTCGGGCACTGCACCGTGGTGACGTTCGTCTTCTTGCCTCGGGGAACATAGTCCGTCCGAATCCGCATGGTTCCTGGTGCGCCTCTTGCTGTAGCCTGGGCTCGAGCAACCTGGTCGCGCTCTGCTTGTTGTTCCCGGGCCTGTCTCGCTTCGTCTGCCTGCCAATCCACCGGCGCCGGTTGTTGGTAGCCGTATGGAGCTGCGGGAGGTGGCGCATATGCAGGCTGGACTGGTGGAGCCATAGGAGGCATTCCTGGGTATGCAGAGGGTGGCATGGCAGGTTGTTGGGAGGTATTGTAGAATGTGACGTCGTCGGGCAAGGCTTCTTCAAGGCGTTTCGAAGATAACGAAACCATTGCTTTCTGCTCTAGAGAGGCAGACTGCAGGTCAGTAAGGTTTGTCGGCGGCGGTAGTTCCGCAGCATCGTCGCCTTCGTCAAACAGCACAGTTGCGATGACCCCAAAATCATGCCAATCGATGGCAGCATATTCCTTCCTCTCATCTTCCGCCTTCTTCTCTTCTTTCTCCTTCTGGTGTGTCACATATTTGACATACTCGGCGCGCCCCTTCGCTCGGTCCAAGACGTGGAAGCGGTTCTGTATGTTGCGTTGAAGCTCTTCTATACGAGCCTCCACCGTCTGCTCCTCTTCAAGAAGTATCTTATACTGCTCGACGAGCGCACGGAAGAACGGGAAGAAGCTGTGGGTTGGGCGCAAGAATTCGAACTGGGCGTTTCCCGATTCACGGTTGCGCAGCTCCTTCAGCCAGTTCTCGCCGACCCGTGCGGTGTACAGTGCAGTAAGTCGAAGTATCTCGAGATCCTTAGCGTTGATCTGCGGCATGCGCGCTGAAAATCGGAACTTGGGCGGCTCGGGTGGCCCTTGGGGTTTGGCGTCGGCCACAGCGCGTGCTGTTGCGGCCGAGGGACCTTTGCCTTCCCTCAGTTGTTGCAGGTACCAGGCATAGTATGGGTTGTAGGTGTCCTCTGGAAGCACAAAGGCCATGTTCGACTTGCCCTGATCACGCACACGGGTGACTAAGGCGGCCTCGTCGCGCTCGCCGCGGCGGTGGACGAAGTCGGCCGTCTTCGCAATGCTGTCGCGGACATTCTTGGGGGGGATGATGACGTTCGGCGGGGGGTTCGCGGCGATTTCGCTCGAGTCGCCATTGGAGGCGGCCATGGCTGCGGTGTCGTCGGTCGCGCCGGGCTGGTGGTGATCGCAAAGCTCAAAGTATCACGGCGCGGCAGATTCCAGAGCCCGACGCGCTAGGCGGGCAACGTCACGTGACTGTCTGTTCCCGTCGAGGCCCCGCGTAGCCCCTAGCGCATGGGGGCCCCCCAATTGTTGACGCCGGTTGGCGAACCTGGCCTGAGTGTACCCACGCCGCTGCAGATTGGCCTATTTTTGCGCTGCAGCTCCAGCCCTTCCTTGGCCCGCCGCTTGCGCGTAAGTCGCGAAGACACCTTGCACTTTGCGACCAGGGTACCAGCGCACTGCGAACATCTGGTCGTCCCCCTAAATCAGCTCTTCCCCACCATCACCGCTCTTTTCAGGCCCGGTGGAGCCTGCCTTCGTACTGTCATTAAATATCCATTGTTGTGCCCAGTGCTACTGACGCCAGATTTCCTATTTGAATCCGCGCCGCTTTGAGCTCCGGTGAGCTTCAGCACCCGCCCTGGTCAACCAACGCCAGCTGTTCACCCACCAAAGACCGCCAATATGGCGAACCGCGCACCGGCATCCGGTTACCTGGCCGAAAAGCCAGATGGACGTCGATCTGGAAAATCCCCCTCGCGCTCTCCTGCGCGCAATGCGCACAAAAAGCAGAAACCCAAGGTCGTAGGCTATACCTCCGAGGGGGTGCGGGACCACGACATCTTCAGCCTGCCGGGCTCTGACTGGCAGATGCTGGGTCTGTTGATGGTAGTGGCCACTGTTGTGCGCCTGTATAGGATCTACCAGCCCAGCAGCGTCGTCTTTGACGAAGTTCAGTACGTTCGGTCCGCCTGCGTCATCATAGCGGGTATCTGACTCTCACAGCTTCGGTGGATTTGCCTCCAAATACATCAAGGGCAAGTTCTTCATGGACGTGCACCCGCCTCTCGCAAAGCTTCTGATTACCCTCGCCGGGTGGCTTGCTGGGTTCGACGGCAACTTTGACTTTAAGGATATCGGAAAGGACTACGTAGAACCAGGAGTGCCCTATGTGGCTATGCGACTGCTGCCTGCCATCTGTGGAATTCTGAGCATTCCAACCATGTTTCTCACCCTTAAGGCTGCGGGCTGCCGAACTACAACTGCTTCGCTAGGTGCAGGGCTGGTTATCTTTGGTATGTGCGAGGACATGATGGGTACGAACTTATACTGACTTTGGCCTAGACAATGCGCTCGTTACCCAGTCGCGTCTCATCCTACTCGACTCGCCGCTCGTACTCTTCACTGCCATCACTGCCCTCGCTTGGACCAGCTTTACGAACCAGCATGAGCAAGGCCCTACAAAAGCGTTCCAGCCATCATGGTGGTTCTGGCTCGCCGCGACTGGTGTTGGTCTGGGCGCGACTTTCAGTGTGAAGTGGGTTGGTCTGTTCACCATCGCCTGGGTCGGCACCTTGACCCTGCTACAACTGTGGGTCTTGCTCGGCGATGCGAGAAACGTGACTCCAGTAAGTTTGTACGTCGTGACCGATATTTGTATACTGACCCAATACAGCGTCTTTGGTTCAAGCATTTCTTCGCGCGCCTCTTCTGCCTAGTGGTCATTCCATTGTCCTTCTATATGGCCATGTTTGGGATCCACTTCATCTGCCTGGTCAACCCCGGTGACGGCGACGGCTTCATGTCTTCTGAGTTCCAGGCGACTTTGAACTCGAAAGGCATGCAGGATGTGCCCGCTGATGTTGCATTTGGCAGCCGCGTCTCTATTCGTCACCACAACACCCAAGGTGGATACCTGCACTCTCATGCCCATATGTACCCGACGGGAAGCAAGCAGCAACAGATTACTCTCTACCCTCACAAGGACGAGAACAACATTTGGATCCTCGAGAACCAGACTCTTCCGGAAATCTTAGACGGCCCGAAGCCTTCAGGTGCGAAGGCTTGGGACAATCTGGGACCTATCAATATCGAGGATGGCGCTGTCCTGAGGCTTTATCACATCACTTCTGACCGTCGCCTTCACTCGCACGATGTACGTGCCCCAGTGACAGAGGCTGATTGGCAGAACGAAGTTTCTGCGTATGGCTATGAAGGTTTCGAAGGTGACGCGAATGACTTTTTCCGCGTGGAGATTGTCAAATCCATGTCTGATGGTGCTGAGGCTAAGAAACGGCTGCGGACCATTCAGACCAAGTTCAGGCTAGTACATCTGATGACTGGCTGTGTCTTGTTCTCTCACAAAGTGAAGCTTCCAGAGTGGGGCTTCGAACAACAGGAAGTAACATGTGCTCGTGGAGGAACTCTGCCAAACAGCATATGGTACATTGAGGGTGATTTGCTTTCTTCTGTTGGATATTGCGATCGCTAATTTGTTGGTAGGGAACGTCCACCCCCTTATGAACGAGACCACCGAGAAGGTCAACTATCGCAACCCAGGCTTCTTTGGCAAGTTCTGGGAGCTCCAGAAAGTGATGTGGAAGACCAATGCCGGTCTTGTCGAGTCGCACGCTTGGGACTCTCGGCCGCCTTCGTGGCCTTTCTTAAGAAGGGGTATCAATTTCTGGGGCAAGCATTCTCGGCAGATCTACCTCATCGGTTAGTCCTTCGATTCCAAAGCTAGGCCGCATGCTGACAGTATCTAGGTAACCCCGTCATTTGGTGGAGCTCCACTGCCATCATTGGCCTCTATGTTGCCATTAAAGGTCTCGCCGTCCTCCGCTGGCAGCGCGGCTACCGTGATTATAACAATGTAACTTTCAAGCGTTTCGACTACGAAGTCGGCATGTCACTCTTGGGATGGGCTTTCCACTATTTCCCGTTCTACCTTATGGCTCGCCAGCTCTTCTTGCATCATTATCTACCGGCCCTTTACTTCGCCATTATGGCGCTTTGTCAGATGTACGACTTCGTCGCATATCGCTTTGATATTCTGGGCATTAGGGACTATCCCAAGATCGGCCAAACTGCTGCGGTCGCATTCCTGGCCATCACCATCGTCGTTTTCCAGACCTACTCGCCTCTTGCCTACGGCAATCCATGGACAAAGAGCCAGTGCAACAGTGTCAAGCTCTTCAGCACATGGGATTGGGATTGCAACAACTTCCTAGAATCGGTAGGCCGACATTCCATGCAAATGTTTCTTTGTGCTAACATTCATAGTACGATCAATATACCACAGAGGGAATCATTCCGTACACTACCTCCCCCGCAGTACCTGTGTCCGCGGCTCCTAAGGAGATCCCCCCGCCAGTCCAGCAAGAGCAAAAGAAGCCGGATGACGTTGTGTCTGAGAAACCAAAGGTCTCGGTTCCGGTTCAGGCCGATGAGCTTCCAGTCTTGTCCAAGGAAGAACGCATTGAATTCCGCGATGAGAATGGCCGAGTGCTTGACGAAGAAGAAGTGAAAGCCTTGGAAGGAAAGGTCAGCTTCAAGACACGGTATGAAACACGGACACGAATCGTAGACTCTGCAGGCAACGAACTCCACGAGTCTCTTGTAGAGGCTAGAGAGGCCGAAGACCAAGGCGTCGCTCCTCCTCACCCGGATGTCGAGGGCCGAAACCCTGAAACCAAAGATGCAAATGAAGCAGAAGCGAGCGAACTCCCGCCAACCGTTGAGGCTGTCGAGGACGAGAAGAAAGAGAAGAGCGTTGAGGAGCTAGCGAAAGCTCCCAAACCTGCTAGCGAAGCGAAGGCTGCTACACAGGAGTCCGCAAACTAGAGAATCATGGCGCGACGGTAATCTGATTTGACCCCATTGCATTGCTCGGTTGCCGCGAGGACGAACTGACAGCAATTGGGCGGAAATGGAGAGCTATTCCTCATGTTGTAGTTCGTGCATCATGCGCTTGTAATATAGGGTATGTCTTATGGGTAGCGTTGGCGCTGTAGGTGGGGGTAACGATTAAATACTCAATTTGGTTCCTGGTGCGAATTATGGTCATTTCACAAAATGTCCGTCTTCTCTTTCATCATACACCCCCTACACTTCCGTGAACTCACAATAGACTTAGACTTTACCTAGTATTATTTACCCTGCGTTAACACAGACCGTACTTAGACTTTTGGCATAGTGTTACATAGCATCTTCTTATTTCTCAAAAACAGCAAAATGAGAGGTGTCGGAAATTCGGGGTTTGCAAATGGCGCGAAATGCCGAGTGGGCTCGGAGATGAATCTCGTCATCCGAGTAGGGGCGAACAGAGCGATCGCAGATACAGGATCTCATTGGATGATTGGGCTCAGATTCTTTTCGCGTCCACGAAATGTGCGAGAATCTCTTCTCAGCTTGGACACCAAATGCGGGTTCGAAGCCGGACGCTGCGCGAATCGTACCGCATGTACAAAATGTACATCTAAATGTACGATGATTAATACCCTGCAGTACATGATATCTTGACTGATCCAGATCACTGCTGCTATTTACTTTCGTATTGCTCACACTCGGGGTTCTGCAACAAAACTCTGTGTAGCTACTACTGCTGAAGGCATCTAGAGTGCCCTCATCTTGTACTGGCATTTTTCAACACCCGCCATGTCGCCTCCACCTAGCTCCACGGTCTCAGGGACAGATACATCGCTCCGCGAGAAAGAGGCCGATATCGAGCAAAAGGCAGCGGACAAAGACTTGGGAAACTTGCCAACAGCTCCAGAGCCTGTCAACCCATGGCACCCGTCCCAATTTCCAGACGGCGGGAGAGATGCCAATCTATGTCTACTCGGAGCCTTTTGCTGCCTCTTCTGTAGCTTCGGTACGTACTTTGGGTGAATTGGATTTCTCCCCTTCTGTATCCAAGATCTCGTCACTGATCATGTTGTCAATTCACAGGCTGGCTCAACTGCGTCGGCGTCTTCCAGAACTACTACGAAACTCACCAACTGCGCGAAAAGTCGTCTTCACAGATCGCATGGATTTCGTCCCTAGAAATCTTCGTCATGTTCTTTCCTGGCCCCTTCGTCGGCTTCCTCTACGATAACCATGGCCCAAAATATCTGCTCGCGGTTGGAGCTTTCTTCCACGTTTTCGGTCTCATGATGACAAGTCTGTGCACTGAATACTATCAGTTCGTTCTGGCACAGGGTATCTGCAGCCCATTAGGGCTCAATTGTATCTTCAATGCAGCCATGAGCTCGCTTCCGTCGTGGTTCTCGAAGAAGCGAGGGCTCGCATATGGTGTGACCGCCGCCGGGTCGGGCTTAGGAGGGATCATCTTCCCGATCATGGCGTCGCATCTCATTCCACAAATCGGATATGGATGGACCATGTGAGTATCTTTCTATGCGAAAGGCAGTGCGGATATTAAAAAATCGGCGCCGCCCTGTAACACTTGCGGGACTCAATGCTGACAACGAAAAGGCGCACTTTTGCTTTCATGATCCTCGGTTTACTACTCATCGCTTTCGCGACGGTCCGCTCACGGCTCCCACCAAAGAAACGCGATTTCAAACTTCATGTGTTCGTCGACCCTTTCAAAGACCTAAAATTTACCATGATGGTTATATCCTCCTTTGTCTTCTTCTTCGGACTCTTTATACCCATCAACTTCATCGAGATTGAAGCTATGGTAAACGGCATGTCGGTGCGGCTTTCTGGCTACCTTCTAGCCATGTTGAATGCAGCAAGGTACGTGAACGGCGAGCGATGGCAAAACACACTCTTCTGATACAAAAGCAGCATCTTCGGACGCATAATCCCCGGTGCCCTGGCCGATAAATTCGGACCATATAACCTACAAGCCGTCATGGCCTTCTTCACAGGAATACTTTGCCTAGCATTAGGCCTGCCCGCATCTGGCAACGCGGCTTTCATAGTCTTTGCCGTTCTCTATGGATTTGCTTCAGGTAGCTTTGTGTCCCTTGCGCCCGCACAGATCGCAAGGATCTCCAATGTACAAGAGATCGGGGTTCGCACTGGTGTTTTGTTCTCATGCCTAAGTTTCGCAGGGCTTGTGGGCAACCCGATCGCGGGAGCGCTTGTGGACGGCACTGGATTCCATAAAGTAAACATTTTTGCGGGAGTGGTAATGATTGCGGGAGCGGCCTTGTTCGTTTTCACGAGGATGGTAGTTACCGGCTGGAAGGTGATGCAGATCGCATGAGGAAGGAGGCCGAGACGTGTGAACGCCTTTTTGAGCGAGCTACACCCGAGAGGTGCACTTGCTGGCACATACTTGTATTTGTACGCCTTTGATAGGGAAGACTAGAATAGGAATATAGAATAAATTCGTCACTAGCATATCATTTTGAAACCATAACGACGCGCGGACGGAGAGCTTCGACGAGTGTCCTAAGGTCCCTCTTTCCGCCTACCTGAAACTGGTTAAGGCAGGGCGTTAGCGTGATACCCTGGTCGTACAACACGTCGTACAACAACTTCCCTCTCCGCACAGCTCGTCGCCTTTCGACGTACAACTTCCACTTGGGCCGGAAACGCATTTCGTGCATCCGGGATCCTCTCGCCTATCTGGTGCAGGCACCACCGATTGATCCGCCAAATCAGGACTCCTCGTCCTTCAATTCTATTAGCTCCGCTCCACGAGGCTTACATCGGGTTATCCGAGTACGCTTAGCAGCTATGCCAAAACAGAGACAAACTTGTACAAGGTGCTCACAAAGACGGCAAAAATGTGACCGTAAAAGTCCCTGCACGCGCTGTGTACTGAACAACGAAGCACAGTGAGTAGTACTCTTTGTAGCAGTACGTACATGGGAACAATATACTTATGATGTACTCTATTCCAGCCTTTGCACTACTGTATGGAAGGAAGGGTACAATCCAGCTGTGCATCGCCGATGTAAGCTACCTCTCGGCGGGATGCGTCTTAGAGTACCCCCACTCATTGTACAATGGCAGATCCAAAAAAGCCCTCGCCAACGACGAGCCAAAGCTTGACAGATCCAAGCACCTCGGCCGAGGTCTCACCTTCCTCCGGCATACCTTGGCCAGCTGGCCAAATTCCTTTGCACTTTCGGAGCAAAGCACCAGGCAATCAGGTTAGTGCCCCCAATAACAGTACCAGGATGTTAGTCTAAGCATATTCGGCCTACGTCTTGCTTGCCCTGGGGTAAAACACTGTACTCAGACTTCTTTCCTAGTACTGTGACCTATATCTATGCTACTTACTAATTTTGAAATCGTGCTAGAGCGCGGGTGACGCATCTCGGGGTGGTTCGATATCAACTTCATCGGATGGCGTCGCGGGGTCGTCTGACCTTCCAAACACTTCGTCAAATAACGTTGATTTCATCACATATGGAAGATCCGAGTTTACGAATATCAGCATGGGAACTCTGCTGGACAACAAAGAAGAGTATACAAGGCACCAGTCGCTGATGGACGAGACTCTCAATCAAAGTCGCACAAAGACTGTTTTAGATGAAGCGGCGACAGAGACATTTTCCCCAGCTGCACAAGCGGCCGAGGTCTACCATCTCCAGTCAGTGCTCCCTACTAAGGAGCAAGTATTCCAGATGATTGACTACCACCAAAACTGCATGGCGTACTGGATTGGCGGAATTTATCACGGGCCGTCCTTGCGACAGGCTTTGTTGGAAGCATACGGCGATAACGGCCATTTTGATCTTCGATGCCATGATTGGCGATGGTGTGCGCTGCTCTTCTCCATACTTTCTGCAAGTATCATTGGGTCACCTGAAGAGGTGTCTAACTCCTGGGGCTTCTCGAATGCCGACAAACTAAAATTATCTCGCCAATGGGGAAACTCCCTAATTTCATGTCTACAACTTGGAGACTTCGCTTCAAGACATCATATCTACTCCGTACAGGCTATTCTCAATATGCACACCTCGGAACATTTAGTAGGGTCTGCAAAAGAATGGGCAGTATATCAGGCCGCCTCGACCGTCATTGCAAGAGGTTTAGGGTTGAACAAGTGAGTATAATTGCGCTTATTTTGAAAGTACTCAGCTAACATTACAGGCTGGGACGACATCCGGAAGATCAGATGTCTCCTTCAGAGATGACGACAGAGCAAAAGGATGCTCTCATCCAGCGCGAGATCGGCCGGAGAGTATGGAGTGCGCTTATATCCCAAGACTGGCTTTGCTCAACTTCCCAAGGAATGTATACTCAACAAAAGCGACACTACAGCTCGATCCCACCAAGGCACTTCGATGAAGAGACGTGGGAACCGGTGGTCAGTTATCAGAAGCCAACTTTTACACACGTCAGCAATTATCTCAACGAGATCGCCCACGTACTGGTCCGATACCTCGATGATATGATGGATGCTGGAGATATAGAATCCAAGTACAACGTTGTGTTAAGATACGACGCTATCATGCGGGGCTTGTGCATCGAAAAGATGCCCCCGTGGTTATCTTTGAATATGCCCCACAACAACGACTGGCCGGAATGGACCAAATGGGTCAGGAGATCCTATCATGCATCTTGTGCGCATAAGATTATCATGATACATCAAAGCTTCTTGGGCCGGAGTTTCAAAGATCCGCGTTACACGTACTCAAGATGGGCGTGTATCAGCAGCGCAAAAACTGTGCTTGAGGCTATGGAGAAACGACTTCCCAATGAACCCCAATGGTGGGTGGAACAGGTATGTTTGTCGGCGTTTAGCGCGTGGCTTGAGCTAATGTCGCAATTAGGCCTTTGTCGTTACAGCCGGACTCTGCCTAGGACTCGACCTGTTCCATCGAGCCGAGGGGGAGCCAGAAGCCATCAAAGACCTTGAATGTATCCAGAAAGCGGTTCAGATACTTGAACAGTGGCCGACGAGTTCCGTCGCTGCACACGGAATCAGACTCCTTACCACATTACTGCAGGAGCATTCGAAGAAAGCTGATGCATCCAGGTCGGAGTCACGTGCCAAAGACCCAGAATTCCCTCCCAATATTGCGCCTCAAGCTATTGCTGACGCTGCCTCTGTTGATTCACCGAGACCATCACCAGTGCCTCTGCCTCCGCCGGCACCTACGGAGCTCCCGATCTCAGACGAGGTGTGGGCTAACGGTGACTTCGATATCGATATGTCGGGTTTTGAGGAGCTCATGGATACACTTCCCTTACAAAATGGTTTTGACAATAGCGTTTTCCTCGATACCCTGTGGAACGGCTACACTGTTTGAAGACGTAGCTTCTTTGAGGTGCACGTCGAGATGAAGCAAAATACCGAAACAAAGTCCAGGAAATATTAGCCTGTGTTTTGCCGACTCTGGGGTGACAAACTACCCGAGATTCTGTTCGGCGCTGTACATGTATGCCCTAGATTTGACCTTCAGTGTTGTATTGGTTGATATCCGTAGCGCGGAATTCGATCCGCACTGTTGCGGCCTGGTTCTTAACCAGAACGGTGCGAGGTGGGAGATGATCTGACCAAGAATTTAGAGCGAGCAATGTCACCTCTCCATCTTTCAGTGTTTAAAGAGCAATTAATCACCTAATTTGCACTGTCTGAACAAGTTCTTTCCATTGGTACTGCTATGAATGCCATCGATGCCGATTTTGGGCGCCTTTACGTGATAACTAAACCCCATCGGCCTCGCACGCGGCCACTGCAGGTTATATGCGTCGGCCCGGCGCGATCCGGCACAGTTCGTGAGGCCAAATGATACTGGAAAGGAATACACGCTCTAGCTGACATGCCGTGGGGGTCCTTTGCTGCAGAGCTCGCAGCTGCATACCCAGATACAAAGATTATTTTTAACAGAAGAAGCAATGTGTGTGCATGGTAGAAGAGTTTCAATGCGACCATGAGGGCGAACAGAAGGGAGTGGTGGTTCTACCTCGGCTCGTGGCTCTCGGCGGGCCTGTAGTGGTCGAAGCGGGTTGTACATCGCAACATGATGCCGAAGTTCTTTCACGGTGACTTCCAAGCCAATGGGACATGAGTAAGTCTCCGCTAGGCACACCATCCTACAGCTGTGGTTCCGCGACGAGACTTGAGGTTGCCTTGCTAGGGCTTGAAAGGCATACCGCGAACACTGCACAATGGCGCATGGGCTCGTCCCGGAAGAACGCTTTCTCGAATGGGGCGTTGAAGACGGATGGGAGCCATTGTGGCAGTCCCTAGGTAAGGTAGCACCGAAAATAGGTTTCCCAACCGGAAACGCACCACCTACGCTTGTGAAAGTCATTGGAAAAAATCCTGACAAGTGAATTAGAGATACCTGCTGGAACATGACACTGGTGGCTGGAAGCTTCGTTGCTGGAAAGGCATGGTTGGTACTCCGCCAGGACTCAGGGGCAGGGGTATTGGAGATGTTGGCGAAAGCGAAGAGCGCGGTGCAAGATGGGCTGCTAGCGCGGTGATCCTAAATGTCATGGATGCGCATCTTTTTTTAATGCTCGGCCGGACAGAACGTCAATTGCGATAGGATCCTTCCATAGGTACACGAGATCATTGGGGTATATACAGCAATTCACTGCTTCTCGTCATCATCCAAAGGCACTCTGCTCATAATTACAAACTAAACATGAATGAAGAACCCTCTTCAGCGCTGCACAACATCTTCAGCAAATACTTGCGCATCAAATTCTGCGCTTCTTGGTACCAGGATGCCGCGCAGAATGCAGTCGTTTTCATTGTCTGGGCACACGTTGTTGCGATTCAGCTGCTTGTCTGCTGGTCCTGTAGGTCCCTGTATAAAGTCAGTATAAGGTCAAGGAACGGGGTGCCGTTAGGGAGACGGACGCTGCTGTACTTGGCCTGGCCAAAGATCTTAACTTGTCTCTTGTCGCTCGTGGGGTACTCCTGGTCGCCCCAGCGACCAGAAAAACTCAGCCAATTGACGGGACTGGTGCCATCGTACGCGGTGAATGAGTTTGCGCCAGCATCGTACTTGTAGTAAAGCGAGGACTGGAGCGGGTCCCAGAAGATATCTTTTGCCGTGTGGTCCTCGAGCACGCCTCCCGGCAGATTGAAGTTTGGGATTGTGTGGTCGTGCGTACCACCTATGGCGTAATTGGCGTGCGAGCCATTCGCGGAGTAGGCAATTGGGCGCAGGTTGTCGGAGTGCTTTTCGGTAACCTACAGAGTGTGAAAGTCAGCAAATGGTGAACTAACATAGCCGGGCATTTTCTTACCGAGTACTTGAAGGCCTGTCCGTTGGCATGCTGAGAGTACCAGACGGCTTGAGGTTGGCCGTCTTTGAAGCGCACCATTACGTGCTCCCAGTCTCCGACGTGGTTTCCAAAGTTCAAAGACCTCAGCCCTAGCACTTCACCGCCCCAGTTGTAAGTGTAGAAGAACATGTAGAATGCATCTACATCTCCGTTACCTTTGTCATTGACGATGACTGCAGCGGTAGTGCCCTCCGTCTTGCCGTTGCCATCAGGCCTCACACCCTTCAGCCACTGAGGAATGGTGGTGATATCATCGTTGGATGTCAAGTATACGTCGCCACCCAGCTGATTGAGACTGTTGAGGTCCAAAGGATTAGGCGCTGATACGGCGTTGAAGTTTACCCGTGGGGTTGTGTGTGAGATGTGAGTGTTGAGGTCCGAAGGCATGTAAGGATCCTGGCCATGAAGGTAGACGACAGGGGCTGTGAAATGTCAGTCGGAAGCACCTTTATTGTCGATTGGATGATGCGCTCATGCGGTCAGATGGTGTCGAGATAGTTCTGGGGTAGACGCCCAGTAGTTTGTACAAAAAGGGCAGGTCTGGGAGCCGTCGGACTCGTGACATTTGCTGATGATGCTACTATACCACCGGGGCCGAGACATGCAGCGCGAGCAAACTGGCAGTCAAGACCATCTCTTTCGACAAACTCTTGCTGCGAGGCAAGTTCGCACTGTGTGGGTTTCGCACGTACCATATTTCAGCACATAGTCGGGCACACCACTCGGTGCTTGCCGCTTCGCTGGCGCGGATAGAACACCAGTAGCCAAAGCTACGAGACCGAAGGCCTTTCCGCCAAACATTCTGAGTCGGAACCGTACCGGTAAAGTCGACGTCGGAGGTGTCTATTGAACAAAAAGCGAAGCTGAACCAGGACGCGGTCCGAGAGGATCTACGAAACGTTCACATTCACTCCAGCGGCCCCTCCGCTCTTATAACAAACCTAAGGCTAAAAAGCCACCCCCGGTCTTTCAACCTCATGTCCCAAACATACGCCCTCCGCACATAAGGCACTGCCTCATGGCCCGAAGACAACCACTGATTCGGCCATCCCTACGCTCTCCAAGCCCGCACGACACCTATGCTACCTACCAAATTCCGCGTTGGCGCCAGCTGCAATAGCGCACGCATACCACTCGCGTGGCTCCAAGCGGCAGGTAGTGTTCATGGCACTCGGAAGAGGCGATGCGGGCGTTGTCCAAGTGGCGCCGCAGATTGGTGGGGTTCCTGGCCAACAGGGATCTACAGGGAGCGATTGGGTAGTGCGCTGAGGACGTGCGACAGGGTCCGTTTGGGATGGCAACGGGGATTGGTGGTGAGAGGCGGTGCTAAATAATATGTTTATCTTAATGTTTGATGATCACGAGGGGAGCGCGAACGGGATGCATGTGCCGGCCATGTGCTGTGGCGAGAGGGTTTATTAGCCACGTCTAATACGACAACTATCAGTGTCCTCATCGAGAAAATAATCTATACAAGGTTCGTGAGCTTGCAATAATTCAACCAAGTTGTGAACGAGTCCAATGGTTGACTCGTAGACCGTACCGTGAACTGTGAGGCTCGGTGATCGCAACCGTGTAGTGTTGATTGAGTCCGTAACCGCCCGTTGGCAACGGGCAGGTGATCGAAGAGCATGCCACGCATCACAAAGTGCTTCTCGTTCAGTCCTAAGGAGAATAGGTGCCCAGCTTGCAAGACCGCACGAGAACATATTTCGCACGATACGGACAGGCGTTTCGTCGGAATTCCTGTTCCGCTTACAAACGACTACAATGTCCGCTCGAAAGCCCCCAAGAGCTGAGGCGCATATGCAGCGCCAAATAGACTCATGTTAGCTGTTTTAGAAGGTAAGAGTGATTGATGCGAGAGTCTACCTGGTTGCATTGGGACTCAGTCCTCTCGTCGAAATCTGTGGTTGATCATAGGACTCGCTCACCTATTGCCAGTAGCACCACCGAAAGCCCCATGACAATGGATGAATCTATGCCCACATCATCGTGTGAGTTGTCTCCGGGCACACCATCAGATATCTTAGTAGAACCAGGAGCGCAGGTAGAATTAAACATTTGGGTACTCAACATTAACTGTGTTACGTAGGAATCATTACAAGCGTGTACTCAGGCCGCTAGACTGGGCTCGTCTGACCCCCCACGCACGTGGCTGCCTTTGTACCACACCTCAGCTTCAACGAATCGCTCGCATCTCCAATCCAGATACCGTAGTCCCCGCTCACGTTCGGGACGACCCAGTTCTGGCTCACGACGTCCCACACGCTGAGGTCTTTGCGGGTGACACGCAGTTTGACGACCTGACTCTCACCAGCAGCCAGCTCCTTCGTCTTCTCGAAGTCCCGCAACTGAATGATCGGGGTGTCGAAGGAGATGCCGGTAGGGAATTGCACGTAGAGCTGAGCAACTGCCTTCCCGGCTGTCTTTCCGGTGTTCTTAACCGTGACAGAGATATCGTATGCGGTGTTGAAGAGAGCTGGGTTACCGCCTTGCGCACCACCAGCTGCAACGCCAGCCGTCTGTACGTTTGAGTACCCGGCGGGGTAGGGATATTTCTTCGTCGAGTTTCCGACCTTAGCGGCAGCGTCGGCGTCGTTCTTGGCTAGGAACGAGTACTTGTACCGGAAAACGGCGTTGAAATTGTCTGGCCAGTATGCTTCTGACGCTGCCGGGATGTTGGTGGAGTAGGTTGGAGTTTTGCCTTTTGCGGGACGCGACGGAGGCGTAGTAGTCAATGCTGTCACTGGCGTGATGGTTGCGTCGGAAAAGGAGAACGTTGTGTAACTGAGGCCGTATCCAAAGGCGTAGCGTGGCGTGATGCCTTCTTTATTGAAGTGTCGGTAGTCAACATATAGACCATCGGTGAATGTGTCCTGCGGCTGAACTAGAACGACATCGCTAACCTGTAGTGGAGAGACTGGTCAGCGTTGTTATTGATCACATTGAAGGGTTGACATACCAGCGATACACTCTTGGGGTAGTCGTCCTCCGACTTCGGGACTGTGTAAGGCAAATGACCTGACGGCGAGACATCGCCGTAGAGGACTTGCATCAAGCTGTCGCCAGCTTCTTGACCCGGCAAATGCGCGAAGAGAACGGCCTTGACAGAAGGCAGATCAATCCATTGCTCCATGAGTATAGGGCCCACAGTGTGCACAACCACTACGACGTTAGAATACTTAGCAGCAACATCCTTCACCAGTTTGTCGCCATTATGCCACAAGTTCAGCTTGGAGCTGTCTCGATCACCGTTATTGCCTTCCACTGTGATGTAATTCTCTCCTGAATCCGCAGTGACAAACACAATCGCGACGTCGTTTGCCGAAGGATTCGAGTTTGACGGAAAAGAGTCGCTGTTGTAGAAGGAGTAGTTGGCTCCACGAGACTTAAACCCATCAATGGGCGAGTCCATGTACGGATAGCGAGCAGAGCCGCTACCCCAGCCCATGCCAAGTGTACCCTTGTTGCAACCTTGGTCCGCACAAGAATTGATGCCATCGGGATTCTTTTCCGCATCCGTTCCGAAGACCTTCAGGGTTGCGCTGCGAGATAACGGCAAGGTGCCGTTGACATTCTTCAGCAGGGTGATGGCATCTCGAGCTACTTCCTTTGCAACAACTGCATGATCTCCTTGGACGTCCACAAACTCGTTGATGACTCCTCTGGGTGAGCCTGGTTCAGCTCCAGGGTAAAGGGGTCCTTCAGCATCCTGTGAGTTCGCGGAGAAGTTGGGCGGGGGATAGTCCTTGTCCTGTCCCATCTGATACCATGCTGCCAGAATGCGGGTTACAGAGTCATCCAACCGGTCAACAGGAACAGAGCCGTTCAAGATGGATCTCGAGTACTCATACATCCAGTAAGATTGGGCAGTGACGAGCGGAACAGTATGGATATCACCAGGCATTGACATGTCCAGTCCGGCAAGAGCAGAGGGCACGCCAGAAATTTGAGCCAACCAATCCGACATGACGAAGCCTTGGAAGCCAAGCTCATCTTTGAGGATGTTGTTGATGAGATACGCATTTTGCGAGCATGCTGATCCGTTAACCGCATTGTAGGCAACCATTGCCGAGCCAACGCCAGAACGGACGGCTTCAGCAAATGGCCAGGCGTAAAGCTCATGCAGAGTTCTGTCGTCGATATTGGAAGAGATTCCATCTTGGATAATGCTGTACATCCTGTACTTTTCCTGTTCGTTTCCGATCCAGTGCTTGATAGTGGCGATGACACCCTTGCTTTGAACACCCTCGACGGTCAGGGCAGCACCGTACGCCTGGAGCACAGGATCCGCACCGAAACCCTCCCAATTTCTGCCTCCAAGAGGCTTCCTACCAAGAGGTCCTACAGACGGTCCTAAGTAGACATTCACACCTTTTCCTCGGAACTCTTCACCCAGTGCCTCACCGCGACGGCGCATGAGATCTTTGTCGAATGTGGCACCAATCGTGATGCCCGCTGGAAATGCCGTGTTGTGGTCGGTATTGCGGACTCCCAGCGGACCGTCTTGGAGACAAAGTTGGGGGATGCCAACTCTCAATGCACTTCCTGTGTTCCCAACACACCGTCCCATGAATATGCCAGACCCTGCGGTGAGGTTCGTCTTCTCAGCCAGAGTCAGGCCTGCTACAACTTGTGCAGCCTTTTGGAAACTGTCGCTCCATTCCGGAACCCATCCGCCGTGCGGTGCTGGGTATGCTGGGGGAGCGACATAGCCGGCTGGCACTGCGCGCTTCTCGATCGCCGCCCCCGCTGCCAGTGACGATAAGGACAGTAGAACAGCTAGGACCATCGTGTAGAAAGTGGGCCTCAGAACCGAAAAGGTGGTTAACAAAGAGGAGGCAAGCGTCCGTGTCGCAGGCCTGGGGATAACAGACGGAGAAATTGTAATACTTATACGGAATACCCATGGTAGTACTAAGAACGGAGTATACGCCTTTGGGAACGAGGCTGCGTACGCTAACATGATCTGTTATTTGGATAGGCAAAAGTTGCTGGGCGCTGAGCCTAAGCAGGAGCATCGGAAGAAAGACCAGGGATGTCGGTAGTCGCGACCGAAGGTGCCTTCCTGAAGGGCTACACCTGCATACTGCAGTGGGCATCGAATCGCGACTGCCATATCCCAAGATATTCCACGACTACGAAGAGCTGAGTGCATGCAGGCACGCTCGTAACGCGTGTTCCGGTTCGCTTCGCGCGATATACTTGTTGTCATCGTGGACATCTGCACAGGGGGATCGGGCCGGATTAATGCGGGGGCAGGGGCAATACCTTGCTTCAAGCAACGAACCTCGGATCAAACGACGATTCTGTGGGTGTATCGCCAAGTCGTTCATGTGGGAGGTCACATGGGCGCTATAGTGCACATGGTGCATCGCAAGGATACTCCAAAATCGATGAAAATCCGTTTACTCGGTTGCCGATGCCGTTCCTGGCGATCACAGGTCGCACGCGAGCGGCCACGCAAGCCGCAAGTTGACAGCCAACTCCGCTTGGTCCGGCACGCGAAGGTGATGATTAATGTTTCCACAAGTAGGGTAAGAGGTTGGTGTGCTGTACAGCTGAAGATGCTGTGGTGCTGGCTTAATTTATGAGCCTGGGGTGCGTTCTGAGAAACAGCAAAGGTCAATAGGGATACTTTTGAACGATAGCGTTGCTGCATTCAGTATTAGATCGACGTGATTTCTGTTACCGAGATAAGTGTTCAGGCGTTGAGATGCCTGTTCGGGCACGGGCTTCTTGACTCGATTGATTCTGCAGCCGAGCCGCTTTTGCCTAATGAACGAGGACCAGGGAATTGTAAATCCTCAACTTCATGCACGTGAAGCCCACGCGAACCCCTTTCCTCGCGCTTTTTCTGCAACTTGACATTAGACTTGACAATACCTCCTTCTGGAAATACATGGCATATGCCGAAAACCATACAATAATGGAACCCCTGTGCGCGGGGTAGCCAGCCGGCCCATACACAGGCTTGTCATCGAAGTACATATATGCCAGCGGGTATAGAGCAGGGCAAAGTGGTCAAGCTCACTGGATGTCCTATGTGGAGCTATCACAGTGGCTGACACAAACCAAACTTGTAGAGCACAGTTATCTTGGAGGAACTCACTGTATGATACAATTATTAGACTGTCATTTGATATTTGATGTTGGGTTTGCATAGCACTAAAGGTCTAGTTTTACTGTCGCTGCGATGTTTCTTGAAACGACAATCATGCTCAGGGTTATAGAAACGGGCAGACAACATTGTACACCCGGGAAATGTGAAAGAAAAAAAAAAGCATCCAAATCTGTACATAGAGCATCCAATGATTCAATCTTGTCGGGAGTTCTTTAATCTATCAGCCCTTCCGAAGACTTGATTTTATACATGCATGCAATACATATCCGTACAACAGCATAGCGTGAGCTACCTCATACTGCCCTCCAGCATCTTGACTACCTCCGGCAGCACCACATCTGCGCTCTCACTGCACCTTACCGCCTGCCTTCCGGTGTCTCCTTCCTGCACATCCGCAAAGAAGGTATCTTCACCACGCACTCCGCCTATGTTGAGAATCCCAATGGGCAATTTTAGCTCCTTTGCATGTTTGACCAGCCGCCACGCCGAGTATGTCGCCAAGCTGCTTCCAATGACCAGTATCCTCTCGGCATCATTTACTGCCTGCTCGGCGGCATTCTTCCTCTCGGGTGGGATGCTCTCGCCGAACATTACCACACTGGGCTTCAACACGCCTCCCGTGCTTCCTTCTTTCCACCCGCCATCAGTGTCCACACCAACGCCGTGCTCTCGTTTCTGAAGGCAGGTGGGGCATGCGGGGTATCTGAATGTTGTGTATGGCGCACCGGGAATGTCAACGTCGCCGTCGGGGTTGGACTTCAAGCCGCGCTTCCGCCGCTCGTCTGGGTTCTCGGTATCGAGGGCGCCGGTGGCGAGCACCTCCTGCAGAAACGTCGCCCATGCGGGGTTCAGACGCGCGAGATCAACTTGGAAGTCGTTGCGGGAGTAGTCGCTCTTGCAAGTGAGACAGGTAAGGGTGCGGAGGTAGCCATGGAGCTCGATGGTGGGCAGCGATGGGTGCGCTTTTGGGTGGAAGCTGTCGACGTCTGGCGGCGGTCAGTTCCCAGTTCAAGCAACTTTCTCCGAGTCTCAAGCGTAGAAAGGGCATCTTGGCAGGATCAAGGTGGACACAGACGTACTCTGCGTTATGACCCTCCGCACAATGCCCAGCTCTCCCAGCTTTGCGACAGCCTCGTGTCCCGCATTCGGCCGCGCCCTACGCATGTTTGTCCATCCCAAGAAGCTCCTCGCCCAGTATCGCTTGCGCATCTCATGGTTCTCGCAGAATTCATTGTAGTAGATGGGCCGGTACGTCTTGTTCAGCGTATACGTCCCCTTCGTCCCTCTGTAGTCGGCCAGGCCCGACGCGACGGAGATGCCCGCGCCCGTGAGCAGCAGCGTCCTCCCATCCTTTCCATGGCGCGACGACACGCGCTCGGAACGGCCCAGAAACTCGGCAAGGGCAGCAATAGCGCCTGGGGCTGTGCCTGCGCTCGGGGGGATTATCGTGGGTGCTGGCAGCGGGGAGGTGTACGGAATGCGCAAGAGAGGGGCACGAACGGGGGGCATTGCTCGTGTGCTCCTTCCATGGTCGCAAAGGGCGCTGGAGGCGGAGCACACTGGCGAGAGTCGACTGGTTAGGTCATCGAGGCGCAAAGTGGCCAGGCTAAGCCGCTCTGGACGTAGCCCGAGATCTGATTCCACGTTGCCGCAATGGCCCGCGATCGTGGGGTGCGTTTTCCTCGGGTGAGACACTATTTTTAGCGCGGGGTGCACTTTGTGGCTTTGCGGCACGGGCAACGTGGGAATGCTGCTGGTCTGATGTATGCACAGTTTTATTGAATTGTGATGCTTCAGGGCCGGAGAAAGGGGATAGGGATGGGTCTGACCAGTCCAAGGACGCTCTGCTGATGGAGAAGGGCAGCGAAGCCTCCTGTCGTACGACTTGAGGGAAGCTTGCCCGGTTGGTCTGACTACAGGTGGACTGAGTACTGACCGGTGAAGATGTGGACCACGGGCCACGATGCGTGGGCCCATGCAGGTACACAAGGGAATCCAATGGGAGGCCTTGGAGGTACAGTGCTCGCACTGATCATGAGCGTAATGTAAGCCGAGTTGCGGCCAGAGGTCATATGACAAATGCATACGGGCGATGACATACCTCGCAATAGCCTCGATGTCGATAGCCCTGTCGAGTAGGACTGTCTTGTTGTAGCCTGAAATGACTCGCCGGCGCGTACAGCGACCAGTACATCCACACCACTTGAGAAGGCTACATGTAACATCAAAAAACATCATGTCGACGCTGATACGTTGCGTAATCTCGAAAGTGCCAAACGTATCAAATGAGTGTTTCATTACTCGAAACATACTGAACGCCTTCCATTAGCTCTCCTCAGTCTCTTCGACTTGGGTATCTCTCGGTCAACCAGACCTTGCCAACGAGGCCTGTTCCATAATGTTGATATCGATCAAGATGCAGAAAGTACGCTTACTCCTCGCCCATGCAGATGATGCTAGTGATAAGGAAATGAAGAAATATAGAAATTCGAGACCAATGAGATAGTCGAAAGTAAGGGAAGATAGGAAATGTAGATACAAAAATCTTGAATGCGCTCCTACGCCCTGTCCTGACCCGCCTTCCGTGATATCTCTTAATGATAGTGATGCGAAGTGAGACGCCGAATACCATGCCCCTGTTCAATGATACACGTGCGTTCCTTCGTGATGCTGAAACAGCGAATGTCCGCAAAAGTCCTCCGCGATTACAAGTAAAGAGATACAAGAAAGAAACAGATGAAAGTATAGAGATAATTAGAAGAAAAAACATAGCCCAACTCTCTAGGTATGTATACTTGCTAAGGATGGATCCGAGTTTGCCATCATGCTGGTTCGTCCCTTCAAGGAGCGTGGTATTGGTAGTACAAGATATATCAGGAAAGTGATATTGAGGGATTGTGAGATCGTGAAGGTCGACGGAAAGAACAAAAACAGAAAGATTTGAAGAAAGCCGAAGCTAATGGAAACGATGGGGAAAAAGTGGCCGAGGATATAGCAGCATTGCCTAATGCTGATGGTATGCGGAGGTGTATCCCATGGTATGCTGGCCCATGGTCTGTTGTTGCAATACAGACTGCGGCTGCTGGAGGTGTTGTGTGTGCTGCAGAATCGAGTGGATGGAAGGCACTCGCGTCTGGTGGTGCTGGAAGGTCGTGGACTGCTGCTGCTGCTGCTGCTGGTAGACCAGTGGCAAATGGTTGGAGGTGTCTGTCAACACTGGCGAAGGGTTCTCGTTCGAGTCTTCGTCCAGGTCAGAAATGCCAACTCCACTGTCTTCGTTGATATCGTATGTACCCTGCTTCCTCTGCGCCTGGCGGTACGCTTGTGTGAGGTTCTTCAATCCTTTCTCCATGCACTGTGCAGCAAGTCAGCTCACGGAACGTGATTGTGAGAGCGAAACTGAGCGTTTCAATTGATCGAAAGCTTGAGGCATGTTCGGACATACCTTCTGTTCAACAAGTTGCCACTTTTCGTTTACTTTGGTACCCAAGATTTTCCACATTTCACTTCGAACCTCCATGTAAGCCTCAGCTAAAACATCTAGCCTGACTCCATCCCACTGCTCAGCATTCTGCTTCTCCATCAAGCGCTCGTGCCTCTTGCGGCAAGCATTCGCAGATTTTGAAGGGAAGTGCCTTGGGGCGATTTGATTCCAGTTCAATCCTTGAGCGCGTGCCTTGATCAAGGTCTCATCGTCACTCTGAGACCACGACGAACTCCGCGCTCCACCTCCCGCAGCTGATGCAGTGGAGATCGAATTGCGGTGAACAGACGAGACTCTTTCTTCCTTTGGCATGTTTGCAATCATGGAGAAAGACAACAATGAGAGAGAATAGATATAGATAGAGGATGAGACAGCGAATGGGGGAGGTGTGATTGAGAGGCTGAAGCGAGAGGAGATCGGTATTAGATTAGGACAGAGGAACGAAAGTGATGCTGGAACGAAGGGTAGGAGACGGTCGAGACGGCAAGGAAACGAAGGAATAAGAGCTTGTGTGTGTTGGGGTTGGGTATCTGAAGAGCCTCCAAGCTAAGGCACCGCCGTGACTTTATATCAGAGCCGCAGCCGTTGTGTGCTCTAAACAAAGGCCACACAGGCCGCCCGGAGAATTATCTGACACAAAGATCGGTTAGAGTAATCGCCAGATCATGGTGAAACTGCGGTCATGGCATTGGCGCCTCTCCCAAAAGATGTGGAGTGGTCCACAAACCGGCCTGGCAGGCGTCTGGGCCGTTCCCTATGCAGAACAAGGGAGAGACCCGGGGGAGAAAGAAGCGCCTGTTTGAGGATATTTTCCTGTGCGGCTGGGCGTACCTATTCTAATTTTGCGCAGTGGGTGCAGCCGTGATGGTGGGCGCTTAGTCGCACCTCGCGGTGATAGGATCGCTACACAGAGGCCTGGCGGCCACGAACAGGGGACGGTCCCATTTGCGGTAGGGCTGAGCACTGCAGCGCGGACCTGCAGCGAGCCTCTGGCGTCCGTGGTAAGCAAGCCATTCTGGAAGGCCATGCAGGTGGTGAGAATTGTACAGGAGCCACAGCGTAGGGACTCTGGAGGGGGACAGAATAGCATGCGCCGGACTGCGCGAGACGATCGATGACAGCGTCAAAGGCGCACAGAGCGGAGCCTCGTCGCCTTGTCGCCTTGCTAAGCGCAGAGTAACAACGGAGCGGCTGTTTCGAAACAGATCGACGGGCCATGGAGACGGCGCGGTCGAGGTTGGGGTCGCGCCGCACGTGCTTCGAATGAAAACGCAACATGTAGCGCTTGGTGGGCAGACCGCGACGACGCTGGAGACACACAAGGTACTCTTGCTCCGCACCAGACGGCGCACCGTTGAAGCTCGCACGTCGTGCCTCGAGCTTGCCGGGTCCACTGCCTGGTGGTGTGGGCCAAGCCGCCCGGCTGGCAGGAATACCCAGAAGCCCTCCCAGACATGACAGCATCGACTGCTTCGCACGCGGCAGCGCTATTCTAAGCTCCCGGATGTGTCTCCACGCGGGCCGCCAACATTCCCAGGTACGACGCGATTCAGGTGCACTCTGCCTCCTGGTTGGGTGCCGTCCCACGAGTGTCATCTCTCGCCCAGCCGTTCACGCAACCCCGCCAAAGCGGACGTCGACATAGCCTCACTCAAGCCTCGCTATCGGCATCCGAGCCCTCACAATCGATAAAAGATGCATGCTGAGACATAATTACAGTTATTACTACGGACCTGCAGGAGTTCGCTCTACTGGCAAATTAACGGCCAGCAGCACTCATGGTTTCCAGCCTCCTGTGCGGCTCGCAAAGAACCCGGAGGGATCAACTGCATCGCGAACGGTTCGCGCAAAATCCGCAGTCCTGAGCCTTCCAAAATAATCTTGCCGATAATAGGCATCGTTTGCAAACAGCGGCAAGTACCCTTCGGGTAGCTTATCGTCTGCCTGATACTGCTCAACTAGGTCCTTGGACCCCGTGTAAAACTTCTGGGTTGCAACGTCCATTCTAGCGCTATCAAGCGGCGATAACCACGACAAGTCGAACTCCAGGATGATGCGGTCGATTTCATCATCTAAGTCGATCATGTCTCCACCAGCCTCCATTGCTTTGCGAGCAAGCCTCTTGGGGATTGGCTGTAAAGCGATCGAGCCAATGAGCCCGGCGGCATCAATCACAGATTCGGTGGTGTTCCTCCAGTTGTCGTAAATCGCCCCCAGGAAGTCGGGTCCCACGTCGGCGCTCGGCAGCGGAATCATCTCAGTCGCGATTGTGTAAATTTCCGTCTTGATGACGCCAAAGTTGTTATGCGTCAACAGGTCTGAGTAGCTCCGGGACTTGGTATCATCAGACAAGTGTGCGATGGCTGTAAAGTTGTCAAACACGCCGGCGGGAGGGGTCGGTCCGTCGTAGAACAGGAACATCAACCAGATGTCGATCACCCCAAACTGCGTCAATTCGGCGGTCATGATGATACCGGCCTTGTCATCAGGGTAGTACTCTGTAAAGTCCCGTACCGCAGCTAAGATCTCTGCAGATTTGTCCGCAGTGTAGGCAATGTTGCCGCCCCAGATCTATCAAAGAGTCAGCACAAGAATCAGGAAAGCCGAAACTGACCAATGCTCACCTGTCCCTGTGGATGCGCTTTGAAGGTATAGGCTGTCACAATGCCGTAGTTGTTGATCCCGCCCTTCAACGCTTTCCACAGGTCCGCATTGTGGCTCTCCGACGCCGTCACGATTGATGCATTTGCCAGCACTATCTCATATTCGACAACGTTATTGGCGACCCAGCCATATTGTGTCGACAAAAAGCTCAGTCCGCCACCGAGTACGAGCCTACTCCATGTCAGCAAGTTTCTCCACGCTTTCACGTCCCAAGCTTACCCGCCAACACCGACATCGCCAATGCGTCCTCCAACAACCGTGACACCGGTACCGTCTAACGCTCCGATGACATCATCCCAGTCATTGCCAGGTCCGACGCGTACAACCCCGTTTCCAGCGTCGTATATTACCTCGTTCAGTTCCCGGGTGGAGATCAAAGGACCACCATCGATGCTCGCGAAGCCTTGGTTGGGGCTGTGCCCTCCGCTTTTCACAGCGAAGGTTTCGTTGTTGGCGTTGAGGATGCGCACGATGGCGGCGACTTCGTCTGCAGTCGTAGGATACAGTTGGCAACTTGGTTTCATGGCTCCACATGCCGTGCCTTTTCAATAACACAAAGTCAGTTGGAGGCGGAAAAGCAGGGTCTGATACCTTGTGTATATCTTCGCCAAGCGAGAAGAACATCTTTCTTCCGCCAGGAACAGATCTCCAGGTTGTATGCGGTGGTTCACTCACTCCAGTAGTTTGCTTGCTCAGTCGCATACCCAATATCAAGCTGCTTCTTAATCTGAATCGACGACGTCGCCGCCACGCTCGCGCACGTGTCCGCGCTCACAGTCGCTCCCAGCGCCGCGACCGCAGCAGCAACAACAGCAGCTCGACGCATATTACGCATGATACACAAGAGTCCAACCACGAGTACCTTGGCCCTAGAAACGATGTCGACAGAAGCGCCCACGTCAACCCAACAGGCGCGCATCCCACCCCTCTATATAATCCACCTTCCTATGCGTTCCACCTCAGCACGCACCATTGCCTGCCAACACCCCAAATCCTGCTCCCGCCCACAGACCCTCACGCAATCCAAGATTCCCATATCGCGTCCTCGCATAAGCCTCGGAGTGCCCACCCAACCCACTGACATCTGACAATCGCGCCGAAAGAGCCGAGCAAGCCCGGTCGCTCCAAGGTACAATAACGCGTGCTGTAAGGCCGGGGGCCAGGGCGCGCAGGCCGGGGGCCAGTTCGTTGCCGCATGCAGCAGCGCAGCACGGGCACGGGGCCCGCGCTAGCCTCCTATTTCTCGCACGGCGGAAGCGACGGTTGAGGCGGGCGTTGTAGTCCCACTGCTTGCCCGGACGCTGGGTGCAGGCGAGCATCAGGCCGACGGTACTTACTTAGGTCTTACGCAGTAAGCAGAAATTCCAGTTCGTCCCATTGTGGGTGGAGAGAGGGAGGTCTCCGCTCCTGTACAAAGACAATGCAACATTCAGTCCATCACTCGCGCGCCCTAGCGTCAGCACGCCCCAAAGGAGATGGATGTGTATGTATTGCCGAGTATCGCATCGCAATTTCCATGCAGATGCAGGCGACGTCATGCCACAGGCAGCGTAACTCTTGGTATCTTGTGCTGCAGTGGATACGGCGGAAGCGAGCGGCTCAGGATGGCGATCACGGTCACGAGATGAGGATGTACATGGTGCCAGCTCACTCAGTGCAGGGGAAGTAGGGACTTACCTAGTTCGGGCACTTCCTCCATATTGAGCTTCCTGCGCCAAAAGAACAATCAGTCACGCCCAAAAGGTAGATTCCCATGTGCAGGCACACGTTCGGTACTGTGCCTACTTGTGGCTCGAGCTACTGCGACATGGTAAGCTTTCGCGTGGAGAGACGTTTCCAGCCAACAGCCAAAGTCCGCAAAACAGCTAGCGACAGGAGTCTCGCAGAGAAAGGAGAGCGCTGAGGTGGATTGGTTGGAAATACATTCATTACATAGTGTCAGTCGTAGCAACGCAGCTCCATCGCTGCGCTCAATCGCCGCCTTCATCCCATCAATCGAGTCCTCACTTCCAGCAAGCACCCTCGCGACCCCCGACCCGTATTAGAAACAGAGGAGATCTCACTCCTCATGGCATCTTCCCTACCGTAAGAGAACTGAGATCGCCCCAAAGTGAATATCAATGTTGCCGTGCTTTTCGTCTTTTGTTCACCTGCGCTGACACAAAACAGGTCCCACGCCGCATGAAGACTACCGCCAACGGAGGATGCAACAATGTAAGTTGCAGCGCGACTAAACTTGCACCATTCCCACCCGACTGTCATAGTGCAACCAACAAATGAAAGCGGAGCGACCGCACGCGATGAAGTCCTTGAATGATGCTTCAAGAAGAAAATGCGAGGTATATCGAACGAGAGGCGAGCTTTGACGTAGAAGAGAAGATTTCGTCCTGAAAACCACCCGAAGGCCACGGTCGACGAATCTGACCAGTAAAAAGTACATTGTTGGGAGCGTTTCGTTGCTTCCGTAACATCGTGCGTAAGACCAAAGCAAGGAGATTTTGATTGAAGAAAAGTCTTGCGCAGAAACAGCACATTATTGGACAGATGAAAAGGTTGCTTTTGCGGCAGTGCATCCGATAGAAGAGCAGGAATATCGCTAAAGGGAAGCACAGTGGGTGCAGGGTAAAGTCGAGCAGCTTCACTACAGACGTCGTTCCAAGGCATCCGAGCTTTCCTGGGGCATGCTGTGATGTATCGATCGAGCGTCGATAGTGAGGGCTGTAGAATCGAAAGTCCGCCGATGCTGTCATTCGTCGCTATTCACGGATCGTCCAGGATCACTGGTCGGCAGTTGAGAAGAGCTTCCATGACTAGAAAGCTGTTTCTCTGAGTCAGCCGCTCTCCCCGACTTTCTTCTGAAGAAGCTCTTTAGTTTTCCAGTCCGACTGGTCTTTCCTGGACTTGTCGACGGATCCAGTGTCGCGTTAGTCACGGCAGGGTCCAGCATTGCGGCTTGCTGCTGTTTCGGCGTATCCGATCCGCCGTTGCGGTGGTCGCGCTGTTTTCGCGCCGGTCGCCACCATTCGCTTCGCCGATGGATGTCGCGTGAAGCGTCAGAGTGAGACATATTGCTGTCGTTGCTGAGCTTATTTGACTCCCACGTCTGCATCTTTGACCCATCATAGTTTCCGTTGGCAGTAGTGGAGAGATCTACCTCGGAGTGGCTTTGCGAAGACGGATGAGGGACGGGAAACATGTTGGTTCCTGAGTCAACGTTAGGATTAGTGCCTAGAGAGGGATGATGGAATAGAATGTCTCGTGAGCTTGTGATCTTACCTTGACTGCGTCGCGAGGGCGCGGTGACCGGCCGCATATCTTTGTCTTTCTTTGGCGACATTGTGTCCTTCCGGTGGCCCGATGGTGAAGGTGAAGTACCTGACGGATCCTGGCCAGGCTCTTTTTCGGGTGCATCTCCCGCGCTTGAGGTTTGGGTTACCAGGATAGCCGTCAGGCTTGCATCGCCACTCCCTCGTCGCGATTGACTCTGATTCTCCCGGGAACGAAGGCCTGCAAGGCCAGTACCGGAAGAACGTTGTGAGCCTTTGTCGACACCTGATGATCGTCGTGAACTCGGCAAAACACCATGAAAGGAGCCTCCTGAACCGCGACGACCTCCATCGTCCGAATCGACTAACCACGTCGAGCTCGGTACCGTACGGCCAAGCTGAGAAGTCGGCAGTGTAGCTGAGGGAGGTGATTTTGAACCAAGCATACCGCCTGAGAGAGGGCTTGGTGTTGGATCGGCGGCGAAAGAAGGAGTGGTGAGCCCTAGTGAGAAATTCGGGTGCTTCTTCGTCTTGTTCTTCTCGTCATTTATCTTCTTCTCCCAGATACCCTTGTTCGTCAAAATTTCGTCCACGGCGTAGCGCATCGCAGGTAGGATATCTGCAACAGATTCAAAGAGAGGTCTTGCGAAAATGTTCATGAATCCGATTTGTGACTCTCCAAGCTTGATGATATCGTCCTGTACTGGCGGTCCGCCGAACAGGCAAGAGGGCATCTCTAGCTCTTGCTCCATAACTCCCTGATTACTGAACTCGTCTGTGAGAATATTTGCCCATCGAGCGGCGGTCTGGAATTTACGTGCCTACAGGGTGTTAGCGAAATAGCAACAGAAGCAACGAGAGACTTACCACGTTGCTGATGTCGGCACATTTGATCAATAGGCCGCAAGCGAGATCCTTATGCTCCTCGCGAACTTTGACGTTCCAACCGTCGATCATGCCTTGGTCGTGTCCGAGTTTCTCCTGTAGGTTGCCGAGATCACTCATGTACTTGAAATGCAATCCCATATCCGTCGCGAGGATGCTATTAATCATCAACTTCCTCATGGCCGCATCCGAGAATGCCTTGGGCCAGTAGCGGCGGAGAATCTGCGAATATGCAGCGCAGTGGAACGATTCAAGAACGGAGCGGTCGTTGTAAAGTTGCGCGAGGGGAGCATTCAGTGCGACCAGGAAAGCATTGTTGACACCGGGATGCCCAACGTCGTGACCAATGGCGGACACTAGAAGTGTAAGTGCGTCAAATGGCTTCAGTAGCTGTGCAATCGCCGATTCTGGCGCAGCCTGAGCTCGAGGCGTATCAGTCGGATACCACGGTAATGTGCCTATTTGTACTAAAAAGTGAAAAAGAGCCTGTAGGACGTCGACGACATGGCGAAAGTTGTGGTAGAGGACAAATTCGTTGTAAGCTGTGCGACTGGCAAGCAAGAATATTGTCAATTCATCTGGCGAGGCGCTGTTAGCGAGTGACCAAGCAACGAATCGGTATACACACCATCAGTCATGCCCCACTCTTCCACTTCGGGCATCTTTAAAGCGTGCTTCAGCATAAGCAGTGCGCCGTAGAGGAGCTCGTCATCGGTAAAATCGTGCGCCGAGAATGCCCAAGTGCCGACCGCGGCTGCGATAACTTGTTTGCGGTCCTCTTCGACGAAAATGTCCCTGTGACTGTTAGCATACTCACAGAACCTCGCGCATAGAAAGCCATACTTTGATTCCAAAGACTCGCCCACTGTCTCTGGGTTGCAGATGCCACCCATCAAATTCGAAACCATGGCCTCGCGCAAATACGCGTAGGGTTTCTGGTCACTGACACCAACCCAGCTCAGCTTCCTATTTCGCTTCGTCGTCAGGAAACTGGCCTCTTCTCGCGTGACCTCTTTGTGCACCCGGTAAGCGTGTATTACGAGCCCATGTACGCTGTCTTTTGATAACGGACTCAGCAACACGTCAACAGCGCCAGCATCAAGGTATCTGACCAGACGAACGGTGTCAGTAAGCACCTGCGATCCATGAACCGAAGGGGAGGGCAGCGTGTTCGAGGCGAATTCGCGATCCAGTCCGCTCAGTATTACCACAGGAATGACGAGTTTGGAGAAGTTCTTGGAGGCGATCTCGGACGATATGTGGGTGAGCAGGTGCATACCATAGATATCGTCGGGCTCGCCGGTGTCTAGTCGAATGAGACGTGTGGCTGTCGGCGACGGTGTTCTAGGCTCGCGCGACAGCCGCTTAAGCCGTTGCTCTTCGTCGTAGGGCAGGTCTATGAGCACTATGGTAGGGACGGATTCTTTGGTGGCGTCGAGAAGCTGCGAGATCTTGGCAAGACATGATCCGCCGGAACCGCACACATGAACTGTCGGCTTGTGTCAGTGCTTTGGTGGGACGGCAGCGGAGATGGTGTGCGCCTACCTTCGTTGAATATGGAGAGAATGCTCTCGACATTGGCGTGGACTTGGGGCGGGGGTGCCTTTGCGGAGCCGGGGAAGTAGCCCTGGGGCACATTGCCGGTCGATGTCCGCGCAACGAGCGAGCTGGACAGCGTCTCTCTGCGCACGTGTTCATCGTTGGCGCGACGGTCAATGTATATCACATTGCAGGCGCCATGCTCCATCTTCTCCACTCGTTGCGCAGCGACGGCGAGCACTGGTCTCTGCGGGTCGTGGAGCCTCCCGCTCGATGGGGAGGATGTCTATGTTGGGCGCAAAATGGGGAGTGGTCGTCGCGACGGTTGCGTGGGGCGGGACGGGTCGGCGAGGGCGCAGTGCGCGGAGGCGGCGAGGGCAGGGACGGCAGCAATTGAGGCGGGCGTCTTGGAGAGACAGCGGTGGATGCGATGGCTTTGAGCGCCAGGCGCGGACGGCGTGGGGAAAGACAGCTCTAACCTGAAACGACGAGGTTCCCAGGAGATGGCGGCAGCTCTGGCGGTCGCGCTGGGGCCACGCAGCGAGATGCGCCGCGCAAGGTGGTGCTGCTGGGGGAGGGTGCGCGCAGAGGCGACGGAGGCAGGCAAGCGTGGTGGAGGGAGGTGCAGGGCGTCGACGGGGGCAGGCGCGGCGGGTGCTCAAAGGGAGCTCAGTCGGACGCAGGGGCTCGCACGCTCGCTGTGTGCTACGGCTGCGCGAGGACCATTGCTGGGTGCGCGCGGGCGAGGGCGAGGTGCGGGCGCGGTGGACGGGCGGGCAGAGACAGCGCCGTGGGTTCTCGAGGGTGGAGTGGAGTGCGACAGGAGGCTGCTCGCATCATTGGCACGGCGGCCGGCGCTCGACTCGACGCTGAGGGCACGCTTCTAGAAGGACCGTCGAAGCCGCGGCCCCATTGGCCGCGCGCGCCGCCGCGATGCTGTGGGCCGCCTCTGCGCGCTGCGTCCCGCTCTGCCTCTGCCTCGCCGGCGTGCCCTCGCTGCGCTTGGCCGCATGCACTGCTCCGGCGCACCTGTGGCTGGCACAACGCACAGCATCGCACCTGTGCACGCAGACCCAGCTGCCCCAGCCCGCCTTCCCCGCCGTGTGGCCACTTCTAGAAGACTGCTAGAAGACTTCCCGCCCGGCGTCGCCACCGGTGCCCGTTGCTGTCGCCGATCCACGGCGCAGATCGAGTGGCCAGCGACGCGGCCGTGGCAGCTGTTCTCACGATGCACGCACGACACACCCAGACTCACATGGCGTGGTGTCCTCCACCTCCACATGGCGCACGTCTTGAAAACCCCGACCTATTTAAAGCCCGAAACTACGCACCGAACAGGCAGGTGTGAACCCGTCCTGCACCGCGCGCCGCGGGCAGCAGAGGGCTGACGTGGATAACCGCCTCTGCAAACCCCACACAACACCTCCCCGTCGCTTCGGGAACGCAGCGACAAGCAATGGACAAGCCCAGCACCCGCTCCGCGACGCAATCCAGGGCCGAACCCGCTCGCGGGGCGCGGTGGCAACCCTCTCGGCCCTGTTCCATCCAATCAAAACTCGCCCTGCGCTCTTCAGCCTGGCGTCAATGTCACGCACAGAAACTCACATTCTGCAATTCATCGGCACTGACGCGCACTGTGCGAACCAGCGTCGGATCGTCCTCTGGTCAGCTGAAGCCCCCGTCCCAATCTCGGATAGCCCTGGCTGCTTGATTGGCTGCTTCATCGTCTGCGGATGAAACACCCCGGTCGGATCCATGATGTTTTCGGCTGTCTATCTCGCAAGAGAATGGCCGTGATAACACCCTGCCATGTCCAAACAGACGAGATTCAGCCGGACCGGGGTCAATCTCTTGTGTTTGCATGGTATCCTGTGTCTTCACCACAGTACATATCGGAAACAATTGCTGTTGATCCTGACCGGCGTGAAAAACACTCGCTCATGTCAAGTCCAGGATCGGTTGCAAGCTTGCGAGGTGAAGCGAAAAGGTCGAGTCTTGCATGATAGGTCGTAGGTCAACTCGGCCTACGCGTGAGCCTCTGAACATGTGCTATGCGAGCCTCAATGCTATGAACTCCACAGTGATCGACAATAAAATGCGGAACCCTGTGAACGTCCAGGGTATATCGTCAGGTTATAGCTGTACAGACGTATTATAGATTGAAACACCACGAGATGAGGCGCACAACTAAAAGTCCAGTTGTGTGTCAGCCACTGTGCTCGGTCAGGCAAGAGTCACTATCCTGCAGAATGGCACTCAGAGAATAGGCCTCCTGACGCATCGAGTGGTAGATCAATCAGAATGCGCTGTCTCGCTAAATCAGCTATTTGAGTTTTGTAATGGTATATCCTCACGCAATGCTGGTCAATCCCACCATGCACGCCGACATGCAAAAGTACCGCCGCCCCATGAACGCTAGTGCGCCAGATCAGGTATTTCCTCCTCCACCGCGAATCGTATGTGTTGACTCTCGCCACTAGCCCTGTGCCGAGCTCACAAATCGTGCAAAGAAGATTCGCCACTGTTTGAACTTCTCGACGCCCTCGAACGCTCCAGCGAGCGTTCGTAGGTAGCCATCGACCACATCCTCGCTCACACCCATGCCCGAGAGGTCTGTCCTAAGCCGCTCCACATAGGGCTCGCCAACCTTCTTCACAATCTCCGCCTGCAGGTTGGCAACTTCGTAGAGTACTAGCTTCGCTTGTGCGTCCTTCGAGTTGAATCCGGAAGATGCGGGAACGGACCATACGAGTGGAGAGAAGCGCTCGATGACAAAGTTCTCAAACCCAGGAATCGATGCTGTGGCGGGAGTGGTCGGGCTCGTGTTTGCGCCAGGTCCTATTTTATCTTGCCCGCTCCATACTGAAGTCATGCGAATAAGCACAGAGAGAGCCAACCGAGCTGTTGGGTAGTCGGATGTGTCTCTGGCAAACGTGTCGATCGATGTGATGATGGTGTCGAATGTTGCCTGGTTGACGTCGCTCACAAACACAGATCCGAGTCCGTTTCCAAGAACCACATATATGAAGTTGAGGTACTCTCGACGAAGTTCCGCCAGCTGAATCTCGTCGTCTGTACCGGAAGGAATGATTGCCAGGGCGGTGAAGATGCGTTGCAGGAGAGGCGTCAGAACTGTGTCCAGAATACCGGCAATTTCTGTCTTGAAGGTATATATGATCTGACCCAAAACTTTCATAAAAGTGGAGATCTCGTCCATGGAAGAGCTCTGAGATAAAAGGCCCTCGATCCACGACGGAATTTCTTGGAGGATTCGCGAACCAAGTACAGCGATCATACGGGAGAACGCAAATCGGGCGGCATAGCGGATCGTGCTTGACGAATTGAGAGATTTCAGAGCAATGAGAATGGCTTCTGATGCCTTCGCAAATTCGTCTGATACTTCACTCTGGGGAAGTGCGCTGTTGCTGGAGGGGACCCAGTCTGAGAACCCGCGTGCGAGCGTCCCGATAGCCATGATGATGTGATGAATCTGTAGGATAGAGCGCTCATCGCCGTTCTGTGCCTGTGGCAATGTCTTTTCCATGTCGGCGAAGAGCGGACTCATGATAGTCTGCGCGTAGAGCTTCTTATTCTCCGTCGAGACTGTGCTGGACGAAGCAATGCATCCAACGGCTTCAAACAAGTAGAGTTGGGAATCGAAGAGAGCGTCCGCAGACTGATCTTCCTCGTCAGATGACATGTCGTCCCCGGAATCCTCTGGTAGCTCGGCTTTGATCGTGAGAAGATCGCCGATGGCCTGGATGATGTCGTATGAGACGTTACCAAGCTGTGCTCGTAGATGTCGAACCAGACGCTGGAACAAATACCAGGACCTTGAGCGGACCTTGACGTGATTGTTGTGCGTGAGACGAACGAAATTTTCGAGCACCTTGGGGATTTGTTGAGAGTTTTGTTCGAAGAACTGGTAATAACGAACGCATGTTTCCATGTACTGCAATTGTATAGCAGGGTGAGGGTAGCTGGGGATGTCTGCTTCATGTTAGGACTCGCTTCAATCGGAGTTAAGCAGTGCTTACCAGCATCCAGCATGCTGTTCATCATCCCCACCAGCCGCTGTGCAGCCTCGGAAGAAGGCTCACGCTTAGCGTAAAGACCAGAATTGCGCGTCGCCAATTCTCCGAAAAGGTACATCTCGTACAGCGCCAAATCCAGATCGCGCCAGTCCAATGAGGAACGGCCTCCTGCGGATAGTCGACCGAACGTGTCGCTTACTACGCGGCTCAAGGTTTCGATGTAAAAGTTCTCATCAATAGCTGCCACTGTCAACTGCAAGACATGCAGTCGTTTTCGAAGATCCTGGAACTCGGCTTCATCCGTCTGTTCACCCTCCTCGCCCCAGGAGACCGCCTCATCATACTTCATCTTGGCAATTATGGCCTCGAGAACGGGAGGGAGTATTGCCGCGTACTGTGATGGCAAGGCACCAGTCTTCTTCTGCAATTTACGGAAGAAGGTGAGAAGATCGGTCAGAGAGGGAATGACAGTTGAGCAGACTTCGTCGTACTGATCCGCAAAAAATCTCAGCAAGTAGGGCGTGAACACTTGAATGAGTGTGTCCGCACGTTGGCGAGTTTGGTCATCGTTATTATCCTTCTCTAAGATCTTGACGATGTCGAAGACGATATTGTTGACCAGCTTTGCCACAGTCTCGGCGAGATCATTGTCGTAGTCGGGTGTGCTCTGGTCGGCAAGGGCAGGGCTACCGATGAGCTGGCCTACGACTGATCCAAGATTGAGAAATTCAATCAATTGTATCTTATCCGCAGGCCCCATCTTCTTGCTCACAATTTCGGAGAACGTATCGATTGCAGCGTCCCGTGCGCGTCCTTCAGGGGTTTCCGGGGACGATATGCCTTGTTGGCCTGCCATTTGTAGAAAGACCATGATCATGTTCTCGTTGACTACAAGCGAGATGTCGATCCAGCTGACCCAACGCCCGATGGTCCTCAGACACATCTCTATCAAGCCCAAGTCGGTCTCCCTCCATTTTGCCAGTATTTCTTGCCACGATAATGATATCTTCTGAGCATCGCGTTGGCGGATCAAATCTTTGAGCTCTGTGTTGCGTTTCTTCTCGTCCTCTGGTCTCGCCACCAGGACATCTGCTATCTCGTCATGTACTTGGGCCAGCAGGCGAAGGTAAAGCAAAGTTGATGTGTAATTGACACTGCCGATGGTAGCTTGGTCGCCGGCGAGCGCACGAAAGTCGTCGAAGAAGGACTGCCATGAAGACGGGTAAAGAGCCACGAAAAGATAGGTGATGGTCTGCATCAGCTTATTCTGTATGTGGCCCGCATCCGCCGAAGCGCTCCCAGCTGCATACGTCTGCCGGATGTAATTCATCAGAGTGTCCTTGATGTAGGACAAGCTCTGGTCATCTAGGCGATTCTCCTGCATGGCATTGTTTACGAGGTCGAGCGAGGTATGGCGAGTTATCTCAGGCGCGCGAGGCTCACGCGTGAATAGTGTGAGGCCCGCCTGCCATGCTGAACCCTCGGTGCGCAGCTGGTTGAGGTATTCTATGGCCTGCCCGCGCAGTTGCTGGCTCGAGGTGGGGTCGGAGGCGATTTGGATCGCATTTTCGACCTGGCAGAGTAAACAGTCAGAGTGGTCCAAGACCGCGGGGCATACAGCGCCTACCTGGGCTTCCATGTCCCCCACCGTCTTAGAAGGAAATCGATCTCAGTGTTTTGGTCGGGTGCCACAGGTTTTAAACAGGTAAAGCAGCTGAGACAGTTGTGAGTTGTTGTTTTCTTTGAGCTACCGGGCCATAGGCGAAAGCGCTGTCTGCATCGTAAAGGTGTGACGGGCGGTGGAAGCGGAGCGCGGGGCAGAAGGGCTGCCTTGGTGGGGTGAAATAATCGCGTCGCTGGTGGACGAGGATCTCTGGCAGGTAGGGGCGGTTGCAACAGTCACCGAGAGCAGATTCAAAGTCGTGGTCTTTGTTCGCGTGACGTGGTTTGGGTTGGGTGACCGCGCAATGAATCAATTGTGTGCGGTTAGGTTAGACCGGGCGGTGGAACCCAACCGTCGACGCGCGCACGTGCCAGTCGAATTTACGCAAAGTGCCGACTTTGCAAGTCCATCCTGGATCGTCTTTGGTTGTTCACATTGGTTGACGACTTTGACAGAGTGCATTAGCATTGCCAAAAAGAACTCCCAGATCTGAAGCGGGCCCAGTCGTGTGCGCCTAACGTACAAAACTAGACCGAAATTTGAGTACACTGTGTTATCCCATACATAGGTAATGCAGGGCGAATATACCAGCTGCGAGGAAAGATTGGCTCATTCACGATATGCAAGCTGTGGGCAATAGCTTATGTATGTTGGTAGAGTCAAAATCGAATTCTAATAACGCGTTCTTTCCGCTGCATGGATTCGTGTAAGACCTGAAATATTTTACATAAACCTTGGCCATCAGCGACGATTGATCGCCTGCTCAAAGCTTTGCCTTCGCTACTGAGTCGCTTCTGTAGCGGTTACTAACTAAAATTCCTGTGCGTGCAGTCAACCTACTAGACTCCCAAGTGCTTCGCCGCCCATGCAACGTGATCGTCTGCAAATGTGGCCATGAAATAGTAGCTGTGATCGTAATCGGGTTGCAATCGCAGGTTGATGCCCTTGTCATTGCCAGCCTCCTTAGCCGCCTCAATGAAGTTTTCGGGAAGAAGTTGCTTTTGCTTGTAGAAGTTGTCGCCAGTACCCTGAGCTTGTTAAGCATGCATCTTATGTGCACAAATTCAGCACATGGTAACGTACCACGTCAATGAGGATATCCAGTGGGCCTTTCCACTGTTTCACCAGCTCGGTTGCGTCGTGCTCCTTCCACTTCTGCTGCTGGTCCTCGCCAAAATAGCCCTTGAATGCTTTCTGTCCCCAGGGGGCGTTGATAGGGTTCGCTATGGGTGCGAATGCGGAGACCGACTTATACATTCCAGGGTTCTTGAGGAACTATTTTTTTGTCAGCTCGATCAAGCATTGTCATAATTGACATACAAGTGTAAGGGCACCGTGGCCACCCATGCTGTGGCCAGTGATGCTAATCCGGCTGCCGTCGAGCTCCTTGAAGTGTGCGAACAAAGCTTCTGGGAGCTCCTTGGTGATATACGAGTACATGTTGTAGCCCTTGTTCCACGGCTCCTTGGTTGCGTCGACGTAGAAACCGGCACCAGAACCAAAATCGTACGCGTCGTCCTCACCCTCGATTTTCAGACCTCCTGTTTTGTGTATTTAGATTGGCAAAAAGTTAAAGCTATCTGCATGCTTAACATACTGGGGCTAGTGTCAGGGTACACAACAGCAAGGCCCTTCTGACTGGCACCGTGCTGGAAGAAGCCCTTCTCGGAGCAATTGTCACCGGTGCATGTCAAGCCAGACAGATAAAACAGCACGGGAACCTTGGCGCCCGACTTCAGAGCTTGTGGCGGAAGGTAAAGGTTTAGGGCCATGTCTGTTCCTGTGCTAGACGACTGATGCTTCAGCTTTAACAGCTTGCCTCCAAAAGAGGCAATGGTTGCGGTGGTTTCGAAAGACATGGTGACAGCCGAACGGAGTGCGCGATAGAGATACGTGATGGCGGTAGAGGGGTGGTTGGTGCGATGCAGACGCGATTTGGGGCGCGGTCTGGTTTTGTTTCGGGGGTAGCTGTGACGTTGGGAGCTCCAATGTTAGACGCGGGGCATCTTTCCCCTCTGCTCGAACCCCACCATGACTTAATTGGGGTAAGTGATCCATCACTCAAAGCAATCGGATCCGCTTCTAGGCCCGCTATGCACCAAAGAAGTGTGTACATTCGGTCTTCACTCGGAGGGTATGTGTTAATGATCAATGTTGCGCCGTTCGCCGAGCATGCCCCGGTTTACCTCCCTGGAAACTCCACGCCAAATGCAATCCGCAGCTCGGCCCACCCACAGTTCTACGACGTGAGGTTGATACCATGTATTACCCCAGCATACGCTATGCAAATACCGACATTGCTACTTTATCGTGGCACCGCATTCGTCGTGTCTCTACCTCTATGTCAGGAGTTCCTCGCACGTCCAGTCCTCATAGCTATGTTGTATTAGTGCATTTCTCGCGCAGATGTGGCAGGAACTTACAAGCCATCGGGGAGATATCGCCGCACCACCAAAGGAATCTTCTTCTCGCGCAGTTCTTTCTGAGCAATCTCAAGAGGATCCGTCATGCCCTCTACATCAATGAGGACGGGCGCGTTACCGCTAAATTGTGTCAGCTGCAGTCCTTGCCAATTCTATAGCAGCTTCCGCACCTGATCTGCAGGGCGCGCGTTCCCAGTATGCGCGCCTTCTCGTACTTGGTCATGTACGGAGTCGTTGAGCGTTGGTCGTTGGGCACTTTCTTGGACTTTTCCGCCGCCACAGTGTTCTTTGCTTTGGCTGCCGCAGCCGCGCTCGGGTCACCGCTCTCTACAATGTTGTCCCCGTCGTGCTCTCTTTCTGGGTCTTCTTCCTGGCCCTCGCCGTCCGCGCCATCGTCGTCGTAAACATCAGGCTCTGCCTCATCGTCGTAAACGTCTATGCCACCACTAGTGAAGCAGTCAGTCAGATTTCCCTTTACGTATGCGTGCCTTGCTTGGGTCAAGGTCCGGAAAGGTCGTACTCGTTGAAGCCTCCCTCATCATATCCGTCGTCGCCGCCTCCGTAGTCAGACATGGTCGCAAGGGTGTAGACTTATGCGCTCGAGTGCACCTCGGTTCCGTGGCGGAGTTTGGGATCGTTGATCTGCGCGGAGAGGGATAAGTGTGACTTCAATGCACTATGAATGCCTCGAACAAAGATTCGCGAAGCACGGGCCTAAAACTCTGGGAAGCTGCGCGCGACCAAACCACGCTAGCATCAATGCCAAGATTTGTCTCCACTGAATTTTGTAGCCGGCCGCTCGACTTGTTCGCCGTTCCCGAGTGCCATATGACAGTCAGTCCCGCACGGCAATGGCGGCCAAACGCAAAGTTGCAGACTCGAGGGATGCTCCTCTGAGCAAAAAGACTCGCATTGGTACTCTCTTTGTTCCTTCCATCCTGTGACGCCCACTGACAGTTCTTTAGCAACCGGAAGCAGTGAGTCCACCAACGTTTCCGACTTCGAAGACGACTCTAGCGCGGGCTTCGATGCTTCCGCAGACCGCAAGGTCAACTACACAGAGAATGGCAAGAAACGAGCGGATAGCGAGGCGAAGAGGTCATGGAACTATGTCTGTGATTTCGAAGGCTGTGGCCAACGCTTCAACCGGCCCTGCCGTCTCGAATCCCACATGCGCACCCATACGAAAGAGCGCCCGTTTGCCTGCCCCCACGAAGGCTGCGATCGTGATTTCCCTCGCAAGGACCATCTCCAGAGACACTTGACCCACTTCCACGCTGTGCCCGAACGCAAATTCGCATGTGACTGGGAAGGATGCGGCAAAACCTTCACGTCCAATGGCCGGCTGCAGCGACACAAGGAGGTGCACGACTCCAAGTTCTATTGCACAGGCTATGCACCCTGCAAGGAGATTTTTCGAAAGCAAAAGACTCTCGACGCGCACATCAAGACGGTGCACCTGGAGACGAAGGCATATCCATGCACTGTAGTGGACGACTCAGGAATCTTATGCCCGCATGGCTATCAAACTGAGAACGGACTCCGGCGACACATGGCTAGCGCTCACACCAAAATGGAGGAGCCTAGTCATTTCTGCATGCTCTGTCCCACGCCCGGCACTGATTGCGAAACGATCACGTCTGCCACAGGCGAGACGGCATCTGTCCCAACAGAGCCATTGTCCTTCTCCACTGAAGTTGAATTGCAAGCCCACAACAGGGAAGTTCACCCACCGACCTGCCCCACTTGCGGTCAGGTATTCAGTAACCAGTCGAACGTGAACAGCCACATGAAAGCAGTGCACACGAGCCAAGGAGAGCAGCAGCTATTCCAGTGCCCATATCAAGAGTGTGGCAAGATGTTCAACCGGAGAGGCAATTTGAACGCACATGTCTCCCAAGTTCACGAGAACCAATATCGCTTCGCCTGCACCGCAGAGGCTATGCAGCAGTCTAAGCACCCCGATCTGAGTGGCTGGAATGGCGAGAATGCATGCGGTAAGCTGTCGAAGACCAAAGCCGCACTGGAGCAGCACATCCGGACGCACCACCTGGGTCTTCCCAACCGCAAGGCCACCCGAAAGGCTGCAAAGGGACGAAAACGCTTTATCCCCGAGCCTTCCACGCTCACCCTGCTCACTGGCGTGGGATACGACGATGGCCGGCCCATTACCTGCCTAGTCAACGGCTGCCCCAGTCGATTCGCACGCGATCGCGACCTGAAGCGACACGTAGTGGCTGAGCACAGCTACACGGACGCTGAGTGCGAAGCTGCCATCCTGGAACGCGGAGCCGCGCGCGGCGAACAATTCTGGATCGGTGGTCTCGACGACTTCGACCCCGTCTCCATGAGCGGATCTACCGAGCCTAGTGTGCCGCAGACGCCGATGCCATACTTCGGTAACCCGGCCATGGATACGGATATGCAAGGTGGATATGGCAATGTCAGTGAGGCCCCGTTCGATCCAATGCTTATGGATCCGAACCTGATCGGCTTCGACAACATGGACGTGGATATGAATGGGGTCGCAGCTGAGGGCGATGGCACCAAAGACCCAATATTGGAGTTTTTGGCGTCCGTTCAACCCTACAATGACCAAATGCAGGGCTGAACAGTCCTGCATGCAAGTACTTGTCACCTTGAAATACAGTACCAGGACAAAAGTCTGAGCATAATCAGCCTACGTATCACCTACCCTGCGATATCACGCTGTACGCGGCGCTGTTGTACTGGCGCTGTAGCGACACGATACAGACGCTCATAGCGAGCCCTTTCACGCGTATATGACCTAACGGAGTAATGGATATGAATGGCTTTTCTTCACGTAAAAGGCGCGTCGGTGTTGTCTATGGAATATTCTGGCACTCTAGATACCCACGGTAGCGAATATTGCAAAAAGTTTCTCAGTCTCGTTTCGTTCCCTCGCCAAATGCGTTCTCCATTGCTATGCCAAACCCGCTAAAAAAAAAACAGTAACAATACAATCCAACCATCGAAGAGTTCACATCCGACAAGCCCACTGCTTACCCCTGAAGCCCCAACCCCACCCCAACACTCTGCACCTCACCCTCATGCTCGCCCTCATCCTCATCGTCGCCCACATAATCTTCCAGCCCTGGATCATCGCCTGCCTCATCCCCGCCACCATCGTACCGCTTCCCAGCATCGCCAAAATCAGCCAAAGCCCCACCATCGTCAGAATCGTCATCTACAAAAACGCGACTCTGTCTCCGGATCTCCTTGAGGAGACTGCCGCTCCGACTGGGCGACGAGGAGCCGGAGGGCCGCAGTACGTGCTGCGACGGGCGAAGCTCGATCATCGAGTTAGGACGGAAATTGGCGTGCGGCGAGGGCGCGGGCGGGGAGATGGAGCGCTTGTTGCGGGGACCGGAACGCAATCTGGAAGACGAGGGAGAACTCGGTGCGTTGACGTCTCGGGGGGAGAGGGAAGACCACCAGCCCGAGAGGCGCTTGCCGAGGGATGGACTTCCGGGTATCGCGGGGTTTCCTGAGCTCGGATCCGTCTTGGTATCTAGGTGTGGCGGCGCTTGCTTCTGCTTGGTCGAGAAAGAAAAACCGAGGGGGAGGTCGACGGGCGTGCCCGGGCGCGAGGGCGCGGCGCTGGAAGAGGATTCAGAGCCGGAGAGGGGGTATGGTGCGACGTTTCCTGACGGGTCTTTCTGTGAGCGCTTGAGGAGGCTTTGGAGGTCATCTTCGGAGAGGACTGATACAAAGCCACCATCATGGCCGCTTCTGGGACGGAACTGCCGGCGACCTTGTTGGATAACGTGCTCCAATTTTGCGCGATTAGCGACAAACTTGAGCGTTGGAAACGTGCATTGCTGGCCGACATGTATCATGCGCGCCAGGCGCTCAGGCGTAGGGTCAGTTAAGATGTACATAAAGTCCGACGGAATGGTCTTTGGCCAAATGGTGATGGTACCACTGAAGCGTTGCAGCCAGATCTCGCTCCAGTCTTGTCCAAGTGGGCGGGGCAGCAACTCCAGGTGACGCAGCACCTTTAACCATTTGTGGAGGTCAAGCTTGATGTATTGCTCGAGAGCAGATCCTATGAAACCGCCACGCCAACCACGTCCTCTTCGATGCGTGACTGGCCGGCCAACGGTACCACGTGACGAGAAAAAGAAAATGTTGATGTGGGGGTTCACCTGACTGACGATGGAGAAGCGGACATTGAAGTGTAAATTGAGCGCCTTTAGAGGAATATCCGTCCGCAAACTGCCATCTTTCCACTTGTGTCCAAAAGAGTAAGGTGCCAGGGTGCCGTCCTTGTTCTTCTTCATCAATACGACAGGATTGAGAATACCGGGCACTGCTGCGCTGGCAAGCACTGCTGACCAAATCACACAATCCGGTGCTGTCAGGTAGTTTGCGAGAATCGTGGGCGAGTGTGGGTCACTCGGAACGCAGGAAACGTTGAGTATGCGACCCGTCCTCTGGTATGCTTCCTTAAAGGTCATGCTTCCTCTGGTGAACCACGCACAACGCTTCGCCCAATCGACGCTATCAAAGCGGGCCCCCGTTTGACGCCATCTCTTGAACCAGACCCAAAAGCTGTCGTGACATGCTGTGATGCGGTTTGCCAGAGCAGGGACAAGCAGCTTCTTCAGCTCATCATTGGTCCTCGTACCCAACAGACCTGCGACAAGTGCTCCTCCCGAGGTCCCTGTGATGACTTCGGGCAGGAGCCCTGCATCCAAAAGAGCTTTCGCTACACCAAAATGGTAGTAAGCGAAGGTTGCACCGCCTGAAAGACACAAGGCGGTGCGTCCGAAGTTGGTGCTCAAATGCTTGAACATGGCCCTTTTGTTTTCCTGGTTGAGCTGGGATGATTTGAGAAGAAAAGATAGCGACTTCTCCGCCTCGTCGGTGAAGTCTTGAAGAAGATTCTTGGTCCCATAGTACGACTCGGACCACAGACGGGGGTTCTCCATTCCGGCGAAGTTGTTCTTGATGCAGGCCTCTAGCAGGTTGCGCAGCTCTTCTGCGGCCTTTGTCTCGTTTGTTCCTCCCTTCTCCTCGGCCTCGGCCTTCTGCCGCAGCCTTACCATTTGCTGATGGACTCTGGATATTGTCTTGCTGTCGTAATATGCGTAGTCTGCCTTTTCTTTCCAAGCATCGTTGCCCAGATATGCGTCCAGCTCTTTGGCGCCCTTTATCCAATCCTCGTACGACTTGGCATTCTGCAGTTCGCGTCGCAAGCGCTGGCGCCGTCCGCGCCATGTGACGGACCGTTCGTAGGCATAGATGTAGAAACGCGTGAGGACGTAGGCGATGCTCAGGAAGGCAAGCCAGCCAAAGACGACGAGAAGCAGCGGGTATTTGAGCACCTCGTAGAAGATGCCCTCGCGTGTCTCATCCTTGCCGCGGCGCGGGGGCTTCTTGTTGTGTTTCTTTCGCTTCCTCACCCGCTGGTGGATGGGTCTCCAGTCGTTGAGCGCTGTGATGAATCTTTGGGGCTCGGGCTGGGGTGCCGTAAGGTCTTCGGTGGATGGCGATGTTTCGGGGGCCTGCAGCGCTCTCGCAAATTCGGCGAAGTCCTCCTCGTCTACGAAGTCGTCGTCGAAGTCGGGCAGGAGGGCCGTGTCAAAGCCGTCGGCAGAGTCGGGCTGAGGCCCGTCGGTCTCTTTCTTGTAGTCAGCCATGGGACTAGCTAGGTGGCGGGGGCTGCATCGTCGTCGCGCGTCGTTTCTGCGGTGCGGCGAGGGTTGGGCATTGGTCCCTCGCGCCGTTGGTGAGGGACGACGTCACCGGTGGTACCTACCCAGCCGGCGCTCGTGCCTTCGCCGACGCTCAGGGTCCACACCACTTTCACGCGTCTGCTCCGAGACTGCAGCACATGCACAGTCGCCTCGTCCGCCGTCACATCGACCGACCATCCGCGCATGTGAGCTGATGCGCATACACCTGCCTGCAGCCCATGGCGTCTTCCGCCCAACCTTCGCCGTTCCATCGCAACCGCGTCTGGTGACGCTCGCTATTGAGACATCCTGTGATGACACGAGTGTGGCCGTCCTGGAAACAAGGACGCTGGGCAGACCCATCACCACCGCAGCGAAGCTGCACTTCCACGAGAAAGTGACGTCCAACAATGCTGCCTTCAACGGCGTCCATCCGCTCGCCGCGCTCGAGTCGCATCAGGAGAATCTCGCAAACCTGGTGGCCAAGGCGATCAAGACGCTGCCTGGCAAGAACGGGCATCCCGATTTTGTTTCAGTCACACGGGGCCCAGGCATGCGCTCAAACCTGTTCACCGGACTCGATACAGCAAAGGGCCTCGCTGCGGCTTGGAAGGCGAGTAGCGGTGCTGGAACCACGCCGAGGCACTGACGCTCATATTGTGCAGATACCTCTTGTCGGCGTCCACCATATGCAAGCCCATGCGCTAACACCACGCTTGGTGGCGGCCCTCGATGCTTTTGAAAATCCCGCGCAAGCTTGGGAGGACTCGCCTGGTGTTTCTCACGGAGAGATTGCCGTCGCGCCCAAGTTCCCGTTCTTGTCCGTTCTTGCCTCCGGCGGCCATACTCTCCTGATACATTCAGCTGCTCTTACAAGACATGAGGTGTTAGCAAGCACGAGCGACGTTGCGGTGGGAGAGTGTTTGGACAAAATAGCACGCATTGTGCTTCCGCCCGATGTGTTGGAAGATGCCAGCAATACCATGTACGGTGCGCTCTTGGAGCGATTCGCCTTTCCTTCAGGCAAAGCTGCGCAACCAGCTTCGTCCGACCCCAGAAGCGCCAGCGAGTACTGTCATGATGCAGCGTCGCGCTACGATTACCGAGTTCCAAAGAATCACGAAGAAGAATTGCAACGGAACGTGTCTAGGTGGGGATGGGCCTTCAATCAGCCACTTGCCAAAGCAGGCGGCGGGACGAAGAACAAGAGCTTGGAAATGAGCTTCTCTGGGCTGATGACCGCTGTCGAACGCGCTGTTCGGTATGAGCACCATCAGTCGACCGGCAAGTTGACCAAAATAGAACGTTCAGCTCAAGCCATCAGCCGGGAGGAACGACGAGACATGGCCGAGTTCTCCATGCGCGCAGCATTCGAGCATATCGCCGCACGGGTTGTACTTGCTCTGCAGTCCACCCCAGCAGAGTCTGTTATTGTGGCTGGTGGTGTGGGCGCCAACTTTTACTTTCGCTACGTGCTCGCGTGTAAACTTGTTGCACACGGGTATGGCGACGTGCGACTGGTCGTACCTCCGCCACACCTTTGCTCGGACAACGCGGCGATGATTGCTTGGACCGGTACCGAGATGTTTCGCGCCGGACACCGGGACAATTTCAACATTCGCGCTATACGCAAGTGGCCACTCGATATGCTGCTGTCCCCACCTGTTGAATGGACTACTTGAGCCACGCTCCGGGGCGAATCCGTACCTGAAAACCTTGTGGATGCGATCACAGTGGCCGATACAAAAAACTGGATCTTGCGGAGCGGACCTAATCCTGTCGCAACTCACTCTACTATACATTTTTAAAAGTATACCTCAATGATGTAGCGTGAGTGTTGACAACAAAGGCTTACTACAGGAAGTCCAGTTTCATGGTCAGCCACCGTGGATCACTCCCAGGTAGGTTTCATATCCGCACTATGAGTAGCACGCGGCCTGGTAGTAGGTAGGGGATGTCGATCAACCCTATTTGACAATCAGTGACTACCCTCCATTCACCATATGTCGCCATCATCCACGACGTTTGCCTACAGTACTGAGTCATGTTGGCCTCCGTATTGCCTACCCTGGGATATCACACTGTACTGAGACTTTTGTCTTAGTACTGCGTCTTCTTCGTGAAGCCAAGCCAGTACATGCGAGGCTGGATCATACGATGGTCCACTCGGGGGCTGATAAAACCTGGTCCTGTCAAGGCGAGCCTGCGAACACTTTCAGGAATCGACTGCAGTCGCAGTCACTGGTCTTCACCTGGTGCCAACCTGATTCGGAAACAGGTCCCATGGAATAACGTCTATCGCAGGGGTCGTAAGTAAAGATACGAACGATATGCCGGTTGGGGCAACTGTACGCCGTTGCGAAACTTTCTCCGACTAGGAGATAGCCGAAGACGATCCTTAAGGAGTTCTAGATCGTTCTCCGAAAAACATTGAAAGTTGTAGATACTCGGATGCAGCGCAGGCTTCGATCTGGCCCTGCATCTCGCCAACGATTTACCCATGTCACGACAGTTCGGCTGCAGCCGGGTCGCTCGCGCGGCCTCATCAAATATCCAGCAATTTACATATACAACCAGTACTCTATTTTCCCAGTATTCGTGTCCATTACGTCGAATCACTTTCTTATTTAGTTTCAGTCGTCGGGACGCAACACTAAATATAGGTCTTCTAATCAAGAGAGGAGCAAGCATCATCGTGGTCCCCATCCAGCAAGCTTTCTTGGGGTGCAGCTTGAGATGCACGGTTGGACCTAGAACCAGGAACAGAAACCGCTTGCCTCTGCATGGACTGAAATGCCAATTTTTCATATGTGGCACGTGAAGGAAAGCCCGGAGAGACGCAACTGAGTTGGACGTTTCGTATCTTTCATTTGGTGTATAGTACTTGGGTTGTGTGACCTGGAGAATCTTGAGTGATGGCCGTGGTCGAACGTCATATAACAACAACGACTCTCGCTGTTTTGAGTGCACGTAGATCAGCGCCTGCTTTCGACTAGGATAGCAAGTTGATACACGATGGCGCCTTCGCGGAACACCGTGCTTGCTTTGCTCGGTCTTGTTGCGAGGTAAGTCGACTCAGAAAGACGTGAGATCGTCACTGACTTAAGAAGCATACAAGCAATTCCGGCTGCCTTGCCTGAAGCGCAGTTTGGCATCGGCCCGCCACATTATTCGATCAGCTGGGACGCTCCACTGCCTGTGGCGACCGATGATCCAGAAGACCCAGAAGAACCTGAGTACCCTGCGCCGACGCCCAGCGACCAGATCTCTCTTGGCCAACCATCGGCTACCATCAGCTGGGACGGGCCATCAGTTCCAACTGAGGATCCTGAGCCTGAGTACCCAGAAGACCCGGAAGACCCTGAAGAGCCTCTGCCGTCACCATCGGACATCATCAGTCTGAACCCGCCGACCTACTCCATCTCGTGGGATGGACCTCAACCGCCTAAGACAACCAGAAACCCATGGCCACAGTGGCCACCTCGACCTTCGCACAAGACATCAACCAAGAAGACCTCATCTAAAGGCTATGTCAGTGCTACGGTTAGCTGGGCCCAAAAAGACTCTCAGACTCAGCCTAGCGATGTCATCAGTCTCAATCCTCCCACCTACTCGATCTCTTGGGATGGACCTACGCCGCCGAAGACTACACAAAAGCCATCGCCACCAAAGCCTACGAAGAAGCCATGGCCTCCCAGACCTACAGCTAAGACTTCTACCAACGGCTATGTAAGTGCTTCCGTTAGTTGGGGCAAGAGGGACGATGGTCCATCCTACTCCATCTCCTGGGATCCTCAACCACCGGCGACTACCAGGAAGCCGTGGCCGTGGTGGCCCCCGGCTTGGACCTCGACAAAAGGCTATGTCAGCGCATCTGTTAGCTGGGGCAAGCGACAGGAAGGCGAGGACCCGGAACCCACGGATTTCCCGAGCTTCCCAGATGATCCAGAAGACCCAGAAGATCCCGAAAATCCCATCAGCTTCCCTGCTGGGCCTCTGCCCACACCTTCAGACGTCATCAGCATCCAACCTCCGCAAGTCTCGTTCAGCTGGGGCAAGAGGCAAGAGGAGGAGCCTGAACCTACCGATTTCCCCGAACCAGAGAACCCAGAAGATCCCGACAGTCCTATCGGCTTCCCGGGTGCTCCCGCACCCACACCCCCAAACTCTATCGGTATCCAGCCTCCTCAGGTCTCCTTCAGCTGGGGAAAGCGTGAAGCTGCTGCTACTGCGCCGTCATATAGCCTTGGAAAGCCCACTGCTTCAGTCAAGCCGCCAAAGACCTCGAAGTCGTCGAAGTCGCCAAAGCCACCGAAAACCACTAGCCAAGCATGGATCTCGTGGGGCAAGCGACAAGAGGACAACGGTCCTACGGAAGTCTTTCCCCCTGCGCCGACCCCAAGCGACCAGATCACCTTCGTTCCGCCCACTGCGTCGCTCTCTTGGGGAAAACGCGACGCTGAAGCGCAGCTGCCCACGTACGGCCTCGGCTTCCCAAGCTTCTCCTTTGGCTTGCCGCCGGTCGCGCCTTCCTCTGCATACGTCAGCTGGGGTAAGCGCGACGACGACAAGAAACACCCCACGACTCTCGTGACACACAAGACTCGCCCGACGCTCACTGTCACGGACCATATCCCGACGTCCAGCGCATGCCCCACCGTCACGAAGACAATCGTGCCGCCGTGCGTGCCGCCTACGTGTCCTTATAACTTGGTGAGCTGCAAGGTAGGCGAGGCGCAGGAGGTGGAGGTCAGGGCGATTGAGAAGACGATTGTCACGATCACGACGGTTGCGAAGCCGAGCCTGAAGCCGACGGCTACGAGGAGCGTGTGCACGACGAGCACGGTGGTTGTGAATGTGGGTTGTCCGACGTACACTTGCGTCCCCGGGGGAGAGTGCAACTAGGAGTTTCTTTTAGCTTTACTGTAGCTTGTCAATAGTCACGCTCGCTGGAAGGTCAATATCCATCAGATTTTCTTGTTCAATACTGGTTGACCGTGTGTACATTGCAATCGCGTCTGACTGACTAACCCTCGCGGCAGAAAGATCAAGCTACAAGCTACAAGCTAATAATAGTACAACATTCGATAGACCACTGCAACAACCCCGACAGATCCCGCTACTCATTACCCGGAAACAACAGCCGCACATCGTGGAAAACATTGCGTTGGGTAGACAGGGTATTAGTTTAGCCTGCATGGCCGCGAGCCGAAAATGACAGGGGGACAACCATTTTCTAGAACACCGGCGGTGTTGCCTGTTTTTCTACGAAGCCAGAGTGAATGTGTGAAGCGAGGGACCGGTTACGAGGCCTCGCTCTTTGGGGTGACGGTGCGGCGCTCGAGCTTCTTGGGCTTCTTCTTGGGCTTGGGGGTGTCCTCTGGCTTCTCTTCATCTGCTTTGGGTGGCTTGTCTGGCTTTGCTTCTTCCACTTTGGCAGTTCCTTTCGGCTCGGCCTCTTCCACTTTTGGCGCGGCATCCTCTGACTTCTTCTGCTGTTTAGGAAGAGCCTTGCGCTTCACTTCCTTCTCCTTGGGGGCCTCCTCGGTCAGGTCCGACTCGGGCGGGTCGTCGTTATCGCTAGGTGCCCTCTCGGCCGACTTCTTCACCGCAGCAGGCTTCTTGGGTCCGCCTTTCAGGCCCGGCATACCCTTTGGCTTCTCCTCCGGCTCCTTCTTGTCTTCTTTCTTTTCGTCCTTCTTTGTGTCCAGCTTCTTCGCAGCAGAATTCTTGCTCTTGACCGACGACGTAGAAGCGGAGGGATCCTCCTCAGGCTCTTCAACCATGAAGTTGGCTGCCATGCACCTCCCTCCGTTCTGTTGTCCCAGCTCGTTCGGGCAAGCGCTTAGCACGACGACGATGTCGCGCTCGGCGCGGAAACGAACGTAGCTCCGCTTCTTGCTCATAGGCTTTTCGACTGAGAGCTTTGCCCCCTTTGCACCTGCGCCTTCGGATTGTGCGCTCGAATCGATTTCTATGGGCGTGTTCATGAAGAGGTGCAAAGGTGTAGGAGCGATGTTGACCGTGATGTCTGCGCCAATAGCCTTCGTGCCTTTGAGGCCCGCCTTTTCGTTGAGCTCTTTGAGTGCGAGAACCAGGTTCTCGGCGCAGCTGCCATGCTCTTCGGGCTTATCGACGCCGAGCGCGGCGTACATGTTCGCGTCGCAGGCGGCGGTCAAGGTGTCATGCGCACCAGGCGAAGTGTCTTCTACGAGCGTCATGAGGGGATTGCGGAGGTTGGTCAAGAGCGTGTCATTGAGTTCAGGGACGAGGCGGTATGTCGCGGCGCGGGTGTGAGGGAGCGACAAGTACTCCATGGGGGGTTGATCGTTCTTTGAAGGGCTTATCTGGGTGTAGGCGTTGTAGGCAGCGTAAAGAGATGACGCTGTTCCGGATCCGCTGGCGACTAGATGATGCAAAGTCAGTCTTGTATTGCTAAAGACAAATATGAAGGAGGGAATGTAAGCATACCAGCCAAAGTACCAGCACCAACGGGAGTCTTTGAGAAATCATACAGTTGCTCCGCGTAGCTCTTGTTCGGGTCCCAGCTGTTGCTCGATTTGAACGCGCTCACGACGCCTTGGGTATCTGGCATCTTCACGTTGGGCACGTAGCTGGAGAATCCCTTACCGGTAGGGAGATATGATGACCACTTCTTCGACGTTTCCTCATTCTGTGCTTTCTCGGCCTTTTCTTCTTGCTGTGCCTGAGCATCGGTCTTGTTCTGGCCCTGAGCTTGACCCTTGTTGCGGTAGGGGATGGAGGGCAGGTAGGAAGACCATGTTCGCTTCTCTGGCTTCTTCCCGTCGGACCTTTCGTTCTCAGGTGTATCGGGCGCTTGCTCGGGAGGGTCGTCTGCGCCCTCCCCATCCTTGGTCGCAGGATTGTCGGACTGCTCTTCCTCGGGGGGGCCTTCTTCTTTGGTTGCTTCTGGACCCTCATCACTGACCTTGGTAGCATCTTCCTCTGCGGTTTTGTCATTCGCTCCCTCTTCTTTCGGCACCTCATTTTTTCCTTCTTCTTTGCTCAACTCCTTCTTCAAATAATCCACCTTCCCCTCAAGTTCTTCCTCTTCCTCATCATTATCGCCCTCCTCTGGCGGAGCAGCTAACCCGAACGCCCACGTACTGACCACCTGCTGGCCATACGTGTTTATAATCTTGATCGTCCTGCCTCTCGGCACAAACGTAGCAACACCATGTCGCGCCGGTATCGTCTGAAGTTCGCCCGACATATCTTGCGCCGCGAAGTCGCTCTCTTGTTCCCGGTCTGCTTTCGCCTTGCGCTGCTTCTCGATAGCGGAAAGCACAGTAACGAGGGCGAGGGAAGCGACGGCGCGGCGGTTGGGCAGCTGGAACTTTGGGGGCGCCGTTTTGGCGATTACAGTGGGAAAATGTTCTGTACGGATCGACTTGATTCGTGAGGTTTTGCAAGTGGATCAGATATGATTAGCACAAGGATACAATCGTGGAGTAGATGGTTGCAGTAGTAATGCGAACAGATATGGTATGCAGAGAGCTACAGTTGCAGGCTTTGTCCACGGCGTATGACGTAGGAGATGTCGCGGCATGGAGAACGGAACATGCCTGGACCAACCGCTCTGCTGCGGGAATGCATGGAAACGCTGCCTAGTCCAAACGATCGTCATATGTTGCTGTGGCGGGTTACGCCAGTGGTTAGCGTCATGGTGCAGCATGGTCGCTGCCCAGGTTCCCGGTTTTGGACTCGGTCACGTGCACGAACGTTCTCACCTTCCAGCATTGCTAGCAGTCCTCGAAAAGCTTCGAAATGGTGGGCCTTTAACTTTGCCTCTCGAATCGAAGGAGATGCCTTCTTCCTTCAGCAGTTCGTGCTTGCGGTCAGCAAATTTGCCTTCCTCGCCCCAATGACCGCCGAATCCACCAAGCGTACCATCTGCTGCCAAGATACGATGGCAGGGAACTTCAGGAGCGAAAGGATTGTTCCTCATTGCATTTCCGACTGCTCGTGCGCAAGTCTTGTGCGAAGTATTCGTGATGTAATCGGACATTGCTTGATACGTGCTGTACCTGCCTCGGGGTATCTGGCAGAGCATACTCAGTATTTGCTTGCGAAAAGGCGTAAGTTTTGAATCGGCTATCCTTTTCAACTGTACGTCTATTTCCAAGTCCTGAGCTGTGACAAGAGTCTCATCCGGGGGAATTTCCTTCTTTGGCAATGCTGGAGATGGAAGGAAGTACGTGGAGATATTGCTACTCTCACTTCTTTTAGTTTTCTTATCGGCGGCGTCATCCTGAGCAATTACTTTACGCTTTCTCCCAGGACCGCTCTTGCCGCGAAGCTTGAGACTCCGTTCGTTGAGTGGATTGATGTCTTCACTGCCATCAGCAATCGATTCGCCGAGCTTGATCGCATCCTTCAGCTGTTGCTCTGACATGTGCTTGATAGCGGGAGACTTGACGACTTCCGTCCATGGTTTGTCTTTTCCCACAGCGTTATCCATTATGATGCGCGCGAAACAGTGGTCGAGGTGGATTGGCCAATTCTGCTTCTCGTCTTTGGCTTTCGCCATCGCTGGTAGTTCCTGAGCGTATAACGTCTTCCATTTCTGCCGCAGTTCTTCCATCCCGCCCCTGGCTAGCTGGTGAATTCAATGTTCCGTTTACCGTTGTGAAGACACAAGGAGGTCGAGTAATTGTAGTGGGTGGTACCACTCATTGTTCGACATTGATGTCATACATCTAAGCTTTGACCACCGTTGACCAAACCCAAAGCGTTCCAAACCAAACGTTTACGAGATACAAAGGCAGAGCGACCGAACTACTTCATAACCTGCTTTCTTCTGGATAAATGCCTTTTGGCTTTTCAAGTGGCCATTTGCACCGCTCACAGTCCATCTTGAACTTCTCGATGCCTCGATCATCTTCCAAGTACCTCAAAAAGGAGTAGTATCATCTAGTGGGTTCATACAGGATAAGGCATTGCAGAAGTCTAGGTTTTTGTGTCAGCACATGTGCTCATACAATCGAAGCGCTGACCTGTCTGCATGCGAGACGATGCCCGCACTCCGAAAAGGCATTCTGACATCGGTGCTTAATCGTTCGAACAGTGCTCCTGTGGTTAGGCCCGTAGGTAGCGGCATTCGTTGCTCCATAGATATAGTCTCGCCGATGGAATTGGTTCGTATGCTACACCCAGAAAGTTAAATTACCGTTCAGATCCAAAACAGATCGATCGGAGAACAGCACGATTACACAACGACGTGTGAGTGGAGGAACGGTGGAGTTCGCTGAGATTGTGGACCTAAACTTTTCGAGAACAGAAGCCTCGTTAATCCATTTTAGGCAGGCGGCCTCGAAGCAAGAGCTGACTCTACACTAGGTAATGAAGAGTGGTTGTCTGGTAAAGTGAGATAGCAAGAGCTTAGTGACACCCCCGACCTTCCTTACTGTGGGGATGGATGAGTGACGTGGTGTTGAGGTCCGTCGACAGCGGGGCGGCGCGGAGTGTGAGGGCGTACCAAATCACATGCCTCTGTATACTCACATGGGCCACCAGACCTGGACGCCGAACTCTGCACGGGGGAAGATGGTACGTCGAAGAGCACCTGCTCATTATGTCCAGCGTTGCCTGCCGTTTGTGGTTCTCCGCCATCGCTCCCTAGTCGCGACTGCACGGCGTGCAAAAATAAAGGCACGCGATTGGCCGAAGTGTCATATTACTTTACAGCGCAATATGTTATCACCACACCCGCATAGATAGAGGCACAACCTCTATTGCGTTCACTCTCTGATGTTCCTCATTCCTATTACGCCGCATTGTTCCCGTCAGTTGTTCGATTATTCCGTGAGACCTGTCGCCGACTTCACTTCTGTCTACCCGTGTCGGCCCGCTATGAATCTGGCCTTTCCTGACTACATTGCTCTCTGATGGGGCATTCTTGCAAAGGATAGTTTAGTGCCAACGTCGATCGTTGTGTATCGCGTGCCACAGGAGTGAGACACCTGCTCCACGTGCCCGAACGTTCACACATCTCCCAGCATAGCTGCAGCTCTTCTTGGTGTAGGTTACATCCATACATTTCTGTTCCACTTACTTTACAGCAGGCTAATACCTGATGATCCTAGTACAGCAAGGTTATCTTGCCGTTGTCGGACACGGCAAGTCACTCAAGACACCGTCAGCATTCCTAGTCGTGTATCACGTCAATCGCTCCAGTCTTATAACTTGCAGCTTTTTCCATTCCACTGTCAGTTGTTCCCGAATACCTGGATGCCAGTCTCATAACGGTCGTTCTTACATTCGACGAACCACTGCTGTACGCCATCAACGCGAAACCAACTCATTGGACAGACACAACTAGACATTCTGGATCACTTGGAATGGACCACACGTCGGCGTTAAAATAGCTTTCGTTTGTTACTCGACATTATACCTCACGACCGGCTCATAGACTTTCGTTTGCACGAGCGACCTCGGTTTACACCCAGCTTTTCGAAGAGGAACTCCAGACGGACGTTAGAATTCCACCCCAATCGATATTTTTGAAGAATCAAAGACTTCCATATTTCCGAAGCTCTCTCACTACCAAAGCCGTACCAGGCTATTGTGGGTCCAGTGCCAAGACAATTTATCCTTGCTCCTCAAACCATGTTTTCCCGCGGCTCTTCTACGTCGTTGCACCTCGTGTGCTTCACGACAACGATGCAGACCGTATTGGCGGCTGCTGGGGTCGACTTCACTCAATATGTCAATGTTTTGTACGTCTGGAGTGTCGAAAAACGATATATATGCTAACGGGTCAACAGTATGGGTTCCACCGGGGGAGGGAATCGATTTCCAGGAGTCACGGCTTGTGAGTTACCACAAGATCTTGTGTGATACCTGTGACGAATAACTGATTTGTCTGTACAGCGCCTTTTGCAATGGCGAAGCTTGGACCTGATGTTCAGTCAGGGTCCACAGACGCCTACTCTGGCTATTTGGCCAGTGGCAACGTCTGGGGCTTCTCCATGACCCATGAGTCAGGCACAGGTGGTGCACCCAAATACGGCGTCGTCTCGCAGATGCCAGCTGTTGGTAATGTATCGAACCCGTTAGCAGACCTCTCGCAGGGACGAGCGTCCGCAGACGAAGGACAGATCGGTTATTACAAGACTGTGTTAAATAACGGTGTCACGGTTGAGCTTTCGGCGACTAACCATGCTGGTCTGTATCAGTACACCTTTCCGAGCGGGAGCCCGTCCACAATTGTGGTGGACGTCTCCCACGTGCTTCCGAGCTTTCGAGGCCTTGGCTGGGAACAGCATTATACAAGAGGAAATTTCAGCTTTTCCTCTGACGGCCATTATGAGGGGTTTGGAACCTACAATAATGGCTGGAATCTTTGTAAGCCTTCTGCAATCCCGCCAGGGGATACATCGTATTTGAGCCCAACGATGTGGGAACTGACAGCTGGCAGCCCCAGATTGGACTTTGTACTTCTGTGGAAAGTTTGACCAGAAGCCAACAATCTCAAAGACCTTTACAGGAACAGGAACTATGTTGTCGTCATATGACGAAACGGCTGCGGTCTCCGGCACTGAACGCTTGGGGGGTGTCTTCACTTTCAGCAAGCCCAATTTGACTTCTAGGGTCGGTATTTCGTTCATCTCTTCGGAAAAGGCATGCCAAAATCTCGACAGTGAGATACAATCGAAGACCAAGTTGAAGTCTCTCGTGACCAAGGCAAAGAGCGCTTGGAACAGCCAGATCCTGTCCAAAATCCAAGTTGAAGGCGGGAGCGACGAAGACAGACAGCTTCTGTACAGCTCGTTGCTTGGCATGTGTGAGCAATCATAGATATCCTGATTGCAGATCGGTGCTAACGGTTGTGTTCAGTCATGATTCCTTCGAACAAGACGGGAGAAAATCCTGGATGGACAAGCAGCGAGCCGTACTACGACGACATTTTTACATTCTGGGATACTCATAGATGCCACACTGCGCTGTTTCATATTCTAGAACCTGCAGCTTACGAGGAGTTCATTCGGTCGTTGATCGATATCTGGCGACACGATGGTTTCATGCCTGATGCCCGCTCGTCCAACTTCAACGGGCGCGTCCAAGGCGGATCCAACGCCGATAATGTCCTTGCGGATGCGTACGTCAAAGGTGTCAGAGGTGCAGTCAACTGGGATGATGGATTTTCTGCCATGCAGGTGAGTCAAGTCAGGACCTCGCATGCGGGAAATTACCAGAGGCATGCTCCTCGAACAAGTCCCAGGAATGCTAACGCACCGTGCAGACCGATGCGGAGAAAACGCCACCAAACAACCACGACCCAAAGTCTCCCGAATCATCTACCAAGGAAGGTAGAGGCGCATTACCTGATTGGTTGAAATATGGGTACATTACGCCTTCATTCAACAGAGCCGTCTCTCGCGCAGTCGAATATTCGACGAACGACTTCGGACTTTACCAGGTAGCCAAAGGCTTGGGGCGAGTTGATGATGAGGCAAAGTACCTCAGCAGGTCCCGTAACTGGCGGAATCACTGGAATCCAGCTGTTTCATCGACGAACCATTCCGGATTCATGGTGCCCCGTCGTGCAGACGGTACCTTTGTTTCACAAGACCCTCTCTCCTGCGGTGGCTGCTACTGGGGCGACGCCTACTACGAAGACAACGCTTGGGTGTACAGCCTGAACGCCATCCACGATGTGTACACGATGAAGAAGTACATCGGTGGCGACGCGAAGTTTATTGACCGTATCGACAAGCTTTGGGAGCTGAACATCTTCCATGCAGGCAACGAGCCGAGCTTCACGACACCGTAAGTGAGCCACCCGGTACAAACTGGATGTGTCTTGCCTGTCGCATTAAGTTGAGACATGCGCCACCCTGTCTTAACTCACACTGACTTTGGATCCGCACCTTAGATACCTGTACAACTTCGTTCAAGGCGCTCAGTGGAGGACTGTAGAGAGAAGCCGTGGGATTGGAAAGCTCTACAACTCGGGTTCGACTGGGCTGCCTGGCAACTCGGACGCAGGCGCGATGGAGGCCAACATCCTCGTAAGTCGGACCCTCTGTTTCCAGGTGGCGTTGTGTGCACACCATCACCTGTACCACCTGTGCAGCGCGGTGTCACCGCTAGATCGTGATGTGGCAGACACTCAGGTTTTCGGATTGTAAAAACGCGGCCTTGGGACACGGCTAACCTTGCACAGTGGCAGATGATCGGTCTGTACCCCATGACAGGCCAGACCACGTTTCTCATTCTTTCTCCGTGGTTTCCTTCGCTTTCGATCAGCCTAGGAAACGGAAAGTTGCTCAAGATTACAACAACAGGCGGAAACAAAGACACGGCATTCTACGTGCAGAGCCTCAGGGTGAATGGAGAGCCGTGGAACAAAGCGTGGGTAAGCTGGGACGACGTGTTTGCAAATGGAGGTACGATGGACTTCGTTCTGGGGTCCAGCCGAGTGGACTGGGCGACCGGTGAGCTGCCGCCTAGTCCTGCGTCGGCTGATACAGATGGGTAAGAAGTGGGCGGTCGCATATCGTAGGAGCCCAGCGCTGATGGCGGTAGGTACACCAAGAGCAGGGCATTGGGGCGGGTCACTCTGATGTTGCTGTTGCTGGGCGCTTGTCTAGTCCCGCCGAGCGCCTTGTACTTGCGCGCGTTTATCCACGCAAGATCGAGCATCAAGCTGTTATGATAATGACTGGTTTTCTGGATGTAGCGTTCGCCGTGACCATGCCCTCTTTGATTTCAGACAACCGCAGCATCCACCACATGTTTCGTGCAGCGTAGAGCGCTACAAACAGTAGGGCGCCTTGCATGGTGCGCATGCGGCGGTGTGGGGAGAGCTAGACGGGCAGCCCATGACGCTGGCATCCCATTCAGCGATTGGCCAGTCACGTCTGGATACGCTGGACGTGGATCGCGGACTCTGGGCGAACTCCGCCAACAAAGACCAGCCGCCAGAGACCACGATGCGCGACGCGCCACAAATGCAGGTGAATGGACATGCAACCTCTCGCCCAGCACGTCTAGTCGCAAAGCACTCGGCCGTGCCCAGCTCAGACAGCGCACGCGGCCCTCCATCAGCGCAGTCACATGAAGGCTGCTCGCAAGCCCTTCCCGCAGCCGCAGCAGGCCTGGACGCAGGGTAAGCCCGCGCTTAGGCCTCCAGGGCCCGTTAAATACCTGGAGTCGCCTGTTCACTCCAACTCCACCCCCACGTTGTCGAGGGCCTGTACCGACCACCTCCACGGTTCCGCCTTTACGACCCGGAGCTGATTGTGGGAGGAAACATGTCATCGACACTATCCTCCGCTGTTGCGGCGGCGACTAAATCCGCGACCAAGGCGACGCCGCAGGGTGGCGTGCTTGAGCATGTTTCGCCTGTTAAAGTCGACCCGAAGAACCCTATCATTCTCTTCATCATCCAGGTAGTGTCCTCTCTCCTCAACTCGCATGTTGATTCCAACAATCTCTAGGTCATCATCATCATCGTCTTTTGCCGCGCTCTACAATGGCCTCTGAACAAGCTCCGCCAGCCTCGTGTCATATCAGAGGTCATTGGAGGCATCTTGCTCGGTCCCACCGCCATGGGCCGCATCCCCGGATTCAAAGACGCCATCTTTCCCGAAGCAGCTATGCCCCAATTGAATCTGGTCGCAAACCTTGGTCTCGTGCTCTTTTTGTTCATCATAGGCCTCGAGGTCGACCTGCGCTTTTTGGTCAGCAACTGGAAGGTGGCATTGAACGTCGGCATCGTCAGCATGGCAATCCCCTTTGGGCTCGGATGCGCCATCGCTGTGGGGCTGTACAACGAGTTCCGACATGAAGAGGGACTCGTAGCTATTCACTTCCCTGTCTATATGCTCTTCATAGGAGTCGCTATGGCTATCACTGTAAGTGCCAGGATGAGCTTCTGCCAGCACCGTGCACTAATCTGGGTAGGCTTTCCCGGTGCTGTGCCGTATCCTTACCGAGCTAAAGTTGCTCGATACCCCCGTAGGTGTTATTGTCCTGTCCGCGGGTGTAGGAAACGACGTTGTTGGTGAGTTGGCCCGGTGCTGCTTGTACTCCCAGGGCTAATGCAGCCAACTAGGATGGATCTTGCTTGCGCTCTGTGTCGCTCTCGTGAACTCCGGCGCTGGCCTAACAGCGCTATACATCCTACTATGCTGTGTTGGGTTCATTCTTTTCTTGGTCTATCTTGTACGACCGGCGTTCATCTGGATCCTCCGCAAGAATCGCGCATTACAAGATGGGCCTAGTCAGGGCATGATTGCGCTCACCTTGTTGCTCTGCCTGGCTTGCTCCTTCTTCACCGGTATCATTGGTGTGCACGCCATTTTTGGCGCGTTCTTGGCTGGCCTGATTTGCCCTCACGAAGGTGGTTTTGCCATCAAGGTGGCCGAAAAGATTGAAGATCTGATCGGAGCCCTGTTCCTCCCATTGTACTTCACGCTCTCTGGACTCAACACCAACATTGGCCTACTGGACAGTGGCATCGTGTGGGCCTATGTTATCGGGGTGGTGTGCGTGGCCTTCTTCTCCAAGTTCATCGGCGCGACGATAGCGGCTCGATGGACCGGCATGTTTTGGCGGGAGTGCTTCGCGATCGGATCGCTGATGAGTTGCAAGGGCTTGGTAGAGTTGATCGTCTTGGTAAGACTGCTTACGCCGTTCGTGGGGATGGGAGCTAACCCATGCAGAACATTGGTCTTCAGGCCAAAATATTGAGCACCCGAACATTCACCATCTTCGTTGTCATGGCGCTCATCACGACTTTTCTTTCATCGCCGTTGACGCAATACTTTTACCCTGCATGGTATCAAAAGAAGGTCGAAGCTTTTAGGCGAGGTGAAATCGACTGGGATACCGGCAAGCCTCTTGACGGAACTGACAGCGTTGTTGATGCTGCCTACTACGACAAGGTTTCATCCAACAAGATTAAGCATCTTACCGTCTATCTTCGCTTGGATAGCATGCCAAACCTTCTGGCGTTCGCTTCTCTATTTGGCGGAGCATACTCGCAATCCAAGGCAATCTCGCATCCAAAGGCTGCGCAACGATCTACCAGCATAAGCAAGAAGGCCGGCGAGACCCTGGATGAGGAGCCCAAGAGGCCTGTGCAGGCATACGGGCTGCGTCTGTTGAATCTGACAGATCGTGGTTCTTCTGTCATGGCCGTCACTGAGGCTCAAGAATACACTGCTTACGATCCTGTGGTCAACATCTTCCGGACCTTTGGCCGGATGCATAACCTAGCAGTCAGCGGCGAAGTTGTTGTCGTGCCTGAGTCTTCCTTCGCTGATACCCTCAGCACACGCGCATCTGACTCGGACTTCCTTCTGCTCCCATGGAGTGAGACGGGAGGTATGTCTGAGCAGGCTATCATTGAAGACAAGGGTACGAAGAACAAGCTCGCGGCATCCTCGTATACTACGTTCGTCAACCAAACCTTTGAGCAGTCAGCAGCCCCAGTTGCTGTGCTCATCAACAAGAACTTTGGCGGTAGCAAGAACAAGGACAAGAAAGAGCGTGGAAAGCTGAGCCGTACATACAGCGCCGTTAGCCTGCACAGCAATCGCGAGAAGGATGTCACGGCGCCCATCACAGACCCCAGTCATCACATCTTCTTTGCCTTCTTCGGTGGAGAAGATGACCGCACAGCACTCCGCCTCGTCTTGCAGCTCGCTGAGAAGCCAGAAGTCACGGCGACCATTGTACGATTTGACGTCGCACCGGAGGTTCTCGGTGACGCCAACTCCTCGTCTTCTTCGGCTGCAAAGGGTGCCGAAAATGCCACCATGAATGGGAGCTCGGCGCACGAGCAAGACGCCACTTTCTTCGCCTCGCTCAGCGCATCCGTCCCCGCCGAGCTTTCCTCTCGCGTCGTCTTCGAGACAGTGTCTTCCTCAAACCTGGTCAAGGATGTCATTGCTCGCGCTCTAGCCGAGGTTGGCCAAAACCCCAGGAACGCTGGCGACCTGGTTGTTCTCGGTAGGAACATTGGGCGCAACAGTGTGCTCTCTGACAGCAGCGCGGACGAAGTCAGGCCTGTGAATGCATCAAGCGCGGCCTCGACGCTGGGTGTGCTCGCAGAGAAGGTCTGGGACAGCAAGTCGGGAGCCAGCATCTTGGTTGTCAAGGCAGGACTCGCATCAGCAGCGCCAGGACTGTTGACGTACAAGTGATATCCAAGGGAGTGATGTAGCGGGGGTTTTGGCGATGGATGAGTTCAGTTCGCTGTATAAACAGCATTGGCTTTGGCTTGGTTAGAGTATACCTGTTTGCCTTCATTGAGAAGGAGCGGTACACCACGTAGATGCATCCACTAGCATAGCGATGAAACGCGACGATGTCTGTTTATAAACAACCTGCCATGACTCCTCGGTGGACCGACGTGATGTTTGAGGCCTGATGCCTGCTCTGCACCCCGCCCCCTATCGATAGGCGGGAACGCGCCGCCATGGGGCGCCAGCCAGCCCTGCAGCGAGGGGCTCTCACTCGCCCAAACCCTCACTAACCGTCGCGACCCTGGTCGCCCAAAATTTCCCACGACGCGTTCCACGGCAAACCTCCTTTTGCGCGTCGACAAGTCACCCCACACGCTCCCCCCGTCCGCTCTTTCTACAGCCTTACTCGCTCATCCTTAATCACCTTTTCGGGCGCCAATTGATCACCATGGACACCGCAGTCGCTACCGAACCCATCCCGAAGAAGCGCGGACGGCCCAGGAAGGTGGTCAGCGAAGATGCGCCCGCGGTCGAGCCGAAGACGGGTGTGAGGAAGGCGAGCACGAAGACTGCAGCGGCAGAGAAGAAGGAAGCGGCGCCGAATAAGGTTGCGAAAGCAACTAAGACAGCAACGAAGACTACAACGAAGTCTACAACGAAGACGACCACCAAAGCCGCGCCAGCCAAAGCTACGAAAGCGACCAAAGCTGCTGCACCATCAAAGACGGCCCCAGCACCACAAACTTCCGCAGCTCCAAAAGCCCCGGCGCCAACGAAAGCCGCGAGCACGCCCGACGCGGAAGAGCACATCGTCGAGACGCCGCAGGTGGCCGACAAGCCCACGCCCGTGACACCCTCGACGAGCAAGATATTAGAGCAAGTCTACAAGACCGGCACAGTGAAGCCTCCTCCGCCCGCGTCACCCGCGCCCGCAGCGCAGGAAATCCTGCTCCCGACCGGCGGCGCAGCAAACGTCGTAATCGAGCAGCCCGCCCCAGCGGCCGCCATGAAGCCCTCGCTCCCCTCAGAACCAATCCAACCGACACCGACACCGACATATACGCCGCCCACATCCTCGTCTGCACCACCACCACCACCACCACCACCACCACCACAACACTCCATCCCCATCTCCAGACCAACGCCCACCTCCGCCCTCCGAAAAGCCACAACCATCCCCCTCCCCCTGCACCCGCTCAACCCCTCCAAGCCCGCGACCCCGCGCCCCAAACCCATCTCGCCCGCCGACCTCGAGAAGGCCGCCATCGAGCGCGACATCAACGAGGGCCGGATGCCGCGCAAGTACCAGGGCGCGGCGCGGCGCGTGACGGCGATCATGGTCGGGATACCCGTGATTCTGGTCGTCGGGTGGGATCTGTACAAGCGGTGGGATGGGGAGGTGCGGAAGAAGTTTGGGGAGGAGAGGGTGGCGGGCCCGTGAGGGAGGGGTGGCTTTTGTTTCTGCTCGCAGCGTCCGGCGGGTCCGCAGTCGAGGATGGCACGCCATGTATAATGTGTATTTCTTTTTGTGCTCGCTCGCTCGCTGCATCTTGCATAGTATGCCATGTCACGCCACACCATATGAGAGCATGTCTCTCGTTGTATATAAGAGCCACATCATCGATGATGCTCATATCTCGCTGCACTTACACTCACGACGAACGTGAAAAATAAATGTATGATAGTAGGTGCAGCAACCGGCCTAGGTCTGCATCGTGCCCCTCTAGGTGACACCCTATCCAACCCCAACACCGCGTCTATCCAGCAAAGGTATCATCTTAGGTGCCCCCATCCCTCTCTCTATCCATCCATCACGCGAACCACGCGCTGAGTACCAAAAAACACCGCTGACGCAATGACTGCGACAAAGGAAACCGTCAAATGATCGTAACCAACGGCATGCATCTCAAGCACGCTCACCGCCCACACTGCCGCCTTTACTTTTCTTCCTCCTCAGCACCGCCGTGCCCCTCGTCGGGCTGCCCCATCGTGGCGTGCCATTCCCGCGGTGCAGACCCCGCATCTTCCGCTCAAAGTACGACCCCTCCATCTCTTGCGCGCCGTCCCGCGTGCTGAGCGGGCTGAGGCCAGGCGCGTCCAAGGCTTCCACCTCCCGCTCGTCCAACGAAGCCGCTTTGGCCAGCGTAGAGCTCGGAGCGCCCTGCTGCTCCGGCTTGTTCTCCATGGGTTTCAACACCGGGATGCTGCTCAGCGGCAGCAGCACGCGCTTGATTCCCTGCTTGTATGCGGGCTCCGGCTCGCGTGTCTGCGCTGGTGGGTGGAAAAGCCGCTTGTAGCGCAGCTCGGGCGAGCTTGGTGTGCCTGGCGCCAGATGTCTGGATCCGTTCTGGCCACTGAACAACTCCGCGGGGGCAGCTGGGGTCGTCGGATTCGAGACCGCAGGGAAGGATCGATAGAGCTCGGCAATGTTTGGAGGAGGCGAGTGTGATAGCGATGGCGAAGATAGGATCTCGGTGGTGTCAGACGCGATGTTGTCGGATACGTCGGCGTCGGTGGGCGAATCGTCGGCGTCGGTTGATGAGACTGCTTCTACGGTTGAAAAGGCTACTCTGTTAAAATCAGGAGACTTGGAATTTCTCATTGATGGCCGCGAAGGAAGATACGGCCTGGAGGCGGTGGGTGTGAGCCCTTGGCCACGCGACCCAGGTCGTCGCGAAAAGCCGGGCGACGGCGTTTCTGTGAAGGGCGTAAACGGCGCAAGAGGGAGACCTTGGCCCTCGGAATGAGAGTCCCTCTTGTGTCTCCGGAGCTGATGCGTGGGAGGGAGTTCTACGCCCTGTGATGCTGGCCGATTAACATTCAAGAGGCGAAGGTCCACTTGGCTTTTACTGAAATGCACAAAAGGAAGGATCTGGTTCACAGCCTCGTCCAAGGCGAGCTCTACAGCAACGTGGTTCTGAATTCGGGAGACTTTAAGCCAAGTCGCCTGCTCCCCAGCGAGCAAACAGCGCAGCATGTAGTCGGTTGTTGGGTTGCTAAGGATCTTTGGGAAGTTTGTGTAGGAGATAGCGGGGAAGATGGTAATGTCGCCGGAATATCGCTGGCTCAAGACAGATCTGACTTTGGTCATGGTGTTAGGAAACACTCCCATCTCCGCGAGCACTTCGAGGCGATGCAGAGCTTCCCCTTTCGCAAAGCTTGCCATGTTGTGCATCCAGCCGGGTCCAGCGGAGAATGCTGAGTTTTGTTGTTGCACCTCTGCGCCTATATCGTGCTCTTCTTTGGCAAGAAAAGGCACGACGTGTGGATTGACTTGAGATACGATGAAGTGGTTAACGTTGAACATTTCGGCCAGACGCGTCATGGGCAGATCGTTGTCGACCGACCCATCAATCCAGCCCTCGTTTGGGCTAGGATTCCAAGGCACTTCTCTGCCTGTTTTTCGGTCTTTGGCCATGAGAGATGCTGCAGAGAAGATAAGGGGAACGGAGCACGATGCGCATCTGCAGCACGCGGTCAGCGATGATTCAATGGCGCAGACCCATCGGAAGAAGGATCTCAACACACGAGTGAGCACTTACACGGCAGACCAAATCATGACATCCGGCGCCGTGACGTAATTGAGAAGCCTCGGGAGTTCATACACGCTTGCGCTCGACACAGTTATGTTCAGGATTCTTCGTGTCCGATTGTATGACTCTTGAAAGGTGATGTCGCCCAGCATCTGCCTCATAACTCTCTGCAGATGCGAAATGTCAAACAACGATCCATACTTGAGAAAGCGCGTGACCTTCTGAATGACGCCCTCTTCTTCGCCAGCCTTCTCAAACACGTCCAGATCGCCGTAGCAAAAGTCGGACAAGACGCCGGGGATCTCGTCGTCGATTTTGGAGCACAAGACGGCGCAGACGATACTTCCAGCAGACGCGCCCGAGATGATGCGGGGGAGAAGTTGCAATTCCCACAGGCATTTTACCACACCAACATGGTTCATCCCAAAGGTGCCTCCACCCGACATCAACAGCGCTGTTCGACCGAAGGATTGGCGGGTGCGGAGGAGCTCTTCGGCAACCCTGTGGGGTTTGACGGGACATGTGTCGCCCTGCTTGGCCGCCACTTCTGGTATTGCTGCCAGCGTCTGCACTGCCGAGTCGATGTATCGCTCTATTAGCTTCTTCGTGCCGACATGTGAATGCTTGTAGAGGCGCAGATCGCCCATGCCACCGAGGCCGCGTGTTAGGGTGGTCCGGACGAGGAACAGCATGCGCTTTACGTCGCAATTCAGGCGGGCCTCGTTGAGCTCGTCGAGTCGAACTTTGACAAGCTCGGCATCGTATTCGGAGGATGCGTCTTCGAGCTTCCAGGCATCATTCCCTTCGAGGGTGTCGAGTTCGGCCGCGGCGGCTTTCCAGTCGTCGTAGCTTTCGGCCTGCGTACACGATGAGCTTGTGAAAGCGAAGAGACTGTTGCAACACTCACATCTCGCAGGCGCAGGTACAGCAGCTGCTTACGGTCCTCGTCCGCTTTGGCTTTCTGTGCGCTCTCGTCCTCGTCTGCCTCTCTCGCGCCGCCGAATACGCCGAATGGATCTTTCACGAGCCGAATCAGAGGGTCCAGACGCCCGCCCTGGCTCTGATTCGACCGCTTTCCAGCATCTTTGCCTTGGTGTCCTCCTCTTGCTACATGCAGTCGTGCACCGCCGGAGAGTAGCGTGTCTGATACAAAGGACATTGGCAGCGGGAGGGATCTCCATGCGCGAGTGCAGTGCGAGTTATGGCGCCGCAGGTAGCCGTGGATGTGTCCAAGCAAGGGCACTTTACACGCAGATGTGAAGTCAGGCAACTTAAGGGCGGGAATATTGGTAGGTAGCGTGAGTCGCAGCAGGCGGAGTGTCAAATGGACCAAGGTACATTGGGCGGGAAGACGTCAGTACCAAACTTGAGCCGGAGATTAGGTCAGGTGTCACTGGAATCCTGTCAAGCGTCGGAAGAGTTCACTGCGCATCAGCAGACACTCCAGCTGAGCCCTCGACACACGCAGGAACACGGCGGCCAGCACAGCCGGGGCTTGAAGAGGCACATCATACGTGTATGATGCTGATGACGCCGATGCGCGCAAACACCACAACGGCAAAGCGCGCGCACGGTCCCGCAAGCCAGAAGCATGTGCCTTGCGGATCGTCGTGGTCTCCACGCAACGCGCAAAGACTTTGGCAAGCACTTCCGTACATGCATATTGTCGAACCCAAGCTACACCGCTCCAGTCCGCGAAATGTTCTTCCAGCTCACCGCTCCCAGAACAGCGGGACAATGACCCACCGGTCACGCGCAGCGTCTGCCGACCCAGAGGGTGATCTGGTGGGGTGCCCGCTCACGGGCAAAGTGGTAAACGTGGGGAGACCCGACTCTCAGGACGCCATCCGAGAACTTCCTGTAATTATGTGAAACCCACATCAAGTGCAGTCACGAGGCGTGTGGGCGTCTCCGCGGATCGTTCCCTGTCCCGTCCGTCGTCCCATCGCCGACCTGTCTTGACTCGCTGTCGAATTTTCACATGCTTGGCCATTTGTTTTTCCATGTGCATTCACGACGACATCGTGTCTGAGTTGGTGCACGCGAAATAGGCTGAAGCAATGCACTGCTGCTGCAACAATCGAATTCAACTGAACAATATGTATGTACTGGCCTTTCAATCAGGCCATGGCCCGCAATATTGGGGTATCGATGGATATGCCGAATAAGGAAAACGCCAGCAGGAGCATGCGAATTGCTCCCAAAGCTTCACTAATCGCCAAATGCGCTATGCGCTTCACAAATCATCCTTCCACTGCAGCACATCGTATCCTTTTCTCTTCACTTCTGCGACCGGTCTGACGTGCAGATACTCTGGCCACCTTTTCTGCGGATCGGAGTCGATCTGAGGTGCACATCAGCCTCATTACTTATTCCCACCGCCCGGGGCTGGTGTTGAGGGTGAACGTACGCTATCGTTTCCTGTGAAAGATTTCGCCCGACCCATTGCGAACACAAAGTCGCGATATGGGTCGCCAGTAGGCTCCATAGAAACGCGCGACCCACTGCTTGTTCGCTGCATCGACGGACGGCGTGTAGACGTGCTGTGGGATGTCGAGGACCGATTGAATGGTTCCGCGTGTTGGGCATGATGAACGGCGCCTATGATCAAACCGCTGGAAGAAGGCAAAGGAGATGGATCTCTACTTGAGGATGTTTGAAAAGACTGTCTTGGGCGCTCTTTGCTTGTTCTATGTGCTGTACTTGTCTTCACTCCAGACTTCTTGCTGAAGGCTGGTGGGAGCGACTGCCGTGGTTTTCTGTGAATATTTGGAACAGGGCTGGATCCTTCTAGCCCAGCCTGACTCCTTGCAGGCGCCTTCGAAACAGGCGCCTTTGCCATGACCGTAGAACTTTTGGCAGCAAAAATCTCGGTGTCAGACCGTCTAGTAGAAGACTGTGACTTGGATATCTTCGCAACGGTATCTTTACGGGTTGCAGCAGTGGCCTTCGCAGCAATCCCGCCTTCGAGCTCTCCGATAGCAGCAGCTAACGTCTTCCTGCTCGCGATGATGCCCTCTGTATACAGTGTATCGCGGATATTGTCTTTGTAGAAGCGATAGTAGGGCTCGGCATCTTCTCCATAATCTAGGCATTGGTTCGCGTAGTCCTTGTAGTCGGTTCGATTGCGGATGATGAAATCGTCCCACTGCCACTTGGGCACCATCTTATCCTGATCGTCAAGTTTCTCCATCTGCTTGCATTGGCCCAAGAAATGACGGATGTCTCCGGTGTAAGCGGGATACGTAGTCTTGAAGACTTCGAATATCGTTCCTGACTTGCTTATTGGCATGTCCGGTCTGACCACCTTCGGCGTTGTCGCCAAAAACGCTGGATTTGGAGGCGGAGATGTGCTTAATCGGGCTTGCAGGTGATGAGAGGCATCTTGGCCGCGTATCTCCTGAGTAACGATCTTCTGATTGGCTTCTGCGTTGCCAATCCGAGCGGCCTCGATATCACTGTCACTAGCCTCGAGGTCGTCAATTTCCATATGTCGCCCTACACTGCTGTCACCAGTCTCAAGGTCGTCGATTTCCATGTCAGCGTCTCTCGGGACTTCAGGCGCTAGTGTGAGGCTCTGAGTCAGAATCTGAGGCTTTGCTTCACTGCTGGCAAACTCGGAATTCCGAGGCTCCGACCCGCCAGCAGTAGAGCGTGGAGAACCTTCACGCGCCTGCTGGTGTGTCTGATCTAGATCGACATCCTGATGGCCACTTGCGACATGTTCATCACGCTCCATAGCATCCGTGTTGACAGCAGATTGTGCTTGCAGGTCTTCGGGTGCCTTTTCCGTTCCACGACTGGCTTCTTTGGAATCGCAAGTTGACATGGGCTGCGCGTGCGGACTTGCTCTATTTTCGGGGTTGTTACTAGCCAAACTAGCTCGAGAGGCAGCCCTTTCTCTCTGTATGAATTCCTCCAAGTGCGCTTTATAGTCTTCCTCCAGATCATCTCTGTAATCCGTACTTTCTGCCTTTGGAAACCCGTCGAATCTGGGCATTTTGCCTCGTTTAAATGGACGTCGTGTTGAGGGAGAGGGCTCAAGCTTTCTTTTAGCATGAGATTTCACATTCGCTTCGGCTACTAATTGCAACCTCTGACCAGACACAGGACTCAAGCCGGGCGACATGAGGGAAGATATTCCATCTTCAGCATATGGCTGCTCGGGTTCAAGACGTGAATTCAAGTTGCCAAGATGACTCGAAGGCGATGCTGGAGAATGAGCATGCTGTCGCTGGTCTTCAAAATCTGGACTTGGCGGCGGTGGCTCATCGTTGGCATCTACCATAGAGACATCAACGGGCTCAACGTTCTCCTCGTGACGCTTATAGGATGCTACCAGCGCAATTGACTGAGACGGCACGGTGTCCGTACCATGAGTAACGCTCTTTGCTGATGAGCTTGGATCGTGATAGGTGCCCAATATAATGGACGTAGAAGAAGTGTCGTTGGAAGTCCCGCTCGAGGTTTGCTGTTGCGCTCGAGCAGAGAAATTGACATTGGCAGGGGAAGCTTGATTCTTTTCTTTAGGGTATGGAGTTTCTTTCACCTGAACGACCGCCGCTTTGAGTGTTGCCGTGGCGGCAGGAGGGATGTTGCGGACCGAAGTGCCTTCCTCTAATCCGCGTGGTAGGTCCATCTCCATGTCCATATCGGAATCATCACCCTCAGGGACCAAGGGGGGTGATGAACGAGGCCCAGATATGTTCTCTTCGCTGGATGATTGAAAAGCTACAACGCGCTGAGCCTCTTGAACAGGACTTGCCTGTTCAGGCTCCCTTTGACTTGCTGGACTCTGGTCTGGGAGACTGGAATCAGGAGGCAGAATGTGCCCAGGCCTAAATGGTGCTTCAGGGGGTTCCCTGAGAGGCGAGCTAGACCAGGATGTCAGGGTGCTGGGTGTGCTGGCCTCTCCGTCCGAAAGATCATCATTCTCTTCGGGTGCCGCATAGGCTGCAGAGTCCGTGCGGATTCCCGTACCAACATCCGGAATATCCTCTTCTTCAGGAGAATTAGTGGTGGAAGCTGAGCTGCCCTCTTCGTCGGAGGATTCAGAGCCGGGCAATGTAGCCTTTATCTTGAATTGCTTAAAAGCGTTGAACAGGTGGATGGGTACATTTGCGTCAGGAAAGCGATTCCTGGTACCGGCCCTGTGCTTTTGCCAACTCGACAACAGCTTCTGTTGCGGTCCAGGAACTCTGCCACAGCCATCTGCTCGACATGTATCTTTCAGCCACTCTGGTACGGGATCTTCCAGGGTACTACTCGTTGTCACGGATACTGGAGGCTTGTCGGCTGCATTTTGTCGTGGGTAAGAAGGTGGCAGACGGGTTGATTGCAAGCGATCCGTGGGTGGTGCCAGGCCTTCATTTGATGCACGACTAGTCGAGGTTCGCGAGAAGCCACCGGCGGAGGGCGGCTTCGGTGCATCGCCATGGGCAGCAGGGTTCAGGAATATGTTAGATACCCTTGAGTGGCCCGGACTTGGCAGGCTTTCACGCACCGCTCGCGGGCCACTCGGAACGCCATCTGTATCTACTCTGGGCGATTCGTTTGTGATGTCACTTGTCGAAGGCGCAGCGGCAGTAGTGCGGGATTTAAGAAGACCTAGTAGAGCGGTTCTCCTGGAGTCGTCGTCCTGAGCCTGGTGAGCCGGCTCAGTTATACGCCCTGTGGTTTTGCTTGGTGTGCGTATCCTATGCGCCACCTGGGTACCGTATGCCATCTGCGTGTCCGGATTACGCTCCTCATTGCTACCGTCTTCGCTTGGTGATCCCACGGGTGACATTCTGGCCTGTTCTTCCCTCTTGCACTCCACAGTGCCAAAGCACCTCCGGTCTGATTCGATCCGTATCTGTCGTAGCTTGTGCGCAGATTCAACAACGTCTTCGCACAGGTGTATGGGTCTTAGGTCTCCGAATGATTGCTTGCTTATACCGGCTCGGTATTCGGGATCGACGCTGTCCAATGTGAAAGTGATACGATGTCGGGGCGGGCCGTATGGAGTGTAACGTAGAGTGTACTTGCGCACGGCGAGTGGTATATGGGATTGTCTCGCGCGGAGGGACGTGTAGCACTCAGGTGAGAGAGATGCCTCGATCGACGCGGCGCCGTCGGTGAGAGTAAGCGGATCAAGCTGTCGGGCGCCTGGTCAATGAATGAGCTGCGGGGGTGGACTTGGTGCGTGCCTTCACTATGTGCAAACAATTGTCACGACGTTCCTCGGAGACACGCACGAGGATGCGCAAAGAGCTTCCAGAATCCTGAAAGAGGTTGAGCCTCGCCCACTCCTCGTCAGAACTTCCGTCTGTTCTGGTGAGCCATGCGCTGGCGAGGTCCAGCTGTGTTGCTATTTCTTGCTCCAGCCAAACGCGGTCCATAAGACGCGACGCGTGCGTGCCGAGACTAGCCAGAGCGCGCCAACCCTACAATTGATTGCACCTGGGGGAGGGAATGCATTCGGCGCTGGAGTGATATCCGAGGCAACTTGAACCTAACTTTGAAGGGGCAGGTGCGCGTGGTTGGATGCAGAGTCGCTCGCCTCGTTCTGCGTTTGTCGTAATCCGCGCGGACGTACTATCCTCGATGCGAGAGCACGAACCGGTGGACTACACATAGATGGCGGTCGTTTGCAGAACACGCCGGCCTCGGTGTCGGGCACCCTAGATGTCACAGATGGGTTCGTTCGCGCTGTCGTCCTTTGAAGACATGTCAGGTGCGGAGTTGGCTCGGAGGTGCCGCTTACAGGCGGGCGGCGGCGTCTGCGTCATCTGCCAGACGACCTCCATCGGTCCTGGAGGCTGCCTGCGTGCCATACCAACGACGACCGCTGAGCTCTCTGATCTCGCTCAACCGTGGCGCAAGCTGCGTTGCCACGTCGCGCATCTCGTCCTCACACGCTGTCCGCGACCTTGCCATGCAATCTTGCGCTCCTCACCGCGACTCGACGCACTACGCGAACCATACCTGATGCCATCCACTTGCTGCTGCCACCACCTCTACCCCCTCGCGGCCCCAGGCAGTCCATAACCAGGCCTACTCGCCACGAACCACCATGGCGCAGGATTCGCGGCGCCTGTCCGGGGCGCTCCACCAGCTGCATGCCACGGCATCGCGCTCCGAGGGCCTGACCACGTTTGGCGACTTTACGTCCCCGCCACCTGCGTCCGTAGCGAACGATGCCAAAAGCTTTGATATGGTTCAGAGCGGGCTCAGTGGCCTGTATAGCCGCTTGAAGGCTTCGGTGGGTGGCAACAAAGAACAAGGCCACGAGCATCTGGACGAAGGCGCCGTTGTGGGCATTGGCGCGAAGAACAAGGCGACCAAAAAGCCAGCGCTTCCAAAGAGCCCTGCCGGAACTGCTGTATCCTCGCCTGTGGTGGTCTCAGTGCCTTCGTCGAGATTGCAGTCACCGCTTGCGCCGACATTCCCAGATCAGCCCCCTCCGCCATCCCGCGACTCGAATGTCTCAGTCTCCGCAGTATCTGCCAAACCTTCGTTGAATGGATCTAGATCTTCACTCGGAACCACGCGCTCGAGACCGTCCATAAGCTCCCCTGTAGACTCCCACAAGACCGCTCGCGAAGACGAATCCTTCACCCATAGCCCTCTCAGCACGATAAGCAAACCGCATGGAACCCTCGCGGTTGACTCGGCGTCTAGGAACAATTCTTCGAGCGGTCTACCCTCTGGATCCAAAAGCAGGGATGCGTCGCGTTATCGCTCCGAGCGGACCAGCTACCGACATAATAATGAAATGGACCTCGTGGAGCGCGAGAGCGACACGACTGAAGATGATGTAGTGCTCGTAGAAGGGGACAGTAACGTGAGAGACAAAACTGGGTCCGTGTTTCCGCTCGACGTACTTGGCGATGACCTCGCTCGGGTCACTTCTCGGCCAGAAAGGCAATACAAACCGGTGAAAGAGCTCTCCAGTAACGAATCTCAAGCCACGGAGGTACCGCACGTGACTGCCAATGCTCAAACGCCTGTTCTCGCGCCAGCCCCTCAACGCCCTCCACTGGTACAAGTGGGACCGTCTCATTTGCCCGGCTTCCACCCCTCGCGAATGTCTTCTTCGGATGGACTGAGCTCCGTCATGACGAGCACTACCGTCCGCAGCCCTGCTGTACCGCCTATTGAAGAGCATCAACGCTCAACTATCAGGCCATCAAGCACTCTGGCGCATGCTGCTCCTTCTCAGGTCCCGCGGAAACTTCTTAGTCGCGAATACTGGATGAGGGACGAAAATGCGAAAGATTGCTTCAACTGCGGTGACGCATTCTCCACCTTCAGACGCAAGCATCATTGTCGCACCTGTGGACAAATATTCGATTCCAAGTGCACCGTCATCGTATCTGGCAAGATGTTCGGCCAGACAATGAACGTGAGAGTATGCAAGCCCTGCGAGGATATAATTCAAGGGAATGGTGACGATTCTTCCGAGTACACCGACGACGGAGACCAAGCTTCTCTCTATGAACACGACGATGATGGACTGGACGCAGACCAGTTTGATCCGTCAGAAAGTGACCACACCAAGATTGGAACTCCAACTATTAGCATTCCCATGTCAAGAAAGGTGGGTAGTGAAAAGAAACGTCGGTCTGCAGTGATCGAAGTCGCGCCGCAGCTTCCCAGACCGAGCTCTTCTCGATCTCTGCGTTCATTGAGTGGCCGACCACGTTCGTCTAGTCACAAACGCCATCATCAACATATGCGCAATGTTAGGCATGATGAAAGGGCACCCTTCCACCAATACCATACAGATCTTACCCGAAGTCGATCAGCACTTCCCGCCTTTCACCATGATAATATCATCGATCCGGATCTTGCTCCTTTCATGTCAGACGAGGGTTCCAGTGATGAAGAGCCGGCCAGTATCTTTGCGACTCTGCGGGCCGACTCACCATCACACGCTACTATGGACAACGAGAAAGGAGGGCTGGGTGGACTACTAGCTGCTATGCGAAAGGGCAAAGGTAGAGCCGATAGGAACACTTTCGGCGGTGCGCACGCACGAGACCCGGATACGGTGAGTATTACAAGCCGTCAGTTCAACAGGCACTCCAAGCGGAGGAATCTCAGCGTTAGCAGTATCACACATAGACCTTCACCTCGAAGGTCAAAGAGTAACAGCCTATTAAAACCCTTCGGCGCTGGCTTTGGCGGAACATCCCCGAGCCCCCAGCCGGTCATACTACAACCTCCTCCCGCGCCGCCATCTGCCTCAAAAATCACTCGTAGCGCTTCTATGCAAGGTGGAAATGCTCCGCAAATCGAACTCAATCAAGCAAGTTTGGAACACGTCCGCAGACTGTTGAAGCAAATGTTGCAGGACGCCAGCATATCGCATACCTCGAGTTGGGAGAGAGCCCTTGTTCCAATACTCTTGCAGTGCACAGACGACGTCAATCCAGATCTCCATAGAGGTGATGATATCGACATTCGACATTACATCAAATTGAAGAAGATTCCGGGGGGGAAACCCCGTGACACATCTTACGTCTCCGGCGTCATCTTCTCGAAGAACGTTGCTCTCAAGAGCATGCCTCGCAATGTCGCCCATCCAAAGATTCTCATCATCACATTCTCCGTTGAGTATGCGAGACACCAGACACATTTCATGAGTCTAGACCCGGTCATTGCTCAAGAAAGAGAATACCTCAAGAACATTGTCGATCGGATCGTGGCTCTCAGGCCCCATGTGCTGCTTGTTCAACGCAACGTCTCTGGACTCGCTCTAGAATTCCTGGAAAAGGCAGGCATTTCCGTCGCCTACAATGTGAAAGAAACGGTCTTGAACGCGGTCGCCCGGTGCACCCAGTCCAAGCCCGTGTCTTCTGTCGATCAGCTGGCGGATCCGTCACGCCTTGGACGTTGCGGAAGTTTTGACGTCAAGACATACGTTCACAAGGGTGTCAAACGGAACTACATCTTTCTGTCCGGTTGTCAACCGGATCTTGGATGCACGATAGCTCTTCGAGGAGATGAAGCGAAAAGCTTAGCCAAGCTGAAGCGCATCACGGAGTTCATGTGCTATGTGGTGTACAACCTCAAGCTTGAGACCTGTCTGATGCGGGATGAGTTCGTTTTGATTCCTGTCACCTCGGACAGTGGAACAATAGCTTCCAAAAAAGATTTATCGGCCTCACATAACATCGATGGCGCCTCGATCCAAAATCCTTCCATCGCAGGCGATGATACCCAAACGACCGCACTCAACTTAGAGGTCCCACAAGATGCCCCAGCGCCATCATTCTATAGCGAAATGGTGGAAAACCATCGTACCAAGCTGTTATCTGCATCACCGTTTGTCAAATTTATGCAACCTTACTTGCTCAACCAAGCTCGCGAGTATGAGAAGAAGCTTGGCTATCTGAAGCAGTTGCGAGATCAGTATGCCAATCCTGAGACGGATACTGAAGGCATGCCCCAAAAGTTCAAGTTAGTCCAGCCGGAAATGGTGCATGGTGTAGTCGATCAAGCGTCGAAGCAAGTACGCGAGTTCCTGCACGCGGTACACGCATCTGAGTACGAAAAAGCACTGCATAATTACAAGACCCAGAAACGGCAGTGGGAGGCTTACCTAGCGACCAACGTCGAACTGTTCGACCCCTTCAATCATCAGAAGATTGCAGTCCTCTACAGCGTAGTCAACACAGCCTTTTCGACGCCATGCATCGGACCAGATATCATCGCCCTGAATTTCTATCAAGAGCACGATTTTGATGATGGCTTCACTCCGGATTGCACATTAGGCCAATATGTCGAAGACCTCTGTCACGGAGTGAACTCTCTCTGCGAGGTGGATGGATGTAACCGTAGAATGGTGGATCATTCGCGACAATACGTGCATGGGGAGGGACAAATGAGTGTCATTGTCCAGAAATATGCCTCCAAGATCAAGGGTTTGCAGAACACAATCCTGATGTGGAGCTGTTGCAGAATATGTGGTCAGGAGACTCAAGTGATCCCGATGTCGGACAGCACGTGGAAATATTCGTTCGCGAAGTATCTCGAACTAACCTTCTGGAGCAGCCAATTGCACCCGCGCGCCGGCCTATGCCCTCATGATATCCACAAAGATCACGTTCGGTACTTCGGATTCAACAACGCGGCACTACGTGTTCAGTTTGACCCGGTCTCCCTGTACGAAGTCACTGTACCCCGCCCTATCGTCACTTGGAAAGTCGACAGTGATCTCCGACTGAAGAATGATCAATTCTTGAAGATCGAGGAACGACTCGACAAGTTCATGGTGTCTGTGCGCGCTCGCATCAAGGGAATCCACGTTGAAAGTGTCATCCCCGAGAAGGTCGAGCTCTGTAAGACAGAGGTTGACAGACTCATGAAGCGTGCCAACGACGAGCACGATTGGCTGAAAGCAAAGCTCCAAGACAAATACTTGAACTCAAAATACTACGAAATCATTCCTATGAATCGAGCCATACGTGCAATCCAAGAGAAGGCGATTGCATGGGATGAGACGTTTACTGAGTTCGAGCAGCAGTATTTCCCATCAGAAAAAGACATCAGGCGACTGGCCACACTTCAGCTGAAGAAGCTTTTTCTGGAGCGCGACGAGTCTACAAGCTCGTTGACTTCCGTAGAGGAAGGGTCAGAAATCGCCGAGGAACCAGCACTCAACGAGAAAGGAGAGTCGCTCGCACTACCACCCATGCCTTCGAGCATGTCACCCGAGCGTGCACGAGATATGCTTAATTCGGTCGTGGAAGAAGATCATTCGCAGAGCACTGCGCCAACTGATGGTGAATCAAGGAAGATACTGGAATCCACATCAGCACCAGGAGAAGCGAAGCCGGACCAACTTCTGCCTGTTCAAACATCATATGACGCACTAGAGCGAGACGACGTGAGGCATCTTGATCTAGCTGTGTCTTCAAGATTCTCGGAGCCCCCTGTGCCCACAGACGAGGAGCTCCTCAAAACCCCGACGATGTCGCCTGAGCAAGATCCTACCGGGCCTGGATCGCCTACACCTACCGCGCTGCGAGTGGATCCAATCGACAAGGTGGTGGCCGATGCTATCGACAACATGCCCACATCTCCCACACCTTCGTATCCTGCGGGTGGCCTCTTAGAGAGCAAGATACCTCGTCTGGTAGACACCATCCGTCGCGAAACAAGCTCTCACACAAGACCTGCGACTCTAACTCGAACCCAGTCGCAACCAGGCGGCATCCCGAAGAGTCCTAGTCCACCGCACATTGCGGCAGCTAGCAAACCTTCGGAGCCCACCAAAAGGATAGGCGGTGATGCTGCAAGAGCGATGGATAGAATAACTGATAGACTTTCTCTTGGCACATTCAAGCAGGGCAAGTCCTCTTCGAAGATACCTCGATCCATACCCATCTTCAGAAGTCAGGGGGACTCATCTAAGGTATCCAAGCTTGCGGAGCATTTCGAGCAACTTTCACGGGAATTTCAGAGGGAGCGAATGCGTGAGCGGCGCAATGAACGCAGTCGGCAAGTGCGGGCTTACCCATTAGCGTCGTCGAAGCCGATTGTGGAAGTGTACATGGACGTCCATGAAGCTGTGCAGGAACACAACCCGTCGGACGAAGAGGCTGCTTCACCAGCACGCATCAGCATCGACAGTACACTCGAAGACAGTACCTTGACTGAAACAACTGGCGCAACACCTGCTTCTGAGTCTCCAAGGGTAGAACGGGATCCTCAGGAGTCCCATGCGCATCCCAGTACTGGAAGCCAACCAGTGACACCCAGCCATCCTCCTTCGGACTTCGAGAATGAACTGAGTGACGTTGAGATAGCACCCGAGGATATACCTTTACCGGATTCGGATCTTCTTTCCATGACGGAATCGCAGCTGGAAAATTCTCTAGAATTACCGAAGCACGAAAAGACAACTCTGATGAAGATGCTTACCAGCTTTTGGTCTGAACGGTCGGCAAGTGGTTGGACGCCTCTGGACTACCCTTTTGCCCAGATAGAGCACGTTTGGGAAGATTCTGATATTATTGTCCGAGAGGATGAGCCAAGTTCGATCATCGCGCTTGCGCTCTCTGCACCTCACTACTTGACTCAACTTCAATCCTTCCGTGGCGACCGCGTCGCGTCTGAGAAAGGAGGCAACGGGTTAGAAAATTCAGAGGCCTCGATCGAACGCAACTTGTTGCATGAAGCGAATAGCAACATCAGATATGGCTTCAACAACCGCGGGGTTAAAGCACAGTGTAAGATATTCTATGCGCAATCCTTCGACGCTCTTCGCCGCAAGTGCGGTGTTGCGGATCGCTTTGTAGAATCGCTTTCTCGATGCTCCAAGTGGGACTCTAAGGGTGGAAAGTCGAAGTCAATCTTCCTCAAAACGCTGGACGATCGTTTCGTGCTCAAAAGCCTGTCGCCTATCGAGGTCCAGGCCTTCTTTCGATTTGCGCCAAACTACTTCGCGTTTACGCACCAAAACCTCTTCAAAGGTCTGCCGTCAGTGATCGCAAAGATGTTTGGTCTGTTCCAGGTTCAGATCAAGACACCTACTGGGCGTGATTTCGACTGGTACATGCTCGTTATGGAAAACTTATTCTATGATCGGGAGCCGAATCGGCGATACGATCTCAAGGGTAGTATGCGGAATCGCAAGATCGAATCGACTGGTGAACGCGACGAGGTTCTGCTCGATGAAAACCTCGTCGACATCATTTACAGCGAGACGCCCATCTTTGTCCGTGAACATACAAAGAAGCTGCTCAAGGCGAGCGTCTGGAACGATACCCTTTTCCTGTCCCAGAACAACGTTATGGACTACAGTCTTATGGCCGGTTTCGACGATGCAAACCATGAGATCATCGTCGGTATCATTGGTAAGCTCTCCTACTTTGCACCTTTGGTGACAACTTGACACTGACGAACATAGACTGCATTCGCACTTATACGTGGGACAAGAAGCTCGAGTCGTGGATCAAAGATCGTGGCAAGAACAAGCCCACAATCACATCGCCCAGAGACTACCGCAACCGCTTCCGTAGTGCCATGGACAAGTACATCTTGCAAGCGCCCAATTGCTGGCATCAATTCTCAGGGCGAGTGGTTGGAGGGGCTCTCCTAGGTACTCGTAAGACGATTATGCTGGAGCCAGGCCCAGCCAGTGCTTCCGCGCAAATAATGGAGGTAGAGGGCGGCGAGCAGGAGAAAGCGGAGGCTGCGACGCGTATTTGAGGTGGTAGAAGTGGCATAGCATAGCGATGGTGTTGGGTTTTTGCTCTATTCAGACGTGCCTTTGGGATATCCATTGGATTAGCATCTTGGGGGTCTTTTTCTGTCTCGTTTGATATATGCACACATGCAACAAATACAACATCTTGCAGCAATCTGACCCACCAACCACTCATGCCTTTCCAGACTAGTCTCGTCGGCAACGGAACCGCTGGGCCAGAAGCCGACGAACCTAGCACATTTGCCGGTCAAGCTACCCCTCCATCCTACTTTGTCATAGTGCGGGGCATCCGCATCCCGCTGCGATGTTTTGCCAGCACTTTTGCCGGTGCGACAGCATAAACTAAGAGGCATTTTTCTCCTCTGAGCGGTTGAACGGGTCGAGGCGGCGTCGGGGCCGCTCGGTGCGGGTGGGGGGTTGAGGCTCATGTTATCCAAGCAGGGAGAGACGATATACATAGACGGGTATTGTTCAGAAGTCGTCCGGAGACTTTGCCGAATTATCAGAGGTTCGATCGTCGCGACGAGTTCTTCTTTATTGCAAGGTTCTCATCTCTAATCCACACTCTCATACACTCTCTCCTCCAAGGCATTAGGCTTCACTGTACAAATACTACTACAGTCACGACTCGGGAAGGCGTACCAAACACTACACTGCAGCAGACAACGCATCTAACGTTGTTCGATGCGATCCGCAGCCGTAGCAAGTATAGACACATAGATATCTCTGCGAGCGTACCACCACCGCAACTTCCAAACACCTCCCCACCATGTCCTCGAAACCCGCGATCGGTTTCTGCGGCCTCGGAGCCATGGGCTTCGGCATGGCCACGCACCTCGTCAAGCAAGGCTACCCCGTCACCGGCTTCGACGTGTACGCGCCGACGCTCGAACGCTTCTCTGCGGCCGGCGGCACGCCCTCGACCTCGCTCTCTGAGTCCGCAAAGGACAAGGCATACTACATCTGCATGGTGGCCACGGCGCAGCAGGCAGAGCAGGCGCTGTTCGGCGACGACGGCATCGTCGCGGGCCTGCCGCAGGGCGCGGTGCTGTACCTCACCAGCACGGTGCCAAGCTCGTATGCGCAGAGCGTGGAGAAGAAACTGGCAGATGTCGGCAGAGGCGACATCTTCTTCATCGATGCGCCGGTGTCCGGGGGTGCGATTCGCGCGGCCGACGGCACGCTGAGTATCATGGCGGGCGCGTCCGAGGCGGCGTTCGAGAAGGGCAAGTTCCTGCTGGACGAGCTGACTGCGCCGGCGAAGCTGTTCATCGTCGCGGGCGGCGTGGGAGCGGGTTCGAACATGAAGATGGTGCATCAGGTGCTGGCGGCGATCCACATCATCTCTGTGAGCGAGGCGTTTGGGTTTGCGGCAAGGCTGGGGCTCAATGGGAGTGATGTGAGAGAACATGTCATCGGTGGGAAGGCGTGGAGCTGGATGTTTGAGAACCGCAGTGTGCGGACGTTGAAGGAGGATTACTTCCCCGGTGCAAGTGCTGTGACGATTATCCTGAAGGACACGGTATGTATACGATGTGCCTGAGGTTGCCAGAGGTGTCAAAGGGTGGAGTGCTGACGTACGCAGGGCATCATCACCTCAATGGCGAATCTCGTCGACTTCCCTGTGCCACTGTGCTCCATCGCAGAGCAATTGTACATCACCGGCCTGAACAAGGACTTCGGCGCACAAGATGATGCTGGCCTCGTGCGTCTATGGACGTCTGAGCCCGTCACGAGCTTGGCCCCGCTCGCAGACGAAGACAAGAAAGCAAAGCTCGAGCTCGTCAGCAATCTCCTCAATGGCATCCATCTATGTGCAGCCGCCGAGGGCATATCGTTTGCAAAGCATCTTGGCGTCCCCCTGGCACAGTACTATGAACTTTGCGTCGAGGCAGCAGGCGGTAGCACACAGTACAAAGAGCAAGGCACGAAGATGATTGACATCATAGAAGGCAAGCAGGGACATGAAGGTGCCAGTCTTCGCAGCTATCGCGATGGATTGAAGGCGGCCATAACAGAGGCACGGGATAAGAAGATTCCTCTGCATTTGGGCAACGGGGCGTTGACACTGATAGAACAGGCTGGCAAGGAGCAGAGCCTGAGTTCCTTGCTGAAGCTATACAGCGTCTAATTGGAGGAATGTATGCTGTAGGATGTAATCAAGATACTTCGAACATATCAAAAGTGTGGTTTTCGGGATAGACATGCACTTTGGGAACCACAATGCTTATCCATGATGATCATGCGTATTGCCAGCATAGAGATAGTAGCAAACCGCGGTAGACACATGTATCACTTGCTGCTCCTGGAAGTAGTGCGGGAATGGCGCCACTGATACATCCAACTGATTACTGAGCGGGATATTTCGACCTGTCCTTGTAAGTACAGAAGCATCATAGCCAGTTACCGCAAGATAGCAAGATTCGCCGTGTCTTCCTTCGTACGAGCTACGCGGGCAGACGGACGAGAAGTTCCTATCAACCGGAGGCGTGGCGTCCTGACTCGATGGAGACCTCTGATCGGTGTAACTGCTGACAGCCCATTCTCGTTTCTGGTGGCAGGGCCACGAGACTGACACCGATCACATCAACTACCACGATACGTGTACATTGTGCGAAGACATGCCCCATCCCGCCTGGTGCTGACCGACATGACTCTCCGCAATGTACGCTGTAAGCTTACACGACAAGGAAGCCGGAGATTTTCTATTCCGCAGACCACGCTGGCTGAACAAGCGGCCGCCTCAGGGGAATTGCATCCTGGCTCAGGCACGTCCGGTAACGTCGTCCGTGAGCAAGTAAGAGTGACGACGCGCAGTTGAAACATCAGGCAATAGTACAATCTCGAGTACAGTATAGCTCGTACCGACGAACATGTTGTCTAACCATCTGCCGCGGCAATTGATAACAGCCACCCCCAAGGTCCGCGCCTCGCAGCGTTTCAGGCACGCATTGGCGACACGTCGGCACGCAATTGCCAAATCGATGGACGCAATTTGATGGATCGCTCTGCCGCACCGTTGCATGATCGTCTCCGCGTGCGTCCGCTTGCGTGCACACGTCGATCCGACGCCCACGGTCTGATCGAGATTGCCAGGGACGACTTACAGTTCGGAAAGACGCGTGGGATGGATGCATCATCGTGCTAAGCGCGCCGTGCGCGACATGCCGTCGGTGCCTGTGCCGCAATCGCCTGGAGAACCCCAGAATTAGGGTTCGTCAGGATTACGAGGGGAACTAGGGATGTATAGGAAAGGCTGCAGGGGAGTTAGATAAGCAGTGGATCGTGTGGAGCATTGATCATATTGAAGGATGCAGCGAGGTGTGGCGGGTGCATCAGGGACGGGCACCTTCAATCAATCGAAATTTGTATTACTGTAAGTACGTATGTATGTAAGCGGAGGAATTCGCGGAAGGGACTGCGCTCGTCGGTACTTGCATTTCGTCTACCATCAGCTTGAGAAGCGAAATTCGTGCTCGGCAAAACATTGAAACGAAGTGATGCCTGAAAGAGCTAGACCCACGATGTCTGCCAAGTGTGCATGTCAGTGGGTGATCTACAGGAGACTGCAAGCATGTGCGAACCGCGAGCGCCTCAGTAACACACAAGGTGTTGCCACTGTCGATTGCAATGATGTGGTGGCGAGGTTTTAGGTTCGAATGGGCGGGTCGGCTTTCAGAACCGTACACATTCTGTGATTCAAGATGTGATATGTGGAAAATGCTCGGTCTCGTATTCGGGCATTGAGGCTAGCTGTCTACCTTGCAAAACATCAGAGTGTGGGCGTTCGCTTGTGTAACAATATGCTGGATAATTGAAAAATTGTCTCGGTTGTGTGTATCATCATATCTCGCGTACCTTTCAAACTCCATGTGCCCGAGGCTGCCAAAAATATCAGGGACTCGCAACTGAATCCCGAACAAACCTTAGCTTTCCCGAGCTAAGCGTGCCGCAGCGTAGGTAACATTTACTATGACGTCCCGTCTCTTGAACCCTGATGATCTGGTGTATTTCTCCACGGCGACGAGCCGCCTTTGGAAATTCCAGCGTATCCAATACATTCATCACTAAGCGGTGAGCAGCCTGCAGCCTTGCTGCCCGATGAAGAGTCATACCTGCCGAAGGATTGCCTGAGTCTTGCAAGCCTTGTGGGTCAACGTGAAGCTGCCATGAGGATCTGCAGACAGGGATGAAGCCACGCAGGATGCGCTGTACGTGCAAGCATTACGATGTGCATGTGATCCAAGAGCTCGCTTGTTCTTGCATCGAAAATGTGTTGCATGTTTCCAGACGCTTACCGTGCAGGAGCTTTGCAGCAGACCACGTTCTCTCGTGTTGTATCGTCAAACGCTGATGCATCAACTTGGCGCTCAGTCTCGGTCGCCGGTATTCTTTCACGCCTGTCTTGACCAGCACACAATCTTTCATCCTGAGAATGAGGTGTTAACGGTGAGCATGGGCTTGCGTGCACATATGCCACAGCCCTCGCATTTCGCGATCGTGTGGGGCTATATCGGTTTGCTTTAAGCATTGAGTCCGTGTTGCGCGTCACTTGGGTCATGAGATCAGTCTTGACCGGCGTGGAAATCCTGCACGCAGAGTAATTGAATATTGCAGGGTATATGAAGGAGTCAGGGCCATATGCTTGTTTGCGCAAGAAGCGCAGGCTGCAGAGCGAAAAAGCAAGTAAATGGCAACCCCACGATCGAACGTACACCAAATGATCACAATGTTAGCGCGCCATGCCATTCATGGTTTGAGATATGATAAAGTCTCGGTTAGCGGACAGAGAGAAGGTGTGGCTCGGTCAAAGGCGCCGAAAGCCGCCCGATGCAAACGCCAGGCACCACGGGAAGCTATACGGTACGCTCTCCAATTGGGACTCTGAAAAGCAGTGTCTAACAGCTATGTGAATTTGGTTTTGAGTTTCGGTAGCTGGCTGACTGCAGGGCGTAAGCTTACATTTCGGGTCGCCAGGAACGGTGACACCAACGCAACGTTAGACCTTGCGCTGCGTGCAGCAGATCGGTGACAGTTGCTCGGGTTCCTGGCGCCGATGTTGGTTGTACAAGTTCGAATGTTGGTGAGAAAACGGGCGCAGCCTGGAGGCGGAGCTGCGTGGGAGCCCACCACATTTTGGGAATATGGGTTTGTTGAGGCCTGTTGGGCGCCCTAGGTCATCTTATGCGATGCAGGTGTGCCTAGGTGGAGACTCGAGAGGTCGTCCGAATGTGTTGGCCTGCCACCCTCAGCCTGGCGTGGTGGAAAACACCCCCGCGGCCGAGCGGAACGCGAGCGGCGTCTCCTGGTAGCTGAGGGGTCAGCTGGGCGAGCGGCAGTGGCTGCTATGCGTTTCTTTGAACATGCCGTGCGGCATGCCAACAGCCATGCGGGACGAATGTGGGGTTCGAAGGAGGACCTCTCAGACGCACAACGCTGTGGGTATACTAAAGTCACGCGCGCGTCTTCATGCACGCCTGTCTGAGCGGTCTGCTAGTGGTATGGGGATGGGTTTCCAACACGTCACAACAGCATGCCCCGTCAAGCGCCAGATGAAGCCGTCCCAGAAGGCGCGGTCATGAGGATATAGAGCGGGACTGGGTGGCCGTACATGTGCCAGGGTATGGTTGGGTGGGTACTGGAAAGTATGGAGGGGTAGCCGCGACGATGGCCCGCAGCGCATTGCTAGGTCCTGTGGCTGCTTAGTTGTTCCCGTCAATGGGATTGCCGACGATAGAGCGAAGATACGAGCGTCACTACTTCAGCCGCAGTTGAATAAAGTGTACTGGGTAGTTGCGATCGTCAAAGATCAAAGTAATTAGAGCTAGCTGATGCATGGGGTATTCCGTAAATCCTAGGCATGAAAAGCCTCCAAGCAGCAACTCCCGAGTGATGTTCCCAAGTCTATGCTAAATGTACATCCATGCCCAATATCGCGCCAGCTAATGCATATAAAAACCAAAGGAAATCCGCTCGTGATTACAATGACGTGCTGAGCAACAGCAGCTAGTAGGAAGCGCTGACTCTATCCACCCGGACCAGCGTGTGTTTGAGACGAACAAGAAAAGACCCAACGATGAGTCAGAGAGGCGTTGCCAGGGGTAGGCCGCCAGGTACGCTTCGCGCTACACGTCAGCGGAAGACGAGTTGGACCAGGCTGGTGTATCGAAGGAGCAGTGACCAAGGCAGCAGCGGCAGACGTGGGTGTTCGGCATCCGAGCGATTGCGATGGTGCGCGCTATTCATTGAGTTTAGCGGCGTGTGGCTGGGAACCGCGGCGAGAGGTGCCTCCGATCCTGATCGGGCTGCACGCATGTGCTACATGCGGATGCCAGGCTAGACTGGTCGTGCCATGGTGGGAGTTGATATTGAAGTGTGAGATTAGGGCGAGTCGGAGAGAAGATATTCTTGGTAGGTCGTAATGTCGAATAATTGCGTCAAGAGTCGGAAGCGAGATTGCGTGAAGATTGAGTAGCACGCTTCTATTTCGAGGGCACCGGAGGCAGAGGACGAGTCGGTGGGGGTCCTGGGCATGGGGGAAGGTTTTGCGTCGACATCTCGAGATCGTTGCAGAGGATGGCCATTGAAGCGGTTGTGAGTTGGGTGATTGTTGATTGTTGGAAGGCTGAGTTGAGAAGCGATGTACGTTGGAAGTCGTAGTAGTGTTCTCTTCGTAAAAGACTTGTATAGTCAAGCGTGTCTGGATGTCTGATGAAACAGAATTTTGGGACGAGTCGGGGGGCAGCTGTATTTATGTTTGTGCACCGAGATTGCCAATCCCCAAAATGTCGGTCAACTTACATGACGACTGCAATAACGCCTACCCAGGCATGGTCCGAGCGGTGAGCTGATGAGGCGCTGGGCTGTTCGAAAAAAAAGGAGAGTCGAGCTTGGACGCCGCGGTCAAAGTGGGCCTGCCCTAGACGCATAAGCTAGTCAAACAGCGTGCATCCTGGTCATATTGCAGCGCGCATTGCTAGAAACACGGAGGCTTGTCCTTTTGCTTGCCGTTTCATCACGCCCTCGTGACTGCGTGAAGATCCTGTTGATCCAATCCCACTGATGCCTTGACTAGCCGTCGCTTGCTGCCAATCGCACCACAGTACAGGACATGGGCACGCAGGCACGCGTGGACACGATAGACCAGGCTGTGTGTGCCTGATTCTGACATCACTAATCGCCAGAACCGCACTTCCCTGTCGATAGATGGTTGTTTTACTGCACCCAACTTGTCGTGTTAGCTGGCGTTCGTGGATAGCAATGCTGGCATTAGCGCGAACGGTCGCTGAAGTGATTCAAAGTTAGCGCCCTCCTTTTCAGGCGAAAAGTCACCGACGAGATGGTGAAGCAAGGCTGGCCCAAACGCCCCTCAGCGCGCCCGTAGTGCGAGTCGCTTGCGTCGAAATCGGAAACGGCAGGGGTCTGTTCGCCAGTCCCCGTGTCAGGTGTCGGCCGCGACGACCACTGGCCACTCTCAGACAGGAGATGAATTTCACCGTCTTTTGCGACGGTTTGATCTGACTTGTCGTGGGCTGCTCCACTCACGGGCGGTTTGTGGGATATCCTGGCCCAAAGAGCGGCCTTCTCCCGTCCTTCTACCGGCCTTCCAAAGTTCCACCGCAGCCCAACGCGCACATTCTCGCCCAAGAATTTGGCACCGGGCAGCCGTTGGCGGTGAGGTCGGTGTATGCTGGCAACCACCCAAATGACCCAGTCTGGAAGTTGCACCCTGCACCAGCTGAGGTAACGCAAAGCAGGAGCCCACCATACGTCTGTCATGATTATTTTTGTACGCAGGCCCTGTTGTGCGACTCGTATCCTGTGCCCTGCTTGCACGCGCTGACCCTGTTTGCTTGCTTCCGCCAACAGCCACTGGCTGACTGTTTTGCTTCTTGCATACATGTGCTCGACTCTCCCTTTTGGTGTGCAGCACCGCCGGCCATCCCGACTGCAAAGTAATTAGCGGTAGTGCCTTGCGGGAACTGACAGCGGCGACCTGAACCAGACCGCCAACGAGCAGTACCGGAGGCAAAGCGGCAAGCCCAGCTGAACCCAGCTCGGATGCGTCGCAATCCACGTGGGTGCACGTTCCAGGCAGCGATCCTGGGGACAGCCTAAAATTTTGCCCTGTTGCGCAATTGTCTTTGTCCGAGCCATGCAGACCGCGCATTGTCTTGAGCCTCGTACCCCTTTGTGAGTTTGCCGATGCTCAGCGTGCAAGTTGCAATGCACCGATCGACGGCCGCTGTCAGAGCTTGAGCCGTGGGGCAACCAAAATCAGAGCCTGTCCGATCTTCAGGGGAAACTGACCAACCAAAGCTTATATCGCAAACAGCATCACAATTTGCCACTCGGTACTTTCTGACTCTGCAACGGGGGCGACAGATTGACGCGTCTCAGACCAGTGGAGCATTTGTTTTGTCGGCGTCGCTGGACGTGCGGCCGCTCCTAAGCCGATCTCGGCCGTCTCATCGTGGTCGAGGTTTGCATACGCTGTCCCAGCTGTTCGGAAATGCGGAGGACACCAAGATGACGTCGAGCGCGCCTCTTGGTCTCTTTTTGGCTTTCTTGATCTTGGAGTTGGTCGTGCCTGATCGTGGCCAGCCCCACTGCATCCGTCCTCAGGAATCAGACACGACATTGGGTTACGCAACACGAAACCGTATGCAACTTTGTCCGTTGCTCGAGCCCTATGAAGCTGCGTTTCGCTCCGGTGAACTTCGGTCTCCGGGAGTGAAGGCTTTTCCCTTACCGAGCTGTCATCCCGCTCCCTTGGTATCCCAGTTCTCTGAATGCGCTCGCAAATGATCGACGATTAGCCTGTGCAAGCACGCCGGCGTTTCGCAGAACCATGGAAGCAGCCAACGCGACGCATTCGATGTCGGTTCACTTTTTTTTTTTTATGACCTCAGACTGACAAGGGTAATCAGGTACCCGCCACGTATGCAGGTACGACCGGGATATTTCAGCCTTCTTGTGGCTTCGAAGATCCCGGTCCGCAAGGGTGGAACGAACCCTCGAGACGGGCGCCACAAAAGCCCGCCAACACGGCATGGCCGGAGCCAGCAATCTTTATTTCGCCGTTCAATGAACTTGGCAGCAAGTCAGGGTCCGCATCCGTCGGCGTTTCTCTCTGAGTGAAGCTGAGAGTCGAGACAAACGCCTTTCAACCGGGGGAGTGTGGTCACACAAGCAACCCTGAAAGTTGACTGCAGATTGGTTGCCAGCATGCTTCTCCGTGGCAGCTCAAAGAGAAACAGGTCTCATGTCATTTTACGCGCGGTAAACATCGGCTTCGAACTGTCTTCGTCTTCCACTACGATGTAGCTGCTCCACACTTCCCAGGCCCTCTTACATCGCACCCATCGTCATATCCACTCACGCAGGTTCCGCTGTGGCTGGTGCGGATGCTGAGGATGCTGCACGCAATATGCACAGCACCATTACAGACCAAGCCCTCGCCGATCCTGCGTTCGGCGTCCACGTGGTACTTCCTGGGGCCGCGTTCAGATGTTATTTTTGCAGATGTAACTCGTATCAAGGTTCGCTTCGATATTGACTTTCCTAATTGGACCGCGTACACTTATTGGCGGGGTTTCAATGAAACCTTGCACGCAGTGTGGCTTAGCCAATATCTTCATCGTCGTTAACTTGCTCAGCCTGCGCTTGCGTCGACACCCAATTCTCCAACATTTGCTGGCTTGACGCATGCGCACTACTATTGCCTGCCTGATGGCGCACCCCCCTCCGCTTGACTACCAGGCACAATATGCGTCCGTATATGGAGAATCCATCATATGATGTATTCAAGCCAAGCTTCTTTTTTTGATCTTGTTCATCGACTGCATATGTGGTCTGATCCTCACTTCCGTCCGCTTCCGGCACGTCCTCCAGATTAATGGGTTCGTCATCTTCCTCCTCTCTTATGATGACGGTCTCTGTTGGACCATCATTGATTACCAGTGGCTGCTCACCATTGCCTGTGTTAAGCCAATTCGTCAATTTGCCCGAGTTGCTTTGTATCCGAGGTTTGTCTTTGAAGACTTTTTGTTTTGTCAGGACCGAATGTCGTGATGAATGCTCTGTCAGAAAGATGGACACCTCGAAGTCATCTGTTGCAGGTTTCAGTGTCATGTGTGCACGAAACGATTTCCCAAATCACCAACCCTCAACAACAATATCTTTAACGCCCTTCTTCTTTGCTTTGCCTTTGCCACGGCCACTTTTCCGTTCATTCTCCTCGCGCAGTTTCGGCAGTACGAGCGGGCGCACAGCTTGGATCACACGCGGTAGAGCGGGATTGTCACGTCTCAGGAGCCATGTCTCAGCGTCAGAGGGACGGTCGCTGTCAAGGCAAACCCGAGTCAGTCACGGTACCCGAACAAATGCGAGATGTATCTCAAACATGACAAGCATCACGCTGGCTGGTGTGGAGAGACGCATCGCTTACTGCCCAGCGATTAGCAACCTAGATGTGCGATCGTGCAACAATATCTTACCAGATATATGCGAACTTCCAAGACGGAATGCTTTGTGATCCTGAGGTATCTCCTGATCGGAGCCATGTTTCGCGATGCACGTCTGAGACTTGCACTGTGGAGCATGGGGGTGGAATGACGTGAGACACAAGTCTGGGGAAGCGCGGTGTCACATGGTCGCGTATCCGACGGCGCCAAGTAATGGTTCTGGCAGGAGCGATTAGCGCGACGATGCATCATCTTCAATGTTTCTCCACACCTCGAGTGGTCAGACTCGGAAACATCAAGCATGGTCCTAGAGCTCCATACATGGGGTCCAGCCTTTGGCCTTCCCTCCATTGATCCTACGTGCGTCGCTGCCACAGCCTACCTCAACCGCACCCTTCCTCGCGACAGATGGACGCTCATAGCCGACTATGATTCTTCACTTAGCCCTCAAGGTATGATCCTTCCAAGTCCGACTTCGTATGCAGGGGACTAATTGATCAGGGGAACTCCCCCTCCTCGTGGACGCCGATAAGAAAATCACAGGGTTCACCAACATAGTTTCTTACCTCCGCAAGAACTACTCCCACAACCTCGATGCCGACCAAACCCCCCAGCAACAAAGAGATAGGACAGCGTACGATAGCTCTAGCTGACTCTTCTTTGCGTTGTGTTGACAGGCCATCATAGATTCACCTCCCTACTCGAATCTACCGCCGGGCCGCTGCTCGACCTCTACCTCTACGTCTCCTCCGAGAACTACGGCACGACCACCTCCGCTGCGTATACCGCGATACTTCCATGGCACGTGAATTATACCATACCCCCAAAACGGCGAGATATAGCTAGGTCCAGAACCGCCCATCTAGGCTTGAGCAGCCTGGACGTGGCGCAGGCAAGCGAAGACTCGCATGGTCCAGGCAGAGGCACCGCGACCTCCGACTATGAAGCGGCGAAGAGAGCGGCCGGGATACCATCTGAAGACCGACCCCCAGCTCTCCACATGGGACGAGGGAAGGGCGGTCTTCTCAGTTCTCCATTATACGCCGCGCGATTCAAGCTCGATGCCCTGTCGAAGGAAGTGTTACAGCCGCTGGCTGATCAATTGGGAAAGAACAAGTATCTCTTCGGGGGAGATGCGCCATCTAGCCTCGACTGCCTCGCATTTGGTTATTTGTCTTTACTACGGTATGCGCCCGTGCCACAGGCGTGGGTCAGAGAAGCTATACAAACAAAGTACCCAAGACTTGAAGGGTATCTCGCCCGTCTACGAGAAGAATTGCTACACAACGAAGACATAGAGCCTGCTGATGTATGGTCTGTTGCTACAGGCAAAGCTGTGGTTGGCGACTTTGGCTTGCAGTTGCCTTGGGCGAGCAGAAATCCAGGGGCGTTCATCCCACAGTTTCGGGCAGTCGTGCATGATGGGGTCCTGCCACATGCACTACAAAAAGCTCCAACTGTGCGGCATGGTCACAATAACCCACCGCGGACTGCGAGATCATCGCTTCCTACCCCCCTCGCTATCAACACGCTTGCCACTGTCACGACTGCGGCTGCCATAGGACTCGCTGCTTTTGCAGTACAGCACCGGAGATCACCACGGGATGAACCAGTCATATTTTGGGCCCTCCGTCCTTTACAGCCCGTGTTCGAAGGTTTTGGTGTTGAAAGCTTCTTGAGTGCATTGCCCAGATGAACAGTCTTATCGAAAGGCTTCCTGCGATATAGAGTTTGTCATCACTGGCGCTATATACCCCTGCTTGTCCAATGTAACAAGAAAGTGTCATTGTCTACTCGGACACAACTTTTCCGTCCTCCTTGCCACCCTCTACTGCAGCACCGCCCTTGAAGCGGAACCTCTTGAGCCCCCTGATGCCCACGTTGATCTTGAACACACTTCCGGCGTTCTCGTCGACAGGCTTTCCTCCCTCGCCAGCGGTGCCGCCCGCACTTGTGATGACGAGCTCCTCGCCCACGAAACACGGACATGTCGGCTGGCTCGTCGGCACCTTGATTTCCGCAACGATCTCACCCTTCGGCGAGATCCTCAACACGTGGCTTCCTCCGTGCAGCGCTGTCCACATGTATCCCTCCTCATCAATGCAATGACCGTCCGGCACCGCATCCTCACCATACCTGTTGTCTTCGGGCATGACAAAGAACGGGCGCTTGTTCGAGACGTGTCCCGTCTTTGCATCGTAGTCGAATTGGTAGATGGTCTTGAAGGGACTATCGGCGAAGAACATGGTATCGTCTGTCTGGTTCCACGTCGTCCCGTTCGGGATCGTAATCCCATCCAACGGACGATCCAGCGTCCCGTCAGAATGCAACCTGAACACCGCGCCCTCGTTGTTCATCTCAGTGACCAGCGGGTCGAACATGAAACCGACCCAGAACCGTCCTCCGCTGTCGACAGCGCCGTCGTTGCCGCGGAACTTGTTCAGCTTGCCAGCCTTTACCTCTTCATCTGACCATACTTTCTTGATCCAGCGGTACTCGCCCGACTCTTTGTCGCATATGCCATAGCCGTATTTGCCGCCAAAGATGAAGTCGGTGTCGTTGCCTTCGATGTCGGCGGTACAGCCTATGCTGATGTCGTATTGCTTAACGACTTTGTGGGACGAGGGACCTTCGGTAACGGATACGCGGTGCAGCTCTTGCTTTTCGACGTCGACGAAGCGAATTGTATTGGTGGATTCTTCCCAGAACGGCGCTTCACCAAGAGCGCAGTGGAGCTTGATCCATGGCTGAACGTCGTAAGGTCAGCCTTGGCTCGCAATCGTAGCACTGGAAAGTCGTCGCGCTGCAATGGCATGTCGTGCAATGCGGCGAGAGTACAGCTGTGGTGAGGATAGCGGGGCAGGAAGCTACCCCTCCATCTGAACGATTACGTTCACATACCTCGGTGATCTCGTATTTCTTCACGTCACTCATAATTGCGGTTGATCTTGTGTTGTGAAGGTCTATCGAAGTAGAATTACTGGCCAAGTCTTTCCACCGCTAGTTTATCGATTGCTCGGGATGTGGTCGCTCTTGCCGATCCAGATGAAGGAAAGGTGCCCCACAGCATGGATAACGGAGCTCTCCTGCCGGTGATGTTCGGATGAACGCTTTCTACCCCGAAATTTTCTGCAGTTTTGCCTCACGCCAAATACGCAACACGATGTAGATATTCGGGCTTCAAATCTATCTTAGCTCTATGCAGGACAATTCGATAGTATAGTTTCGGTTGTACGGTCCGACATCGCGAACTATCGCTCAATGCAGGCAGCGCAACAACATGATGTGCGCTGCCTCCGTCTCTCTCACTGTACCAGTGAGTGTTCACGCCTACTCTTTTCAATAATTCCGGAGTAAAAAATAGCCACTCTTCGCTTCGAGAACCAAAAAGGCTCTTTCACATTCCTATATCCTTACAACCACTATGCGCTGTAGCTCGACTGGTTGAGAGGAGGTCTGAGGTCTACAGATCACTCTATGAACATTTTGACTTTTGGGAGTGGAGAATGTGCACAGTGTACTTGGCCAGTTCTATTGCACCGAGACTGCCTCATGTATTCCACTGCTGCCTCTCAGTGGACTAACAGTCAAACTGTAATCATGATGCTGATGAGACCGGCTGCCATCAATTCCATCAGGACTATTGTTCGGCCACATAATCATCTGATTGGTCTTTGAGGGAATGCAGACACAGCCCTCTACCGCCAAGGTAGCAAACGCGTTGTGAGTTGAGGACGTCTTTCCGGTGAGGCGCCTCATTCGTCGCCCTTCCGGTGAGGGCCTTTATTCGCCCTCCCAGTGAGGCTGTACAGGTACACAGCATCTGTCAGGCAGCAACCGAGGCGCGCAAAAGCAGCCCAACACCACAAACCTACTTGACAAGATAAGTAACGCAACAATGCGGCGCTTGTGCAAGAAGTGTATCCCGAACTAACCTTCTTTTCTGATAGAACTGTATGATGCACTGGGCAATACTGGTTGGTGTACTCTACTACGGCTCGTCCCTTCCAGACGACAACAGACTCAAGGGATGCGTAGCTGATGTCGAAGATATGGAAGAATTTCTTGAGCTTCTCAAACTTCCAGTCAAGATCTTCAAGTCAACTTCAAATCATCCCACCGTGGGCGCTGGATATCCTCCTGAGAAGCCCAAAGAACGCGCTATTCTTCGCAATTTCATAGACCGGTTGAATGATGTTATCGAATATGGGTAAGAGGGAGATAACGTTTATATTTAATATTCTGGACATGGAAGTAAAAACCCCAACGAAGGAGACATCCACCTCAATTTTTATACCGATAGGCATAATTCTCAGTGGACTGGATCGAGGATAGCGGGGAAGCTCAAAGAAAATTGTGCACAAGATGCATGTTACTGTGGCGTTCGAGTGCTGTATCTCTGGTGCCACTAAACGCCATGGTAGAGCTCCAACTTTTGGGGTCTGCTTCAGCAGCACCGTCGAACCGGTGGAGCATCTTGACGAGGAGTTTGGAGCAACAGGAACTCGGACGGACCTCCACCCAACTTGTGCCACTTTCTGAAATGCCCAAGTGATTCCTCAGTGGATAACGAATCCACAAGGCTATACAATTTTCTGTGCCTGTGCTTCATCTCAAATAGCGAATGAGGTCTACGAGCTCAAGCCCAGAAAGGAAGCAGATACAGAGACGGGGTTGCAGGGGGTTCTAAATCGTGAACATTTTACGACAGCAAAAAGGCCCATTGAACGCGGGGCACTTTCACATGTGCTGCTCGAAGCCCTTAAACAACTGAGACAAACCGACACCACCATTATTGCCGGCTCACTGTTCGAGCATCAGCGCGCTCAATTCCATGTTCGGGTACCAAATCAAACCCCAGTTCTCTACGGCAGCAAAACGACGTCGTTCTTCGCTGACAGTCTCTCATTTTCAGACACCGAGATCGTGCCTGTTTTCAACAAGGATAGAAAACTGATGATGCACAAGGGCCCTGTTCATGGTGTCGTCATTGGCGACAAATACAGCCTTTTCCCGCTACGAAAGAGTGCTGACGCCTCCGATAAATATGTGCGTCAAAGAAAGCAACGTTGCCGCCATCCTGATCCCAGCATGAGGTTACTCCGGAAAGAGCTCGCTGGGTCCAATTCTGCCTGACAAGCCAGATGCATTACAGGCGGATCTTTGATTACCCCAAGGACCTTTTTCTTGTTGGGCGTTGTTAGAACCTTTATGTCGGCTGTATTGTTGACGTGCCGCCGGAATGACTCAATTTAATTCTTGGTATCCAGGGTGCCCACTTCAGATCTAAGTGTTGTGGACATTGCAACAATGCCAACAGGACCCTCGCTAGCAAGACCCAGAATTTGAGCTTCGCTAAGTCTTCGCCCCATCTCTTGATGCTTGAGGGGACCCATTCTCATATTCTTTTGCATAGCCAGATAGTCTGTCAAACGGGTATCTCTCTCAAGTGTCTGTAAGGTTTCTACGGGAGGGTTTCTTGCTTTGATGAAAACGGAAGCCGATGTTGCCCCCAACCGAGGAGACCTGCGGAGGATGCGCTCGTAGTCCTCATCCGCGTGGGTGGGAAGGACAAGTTGCTGAACCAAGTCCAATAACCGCCGCAGACTAGTGTCCCAGATCTGCAGAGGCCAACGTAGCTTCTTGTCTAGCCTCCATGCGACTGTAAATGGAACCATTCGTATGGTGGAGAGCTTTTCGTGCAAAATCATTGCTTATCGAGGATTTGTCTTCGTCGATACCTCTGCATGGAGGTGGTCGTCCAAGGTGAGGTAATTCACCAGGAGAGGCATTCGAGTAGATCAAAACAGGGTCATGCGCTTGAAGTTACCCATCTTCCACATTCGCGTTCTGTGGTGCGTCTACAACCAATGTTTATCGGAAGTGTCATGAGTACGGACGTCGTAGTCGTTTGTAAATGGTAGTGTTCCGAACGCAACCAAATGCTACAGCATCGTGGTGCAGATGCCTGAGTCTTTGAACGTCGTTCGCCATTGTCCTTGAGCAGCACAGTACCAACAACGAACGTGAACGGGAGATTGGCGATGTTTCCAAAAGAAAAAATTACTATCTAACGTTCCCAATTATTATCCAGCTCGAAGCCGTTCTTAGGCACATAGTCCTATCGTTCCAGCATCCAATCGTAAGACATCAAAACAATCGCTATACATGTATACGCAGCCGAATAACGTTGCTGAGCCGAGCTAGCTAGCAGCCTGAGAACCAGGCCTCATCAGCTCATGGTGCATTACATGGCCCACATGAATATTATCTCGCTTCTCCATCGCTCCGTCAGGGGTATACATCGTAGGTTGAGAAGCTGGACCATCAGAGGAGTGATGCGCTACAATCCTTGTTGAACAAGGACTTAAGCAGCAACTACCCTCTCCTCCTCGCGGCCTCGGGTCTCCGCGATGGTTGAGGGGGCATCGAGGTCATCCTCCTCCTCCTCGTAGCCGTTACCAGCGTGCTCTGAAGCCGGGATCCAGAGGCCGGATTCCCTGTCGCCGAGCGGCTGGTCCTGGTGGGAGAGGTCAACACCCTCGCCGCGGTGAGCGTTCTTGCGACGTTGCGAGAGAGTGCGAGCGCGAGTGGAAAGCTTGGAGCTGACGGCAGCGTTCTGCGTGACCCAGTTGGTCAAAGCATCCTCGCAGTCCTGAATGATGCTGCGCAAGTTCTTAGCCTCGAAATGTATGGAAAGAATATGAATACACTTACGCCTTGCTGGCCTCGTAGCCATCGTAAGCATTCCTGGTCTCTCCAGGAGTCACAGGAGTATCATCGACGAGCTCAAGGAGGTGCTTTCCGAAGCCGGCAATGATGGCGATCTTCTCGCTGTGCTCACGGAGAGCGTCAAACTGGTACGTGAAGGCAGCCTTCAACTTCTCACGAGTGATGTTGGAAAGCTGGGCCTCAGCGACCAAAGACTCAGCCTCGGCGCGAACGAGCTCCTGCTCAAGAACAACGATCTTGGGCGAGTTGGGCTCCTTGTACTTGAGCTGGGCAATCTGGTCGGTGATCTTCTGCTTGCCTATAACAATGTTAGTGTAAAACATAGCGCGAGCAGAACTTGTAACTCACGGTCGCGACTGGGCTGGACAGACGCCTCAATGTTTCGGATGCTCTTGATGGTCACACGGTACTGGTCGTAGCGGTCGACAAACTGGTCCTCGAGCTCGCCAATCTCGTAGATGAGGACACCCAGCTTGTCGGTAACATCGGAGACATCATCGTCGCAAGCCTCACCCCAGATTGAAAGTTGTTGCTGCGCATGTGTGAGCAATCGCCCCGTTATGACATCACAGGTCGCAAGCTTACAGCAACCTCCATGCGTTCTCTGCTGACAAGCTCCATGGAGCGCATAACGTTCTTCTCCATCTTCACCAGTGCCGAGAGCTTCTTCGCAAGATCAGGTCCGAAGGAGCCCGCTGCCTTGTGGCGGAAGGTGTGTCCTGAGAAGCGATTAGTCCCTTTTGTTCCGGGTCTATTGCGGAGCGACGCATAGCGCGCCTTTTCCCCTAAGCCAGGCATCTTTCGAAATTCGTCTCTTGGATGTGTTCAAGATGTGACCGTAGAAGGAAGCCTGGCGAAGGCACAAAGGCATGCGATGAGGTGGTGCGGAAGAGTCCGGATGGCCTAGGAGAAGTGCTAGAGGTGCTAACGTACCAATGTTTGCCCTGCCAAAGAATCGCCCCGACTTGGTCGACGAAGACGGAGGCGGGGGGTTCTGAATCTGCGACGCCGTAGGGGCGCGCGATTGGCGCATCGAGTATGTTCTGAAAGGAATTGCGGTCAGCGCAAGTGTGAGGGGTTCCTGAGGCAGCCTCCACTAACCTGTGCATGTTGGCGGTAGGATGGGGCAAGACTGTTCGGTATAGAGCGAAAGTGCGACGGTGGTGTTATGGTGTTGAGGAGGCCTGCAGCGAGGGCGACGATGATGTTTGTACGGTGGAGGACGCGGAACTACGTCATCGGTCGTCGGCGATTCAGCCCCCGCTAATCACAGCAGATCGTCTCCACAGCACCGTGCGAACACCCGCAACCCGCGCATCATTCCGCAAGTTGCCTGCAACCCTGGCCAAGCTCCTCCAAAAGCGGTACGACGCCTCCTCTGTCATCCCAATTGGTCACCCCTGGTTGCCTTGCAACGGCATGTGCCCCTCCGTGTGCGGTGACAGCCCTGCTCACCCATGGCAAGGCTGCATACGCGGTGCACAAGTCCATGTCCCTAACCGGTTTCAGCAGGTTAGGGGTTAGTGTGTAGGTGGCGTCTCACTAGGTGTCATCTGCTGTGTGCGCGGTCGGCGAAATATCGTCATTGAAAAGGGGTCTACGGCGTAGCCCAGGGAAACCTGTTGTTGGACTGTGGGCGGAGAGATGGACCGGACAATGGTTTTCGCGCCGCAACAGGACGGCACAAACGGACGTGCATATCGTGATTTTGAATGTTGCAGACTGCCTAGGCTTCATCGGACATGGTTCAGATCCTCTGCACCAAGTATCTGCCCTAGCCCTGGAGGCTGCTGATTCACGTGCCAGAAGTCTTTTGTGTCGACAGATGCGGTTGTGCTTTGGTAGCGCGCCTGCCACAACAACAGGATTTACATAAAATATTCTATTCGGGACATACTGGTGGCACCAAAGTCTCGAAGCGTTTCCGATGCTACAATTAGTCTATACATGCTCCGTAGCTCATACAATATAATACAAAAAGTGTACATCTATACAACACAGACAAGTGTTCATGCCTTTCCCTGAGCAGACTCCTCTGCTACTTTCAGATGATATGCCTCCCACTGCTCCTTCGTGGCCCTGTTCGGGCTCTTCACCAAAGCATCCTCTCCACTACCGCTTTTTGAGAATGCAATGACATCCCTCACGCTCTCACATCCTGTCAACAACGTCATCAGACGGTCCCACCCCAGTGCAATCCCCGCATGCGGCGGACATCCGCTTCTCAGCACATCTAGCAAATGCCTGAAGTCCTCGATCCGTTCCGGCTTCATCTTCAGCACGTCGCGGAAGATGAACTCTTGCACCTCAGCATTGTGGATACGACGGCTACCGCCGCCAAGCTCCACACCGTTCACGACGATGTCGTAGTGTGCCGCGATTGCTTTTGTGGGGTCTATAAGAAGCAGGTCGAGATCAGAAGCGGTTTTGGGTGCCGTGAAGGGATGGTGTGTGGACGCCAGGCCAGCCGTACCACCTTGGCCTGGCTCTGCTTCATTTGTAGGCGAGAAGAGTGGGAAGTCTGTGATCCAGACGAATCGATAATCGTTCCAGCGTGGTGGCTCGATCAGACCTTGGGCAGCTGCAGCTTTGTACAGTGCAAGACGCAGGTTCCCGATCGTGGTGGATCCGCCGGTGAAGCGACCGTGAGGGCGTGCTTGCATCACAAGGAGGTCTCCGTGATCGGCCGCTACTTCGGCAGGTGCTTCCATTGCAAAGCGGTGCCCGAGAGGCCCTAGACCACCCATGGGCTGACGGGCGTCGCCGCAGAAGGTGGCGGGTTGGCCGTCGGGGTTTTGGAGGAAAGGAGCGCCTTCTGGACTGTCGAAGAAGTCGGCGATGAACTTGCGGTTCGTGGCTGGGTCATCTGAAAGCTGCATCTTGAACGCGTCGATGGCAGGATGCTTGAGTGATGTTATTTTACCGATAAAATCGGGTTCTAAGCGTTCGGTGACTTCGTGGATCTGGATACATCAGCAGCCAATATTTTAGGACATTGCGATACTTACCTTTGCGCTATAACGAAGATCCGGTTTGTCTGAGCCATAGGATGACATTGCCTCGTGGTAAGTCATTCGTGGAAACGGCGTTACGGGTGCCTTGGTAAAAGTTGACCAAATTTTGCTAACCAGAGCCTCAATCTCTGTCATTACCGTCTCTTCGTCCGCGAATGACATCTCCATATCAAGCTATCATTGTCAGTCATATATTCAAAAGTATAACGAGGGGACTAGTCTTACCTGCGTAAATTCTGGTTGACGATCTGCTCTCAAGTCCTCGTCGCGGAAACATCTTGCAAACTGATAGTATTTGGGGAACCCAGACGCCATCAGAATCTGCTTATACTGCTGCGGGCTCTGAGGCAATGCATAGGCGAGACCCTTGTTTCGTGTCGGCACTAGAAATTCGCGTGCCCCCTCGGGCGTTGACTTGAAGAGAAGTGGCGTTTCAATCTCTACAAACTCTCGCGCATGCAACAATTTCCTTGCTTCGTGGATGGTAGTGCTCCGTGTAATAAGGCGACCTCGCGCTGACCAATCGGTGCGAAGCTGCAGATGGCGCTGTTCAGGTCCATACACTGCCTCACTCTTTATGATAATATCCTTGGGAACCTCGTTGAGCGGAGTGATAGCTGTCAAGGCAATCTCCCGCGTGTTCATCATTAGAGTATTGCCTTGGGATGTAGTAGCATTCGGGTCTTGTTTGGGAGGTGCTGTGCGCTCCTTCATGATGCCCTTGATAACTACAGGTGTCCATTCTCGTAGTGTTTTCAACAGATTGTGCGCTTCTGCCTCCACGCTACCTTCCACGTTGGCATTCGAGACAATTTGGATTGCAAGGTTTTGCTTTATGTTGCGCAACACGGTAAAGGAAAGCTTTTTGTTCACATCACGTCGTGTCTGCAGGTACCCACAGAATGCCACCTCGGAGCCAGGCCTTACTGTCTCCCATACGGGAGATAGCTTAGCAAGAGCACTCCAATCTTCTGCACGTACTGGTAAGATGGTCAACAAGGGAACGGCAGACCCCATACATCGATGCAATGCTTACATGTTGTTCTATATTGATCTAAAGCCTCTTTGGCCTTGGAATCCGGTCTGATTACAGTGCCGATTTTGCGAATTGATGTTTGCGAACATGCTGCTGAGGCTCGGAATGCGGTCCCGTGATTGCGCGTACGAACGAATCGCGATATCTCGGCGTATGAGCTCCGGAGACACGAGCTGCGACTGTTCAAATGCTGCGTAGCTTGCCTCAAGCTCATACTTTCCGAACAGCTCGTCTTTCTGACGCAGCTGAATGACAACAACAACATCGTGTCTCCTGATGCTCATGCTGGATGTCAAAAAGCGCAGACGCTAAAAGCATGACTAAGCGTCCAAGCTCCCCACCGACACAAAATCCGCTGGCCGCTGAACTCTTGCTCTCTATCCTTCCAGTTTAAAACAAGTAAGCACCCGCCCGCCGGCATTAATTCTCCAGCAACTTACAATCGCGCAGATGATGAAAGTCTAGCGTGTACCAGATGAGCTGTCCTCCTCTTCCGCCTCCGAACTCTCCCTTTACCGGGCCTAAGTGGTTCGCCGTGTAGTCGAGAAGGCAGCATGATATCTGCGTTCGACACACCCTCCTTGTTACATAACGGACGCTCGGACAAAATTTCTGACCTCAAACTGGCAAGGTGTTTTTTGGCGGCAGCATACGAGCGCGACGAGTCGAGCGTGCGGCGGAGCTCCCATGATGGAGGGCAGCGACGGCCGCGGTGGTACATACTCGATACGCGATTACAATCGAAAGCTTTTTCTGCGCGCAGTCCTTTCATATCGTGATGGTGACCTTCCGGTCCAGCGCACGTTGCGCTTTGGGTCTTTCGTAATGCAAGACCGCATTCGCCGTTACACCTTATGAGAAGGAAGAAGAACCCACTTTCTCTTTCTCAACAATCGGCGATAGAATAATGCTCTGACAATCAGTCCTCCTTTCCACCCATGAAGGCAGGGATGTAAAAGCATTGCTACATACAATAAAACTGTGCACAAGCCGTGCCCAAGACTTGCTGGCACAAGCCCCTACTAAAATACATGTTTTACAGAGTCCATCATAAGTACAAGTGTGCGGCGTAATCCCTACTGTGTCTCTTCGCCTGACTCTGCCCGTCTAGCTTTGAAATCTTCCCACCCAGGGCAGGTTAGGCCTTCCTTTTCGAAGTCCTCTTCGGTGACAATGCGGCAAATTTGTATCTTCGACTTGCCAGATCGTAGGACGAGCGCCCGCCAATCGAGTAGGTACTGGTTCGGATCGGTGGTGCTGATGGCCTCCGGGATCTGTTCCCATTTCAGACCAGATGGGTTCTCCAGCGACCCAGAGTTGGGAAGGACAACGTATGCGCCCCTCTTAGCGATCAGACGCTGACCTTCGCTCTTGGAGCCAACGAGTCCGGCAGCATGTAACACACGGGGAAACGAGCCTTGCGAAAGCAGGGGCAGCGGCAGAGTTACTATTTGTGAAGCTTCCTTTTGGGAGTCCTCTGCAGAATTTCCTGTGGCTGTTGAAGACGAAGCATAGGTCTTCTTATAGGTGAGCAGCTTCAACTCAGCTTCGTCGACCTTATCGGGTTGTTCCTTTTTCTTTATTTCTTCAAAGGCCTTTCTAAGCCCGAACAGCGAGAACGTGTGAGTTCCTTGACTGAAAGCCTCTTTGTGCGCAGCTTCGGCCTTCATTGCGTCTTCGGCTCCGTGAGCAAGTTCGACGACCTCCTTGGCGAGGACGTGTTGGGCGGTGCGTTTCGATTCGTCCTTTCGCTGACTCTCCATGACGAGGTCAATGTGTTGAATAGGCAAAAATGTGAATAGCTTCAAGTAGCGTTCGACATCATTGTCCGCGGTCCGAAGGAAATACTTTCATAAGTCAGCGTCGCCCTTCGAATGGAGTGAAAATGTACCTGATAGAGATCAAAAGAGTTCATCATCTCTTTGTCTAGCCAGACAGCGTTGCCGGCACTCTTTCCAAACTTTTCACCTGAGGCTGTCGTGAGTAGTGGTGTCGCAAGACCGAAAGTCGCATTGGCGATGTCGTCCTCTGCTCCCACTCGCTGGTCTCCACGGGTCCTGCGCATGTAGCTCACGGCATCCATGCCAGCGCAAAGATTACCGTACTGGTCAGAACCGCCGAGCTGAAGCTGTACGCCGTGTTTGTTGTACATCCACCACCAGTCGTATGCTTGGAAAAGAGGGTAGCTAAATTCAGAGAAGGACATGCCTTCGCCATTCTCCATGCGCACCTTTACCCTGTAGCAGATTTAGCGCATGCACAGTGCAATTTGACCTGAGTACCTTACGAATCTCGAGCAAGCATGGGACCAAGCCGCATGCCTGAGCCCACTTGTTGCATCAACTCAATCGCGCTCAGATTCTGCAACCATGTATGATTATCCAAAGCCATTCTGGTCCTGCTAATCTCCGCAGGGAATCGATGCTTTATTCCAAGACACTTCACGTGGGTCCAAAGCTGGTCGATTTGCCTTCGCATGTTGAGTATGTTCATCGTCCGAACATCGTCTGCCTGGCGCGCGCGCTCGGTCGTTCGTCCGGAAGGGTCTCCTATCAAAACGGTACCCGCTCCTAGCTATGAGATGGTTAATGATGATGGGTGGCATGGGGCGGAATATGGGCGCTCACCAGCGTTACGGAGGGGTAGCCGGACAGGTACAACCAGAATAGCGCCATGAATGGGAGCAGATGCCCGACGTGCATCGAGGGAGCGGTCGGGTCCACACCAACGTATGCTCCAATATCCTTCTGTGTGAGGAGCCAGTCGAGCTGCTCTCGGCCTCTGAGCAACTTGTCAGCTGTTTTTTCGCCGCAAAGGTCAACTAGCATACCCGGCAACATCTTTTACAAAGCCTCGCTCTTCCAAGATGGTCAGCATGCTCTTTTCTTGGCCATTCTTTATCTTATTGGCCCGCTGTTCCCACTGCGCTGCTGCTCGTGCCGGGTCCATGATCTTCTGACCCCAGGTACCCTTCTGCCGCTGGCCCTCGATTGTGGTTCGTTGCTTGCGTATGCATTGTTGGCAGACATACGGGCGAGCCCGTGGAAGCTGTCTGAGGAGCGACATAGCTGTCAATGCTCCAGGCTGGATGCGCGCTGGAGCAGGTCGCAAATGTCGCGAAGCTCAAAAGTTCGCGCGTCGGGCTTGCTGCACGCTGATTGGCCGCCTGGCGGAGGAGCTGACCCAACCTACTCCGCACACGTCACCAAGGTGCTCCACCTCACCATCCATTAGCCCTCCAGAGCTGGACCCTTCCTCTCTTCTCCGCCGGACGGATTGAGAGCTACCTTGGGCCCATTTGCGATAATCACGCCTGATCCCAAGCTTCTTCATACAAACCCAACAACATGTATGCGTCCCTTACGTGCTACCCTCCTCTAGGGCAGACCACTATAGTCCCCGCTCAGAAACAACATGTCAGTCTATACATTCGAATCGTTAATCCCGTTCTTCAACAATACTAACAGCCTTAGGTTAAGTTTACAGTATTGATTGAGAGTTCAACCGAGAAACCGTGGGATGTCGCTTTACACACGAACTTCGATGACCGAGAAAAGTGGGCGAGCTTGAAACTAGAGCCAGCTGAACAACCTCCGTCTCTGGTATGGCTTACTGTCTCTCGGCGCTCTCTGGCTAACGAGCTTAAGTTGTGGACTAGTAAAGATGCGAAGACGAATCTTCATCGCAAATGGTTCACCCTCGATTTAGCGGGACTTCCCAAGCACGGAAGACCCGTATCTTTCACGTTTACCTTCCGGGGAGCTGCAGATGAGCCCTGGAAATGGGCCAATGAGCAATTCTCCACATCGGATGGCCATATAATATACCAAACACCAAGACCTCTTGATACACATTTGACAAAGTTTATAGACGGATTGCCCGAAAACTTGAATATTCAAGAAGAGAAAAGCGACACACCCGAAACTGTTTTGTGGAGCGTTACCAGTCTGGTCAAGTCTGCATCTGGAAAGGCATCCGGATTCTCAAAAAACAAGCTTGGCAAACCGACCAGTTTGTCGCGATGGTTTGCGTTGGTAAGACTATGGAGTCCTTGGTTGGCACCGCGTCAAGGTAGATCCAAGTTCAATCCAGACAAAGAAGCTGTCGTAGCCGCCTTCCAACGCGAAGACGGCTCACACCTCGTTGTTCTTGCAACCAGTGGAATTGACGATGTGATGACTACTCTAAGTCATGACGGGGATGGTAATGTCATGATAGAATCTCGAAATGACAGCGATGAAGATGGATCAGCTACGCTTATCGTTGCCGCAGGGCACTCTTTGGAGTTTGCCATGTCTGCTGCTATGTATCACGCTCGCAAGCTCGTTATGAGATATCAAGCTGCCTCTGGTGAAAGTGCTGCAGAGAAAGAGGCTCTGATGAAAGACTACAAGCCACAATGGCTACAGAACTGGTACGATGGACTTGCTTACTGCACATGGAACGGAATTGGGCAGAAGCTCACCGAAGATAAAATATTTGAGGCGCTCGATTCGCTCAAGAAGAACAACGTCAACATCTCGAACCTAATTATAGATGACAACTGGCAATCGCTGAACCACGAGGGAGGCGATCAATTCCAAAACGCCATGACAGAGTTCGAGGCGACCAAGACAGGCTTTCCGAGGGGCTTGAAAGCTGCCGTGTCTGACATTCGCGAGAGGCATCCGAATGTCAAGCACATCGCTGTTTGGCATGCACTTGTAAGTATCTGCGATACTCTGAAACCCTTGTACTGACCGTGCCACAGTTCGGCTACTGGGGAGGAATTGCGGCTAAAGGCAAGATTGCAGATGAGTACAAGACCATTACCGTCCGTAAGAAGGATGGAGTTTCTGGAGGTACCATGACTGCTGTCGCCGAAGAAGACATCGGGCGTTTCTATCACGACTTCTACCAATTTCTAAGCTCCACAGGCGTAGATTCAGTCAAAACAGATGCCCAGTTCTTCGTGGACGAGCTCGATGACGCCCCCGATCGCAGACAGCTGATCAAAGCATACCAGGATGCGTGGAATATCAACCAACTTCGTTTCTTCTCTGGCAAGGCTATTAGCTGCATGTCGCAAACACCGCAGCTTATCTTCCATTCCCAGCTTCCGTCCAACAAGCCTCGCATACTGCTACGAAACTCGGATGACTTCTTCCCTGAGGTGCCGGCTTCACATCCGTGGCACATCTTCTGCAATGCACACAATGCCATATTCAATCAGTATCTGAATATTCTCCCCGATTGGGACATGTTTCAAACCTCACACGAGTGGGCTTCTTTCCACGCTGCAGCGCGCTGCGTTTCTGGAGGTCCGATATACATCACCGACGTGCCTGGAAAACACGATATCGGCCTGATAAACCAAATGGTTGGCAATACTCCTCGAGGAGACAGTGTCATTTTGCGGCCTCACACCGTTGGCAAGAGCACCTCTGCGTACAATTCCTACGACGACACGGTCCTCTTGAAAGTTAGTACGTTTGTTGGCATGGCACACTCAGGCGTTAGCATCCTAGGTGTCTTCAACTGCACACAGCATCCTATCACAGAATTGATCGGTTTGGACCAATTCCCGGGTGCGGAGAACGGAACGTATATCATTCGGAGTCATACCAGTGGCAACGTTTCGAAGCCAACAACAGCAGAAAGCGGCGACGCACTTGTACATGTCGAACTACCGGTCATTGGCTGGGAAATCCTCTCAGGATTTCCTATCCAGTCTTTCAAGCTTGAGCGTGGGCAGCACGGTGCAACAGGCCCTGCAGATATTTCCGTCGCAAATCTTGGGTTACTGGGTAAGATGACTGGTGCTGCTGGTATTATCAACAGTGACGCCTACATCGAGCGTGACTCTGGCAAGCTCAGGATCTGGACTTCGCTGAAAGTCTTGGGCACATATGGTACGTCTCACTGTCTTGCATCATCAAAAGCCTGTTTCAAGGATCGTTAGCTGACATTTTGTAGGCCTCTACATCTCCGACCTCAAGAAACGCTCTATCCAGAATGACTTCATGGCTGTCATTTTCGGTCGACCCATTTCCCCCAAATGCGTCAAGATCAACGACCAGTGCGAAAACATTCTCGAAATTGACACTGTTCGGGCTTGGAAGGAGACGGACCAGCATGCTGGGTGGAGTAACGAGGTTGCTGTCGAGGTCGTGATTCGGTGATAGTCTTTGGGGGTATTCGTGAAGCGTCGTGGAAAGATACAAAGAGTCCCATCTGTTCCTTTGTCACTTTGCCTTAGACTAACTGTACATGGTTGCCAATGCTTCGGGTGCCAACGTTAAGCGACTACTAGCCGCGATATTCATGTCTCAACTTGAGGAAAGGTTTTGTAATACGAGATGCCGTTAACGGTAGTTCTATTGCGTAATCTCTACCAAAGCGTATTGCGATTGCATAAAGCATGAGTGCAGTTATCGCTGAAGACATCATGAAATACAGCAAAAACAATCTTACTTACTCCCTGTTAGGCTCTCTCTGGACCGCCCCGGTCCTTTTTCCTTTCCGACTCCTCTGAACAAGGATCTTTCGCGCGTGCCTTTTCCTGCGAAGGCGGATAGACGAGGACGTTCTCCTCTAGAGACCCCGGGTTCCTGTTGTCCACCGCTGGAAATCTCAGTAGAGCCGGTCCTTGTCCTTCCTCCGGGTTTTCTGGACCTGGGCCGTTCGCGTGTGCCTTTTCTTCCTGGGGTGGATTGACAAGGACGTTGTCGTCGGGCCGCCCGATTGCCCTGTCATCCACTTCTCTCGATGGAAGTCTGATCGGCAATTCGAACCCTGCTGCCTCAAGATTCCTAGGATTGCGGTGATCCACACGGAAATTGGATGGGTCTCTTTGCCCGCCGTCTCTCTGGGCCTTCACCGGTTTCTGGTTCCTAGCCCACTGTTGTCTCCTCCACTTTTGCTGACCCAACCTCTTTGCTTCCTTATCCTTCTTGGCCCTTTCCTCCTCGGTCATGTGCTTGTACTGAGGGCGAAACAAATGCTCTGTCCGCTCTACGCTGCGCGAAGCAGAGCCCGGGCCCAGGACGTACTCTTCGTAGTCGAGTTGCGCCTCCTTTTCACGGAGGTGTCGAAGGTTTTTCCACCGCCGTTTCTGGTTCCAAAGCCACTTTTTATCGACGTTCGGATCATTGGGGTCAGGGGGCATGGGTGGGGAGAGCAGAGGGTATGTGAAGTCTTCGCGCGTACGCCAGCCTTCGGGTGCTGGGTATGTAGGACCGTAGGGCCAAGCGACATGGTTCAATGTGTCAATGGGGTCTTGTTGGTGTGCTGGCTTCAAGTTACCATGGGAAAAAGGGTTGTGAACCAGTCGCTGGGTGACAGTGGGTGCACTGGCGCTGGTGGGTTCGGCGAATACCATTTGCGCACCGGGGTCTGTGTGCGCAACTGCCTCTTTTTGCTTGTTCTGAACAGGCTCTATCTGCAATCCAGATTCAGTATTATCAACTTGAAAAGAATCTCCTTCGCAACTTGAACCATTGTGCTCAACCTCAGCTGAGTCTGTTTGACGACCTGAGTCACTTTCTCTCGGAGCGGTGTGACAACCCGAGCATCGGTGTTCTGAAGGAGCGAATTCACAACCGGAACACAAATGTATGACAGGAAATCCCTTATCAGGAGACGACGAAACTCCTTCAATCTTTGAGTAGTTTAGAGAAGCAGATTCCGTCTGTGCTCCCGTATCGGTACACAGAAGCTGAACAGGAACAGGCTTCACAGAAACCTGCTCAATGCTCGAGATTCCGAGATGAGGAATGAATGATTCAACCTGGACCCCAGCGTCACCATATAAAGAAGGCTTGGGAGACATCGAGACTTCTTCAATCTTGGAGTAGTTTAGAGGAGTAGGCTCTGTCTGGGCCCCCATATTGGTATACGGGATTTGAACGGTAGCAGGCTCCACAGAAACTTGCTCGTTACTCGAGATTTCGAGAAGAGGACGAACTGCTTCAACCTGGACCCCAGAGTTGGTGTTCAAAGGCAGTGGCACAGACACTGGATCCACAGACCACTGCTCAATACTCGAAACTCTAAGGGTAGGATGGAATGGTTCAACCTGGACCCCGACATTGGTATTTGAAGGAAGCGGCACGGGTACCGGATCTACAGATAGTTTCTTAACCTCCGGGAAGCCAAGGGCAGGCATCACTGGTTCAACCTGAGCCTCTGCGTCGGTATATGGGGGAGGCTCAGGTTCAGCGTCAAAGATCGTAGTGACTACTGATCGCTGAAGAGCAACAGCTGCCGGATCAATAGGCTCTTGCTCGATGCTCGAGAAGCCAAGGATAGGTACGACTGGCTCTACCTGCGCCCCTCCGTCGGTATACGGCAGACCTGTAGGAGACGTCTGAATCTCTATGTCGTTATATGAACTGGGCGCAGGTGTATTTTGAGCTACCATGGTGGTGTCTGATTTTTGGAGAGCCGTAGGAAGGGGTTCCACGGATACTCCTGACATACTCGAGAAGGCCAGCGTATGGATCACTGAATCAGTTTGGGTCTGCACATTGGCATACGAAGGGTCCAGGGGCACCCTATCGATAGTCTCAATAGTTGATAGCTGAAGAAAATCAGGTGACGGGCCCAAGGATGCAGAATCGTATGTCATAGAGATATCCGATTGTTCGAGCTCGACGGACGAAGGATTAACAGGCTGAGGATGAGCCGCGACCGCCGTAATAGTTGATTGTCGAAGAATAACCGGACCGGGGACAATTGGTTGAGGATTAACTGATACCTTCTTAGACAGTCGCCAGAAATAGATACCGAAGTTTACGAGTACAGCGTTTAGAGCTGAAGAGGCAATAAGGAAGGGCACAAGCAGTGTGGTGAAGTCGGAATCATGAATCGACACTGGAGGCTCCACTGTGATTGAGTTGGTTTCGTTGTTTCGGACAGGTAAGACATCGGATGGTGCTGAGGATGGACTGCTAGCAATCTGGGTTGACTGGGAGATAGGTTCTGTTGCGGAACTAGGTGCGCTGCTGGCCGATTGATTTGGTCGCGGTGAGCTGATTAGACTTAAGTTTCTGGTCTCTGAAAACCACTTATTCAACCAAGATGAAAGGCGAACTAGCCAGGAGGCTGTGCTGTTTTCGTATGTTTCGTCGGCCTTAGGTACACCAGGGTGTATAATCTCATCGGCGCTCATTCTTTCTTTGTCTATATTAGCAGGGGGCGTTTCTGATAGCGATACGTCATCCTGAGAGGCTGTATAGTCTCCGACAGCTGTCGGGTTGCCAGCCGTTATCTCGTTCTGACCAGCTGTTTCTTCTGGCAAACTTAGATCGTTCCGTACTGTCTTATTATTACCAACAGCCGCGTCATGCTCAAATTTCAAGGACTTTCCAGTAGAATGCGAAACCGAAGCAGGAGTCGAAGAGGTTGTTGTTCTGTTTTCAACACTAACTGGCACATAGATAGTCGAAGGCGTCGGAGTTGCGACCCCACTATCAGAAGTGACCCCGTGTGACGATTCGAAGGAAGACCTAGACGGAGGTGAGGAATCAGTCGATACTGGATTGCTCAGGTCAACAGTGATATTCTCAGCGCCTAGTGCCGGTGATTTTTCATCTGCATTAGATAATGGAAAGAAGTCACTCGTGAGGTCCTGGGCATTATGGGCGATGCGCACAGGATTGAACCATCTCCCAGGAAGTGCGCCAGCGGCGATAGTGAGGAGAGCCAGGGGCTGGTTCTTCCAGTGCGGGAAACCGACTACGCTGATGCATGCGGCGGCGAGATTTAGGTGGTCCGCCATGGGGTCTTGGAATTCGGTTGGTTATGGAGTGGAAATTGAAGGTAGCAAGCGTGGTTCACGCTTCTGGGAAGGCGCTGAACAGATTGTGAAGCAGAAGCGACAACAGTGACACAATTAAAGTCTTTCTAATGAATGAACTGTACTAGTTTGCTTGGGGACGGACATAAAATATACGGGTATATTGAATGGACGTTTGAAAACGGACGACGAGGACGCGTAGGACTTAAAATCAGAACGATGAGACATGCTCTGTGAGTGCAAAGTACAAGGTGATGAATGCAAAGAATATTATTGTAGTTTGAAAGAACAAAGAAGCTATAAAAGGCTTCATTCTTTGTTCGGTGCGTGAATCTCTCAATGCCAACCGTTTCCCCTTGTGTGCAAGGTGTAAGCCATCGAAGGGACGAACGGAGACAAAGACACAGATCCTGCTCAGCGTATATGGAACACCTGGTCTTGAGTATCCAGCTTTTCCTTAAGATCTCGTGTTTCGCCAAACATCATGCCATCGACATAGCATTCTCCCACGAACGTCCATGAGTCTTGACCAGTGGGCCGAAGAATATACGGCACGCTGCCACCGTACAACACCACGACCCTGTCGCCGGGTTTTGTATTCCTTGGACATAACCCCATTGAAGTCTGCTCAGTGAAGAAGAATTTCCGTTCGTGGCATGCCTTCCTTGCAAGTACAGCAAATTGATCTGCATCGCCACCGCTCGTGTGTGCGGAGAATTCTGTCTGGTCTTGCAAGCCAAGCAAAGAGAAGGTGGGATCGAATCGAGCCCAGTACGCCGCGAAGTCTCGCATAATCCAAGGGATGTCTTGAGGCGGTCGTATCTGTCCTGATGGGTGCTCAGGAAAGCGACCCGAAAAGGCGAATCCGGCTGCGGTGAGTGTGTTCACGAATGAGCGCAATCGCTTGAAGGTGATCGGGTCATAGTGTAAAGCATTGGCAACAAGCCTAGTCCAAAAAATAATGACGGCGTCAGCCCCGTCAATCGTTTCAAGACGTAACGTCCATCACTGCTCGGCGAAAACCACGGTGGACCGAGAACTACCAATCAGCTTACAAGGATGGCTGACTCTTCTTCGACTCCAGCGAGCTGATTGGTAGTTCTCGACCCACAGTGTTTTTCGCCTTGCGGTGACGGACGTTAGTGGTGGAGAAAGGATCATTAGCAAAGATGTGACTGGTCCGACAGAGTGAATTATGAAGCCCGAAAGGTTGAGGAGGCCATGATTAGAAGCGTTCATGAGCTGCTTCTGAATAGCCCCGGTTCCGAAAGCTGCGTTTTACTTCCTATGGAAACCGAGGCCCCTGATCGTTGCGATGGGCACATCGAAATAAGGCATCCAAGAAACAGAAGGCTGGACCTCACTTTACGAAGTGAGCGTGTCTACGGCCGACAAGATGTCGAGAGAGCCAGTATCAGTGATTATGCCTTTGGTGAAGGCCATATAAGTTAGATCTTGTCTTTCGGCTTACTATACGTCGGCTACAGATAGCTCGGCATTGTACCGGCTGACGGTAAATCGTTTGCTAGACCAAGCAATGCAAACACCTTATCTCTGGGATCAGATGCTTCGAAGTCGCGGGCTCGACAGACAAGGTCAACCATTGGAAGACCCTGCGGCTTTCTCGTATGTAACAGATCGAGCCACAATTCCGGGAGATATCCTTGAACGGACCGCGGACCTTCCGACGCAGCGTTAGACTGTTCCCGACAAGATCCACATCAGGACGTTCAGAAGACGTGGCCTTGATCGCCTCGTCTTCAGCATAGTGGTCTCCTGTTGTCCGCATATAAGCAAGTGATCGTAGCTAGGCGCCTGGCCACTCACCATCGGATGTTCGTGGGGCTGTTGAATTAGGCAACTCAGGTACAACACCTGCATGTACGAGCTCAAGATCATTGGCGCACGTTGTGCAAACGTCATTGGTTGTTTTGATCCTGGTGGTTGAACTGCGCGATTCCGGTGAAGAGGGCATGCACTCCTGTGTGCTCCGGTATCATGCAGCTCTCTGACCGGGCAGGAAATATCGAGAATCTGCCATTCAGTTCTCATGGTACAGCAAAGAGAAACGCTTCGCTAGACAAGCCCAAAAGCTATTCACTGCTGGAGACAGCAAAGTAAGAAGGCATAAAGTCGTAATATTGATACAGGTTGGTACAGATTGTTACAACAGCAGACTTACGCATTTCGGTCCCATCCCCACAGCCTCTTGATGGTATCGCCTATGGTAGACTGTCCAGCCTCTCTTCGCTTCATGCGATTGATTCGCTCCTCGATAAAAGTATCCTGCACCTGCTTCGCCCGGCCAAGGTTTGCTTGTATCTCGCCTACTAAAGCCGCCTTCTCGATGTCCTGCTCTGCGGGAGTCATCTTGGCCAGCAGCGCCTCGTACTTGGCACGCGAATCAGGCTTCACGAGTCTCCAGAGATCTTGTGTGTCGTCTGGCTGAGGGTTGCCTGTGACTGGTGTCGCAGACGAGGGCTGGCCTGACATGGCGCGTGCGATGTTCTGCTTTGAGAGCACGCTCTCATACTTGGGCGGTTCTCGACCCTCGTCCTTCGCCTTTTCGATGGCGGCCTCTTGCTCAATCATCTGCTGATACAGTTTGTCTGCATGCATCTGTATCCGCTCGCTGTCTTCGGGGCTCCGGACGTCTAGCGTCAGGTAGCCCAGGGCTTTGAGGAACTTGGACTGCATGTCGTAGCAGCGGTTGAACTTTTTGGACTCGGCGGTGCACAGGGTGGCCGTCTGCCAATACGTCTTGGGCGCGCGGAAGCACTCGAACTGCTCCATGTACTCCAAGGCGCAGTTCTCCAGGGCGATGCGTCCGATCTCGGCCTTGCGGTCGTTGAAGCCATCGACAATGTCTTTGAGCTTGTCTTGCTCCGTTTTGGCGCGGTTTTCGAGGTCGTTCTGGGGCACGTAGCCTTTCCAGAGGTGCGCATAGCGGCCATCTTGGAATTGCGACTGCGGCGGAACGAATGGACCCTCGGAGACGTGTTGCGGCGCTGGCTGCTCGGCTTCCTTGGGCTTTTCGGCGGGCTTCGACGGCAACGAAGGCTTGGGCCCGGTCGGTGCTTCCTTGCTCAGGAAGTCTTGCAGAGACGGGTCGAGGGCGCCCTTTCCGGATGAGCTGTCGCTGCTGCCCCAAAGCCAGCCCATTGCGATGCGTTCCGAAGGCGTGGAATGGATGTCCGCCAGAGGTCTGGTGCAAAGCTTCGACGGTTTGGCGGGTTTGGCGGGATCCCTGCGCGCACGGTTCGTTTGGTCCAGCGGCGCACGTCTGCGCGCGCACCCAAGCGTGCCGGCGCGTCAACGACCCACAAGCAGTCAACACCACCGCCGACACGCGACAACGTCCCTTGTTCGCATATTCCAGCTCCACGGCTGCCACCGATGGCGCCGATCGGTATGCAGCGCACATCTGCGCTCCTGTTCTCACAAACTGACGTGCGACAGACCGCGCTGAACGCGAGGCGCGACGGCAGCAGCGCGTGCGCGGCGCTGGGTGAGCATCCAGCACAACCACGGCATGCGCTCACCAAGCTAACCCTCGCAGTACCTCCTCCGCCATCACCGACTTTAATTTCAACTTCAATTTTGCGCCCCCAGCTGCGAAGCATTCGTCGGTTCCTCCGCAACGCACGCAAAGAACGCCAACGCCGAAACAACTGACGCCCCGAATTGCGGCCAAATCCGCACATCGGCACCGCAGCGCATCGGTACACGCAAGCAGCAGCGTCAGGCGACATGCGACACCGAAAGCATTCGCGACCCCGCAGCTGGGCAAGAGGAAGCGGGGCTCCCAGGACGCCCAAGCCCTCGAGGACAATGGTGAACCTGACGAGCTCAGTCCGGAACAAAACAACGAGACGAATTCAAGTGAGCAGCCTAGAAGGGTGGTGGGCACAGTATCGCCAATACGCGAGGAGGTGGACGATGAGCCGGACGAGTTGACTGCAGTGCTAGATGGGACAGGCAGTTTGCGCAAACACGTAGCTGAGAGTACTATACGCTCTGCGCTGGCTTTGAAGACGCCAACACCTCAGGACAGAACGCCAAGCGCCAGGAAAAGTGCAACAGGTTTTGCCCGCTCGCGACCATCGGCGCGCAGGTCCAAGTCAACCGAAGCACCACCAGAGACCCCCATCGTCTTCCCGAACGGTCGTTCTCGTCAGACAACGTCTCGGTCGCCCAACATTGCGACTCCCAGTGTTGTTCTTGAAGACGAGGAAGACGAACTGGCACCCGCACCAGCTAGCGTCACCCCGAGGATAGTGGGTAAAGAAACACCTACATCTTCTGTCCCGCAACAAGAAGATGAAGCCGACGAGCTCTCATCGCCAGCCAAATCTGGAACCACTCCGACTCCCGGAGTGCCAAAGAAGCAGCTGCGACCGTCTCCCAAACAACAGTCCGTTCAGACCACCGTTCCAGTTCGTGCCAAGCGCGGCAGACCCAAGCACTCCATCGTAGATGAAGCGGAGGAGGTACAGCCAACCCCAGCAGCTACGCAACACCGACGGAAAAAGACGAGCCTCGATGCGCGAGAGTCCGCTAATACCGGAGACTCGACCGACGAGCTTTCGCCTGAAATCAATCGCACACAAAGACCACGCGTGAAACGGAGACAAGATGTGCAACCTGTGCATCAACACGAAGAACCAGTTGAGATCTCGTCGGCAGAAGAGGAGTCCGAGGAAGAACAGCCCTTGGAGCAGGACCAACCTGATGTCAGTATGTTGCCAGCTCCTAGAGAGAAACCTGTGAAACGGATCGACACCAAACCAGCGCGCAAACGACCCAAGGTTTCTGGACCTAAGCAAGCGATTTCTGTTATGCGAATCAAGGGTTCCACTGTGAGAGGCATCACCGTGGCAGACACCACGCGCACGATACTCGAGGAGACCATTGACCATCAGGTTCAGCGCATGGCTACCAAGATGCAGACGGTCGAGGACTCGTCACGGCGGAAGAAGCTTCGAGGGCACATTAATCTCGCACTCGCCTTCAAAGAGAGTCTGGTGGAAAAGCTGGTGGATCTTCAAGATGCCAACGACACCCTTAGTGCGGGTTTCAAAAAGAGGAAGCTACTGAGAAAAGACAACTTGGAACGGAGAAAGGAGATCCTGCAGATCCAGAACAACCGTGATGAAATTGCGCTGGAGATGGACGATAAGCGAGCTGCCTATGACGCTGAGAAGGCAAAGGCGGAAGCGAAAAGCAAGCTCAATGCAAACATGTTTGAAATACAAGCAGCCATCCAGAGCGGACGTGAGCGCGCAAGAAGACAAGGACGCGAGGATGAGGGTCCAGAGAGGCCTATGAGCATGCTCATCGATAAGGTCGGACGCCAAGTCGGCTCGGTAGGCGGCGGACTGCTGGCGTCACTACAACAATTCAATGAGGGCCTGGAAAGAGCCGCTGGATGGCTCGAAGGGAGGGCGTGATGCCGAGGGTATTGTTTCTGTGGGCCTGGTATTTGCCCCTTATTTTAGTCATGTGCAAGATAAGATACCCCGCAGCCGCAGCTTCTGAATCAAGGCGCAGTCCTGCACCGCGTGCAGCCCGGCATGCGAGCCCCCAAGCTTGCTAGCCGAAGAGGATCGCTTTCCCTGTTCTTCCGACCAATCAGTGAATACCGCCCCACTTGTTTCATCATCAGACATGATGGTCGTCAAAAAAGATGCACCCCCAGATCGCAAGATCTATTGCATAAACGTCTTGTTTCTTCTCGGCTCCTCCCTCTGTCCTTCCCTCTTCCCCATATAGTCTACCCCACACTTACAGTCATTGTGTTCTCTCCGTGTTACATCTTACTTTCGTTCTAATCGTCATACGCAGCACGCCAGCAAGCTAACGCGAATCTGCAACTTCGGAGTGGCTGGCAATTCATTACGCAGCGACAGCGACTAGACCAGTCCTGCGATTTGAATGCGATATTGTCGGGACTCTTATTCAACTTGGTGCAAAGGGTGTTGACGCGAACATTACTTTCGGTGTCGTCACACATCACCGGCGCAACCGTTCTTTACCTAGCCTGAGTCGGCATGTCGAGCTTGGAGTTTTCGACAACGCCAATGTCTGGGCACGATAAACTGGCCGGCGTTCCTGGGAAACCCGTCTCCATTTCAGTGTATACCTCCACGACGAAGCCGCTGGAGCCCCCGCCAGGGTCTGCCCAACAGATATTTACGAAGTCGTTGATCCACGAGCAATACCTACGCGCTTTCGTCAAGCTTCTCACATGCTGGGCTTCAAATCACGACTCAAGTGCGCAGTTCCACGGCAAAATTGGCGTTCTGGCTAGCCCAAACACCAACGAGACATACGAGCTTGGAAAATCTGTCAACTGCGTTCTCAAACATACTGATTACCCAAAAGTACGGAAGCACATTGTAGTTCGGCTCTTCCCTCCACGCGAGGAATGCAGGAAATATGCTTTGGTCGTCCGGTCTGGGTCGGGATGGATGAGTGCTCGCGACTTCTTCAACAAGGAACACTGTCTGATGTTACGGGCAGAGGCGAGGTCGAAGGTGTTCAAGGAGATTTGGAGCAAGGACAAGCGGCCTAGAATTTCCACGGCAACAAAACCGTACGGGAAGACTATATCGCGCCGCGAGGAGCTGGCGCGTGAAGCAGAACCCAGGAACACAGTCTCGATCGGCCCGGTATTCCACCAGTTTCTCAAGCTACCCCAGGAGATCCAGGACATCATCTGGGTGACTGCTGCTGGCCTCACTGGCATGTTCCGCCCATGTCGTCACCGCACATCAGACGTTCCAGTTCCTCACATACACGAGAACTTCTACCCCAGACCCAACTCGCCCATCACAATCTCCACCATGTTACGAGTCTGCAAATCCGTGAACGCGCACATGGCGCCCTGGATCTATCGCACAACGAGGTTCCAGTTCGAGCTCACCGGCTTTACAAACTTCCTCTGGATATCTGGCCCTGTGAATCGCACCAACCTACGCCGCGTGACTTTTAAGTTCTCGTCGTTGGCTCTCTTGCACTGTCTGCGCTGGCTCTCACCCGACCCCGTCTTCATGCTCTTCGATCCACCCGCGTTCACCTCACCGCATGGCCTACAGTACTTTTGGCGCTGTCAGATACAAGATCTAGCGCGCGAGCTAAACCTACACACCCTCACCCTCGACCTGCAGGGCGTAGAGCCAGATCACGTACACATGGTCGTGCGCATTCTCCGCCGGGCGTTCGGCAGCGTGAAGTACGTCAGGTTTGTAGAAGACGGCAAGGATATCTGCGAGGGCCACTGGCAGTTGCAAGGGCTGCGGGAGAGGAAGTCGTGGAGGACTATGTGCAGAGAGTGGTTTGAGGCGCATAGAGCGAATGGGGGATACATGTCTGACGAACGAAGATGGAAATCGCTCGAAGAGCTGGACAAGGATATGGATGCCAAGAGAGATTTTTTCGACAGCTTTGACGATTGGCAGGGCGTGCAGACGCCTTGAGGAGCGGTTGTATTTTATTGGGCATTGGTTATGGCGGCACAGCATTCGAAGGGGTTTCTTTCCTCTGGAGGTAATATCATGCAATCGATCACGATTTCGCTGCCAAACAACAAGGTTCCCTCATGCAGGTGGGATGACGTGGGGTGTTTCCTGGCTCGAGGAAGGAAGGACCCCCGGAGTGACTGCCATCACGTGACAGCTTCACATACCTGTAGCTGGAGCCCCGCCTGGTGTCTGCACCACCTGCGTCGCCACTCGAGCTCTTCCGCCTGCCTCAACGCATGCCACATGCCAGTGCGTTTTTCTCTCAACATTGGACGACGTCGTGCGATCATTGCACGGACTTCGCGTACGCTGCCACGGCGCTTACTGCATTGCCACCTCGCCTTTCGAACACTTTCCTAAAGCGTACAGCACGCACGCTACCACCTCAGCCGCATGACCAGGTCTCTTGCTGGCACACCGCACACCAGAATTCCACCGAAACAAATTGCGTGACACCCCATCCAACTCAATCATGGTCGGCTTTACGCCATTTAATCCCGTTGTCGGTCTTCGCGACTTATTCATTCGTCGCGAGAGTATGTCAGCAGCGGAGCCAGCAGCGAAGAAAGACCCGCTTACCAGCTTCCCCGACCCGGAAGAGCTGGACGCATACCCGGCGCCTGCGTCGTTTGTGGTGCAGGGCGATGTATGCAACCAATTTCAGTCGCCCCTGTTCGGGAAGATCCCGCCTGAGATCAGAAACGAGATCTTCAGACTTGCTTTGACTGAGTATGTGCCCGAGGGCAACGAATGGACGGGGAGACTCGGCAAGATAGAAAATCGAGGGTTTGGCAATGTGTATTCGACAGAGGGCTACGTGAACAGGCCGGGGTACGAAGGACTGAAGACGGTCGACACGGACCTGTTGAGGACGTGCAAAAGGGTAGGTCGATCCAATTGCTGATGCTGTCTGCGGAGTGCGTGCTCACAGGTGTTTTCTTATAAGGTGTACGATGAGACCAAGTTGCTCCCACTTCAGGACCTGGAAGTATGCTTCTACATGTCGAAAAAAAAAAGAGCACCGACACCGTATACCATGTCCGGGTACTTGTCCACGAATTGTTTTATCCATCCACGTGCCAACTGGTTCAAGCCCGTAACGTAGACCTAAAGAGAGTGCTATAGGCACGTCAATTGACTCGTCATAGGAACATTGGGCTCGTATTCAGCACTACCACGTCTTTGGACAGATGTACCTCCTCGGACAGGGAATGAACGGTCTCTTCAGAAATCGGTTCGACGTTTGTCTACCAACTACTATGACTCTTACTCTGCGCTACACAGACTGGTGGGACTGGGAGACAAACGCACCTATATATCCCATCAGGCAGGACCGTTTCTTCCCTCTTCGTTATATGTGGCTGCCTCCCACCGTGCAGAGAATGACCGTAGAGTTTGAGAACATTGAGTCCAAGATCAAAGAGCTAGACGCAGTGGTCAACGAGATGTTCTCCCGACACTACCACTGGGTGTGGAGAAGGCGCGATGGGAAGAATTTGAAGGTGTGTGGGCGGGGAGTAGAGGGCGATGGTGTGGAGACGTGGAGATGGAACGGGCCAACGACTTTTGGGTACCGCAGTCAAAAGTTCCCCCATCATGGAGATGGACCCACGATGGGGTATGTGGTCAAGGTCGTCACTTGGGAAGTTGTCGACGAGGAGTGATAGTACTGAAGAGGGAAATTGTGTCAAGTCAAGTGGAAACACTATCAGCGCCAGACGAGTGACAGTATATACTAAATCGTCTTTCACACAGCTATCCTTCTGAAATAATATCTATATAAACTACGCTGACATGCTCAAAATTCAACATAGCCTCAGCCACCCCGATCGAGCGACCATTCTACCTACCCCTACCCCCTCAACTCCGTAGAGTGCCCCGCGATTCCCGCCTTCTCCTCCTCGCTCAGCCTCATCCCAAACCAATTCTCCAGCGCCTCATGTCTCTCCGCCTCTGTCCTACACTCGTGAACCACCCTCGTCTTTCCCCCCTTATTCTCCTTCACCACTCCATTAATCAGCATTCTCTTCCCATACACTTCCATCTCCCCCTGCTCCCCGCCCTCCCTCTCCCTCCTCAAAAACTTAATAATGAGCATCGTAAACGTCTGGAAGCTCTCAGGATGGCTCCCAGTATACCAATTCATAATCTTGAAATCCGCCTCCAGAAACTCAAACTCCGGAAACGCATAGAACGAATTCCACGCCGCTTCCTTGCCGTTGCGGTACTGGTAGATCCAGAGCTTCGTGTGCTCAGTCTGGACGACCTGCTGCGGGATGTGCCCGTGCACGAGGCGGTTTTCCTGCGGAGAGATGTTGGTCGTAATGTGGCCGTCGACGAGCGGGATCGGCGTCGTCGGCGCGTCGCCCCCGAAGCCCACGTCCAGCATGTACTTTGCGCCGCAGGGCAGCGTCACAATGTTGACCAGGTGCACCCACCCGATGTAGGCGCCGGCGGGCACGCCGTTCTCGCGCAGCCGCATGCGCACGCCTGCCATGTAGGCCGCGAAGCCCAGGCCGCGGAGCACGTGGTTGAAGAGGATGCTGGCGTCTGTTGGTCATGAATGATTCGGCGTTGGGGAAGCTGGGCACCTGTTCTCCATGCAATATCCTGCGAATCGTTAGCTACGATAAAAGCGCCCCGGGCGCCGTTTACGCACCTCCTCGCCCGCGGTTCTCGGTGACGATCTTTTGGAATGCATCCTGCGGATCAATCGAGATCCTCTTGCTCGCTGAGTAGTGCAGCGTCAAATTGTCGTATGGAATCGTGGATATGGTATGCACGTGCAACTGCGTGAGGAAGGCGAGATTGTGCGTGGGGTTGTTGGCAGGGTGGTATTTTGCAGGCAGTCCAATGTGCTGGACGTATGCAGAGAGCTGCTCTTGTGATAGCGAAGAGGCGGCCATTGGAGAGGTTTGGAGTCTTGACAGATGCCGTTGCAAAAGCTTTTGGTGTTCTATGTTCAAGAGGACGGGATGACTCACCAATGAGCGTTAAGCAATCAGCACTACATCCCGGCCTCGGAGCTCGGAGTATCACACGAATGATTCAGACGCAGTTTCGAGGGCACTTCTGTATTGAACGTAGTGATGCGAAAATTTCGGCAAAATAATTAGCAATGGAATGAAAACATCTCTCCACGTCCGCGGATATTGTAGCATAAAAAGCTTACGCACCGGGTGTACTAGAAGCAAAGAACAATGGAGCTCTGATTGAAGTAATAGCAGGACTGCCACAGCCCGGGGCCGTAGATGTTTGTCAAAAATGCACGCGATCTGGAATTAGGCAGTTTGAAAGATTCGGCGGAGTTTGAAAAGGGTACTGAGCGCGCCAGCAAAGCTGGACAAGAACGGATACGGGTGGATGGTGATGGACGAAGCGTTTTTGGCTACATTTAGCTCTGTTGCTGGACTATAGGTAGTACCTAGGTAGCTAGCCTTTACTCTGACTTGTCTTCGCGTGAGCTGGACAGCATAGGTAGCCTCCCTTGGTGCGATCAATATTTGGACTTGAATTCACATCGAGGTAATCTTGTACAAATTTTTTTTTTTGAATGAGTGTATTGAATTAGAGGCATAGGAATTAGGCTAAGAGAAAACTATAAGGCGTCTAAAATTGTAGCACGGTTCGCGAAATGCGGACGTGAACGTTGTGAAATGCGCTCGTTGAACCCTCGGTACCTTGATGTGCGGGCATGTCGCCTATCTCATTTATTAGAATACGCCTTGACTTGTAGAAATACGTGAATACTTCCAATTTGATCATTGCGAAGTGAGACTCACGACTACGTGGGGGGAATGTTGAGATTCAGAATGTGGAAATACTTGCGCGACATGGGAAAATGAGCCAATCGCAGTAAGCGATGTGATGCTGGAACATCGGAGATTCCAAGAAGCGTCCAAATACTGAAAGAATCAGGATTTTGAATGATAAGGAGTGCTGTAGAACAAGAAAGAATGTGGTTGAGTTGATCGATAGCCGCAGAGTTGAAAGGTGATTAAGTTGAGAATGACATGAAACAGAGAGACAATGAGGCGAGTAGATGTTTTCCATAAGTCATATCGCTACTTCATAGCAAACGTAAGAGGATCGATGTTAACCGCGTCCGGATCATCTTGCTTCCACAACAGTGCCGGAGAGGTTTCCTGGGTGCGTGGACGGTTGATCTCGCTCCAGATAGCTTTGCTCTTGTCATTGAGAAGTTGCATTATGGCGCCCCGGCGGTTCGTTATTTGCTGCTTCAAGATCGGCCTTAGGACAGCGCAGTTTGTAATGTGCTGACCCGGCTCAATAGCAAGATGCTCTAGCGGAAACCACGCCTTAAAGCTTCTCGATTCGAATCTCCCAACTAGTGGAAGATATTGGTGCTTGCTTTCGATATTGTACTTTTCCTTCAATACCTGGTAGGGCGATTTACCCTTGATACCATCTTCCATAGAAACATCATCAATGGCGAAAGGCGCCTGGAAGTTTTGCTTGCGGTAGTAGTCCCAACTTGGCGGAGGTGGATAGATGCGCCGCACCTTAAGGCCTAAAAGAACTTGCTTAAGCAGATTGAGGTGGTTCTTGACGTCACCTTCGTTCTTATCTAACTCATCTCCCACAATACTGCGCACGATATCTAGCACGGTCAATGATTTGGACTCTCCGTTCGAGCCTTGCGTGTGGGGTACGCCGGAAACCATATCATAATCCAGCTGTAGGGCCTTCTCTGCGTGGCTGAAAGCGATTTGCATGCGTATACGGAACATGAACTCTAGCATGTTGCCATCCTGGGTCCCGCCCTCTGCTTCGCATCCTGGCAGACGAGGATTGAATGTGGTCGGTGACCCGTTATTGTTCGATACGTTGTAGAAGAATTTGAGAGGACGTACGAACGTAGGGCCCTTGTGCGCACTTGGCGTAGCCTGAACAGCGCCACGAGGTGAATCATCGCTCGTTGCACTGGCGCGACCTCTGATCAACGCCAACAGAGCTGCCTGATATGACTTGTTATCATGATCGTCTCCTACAAAGATATATTGCCCCGTGGTCTTGCACCTAACAGCCAAAAACTGCTCTCCTTGCTCGCACCCCGAGGCGGCTCGGGCTTCAATGCTGACTTTGAGTGATGCATTCAGCTCTGGACAGTCATAGATTTTTGGTTCAAACTTCGCCGACAGGTTTTTGGTGCTGCTGGATAACTGTGTGCCGTCAAAGATAATGATCTGATCAACGTGGTCGCTTGTTCGCGTACTAACAATGGCCGTGTGGTAGATCCTAGGGAAGTCGTTCCTGAGCAACTCTCCTATCGCTTTCTCTTTCAAAGATGTGTTGTAGACGCGATTCCAACCAGGTTCAACTTCCCCAGTACCATCTTTACCGGCTACCTGGTGCACTTCCACGGTGATCACGCACAGCTGAGGTAGGTCCTGCAATTCGAATATACGGCGTCCGATGGCCGTTTTTGAGAGACGAGGTGAATCTTGTGCAGACCGAGTCGCTGCATTGTCGGGGTTTGTGCGCTTGGTCTGGTTCACCTGCTCTTTTTTCGTCTTGCCTACTTCCTTCGCTCCTTCCCCTTGGTCCGCAAAGTACTCTTTCAGGAAGTCGATGCCAGCTCTGATGAGTGATTGGTCTTGCTCCGTTAAGAGATTGTCGCTGTTCGACACACTCATTTTTCCGATATGTAGAACGGTGATGTGCTCGAGGGCAATATTGCGATGTTCTTCTAGTCAGTTGATTATCTTGTCGGAAATGGAGAGATAATAGAGAATGGTGAAGAACTAATCTAGGGGTTCTGCGCGCTTCATATATACTTCTATCATGTACGGTGGTGTGATTTGCTCACATACTCACGAGGCGCTTGCTAAGGGAATCACTTGACTTTCTTAGTATACGCCTGGATTGGCACATCAAACTGAGGCCACACAAATGTTTTGTATGGTTTGACACAACCTTATGACTTGCTGAGTGGGTCTCGTGCATATATGTGATCATCTGAGGAAGTAGCGCGAATAGTAGTAATGTAGGTTGGGTGGATTGATCAGCAAAGCAACGAATGTAAACGAGGTTGCAGTGTACGATACTGGAAGGCCAGAGATATTACTGCATGGAGTCTAAGCACTCTATTTGCATAAAACCGTCATCCGAGACGGGTTGCTCTGAAATGCAGCCTTTGGTGATCTGGATTTGCATTTCCTCTCGACTCATACTTTGACAGCGCTGACGGCGGAAATCATTGTGACTATATCCGCCAAGGTATGGTTTCCCTTCACAAAGCCCTCGGCGTACGGGATGCGCTCCTGCTCTATTTTTTAGGTCAGCAAGTCATGCAACTCAATAATTCAATGTCCGTCCACGGAGGGTGCTTACCGAAAAGAACCCGCGCATAGTCCTTTGGGACGCCACCCGCACTCTGGTCCCAGAAGGCCGTCAAGAAGATACTGGTCTCCCCTATGCTCCCCGATTGGTCCGTCAAATTGAAGGCTGGATTAACGAGTTTCGCGTCCCTCACTCGCGCAGCACGTGCTTTTGAAGCTGTCTCCACGGTGATGACTGGCGTGCTGAATGGAACCCTGATGCCGTATCGCTGTGCGGTCGTCGCCCATATTTTGGGATTGAAGTGGAGATCATCACCAAAAAATTGGTCATTCCGCGATAGCGAGCCGTCGTGCTCGATGGCATTGTGGTGTGCCAGGTCAGAAAGATGGAAAGTCGAACTGTTGCCTGTGGTCGAAAGGGTGAGGGCCTGTTCCGTGATGCTGATGAAGGACTCAGTGGAAAATCCCATAGCAGATTGGAAAGCGGACTGGATAGTGGCGAGGTCAATGTTCTTGCCGTTATGCGGCAGCCATCCATGGTTGCTCATCGAATTCAACATGGGACATGGTGACCGGCCTAAAGAATCAAGACGGTCAAGTCAGTCAACTGCGCCGATACCCGGTTTCAGCGAGAGACTTACTGTCACTTGGGCCCGCTATCCGCCATTCATGCCCAGCAGGGGCTGACGTGGATGCTGCGGAGAGATGACGCCCGAAAGGTGAAATCGGCGACGCAGCAACGAAGCTGCTGGAGATAAGACCTAGCACTACGATGTGGTCGCGCATCTTGAATGATTGTCGGAAATTATATCAAACAGTGACAATGTTAGGAGATGACAGCCGTTAAGACTTTGTAGCATTTTCAACAGACCGGATATGTCAACTAAAAGGAAGGCAACATCGCTATATAGTTTCTAGGAACTGTGAGAAGACGGTGCGCTATAGTCTCTAGGGGTACCACTCTTCCTGGCCCAATTCTCCCGGGAGGCTTCCGCGCCGTCGACGGTTGACCATCTTCCGAAAGGTCGAAGTCAGAACGTTCAGAAAAGACCCCTGGGGATGGTGGAACGTCGTTTTGGTGCAGGTGTTCTGTCCCAGAAAGATCAAGCTTGCGGGCAAGCGAGCCTATCATAGTTGCATATTGACCAAGCGCCACTCAAAACAGTTAGCGATCATTGATATCTCCGAAAGCGAAAATGATCCTCGATGAGGATCGACAATGATTATCGAAATTTAGCTCTTTGCCTAGCTTGATGTCGAGTTATTTGTCAGTGGTGTGCGGCCGCGGCCGTCGGTAGTTCCATGGTAGCTAGAGACCTCCCTGTTCAACACCAGCTGCCATGCCTTAACAGTGCATGGCCAGGTATTTCTCAGGTTCTATAGGTACGTGCTTTTTGTCCTAGCGCCAAGTCTACGGGTTCTTGGAAGCGTGTAAATTGTCCGAAACGTAGAGCAAGTAAGATCAGCCAATCAAAAGTGAGTCCGTGGTCAGTAATCACTAGTAATTCGCAAGTCCGACGAGGAGATCGTCAATTTTCGCTTAAGAGCCAATAGCAAACGTCCATAGGTTGGCTTAGCGTACTGCGTAGGTGATGGTGGTCTCAGACAACTCCGCCTCATTACATGTTACGAGCGGCAAGTACTACAGCGGAGAAACATCGTCATCAAGCGCTACGCGTTCTAGCAGTGCTGAGAGCTTTGTACGTTAGCGGCAATTGATAGAACACTACGGACTATGTGTAATCGGTACTTCGAAAGTCGAAAAGGTAGATAAGGAGACTGTAAAGCACGAGAATCACACTACAACCTTTCAATCCATCTCAAGTCATACCTGGAACTCCTCAAATTTGTAACGAAATGACTATTCAGAAAATTATTTTGCAGCTGGCAGCTTGCTCAGCAATAGCCCATGCCCAATCTGCCAGTATCGGACTGGGAACGAATCCTGATGCTCAAGGCGCCACTGAAGAAGTAACACCTGGTGCAGGTCCTAACGGGTAAGGAGTCTTCAATGTTGGCCATACTGGAACTGCATACTTAAAACACCTTCAGATCCGAGGACTGGCTTAACAGTGGCATGGAAGCGGACGGATGGACAGCGCCCTACCTTTCCTGGGACTCCCTCATCAAAATCGACCGGAAAACCTTTTATGCGAACGCTGGATCCGCGTGTGAGCAGTACGATTGGGCTTTCCAGCAAGCCGGTGATAAGCACCAAATCGATCCTGTGTTCCTCGCTTTCATCGCCATGCAAGAGTCGTCCTGCAACGCCGATGCTGGTGGCCCAACTCCAGGCCTTATGCAAGTCGCTTGCGAGAACTACCCGGATGGGCAGTGCACAAACGACGTAGCAAAGAGTGTCGATGCTGGAGCTTCGTTCTTGAGGAAGCAGTTGGACGATAACAACAACAATGCAATCAAGGTCATTGGGAACTACAATGGCTGGTTCACGTCGGGTGACCAGACGGGACTGAATGGGGGTAGAGGATTGTCGTTGGATTATCCTTGCTCGGATGATGGAAAGGCACATGGCCAGCCCCAGAATCTGGACTATCTCCAGCAGACGCTCAATGGGTGGTTTTTGGGCTTGAACCCGTATGGAGACGAAAACTGGCTAGGACAGTATCACTGCAGTGGTAGCTGTGATAGTGGACATGTATGTTAAACCGGGGATGGCCGTATCAATATAGTGGAGAAAGAGGGTGGGCCAAAATGTTGCTTCGCATGTTTCTGTCCGAACCCCTATGCATTCTGGAGTGCGCTTTCAAGAATAAACACACTCATTACTCCCCGAAACGTTCCACTCCTGCAGTACTAAACGCTATCCTGTCTGACTTACAACCTGCTCAAGCTTGAGGTCCCGGCCAGCGGCTCTTGGGACTCTTGGATGCCTGCTTCATTCGGGCGAAGTGCATACTCTGGCTCAGCTCGCTTCACACCAAAGCGTCTACTTAGCTCAACTAGTTGAGAGACCATGAACAGTTTCCTCATCTCGACAGCGTTTTTATGCACAAATCCATCCTCCACCAAGGACTTGCACTTCTCCCAATCCAGGAAGCCAAGCTGGTCGATGTTCTCCTTGCTCATCAACGAGCCAATATATCGATGAAGTGGGCCATCTACTGCGTACGTAACTGGTGCAGAGAAGGGGTGTTTTCGTCGCTTGTAAAGCTCCTGTGCTATGATCAGTTACGTACTCGGCAAAACCATCTGGTTCCATACTTCAGTGATAAAGGGCTTCGCAGCCTCCTTGAGGATCCACTTTTCATTAAGCGAGTTTGTCTCGGGATCGTATCGGAGTTTGACTGAGGGGGGAAGACCATTGACGTACTCGGTCAGGTTGTGATCAAGGAAAGGCTGGCGACCTTCGATTGAATTCGCCATTTCCACCCTATCACCCAACGCCGTCAAAAGTATGTTTTGCAGGAAAAACTTCTGCCAGATATATAATGCGGAGTGCAAGGTATGCCACTTGAGTTGGATCTTCTTGCGTACGGTACCTGTCAGAAGGTTGTGGACGCCCACCACTCGTGGGTCTTGAACGCCAAACTCCTGCTGGACCCAAGGTGATAGTAGCGGCTGCGCGTTCATTAGTGAAGTCATGGAGATAATGCTGACGTTATTGATCTGCTTCCTCGCGTAAGCTGCGGATGGAGGATCGGCAATGCGAAAGTTCTTGATTGTCTTCTGGTCGCCACTTTTGCCTTGCTCTTCTTCCGCTAGCAACTTCAGTCGAAGGTTGTTCGGCAAGCGGGGCAAGCTCTGCGAGGTCCAGCTTTGATCCGGTTCGCGCAAGAAATCTGCAAGTAGCTGTCCATATCCGGCGAATTGCTCATCCGACCCTTCACCGGTAAGGATGACCTTGACACCGTTCGCGCGTGTGATTCGAGATAGGGCGACCTTTGCAATAAAGTTGAGGTCCGAAAGAGGATGCTCACAGAACCATGCAGCGTCGGAGTAGTTCTTTACAAACTCTTCTTCTGTCATGCGGACAACGTGCTTCTTGACTCCTAGCCATTCTGCCGTTCTTTGTGCAATTGCTAGCACGCAACGTTAGCGTGGAAATACATGCATGTGTCGAAGTATACATACGTTCTTCATCAAATTCATCACCTGGCCCGTCCAGAAACTTTATGGAAAAGCATTTTATGTTAGCAGTTGCGGATCCTTCGTTGCCCAGACGAACCCCCTTCTCTACTATTAGGTGTTTGATCATCCCTGCTATCGCGGAGCTATCGAGGCCACCAGACAAAAAGATTCCAACAGGAACATCGGCTCGAAGCCGTACACTAACGGCATCGAGTAGTCGTTCCCGAACACCTTCAATCATTTCTTGTTCGGACCTCGTCTCGGTCTCGTGCTGTTAAACTTATTAGACAAGCTCTGTAGTTACGAGAAAGTGCCTTTGGGCTTGAAATACCTTATCCGGATACTCAATGTTCCAATACTCCGTCTGGGTAATGGTTCTATACGACTGAAGACTCAAGTAGCGGCCTGCCTGGATCCTTGATACGCCTTGGAAAAGCGTTCGTGTATCGGTGAGATACCCACATTCTATGAGACTTTGTACATCCCACTCAGGCTGCCACCCAAAGGCCAGAAACGCTTTCATCTCGCTTGCGATGAAAATCCGTCCATCATGTACAGTGTAAAATAGTGGCTTCACTCCATATCGGTCTCTCGCCGCAACGATAGTTTCGGCTTTGCTATCATAGAGAACAAACGCGAATTCGCCTCTGAGATACTCCATCATGGACATGCCATACTCTTGGTACAGGGCAAGCAAGATCTCGGAATCACAATGCGAACCAAATGTGTAGCCCTTCTTCATGAGATCGTCACGAATGTCTTCCCAGTCATAGAACTCACCGCACACGACAGCATGAACGGTGTTTTCAGGATCGTGGAATGGCTGCTGAGCCTCTGGAGATAGGTCCAGAATGGATAGACGGACGTGCCCGAGAGCTGTTGCTCGTCAATTATTAATACAGACATTGGGAAGCCATTTGCATACCCACACGGTTGTAATCGCTAAACCAATACCCTCGATCATCAGGACCTCGATGTTTGATCGCTTCGAGAGACCCATCCATCTGCTCGCTCAGAAGAGCACGCTCTAGCTCGTAAGCTTGCGCCAAGTTCTTTGCACCATAGCTGTTCGACTTCGGAGCATTGCCCTTCAAGGTGATGACGCATGATATGCCACACATTTTGTCCTCTGGATAAACTATTCGCTGTGTGTATGGAGCAAAAAGAAAGGAGCGGGGCACAAGATATTATTGTATGCATCTGCAGTCAAGTCGGCATAAAAGTGCGCTATGACTGTGACAGTCTTGTCACACATTTCAACAAAGAAACCCCATGTGACCACTCGACATGGTGGCTGATTCCATAGACGCACTAACGTTGATAACCCACTCCTCTGTCATCTGAGTAAGAGCTTGTTCGCTGATTGCTGAGAGAGACCGAACGGTAGCATTCGAACGTGCGAATTGGCCAACTAGCAGCGCTAGTAATCGCGTCCGAGGTAGAAGTGTCCCATTACAGCAAATCGCACAATGCGGGGCTCGATATCAGCAACGTGACCTAAAAGCAACACCGAAACAGATTGCGTGCATAGGAAAATAACGCCTAGTTCGTTGATGTTACGTTTCAAAACTGCTATTCGAGTATACACGCCTGGGGTGCTGTCCGGTTTGCACAGCGTTGACGCAGTAGCGCTGCGACTAAGCTCAATTGGGCCAATAGATCAAGGGGCAGCAGCACGACTGCGCTTTGTATCGACGGATACCCTTTGCAGTAGCACCCGATACTCCAAAACCGCCGTGCGAAGCCAAATAACTACCACATTGAGCGGGAAGCTCGGCGCGCCGAAGCCGGCGCTTTCTGTGATGCCTGGTGCTTACTGTGCGCTGGCGGTCATCACAGTGTTATGCCGGACCAAATAAGCTTTGTAGAACTAGCGCCACTGATGCTTAATTGTGAAGTAACAGTAACTTGTGGGTTGCGGCAATCCCGTGAAGCCGCAGATCAGCATCGACCGCCTCTTTTACTTCACTTTCGCTTTCCCTGCGCCTCGATGACCTCAGCTTCAGAGAGCCGCTTTCCATAGGAAGACCAGACCATCGCGATAAATCGCGCATACACCATCAGTAAGATTGTCAGAACATTAGAACTGTTGTGTGCCAATACTTGAACATTCGTGGATCAGTCGCGCTCCGGCGGGATCCGGCGCTCCAAACATCTTATTCGATTGACGTCATTCTGAATGGTTGGGTTGCCTTACCGTCAGCGTGTCCAGCGGTAGGGAGATATCGCGGAGCGGCGAAGCACTCTTTTTTTAGTGAACACGGATTACTTTAAAGTTTTGTATTGGTAAGGGACTGTTCCATATACAAATTTGGGAGAGCACATTCGTTTACCTTTCGCTAGTCATCCCGACGTATTTGGCGCTTTCCCCGTACATTTGAAGCCCTTAGGATCGTCCACGTTACTGCAAAGGAACTCTGTTGGCGTTGTCCCATTCTTGTGAACCGTGAGGTCGTTGTCGAAAATGTTGATGTTAGTGCACGGTGCTGCGCCACTGCATTGTAGGCTCAGGACCAGATTATTCTTTGTGGTGCCCGTGGTGTTCCCCCAGTGCATGTTGTCGATATGGAATAAACTTGTGTCGCATCCACCTTTGACACCATTGTAACTGGTGCATTGAGTTATGTACCAGGGAGTGTCCACGTTCTGAAGGGTAAAGTTGGTGAATGAGATGTTACGGGCCCATCCCAGACCGCCACCACCACCATTAGGTGGCACTCCAGTGTTTCGCCCTGTCCAACTCTTGATTCGCCCAGCGTATGCGGTATCAATGAAAACTGTGTCGATTGCGGTGATGTTCTCGATAAAGTTCACTTGGTTCTCGTACTGTCCAATGCTTCCCATTGCATATGCAAGGCCTCTGTGAAAAGTGTTGTTCGCCATGTAAATGTTCGAACTGTTCTGCTTCATCGAGATGCTGTCCTAGCAACTCCATTGATTAGCTGTTGAGTCGGTACAATGACTCTGATGCTACTAACATCGCCAGATTCAACGCTCCATCGGAGGAAGGTGATGTAGTTCGCGTAGATGGTATCAACGCCATCCGTGTTTACATTACAGCGGTCGAACTGAGTGATGCAGCTGTTATTCACGTAGATATTGCTGAGCTCCACCCGCTCGCTGCGCATAACCGTAGATGTCCACCTAAACGGAAAATCGTGTCAGTGTGATGATTCTTATTACCGAGCACGACAATCATCATCCCCCGCGCAAGATGATCCAGCTCACTTACATCTGAGATTGAATGAAACGTAACCCCTCCACAAGAGAATTCGTTGTGTTGTATATAGATATTGCATGTGGTCGGCCTTGCAAGTTGCTTGTTCCATTATTGAAAACGTACCACACGTCTCCGTTACCAAAGAGAGTACCATACCCGTGTCCGTAGAAGCGAATATTGTCTGCCAGAGCATCAGACGTCAGCGGGACACGTGATTGTAGCTCGATGATCTGAGTCATATCAAGAGACTGTTTATTGTAGGAGGGTACTATCGGTATGCTGCATATCGTGTATTGCAATACATACCGCCGCCGAGGAGCCAAGCTGCAGATTGGTTTTGGAAACCAATTGGAATTGAGTTGTTCAGCCAGTAGTCGATGTCTTTCGACCACTCCATGGTCCCTTGGAGCTCAATGTCAACATCTTTTAGGCCAGTTGTTTTCATAGCCCGGCCGACGTAGTAGGTAGTATTCGTAAACAGAATATGACCATCTTCTTTGCATTTCTCGAACGCTTCAAGAATCGCAGAAGCGTCGTCGCCGCTGGGATCACCGGACCTGACCTCGCAAGTTTTCGACTTCGGTGCGATACTGTTACGGTCGTAAAGATACGGTGGATGTCCGCCACTGTATTTCGGGAGCCATGCGACCGGGGGATCCGGGTCGACAACAGCAGTTGAAAGCGACGTAATTCCTAGCAAGAGCAACAGCGTGTTCATGATGCTGTTTTCAGGAGATTTTGGGTACCAACGTCCAAATACGGGTGGTTGGCACCACCAAAGCTTCTACTATATACATATTATTGCAAACGCTGACCGGGCCAGCAGGTGTGTATTTCAATGCATGTTCGCTGGCCCTCAATTTTGAAGTTACGGTATCCAGAAAGGATATTCAACCGGCTAGTCAGGCCCCCAATTAGTGCACCCCAGAATGCGGGGATGCACTGTGCAAGGCAAGTGAACTGCAACATACCCCTCAAATACATAGTGCCTGAATAGTGTAGTGATGCGTTATGACGATGTGATACGAGCCCCTACTATTCATTTTCGCCCATAATGCAATGCAAGCTGTCGAATGCGATTTCGAGGCCACGTGATCGTGGCGGGTGGTTAGCTTCACAGTGGAGCTGCGTGCTCTTTCTGGAAGCTCCCAGGTTGGATACTACTAGGTTGTGTTGTATGTAGGATCCGTTCGTCCTTGGCAGTCAGTAGTGATAGACTGCACCTTGGGGTCGTCGAACTAGGAGTGTTTTCAGTTACACTGTTGAGGGGCATGGGTTTCTCGCGCACAGACACAACAGTTTCGTCATCCAGCGCCAATCGACGGTGGCCATAATCCTCACAATGCCGCGCGAAGAAGGCACCACGATTTGGTCACAAGCGTTTGAGATGGCAGTTCACTTGGGACGTGAATATCGCTGCAAAAACCTTCCTCCTGTGGCATTCTGAATGAAAATGCCTTGCTACAAATCTTGTAGAATCCTGGAATGTGTCTCCTGTCGAGGTCCCAAGGTTCGATAATTAAGTGACCTATCTCAACGAAGATCTCTGCCAAACCACTCTATCTCACTTCGCTTGCAATACTGACTTTCGTTTGCAATACAAGAAATAGGACAAAGAAATCATCCCCTGACTATAAAGCTTTAAAGTTCAGTTGTCTTAGGTCCTGGGATATGAGGGAGCGCAATTGTTTCGCGATTCGCAATATGTTGTCGCGCGTTTAGAAGAAGCCTATGTCAGACCGTTGGATTCATACCTGAGCGCTGGTATTCTGAGTCGAATTTGATCAAAGATAGGTCTGGATATGCTCCGTTCAACATTAATGAGTACCTAATTCTTCTCCGACTTGTTCAAAATGCTGATCTGCCGTAAGGCCCTCATTAGGGTGTCGGAAGGCCGCTGGCGACCGTGTATCTCCGCCTCGTTACCGAATGCGTTACACGGTTCGACTTCGCCTTGTCTTCGGGTACTGGTAATCATGCGGTATTATCCGACCACGTACAAGAAGCACGTTCGTGGCGACTTCCACCGCTGCCGCTCTTAATTACTCATGGACGATCGGCAGGATAATCTGATCGCAATACATAGAGTCTCAGAACATTCTGTCCCATTAAATTACAACACCTTAGATACGTTGCGAAGCCAAAGTTTCAAAAGCTTCTACCCATCCTCAGCAGCCAGCCCGTCCGCGACTTTCCCATCAAACCCCCCCGCCTTCAGCGCCTGCACAAAACTCTCCACATCCTCCCACAACTCCTTCGGTTTCTCGAACGCTGCAAAGTGTCCACCTGAATCATGCTCCTTCGACCAAATCAGGTTTCCACTCGTCTTCACCCACGAGAGCGGCATCGGTGCGATCTCCAACGGGAAGTATGAGTATCCAAACGGCTTCTTGAAGTGGTATCTTGGATCACCATGGGGCGTGTTTCCGCTGGTCGTTCTCGCACCGTGGTATTGGCGGTAGATGTAGATGCAACGGGGAAATGATTGTGTAAACCAGTACAAAGTTATAGAGTCCAGGATGTCGTCGAGGTCAGGAGTGGTGTCGGTCCATGTTATAAATTTCTCAGCGATCCAGGCAAGAAGCGCAAGTGGGCTGGACTGCAGTACGAATCCAATCGTTGCAGGTCTTGTACCGTGTTCGAGTGCGTATGCGCTTGCTCGCTGGGAGAAGTCCTCGGCGCGCTCTAAGCCTTTCTTTTCTGAAGCGCTGACATTACTGTTGGCTGCTGCTTCTGGCCTCTCCATCATGTTGAAATTCAAATGGACTGCTTTGCAGCTTGGGTACAGTGCTAGTGGTCGACAAGTGTAACTACCAACATCACCGCCTTGGCCGATATAGCCTGAGAGTCCAAGACCGTTCATCAACTTGTCGGTTATCCGGGCGATGTCTTCGGTGGTGAAGTCTCTGTCAAGAGGCGGGCCCGAGGAGAGAGTATAGCCGGGCAGCGATGGTACAACTATGTGATAGGGAAGATCCTGCGCCGAGTATTGCTTCTTGATGACTTTTAAGATACCCAGGAATTCCAGAAAGCTTCCGGGCCACCCGTGAAGGAAGACTATGGGGAGAGCATCTTGCTTATCGGAGAATAAGGCTGCGAAATGAATGTCGAACTCGTAGCCGTCGTCATCGGTGATCTTGACCTTATATTGGGGAACAGAGTTGATGTTGATTTCTCGTTTTCTCCTAGCTCACTTCAGCGTACATCAATAACTTACAAGGTGTTCTCACCAGTCATAGCTGCTCTCCCAATGCTTTTTCGCCTTTGACATAAAATCATGGTTGACGCCAAATTGATTCGGATCCGTTCTCGTATTCTCGTACGTCTTCGGCGCCAACACAGAGAGCTTGAGCAACTGATAAAAATGATCGACGTCCTGCTGCGGGACCTTCAGCTCAAACCTTTCTGGCTTGAGGGTTGCCCCACTGGGAATCTTGTCATAGGACATGGTGTATGGATGTTCCTGGGAAGATCGCGCTCAGAATAGTGCAGTACTAGCTGCTCACTTGGAACTCACAGTACTGTTATTCGCTTGTTATGAGAAGTTGTTTACCGTCCGTAGCGGGCATGCCGGCAGCACGAGCGAAGTCACGTGCTCGACGCGGCTCGGACGGACCGTGGTGTTCGTGCGGGGTATATCAGACGAGTAGGCGAGAAGAAGGTGTGGCTTGCAGACGCAGGTACCGATGGTGCGGAGCGTCCAGCCGCTGCTCCGCGTGCGTGCGTGCTTGGGTGTGTCCTTCGAAATGGGAGTGAAGATCGACACTTTGCGAATATTCCATGGCGATGACGTAAAGCCTGATAGAGGGAAGGACTTTAGAAGTTGCGAAAACCATTTTGGGTTCGCGAGATTTTCGAAAACTCATTTTCAACGATGACAAGGGAGATCCAGACAGACTTCTGGAGAACGAGAACTTTGGTGTACAGGTATCAGCGTGGTAACTCGCGCCTGGATAATTCACGATGCGAGCAACCACCACTCGGCTCTGCTTCGAGCAATTCCGACAGACATGACAATATGATGTAGTTTATCAGGTCACACGCTTCACATTGACTTATGATTGTGTGACAACATTCATGAACTTCTTCATTACGCCGCTTGGTAACAACGATAAGTGACCCTTTGTTCTTATCCCCATATATAACCAAATCCTCATAAATACCGGTCTATTTCCTCAGACCAAGATCCCCTGCTTTAGACTACGATGACGCAATCTCCTCCTTGCTTTCTTGTGTTCTCTGAATGCCACTCTGAGTAGCGACAAAGTTCGCAGTGGACTCGTCGTTCTCCGTAGTAAAGAAAGACAAAATGAGAGCCGACCCTGAAAATGCCAATGACACTAAGAAAACCGTCTGACCTGCAGAAACGAAGGCCTGGCGGTAGGGCTCCATCACTGCAGCTTGGATCTGAGGAGTAAGGCCTTGGACTGCGTCGAATGAGCCTTGGCCCTGAAGAGCCATGCGCAGATTGTCGAGAGAACCGTCGGGAAGACCCAAAGAGCGGGCGACCGGGTAGACGTGTTGCGGGATGGTGGTGAGCAGACGGTTGCTGAGTGTGGACTGGTAGATTGCTACGGCAATGGCGGAGACGAACTAGATCGGTCAGCAATGATCAGCTTTTCAATCATGAACCTTGACTTACATTCCGCGTGCTGCCACTCAATCCTCCGCCTTGGCCGATCTCTTCTTGTGATCGCAGCGGGAACGTAGAAGTAGTGATAGAAACAGACTCGACAATGCCGATAGCGAAAGCACCAGGGATGATGAGGCCCTGGGTTAACGCGCGATTGTTCAGATTGGCCGAAGCAGCAGTGAGAAGGGCGCAACCGATGACTGCACCTCCGATCATCCCCCACTTGGGACCTGTGAACCAGACGACAAACCCGTGGCACATCTGTGCAAACACGAAGCACATGGGCACAAGACCAGCCAGTGTCCCGATGTCGTATCTGCTAATCTCTCCTCTTCCGTAGTACACAGTCTGGACGATCTGAGGGAACACAATGCCGAACCCGTAGTATACACCAGCAGCGATGCCCGTGTTCCATGCGGCGGACTGGAAGCGGATGTTCTTGAACAGATGAAGTGGGAGGTAGGTCGACCTGCCCTTCTTGTGGATGAAGATCTCGTACGCTGGCAGGACGAAGAAGAGCGTGCTACCGCCGACGGCCATGGTGGCGATAACAGCGGCGGACTTCCACGGGTAGAGGACGCCACCCCAGTTAAGACCGAAGATGAGGATGCAAAGGCCTCCAGTGAATAGCATCACACCGATCCAGTCGAAGCTGAAGAAGAGGTCCTTTGCAAGCGCCTTGCGATGCAGCATGCTGAAAGTCGGAGGGTCTGCAGAGATTAGGTTAGGCACATCCGCCAAAGTGAATTTAGTTTTAGAATCAGGATGCTTACGGTAGAAGATGTACCATGCCAGAACACTGGTAGCGTTGATAGCGATGAGGAGGTAGAAGCAATTACGCCACCCGCCCGGATACTCCAGGAAGCTGTAAGCTACTCTTGCTGCCAGAGGACTGGTTGGAGTGGTCATGGCATAACAGAAAGAGTTCGCGATATAGCGCCATTTCATGGGAACCAGCTCGGCAACGACCCAGAAGAAGGACTGTTGAAAGGCGACACCTATGCCGATGAAGACCTCAGCGCCGATCAGGGTATTGACGTTTTGAGCACAAGCACCAATGATTGAACCGATTAGTGAAATGACAGAGCCGATAATGAAGAACCTGTAGAACGGTTAGCTTATACTGGTCGTAGCAAGAAGTGTAAGACGAGGTCCTCATACCATCGTCGACCGAAAATATCTGACAGTGAGCCGACCAAGAGGAAGAAGACTGCACCACCACAAAGGTTGACGAGCGGCACCCAGTTGATATTCGGTGACGGTCCAATGTCCTCGTTGATATTGGCAAGGATTGGTGAGATGAGAGCAATACCTTTTCCCACAGGTCAGCGATGTCGCCAAGGCAATGGGTGTCCGACAGAGTCACTTACCTCCAATTCCGCCCATGAAAGCCATGCCTACCGCAAACATACTTCCCAGGAAGCGCCATGAGTACCAGTACTTGGGGTCAATGACATCAGACATCCGACCTTTGGCTTCCTCCGCACGGTCATCGATATCGCGATGGCCGAAAGCATCGACGGCGATGGAGCTGCTCCTGCGATGGCCCATACCTGGGTGATCCTCATAACGCTCGATGTGGTCCTGGCTAGGCGCAAGTTTCTCGTTTGTCGCGTTGCTCGACATTGTGCTGGTGATGTAGACAAGACAAGACGAGTATTGAGCGGAGATGAATCTGATCAGACTCAACGCACAGGTGTCACACGTGGGTTATTATGCACTCATCTGCGAAGTGAGCAACCCGGGGGAACGGCTCGCATCTAAGATGGCCATCCTGCTCCGGTGCATGGCGTTGAGTTGGCGGCTGCGAGACTAGTGTAGCTCGAAACGGCATTTCCGCAGCCGCGTGCATCTTCGGAGGGCACGGGATGCGCGGTCCGCGTTGACGGAGCCACATCCGCTGCTTAGAGGTAACATGGCGTCCACGCTTGGCCCTCCCGGCGCCAGTCGGATCATTGATTGCGGAGATACCCCATGGGGAGCTACGAGTCTAGCCGGGTCCCTGGAAACACCCCGGTTACTTGCTTCGACCTCAGATTTCTTGCTCGACACGATAACACGGGAGCTTGCATGAACCGGATAGATCGTCGAGGAAGTCACGCCACTCGACGCGGTCCGCGGTCTTGGAACAGGGTGTGATGTCGCTGATACAAAGGCCTTCGGTTATACAGCCTCAGTGTTAAGGTCGATCAGTGAATGCGGAGTGTGAGATCATCGACAGCTGTGAAGTAAGCCCTACATAGGTACTCTGGCGCTGTACCGCTCGGTGTGCAATCTTCACCCCCACCTGTAATTATCAACTCTGCAAGATGTCCGACAAAGAAGTGATTATTATCGGTATGATATGGTTTCTGGATCGTCTACAAACCTATGACTGACACCATCCAGGCGCCGGTCCCTCAGGCATCTGCGCAGGCGTCCAACTCCAACGCCTCCTCGGACACAAGAACGTCCACTTCTACGAGCGCTCCGCCGACCTCGGTGGCGTCTGGTTTAACAACACCTACCCGGGCTGCGCCGTCGACATACCTGCGCACTTCTACTCATACAGCTTCGCCCTGAAACCCGACTGGCCCAAGCTCTTCCCCGTGCGCCAGGACCTCTACGACTACTTTCACGACATCGCCGAGGAGTACGATCTGACCAGGCGCATGACCTTCAATACCGAGTGCTATGGCATGTCTTGGGACCAGCAGCGGTCGCTGTGGACGGTGCAGTTCCGCAGGACCAACGATCACTCTGTGACCTTTGAGCGCGAGGCCCCGGTTGTGATCTGCGCGATTGGAAAGCTGGATCTTCCCAACATACCCAACATCAAGGGGCGTGAGTCGTTTGGTGGCGCTCAGTTCCACTCTGCGCGCTGGGACCACTCCGTCGACATCAAGGGGAAGAACGTCGTGGTTCTAGGTAACGGTGCCAGCAGCACACAGTTTGTCCCGAAGATTGTTCCGATAGCAGGGAAGACGACGCAGATTGTTCGCTCAGCGCATTATATCCAGGAACGGCTGAACCCACATTACTCACCGACATTCCAGTGGATGATGAGGTACATTCCTGGCGCGTGTCGTGCGTACAGATGGAGTTGGTATATCCGCATGGAGAGGCAGTTCAATGCGTTCTGGCTCACGCCCAGTGGTGAGAAGGCTCGAGTTGCTGTCGCGCAGGAGACGTGGGATTACATTGACAAGGCTGCGCCGGAGAAGTACAAGCAGATTCTCCGCCCGGACTACCTCGTTGGGTGCAGACGTCGTGTACACTCGAACAAATATCTCGAGAGCTTGCACGCCGACAACGTTGAACTGATACAGGATGATGTGATTGAGATCACGAACGACACCGTCATCACCAAGTCCGGTAGGAGGATTCCTGCAGACGTCATCATCTACGGTACTGGCTTCCGGACACAGGACTGGCTCTGGCCGATGAAGATCTACGGCGTCGACGGCCAGGAGATGCACGAGGTCTGGAAGCAACGCAAACAAGTACAGGCGTACTGGGGTACTGCCCATGACCAGTTCCCGAATTGGTATACTCTGTACGGCCCCAACACAGGCTCGGGACACAATTCCGTCATTTATCAAACAGAGTGCCAGGTCAACTTCATGTGCCGGCTGTTGAAACCAGTATTGAACGGTAACGCGAAGTCGGTGATGCCGAAGTACGAAGCGCAGCAGAATTTCAACAGCTGGGTCAATGCACAGCTGCCAAAGATGACTTTCAGCTCCGGCTGCACGAGCTGGTTCATCGACAAGAATGGCCATAACTCTTACGTGTTCCCAAATTATACCTTTATGTGAGTTTCAGTCAAGAAGAGTTTGTCGAAGTCGCTGACCACATACCTAGGTTCTGGCTGAATACTGTGATGATCAACTGGAATCAGGTCCAGGTTGACTACCCGAAGAACACCGGATACAAGGGCAAGAGTACCTCAAAGGCTCCTTATGCACTATTACTTGCTGGTCTAGCAGCAGCAGGGCTTTTAGCTACTGGTCAGGTGACCACGGACTCGTTGACACGAACGGGCGAGATGCTAATTGAGCGGGTGCGTCATCGGAGCTTCTTTTAATATAGGAGAAAGCTAGCAACTAGTATCTCGTAAAGCGCAATATCACCGTGGACACAAGAGTCATTTCGAACTCGCTGTTCCGCCACAGAAAGTTGTCCCTCTGGACGCGATTTGATATTACTCAGTCCTCGAGCTCATCGTAGTACTCATCGTAGTCGTCTTCGTCGTCCTGGAACCCCAATCTATAACGAACTCCACCCCATGCTCCTTCGGCATCCCATCCACCATGCGCACCACTCATGTGGTTGTAGATATCACGCTGGGTAAACATCTTAGCGCAGCTCCAGCACCAATGCACCCCACAAGTCTTGATAGGGCATCGGACGTGGTCGCAACCATAGCTCTTCTGCGATCGGACTCCGCACCCAGGGCATTTCTTCACAGGGTATTCGAGCTCTGCTCTCGCTCGCTCCGCCACAGAGAGTTCATGCTGAGCTTGTATGCGTCTCTGCCGCCGATCTGCAATATTGAGTTGGTGGGCGAGCTGCGCGGCTTCTGCCGCTGCACGACGGGCCTCTTCCTCCGCTCGGCGTGCGTTCTCAAGCGCCTCGATGTTGCAATCTTCGCATGAGAAATTGTCCACAGGGTCTGGCGCGCCCCGCGCGCACTCTCGTTCCATGAGTCGGCGAGCTTTTCCACATATGCGGCACCAAGCATGGATCCACTTGCCCCTTTCCTCAAGAGCTGTCATCAAGTCTCCAACCGCATGTATTCCTTTTCCGTATGCAGCCAGTGTACGTGCAGCAGGAGGACGCCTGCAGAAAGGACAGAATAGTGCCGCGGGATTAACGATTTGACCGACACTGTTTTGGCCATACCAATCACCAAGACATTTTTCGCAGATACGCTGGTGGCATCCGCGGCGCCGGCATGCTGGGAGAAGGCGAGCGTTTGGGAGCTCCGAGAAGCAAAGGCTGCAAGTCGTCTTTTCAACATTACGACGATGAATCCAGGCTACGAGGGTAGACCTCAGTGCTTCTCGATTTTGGATTGGCTTGCCGCGGAACGTCAAGGCTCCATCGTAGGTTGGAGAAAGTATGCGCACATTGGCTAAGAAAGCTTCCGGGCCGACGGTCGTGATTGTGCGGAAGATCGAGCCTTGGAAAGGTGTTTTCAGCGTGTTTTTGTCATTTTGAAGGAGCCATGCTTGCCCGTTCTCTTTGCATAGCTTTTCAGCAGTGGTGTCAACAGTGACTACAGTCTTCCGTCCGTCGACACAGGCGACGCAGTTGAATGGTGTTGGAGCTGCCGCTCGCCACTCGCTTGGCCAGATCACCTTGCTACGGCACTTGGCGCACTCGATAGTAGGTGCCTCGCACTGCAAAAATCGACAATAATAGCACTTTGGGCGGACTCTCAGATCGTCGGGGTTGTAGCACACATACTGCGCTCGGCAAGTACGTACGCTACACTCGACCCAAGCTATATTACCGGAGTCCGTAATGTTAGAATTCATCATTCTCTTTTTATGTGCCTCGTCCTTGTAGTCTGAAGCCACACATAGACCGCATTGGCCACCAGATTTTAGGGCCATGGCAGTCACAGATCTTGGATACTTGCAACGCTTGCAGGTGACAACGTGTCCGATGGGCAATTGGGTCTTCTCTGGAGTCCAACTGACGACAGCCACAAGTGTGGTCTGGAAGTTGGCCTCGAGTAGCTTGTGCGCGACGAGTTGAGTGAACAGTGTTCGATCAGCAGGGTATAAAAGACCTGAGGGATCTTTCGATGAAGTCTTGCCGTCGCTCCTCGTCTTTCGGTATTCATTGTCTGCGTCAAGCAGGAGGCCGAGACAGCCAACAGTCCAGGTTTCGGGAGTCTCTAGGTTATTCCACTTGTCCCGCCAATACATCAGTGCTGAAGATGCAGGCACGAACAATGGCTCTATACCCATGCGCATTGCCAAGGCTGCGAGGACCATTGCTGGGCGAGTAGATAACATTGTCCCCGGTAGAACGGTATGTAGCAAAATCTTCCAGAACTTCCATTCCTGCGACTGAGAAGAAAGTGCGATGGGAATTCTCGGAACTTTTACTAGCGTAGCCGCAGCGATGTGTGAGGGTAGCTGTTCTGCCTAGAATGAGACGAAATTGTCAGCGAATTGTACGTGCACAGTGGCCGACAATAAAAAGGGAATCCACCCTGCTGTCCACATCTACGCTAATGTGATACATTATAAGTTGACACAGGATGAGGTGCGCTGACATTGCCATTTCCTTTTGTCAGCCACAGTGGTGTATGGTGAACTTCGGAGCCAGAGCGGCTCAGGCGTGTGTGTTCTCGCGACCCAGACACGGGCAAGACTCCTTTTTCTCAATCTGAGCACTGAATTTGGGTCACTCACCGTCTCCACATACGTCAAACGTGTAAGAACATTCCCCAAGCGCCTCAAGATGCGCCCCTCGCAAGCCCGGCCTATGTCAAGAAGCTCGTCACGTCGCAATGCGGCAATCTGGTAGTAGTCATCCTCCTCCTCATCGCTTGCTTTCTCACGTCTCTCTTTCGCTGGTAGAAATTCGATTGTGGGGTCCAGGAAAACACAAGGATAGCGTTGATCTTCAGGAACCGCCTCTAGCATATCCAAAATATCAGCCGCAAAATCGTACGACTCTTCAAGCCAGTTCTTCATACGCGCTCTCTGCTCAACATCTTGAAGCCTGTCAATACTTGATGCGAAGAGTGTAGTGAGAGCCAGCCGCCCAGGAAGCGCCCGATCGTTGCAAACCGCGCGCCAGAGACTCCCAAAGACTGGGTTCAATGCGATCGAAGTGACATCCGCCTCGATGATATTTTTGAGCTCTTCGATGACAATCTCCTTGTATTGAGGATCGTTGTTATATTGCCAGGCAAAATCCACGGCTTTTGTCTTCCTCTTCGGCAGGAACTTTGCAAGAACTTCAGAGTCAACCGGCTTCGTGACACGATTTGCCTCCAATTGCTTCTTGGCTTGCATTCGAAACTGATAACTGTCGAGCCCTTTGTAACCCCCTTCCAGGACCGAGGGATCATGCGACCAAAAGAATGCGCTCGCGACGGGATCTTTCTCGTCCTTGATCTTCTTGATGTCCGTTCCCAGCTTGTATCGGATCACTGTAGCTGGCAAGGAAGTCTTCTCTGCGCCTGGCTTCGCGACCTCCATCCAGGAAAGAAGAACGTCAACCGTAACATGCGCTATGCTTTGCGGATCCGACTTTGTCAAAGACATGCATGCCCCTCGTGTGATAGTGCTTAGATATAGGTAGAATCCGGAGTCGAGAACATCCTTGCCCGCATCTTCGTCGAGGAAACAGAAAACGTGGGCCTTTCGCAGACCAGTATGCATAAAGTTGCAGCCCTCGACCCAATCCGCGAAACGCGGGCCAAAGCCGCCATAGGAGCCTTCCTTCTTCAGAGCCTTCTGTTCCGCAACATAGTTACTTCTTGGATCTTTTTCGGCTACTGTCCAGCATTGGGGTGTTGCATCCGTGTACAGAAGGATAATCGTTGTTGCCTCCTCACGCATAAGGGAATATGCACGGGCCATACCGGTCTTCGTTGCTTCGGGAAAGTCTCCACCCCCACTGGCTACGAGGCTCCCGGCTTTCTGCATGAGTCCCTCGGCGGTGGTACTGTCCGCATCCATCACGTTGTCGTGGCTGTACCATCCACTCCATTCTAGCAGAGGGTAATAGCGATTGTCGGCCTCAGTGTAGTCACGATATGCAAGGAGCCCAATACGCGCAAAACTGTTGGTAAGCTTGGAGATGGAGATGATCTTTGGGAAGGAGATCCGAAGAGACTCAAGGTAATTTGACATGGAGGACGTCGCGTCCACTAGCAGCAGAAGGTCGTAGACCTCCTCGAAGTGATTGGTGGCCATGGCGAATAAAAGGTCGAAAAAAAAAAGGATTCACAAACAGCCTGCGACTATATAGTCGCTGATACGAGATCAGCCCTTCAGCCCTCGAGAGACGGAGTCATTGAAGCAAGGAAGATGCCGTGAGTCACATCCGAGAAGATGTGCGCTGTGCCTGCTTTTGGTGTGAATAGGAGCAGCTCAAGCTTTAAGAGAAGCAGGGTGAAAACATTCAATTTGCCGTACTTGCCAGAGCCTCAATCATTCGTGCGAGTGGTGGGCAGAGACGAGGCGCAGTTCGGGATTGCATGGTGAGCCTTTGCACCGCCCCGCGACCGTCCGGTACGATGGAGAATGCCAATTTGTGGGCCGTCCAGATGGATCCGAGGTTCTAGGCCGTTCATGCTGACGATGTCTGTGGTAAAGCAGCTCGTGCGGATGGTGTCGGTGGGAGGTGCCGGTGGTTATGGAAGTCGCGAATGGGGGCGAGCATCGAGGCAGGCGCGCGACGCCTCTCCGGGACATCGGGACTCTAGCTCTCTCACCGCAACGTGAACACCCACGATGCAGTATCGGGTCCAGAGTGTAGGTTTCCAAAGTAACTGAAGTATACCTCGGCTCAATTATTCATGTTCAGATCGACGAACAGCTTACACCGGTATTCGTGCTCAGGTATTCACGTGAGAGCGTTGCGTTCAAGAACCTGAGGGAATCCGAATCATCTGGAATCCGGTGGGCCGTGAGCGTATGAAACTGCAATAGGGTATCATTTGTGCACTCTCCTCACTGTCCTGCTCTTTACCAACGCAAAGTTTCATCTGAGCCCCACCGCCACTGTGACTGAGCTCACCATCCTTACCCTCGTCTCTGGCACCTCGTCCTTCACCTCTTCCTTGACCTTACTCCCCTCCCCTCCCTTCTCCTCCTCGTTCTGGCGTACCTCAATATCATCCACCGCCATCACACTCCCCGTCTCCACCCGGACCCTACAATCACTCTCGCCCTGGAAGTGCACACCGATCCTCAACGCGCGCTCAATCGCCCTGCCCGTAGCCTTGACATAGACCTCTTCTCTGCGCTCACCCTCGCCCGTCTCTCTGCCCTCTTCTACAATCTCCCGCTCCACGTCCTCAGGCGCAAGACGCCCGTTTGACACTAGCGGCTTTCGATTGCGCCCCTGCTGTCGGTTTCGGGGCTGCGTAGCTTGGGATTGCGCTTGTCGCTTGGAGATTTCGAGGAGGAGACGGCGGATGCGCTTCAGGGCTGGGACGAAGGGCGTTGAGTGGGAGATGTAGAGTGTTTTGGGATGGTCGGAGGAGGCGAAGGGCGTGGGGATTGCGGGGTGGTGCAGTGGGCGTTTGGTTACGGAAACATCTGCGAAGGTTAGTACGGTAGCGTGTGCAATTGCTGAACGGGTTGGAGGGCGTACTGGGAGGTAATCTGGGAAGCTTCTTGTGTGTCTGCTTCCGGGAAGGAGCATGGTTGCTTGGCTTTGGCTCCGCGAGAGCGTCCTGAGCTTCATCTAACTTCTGCTTCTTGGGTTCCCGCGTTTCGTTCGCGATTGCTTTGGCTGCTGAGGGCGCGGTTGAGGAGCGTGGAGCTTGTGCAGCGGGGGTTGTGTCACTCGAGGGCGCTGCACCAATCCGGGCCCTTTTGGGGTGCTTCTCCTCCCCATCGCTCGTCCTTTTCTTGCCCATGTTGCTGCGCGCGTGTATCCGATTCTCGTTGTAGAGCGCCAGAGCAGTGCGTAGGCTATGCGCTCAACGCGTCCAAACTTTCTTATCGATACCGGTACTGGTACCGCGCCGGGCGCTACCACGCGACATCCCAGCTTGGCCAGTACCCATCCCAACACCAGCTCTCCACCATGCCCAGACCGCGCTGATCCACGCACCGCCGGCCCAATGCGGCCTCTCGTCCACCTCCACTTCCCGCGGCCCATCTCCTACCGCACCGCGCAGACCCTCCAGGAAACCCTTGTTTCGCGCTTCCTCGCCCACAAGCGTGATCCCACACTCGCAGCTCCACCGCCGCATATCATAACCGCCGAATTCAACCCCGTCTACACGTGCGGCCGCCGCGAAATCGGCACCGTCTCTGCGGAGCAGCAGACGTACCTGCAGCACCGCGGGCAGGCCGAGTTCGTCGAGGCGCTGCGCGGGGGGCAGACGACGTTCCACGGGCCCGGCCAGCTTGTCGCGTATCCCATCATTGATCTGCGCATGCATAAGCTGACGCCGCGAGAGTATGTGTGCTTGCTGGAGAAGAGTCTGATTGCGACGTGTGCGCGTTATAATATCAAGGCGATGACGACGGAGCACACGGGCGTGTGGACAACGCCGGATGACAAGATCGCTGCCCTTGGCGTGCACATGCGGAGGAACATTACGAGTCATGGGGTTGGGCTGAATGTAAATACGGATCTGTGGTGGTTTGGACGCATTGTCGCGTGTGGGCTTGAGGGGAAGAGCACGACGAGCTTTGAGCGCGAGGGTGTCGAAGGCCTCGAGGTTAGCGATGTGGGAAAGACGTTTGTAGGTGAGATTGGAGAGCGGCTGGGACTCGACGCGATCGAAGAACAGGACGCCGAGGAGTTCTTGGAGCAAGAAAGACAAATGGCGAGTTGAAACAGGTGCCGAACGAAACTTATACGACGGTAGACGTAGCGTGTGGGCACAGACAAGAGCAGATTGGGATAAAGCTATCGAGTGAACGAGGATTGATCCAGATACTACGCAGTATGAGCAGTCCGGCACTACCACAGAAGGTCACATTTTCGCCTCTTCTATCTTCAGCTCTTCAAGAATCACCAACCCATCCACCTCTTCGATGAGTCGGCGCGCCGCAACAGCCGAATTCCCCCCCGCAGCAGCAACTCTCCTGTCAAACTCTGCGTTGTTGTGCTTGACCAGGGGACTATCGCTTGTGAACAGCAGGTTTACCTCCTCCAAGCTGTGACCCGCAGGCTCGACGTAGAACAAGTAAATCAACGGAATCGTCACAGCGTTCATGATGCCGAAGAAGATGAATGTGTACCACCCAATCTTGCTCAACATGATGGGGATCAAGAACGTCGTCATGCCACAGCCAATTGCCCACCCAAGGATAGTGAACGAGTACCCCTTCGCTCGCACGTCTTGCGGCCAGATCTCGGTGCCGTAGAGCCAGCAAGGAACAATGTTGAACATGGTGAAAAACCATAGGTAGATGAACACGAACGAGGCTGCGCCTTGGCCAAGCGTCTCGGACTTGCCAGTGTCGCTTTCAGCGTAGTTTTCCGACGACTTGATAAGCGCGGCGACGATAAAGAGTGCGATACCCTGGATGATGAAGGAGACTAGGAGGCTCATGCGCCGGCCAATGCGATCAATGACCAAGCCTGCGGCAGCTGTCCCGAACATTCCCAGCGTATTGACCAGGCCTCCCATCCACAAGGACTTGTATTCGTCGAAGCCTGCCAGTGAGAATAGTTTGGAGCTCCAGGTGACGACGGCAATGATGCCAGACCACTGCTGAATCTGTTGCAGCGCGAAGCCGAGGATTGCTCGTCGACCGAGATGTAACACGCCCGAGTGTCGTCCGCCCAGAGCCAGATTGACGTAGCTGTTTCTTGGGTGCTTGGAGGCCTTGACAATGGCATGGAGATGCTCAAGCTCTTGCTGGATCGAAGGGTCCGTTGGTTCGATATCGCCTCGTACTTTGCACAAGATCTGCACTGCTTCGTCGCGTCTATCGTGCGCCATCAACCATCTAGGCGATTCGGGTAGCAACATAACCGTGACGGCGACGGTGAAGACCGGAATGCACATAAAACCCAGCGGGAAGCGCCATCGGAACTCGATCTCGGAGTTTCGTACGCCAAAATTTAGCCAGTTAGCAATGGTGATACCGAGGAAGTTGGCCACGAAGATGAAAGAGAAGTTGGAGCCGCGGTCGTGCGCCTGAGACAGTTCAGAGACCCATGGTGGGACAATGGCCATAACAAAGCCCATCCCAAGTCCAGTGATAACTCGGGCGCAAATGAACATGTTGGAGTTGATACTGCCGGCTTGCAGCGCGCCGCCTAGAACACCTTGCCATGCGCCAGCGAAGACTCCAACTTTTCGGCCGTACCTGTCTCCAATCCATCCTCCGATGAAGGCTCCAAACATGGCGCCGAAATAGTAGGCGGCAGAAAGACCGCCCTGTTTCGTGCTGTCAGTCACGACGCCATCAGCGCCAATATTCATCGTATTGATGAAGCCTGGAGTCCCGGAGACGGTGCCGAGAACACCTTTGATGGTCAATTGTAGTGTTTACGTTAGGATTTTGATTCCATACACACCTTGATTGTATCCCTCGAAGATTAAAGCGACAAAGATGAAGGCGTTGATGAAGAACATGAGAGCCCTACCGGGTACGCGCCGCCATGGTTGGAAAGACATTCTGTACAAGGACTGACGCCTGCCCAATCTGTTGTACAAGGCTCCAAGGTGGTTTTATACTCATTGTATGGTTCGTAGATTTGAATAGTCGACTTCGTCGTCGCCGAGCCTAGAGTCATGTAGGACGGTGAGCCGTACTCAAGAAGCGGGACACCATGGGGAAGCTGTTGCCAAGAACGACGGTGTGATATATGACAGTAGGGCTTCCCAGCTGGCGGCTGAGCGGCTGAAAGGCAGAACGCCAGATTCTTCGATCTAAGCCAATGACAGCCGACCATGAGCTGACAATATTCGCCGATTTTTCGGCATGCCCTCCGCTCCTCGGAAGCGCGATCTTATTTTCATGCACACTGATCAGCTGGGGGTCATTCTTGGACAGACTCCAGTTTGTTCGGTCACGTGTGCACGCTGCGGCGCACTTATCAGTCCGATGCAATAAGATAGAGAGTTCTGAGTCATGAGGTTTTCTTGTTTCAGTGACATCAAGTCATGGAAGCCTTCATTCGCTGGGGAAATGCATAAATCCTGATTTCCAGGGCCATTCGGAGAGAACATCTTGTGGTAGCTGCAGATCACGGTTGTGGGGGTCCATGTACATGGTCGCAGGCGAGACTGCACTCCCACGGGATGCCATGTGCTCGTCTATCTGAACGACCAGAGCTCTTAGTTTCTGTGCGGATTTGACGGAGTGAATACCGATGTCTAAATTTTCCAAAAGTTGTGCTAGCGACAGCAAAACCGTGCGGACCTGCTGGTATTGGTAGTCTAGTAGAGGCTCTCCGAGGACGCCTCCGAGTACTGAACCAATACCGCTTAGATGGTGCAACAACGGAGAGCTAATCGCGCGCAGATATGAGGATGGTATGCGCATGAAAGCGTTAACGACCTCGCTAACAACTTGGCAGCGCTGCTCTATAGTGTTCTGTTCCGATGCTAAGAGAACCATACGTAAAAGTTGGACTGTGGCGGTGATGTTTGCTGCTTGGAATCCGTAGCGGTCTTTGGCCTGGTCTCCTGTTCTTTCCTTGATTTCCCGAAAGTGATACGGCAGGCCGAAATATATGCGATTTACCTCAGCTTGGAGTTTTGACGTTGGGGGAGAAGCCTCAAAGTTGGCTGCAATCTCCAGGAAGGATCGTTTCTTTTTGGTATGACTGTGTAATTTCATTGTAACATGTTCAAGAAGGCGCCACAGATCGGTTACGATGTTCCAGCCGTGGACCCAGCTGTCAGGTGAGGAGCTGCTCGATGGGCTGATAGCATCAACCGGCGATTGAGGTTCTGTCCTGTAGCCGGTGTTGTCGAAACAGGCGTCGTCTAGCTCAGTTGGGTACCGCACAACAGATTGTTCCTCCCGACTACGGATCACGCTATTGAACACAATGCAAGAAAAGATGTCGAGAGTGTACATGGACCAGTACTGTACGGGTCAACGCAAGCCACGTGGGACAAGCCACATACTCACCAGCCGTCGACGTTCCTCTAACTCAATGATTGTGAGATCTCGCGGCCAATTGGCCTCGTCATGCAGGCCATCCATAGCTACAAGAGCATGATACTTGCCAAGATAGGCTTGCATGTCTCGAGTATTTCCGTGTTGGATAGCAGTAAGCGACAACAAGGCGTATGCTCTCATAAGGTTCAGACTGTGTTCGGGTGTGTCTGTTTTAGGCAAAGCACGGATGGCCGCCTCGTAGAATACGGACGAAGACATGCTCCCTAGGGTCTGTGCATCCCAATTCGAGTCGAACAGAGCATTGTCAGCCGCTCTAGCAGAAGCCAGAGCACAGGCCGCCATTGTTACAGCGAACATCTCCCGAGAGTCCATATATTCACCACGAGAAATTTTGCGTAAGAAACTGGGACGATGAAACAAAGGGAAAATCGGATAGACAACCTCGATATAAACATCGATGAGGTCAACGATTGCAGCTTGGCTAGCGACCTGAGGTGCTGTCCATGGTAGGGAAACTGAAGAATGTGAAGGAATTGGACCACTCGAGTCTGGCGTCTGGACCGTATGAAGGGAAGGCGATGGCGTCTGCTGTGACATACTCCGACCTGGCTTCACTCCTCGACGCCTCACAGCACGGTCGCGTGTGCCTATACTCGCAAGTACGAAGTTAGCTGGGCCAAAAAGAAGTGGGTCGATAAGTGTCTAACAGGGCTGTTCGAAGTCGACGCAATTGGTGCATCGTTCGTGGATGTCTCCGACCGCGGGCTGACACCGAATACCTACAAGCAGTGAGCTTCTCATTATGAAACTTCTTCTCTTAAACTCACTCCTGCGATGGCAATAATCGCACGCTTGAGTAACGCGTCGTCGTTTTGCTGGCCGGTTCGAGTCGCTTGTCATGCTTTCGAAAATGGGCCTAGGAATGCGGGGGGCACGAAACGAGAGAGAAAGCGGAGGCATGTCGTGGGTTGACGGGCTTTTAGCCATTTAAGCAGGGAAAGATTTGGCCTTTCATCCTTCCTGATTTAGGCATAGGAGTTTCAATGTGCTCGGACCACACGATGGCGGACCCACGCCGACCCTCAACTCCACAAATTATCGAGTCGGAGATGCTGTCACTTCAACTACCGAGGATGGTGATCCCATTTCCGCATGCTACAAACCCACTTTATCTACTGGTATACGGCCAAGTTAAACGCTTTCGCTCATGTGCGGACATCCGAAGCTTTCCCCTTTTCAGCTTGGGCTGAACAGGGCCGACATGAGAGGCTCGTAGTTTTATCTACAAGTTTTCTTGTTAGTCGGCCATAACCAACAATTCTGATTCCGACGAAACTCAACTTCTCCAGCCATGGTGTCTCTTACCAACGGTCACAAGACCAATGGGCAAATCCCAAATGTTGTTCACAAAAACACGCCCCTATACCTCACAGTCCTCGGCATGAACAGCGGTACAAGCATGGACGGCATTGACTGTGCTCTTTGCAGATTCCGTCAAGAGTCGCCTTCCTCGCCTATGAACTTTGAGCTTCTCACATACGACGAGGTACCCCTGGAATCTGTTATAAAGAAACGCGTTATGGACATGATCTATCACAATCGCACCACGCCTGAAGAGCTATCAGAAGTCAATGTCTTGCTTGGAGAAACTTTCGCATCCGCCGCAATCGCGTTCGCGTCCAAACACAACATTTCACTTTCTGACATCGACGTTATTGGCTCTCATGGCCAGACCGTCTGGCTTCTCAGTATGCCTGAGAAAGGTCATACTAAGTCTGCTTTGACCATGGCCGAGGGAACATTCATCTCCTCGAGGACTGGAATCACCAGTGTGACGGATTTCCGAGTTTCAGATCAGGCCGCTGGACGACAAGGGGCACCACTCATCGCGTTCTTCGATTCGTTGGTACTCCACCATCCCACAAAATTACGAGCTTGCCAAAACATTGGCGGAATTGCCAACGTATGTTTCATACCTCCGGATAGAAACGGCGAGCTGAACCAGGACTTCTTCGACTTTGACACCGGCCCCGGCAACGTTTTTATAGATGCTGCGGTGAGACATTTCACCAACGGCAAAATGGAATACGATAAGGATGGCAAGATGGGCGCAGCTGGTACCGTTGACCAGGAAATGGTAGACGAGTTCTTGAAAACACATCCTTACTTCGCCCTGGAGCCACCCAAGACTACGGGTCGTGAAGTGTTCCGGGACACCATTGCTGACGACATGATCACAAGAGGCCTTGCGAAGGGTCTTTCTCAAAACGATGTCGTTGCAACAATCACCCGCATTACTGCTCAGGCCATCGTTGAGCATTACCACCGATACATGCCTCAAGACTATGGACCTCTTGCCGAGGTCTTCATGTGCGGCGGTGGTGCTAAGAATCCGAACATTACGTCCTTTCTACAAAGGTCGTTTCCTGACATAAAAATTATGATGCTGGATGAAGCAGGCATACCTGGAGATGCCAAAGAGGCAATCACGTTTGCTTGGCAAGGTATGGAAGCTATAGTGGGCCGCAGCATCAACGTACCTGATCGTGTCGAGACCCGCCAAGGATATGTATTGGGAAAGATCTCACCTGGTCGAAACTATCGTCAGGTCATGCGAAAAGGCACAGAATTTGGTGGCGAGCTGGACGATCTGCTACCGGTCACGAAGATGGTGAATTGGAAGAATGGAAAAGCTTTGAGTAATACTTGGTAGAGGACGCCAATAACTTGTACATTGTGCCAATGATATTCCACCAACGACCCAGAGTCCATTACTATCACAAGAAACAACAGTATTCAAACCAAGAGTCGTCTTCCAGTACACAGCAATAGCACACTCTATCGCGTACCAGATTCGCGACCCGGTGGGTTTTCCCGTAGTAGACACCACGCTCGTCCCGGAGTTAAGGAAAACTCAGAACCTTATCAAAACAAACCGCGTGATGGAATACAACAGACATGGGTAACATACGCATTCAAACAGTATGAGACAAGGAGAGTAAACGTAAAGACTGTACAATCAAGAAGCTAACAAGGTGTGCTCTTCAGGTATTGGGCTGATCCCAGGCTCGAACCCGCCGGTTTGGGTTCGCTTCGGAAAACGGAGCTTGTCCGGGAGAGGGTTCACGTCCTTAAGCAGGCGAGCTGGAAACTTTTCGGCATCACTCACAATAGACCTGAGCGTGTCGACTAGTTCGTCAGCTTCAGCACGTTGATCAACTTGGACCTGAAGAAGGCGTTCTTCGATTAAGTTGATGAACTCTCGAAAGATCGTGCCACTTGCACAGCGAGGATCGTTACGTAACAACCCAAAGGCTCCGCTCACTATGGGATGTATCACCGGTACTCTCGGCGATTCGGCAGAGTCCCTGTTGAGGAGATAGAATTCATAGTAGGGCTGGTGCCGGGCGTAGTGGAAGGTGTCTATCGCTTGCATGTCGTGTAGGATCCAGATGGCCCACTCCAGAAAGATGCAGCCAATTGACCACATATCAAATCGCCGGCTTCTCGCTGCAGAGCCTTTCATGAACGCCTCTGGTGCTTCGTAGCTAGGTGTCGTTGCTCGGGTGTCGGTCGGTTGACCCGCGCGCGCCAGTGTAGCTTTTTCGTGCGTCTTGGAAACACCAACATCCGCCACAATCAGGATACCCTCATCCGACCCAGTGAAATGAAGTATGTTCTCTGGCTTCATATCTCCATGGCGACAGTTGATTGTATGAAGGGCTTGGACAGCTTCAGATATCCCAAGCATTTGTCGAAGACACCAGATGATAAAACAAGTGTCTTTGATGCGCGTGTCTTGAGTGAGCCACAGGGTTGCCAAAGTGCCACCGTTCGCCCAGGGGAATATGACGAAATGCTTGGAGTGTCTAGTAAACGTGGCGAGGTGTTTGATAAGGTGTTTGTGACGGAGTGCTGCAAGCCTTTCCAGATTTTTCCTCTCATGCTCGAAAGCTTCGTCATTGAAGAACTCCTTGGTCGCTACGTATTCCATACTTTCGAAGTGCTTGGGTCCCTGATAATGCGCGGGATGTAGTTTGGTTTTGTAAACTGCGCGGGTAGATATATGCCCAGTCTGATCCGCCCTCTCGAATGGCAAGGGGCATCTCCGATCTAGTTCGTTGTGTAGGCCTTGATCATCGAGAAGTGGAGCAAGAACAAGCCACTGTTTTTCGACAAAAGCTGCGACTCTTTGCTCATCCACCGTTGCGGAGCTCTTGAAGACCCGTCCTGACTGAGAAACAAGTGTATTGCCTTCGTCGTCCAGGTGAAGCGGAAGCTGATCGTCGGTGAGCCCATCATCCAACAATGATTTGATAGCGTCAGGTTCTCCAATGTACACTAGTATTGCAAAGACTTTCTTGGCCTTCTCCACGACCCTACGTGGCAGCTGGTCGTCATTAGCCAGGCGCAAGAATCTCAGAGCAGCGGTAGCAACACTGGAGTTTCTGCTTAAGGCACCGCGGACGTTGTCTTCGGTTATTTCCTTCTCAAGGACATCGAGTGGTAGGAATTCCTGTTCCCCATTAAGTGTACAGCCAACTTGTGCTTTTCTGAGTCGAGCGAACAGCGAAGGGTCACGTGCATTTCCGTACATATCTTTGGATTAACTGAACAGGTTTGGTCAATGAACCTGGGTGGACTTGATAAGTGAAGACGACGTATCTGGAGCTTGTGGTGGGACAGAGATGAAGAATTGGGAAGGCTCATGGCGACGGCATGAGGCTCTGGAATCATGCGATTTGCACCACGCCCAGATGGGTGCCTAATTGCAGTATCTGGTGCTTGATAGCTAGGAAGTCTGCAACGGCGCTGACACGGCCTATCGCACTTCTTTTCAGCCCGGCTCGTTGCGAGATTCCTTGCTTGCATGCATGTGGCGCGCGTCAATAAATGACAATTCGTGAGATGCGAGAGATAATGACATGCCGGTCGTGCAGCTGAATGCTAGCGCAAGCTCTCATGCGTGCGCCTGCTCGCCGCTGTGAGGTGGGGGCGTACTGTTGAGCGAGCGGGGTCCTGTGAGTGCACCGGTCAGCAGTTCACGCCAAGACGCACTTTCAGCCTGTTCCTTCCCTCCACAGCTGTTCCGGTGAACATCGCAGCCTCTACCTCCAATGATGCACGAACACGTCTTCTCATGTCGCAGCATGGCATGCACAGCTACCAAATTGGCCGATTCGCCGTTCGATCGGCTCGCTAGCTGGAGATTGCAGCCAGACAGACTGCACGGGTGCAGTTCAAGAATGATGCGCTCCACAGGAGGAGCCCACTCAACCAGCCTTGTTACCCACAATGGGTTGTTTGACTTGTGTTCGCATATCATTTAAGGTGTGTAATTCTCTAGATTCGGTGTCTAGCCACTTACCCTCCAAGTTTTGCTTCACGGACCACAATCGCTAACTCGTGACTATTGGACAAGGCTGGATTCAAGCGGAAGACTCGCCAGGAAACGCCAGTCAGCCCCGTACGAGAGGAGAAGCAACCGCAGGCGAGGCCACACACCGCTACTAGCCCTGCTCTTGAGCCAGATGCCCATCAGTTCTTGAAGAGGCAAACAACGGCAACAACTACAAGCAGCTTTATACCTGTATCCGAGAGAAATCGGAGGTTCACCAACGAGAGCCTGTCTTCATTGGCAAAGGTTACGCGAGGCAATACCAACGACAGCCTCTCATCACAATTTCCATGTTTCCGCAGACAGAATCCAAGAAAGCTTACTGGCAGTAGCGACGAGATGTCCGGTACGGCTGAAATGACTCGTGCGCAAGAGAAGAAATCCCTTCGCAATAAACTGAAAGCGGCAATGGTTCCGAAGAACCAGTCGGACTTGCAATTTATCCCAATGGGCGTTTTAGACAAGCTCCTTGACAGAGCAACGGTTGGAAGGGCATTAGAGCAGTGCAAAGACAAACTCGACATAGACATAGCGTTGCTCGAATCGTTCATTTGCAACAAAGCCAGAAAGATCTTCGCAATACTCACGTGGGCGGATTCACCACAATATATCCAACAATTTTTCCTCCACAACTTCGTGGACGAACAGTTGCCGGTCCGCGTCGAGTGTAATGATGAAGACCTCTATGACGCGATTTCATTTCGACTGGGGAAAATCGAGATTGACCAGCATCCATTCAACTATCATCAGTGGACCACAAGGAACGTCGATCTTTTCTGCGATAACGAGCAATGGCCATTTCTTAGTCCTGTCTTGGATGGAAGCCAGTTTCGTTACGACTTTCACGAACGAACTCGGATGCCGTTCGTGGACGAGCGGCACAAAAGTTTGAAAGAAAGCTTCTTTAGCGTGGTTGAGCAATGGCGCATACATCGGGATCATGTTCGCGCACCTAAGTTGGTTGTGAGCTCCTCTTCTCCTTGACTTCCACCTGCAGTCCAATCAAGGAACTCATTCCCAGATAATTTAAGTGAATACGGAAGGCGTGTTTCCAGACAGGTAACTCAGCAGCAAACAAAAACTAAACTTTCCTAGCGACTCCCGAAAGACCCAAACGATCATCCGACAGTCGCTGTGAAAAAGCTCAAACAGATGACCTTAACGGATGCAGAGGTCGAGATAGTGGCCGGAACAGAAGTTCAGGCTCTTGAAACCATGCGCATCCTAAACCACAGGCATCTAGTCAAAGCTATTGCCTATTACACCAGAGGTAAAAGTCACTGCATTGTTTTCCCCTGGGCTCACTGGGGAAATCTCCGCGATATATGGAATACAAACCCTCCTAAGTTAGACGAAAATCTCTTGCGATGGGTATTTACCCAGCTTTGTGGTCTTGCAGACGCTATAAAGACTCTGCATAATTCTCAGCAGGATTCTCACGGAAGGGAGTCTTTACGTCATGGCGACTTGAAACCAGAGAACATCCTCTGCTTCGAGGATTTGGATAAGGAGCCAAGCGACGACATTTCCTCTTCCATACTTGTCATTGCAGACGTAGGATTGAGTCGATCCCACGACCAACTGACCGAAGATCGGAAGGGGGCGACCCGCACGAAGAGTGGAACGATCAAGTACGAACCGCCCGAGACAGAGCTGCAACCCAATGAACCAAGATCGCGCCGATACGATGTGTGGTCGCTAGGCTGTATCTATCTGGAATTCATGATATGGCTACTGTATGGTCGTGAAGAGCTCGAGCACTTTAGGAATGACCTCAACACTTTGGGCGAGAATACACGCTTTTATATCGTTGAGGAAGACACCTCCACTCGAAATAGGGCTGCGCGTCTCAATAGTGTCGTACAAAAGTGGGTCGATTGGATCAAGAAAGACAAAAGGTGCTCAGAGCGGACAGCTATTCGACGCCTGTTGGACCTCATAGTAGAAAGGCTGCTTGTCGCCGATGTTGGTCCTGTTCTCTTACCCCGTCGCCCTACTACATTCATCGAGAATGACGAGACACCATCTACACCTTCCGTTATCGTCAGACAAGCTACTTTCTATCACAATCCATCCAACGATTCAAGCGTACGGCCTCGTGCAACAGCAGAGGAGTTGGAGAATGGATTGAGATCGATTTTAGAAGATGCAGATTCGACAATGGCAGACCGCATAGAATGGCTTGACTGGAGTGCCCGTGCACAGCCAGGACCACGACAATACGGCGACCACCTAAATGCTTCGGACAGTGTACGGGGTCTAGAGGTACGATAAGGCCCCTGTAGATAGACATGGTCCAGATCAGCGTGCTAATGGAGCTTTAATGGGGGAAGAACGAATACGTGAGTTATATCCTTGCCATTGAATCTGATCACTGATAAAGCTGATGGCTGATTGACGAACTATAGAGATTTACAGTAAGTGATTTGACGCAACGCCTATGACGCCTCGATTTCGCCGGGTTAACATGACTTCTTTAGCCGCTGAACGATGACTGGAAATACGGCCCAGACACCGAAATGGCAAACCATGTTCTCTCGGATTTCAAGACGGCAACTGCTACCGGAGACGAACCGGAAGTATCAACATTGTGTGAGCGCTGCAATCAATTACCAATATGGCTCCCGAGGCACACATTTTCTGATACTCTAGCCGACCTAAGAGCGAGGTCTCCTAGATGTAACCTATGCCGACTTCTTCAGAAACATGTTCAAGGTCATACTGAGGGAGATCGTCAAGTTTTGCAGTTCTTCAGAGTGGGCTCTTCCCTGACTTTTCATGATCGGCAAAGCTCACCTATCGTTTCTCTTTACACATTTCCGGAAGGGACAACTTTAGGTGCGTATTATTCTCTCCAATGAAGTCGCGAACACATTCTTACTTGTAAATATAACCTCACTTGGCTCGTAGTCCTACATTTCGCCAAATTCTCAAGAAACTGTTGCGTAACCCAGGGGTTGTCTAACATTTGATGTAGGGGTTGAAGAGCCGTCGAACGAGCTTCAATTCGGCATCCCAAGGCTTCACGAACCCGGCACTTCTCGACATTTGAAAGTGCTTTCTGGGTGGATTGAAAGTTGCGACAAGGGTCATCTCTGCGTTCCGAAGCACGAGAGTTTCCTGCCAACTCGAGTCCTTGAAATTGGAAATGATTCCAAAACCGTCCGACTGTATTGTGGCGCACGAGGCCAAACACGTCCGGGGAAGTACTTCGCACTTTCTCACCGATGGGGACTCTCCCCCAATCTCGAAGAGTATTATCGTACTTGCAGAAACAATGTCGATCAACATCAACGAGGAATGAATGTCGCGGACTTCCCAAAAACGTTCCGAGATGCCATCGAGATCACTCGCGCACTCGGTGTTCCGTATCTGTGGATCGATTCGCTTTGTATCATACAAGACGATCAAGAAGACTGGGAAACAGAATCCAGACTCATGGAGCAGGTATACAGCAATGCCTATGCCACCATCGCAGCCAGCTGTGCCACAGGCACATATGATGGTTTTCTCAAGCCTAGGCCATCTAGAGATTGTTTAAAGATCAAAAGAGGTATCACCTCGGCGATTTACGTCTGCGATGCCATCGATGACTTCACTCGTGACGTTGAGAACGGACAATTGAACAGAAGAGGATGGGTGTTGCAAGAGCGAGCCCTGTCTCGGCGTACTATTTATTTCGCCGACAGGCAAACGTATTGGGAATGCAGCCAAGGTGTGCGTTGCGAGACTTTGACCAAGATGAACAAGTGAACATACATCTATTTCCCTCACGCCGTCCCTCGCTAACCTTGTCTTAGTAAGAAAGCATCCTTTCTGGGAGATGCAAGCTTTCCAGACTCATTCAAGTCCTATGTCAAAGGTACCAAAATCGAACTCTTCCAGAGTCTTTACGAAAAATATTCGACACTAGACCTATCGTATCCTGCGGATAGGCCAGTCGCCATCAAGAGCCTGGAGCGAAGGATGATACGTACTCTGAACACAGAAGGTGGGCATGGGGTCTTCGACATCTATTTACACCGATGTCTCCTCTGGCAACGTGCCGGGAGCTCGCTTCATCGCATTGATGCTCTTCGCAATGGGGATACGCCTTCCTGGTCGTGGATGGGATATGAAGGTAGCATGCGATATATGACTGTTCCGTTTGGAGAAGTTTTATGGGCAGAGGATATCCATTCGCCATGGCGCAGCGCCCAAGACATCCAAAACGATACGATCAACGAATACCTGCCTACACGAATCCGTATCATAGCCCAAGCATGTGAGCTTACGGATTCCTGTAAGCCTGCAGACTTCATCATGGACGAACCAAGTCGATCATTCACACGACCATTTAAATTTGTCATTGTTGGGATAGAAAAATTGAAAAGACCTGGGAGCTCGCATCGCTTGATTCATGGGCTGGTGGTAGCGCAAATTGCTGGAAAGAGGGACGATGAGTATGAAAGGGTTGGGGTTGCAACCTTGGAGGAATCGTCAGTACGCCGGAGTACACCCTCTGTGGCAATTCAACTGGTTTAGTGGGAGTGCAATTTATCGTCGCGAGACCACAAATTAACACTCAAATCCTCGCATACAGATACATGGAAGATAGCTTGCGATGCTCTTTGTGTATCGTAATATCTGGAAGCATGACATCGGTTACAATGATAGTCAATTGTACATTCTTCCTCACAATTAGTCGTGACAAGGGTGGAAAGATGTCCTATATTGCTAGTTGTGTGTCAATGTAAATCGCAAGTTTTTCCACAGTCACTCGTCCGTCTCTGTCAACGGGGAAACGCTATCGCCAGTGTCAGCCATGATGAGCTCCTCTCGGACTCTGGATTCTTTCCACTGCACACAGCCATCAGCTTGCCATGAAGAGCCAGAATGGAAAGTCCCGTCAAGGAAGGGCGGGTCCCGGATGAGTAGGCTAATGTTTTTCCGCCCGCGCTCTACCTGTACTGAACACGTGATCCAAGATATTGGACCTTGCCCGGCGGAATCGCCTCCACAATGCAGATCTTCTCTTGATGAAGGATATTCTCAGTGAGCATGTGGTTGGTCTGTGGAGAGCTTACGAGCGAAGGTCTTCCGTATGCCGACATGGGCGGCAAAAACGTCTTAGCCAAGGCTTTTTTGCTCACTGCAGTTCAAGCTCACTACACCAGTGCTCGAGAATAACCTCGGAGGAGGCCTGTATAGGAGAACATTTAGTAACATACAAAGAGGATAGCCGTGGTCACAGTGGTCCATTCGTAACACACCTACAATTTTCGAACACAACCATGACTGCTTCAAATTCACGACACTTGCCTTTACTACCATCCCAACACTTGTAAGTGTGACTCTAGCAGGACCAGTCCAGAATATTGTTGCCGACGACGGCGACTCATCACGACCAAAAGACACTGACTTCCCTCTTTCCCTTGTCCTTCTTTTCTATGGAACCATACCAGGATTCGAATACGACTTCATTGCTACGATATGGACATCTCCCACCTCCGTAAACCGTCACGCACTCCTCCCAGCTGAAGGTTCTAAACTTGAATTTATTCAGCCTTTGCAAAACTGGAAGGCCGCGGAAACACTCTTGTCAACGCAGCGTGGCTGATCGTGTCCGCACTGATCGGCAATGGCGTTGCTGCCGCCATCGGATTCAGTCTTCGTGGCGACGTTCAATGAGGAAGACCCGAGAGTGAACACGCCTGCCGAGTCGCTGTTTCTGCTCAACGACTTTGTAGGGCTCGTACTTGGCTTAAAGTCACTTGAGGGCGCGGATATCGATAGATTTAGGCACTTGGTGTCGGCGCCGTTGGTGCAGGGGGTGGTGAGTTGCTTGAGGCGCTCCGGAATTAGCAAGAACGAGGTCGAGCAGGGTGAGCTCTAGGGGCGGCGGAATGATTTCTCTTGAATTGTGGATGTAACGGTGTAGAGTACAGCCTAGAATCATCGATCATGTTCGAACTACTGGATATAAACATGAGATGAAGTAATGCGAAGTCAGGTTGTGAGCCCGGGACATCGCACCTACCCAGCAAAGCGGAGGAAGGAGCGACTGGCGTTGCTTGTCTAATTCTTGCATCTGCGATAATAGCCAGATCGCTGGGATTGTGAATCCAATGACAAACTGTGTTCCGAATCGACAAGACATGTTAGGCAGCAATGCACTACTCGCATTGCAGATGTGTGAAGCGGGACTCCGAGAGGTAACGGAATCGGAGTGGAACCAGTATCCACTTCCTGACTGGTTTAGTATAAAGAGCGTCTCATCCCAACCTTTTGACTCGAGAATAACAATCGGAAAACGAAGATATGGGTTCACAATATGTCGTCCTCCGAGGCCTCCCGTCACCTCAAGTCTACCACGACCTCCGGAAGCTCGCAAACCTCACGCCACCGCCGGCGGAAGCGATGGCAGAAGCGGTGCCAAAATCATTGCAAAACTCATTCGCGTGCTTCGTTGCCTACGAACGACAGCACATGGTGGACGAAAAGACACCTGGACCAGACCAGAGCGCCGTCGCAATGGGACGTCTGCTGGGCGACGGCGCGCTCTTTCTCCAGCTAGTCGACGTCGCCGTGCATCCGGACCACCAAAGCAAGGGGCTGGGGAAACGCATAATGGAGTCGCTGGTGGGCTTCGCTGACGAACATGCGCCACATGCCTATGTGAGCCTCGTAGCGGATCCCCTAGGCCAGCGGCTCTATCCAAAATACGGCTTCGAGGACGTGAAGCCGGGGGTGGGCATGTTCCGCTGCCTGCGTATCCAGGGCGATGCCGAGTTCAAGAGGGCCAGAGAGGAAAAGCAGGCTGCAGCGATGCGGGGCCCTGGGTGTTCAGCATGAGGCCCAGTGCTCTCCGATTGTGCCGATCAATTTGGCAGGGCTGTCAGGATGGGATGGGTGGATCCCAAACGGGTGGAGAGATGCCCCCGCACGGCGTCCGTGCCCGTGCATTGCCGTTAGAGGACGGCGTCATCCTGTACACAGTAAACACGACGCGCGAGTCCACGACTTCTGTGCAACGCCAGGTGAATGTTCGTGCATGAAATCCTTCCACCATGAATACCAGCTGGGCCGTCGCGACGCCGCCCGCTCGCGAGGAAGAGCCCGCCTCCGCAGTACGTCGACCTCGGCGCATCGTGTGCGCCTGCTGCGTCTGCATGTTTGCATGGGTTTGACTGACCAACACGCCAGATTGAGAGCCTTCCGAACGAACTGCTACAACTGGTCTTTGGATTTCTGCCCTCTGCCGCCCTGAGGGAAGCTGCGCTCGTGTCCACATGCTTTCACCGCCACGCCACCGACTTCCTCTGGCAGCATGTTAATCTCATGGATAAACCTCACTTCTATGAGAATGAAAACTTCATGGACATCGTTCCCGACCGGAGCACGGGAGAGACGGACCAGGTGCGTGACTACCGGCTCTGCATGGCTTGCTTGGGGCAGCATGCGGTGCCGAAGCTCAATTCTAGTATCCCAACTTTTGACCATGACACGTGCTGACACTTCGCGCCAGCATGACGATACCCCAATCATCTTCAAGCTGTCTATTCTAGCTACCAACCCGACCATCGCCTCCAAAGTCCAAGTCCTGACACACCGCTGCCACCTCCCGACCCCAAACATCTTCTCCGAATTGCCACACATGCACTTTGACTCCGAGAATCTGTCGCAGGACAACCGCATTCACACCCTCCTCTGGCTCGCCATTCGGAACCTGACCAACGTACATACGCTACGAATAGTATACGGACATTACAACTTGACACGGATACTGCTCGCAGCTTTCCTGGACAAGAGGCGACCACAGCGCGTTCCGTTGCGCAAACTGTGGGTAGAGAGCTCGTGCTTGTCAGGATTCGAAACCAATTACAACGACCTGCTGTCACCCGAATATGCGACGGGTCTGGAGTCAGTGCGTATTCGTCGTCTGCGCGTGGAGCTTGAAACCCCCTCAGAGCGGAGCAAGGCACAATTTGAGTACAGACTCGCACGTGGCGGGAGGAGTCTTGCGATGTGAGTGTAGAAGGAGACAGCATACCCTCCAGTGCCTCGAAAGTTTGGTTGCAGCATGTTGCAGCAGAAGGAATATCACAGTATCCATACTTTTGCCCATATGTGCTGTATCCGCTTGCCCTGAATCATCGCTGACCGTACCTCAGGCACAACGCTGCTGGGGGCTTCCTGCACACTACTGTCGATATACACGCATTCCCAGCTCGTCTTCCGGCCACGGTTGTGTTGCCTACTCCTGCCGAGTTGCGAGCGAAGGCGGACGCGTACGACACGCTGATCTGGGACAGACTCAATTTCGATGGTGAGTGGAACCACCACCCCACAGTGCTATGTTGGGTGCTTGATTACTACATTGCTCCTCCTGGAACGACGCGGCGTGTTCAGGCTTGTGACGAGGCGCTGTATATTGAGCACCAATTAACTGTACCGTTAGGCCCGGAGATCCAACATTTTGTCGATTCCAATCAGTTTCCCTGCCCCAATCTCAAGTCCGGACCCTCAAATTCAATGATGAACATTATCGGGAAGTCATGGTCGACCCTGACGAGCTTGAATCTGGATTGGATACTCTGGCGACAGCATGGCTCGACTGATGATACACAGGCAATTAGCGACCTACGACAACTCTCACAACTAAGGTTTCCCAATTTACGGTCGTTTCAACTCCGAAATGCCGTAGTTGATGAGACAGGGCTACCAGACGGTGTTTTTCTACTCGAAGACATGTTCCTAACTTTCATGGAAGTACACACGAAGATACAGTGCCTTGCATGGCCGCTGGATCGTGTGTACTCCCACGTGAAGCCCAGTTCTGATGTGTTGATCCGCGCGCGGGCTGTTGTGGCCCATCTCCGCAACGTGCTCGTCGAGCTACGGCTAGACAGTTTCTATTCTGGGAACGGCGAAATGAACACGGATGAAGGACGAGAGCCTCACGAACGGGAAGAGCGCGTCCGCCGTCGCCGCTTTATCAGCGAGTTTGCCGCGCACATGCGCAAGATTGAACAGCTCAAGCTTGAAGGCGGCATTCCCCGTGACGAGAAGAGGGAGCTGGTACGAGCACTGCACCAATGCCAATTGAAGAAGCTCGTGCTCATTGGAGTCACGTTCCCAATAGGGAATACATGGGGTGCAAGGGGGATTGATCTAAAGCAGCACGACCCGAACCATGTATCCGATGCCACGTATCAGCTGGAAGAGGAGGATTTTGATGGCATTCTCGCATCGTATAAGAACGGAACTGTCATTTCTAACGATTGCAGCTTTGAGCCATACTACGGTTGGCGCGCAGAAGCTCCGTTCATGCAGTGTATTGCTCTTCACCACGCATCAACGATCGAAGAACTCAAGCTATGTGGCTACAACGGCAGCCCCATTCTTTCGTACCTGACTCCGATCACTACCCCGCTACTCTACCCTCTACGACACTTCGACAATTTGAAGCAACTGGTAATATCTTTCTGGCTCTTGACGACGTTCGAAGACCAGTATCGCGACGCCGAGATCATTCAATCATGGATGGACACCCGCTCGCCAGCTTCCACGGCGCTCGTTGTAGTCACACCACCCGCAACTCCCCCCATTGCCCCACCCGTGGACCCTGCAATGATGCCTCGGGCTCGCAATCAAACGTCCAGGCAGCAAAACTTCAACCGATGGGCCGTGACACTCAAGACGCGCTTCACTCCCAGCGCTCTCGCATATCGCGTTGCAGAGGACATCGCGCCGCACTTGAGTGAGGTTGCCAAGGCGAGGCCTGGCGGCGTGCGCGTTCGAGCGAGCTTCTGTCTGGGCACGCGGGAAGAATCACGGTCTGCCAACGACATCTTCGATCTGGACATCCGCATTGGAAGGCAGGGTAAGGTGTTGGAATTTATTGGACCGAGGGAGGAGGCCGAGAAGGGGAGATTCTGGCAGAAGCTGGAGCGGAGGCGGTGGTTCTAGCCGAGCCAGAGGCTTGGAAGGGGCATGAACTGTTACGACTTATAATGATGGCGATGATCAGGCGATCCATTGGCGAATTGGCTTTGGGTATACCCTCCTTTTTTTTTTTTTTTTTTTTGGTTTTTTTTTTTTTTTTTTTTTAGTTTGTGGGGGAAGCGATGGCGTTGGGAGTCTGGCTTTGTGATGTTTTTTATCGCCGGATGTAGCGTGGTGAAGTTACAGTATGATATTGCACGTCTCCACGTCCTGTATGCCTGTCCTAGTAGAGCCGACGATGTTGTCGGAGCCACGGTTCACACATGACTCATCCCACTGAACACTCCCGCACTTGTCGCTCCTCGCGGGCGGCCCACGAGCACCCACGGGCCCCTCTCTAAACGTCTTCCAGGACTGCGGGGTCCCCACAGCGCGAATTGCTGAGGCTCAGAGCCTGATGAGGCACATCAGGGTTGACGCAAAAGGGGAACACGGAAGTGCATATGCGCCGTCTCGTTCAACGAGCTCTCCACCACTACGATGCGGATCCAACCATGTTTCCCACATGCGTGACTGGATCGACGAGCCCCTCGGCATGACGGGATGTCCTGGAGACTTGTTGAAGCAAAGTGCTGAGAGACAGGACACTAAGATCGTAATACTGGACGGCGAATTGCTTGCCGTGCACGGAAAGTCATTGAGCGGCTGGCCCTGGCAGCCGTATGATTGAAGGGGATGAGGTGAAGATGCTGCCGTGTAGTATTGACACCTTTGGTCCTGGGCTGGATCCAGTGCATACCTACATGGGGTTCACGTACATCGTTACGTGTGGTAAGTAGATGAGCCCAGCAACGTCTACTTCAGAAAAGAATAGGAAAGGGTGAAAATGACGTTTCCTAAAGAAAAGCATGGTTCGAGGGTATACCACGTTGCGTCTCGGTGCAGTGTATATGCTGTCTAGCACTGAGGCTGCTTCGCGAAAGCTGGATACGTCAAGTACTATGTCTTAGGAGCTTTCCCCCTGTCGTGTTTATGATGGAATCAGATCCCCCGACAACTAGATCTTTAGCATTTCATTGGAAAAGGAACACCGAGTACGAGATCAGACCCTCGAGTCTCGAGTTCTCCGGAACATACGCTCGGTTTGAAGCGATGCAAAGATGATTGCCACAGCCCCGGCTCCAAGATGCTCCCAAATACTGTAACATAGATCGCTGGACATCCTAGCCAGCGTCTGCACACCAATTTAGCGAACAACCCGCACGAGCGACCTCGATGCTCATACGCAACGATGTCAAGTTAAATTATTGGGATTGCCAGAGTCGCGATGTGCCTCTGTGTGGAGTCTCTGTTATACATATTGTACAGCCCAGCCATCTTTGACCTATGCCATGCCATCCCCGTACCTTGTATCCTTATAAAACCCTCGTCCCAACTCGACCCAATGCACTTCCCAGATCTTACATATCCACACATCCATCTATCCTTACTATACACGCCCGCTCCCCACTCCCCCGTCTATCTCAGCAAGTCCTCACTGCCCAACCCCACACTCTTCTTCCTCCCCTTCCTGCCCCCACTCCCCCTAATCTTCCTATCAGCGCTATACCGCCCGTCCCTATCGCCCCTCCGCCCTGTAACTCGCGCCCCCATATCCACCGCCTCGTCCCCTCGCGACCCAACGTCCAGCATGACCGTAACCTTCTTCGGCGACCGAATCCGCCTCCCCTTGCGGTCAAACTCATCGCGGGGCTTGCCCAGCCGCACGTTCCGCGGGATCCGCGTCTTCGCGCCAAGCGCCCACAGATCGCCCCAGCGTGCTTTGCGCGCGTCGCGGAAGGCCTGCCGGCTGAAGGAGCGCGGGACAGTCCAGCGCTCGAGGGTCGCTGCGGGCGTGCACACGTCGAGGATGATGTGGCCGCGCCGCTTGAGGGCGGGGAGGATGAGGCGCGGGAGGGTCAGCGGGTTGATATCGTCTGGGGAGGTGAGGCCGAGCTCGGTGCCATCTTCTGCGTCGGGGTCCGGCTTGTATTCGTGGCCGGAGAAGGCGGCGTCGGTGGCGGCGGCGCCCTGGACGAAGCCCCGGCCGAGCTTGTCATGCTGTGCGAGACGCTGGTCGCGGCCACGTTGCACGGCGAGGTAGCTGTATTGGATGTCTTCATGGTTGCGGTCGGTGGCGTTGAGGATGCGCTGGAGGTATGGCGGCCGGATGTAACGCTGGCTGAAGAAGCAGAAGTCTTTTCTGCCGTGACTGATTCCTGGAGATTGGTACATAGGGCACGTGCCGTGGTTGGTGCAAGGCGCGATGATCATGCCTGTCTCCTTCTCGGTGAACTGAGATTCTTCGTCCGGCTTGGAGACCTGTTCCTCCAGGGGGACCTCGACGTGTGTCGAGCCAGGCGAGGCGATGTGCTTGGCAAGGAGGAGCTCGCGGGCAGCAGCTATGACTTCGAACCCGCGCGGCAGACCCTTCTCAATGAGGATGAGTACGCCACCCTTGGGGTTGAGGAGGGACCAGTACTTTTGGACCTGCTCCTTCCGAAGATATTCCTGCTTCAAACCCCAGAGTGTGTGAGGTGCGATGATCACGTCGTACAACTTGCGCGGCTGTTGCGTGTTGACCTCTTCCGCCTCCGGCAACGTATCAGGCAAGCGAGGAATGAATGTCGTGTTCTCTAGCAAACGACTAGCACGATGCCGCAGGGTATCTGGTGCAGCCAAGACAGTGGCTTTTCCAAGCGGTGCACTAGGCAGCGACGTCTTGCCGGAGTCTTCATGGATACGCTCCCAGTCAGCCTTCAGGACCTCGTGCCACGCAAGGATGCCGACACCGCCGGAACCAGCATCGAGCACCATACCCCCCTTCTTGTTTGTAAGGAGATTCTCAATCCACGCGGAACCTAATCTTCGCCTGACCTCAACCAGGGAGCTCATGACGCTGGCATACGTTCCCGGCTGCACTGAAGCCATATACACATCCGCCTCGATATTTCCCATGTCTGAGTGTGACGGATCGAGTGGTATCGGCTTCTGTTCCTTGCCTAGACGCGCTGCGGGCGTAGAAGCGGAATAAGGCAGACCCGGTCCTCCAAGTATCCGGTTCGACGATTCAGCAAGATGCTTGATGTTTGCTCGGGTGAGTAGCTCCGTAGTAGGATCCACGAGAGTTTCCTTTGGCAAGAACACGGTCGAGGGCGAGGGCTTGAACCTGCCAGCGATAGTCAAAGGATGCGCGCGCATGAAGTCGTCGTCGTCCTCCTCTTCCTGCTCAGCGCCATCCTCTTCAGCCTCTTCCATCTCCCTCGTTGCCCGCTCGTACACCGAGTTATGGTAGTTCTGTTCCTTCTGTTCCCGCAGCGCCTCCCATTCTTCCTTGGTCATAGACCCTCCCTCCTCTCCGTCAGCCACCTCTTTCTCCACTTCGTCAAAGACTTCGACTTCTTCCAGCTCGCCATCTTCGCCCTTTCTAAGCAGCACAGTTGACCCATCCTCGCGCTGCTCTTCGAAGATCTCCTCTTCAACCACCTCCACCTCGAGCAGTTCCTCTGCAGTCTCCACAAATATCGGTGCCCCATACAACCTCTCGTAGACCTTTAATTCCTCGTCGCTCAAATGCCCCTTCGGCAGTGCATTTCCAAACAATTGTCGCGCCTTCCGCGCATTAACTTCGATGCTTAACCGGTCGGCTGGCGTGGGCGGTGAGTCGTTCGCGTTCGCGTTCGCGTTCGCAGAGAAGCTTGTCGAGTGCTCTTCCGTCTCTTGATTCAGGCGCCAGGTTGTGGAGAGTGGACGTCGCTGAGAAGCATGCTGTGCAACAAATGCGCTCGTCCGCGGGAATCTGTTCGATTGTGCCAACGGCGTCCGTGACCTCGCAATGCGCGCTTGCGCTAACAGAGAACTAAGTCTGCATGAGTTACAGATGGAATGCAGGCTCCTCCCCGGGAACATATTTGCGATTGCGTGTTGTGAGGCGTCAACATGGAGCGTCGTAGAAAAGTTGCCTCCTGTGCTTCCAAACGTCGCGCTAAGCTGATCGCCAGCCAATCAGGGACTACGCGTTTAGAAACGACTCTTGTACTCTGCGAATGGGTCACTCAGGGCACAATGCAGACATGCGTGTCGCCTGGAACTACCAGTGACACGACCAGCTACTAAAGCTCCAGTCGCAATGGGTGTTGGGACGAGACTGCAGCTATCGAGCTTTGCAGCCAGCGTCGGCATAGCTCGAAGCTCAGCTGACTTTGATACAATGGCATACCTCACACATGGAAAGAACATCCATCTAAAGAGAGTTATGATTGGAGAGGAAGTTAAACTACCTGAAAACATCTGCACCCCGGACGCAGTGATAGCATGCTAGATTTCACCTCCCCGGAAGCGGCCCCTTCAGTCCGTCTTCCCAAGGTAATGTGATTTGGCAGCCGCCCGTCGCTGTCATCCTACCCCCTTCGATTGCCAATACAACCAGCTTCTCCACCCTCAATTCGCAATTTAAGTGTACTCGTCCCCTTTAACATCAGACATCCCCACAAGCTGGCAGACCATCCTCGAAGGGGGGAAACGCACCAGGGTAAGGAAAAGTTTTAGGAAATTGCGACAACAAAAACACAATGGGCAGGGGTAAGTATTACGAGTGGAGAACCAGGAATCAGACCATGTGCCGATGACCACTCGGTCGTTGTCCGGTAAAACCGTCGCAGTCCAACGTTCCTCAGATATCATCCAGTGTGAGCCAACATTTTAGCCCTCATCGCTGGTGTTCAAGGATTCATTGCTCGAAAGACTGTCGAATGGTACCGTGGGACAAGCCGAGAACACGGATCAGAGTCGCCAAACATAAAGGCCATGGTAAACGCAAGACATCGAAAGAGTCGGGTCCAGGTCCAAGTCCGGTTTGGCGAACAACGCCCGTGTACTGATCGAGGAAAATGACTGCCGTCCAGAGTTGCACGAGGACGGCGGTGCCGCATTTCCCGAGATTGAGCAGAGTGATGTTGTATGACTACACCCACGTCCGCTAAAGAGATTGGAGATGACGAATCGAAAGCCGCATCAAGCTCAGTAGCCACCGTTTGCATACTGATCACCGCCACGCTTGTTAGACGAGCGAAGCTGCCTGGACAAGGAAACAAAGATTAGTAAGGTCTGATTGGCAATCCCCCGCGCCCAGCGTTATGAACGAACACTACACGCAGAGGAGAGGAGTCCCTTACTAGGATCAGATATGTCGAACTCACATTCCGGTGCCCTCCTGGCGCGCATTGACCGGACGGCCTCCCTTGGTAGCAGTACCTGTTCCGGTGCCAGCGTTGGCAGCGGCCGTGGTAGTGACGTGGCGACCACGGGCCTTGTCATCCTCTTCACCCTGGCCTTGGTTGCCGGCAGCCTGGGCAATGGCCTGGGCGTTCTTCTGGTACTTGTAGACGGTCCAGTCGAACACGTAATCATACTGGAATCCCTCGCGGACAAAGAGATCACGGAAGATCTTGCGCAGGTACGAGTAGTCCGGCTTGTCATCGAAACGCAGGGAACGGGTGTAGTTCAGGTAGATGGCAAACTCGTTAGGGAAGCCACGGCACAGGACCTCGGTAGGAGTCGTCATCTTCTTCTCCATGATACGGTCGTACTTCTGCTTCTTGGTAGCGGCCTTGAGTCCTTGCCAGGGAAGGGATCCACGGCAGAAGTAGAGCATGACGTATCCAAGAGACTCCATGTCATCACGACGAGATTGCTCTATTGAACATCAGCGAGAATAGGCAGGTGCCATAATCAGGTCGACTTACCGACACCCAAGTGGGTGTTGATGGAGGCATAACGAGCGGTACCGGTCAAGTTCTTGTTCTCACGGTACGGAATGTGGAAGTGAGTCTTCGGGTCACGGTACTTCTTGGCCAGACCGAAATCGATCACGTTGACCTGGTTGCCGCGCTTGCCGATGCCCATGAGGAAGTTGTCCGGCTTGATGTCACGGTGGATGAAGGACTTGGCATGGATGTACTCGATGCGGGAGATGAGCTGGTCGGCAAGGAGCAGGACTGTCTTGAGCGAGAACTTGCGATTGCAGAAGTTGAAGAGGTCCTCCAGACTGGGGCCGAGTAGATCCAACACCATAGCATTGTAATCGCACTCGGTTCCGAACCAGCGGACGAAGGGGATACCGACACCACCGGCGAGAGACTTGTAGACACGAGCTTCATACTCCAGCTGCGGGTGCTTAGCCTTGACGCTCTCGAGCTTGATGGCAATCTCTTCGCCAGAGATTATGTTGGTGCCTATCATTTGTTAGTGCCATGTTTGAACTCGTGTACATTGCAAGTACCTACCCAAGTAGATGTCACCAAAACTGCCACTGCCAATCTTGCGGCCGATTCTATACTTGTTGCCGACACGGAGATCCTGTATGCCCGTCAGCTCCAGCCCTGCACCGCGCGTGGCGGCGGGCGGGGTCGCTCGTACCATTGTCGTCATGTTTGCGGAGGGTCAACCTTGACGAGGTTGTCCTGCAGTTGCGGGTGTGTGTGGGTGGAGTGTGTTGCAAAGGTGCAGTCGAGCTGCACTGGTGGCGTGGGTAAGGGTCGCAGCCTGCGCGGTTATTCCGGTCAGTTTCAGGTGGCTTGCCAACGAGGCGGTGAGTAAGCGGAGAAGCAGCGGAACACAGCCGAGGGAAGGCTTGTGCGAAGAGGGCAGAGCCGGGTGAGTGGGGTAAACAGGTAATAAATACGTGGTGAGGGTGTTGCGGAGGGCGTGAGGCCGATCGCAGGGACGACTGACTTACAGGGCGTGAATGGCAGATGAGCCCAACGGGTAGCGGCACTGGCCTGTGTGCGAGGGCGGCGGGCACGGTAAAGGGTTTGCTGCGAGGGCACTGGGCGCGATGAAGCGGCTGCACGCGAACAACCAGCAGAGGGACCCAAGATACACACTCGGGGCGAGTGTCTGTGGTGTGGAGAGATGGAGGGACGAGGGGAGCGTCTGGGAGAGGCTTCGTATTGCCAGCCGCAGGCCTTGGAAGTGGAAGTCACGTGCGTGACCCTAGCGTGGGCTGAAGGAAGCTCTTTCACTGTGGAGTCACGGCGACCCTGCCAATCACGCCCATCTCACATCGCAAACCAGCCCAACTCGTGCTTGCGGGCTCCCGAATGCCTCAAGACGTTTCAGACGGGGTTCCGCTCCAGCACAGGTCACCGGCCGAGGCTGAGGAACATGTCTCCAGTCACCTGCACGCTGACCCCTTTATGCGCGTCACTCGCCCACTGTAAAAGAACCCGCCGTCTCTGATGGTGTCTGACCTTTAGTGCACAAGTAGGTGCAACTCTTGCTTGAAAATGGCGCCGAAAGTCCTGCACTCGCTCAAGTTGCCGCGCAGCCGCTGATGCCATGCCTGACGCTTGGGTCGCCCTCGATCCGATCGTGCAGATGATGTAGGTCTGCCGCCGTGAAGGACCTTGGAATTGCAATGCGATTTCCCCAAGTTCCATTTTTGTCCAGGATGATGCCCTCTCGGCAGCGCCCTGGTCCTTGCGGCGGTGCAGCCCAACGTAGTTTGGCATTTTCTTACACACGCATCCGCACATGTGCCGTCATGCTTGACAGAAGCTGTTCACAAAACGTGCCCAACGCTCCACCGGAATACAAGTGCCCGCCATGCTGCTGCAATGTGGAGCTTGTTTGGAGGCCCCGATCGATCGAGCTATCCTTCGGCCCGCTACAAGCGGCTCTACGTAAATAGCACCACGTACCCATAGTGCCTTCAAGTACATGCAGTCGTAGTGTGGGGCATGCATTCGCAATAACTACATCTTAGAGACGCAGATGTTCTATTTCTAAATCTGTGGACCATGTATCTTGCTGGTCCGGGAAATACAACGCAATCTCCTCTTCGTCTTCCCCAATCTAGCAACCCTCCTGCCAATACCATCCTGCATGCACATCAGCAGTCCTCTAAGCCACAATTCAACATTGATTGGTCTTGCAAGAGACACTCCAACACGTCTCCACGGGCGCATTGGTGGATATTTACGTTGATATGCATGGCGTCTGGCGGCAAGAAAAGTGGCAAGACACGTGTAGCCCTGCAAACGATGAATCCACGTCGCAGACAAAAAGGCAATGATGCATACAGCGGTAAAATGAGTTTCTATTGGTTGTTCTAGCATCTAGGGCTCGTATTGACGTAGCTCATACGGTCCGAACCGCGAGACAGGTGCTAGCTGGTGTTTGTGGCACTGGTTGTGAGCGCTAGACGGCAGATGTATCCGGGCACGCTTGTTCAGGTACAAACGAGCATTCGCCTACACTGCCTCGTACAATGTGACATTGCATTATGTGCAGTTATCGACATCAGGCCGACTGGCTTGCAAGCAATCTGTCTGTACAAACAGTCACAAACGCTAATGAGCTTCTGCACGCTCATCGTAGACCTTAGTCTGGCTTTCTTTACCTCGTCCAAGCCCAAGCGCAATGCTGTCCTGTCGTCTTCCCCAAAACACAGCTAGGCGCTTGTGTGAGGGCTGTTTTGTGGACGTGTGCCAGTATTTCAACATCATCCCAGTCGTGATCATAGCCAAGGGTATCGTAAAACAACGCCTAGCCCAAGCCCAAACGCTCTCTCCCATCGGCCGGTGGTCTTCAGGTCACCAATCTCACTCCTCAATCCTCAAGTCCAAGCTGCTGTGGGGCCGCCATACTCATCCTCAATTGTCTCTCCCTCTGCTTAGCCTGCATTTCGAGGGTCTCTACCGCATAGCTCAAACGCTGCTTCTTCGCCCTTAACTGTTTGTACTTCATCTCTTGCACAGCGCTGATGGGCTTCCCATTCGCACCCGCACTTCCCTTGCTCTTGGCCCCGAATGCTGATTCGGCGTTGCTGTCCTGGGTGCCGAGACGGCCGTCGTTGAGGTCGCATTTCGCGATTAGAGATTGCTCGCGGCGCTCTAGCTTATCCAGGTAGTTTTGGACGCGGGTGAGGAGCGATTCGACTTCGGGACGTATTTCAGACAGGAGGGCGGATTGGGCGGAATGCAGGTCTGGTTCGGAGATAAGTTCAAAGTGCTGGGACGATATTAGAGACAGATAAAACGTCAAGCTAGTTCTTTTCCTAACCCGAGTCGTCTGTAAGACTTTAGAAAGGCGTGGGAAGTCGTTGGTAGCTTCATCGAGGATGTTGATGGACGAGTCAAGCAGCTGCATGCTGCTTCGTAGCGATCCGACGCAGCCTTCGAGAGCCATGGGCGTTCACGTAGCTGCTTGCGTGAAATTGAATTTGCGGTCGACTTTGTAGTCCACTAAATCGCTGTGTGGTCGTGTAGTCGTATCATCTTGCCCAGTGTTTACCATGCTCGCGTCCCCCTCCACCGCGGCGGAACCCCGGCAAAGGGCCGTCTTGGCGGCGCGAAGATTCGGAGCACAGCAGCTCACCTCCCATCCGCCATCACCACCCGACTTCCACCCCATCCACCCCGATTCCTCCATCAACTCGCAAAGATGCCTGGTTTCCTCGGCCGCAAGTTCCCGGCGCCTGTCGGTACGTCCATTGGCCCACTCCTCCGCCAGGCACGACCGCCCGAAGATCGGTTTGCTAACGATGCACAGCTAAGCCCATGTGGCCCTTCTACGTCTCCGGTACGTCGCGCGCGGAGCCTAGCTGGATGAAACAAGAGAGAAGAGGATTATGAGCTCGAAGAGATGCGATAGATGCGATTGCGGGCTAGGGGATGATACAAGGACTTGGGATCAGGGCTAACAGAATATAGGCCTCGTCATCCTCTACGGTGTGAACGCTGCTGCAGGCGCCATGATGACTGGTTAGTCCACTTTACGATTCGATCTCGCGCATCGGCGGCATCAAAACACGAATACTAACCTTGGATAGCCGATGAGTACAAGGAGGACCCAAGGAACCCGCTCCGCAAGAACCCCGCCTCGGACAGCCATTAAGCGATACCCGACTAGTACAAACGTCAATCGGCAGGATGGTGGAAGCGATGTACAATAGCTGTGCCATTGGGGAAGAAGCCCAGGGCTTGGAGGCAGGGACTGTATAGAATCTATGGACAAATGAAAAGCCACTCTTCCGAAAGACAGACCTGAGTCCGCTTCATTCTGGCGCGAACTGCGACGGCCACCTTCTGGATCCATCAAACTGCTGTCTTATTAGTGCAGGGCCCGAGAACGGCGCTCCCAGCTTCTCGACATGTATTGTCGAGTATTAAAGATCACGACGGGCGTTCAAACCAGTTGAGAATCTCGAATATACATTCCTGAGATTGACTGTATCAGTTGCCGCGCATATCGTATAGCTTGCTGCCTTCTAGCGCGCGGTCAGCACACATGGACTTCAAGACGAGGTGCACCAAGCCTACTAGGGCATGCAGAGTCCCTTCATACTTATACTGTAGTCCACGTTCCTATAGCTACGCCCAGCACCTCATGGAGTCTCAAGTTCAGGTCGTCATTGAGCTCTGCTTCCACCTTCGTCTCACCACACACAGCTCCAACAGCGTCGCGAACCCCACGCAGATGACGACGGCGAGCGTTGCATAAGTTTCGACCACACTCGTTACCAAACCCCACAGCCTAACACTTGATGCAAGATTTTGACAATAGTGGGGAAAGGTATTTCGTTACATTGTACCAAGTACTGATGTGACAAACCGTCAAATGAAGCAGTCAAGGCCGTTACGTTCTTCGACTCCATCGCTATGCTATGCATTTTGTCCCTGAACTCCGAAATCAAGCAACCTGAATACGAATTTCCTGCCCACTCGTACGTCTTCCAAATGCCCTTACCGCCAAGAGTAAATCGTCGGGCCACCCCTCCTAGCCAATCCACCCGCTCTCCTGGTCCCCCGCCCCCGCCTTTCCTTTCCCCTTCCACCCCGCCTGCTCCCCAAGCTCCCAATATAGATCGCCTTCACCGTCATGGGATTGGTAGGCCTGCTTGTCAACAGCCGTCGCCTCATTCCCAGTCTCACGCGTCTCTCCTTGCGTCCCGTACCCTTCATCCGCCCAGCCCATGCCCGAGTCGACTCTGCGTCTCTTGCCGTCCTCCATGTGCACATCGTCAGTCTCAGGAACAGTCCGCTTGTGCGACGGGCCCTCGCAGATAGCTACTGCAGGCTCCGCATTGGATATAGTGAGGTTTTGGTGGAAGGGGTAGCCAGTGTAGCCCGTGTAAGAAGATGGAGATGGCTGCTGGTGGTACGGCATATCCGTTTCCACCGGCATTTCCTTCGTCGCTGGCGAAAGGTCATCGACCGGCGAAGACGACGAAGATGCTGCGGAAGGCGCAGATGCGTGGACCTGTGTCTGATACATGTACTGCGGCATGCTGTCAGGTGCCATGATGACGCGGCTATGATTTGGTGTGTATATCTGAGGCGAAGGGCTCGGCGACATGACGACAGGAGACTGACTCTGTACCTGCTGCATGGGCAAGGACGGCATACTTCCGAATGCAGGCGAGACTGCGTAAGGCGGCTCCCGTGGAGTTGATCTTAGCAATTGAGCTCGATTTGCTTGCGCTTGAGCCATTGCTTGAGCTTGAGCTATTGTTTGAGATATTGCTTGAGCTTGAGCTTGAGCTATTGCTTGCTGCTGTTGGTGCAGGAAGCGGGCCCTGTGCGCTTGAAATTCCACTTGTCTGCGGTGTGACATTGCTACTTCTAGGTGGAGTTGTGGGTTCAGGGCCATGGGCTGCTGGTCTTTTGATTGCTGGAGAGTAGTCTGGGAGATGGAAGGTGACCCTTGATCGTCCGAGCTAGTCGGACTCTGAGCTGATATGCTCTGTCGCTGCTGTGGCCGTTTGATAGGCTGCATGGCATCCCGAGCGCGAACGCTAGCCTCTCGTTGCTTTTCGCTGATGTACTGGTTGTCATCCGCCAAGTCGATGACAACCGGATCTTGTGCGCTTGAGCCGTCCTCACATTTCGAGCCACTGGCTTGGGACTGGAGTTGATTCTGAGAAAGTGTGGACCTTGACCGAGCGTAAGCAGCGGAGCTAACAGTCTCTGGTTGCGAGCGCTTTTTAGCCTTGAGCCATGCGTCTGCATCCGTGATGATAGGCGATTGTGCGCTTGGGCTTGGTGTTGAGCGGGTTGCACTAGAGTTAGAGCCGATGGTGCATGCATGATCTTCATCCCAGGAAGCTGGGTAAACATCTACGTCCAACATCCTGCTCAGTCTCCGATTCATGTCATCCTTCTTTCGCTCTTCTTGCTCCAGATACGCTTCCCAATAAGTAATCAGCTCATTCCTCAGATGTCTGAACGCTTCTACATCCTCTTGTTCTCGGGCTACTCTCGCTCGATGTAGAAATGCGTGGCGACCGTTGCGTGCGGTCACGTCAGGTACCGTAGCTGCAAGACGAGTGTAGAATTCCTTGAGCTCAGTGAACATGGCACGGATCGGGGTTTTTGATAGGAGAGAAGTCGCGAATGCAGAAGCAATCCAACGTTCCCAGTTGGTGCGGTATTCGACGAACTCAGGCTCGGTGCAGATGGACAAGGGTACCTTTGTGGGTAGTTGAGGAACCGAACACAGCGGAGTTGACGGTCTACCGTGGGACGATCCAGGCACAGTCATCGATGAGTTCTGAACGGGAGCCATCGTAGTGTGGCCGGTCACTGGCAGGCTAATCATAAAGTTGGTCTGCGGTGTCCCTTCGTATACGCCAAGGAAACGTGGCTGTCTAACATTCCTTAGGCGCTCAAAAGGCCCAACTAGAGTTTTGATGTTCGCGTAGAGTTCGTCTTGGGTCCATATGAACTTGGAAAAGCCGAGCCGTACGTTAAGCCTGCAGAGATTTCGCGCTTTGCTGAGAATGCCGGAGATTACCACACCAATGTAGTCTCGGATGTCGTAGATTTCCACCTCTTCATCCCAAGGGAAAGTATGGTAGCCGCGATTGGTGTCGTCCTTCCAATTCTCTACCAAGATGTCAACATTATAGTTCTTGACTGCAGCCCAGTTGAATGTCTTCAAGAACCTTTCTTTGATTTTGTCTACATCTCCGACAACGTAGTGAGAGGATCCATCTGCCCTTCTTGGCTCTAGAAGACGCCTGCCACACATGAAGGTCCCATCCTTCCGAACGTCGACTGTGAATGGAACGGTACTGTATAAGAAATCTCTCACTTCGTCGTGTACTTGTCGGCTGATTAAGAGTAAGTTATTAAGCGGCATCGGGAACACGCTGCGCATCGTGGAGCGGTCGAGAGGCGAACTTGGTCGAGCAATGTGCGCATTTCTACCAAGATGTGCTGGCCCAGCACGCGTAGGGCCGGTCGAATGGTACCAGGGCTGTTGTTGATCGGGATCTTCATCGATATGAAGCAGGGAAGTGGATGAGCCGATGGCCCTCGATGGAAGCAAGTATCGAAACACCTCCAAGCGAAGTTCAAGAGGTAGCTTCATGAAATAACACGGCGTGTCGGGGTGTCCTTGGTGTTGTGCGCAAAGCTCGAGGTAAGGCGGTGTCCATCGAAATAGCCTCCCACATCTTTCGCCATCTTCTTGATTGAATTGACACCACCCAGCATAGCTCTGCTGATCTTTGTGGGTGTAACAAGTCGGTAGGAATGTCGAATGGACATTCTTGGCGTAATGAGAGTTGCGGCCGATGATGGCACTACAGCGAACGTTTTTCTTTTTGTTGTAGCCTGAACACCGCCGGAGGAAGCCCTCTGGGTCTTTCGGGTCTACCGGCTGTGCCATGGTGTTGCTGTTGGCTACTAATGGCGTTGTATCTTCTAGAGGTAGAGACATTGGCTCCGGACCATCTTCAATATCGATAATCTCATGGCCAGAGCCGACCGCGGCGGTCATTGAAATGGCGCCCGCCATACGACTGCGGGGTTCTGCGCTACCCAATTTGTCCGTCGGTGGTCGATAACAGGGACTTTGGGTATGACTGCCTGCACGCAACCTTATATGCACTCCTCCGGTCCCGCGAAAACAGCGTGCAAGGTTGTCTCCTGGGAAACCGTCGAGTAGGGTACATTGGCCTGCGAGAGAAGTCTTGCAGGTCGATTCGCTCTGAAAAGCAGACAAGCCTGTTGTACGACCTTGTCGCACTTCACGTTCCACAACTTCCTGAACGGTCGGCCACCATTAGCACTCGGGCAATTTTCCCTCCAAGCAATGTCCTGACGCAAATTGGCCAAAAGAGTGATAAGGGCAGGGTTCAAGGCAGCCCATATATACTCGGCAGCTGCACGTATGCGGCCTCCACTGCGCCGCCAAACCGCCGCATTGCCCGTTTTCTGCACATGGAGCACGGCGCGCGTTACTTCCCCAAAGAGGCAACAATCGGGTGCAAAAACAACGTGTGCAATCGGTACCTCAGACCCAACTACTCGGGTGTCCTTTCCTGGTTTGGCCGCTTCGTGCGGCTGATAGCGTCGCAAATTGCACTGCGCAATGCACTCGCAATGCTTTGCGACTACCAAGCGAAGCGCGGGACGATGCGACGACATACGAGATGGCCCGTCTTCGCGGGTGACATTTGCACACGATCCCGGGCGATCTGCCTAGCGGGACTCGGAGCTGGCGCTTCGTCTCGCGCGTAAACCATGCCCGCGCCTGGCTTGTCATTCGCCCACTTGCACGGCTGCACGCTGCATTACATTCACCACTCTGCATTTTCCTAAACGGTGAGCGAGAAATGCTAGCCTTGTGACCTGGTTTCGCGCGACTTAGCTTAGTAACCTGGCTCGTTTCCACTTGCAGGTCCTGCTGCGGCATCCATGCTGGGGCGAGCCGAGTGTCCCACGGTCGAACGAGTCGCATCGCGGTGCATACGAAGCAGGCGTTCAGCAAATGCACTTGGGCGGTGCCAAGCGCTGCGCTAGAAGTGGCCTCGCGCCTCCCGGCCTCGGTCATTGTATGTCGCAAAAGCATCCCTAAACGGCATGGCCAATAGTAAGCCTCGAACGCTCGCTCCACGTTTACGCACGTATTACGCCCTTCATCTGGATGGACCACCGGTGAACAGCGTGCAGCGTTGCCGTACGATTCGGTCCAAGACCGCACCTCGGTTTCTGCATGCCTCACAATCCAGGAGCCGGACCAGCGATCCTGGCATCGAACACGCCCTGAGACCCCGTTCCTCAGCCGCTGGTAACATCGAGCATCATCGGCTCGACTATTTCTGGATGTTGTTCAGATGCAAAGTATGCACGAGGAAGCTGGTGGCGGCCAGGTAAATGATACTTGGCCTGATGTGTGCTGTGCAGGAAGCATAATCATCACATCGTCAGCAACCGCCGTGTGGACAGATATGGTGACCACTGTGCTGACAAGGGGCTATATTTGTTCCGGGTCGAGCGAATGCTGTTGAATCGCGGAAATGATTGAACCTGCGTCTATCAAGACTGCGGGGCAGCAAGGACCGCTCATCGTAGACTTTCTGGTTTGAGTACAGGGCGTCAGAAATAGATCACTGGCAGCCTTGCGCGTCGCGCATCCTCATTTGTCCAATAAAGTCGGTCGGTCTGCATATGTCGTACGGACCATGTCTTATTCCGGTTCCGAGTCGAGGTTCTGGACACTCAATGCGTTCGGCCATCAGCACTGAATGTGCTTTTGGCTCCATCGTCTAGGAGGCATACCGAAACTTGGCGTATGCTGTTCTATGATGGTGACCGAATCCAAGTCAAGCGGCCGTACGATTCCGGATTCGGTCCCGGTGCAACGATGAGAATCGCGCTCACAGCTGAAGCTGATGATGAATATCCTGCGAATGAGAAGAGTACTCGGTTTCCGTGGGAAGCAGAGCGTAGGGAATGCGCGATGGAGCTCTTGTAGTCGAGATGAAGTTGGCGAGGTGACGTCGAGCGTGGTCACTTTCCAGTTACCGGTAGCGCCGGAGCAAGTTAGGAAGTTGTGTCTAGTTGAACTTCATCTTAACACATGGTCTTCGGATGCCCACTCGACTACAGCGACAGCTAAAAGTGGAACGGGTAGCCTTGCATTTCTTCTGTGGATCCTTATCTGGGTGACGCTGGCATAGTGGGCGATGTTCTCGACAAGGCGCTTCTTCCCTTCGAACCTCGAGAGGTCACTATAGCATGGCCGAAATGTCTCAAATATTCTATACTAGAAGCAGTACCACTATAAGGTGAAGTATCTTTTAGCGCTGCCAAAGCTTTCTGTTGCCCGCTGCTAAGACGCTCCAGTATGCCGGGACTCAGCTCGAAACATTCGCAGCCTGGAACTTCTTCTGTCAACTCAGATAACGATCAACTTGAAAAGTTAAGAGCAATGACACGAGAAATTTCAGGATGAGAGCGAACGCGTTCGACATTCCTCGTATGTACCTCAACCGTCTTGTCATGAGACAAATGCTTGCCAAACCGTTGCCGGAGAAATTTCAACGGCCACAGATATTTTCGGTGATAGCTTGGGCTTCGAGTTTAATCCCCTCACGATTCGTCTTCCTTGCCTCAGATTCCGAAATGTGTTCCCATAGCCAGGTGGCGAATCCGGACTTGAGAACCATCAACTTGGTACACAGCCATTGTCTGAATAGGCTAACCACATGGGAGAAGGGTATGCGATCCACAGTACTGAAGCCAGGCCAAGAATCGTACTCGAAGAGCTGCTCAAACATGCAGTTCCGATCCTACGGAAGACTATCGAGCCGTGCGTCTGGCAGTTCCTGCGAAGTTCGAGCGCCCTGAAGTCGAACTATACAGCAATAGTGATAACTGTCATCGTATGTGTAACTCGTTTCTGTGATTCTCAAGCTGTCCCATTTGAGGACCTTCAATATGATGTAATGGGAGTCCGTCACAAGATTTGCGATCCCAGCATTTACATCTGGAACAGTCAAGATGGCATCGTGCTCCGCTGACCTCCGGAACAACAACGCTTGCAACAGGGTTTTAATCCGCATAACCGCAGAAAGGGAGCGTGAAGCAGAAGTAGCGGGATCTTGGCCTCAATATTTGGCTCAATAGGCTATTAGTATCCCGACGAAAACTGATCATGAATGAAAGAAGGAGCCTTGGTCAATTGCGAACGAAGGGGCCTTGGTCATTTGGACGGATAAGATGTTTCGTGTCGTTTGGACGGGCGTCACTGGGCACTAGTGCGATATATGGATCGCTCTTGTGATACTGCCAGTTAACCGAAACAGTATACTCTCAAGGGTGTTCAGTGTACATCCATCAACATTACTGCAGGCCCACAAAGCAAAGGCTACTGGCCTAGCAACGTTCAGTGTCAATCACATCTCCAGCGAGGAAGGGTGCTTGTCACCTGAGGCTGAATTCGATCATTTGGTGTCTTCGAGACCGAGCAATGAGCGGTGCTGGATGTAAGTCTGTCCTACGAGGTTCTAGACGAGTGCAAAAACTGCTTCCCCGGAAAAAGGCAACTCTTCCGCGTTTGGATTGCTACGTTGCCAGTTACTTTGTCTAGGTGGACAGCACCTGGGTGAAGGGATACACCGCCATCGCTAATACTCATCCTGCATCCTGCTCTAGCCTGAGTGGCATATTCTCGACCAGACCACTGTTAAAAATGTCGGACACGCTTTTAATTTTTATATTCGCAAACGAATACTTGCTGAAGTACATAAACAATGCCCTGCATGCATGCTTCTCTCACGGCCCCTGCTATAGCCCAACAGTTCCAGATAATTAGATATCCCAATTCATATCTTTGGCTATTCAATTATCGTGGCAGTGCGCCATCCCGATCCAGACACACGACACTCTTTCTCCAGTCAAAACAGACACATGGTGGTGGTCATAGCGGCATCAATGAGAAGACTAGCACCATCGATGTAACTCGCAGCTGGACTGCACAGAAACGCAACCACATCGGAGACCTCTTAACACTCCGCTTCTCTTTCATCGGCACCACACCAGATACCGTGCCCTGAACCTCAGGTTTCTTCCGTAGTTCCTCGTCGGGCAATGTTGTGCGATCCCAGGTGAGATACATTGCGTTCACACCGATACCGTCTGGTGAATGGTCCAAACCTGTGACAAGGTAAGCCACGCCGAAGAGCCCGGTTGCACAGCAGGAACACTACATTTCGGCCACCTTCGTGGTATCCTGGACGCATGTTTGGAAATGGTGCGAGAGCCCTTTCCGGGCAGGCCGGCAAAGGAGTTCGCGGAAGCGATGTTGATAATGACGCCGCGACCGACGTCACGCGTGTGATTTCTGCTCGTCCACGTCTTCGGCGTCTACTTGCGCATAGCCGCAGCCTCGGCGCGCACACAAAGAAGGTTTCCTCTTGGATTGATGCTCGATCGAAGTTCTCTATGTCGTTGTCGGCTGATGGGGCTAATGGAGCGTGTACACCGTTGTCGACCCGAAGGACCAATCTAGGATGTCAGTCTATGCAATAGGTAATGCGATGTGTAACTCGAAGCAAATCCTAGCACAAGAACGCTTGGGTGCTCCGTTGGTTTCTCACAGAGTCTAGGGAATATACGGTGCGTTTTGTCGTGCATCGAGTGAGGAGGTAATGTTTCAATTACAGGTCAACATAGTAAAGGGTTGTCATTGGCACAGTCAATTGAAGAATGGAGTACAGGATATGCATGTTCTTCTATGACGCTAAGGGAAAATCTATGGAGAGGTCTGAGTCGCCGTGGGTTCAGTGTGCCGGTACAGATACGCTGCTCCTGCCCTTTCCGTCTGCGTTGCCGTCGGCGACGTTCGCCAATATGCGTGTGCGGTTTCTGCGGTGGTCGTGGTGGGCGTCGGATCTAGACACCTGCCGAACCAACCAGGGGTAGTGCATGTAGTTGTGGTAGTTGCTTCGCTAGTAGTGGTGTCGCTGGTGGTCTTGTCCTTGCAGCCGAACCAGCCGGGCTAGCAATGTCAGCAAATGCCACAAACAGATTTTGGAGGCGTGGACTTACAGTTTCGCAAGTGCTGGTTGAGGTAGATGTGGTGATAGCTGTTGTTGGTGATGTTGTGATAATCGTGGTGCTTGTAGTTGCATCGCGGCATCCCCACCATCCTGGGGTCTTGCACGTCTCGGTGCGTGTCACAGATGTGGAGGTGGATGTTGATGAAGAGGTCGTAGTAGTCGTGTGCTGCTTCGTGCCATTCTCGAACTTCCAAAGATAGCAGTCAACACAATTGACGTCCTCGTCCACGCATGGAGCGGCCTCGTCGTATTTAGCATACACCTCGTCGATGGAGTACCGCAGCCTATGGTATTGGGTGCTCTGTCGCCAGCCCCAGTCCTTAACAACATCGTATGAGCATCGCTTGCCTGTGTGGCACACCGTCTCGAACGCGTAGCCAGCGATAGAACAGAAGCTGGACCCGCCATTGCAGGTTCCCATGTAGATGGGATCGGCAGTATGTCCAAAGTGGAAGCCCCCAGTGTTCTCTCGGAGTAGTGAGTCTTGACCACGAACTGCCAGGCCGAGCCGGGCTGCAGCCAAAGCCTGTGGGTATGTTTCGAAGGTAATGGACGGGAGGCCATGCCGTAGACCGATGAATGATGCTAGTGCTCCTCCCAGGCTGTGACCGGTCGTGATGATATTCGCTTTTGGATACAGCTGAATGACCTCATCGAAAAGCTCTAGAGTTGCTTCGAAGTATCGATTAGGGCTCAACAGTTCATCTTTCACGCATTGCTCGTCACAGGTGTATGTCGAGGTCATACAATCGCAAACCTTGCGCCAAAGGTATGGACCCTGTTGACCACAGCAGCACGAGCCGAACAAGTTGTCATTATCTTTGTCACGTCCCGATGTGCCGTTGCCTTCGAACATGGCTACAGTGGTTCCTTTGACGGACAGGACGACCGTTGAGTTGGTGTCATCGCTGAAGACGTGACCTCGGATTCCACTGTCCTCCCAGCCGAAAGGAATCGAATCTGCAAAATTCTTGCCCACATCGAGCCATTCCGGATCATCGCGATTTGGTTTGTATGCGTCTTCAGACATGTTGGCGAAATTCAGGATTGTTTGCTTGTCTTTGACGTCCGGTCCCATGACATAGTCTGGGTGCCATATGGGTGACATCGGTTGTTGCTGCGAGGCATAGTTTTGAAGAGGTGACTTGTCGATCCTTACCGAAGACGTACGGATGGGAAACGGTCCAAAGAGGGCAGCCGAGTCAGCTTCGATGGCAACCCTTTCCGAGGATATATCCAGTCGTCGTGCCCTTGGTCCAGGCTGTCCAGCGCCATGGTGGAAAACATGACGTAATCTTACTCCATCTGAAGCGATGTTTGCTGTCTTCAAGACATGTTGTTGTGCTGATGCAGGTGGCGGCCTAGCGCCGACCACGTAGTAGCCGGCGAACAGTAACCCAACCAAGAAAAGGGCTTGGCTGACAAAGCTGAGGGTAATGACCAGTCGAGAGGAGTTCCAATACGCGCGTTGCGGCATGTTAATCAGGCATATCTGAAGAGATGGAAGGAGGAGGGTGTGACGGTTTGTTATCGATGAGTTGGGGCTTGGCTGATGACTTAGGCGCCACGCACGCGACGCGGCGCATGACCCGTGCACTAGCATCAAAAGCGGCTAGATTTGCAACACTAGTCTCAATGTTCCTGCCTTTTCTGTTTCATTCCATGATATACTGGTGAATAGAGCGCATCTGTAATTGAAGTTTTTAGAGACCTGTGAGTATAGCTAAGGCTTCAAAATCAAACCAAATCATTTCACAAGGGGAAAACCCAAATTCAAGGGTGATATTGAACGAAGCATCGTCGCTTCCATAATATAACCGGCCGGAAACATCAACCCTCAGGCGGTAGTAAACTTGAATGCAGTGAACGTCTCACACATAAGGCATTAGGAAGCAAGTCGATCCCCGATCTCTTTTTCAAACTTCCTCCCAATCTAGATGAACATCCCACCCCCATCCCCCGCCTCACCCCTCAACAATCTCGCGAAAGCCCCCGTCCTCTTCTTCCGCAACTCCTCATACCCACCCTCCTCCACAACCTTTCCCTGATCCAGCATAACAATATGCTCCGCAATCGCCATCATCTCCCGCGCATGCGTGATGATAATCACCGTCATCCCCTGCCGCTCAACCGCCTGGCTCATCCGCGCGCTTAGCGGCTTCGTCGCCTCCGTCCTGCTGCCCACGCGTGGCGGGAACTTGGATGAGTTGGTGGAGGTAACATCCGGATTAAACTTCGGAGTCCGGGACTCGTGTACGAGACGCTGAATCGTGTCGCGCACAATGCCCGCGGATTCGACGTCCAGCGCAGAGGTCGCTTCGTCGAGGATGATTATATCCGGGGATCGCACGAGGGCGCGCGCGATAGCTATGCGTTGGGCTTGTCCGCCAGAGAGGCCGGTGCCGCCGTCGCCGACGACGGTCGAAAAGCCCTGCGGGAGGCTGTCGATGAAGTCCTCGCAGCCGGCGGCGAAGGCCGCGGCTCGGATATTCTCTTCGGTTGTGTAAGAGCTGGAGAAGTCGAGGCCGTAGATTATATTCTCTCTGATGGTGCCCGGGAAGAGGACGGGTGTTTGTGGAACGACTGCTATGCGGGAGCGGAGAGTCAGCGTGTGCAGTCGTTTGATGTCCTGATTGCAGATTGAGATGTCTGGCTTGTGGGTGTGCGATTTGGCGTTTGCTTGGTATAGTTTGAGTAGAAGGGAGGCGATGGTGGATTTTCCGGAGCCGGAGGCGCCAACGATGGCTGTGCAGCTTCCCCTGGGGATTCTGAAGCTGACGTTCTTCAGCACTTGATGGTTCTGTCTAGTCGGGTAGGTGAAGTCGACCTTATCAAGTTCGATATCTCCGGCGGTGAAGAGTTGTGAGTTACCGCTGAGCTCATAGGAGTTTCGAGGGAGACGTGCAAGGCGCATAAGACGTGAGGCGGCATCCTTGGACATATTGATCTGAGGAATATAATCGCCGACGTGGTTGACATGGGCCACGCTTAGCATGAGGACATTGAAAGTTGTAATGATGTCTGTAGAGGTGTATTGACCTTTGGACACGAGCCAGGCTCCCCACCACATCAGAGTTGCCGTAGTGAAAGCTGCGCTGGCGTAGTTGAGCCCATATATCGAGCCGGTGTATATTGCTCGCTTCATTCCAATCGCGAGAGCGCTACTAGTGGCTTCGGCATACTTTTGTCGAAAAACGTCCTCGAGGACAAGGCATCGCACGGTCCTGATGTTGAAAAACGTCTCATGCAGGACTTGGCCTACTCGCTCGCTGGCGCTGTTGCTAAGATTCTCCCAGTGATTGCTGATCGCGTGGAAGATTCGGGTGATGCAGAACATGACTGCAAGACAACCGATGGACACGAGTACGAGCTTCCAGCAAATGACTAGCGCCCAAATCAGTGCGATAACAACCGTGAATACCATGATGATCAGGATGCAGAAAAAGCGTCCAGGGAGATTCCGAGCCTCTTCTGCGAATTGATCCAAGCACTCTGCTAGTCGCGGCACACTGTTCTCCTCCTGTTCGAAGAACTCTCGTGGTTGGAGAAGTATGCGTTTCACGCCCTCTGTTCTGAGCGTAGTGGCCCATCTCTGTGCCGAGATCTCGAAGAGAACGTTGAAGCCGTAGTTGGCGAGACCGTCTGCTGTTGCAATGCCCAATATCGAGAGCGCATAAGTCTGCGCCAATTCTCGTTGGTTGTCCAGGGTATAGAACGTCGAAAACAGCTGAGACAGAACGTATCCAAAGACGGGAGTAGCAGCTGCATGGATCAAAGAGCAAAAGAGGCCCCCAAATAAAGCGAGTCGTGTGGCCCAATTGACCAGAGGCCACACTGTACGTAGTACCCCAGCTATGCTTAGCTGCTCGATGGTCTCGGCAGATTTCTCTTCATGAATCTTACTGCGAAGTTGCTTCCGTATCTCCATCTTTTCACGAAAGGTTCTGCGAAAGGATGGATACTCATCTTTGTTTGCTGGTCTCAATATTGTGGCGGGCGCAGCGACAGACTCAGGCCTTGCAATTGAAGACACTTTCGACACATCTCTTTCCTTAGAGTGGTAAGAAACTGTTGACTGTGGTCGACTTACCACCTTGAGGGGTGAGTAGTCTCTTACAGTGCTAGTTGCTGTCAAAGGACGCGGTCGGAGCTTTCCAGAGAAGTTGATTATTCTTTCGCCCGTGAAGTCACCAGAAGCTCTGTGGCTTTGAGATAACGAAGCCTCAACATCCGGACTTGAAAACGGTGAGAACATCCCTGAACGTCTGACTATAGTAGAGTTAGGACGACTGGGCGGGCGGCTCGGCAGGCGGCTGGGTGTTCTTGACCCACTCCACGAGTCCCAGTACAACCCAACGATCATGTCGGTGTCATCCTCGGATTCATCGTCTTCTGATTCGTCTTTCCAGTCCTTTTCAACCAAGAAGGTGTGGAATGGAGAGTATGGTACTGCGACCATCTGATCCCTCGTTCCCTGCTGTACTACTTGTGCCTTGTCCATGACATACACCACATCTTGCTGAAGAATCTGCGTGATATCATGTGTGATGATGATGGTCGTTCTGCCTCGCCTCCAAGAACGTATGGCTTGTAGAATGGTGGACCTTGTGATATAGTCAAGCGCGCTTGTGGACTCATCGAGGACAAGGACACAAGAATCGCGCAGGCGTGCGCGCGCAAGCGCCATTCTTTGTCGCTGTCCACCACTGAGATTGTTTCCTTGCGTCCCCAAATCGGTTTCCAGCCCATCAGGGAGGCTATGTATCATCTGCTCAAGCATAGCGAATGATACGACGCTGACGATTTCCGTACTGTTCGCTTCCTGGCCTCGTTTACCGAGGGCGATGTTGTCCCGTATTGAACCATCAAATAGAACGCTATTTTGTTCTACGAGTGTGATCTGATTACGAAGCCAATGCACATCAAGGTCTTGGATTGAGGTTCCGTCGAGTCGTATCTGGCCAGAGGCAGGCTGATAAAATCGAACGAGCAGCTGGCCCAACGTGCTCTTGCCTGATCCGCTCCGTCCTATCACAAAAGTGGTCTCACCCGCGGGGAACGATACGGAGACATTGCGTAAGGCAATCTGATCTGCCCGCGAAGGATAAGAAAATGATACCTGAACCATTAGCAGTGGCCTTTTACAGCTCCATCATCCCTTACGTTGTTGAACTCGATTTTCCCGTCACATTTCGGTGGTATGAGCTGCCCACTCGTCTCAACGAGAGCACCATCTTCTGATATCTGTGCTATCAGCATCCTCAGTCTTGCGCCGGCGACTTTTCCTTTCTGCAGCACAATGAACTGAGGAAGAAACCCAGTCACTCCCTGCACAGCCATCATCGCTGCCCAGAACGTTGTGATGACCTGGCCGATGTTTATCTTTCCTTCGAATATCTGATGTGCGCCGTACCAGAATCCCTGAAAGAAAACACTTAGCGTGAAGAATTGCATTGCTCCCAGTTGCAGAGCCCGGAAGTTGGCTTGTTTGTTGTACAAGTTCCCGGCTGAAGTCACTACCCTTTCATATCTTTGAGATTCATGCCGTTCTCCATTGAAGCACTTGACGGTCTCGATACTGCGAATAGCGTTGGTAAAATACTTCAAAGCTCGCCTCAATATGTCGCTCTGTTCGTGCGCGCTTTGCGCTAACAATTTGGACAGATAGGCTGTTAAGAGGTACATGATTGGGACGGAGGCGATGATGACGAGGGTGAGGCTCCACGAGGAATAGAAGGCGACAGCGAGAGCGCCGATGGTTTGAACGACGCATTGAACGGCTAGCCCGAAGGGTTGTGAAACCGCAATCTGGAGGTCGTGGATTTGTCTACCACGGGTTAGTATATGCACCTTGTGGAACTATGCGGTTTCTTACGTTTGCATGGCTGGCAGAAACGCCGCTACACCCGTGTCTCGCGTGTCGTACCAGGCCATGTCTTTCTTCAGCAACGCGCCGAATATTCTTCCTCTTGCGCTGCGTGCCTGCATTTCGCCGAACGTCACGAATGTGGCGAAGTGTAGGCTGTTGCCCAACCAGCTGACGCCACCTATTGCTGTGACATATATACAATACGTCGAAACCTGCTTCAGGAATTGCGAGTCTGACTTGTCACCCTTGGCAACAGACCCGAATTCTCGAAACAACAGACCGTAAAGGACAGCTAGCGCGGGAAGCGTAAGGGCGGCAAGAGTCGAGGCCAATACGGCGAATGTGAGGACGGGCAGATGTTTTCGAGTCGTGAAGCTAAACAGAGCCTTCCAGCCCATGGTGTTCACGAATAGCTGCTCCTCGGCATCTGGTACTTCCTGCTTGTCAGGTTCGTCGGCGCGGTTCGGGGCTGAGTTTGGCGCCATGGCTGCAGTCAATCCCCAAAGGGACTCTCGAGGGCGCGAGAAACGACTGCAGAGAGAGACTGGAGAAACTGAAGTGCAAGAAGAATTTTGGAGTAAAGAGTGAAGTTGAAGGTTCAGACTACCGAATGCGGACTAGCTCGTGAATACCACGGGATGGCTTGCATGTCGCTCTCGCGTGCTTTGTGTTGATCTTGGTATTGTTCCTGCCCCTTGAAGGTTTTCCGGCCCCATCTTCGAAGCGAACATTGAAAATCTACAGACCAGGAAGTAGTTGATGCTGTGCTCATGGACATTCTGCAATTGACGACTAGATTCCGATGCGCGAGATCGAGTTCAGACACGCACGTATCATCACGTTTTCGCTAAATGCTACAATCTTTGGCGACTGACATATCGCGAACTGCTGCCAGGTCATGTATTTCTTTCACTATCTTTTCCTCATCGGAACGCGGCTGGGCGTGGGTATCATGGGGGAGGTTGCCAAGCGTTCAGAACAATTGCGGAGTATTACTGAGCCGCGCTCTGACGTGCGATGAGCCGCGTGCCTTGTTGCACTCGCCCATCATTCCTCGTGCATTGTCATGGTCATTGTCTAGAAGTCGTATGGCTGACCAGACCTTGCGCTCAGTTGCCGTGCGCCTTGTCGTAGACCCAATCGTTGTGACCCTCGCGATTTCTGGTCCTGTCAGCTCCCACTCCCAGGCCAACAATTTGTGACTGTACTGACCTGGCAATTTCGATCGCGTAGAACTGCATCCGCACCGACATCATAGTGGTATCCGGGCCGTACTCGGCCTTTGGAGAGTCGCGCAGCATGGTGCCGAAGTTGTAGTCATCGACCGTGTTCTTGTATTCTTCCATAAACTTGCGCCACCGCTCCTTGCCCTCCTTGCTCTTCATTGCGTCCTGGTCGAGCGTGCCGCTGACGTCGATCTCGGGGAAGTCCTTCTTGAAGTGGGCGTAGATGTCGTCGTCAAATTTCGTGAGGCGGAGGCTGGAGCCCTTGACCTTCTCAAGGATGTTCCAGTATGTTTCCATGTGCTTTCCCGCCTGTACGGCCCATTGCGCTTCGACCTAGGTGGCTGTCAGTGGGCTGCGACGACGTCGCAGAAGGCTGTCTTACGTCGGGGTTGTTGTCCTGCGCTCCCTCTGGGAGAGCGCCCTGCGTTCCGAGAGACATGGCAATGGGTGAATGAGGGGCTGCAGCTCGATCAAGAGTTTCTGCCGGATTGGGTTGCTGTCGCTGGGTTTAAGGACGTTGCTGTCCGTTGTCTATAAATTTTCGAGGTGGCAGAAAAGTACCCCGCCTTGCCCCGCAGAGGCGCTTACGCAACGCCAAATTCCAATGCAGAAATCACGAGCGACTTCCAGCCATTTCTCCAATGGCCCAGAAGCTGCATGTACGTTTGTTTCCATGCTCATTGATTTTGTCGTACTGACTGCCAAGCATGAATGTACTCGCGTTCCAATAACGGCTTTAGCCGAATGCGGACCGCTGCTTATTGTCGCTGAAGGACCATACTTGCGCTTCTATGATCGCCAGCAGAACATATTGATCTCATCAGAACGACTCTTTGAGGCTCAAGCTATACATGGAGTTCGCGAACTCTCAAGTTCAGCTGATCATGTTCATCTCGTTATCTGGGGAGGACTACTACTCCGCACGCTGTTACTTGATACCTCCTACGACGAGCATGATGGCTGGTTGCCGCTGAATGCGAGGTGTTCCGACGTTGCAAGAGCGCCAGACTGGATTCTGGACCTGCAATCAGCACCCAAATCGCCAGGCAATGACATTCCAGAACGATGCGTGGCGGTGACAGCGCATAATGCGCTCCTCGACATAACACAGGAACTTGGAGTCCAATACCCACGTGTCGAATCTCTTGGCCCTATTTCAGTGAGCGAGCTCACTTCGAGCTCGCGATCGATCCTCTACTCTGCTCACTTGCTATGGGAGTCGGATGACTGTATTCTCGTTGCGGCAGGGACCGCCTTTGGGGAAATCATCTACTGGTCGTGGAACCAGTCCCGCCCAGATGAAAACAGATCTCGTATTCATCATGTATTTCTCGGCCACGAGGGATCAATCTTTGGGGTACAGATATCGCATGTGCTTTGTATCAACGGCCAGAAGTCAAGACGGCTTCTTGCTAGCTGCAGTGATGACCGTACGATACGCATCTGGGATGTCAGTCGAGTCACTGCAGAAGAAGGTAGTGATTCTCACGTTATTGACACAGATTCGCAGCGAACAAGACACACCGGCTTCAGTAATGCATCTTTCGATGCTGATGTCTCGAGCAAGGACTGTGTTGCTATAGGCTGGGGCCATACCTCCCGCGTCTGGAAAGTAGAATTTCTCGATAGCAGAGGTAGTATCAGCGTTAAACCTGACAAGATAGTCCTCCTTTCTGCAGGCGAAGATGCGACATCCCGTACATGGACACTTATCACGAATGTTGACAGCTCAACTTCGCCGAGCACGCCACCATGGCAGCTTGAGCTTATGGACACGGCACCCTATCACAGCGGAAAGAACGTTTGGTCTATTTCTATCCCAAACGCTTCGTCATCACATCGATCCGTCGCACTCGGGGGAGCCGATAGCAAGATCACAAAGTTTTCCCTCCGGACGAAGAAACAATCCACCAAGCAGGCACAATACGACATCGAGTACTTTACATCTACTCTAGCATCACTTGAGGAGAGTACTGCATTTCCAAGGAAAGCCGGCCACCGTTCTTCAAAACAAATGGAGTTTCTAAGAAGCTATGCGTTTGTGGACGCATCTTCTTTCATCCTGACAACCAACTCAGGTGGGATTTTCCTTGAAACTTTGTCTCAGCATGGTTCAAAGATAGACCTGTCGCAATTAATCGCCAAGCCTGAAGATTTGTGTGGATACTCAGTGTGTGCCGGAGAGCCGTCACTTGGTCTAGCCTTTGTCGCTGGAGCGAAAGGGACCTTGTACGCATACCACAAGGAAACATCGCGACTGACACAGCTGCACACGTTTAATGGCAAGATCGGGGAGGTCTTCACAGGGACATTCGCAGACTCGCTTCAGTCGAAGCGGATAGTCTTGCTGGTTACTCTAGTTGGTCAAAAGGATGCTCAGCTACTCCACGTGGATTTTTCCGAGTGTAAAGAGCCCCAGTATCTCTACGAAGAGTTGCCGGAGAGTGCTCGCCCAAGAGCATCAAGTACGACCGTTGTTCCAATTCCAGATCACATCACCGGGCTTGTCATCACAAGTATGGTGTACGTCGACACTTCCGTCGGAAGCTACGTCCTGCTCGGATACCGACGTGGGTCAATTGCCGCATACCGCATCGTAGATCAGCGCGGAGAACACGCCGATCAAAGCTCCGCGAAGCTACTTGGTATCATACACTCTGTTCACGGTAAGGAGACAGTTACCGCCATGACCTGGGTTCCCCGGGGTACAGATTCTCCCTCTGGACATCTGGTCTCCACAGGACGAGACGGCTGTGTTGCGATTCACCTCATCGAATTGGAGACCATGTCCTATCGATTAGTCCATAACATCACGCTACCGGTCGGCCCAAACATCGAAGGTCTCTACATTCACAACAGTGAATTGCACGTGTACGGATTCTCACACAAGGAATTCGTCGTATACAACACCGCCACCGAGGAAGTCACGATGAGTGTCGAAACGGGCGGCGCGCACAGGAGCTGGTCATTCCAGCCCGATGTCTCCATGTACCGCGGCGGAGGCACCCTGGTGTGGACACGAGCATCAAGCATGCATATCCTCTCGCAATCCGGGCCCGACCATGACGTGATCCGCTCCGGTGGTCATGGTCGCGAGATCAAAGCCGTCGCTGTTTCACCAGGCGTCGAGACCGACGGAAGCAAGCTACAGCTCATAGCCACCGGCGCGGAAGACACCGACATCAAGATCTTCTCCTACACAGACAAGCACCTTACCTGCCTTCGGACCCTGCGCAAACACACGACCGGGATCCAGAATCTTCAGTGGTCCACTGACGGCTCATATCTTTTCAGCAGTGGGGGCTGCGAGGAGTTCTACGTCTGGAAGATAAGCCGTCTTCCGTCCGAAATGGGCGGCATAGGCGTGGTGTGTGAAGCAAGCTGCCCACCAGAGAGCGAACACTCGGACCTACGCATCATGGCATTCGATGTTGCGCAGTATACGGAATCGCCAGCTGTTTTTTTCATCAGCATGGTGTTCTCGAACTCAGTAGTCAAGGTATGCATCCAATACTCCCAAGCTGCTAGAATAGTGATGCAAAATGCTGACTGACTCGTAGGTCTACGCGTACATGCCAACGCAGCCAGAACGATGGCACAAACTCGCCTCGGGCCTATACTTTACCTCTTGTCTGACACAATGCGCATTTCTCCCCATGGGTGAGCGCAAAATGCCCCAAAGCATCCTCACAGCCGGCACAGACGGACACGCGGTCCTCTGGGCATTCTCTCCACCTCCCACCCAGGCGCCGGAGACACTTACATACCGTTCGCCCACCACAATCCACCAGTCCTCGACCAAAACCCTGGTCACACACGTCCTGCCCACTAGAAGCGACAAGACACTCATCATAAGCGGCGGCGACGACGGCACAGTCTCTTTCCTCCTCGCCCGCTGCACCTCAATCAACGGCGTGGAGTGGGCCGGCAGTCCAGTCACAGTCGTCCGCACGCATGCTTCGGCCGTGACGGCTTGCGCGGTGGTCTCGCACAATGGACAGCTTCTGCTGATTACGAGTGGAAACGATCAGTGGGTCAGGATGTGGGAGCTTGTTCTCTGTGTTGGAGATGGATGGGAGGAAGACAAGGATTGGATTGAGATCAGACGCGCAGGAAAGGTGAAGACTCGTGTCGCGGATGTGTCGAGCATGGCTGTGGTGGGGGGTGAAGATATGGAAGGGGACGCTGCGAGGGTGCTGATTTGCGGTGTGGGCATGGAAGTCATCAGGGTGGGGGGAAACACGCAGGTAGGCTTGGGAAAAGGCGAGCGTTCATAGACGGACGCACAGAGCTTGGGTCCGAAGTACAATCATGGCTTTTCGCTCTGCTGATGCACGTTTGGAAGGGAACGAGCGCTTTTGGCATGAGAGTACGCTGCTCGATGGTGTTGGTATGGAAGTGACCTGAAAGGGCTGAAAGGGGACACTGCGGTAGGCTTTCGTACAACCTGGGCCGATTCGACGCCTGTGCCTGCAAGTTTGAGCTCGGACCGTCCCCGCCGTACTTGCCTCGGTACCCCAGACCTCGCAACTTGCAGAGTGCAGGCAGTCACATCCTCGCTGGCTGCCCCCAGTGCTATCCGGTACTAGCTGCCTTCGCAATGCCCCGAGCGCCCCGGCAGCGGGTCACTGACGGACCCATCCAACATGCTGGCTGAACCCCGCTGGAGCTGCACCGTCCCCTCCGTCCACGACGACACGCCCCTCAATGTGCGCATCTACCACCCCTCCACACTGCCCTCGCAGAGCGACAAGCCATGGCGGAAGCGGGGCATTGTAATGGCGCATCCATACGCGCCCATGGGTGGCTCGTATGACGACCGCGTCGTGGGCATCGTGGCCGAGGAGTTTCTCGCGGCGGGCTGGGTCGTGGGCACGTTCAACTTCCGGTATGCTCTTCCTGCCGTGGATGGACTCAGATGATGATGGAGTCGTACAGAGGCGCCCACGCAGCCAAAGGACGCACAAGCTGGTCCGGCAAACCCGAGCTCAGCGACTACCACTCCTTCGCCGCCTTCTTCATGCACTACCTCTCCTACCTGCGCCCGAACCCCCCGCCTGGCGCCGCCTTCACGCCAGACCAACCGCCCGTGCCGCCCACGGTAGCGATGGACGGGCGCGCACCCATCGTCGTCCTCGGCGGCTACTCGTACGGCTCTCTCATCCTGCGCAACCTCCCGCCCCTCCCGTCCATCCTCCAGCCCTTCGCCGCGCCGACACCAGGCTCCGCAGCCCACGAGATCCTCCTCACCGCGCACAAACTCGCCGACCAGGACAACCTCGAGTTCATCAATGCAGCGCGGGATACCGAGCGCCGGCGGAGGCGCGGCCACGAGCACAAGCTGTCTGTCAAGATGGGCGGCGAGGAGACGAGCCCCGGGATCCGGCGCAGCAGCAGGGAAATACGACGGAGCGTCGACGGCGGGAGCAGGAGTTTGGATCTAGGCAGCCGGCTGAGGAGTCTCAGCCATGGCCATCATCATCGCAGGGGGAAGGATGCCAGCCCGCAGCCGCAGCCTGCTGCGCCCGAGAATGGATCGGTGATCCAGATCCCGCAGGTACGCTATCTGCTCGTGTCGCCGATCACGCCGCCGACCGCTACGCTTGCTGCGCCTGCGCTCGCACGCGGGTTCTGGAGCAGGGCTGGGGACGGGGATGCTAGTCTCAAGATGCATGAGACGCTGGCGGTGTACGGGGACCAGGATATGTTTGCGTCGACGAGGAAGATGAGGGAGTGGGTTGCGAGGACGGAGGCGGAGAACCAGACTCAGGGGGGCTTCCGCGGCGTGGAGGTCGCGGGTGCGGGTCATTTCTGGCACGAGCAGGGTGTGGAGCGGGAGTTGAGGGAGGCTCTGCGGGGCTGGGAGAGGCGTGTGAGGGACTGAGGGTGCGAAGGCGAGTCCAGTATATACCCTTGCACAGAGAGTGATTGTTTGTTGATCATCAAGATAGAGGACATGGAAATGCATGGCATCGTCTACACGTACGCCGCCCACGGCAGCCCTAGCTTTCCCTGCACATACTCCCAGGCCTCAACCACCTTCTCGTCCTCGTACCGCCGCCCAACCAGCTGCACGCTCACGGGCGCATTGGCGTATTTCTCGGGCGAATCTATATTCATCGAGTCAGCCCTCCCATCCATCCTATCACGAACCATCTCCTCCAAAGGTAGGAAAAACTTACACAGCAGATGGTTGTACGCATCGTCCTCGTTCCGCGGGACGTAGCTCTCGTCGACGGTATCGGTGGGTAGCACTTTTGACACTGGCGCGACCAAGCACGGATAGTCCAGCAAGTTCCACTGCGCAGTGTACCCCCAGTACCGCGCGGTGTCGAGCTGGGGCGCGGCGCCCGGGCCGACGGGGCAGAGGAGGACGTCTATCCCGCTGTCCTCCCAGTGCTCTGCGTACGCGGTGCGATAGGCGTCGCGCTGCGCGGTCAGGTCCCACATCTCCGCGATGGAGAGCTTCTTCACGTTTTTGTTCTCGTGGAGTATGAACTTTGACAAAGGGCGCCAGGGCTCGCCGGACGCCTCGATGGCCGAGCTCTCCTCGGAGCCGCCGTCCGCGAAGTACAGCGAGGATATGATGGTCCAGGCGGTATCGTGCGCCAGCGGCGCGAAGGGCACTACCTCGACACCTGGAACGTGTTTCAACTTCTCTGCGAGGGCGGACAGCGCGCGGAGGATCGGGGGGTGCGGCCTTACCACGCCGTCGTCTGTCAGCACACCCACCCGCATCCTCTTCCCTGACCCATCTTTCCCCGCGGGGAACTGCGCCTCTGTCTTCCACGGCAGTGGCACAAGCCCCGGCTCCCGCACCCACGGCCTCGCATCGATCAGCGTTTTGGTGAAAACCTTCACGCCCCCCAGACTCGTGCTCAGCGGCCCAATCACCGCGAGAATGTGCTCCGCGCTCAGCATCGTCGCCGTCATCCCTTGCATCGGGAGCCTCCCACTCGTCGGCCTCAACCCATACACCCCGTTGTTCGCCGCCGGGCTGCGGATACTGCCTCCGATGTCCGTCCCGATGCCCAGACAGCTGCCTCTGATCCCAACCAGCGCGCCCTCGCCGCCCGAGGAGCCGCCCGAGGTGAGCAGGCGGTTAAACGGGTTTACGGTCGCGCCGAAGTAGTTTGACGAGGTCTCGAGGTGCATGAGGGTCTGAGGCTGGGTGGTGCGCGCGTAGAGGACGGCGCCGGCGTCGAGGAGGATGTCAAGGATGTGCGCATTAGCAGTGGGCGTGCGGTCATGCCAGGATATGAAGGCCGCGTTGCAGGATTGGCGGGCGATGTTTATCATTTCCTTGGTGGAGATGGGGAGCTGGAGGGTGTAAGTTGAGTGGGTGCTCGATGAGGGGAGGGAGGCCGTACGCCGTGGAGAGGGCCGATGGGCTTGCCGTGCCGCTTGAGATAGGAGTCAAGCCAGCCGGCGCGTTCGAGGGCGGCTTGCGGCATCAGCTCCGTGATGCAGTTTACGAGTTTCTGCGCTAGGGCGGCGCGACGGAGGAAGGCCTTTGTGACGTCTACGCTGGATAGGGACGCGGAAGAAAGTTTTGCTAAGAGGTCCACGGGGTCGGACTCTGTGATGCTGATTTCAGTCGGGGTGAGAATGGTCTTTGGGATTGGCGTGGAATCAAGTGGTAGGTCGAGGATGTCTGGTATGGGGGGATGTACGGCGGCGATAGTTGCCTCTCGTTGTTGCTGTGTGCGCTTCGCTATGGACTGCCATGATTCGAGGGCTTTGGATGATGAAGCGGCGGGTAGCATGGAGGGCTCGGCTCGGCTCGAGTGGATGCGGGTGTAGAGCGAGTTGAAGAGACCGGAAGTTTTGCAAGAGCGAAAGAGAGCATGAAGTGGCGCTTGGGAGGTGCCACAGGAGATATGGAGACACGAGCGGAAGGGATGGTAGAGATACCAGGCACTCTGGGAGATGGACGGGATTGGAGATATGGTCTGTACAAACAGCTGCAAGAATGGAGATAAGGAATGCCTGCCTCGGACGGGAAGCTGCAGCGTCGCTCAATGGAGGGGTCCAATAAAGATAAGAGGATCCTAATGCGAAGGTCGGAAGACAGGCGACACCATGGCACAGCAGCTATCGTGTGTCTGCACCTGCCCGGCAGTGTCACTGTGAGACTGCTCTTCTCACACGCTGGCTGCGTTCTGGCACACCCAACGGCTTGCCATGCACGAGAGCTATGGCGCGTTGAAGCCACAGCGTGTGGGGTGGGCGGGGTAGAGAGAGCTTTAGCAGCGGTGTTAGCGTTGACCTTGTAATGGATGAGCTTCGCTCAATTGGATCAAAGAATCTCCGAGGACTCAAACATGAAGCAAATAGCCGCCGCTGTCGGATACTAAGTTTGGGAGCTATGTCGTCCTCATTCAATTCAGCTGCTGGTCCGGAATGGGTTAGGTGCTGTTGCTGTCCAATGTGAGCCAGCATTGGCCGCGGAAGTGCTACGGCATGTCCCAATGCGGAAGTTCCGCGGTCGACAGTTCCCCGCAACAACCATGCGGCAGTCTCGTGTGCAGCGAAAGCACCTTGGAGGCGTTGCGGTCCGGCCTAGATCGGTCCTGATCATATGATGCAGGGTATTTTTGCGTCGGCAGGAAAGGGTCCCTCTCTTCACACCCCCCATCTGTTGCTCATTCTTTACTCGTGCAGCTGTCTTTCAAGTGAATTCTCCCACCTTGGTATCGACGTAGGAGCGTAATGGGCAGTGTCACAAACATGTCTACGAAAAGCCTTCCTGAGTTCAGCCTGAGCGGCAAAGTCATTCTAGTGTCAGGAGCTGCGCGTGGTCTTGGTCTCACTCAGGCAGAGGCACTGCTCGAAGCCGGCGCTACTGGTCAGTGCTGCGTGCAATATCTCCGTTCGGGCATTGACAGAAATGTGCAGTGTATGCTCTTGACCGGCTTCCTGAGCCTTCGCCAGATTTCGAGCCAATTGCAGCACGCGCAGAGAAGGAGTTCGGGACACAGTTGCACTATCGGCAGATTGATGTCCGTGAGGTCGAGCAGCTCAACAAGATTGTCGAAGACATCGCCAGCAAACACGGAAGGCTGGATGGACTCATAGCCGCTGCCGGAATCCAACAAGAGACATCGGCGCTCGAGTACACTGCTGCAGATGCCAATCGCATGTTCGAGGTGAACATTACTGGCGTGTTCATGACCAGCCAGGCGGTCGCAAAGCAGATGATCAAGTACGGCAACGGCGGAAGCATTGTTATGATCGCCAGCATGTCTGGCAGTGTAGCCAACAAGGTACTCATCGTGCTCAAGTCAGGAAGTCCTGACTGACGTGTGCTAGGGTCTGATTTGTCCTGCGTACAACGCGTCGAAAGCTGGCGTAATCCAGCTCGCTCGGAATCTGGCAATGGAGTGGGGCCAGTACAACATCCGCGTAAACACAATCTCGCCCGGATACATTGTAACAGCCATGGTCGAGGCGTTGTTCGTGAAGTACCCCGAGCGAAAGGAAAGCTGGCCGAAGGACAACATGCTGGGTCGTCTCTCCAAGCCTAAGGAATACAGAGGCGCTGCAGTATTCTTGCTGAGTGATGCTAGTAGTTTTATGGTAGGTTCTACACGCATGCATTTGGCCATTGCTGACTTGCGCCAGACCGGGTCTGATCTGAAGATGGATGGAGGTCATTCCGCGTGGTAATACTGGTTCTGCATCGCAAGCATTACTTTTCGTGATTTGCAGCGAGGCGTTGGGATCACGCTGTATGTTAAGGCAAAGTTGAATAGATCAATATGTTTAGAGAGTCAATGGATGGTCGAGTGTGTGATAAGTATAAGCGGACTGACTAAGCGACGGAGGCGGCAAGCTTCAGGGAAGGCGCGACAGGTTGACATTCACGAGCAACAGCAACCCGTGCGTGCCCGCTCCCCAAGCTGGCCATGACGATGCCTATAAAGTAGGACACCACCAAGAGCTCCACGCTCTGTTTGAACACGTCATCCGCCAGCGTTTTCGCCGCCTGTGTCGCCCGGCGCAAACAGCTCCAGGCTTCACCGTCCGCAACTGTACACTACCTGTATTATAGAACACCTGCCCATCACCGTGCGACATCGCGCCCGAACCCTTTCTATCGCGTGCTGGGCCAGCGCAGGCGACCTAGGGACAGCGCCTTGTCATGCCGACGCCCTCATCCGCCTCTCGATATCGACCCGCAGTCCTCGTATTCACCGGCGCGGCGGCCGCATATGTCACATGGCTTCTATACACCAGCTTCAGCGGCGCCCCGTCGGAGGGGCTCCATCGAAGCAATGCAGTCCGCAGGCCAAATGCGCGCAGTCGTCCTCGCAATCGCCCGCAGCGAATCGTCGAACAGCTTCTGGCTGAGCCCATTGCGCTGGGCGACTTTGACTTCTTTGGACGGACAATCACGCTCGAAACAGGCAATGTGATGGATCATGATTCGCTGCTGGCACTTGGACGCGAGCTTCAGCCAGATGCTGACGACGAGAGGATTGAGCGCGTTATCAACAACCTCTACGACTATTACGTAGACATGTTCGTGGAGACGCTGGCCCAGGGGCGTCCTCTTTCGGAGATCCCGCGAGGAGAGCTTCAGGCCATCGTGAGCATAGTGAACGAGCAGTCGACTTGTAAGTCAGAGCACCCGACCACCCAGCGTCCTCATCATAGGCAAAGCGAAGGCTGTTCGCTTACAGCTTCACAGGGCAGGGAACCGAATACGCATTTCAAAGACTTCGGACCAGGCCCTCGATTCTGGCCGCTCAACACCCCGTTGACGATCTCGAAACCATACCGCCCACCGAGGCTGGCGATTGGGAAGACGACACGGTAGCCGACATGGAAGGCCAGACTCTTCAACGAACGCTGTACCACATAGCAGAAGATCGCGCCCGGCATGAGGGTGTTGTTCATCGTGGCATTACCTGCAATGGCTGCGATAGCAGGCCCATCCGTGGCATCAGGTGGCATTGCGCAAACTGCGCCGACTTCGATTTATGTTCGGATTGCGAAGCGACCAACTCTCACGTCAAAACGCACATCTTCTACAAAATCAGGGTACCCGCACCAAATCTCAGCATCACCAAGCAAGAGCCGCTCTATCCAGGGCGACCGCATATGATGAGCTCTTCAATCGCCCCAACCCTGAAGAGACGCCTCGTCAACGATACACGCATGGAGGCCGAGGAGATCGAAGCGCTGTGGGACCAATTCACTTGCCTCGCCACGATTCCTTGGACGACGGACCCCAACGGCCTTGGTTGGGCACTCGACCGACGCGCTTTCAATCACGCCTTCATCCCACGTTATTCGACCTTCAAGTCGGCACCGAACCTAATCTATGATCGTGTGTTCTCGTACTTTGACACTGACCACAATACCTTGATCGGCTTTGAGGAATTCGTCAAAGGAATTGACGGCCTACATGCGACCGACGCGCACGTAAAGCTAAGAATTGTATTCAACGGCTATGATATTGACGGCGATGGGTACATTTCAAGGAAAGATGTGTTGCGTATCTTCAGAGCGCATTATGCGATCGAGAGGGAAGCGACAAGGAACTATCTGGCAGAGTCTGCTGAAGAAATGTCTGTACGTGGCGCTCTCGACGTGATACAGTCCGCTCAGCCCTTAGCGTCCGCATTCACACAGGCTGCTATCGAACCAGGAGAACCCAATTGGCTGCTGCGAACAAAGCCACCGGATGATGAGATTGAAACAGCACCGATTATCGAGAATCAGCCGGACACATTGGATCGGGACGTTGTGATCAGAAGCACGAGCAAAAACATGTTCGATGAGGATGGTGATGAGCTGGACCCAAACATGTCCGCGGATAATATCTTGAAGGACAGATGGGCACGAAGACAGTTCTACACCGACGAAGAAGAAGGCTTCACTCGACCGGAAGGGGCCCCAGAGAGTCCAAGAACAACTGCCTTTGATGATCAAACTAACGGTTTCCACGATGAGCACCCGGTGGGAGACGAAGAGTACAAGTCTCCGACTCTGGAGTCAGAGCGTCCAAGATGGTCTCGATCTTCTTCCAGGGTTCGCTTTCAGGATGATGTTGACGTGGATACACGGTCCAATGCGTCGACTTCTTCACGGCCAGTAGGAGAACGTTGGGGCGGCTATGAGATACCCGAGCCTGAGAAAGACCTTGGCAAAGAAGTGCTCTATCAGATAACCCAGCAAGCCTTCAACGAGCTCCTTGATCCCTTGTTCAAAGAAGGGGAAGACGCCGCGATGGACGCGTACGCCTGCCGAGACGAGCGACGTCACTATGTCGCCGAAATCGACGCCATTTTGGAGAAATTCCAAAGCGACAAGGATATGCTCGAGAACATGAATAATGTGGGCGCCTTCACATACTCCAACTGCATCCTCAAAGCTCTCTGTGAACAGGACTTCGAAAAGCTCTCAGAAAAAGCCCCCCTCGATCTAACTGAAATCGCATCTATCGTTGGTAACATGTTCAAGAGCGCGGAGAAAAGCATAACCACGTTTAGTGCACATTGGGTCAAGGACCGCTCGCCTCACCATGAGACCGATCTGTGGCTCATGATGTTGTACAGGGCTCAGTTGGAGTTCGAGGTCACGGCAACTCTGTTGGAACTGGCTATGAGACAGGGTTGGGTGTTGGCTCCAAGTCCCTCTTCTCCTATCGCCAGACACATAGCCAGACACCGCCATAGTGCATCCAAGGTAGCAGACCGCGATCCAACCTTTCCACAGTTCCGCCCAAACTCGCTAAAAGATGTGGTACCGCCGATCAAAGAAGCCCCCGATACAGCAGTGAACGACACCCCTCCGCTTCCCAAGCGTCCATTCGGTAAGAACCTCCATTCTTCCTTCACCCTCAACTAATAGCCATGCTAACCCACCGACCCAACCAGGCCCCCTCTTTGTCGTCCCTGCGCGTACCGAACCCGCCTCCACCGCAAACGACAGCAAACCCGCCACCGAAGTCGGAACAGCCCCTTACGCCCTCCCCGAGCACAACATCACCCTCTCGCGCCCTCTAGCCATAAAGGAAATCGGCCCCCACCCCTACATGCACAGCCTTTCTTTCTCCCTCTCTGGCGGCACTACGCCCACCGTGACTCTCAAAGACGAAACCCGCATCCTCGGCCAGCACCCCGCGTACGACCCCGACATGCCTCAGGTCGACGGCACCTTCCACGCGGCCATCCGCGCGGCGGCGGGCGAGCCCGATACTGCCAACAACAGGCATCTAAGGCGAGTCGCGCTGGCGCGGCTGGAGAGCGTGGACCGCAGAGATGGCGAGAGGAAAGGAAGTGGGAAGGTGGGGTTCGAAGAGTTTGAGAAGGCGGCGAGGGAGGGGCGGATGAGGTTTCTTGAGAGTTGGATGGATTGGGTGAGCTTTTAGGAGGAGCACGAGGCTGAGAGAGAGCAGCAAGCTGATGAGGAGCTGGCGGCTGAGGGAGACGCCGGGGAGAGCAGGAGACGTTGAGGGAGACGCTGATGGAGAGCAGGAGGCTATGGGAGACGCTGAGAGATCTCAGGAGGCGTTGGAGAGAGAGCAGGGCTGAGGGAGCTGATGGGGGCGCTGGAGGAGAGCATCAGACCGAGGGAACTGGTGATGGCGCTGGAGAGAAAGTATGAGGCCAAGCGAGAGCACAGGGGAGCTAGCGCATAAGATACACGATAGGGTGGGTTCTACAGGTGTTAGTAGTGTGTAGCGCAAGGGGCCTCATGATACCACAATTGCATTTTGTTGCATGAATTGGGGACGGTGTTACGCGGCTGCTGAGTCGAGGTTGAACACGTACCATGCACAGTCCCGCACACCTTCACCGCCCCAATCCTCTAACCCCATCAATTTCTTTCTCCCTACCCTCTCCAGTCTACGATCTCACCCCCAAAAACCGCCCCAGCACCCTCCTCCACCCCTTCCACTCCTTGTCCGCCTTAGCGCTTTGCAGCTGTTGTGTGTCTGACGGCCCGGTTGCAGATGCGATATGGGAGGTTGCTCCGCTTTGTTTGGTGGAGGTGGAGGAGTGCGGGCTGCCGACGAGCGTGTAGTACAGGGCTTCAAGGCCGCGATCGAAGTCGCGAGGGTAGGTTGGTTGGACCATTTCACGGACTCGGGCAACCTGGTGCGCTCGATCGCTGTAGATGATATAATGTGTACGGTTTGGCAGGAGTTCTTAGGTTGTGTTCTGTGATAAAGTGGTCTTATTGATGTGAGTGGTAAGATAGCAGGTCGGTGCTTTATGAAGGGAATGATATGCGGTAGGGGAGGGGGTTGTTGAGAACAATATTTAGGAAGCGTGGGAGGGGGACAAAGAATGCGTGGGGGCTGATCTCGCGCGGTGGGGGCGAACATACACGCTGCAGGACACAGCCGAAGGACGTACGCCCGAGCTAGATCGCTCGAGTTAAATGATCAGATCATTGCAAAGTCGACCTAGCGTCGTATGAATGGCAAGTAATTCAGTCGCCGGAGCGCACACCCAGCAGGCAAACAGAGCATCACGCAAAGGTAGCAGCACAGCACCACGGTGCACAGAGCAAACACCGACATTCTGAATTCCTACGTGATACCCAAGAATATTCTCCCCTCGAATCGAAAGACAAACGAAGGCATCTCCAGAACCACAGACGGACCCAAAAGCCGGGCAAAGTTGATACAAGAAGTACCAGAAGGTAGATACAAAAAGCAATCGATCTCTATTCACTACCAACGGTCACCATCCCAGAGTCTCCCATCCTCAACCCCAGGGGGTGAGGCGAATGTAGATTTTGTCGAAGATGGCGTGTCTGTGTTTGTCGTGCAGTGCAGTGTAGTGTATGTTGTCGATCGATCGTGCGGGGCCGTCCGCCGTGCAGTGTCTCAAGCAGGCAGGCAGCATACTGCAAGCCGACACAGCCGCGTCCCCATATCAAACAATTCCGTACCACGAAGCGAAAATCTCAAGACATGTTGCCAGTGTTGGTGCTTAATCCAGGCGAGCGTCACCGGTCGCTCACGCCCTCTGCCTCTTCATGCGAAGAGAAGGCATCTACTGGACGATGCAGTTTGCACCGGGGGTGGGCATCTGCTTCTGGACGGTGCAGTTGGCGCCGGGGGTGGGCATGGTGCGCATGACGCTGCAGTTGGCTCCTGGAGTAGGCATTTCGATTGTTTTGTTTTGGGGGGGTTTAAAGATTGTTAAATGTGAGTGATTGGATGTTCTGATGGGTTGGAGTCTCAGATGGGGGGCATTTCGGGGAGTATTTATGCTTTGCGTGATGTGGAGGGGAAGTGACGACTTGTGGGGGGAGGCGAACAAGGCTTTGAGAGGAGGCCTAGATCATGGCCCGAGACAAGGGAGGCAGAGGGCGAGATGGGGATTGGGTGGGAATGGGGTTGTTGTAGTGGTGGTTTGGCGGATGGAGCGTCTTGGTATTGTTCGGCTTACTATTGTTGTGAGCACCAAGAATATGTCACGCCGGCTTGACCACCCTGCCGGGGTATAATAATTGAAAATTGTTTAAGATTTTAATTGTTATTGGGCTATGGATTCCGGTGCTTGCACTACAGCGATCTCGAAGTCTTTCGATTGTAGGTCTTCTGGGTCACAGCAGCACATGCGGCTCTGTCAAAGATCGACCGGCCCATTCTAGGGGGCTTCTAGAGGGTCGTGGAGCTGGAACGATTGGCACGATTGTCAGGTACCAGTACAACTAGGCATGCGGGTGGCTTGCATCCAATCCGCGGGGCCCAGGATTCAGTCCTTCTCGCCTTATCGCAAGCACAAGCTTTCTCCCAATAAACAATCCGTCCCTGCGTAGCCTGATTTGGATGGTGATAATGATAACCACGTGCATGTAGCTCGGCTCAAGGCAGAAGTAGCAGACAGGTCCTCATGTCCGGACATGCCGAGTGCCAGGGGCGTGTGCGATAGCGTTGCTACTTCAACAATGCACTAGAGTACGCATGCAATACACTTCCCCTCGCAACACTTCCTCGTGACAGAGTCAAATATCAACTTGTATTCGTGCTTGAAGGTGGAGGGGGAGCGGGATTGAAGGCACTGGGACCATAGATGTTCAGTGGATCGCGTAGGTCCGTGAATCCTTCGAGGCCTTGCGCTATCATGCTATCGACATTGGATGTCGCACCCATCCAGCTTTCCATTGTTGTATTGTTCGAGTTGACCCAATTGGTAGGCGGTAGCATGTGATCCTGTCCCATCATAGTAGAGTCCCACAGATTCTAGGATGTCGTTAGCAAGAGCCGGGCGCGGACATAAGTGGTGCTTACCCAATCAATTTCAGATGCGATGTCAGGCACGTCGAAAGTCATGTTGTCAGCAGATGGCCAGTTGTTCCAGATCTGCGGTGGCAACTCTTCCGGCAGAGACTCTGGTGTCATCTCTTTGGGGAGATCTGAAGTATCTGTATTTCCAGTTAGCTGATGCACCTGGCGTACGTTGCAAACAAACATACTCTTCTCAAATCCGCTCGGAGCAGGATCCTGCGGAGAAAGACCGGACCGTCCTGGTGAAGAGCATTTTTTCAACATGGCCTTCAGAATCTCAGCCCCTCGAACAGAGTCTCTGAACCGGTTGGGATGGTTGGCCCAGATATCGTAGGTGCTTTGCAGAAGTGAAAACATGTCCGAGATTTTGCCCGAGGAAGAATCGCCGGTAGATTGGAGGTGGTTAAGTTCAAGGCAAATGACCATTGCTGCCAGCAAGAAATCAAATGTCTGAAGCGACGACATGTACCACCAAACCTTGTTCAGCTGCCCGCCGGGTTGACAAGCGTGAAAGATGGTGACGTGATAGCGAAGAATCTCCAACGCCGAGTCGACGCATATCTTGCGCGATTCCGCGTACTTAGGATCGGTCTGGCCCGCTGTGAGGAAGGCGCGGTGCAAGACAAGTTTCGTCTTCAAGTACAGCAACTCGATGTTGTAGCGACCCATGATAAGCACCGGCGCATCAGTGACACAGTCTTGTACTGGACGGACACGCATCCCTTCAGGAACTTGGTCGTGGGCTTCCTCGAGGCGCTTTTCGAGAGACACAACAATCGCATACCGTGGCGGTGTTATCCGTTGTGCTAGCTCCGCGGCCTCTGCAAATACTGCACATATTTTCGCTTTCGCAATGGTGTATGTAGCAGGCGTTAATTCAGACGAGGGTCTCGCCTTGGGCATCTTCGTCATATTAGGAGATAGATCTAGGTCATATAGGTTCTGCGGTGCTCGCGTGTCACTCTCTATACGTCGGACGACGGCTGGTAGACCAATGGCGAAGGAGATCAGCGTGTCCAACATGTTTAGGACGTGCCACACTCGCCGGCGCATCTCTCCCTGGAAAGGTGACATGCCTTTGAAGTTACTAGGGTCGCGATGGTATCCCATTCTCATCGCGACGCGCATGGAAACCCCGTTCATCAGCCAGATTTTTGAGTGATGGTCATCCCTACGCAAGAATTCACACTCGCTGTAGATCATCAAGGTTTCAAGCGTATAGGGCTGGCTTTTCGTAACGTCTGCTAAGACAATTGCGGAGGACGCTAGCTGCTGGAAGCGGTTGACCGCGCTGTTTAGGTAGTCGTTGGTACCGCTCGAATCCGTACTATTGTAGATGGACCCTGACGAGTTATCGTACGCCGCGGCGTGTGCATTCATGCCAGGGTTTCGAGGTCCTAGTATAATGCCCAAAGCCATGGCTGAGTATAGCAGAGCGATCCACATGACTGATGTCGAGGAAGCGTCAATCCAGAATTGATTGTACTCTTCTTGAAAAGTAGGGACGTGCATGATGAACAGAAGAGGATCGGCACTACGCAATCATAAGCACAGCTCTTCCAGAGCTGATTCACCATGTGCATACCTATTAAACCACAGAGGAAGAAGTCGGTCGCACTCTTCTTTTGACGGCATTTCCTGTATGAGCTGCGTTTTCGTGATGTGCCTGGGCATCCCAAAAGTTACTGTGGATCGAGCGGCGTCATCGTCCCACTCCTCTCCTTGATCTTCTTCTTCTTCATCGTCATTGATTCCGTTTTTTACTTCTTCAATTTCTTTCAACAAAGCCGACCAGTGGCCGGCTCCCACGTAATGGTCATTGCCCTGGCTACTGATTCTCATCTGGCCAAAAGTTTCCAGACTAAGTTCCTCCACCTCTTTGGTAGCAGTAGGTTCGATGCTTGGAGCAGCAGGAGTACTTGCGCCGTCCTCTTGCTGTTTCTGATTGATCAAGTTGACGACCAGGCTCTCGAGATTTCGGATGCGACCCCGCATGTTCTGGGCCTGCTTGTTCCGGGGTGGAGGGGGAACATATTGGCATACTTCCTGCCTCGAACGCTTCGCACACTGATCGCAGACGGGATGTTCACGGTTGCACTTTAGTTTCCCCTGGCGGCACGGCGTACAACTGAGTTGAGGTCTAGCTCTTTTGATGGGCGCTCGGACTAGCAACTCGGCGGTCGTACCGGTACCGGTAGTGGGAGCCGAATTGCCCGTAGTCGAAGAACTTGCCTCGGACATGGCTGCGAAGTTTAGTGCAAAAGTGTAGAAGATGAGAGGAAACTTTCGAAGACTGCTCGTCACACAGACGCCAGGATGGAGTGGCTGACCGTGTCTCTCTAACGTTACGTTACTTAGGGCTGATTATTCAGCCATCCGGACTTTAGCCACAATGGCTGGCGAGCTACTGGCAGCAACCAGCCAGTAACAAGCCCACCAAATAGCTGGTTGACATGTAGGAAACAGCTGTATGTTTTAGCCCCATCTTTCGAGTGTACGGCAAAGGTAGGGCCGCGCGAAGTCATGGTGCGGCTCGTGCCATTGTGGGGTGCCCAGGCCGGCCCATCGTACTTGTAGATCCATCCGACCATGCTGCGGACCACCGAGACAATCCACCACAACAGCCATCATGGCTTCCTTCCCATCGTTGAGGCAGATTTCTAGGCTCGCTTCACGGCATACGTCCTTCACATCACCATCACCATCCATACTACGTCCATGCACACGCGCATCACGCAGCTTTCAGTCTACAGCTGCCCCGCCTACAGTCCCCGAGTTCGCATTCGCTTTTGAGTAAGGCAAGCAAGCCATTCCACGTGCCTCACACTCCCTAACACCCCCCAGCATCGATGGCGTCCTCGTCCGCAGCTCTGACCCCCTCCCGCGCGCCCACAAGGCTCTCTCCTACCTCCAGAAGCACCGCATCCCCTTCATCCTGCTCACCAATGGCGGAGGGAAGCATGAGGATGAGCGCGTCGCCGACCTGAGTTCCAAACTCGACGTCCCGCTTTCTACAAGCATGTTCGTCCAGAGCCACACGCCCTTCGCCGACATGCACGAATACAAGGACAAAACCGTCATGGTCGTCGGCGGCGACGGCGACAAATGCCGCGTCGTCGCTGAAAAGTACGGTTTCAAAACCGTCGTCACACCCATCGACATCATCTCCGCGTACCCCGAAGTCTGGCCCTTCTCGCAGCAACTCCTCCCCTACTACAAGGCTTTCATGCGCCCGCTCCCCGCCCCAATCGACCCCGCCTCGCCCTCAACCTCGCTCAAAATCGACGCCGTCTTCGTGTACAACGACCCCCGCGATTGGGGCCTCGACACGCAGATCATAAAAGACGTGCTGCTCTCACGCGAAGGCATAATGGGCACGCTGTCCAAGAAAAACGGCGATGCGACACTGCCGAACAAGGGCTATCAGCAAGACGGCCAGCCCCCGCTGTACTTCTCCAACCCGGACCTCCTCTGGGCTGCGAAGTACCACCTCCCGCGGCTGGGCCAGGGCGGCTTCCGCGAGGCGCTGGAGGGCGTGTGGGCCGCGCTTACAGGCGGACCCTCCGCAGGTGTCGAGCTCCAGAAAATCGTCATGGGGAAGCCGCACCAGCCGACCTACGCCTTCGCGGAGAAGCGGCTGATTGCGCATCGGGAGACGCTGCTCAAGCAGGTTGACGCGCAAGCGGGCCAGCTGAAGAGGGTGTACATGGTTGGGGACAATCCCGAGAGCGATATCCTGGGCGGGAACAGCTATGAGAGTCCGCACGGGACGGACTGGGCGAGCGTGCTAGTGCAGACGGGGGTGTATGTCGAGGGGACGGAGCCGGCGCATCGGCCGAGGAAGATGGTGGGGGATGTGTGGGATGCGGTGGAGTGGGCTGTTGGGGAGGAGGGGTGGAAGCGGTGAGGATGGGATGGAGTTGAGGTTGGAGTGTAGGATATGTGTGCATCGTTGGGTTTCTGGGTGGAGCGTGGAGTTGGATAGGTCAGCATCGAGAGAATGTTGGGCAGCATGCCACGGCGTTGCTGTTTACCCAATAGCACGTGTCTGGGCTTGACAGTAATAGTGCGGCTCGTGGAAGATTGCGCAGACGCGGTGTAAATGAAGAGGAGCGAAGCTTCGACGCTGACGATCCTTCGCGCAAGCCCCCTGTCTCCGGTAAACAATGCTCATCAACCTCATGCGCGATCCAAAAGACGCATCATGGCGCACGGAATGCGAGCAGTAATTGATTCACGGACTCAGGGGGATCAGTCCCCATGTATGATGGCAGAAACGGAACGTGCTGAACTTAACCATCAAATGCATATTTTCAAGAATCCAAAACCTAAATGCTAACTAAATACAAGCCGCAGCACATGCAGAAACTCTACAGCGTGGCAACGGACGAAGGGTATCTCTCATCACATCAATCCATCACTCACGTCTCCCGCCTACAACCAGCGCACATTGTTAGGCTGTCCCGGTACCGCAATAGCCGCCGCCTGCGCGCCAATCTTGCCAGACTTGACATCGCGCTTGTAGATGCGGACGTTGCCCGAGTTCTGGTTGGCAATCGCGATCTCGCTGCCGTCCTTGCTGAGCTCGAAGTGGCGGGGGAAAAGACCACCGGAGGGCGCAAGCTGGACCCACGCGAGCTTGCCATCAGAAGAAGGCTTGAAAGTAGCAATCGAGTTGGAGTCGATCTGGGTGCTGTTGGCGGGGTCGACGTTGGGGACCTGGGTGAGGGTGACGTTGCGGTTGGACGCGAGGAGGAACTTGTTGTCGGGGGAGACTGCGATCTCAGCGGCGGCGCCGTACTGCGTGATGGCCGGGTCCGCGGTGGGGCCGTAGGTGCTCTGCTCGTCGATCTTCTTGAAGGTGAGGCCGCCCGAGCGCACGTAGGTTACCTCGTAGGAGATGACCTTGGAGACGAGCTCGTGGATCACGAAGAGGAAGGTCTTGCTGCCAGACTTCCAGAAGGCGGCGTGGCGCGGGCCGTAGCCCGTGGGCGCCTTGAGCTCGGCGTGCTCGACGAGCTTGCCGGAAGAGCTGTCGATGCAGAAGACGTGGGTCACGTCGAGACCGAGGTCGGGGAAGATGACGTACTGGCCGGTCGGGTCGAGGACGGAGTGGTGGACGTGGGAGCCATCCTGCTGCTGGGGCTTGGGGCCGGTTGTGCGGTTCTCGTAGCCGATGTTCTGGAGGAGGGTGAAGGCACCGTTCACATTGCTGAAGGTGGTGAGACCGTGGCCGCCGTAGTGGGCAATGGCGAGGTTATTGTTGGAGTTGTAGAGCTGGGTGGAGACGGGGCCACCGCGGGGAATTGAGACGACGGCGGTGTGCTTGACGCTTCCGTCGGTGTTGAGAGCGAAAGTGTGAAGGGAAGACGAATCTGGAGTGTTCCAGGACTCGTCAACGACGAGGGCCTTTCCCTTCAAGCCGAGGTCGATCCAGGCAGGCTGGGGGCCAGCCTCGGTGTTCTCGGAGATCTTCTTGAGGGCTCCGTTGGTGTAGTCAAGCGTGTCGATGTAGCCGTTGGCGTTGGTCGCAGTGGTAGGGCCGTAGCCGCCAACGAGGAGCTTGGCCGCAGAGGCGGAGGTCGCAAGACCGGCGACGAGGAGGGTGCGGAGAGACATTGCCAGAAGAGGGTTGTGCTTGCTAAGAGTGCTATGCGGGGAAAGGAACGAGGGGAGGAGCCCACTATATATATGTAGACAGGAGTCTTACACAATGTCTCGAGCCAGAAAAGGAACAAGGGACCGTAGAAGCCTGGATGTGGCGCGAACAGTGGAGAGAACGCAGCCGAAGACGCCGAGCTGGGGTTTGTAGAGGAAAGGGAAGGTTCCGAGCGCGTGGGCGTTATGAAGACGGGTTCTAGGGACACGTTCCGCCAATTATACGAGGAAGGATCAATATCAAGGTGGCCGGGGACGGGCTAAAGTACCCTCACAGAAATGTAATTGAAGGTGTGCTTAGGCGCATTGACAGGACAGGGTGGAATGGCAGGCGGCTCAGCGAGACTCCGGCGGCCTACACAGCCTGCGCTTGGCGCATAGACGCGCTGTGAACACCCCAAAACCTCAGCGCCGCGATGTCGGCCTGTGCCAAAGTTGCGTGCACACGCGGCGCGGGCGAAATGAGGAGAACTGGGGGGGGCTAGGATAGGACAGGGACATGTAGTGGGTTCCTGCGCCTAGATCTGCAGGGTGGACCTCTCTTCGGCCCGCTGAAACGGGCCCCACGAAACAATCTGGAGAGGAACGCACTCCGGAGAATTCACTGGCTCGTGGCCGCCCGCCCACCACCAAGCCGCTGGCGCGTTTCAACACACGTTGCCATTCTGTTGTCCGATGGGCGCCGTGTATAAAGCCAGTCTTGGAAGCTGGAACTCCGTTGGCGAACGTTGCCCGTCACTGCTGGATCCTCACAGCGCCGCACGTGGCGTGCATTCAGCCTCAGACCCCATTGAGGCACAGCTAATCTGTCATCGCATGCTTCAATTAGCTCCGCAGCGCACATAACACCAAGCCCTGTCAGCGGCGCTTCGCTGTTTTCGCTCACATCGCACAATATGCATCCTCATTGACGGAATGGAACAACGCAGAGCCGCGGTTGCGCTGCCTAGCTTCCGGTCATGGCTTTCGCGGCTTCCATGGCTTCCATTTTCCTTCGGTTGCATGGCATCCTCTGCACTCTTGACTCGGATCTGTATACATGGGCGCCTGAGCGGAGCGTCTTCCCAGCCAAGCCCACGGCTGCCAAAGGCCGCAAGAAGACATCTTTCGTGCGACAGTAAGGAGCAATAATATTCCCTCCCTGCCACTTCGGTCGGCTTGACCCGTTTGGTGGTAGATGGCCTGGGGCACGTCAGCACTTCCTGTTCGCACCCATCCACCACCACGGCCCATGGACATCTGGCCAGTCGATCTCGCTGCCAAGCGTTCTCGGCTAGCTAGGGGTTCACCCAGCAGATATTGCACGTGGAGTTCCCCAGGATTCGTGAGCTTGTTCTTTTTGATCGACTGCCAGCCGAAAACTGTACTGTTCAATGTCGGTTACGCGCTGGCGTTCATGCGTCCCATTGTGCGCGGACCCTGCGAAGAAGAACACTTGCTCAGCACATGCGGATGTCCCGGAACGGTCTCAAGCGTGACTCGCAACATCAGTTGCTCTGGCCACAGCCAGGAACATACCTCGTACTTTTGCCATTTGGATGCCCATCGCGGAGTAGCACACAATTCACAGCTTATGCGGTCCGACGGCCAGCCTGAAGTTGTTCAGCTACACACTTACTGTCTAACAACAATCTCAACACGGCTCTATCAGAAGCATTTAGTCAATCTCAACTGCCAGGTCTCAACTAGGTATCTAATCAACGCGTTATGTGAAAGTAGAATTCAAGTCAAAAATGTACCTACAGTGCCATGTTCACCTCTACGTCCTCTCACTTCGATCTGTGTCCTCCAGATCAGTATCTTGCTTTGGTCGGATTTGATTGGCTGTCCACAGGTTAACCACATCCACTCTTCAAGGTCATACCATTTCGATGACCGAGCCCTCAGATGCTGGTCTCTTCTTACAATATGGTCTTATGCTACAATGACTTCGATTGCGTCACGTGATTGTTTGCCAGGTCGATTGCTCACTATCTCTCACCTACTGGCGGGTAGCCCTCGACTCAGCTTATAACCTATATGTCGACAATGCCACCTCTCAGTGAGGCATGGCTAGCGCTCTCACCGTGAGTCTAGCTACTACACCTATGGCCCTCTTTACTACAATCATCATTGACCCAGTACTCCCGATTCCCAGATCTTCGACAAAACCTCTGTGCTTTGTGATCTGATGTCGCCTCTCTACTCAGTCGTCAAATTTACTACATAACGCTGCAAAACGGCATACACAATTCCTTAACCGTATATACGACCCAAGCCCTAACCTAGTCTCAGTGTTGCCATGAGCTCGAACCAAACACAACAACACTGAGTCAGATCTACCAGAGTGCGCTCTTCAGGTAAATTTGATGATTGCGCGTTCCACTGCTGGGCTGTACGAGAGACTTCGAGCCATCTATTGATTTCACTGACTCTGGAAAACGGGTATTGCAGTACTCTAATGGGTCAGCAGAACAGCCCAGTTGTACCTCAATGGAGGACCAGCAAGTGCAACAGACACCTCTTCGGAAGCGATTCTTGGACCAGGTCCTATCGTCGAACAGCACTGAGAGACCCGCAAAGCAACAGAAAGACGAAGCTGTTTGCGGCAAGGGTGAGAAAGCCCTCGATAAGATCCTCGTACCCGACACTGAAGATGATGGTTCAAGCACATTGCACAACGGCGACCTTCCAGGCGCACTGGATAACGGAATTCTGGGCACTGGTGCCCGGGATGACCCTATCAGGTTTCCGACTTGGGAGTCAGGCAACGTGATATCAAGCAAGTGTCACGGAACCTTTATTGAGCTCTCAGACGACGAAGACGAAGGGAACAAGAACCACAGTCATCGTACGACCTCTCCCAATGCCTTCAAGTCTGTTTGCCCGCTTCATATCACTGGGAAAGAAAGCGCCGAGTCAACAGGAGCAATAGCATCACTTATGCGGAAACAGGCGTCCCTTGGACCTAGGTCGCCCCTCTCCGTCGACAGTAAAAGCTCCGCAGAGAATGTCATTAGTACAGATGCATTGATGCTTTTCGGGTATGTTCCTCTTTTTATGCGTCTCCACATCTCTGGCTAACGTTGCCAGGTCGTCGCCATCGCCTTGCCCAGCACGCAAATCCGCATTTACAAAGGCTACATCGACTGCTCCACCATTTCAAGGTGAAGTGCTGCTATAACGTGAGAGTCATCTATTGAAGAACCCCAACCGCCTTGTCAAGCTCGAGGAATATGATCTTGAACATAGCGACGACGAGTTCTTCGAGTATCCTTTCCCGGATGTTGCACCTTCAATCAACGGAAGATCTGGGAACGTTTTTCGTAGCGGTGTCTCAAAGCAAGCTCGCGCCAAGGACCGAGGAAAGCAGCCAGTGTCAATGGCAGTAGCTGCAACAGAAGACAACTTTTTCTTCGTCCCTGCTGCACAGGACCGAGATGAAGCTGACGACTCCGATTTGATCATTGCATTTGAAAAGTCAAAACCTGCAGGCACGCTTGACAAGCCTTGGATGATCTCCGTGCAAGAAGAGCACGAGGAAGCCCGCGAGTCAAACAGGGTGAGAGATTCCTCGGACATCGAAATACAACCCGGCCACTGCGGCGATCTTCTTTACGCACCAAGTGTCGCATCAATGGCATATCAAGGCTCAGATTCCTTATCATCAGCAAAGACGCAATTGACTGCATCTCGGGCGCCACTAGAGCTGGCCTCAAGCATCAACTGGAACAAGTCTCTACCCTTAGCCACCAGAAAGCGACTCTTCTTTGACACTTTCCATCACCTACAACGTGCCCGTCTAGAGAGTTCCATTCAAGGATACTACTCCAACATCCAAAGCGGCATATCCATAACTGAATGCTGGCTCTACACGGGTAGTAAGTTGCCGAAACCTCCAATCCAAGGTCTCGCCATGTCTGTCACATTGCGCTGTAACGGCCATACTGAGCGCTTGGGCCTCAATCCCCTTATGGTCAAGTTGCTCTTAGATGGAAATCTGAGTCAAGAGCAGATTGATGGCGTCGTGGAGCACTCGTGGCATACTAGCCATCTCTGCGGCAATTGGACATGCTTTAACACTGCACACGTTGTCCTGGAGCCTGGTTCGGTCAACAGCAACCGGAATGCATGCTTCCATGACATTGATGGACCATGTTTCCATATTCCCAGATGCCTGAAGCATCTGAAGCTAGACAAGAGTCTTCTTGGGCGAGCCACCGACCAAGCAAGTCTGAACGTAACTGCGGCGAGGTAAGTCGCTCGGAATCTTCATGCGAGATGAATTTCATAAGGTTCTATTTTCCTTGGCGTTTGGAAATTTCTAAATATGTGTAACATACGTTTTATGGAAGGAACGGGCATTGGACTGGTGACAACGGCGTCTGTGAACGGGAGACCTTGAATTTGAGCGGGTGGCTATCTGCCCTGCTTCTCGGTAAAGACGCGATGAATGGGTACGCAGAGGTGGTAGCTAATGATATGTCTGTGTTTCGCAAGCGGTTGACAAATGGATGATGTGCAGGGGCGATTCCGTGATAGGTAAGCGTGTTTAGAACTCAGCGACGTCTCATCCCGTCTCTTCTTCCATCCCACGACCGCCAGAGCCAACGCGCGTGTTAAATGCAATCCAGGAAATACAGATAAGTAGTAGAGCCTAGCGGACCTCATCAGGCCATCAACAGTAGAAAATGATGACCGGTACCTGCGCTAGGAGCGGGGTCGAGTAGATGAGAAGATGATAACTCAACATTTCTTCTGGGGCCCCAATGCCCTGCGGTCATTGATCTCAGATTTAGGGTCCCTTCTTTTGCAAGAACCAGTAAGGAATAGCCTCTACGAAACACGTCGCGGCGGGCGATGAGTCACTTCCCGATCTGACCCAGATGTCGTAGTTCAGAGCCTATGCGATGCCGCGCTGGAGCCACACGTAGTGTTCCAGCTCCTTGGTAATCTAGAAAGCGGAAGAATGACATACATGTAGACAAAGCGGTGAAAGGGCGACCTAGGCATCCACGAAGCGGATTGATAGAGGTTGCACGTCTAGGATTACCAGCCATCGCAGCCAAAAGATATATGGGGTAGAATTAGAGCCGATTCTCCATTCCAGGTCAGTATCATGCTCTATTCAGTGAGCCTTGGTAGGTAGGTAGGTACGTATGGGGTAGGCGGCGGGGGGAGACTTCACTGCGAGACATCGGCGGTAACTAGCGCGTGTGGCCCACTACTAAACCAACGCAGCATCGCCTTTCTACTAGGTAGTCCTCGCCAAGGCACCGCAACAGACATTTGGAGCATACGACGCTTTCCGGTGTGCCTCATCCCGTACGGACTGCAGGTACCCGCTGCGGCATTGGCCAACGCTGCGCGTGAGCCGCACGGGTAGCCATTCACCAGCGCCTTGTCGCAGCTTCTCTTTCGGATGCACGCCTTCCCCAAGTCACACGCGGCGCCAAAGCTCCCAATTTCCCGCGCCGGCTGGCTTGCAGTACCCAACCCCGCGCACCCACCCGCGTCGCTGGTCATCTGGTGGCGCCAGCAGCAACGCGCCCTTCTTCAGTCTCAATCTTTGCGCACCTTTCTCGTCTCTGAGTCCGACTGAGCTGCCGTCAAGGTGGCGACCAAGCCCAGGACTCGCGGCCGGCGAGGTGAGTGTCTTCGTCTCCTTCTTTCTCTGCCTGCCCCAACAACGTCCTGCGTTGATCAGCCCCGGACGGCTAGCCTGAGACCCCATCCCCCAGTCAGGCCCCCCCATCAAAGCTCGTTCCACCCGAGACCTGCTGGATCAATCTGAGGCCACTTTCTTTCTGCTGTCGTTCGCAAGTGCGTGCATGCCGTCCAAGCTCCTCATTGATCCGCCCCAGGTCGTCGTGCCCCTGCTACCTCGCAGGCTGCAGGACGATTGCCGCTAGGAACTCCAACAGCGCATTTGACGAGCGCCTCGCAACCGCACTCGCACATTCGCATCGTCCCGCGGGAACAGCTAGACAGCGACTCGTATGAGGATAGCACGCCTACTTTTCGTTCTTCGTCGCTGCAATTGCCGCCATTGCCGTTGAGAGACCGAGGATCTCGTACAGGTAGCGCCCATAGTGAAGTCTCGACGCCAATCAATACCACATTCGCACAGATGGCGCGCCGGAGCAACAAGAACGACATGGAGGGTGTCGAGAAACCAACTTCCGGGCCCGTGCCGCTTTCAGGTTTCGTGTCATTCAAGACACATTCGTCTCGCAACAGGCTGAGAAACAAGACTTGGCGCACTGGCTTGCCTGTCGAACTGGTCCAGGGTGAAGGCCTCGCAGGCTTTCACATCGACCGGTCTTCCTCGCCTGTCAAACCCCCCGAGCCTGCCCATCCGCCTTCACCTCAACCTACCCAGACGCGGAGCACTCCGTTCGCCTTGCCCAAGATCCAGACAAGTCTTCAAGTACAGCACGAGAATCCTGTACAGATGGATGCCCAGAGTAAGCAACATCCGGTAAGTTACTCTGCGTAGGGCCTACTGCGTTGCCAAGAAGCAGCAGTACAGCGCCCCCGCTTCTAACCTAGTACTACGAGCCACCGCTCCTCCCACACTTGCTTACCTTTCTAGGCATCCCCAAGCGATGGCAGTGACAACATCAGCCCCACCGATACCCGCCCGCCTGCCATCGAGAACCACCTGCGTCTCTTCGAGCAGCTACCCGACATTATTCGTCTTCAAGAGCAGACTGGCGACTTCGACGGTCAGGTCGTCTTCATTGGTCATCCCAACCGCGATGTCTCCGCTCACCAGTGGATCTCCGACTCATATCAATGGATTAATGTTGGTCTCTGGTCACACACGCGCAAGAGAATAGAAGGTTCGCTTGCTTCTGATCGTCTGGCAACGTCTGAGTTGTCGTTCAACTCGATTGAATATTTCAAGTTCGCGGCCGAGCGCCGCGAATCTATGATCAAGGAACATGGTCGTCCACGAACAGATCCAGAGGCAACCAATACCGAACCTACTCCCACGGAGGCAAACACAGACCAAACTAGCGAAGCACCCGTCGGAAGCTTCGCCGCGACCTCTGCTCGGACCGTCACCGGAGAGAAACTGGAAGACCCATTCATCACTCCCGGCAATATCTTGCAGCCAGCCCCCATGCTCGTATTCAATTTTCGAGAAGGCGGTGCCACCGGTGCCACGTTAGATTATGGGTTCGAATTTCCTAGAAAGACAGGTGCGGCGAACAAAGAGTATCACCAGATCTATGTACAGCGAGAGCGAGCGCGACTTGAGGCACTGTGTGGGCAAACACTCACCCAGCGGGAAGTGCAGACTCCGCAGACTCCCCTTCGTGACGTCGAGTTCGGTGAATCAGGCCTCAGTCCCCCGACGGGCCGCGCGACCGTATGTCGGCAAGACACTCGAGTCTCGGCTGAGGACATGCAGAATCGAATACAAGCTCGAAGCTGGCTCGCAGAGTTGGGTCAAGCGGGTTCTCAACCTAATCTTACGCCGGAGCAGCGTGTCGCTGTCCCCGACTTTCCACTAAACAACGCGAATCTTAGGAACTCGATTCCTTCAGGTCCAACGGTGGCGAACCCTTACCGCGGGATATCAACCTTGAACGCTGCTGCCGCACCATACCGTATGTTGCCCAAGAAACAATCTTCTGGGGAGTCAGATTCTTCAGTTCCAGCTTTCAATATTCCTGTATCTGCCTCTGACCCAGCACTACGCTTCAGCGACCCCGATGGACGGCAAGAGCACGTTCACCCAATCGCGAACGGCTTTAACAAACAGGCACCCACTAGGCAGAACTGGAGTGGCCCATTCTTCGCCGACTCTATGCCAACTACGCACGATCCCCTTGCTTCACTTTCTGCTCAAATCAGCATTGAGGAGAAGCTCAGGAACTGGTATCGCGACGGCCAAAGCGTCATTCGACAGCAAGATTATGCCAAAACTCTGGTGGCAGCGGCGTCTGCAAGCAACAAGAACCGTAGCTTTGCGGTTATCGGCGACGGGTCCGCTCGGAAGCAGGATCTCTCAAAGCACGCAAACACGCATTTATTCGCCCGCGTATATGAACACCTTTCTGAGTACGCAGAACAATCCCGCACTGATGGTGGACAAAGCTGTTTTACCCGAGCCTGGAAGCCTCCAGCCCTGCATCTCCGCGATCTCGGACCCGATGGCAACCACAGCTTTTACAGTAGTGCGTCGGCAACTTCGCCTCATATCTCGCGTGCGATCAACCGCCCCTACCAGCCTTATCGCGGAGATAGTACCCCATGGGGTTTCGGTGCCATAGCGAGCAACTTGATCCCGTCTCAGCACGGCTCTAACTCGGCTGCCCCTAGTGTGTTCGGTGGATCTCATCACCGTGGCTTTTGATCATAAGTAAGACGCCTTTTTGCACTTGCGCCACAGATACTAATGTTATTCATAGTGTAATTGATCCATATTCCAAGTCAAAGTGTGGCGTACTACAGTCCCTTTGACAGTTAGAGGTTGTTCTCGACTTTCTGCGGTGACTCCCCTGGAACACAGCCGCGGCCGAGGATGTCGAGTGCAGCCATTTGCGTCTTCTATTGGTGATCTCCAAAGGTCGCAATACATCATGTTCTCTCTTCACTATCACGGCGTTGCATTATATACCCTGGGCATCAAGGCGCACCGGAGATTATGACACTTGCTGCTTGAACGCGTGTGTCACTCGAGACAGGCGCAGCTGCGCGCGGTCATCCAGGCTTTTGTTTGGAGGTTGATTGACACGTGAAGGGTTTATATATCTCTCTGAAATCAATCAATGCCACATAGGCTTTCAACTATTTCGGCCTCCCGCATTAGGACGGAAAAGGTGCATGTAAGATGACACACAGTGAAGGCGTAGACCAAGGGAAACCTCTTGGTATTGATTGCCCTATGCGACGAGATGAGGAGGCTAGCACGCCCACAAAAAGAATACGACGATTGCTTGGACTCTGAAGAAAACATACGCTACCCACCCTAACTAACCCAGCCAGCCTCGCCTATCGTTACACGCCTCTCCTAATTCCAAGCATCTACGCATAAGCCTTGAAGCCTTGCAAGACACCTCACACCCTGAATGATAGCATACCGGTTCGAAATACCACAAAAGTTTGAAACAAACATGCAGGACACCAGACGCTGTGCTCCATCTCATCTGAGCCCATTGCACCGCCCGTGTCCCATTATACAAATACTGATACCATACCACACCGCAGTGTCGAAAATCTCGCCAGGACGTGGAAGCGCCCCTGCGCAGAGCCCTCTGCAAACAGGAAGCGTAGCACTTTGTCGGCCGCAGGGAGGGCTTCCTGGTAGTTGTTGAACATCCCCTCGTTAATATGGATAGATGGCTTGTCAGGTCTCGACCCTCGCTCAAGCCTTGGCCTTCTTCTTCTCGTACCGCCCGCGCTCGTTGCGCACGCGGCCGCGGGGGATCTTGGAGACGCCAGCACCCGTCTTGTGCATGCCGCGCGGCGCCGGCGCGGACCCCTTCTTCTTGCCGGCGAACTTTGCCTTTGCGACGGCCTTGCCGTACTCGGCGTCGACGTCGGAGTCGGGGACTTCCTCTTCTTCGCTGTCAGAATCCATTTCCGAGTCTGAAGCCGAGTCCGGGACTTCGAGCGTGCGCTGGCCGAGTTTGCCAGGGGCCTTGCTGAGCTTGAGGGGTTTGATGGGTTTGCGGCCGGGCGTTGCTTTCTTGTTCGCACTGCGGAGGGACGCGGGCGTGATGTTTGGAGAGTCCTCGTCCGACGAGGACTCTGGCGTTGCACTACGACGTCGCGACATGAGCAGAGCCGCCTTGCTGGGCTTCTGTAGACGCGAGCCCTTTGCCGCTTTGCCTGGGAGGTTCTTGACAGGCTTGAGGGCCCCTGGCTTCGGCGCTGTCTTGGATACAGTCACCTTCCGCTTCAGGTTGATGACGGTCTTCTTCGACGTGCGGACGGTGGGTTTAGCCGCCGTGGACGCCTTGTGCAGCAGGCGCCCTCGCTTAGAGGTGGCCAGAGCCCTATGTCGCTGCATCGCTCGGTTCTCACGCGAGGCAATCATCGCGGCGTGGGCTTCCGCCTCCCGCGTGGCTCGCTCGCGCTCTGCTTCGCTCTGGGCCAACGCATTCCGCGCCTTGGTCATGGCGGAAGTGACCACCATGCGCTTCTTCGGGGAGTTCGGCGCGCTCACGGATCCTCGGCCGCCTACAAACATGTCTTGCAGTTTGCGCTTGGCTCCAGCGACACCAGCGAGGAGAGCTGAAGGGAGGGTCCGCTCCTCGTGATTGGCGGGTTTCTTGGGTTTCGGCCCCAGAACACCACGACACGATTTGGTACCGCAACGGCACTCTTGGATGTTTTTTAAGGAGAAGGGACTGTAGGAGATTAGCTTTGCTGCGGCGTCGTGTTCGTGCGACTCACTCAAAGTTGTAATCGTAGGTCAATTCCTCGCCAGTCATGATCCCGCGGGAGCCCGCGAACAGTGCCATGCGCGGTTCCCCGCCCACAGTCCACTTGATCATCTCGCAGTTTGGTTCGCAAGAATGGTTCACGAAGCGCGCAATAGTTCCGCGAGTCGCATCAATGATCATTTTGTTGTCGAAGCTCATAAGATAGTAACACTGCAGATAGTTAGGGGCATCCTCAAAATCATCAAAGCGAGGGAACTCGCCTTATCTTTCTTATAGATCTGCTTCATGCGTCGCTCGCACTCGTCCTGGGTGATGATCTCGCCGGCGTACTCGACGATGATTTGGTGGGGCTCGAAACACCGCATGGCCCGAACACCATAGCCCTTGCCTTCGGTCTCCATGACTTCGACACCGTAATCGTAGCCATTGCCCTTTGCGCGCTTTTTCAGCTGTGCAAAAGGACGGTTGTTGCACTGCTCCGGCGTGAGCGGGCAGTTAGTCTCGTCGCACTCATATGCCATGATGCGGTTGTGGCAGGTCTCCCCGCAGCCGTCTTCAGGGTCGCAGAAGCACTGCGACGCGTCACCGTGCTTTTCCCGCTTCCACAACGCAGATGCATCGCCAATGAAGCGATCTGCGGGTTGTTAGTTCGAAAATGCAAATGTGGAGAGCCTACTATAACTCACTCTTATTGAGCTTGACCCAGCCGTCGACCTTGACTTTCCGCGGAAGAGGATTGTAAACGTCGTACGGCAGCTTGAAGGGCTGGTAGACAACGCGTGGATTGCTCTCTAGCTGTATCTGGGTGGCAAATAGAGGAAGTGGCAGGATCTTGCTCTCCTTGGCCTGGCGCGCCTCTCTACGCGCCCTGTTCCGCTTCTCGGTAAAGCGAGCATCAAATCCGCGTTCCTGGCCGACATATAGGCCTTGCTTGAGCCACTGCTTGGTCTTGGGCTTGAAGTATTCCGGCTCTTTCTCCTCTTCTTCTTCTTCTTCCTCCTCCTCCTCCTCCTCGTCGGTGGTGTCTTCCTTGAACTTGGACGATTGCGCGGCGGAGCGGAATGATGAACGTAACCGTGAGTCCGAGGCACTGCGCTTGAGCGTCTTCTGCACAAAGTCCTTTCCGGCTGAAAGTGTATTCGCAACTGCCGAGCCGGCGCCGCTCAGGTTCTCCAAGGCTGCGCGTCGCAGGTCGTTGCCCAGGCGAGTCGAGGTCCGCCGCCGCGCCGCCTGTGCAGCCTCTGAGGCGAGCTGCTGGTCGGCGGGGTCGTCGAGGTCGGCAGATACAGATTTAGTCCTGCGCTTGCCGACACGCTTCTTTGGAGGCGTGGGGTTGGTCTTGATCACTTCTTGGATGTCGCCGTGGACCACATTCTCGTGGTGCTTCTCTAGATATTTTGTCGGCGTGTGGATCGCAGTGCCTGCCAGGATCTGCACGTTGTACGTGACGACAGACTTGCGCGTGTTCCGCATCGCCCGTCGCGGCGCACTGTCGGAAGACGCCTCGGGCGCTGACTGCGGCGCAGTGGGCGACGGCGGGGCTGCACGTGGGGTAGAAACCTCCTCACGCGTCTCTATGATTTCCATCTTGCTTGTCTCGGACAGGATGCTGGCCTCATCGCCGAGGCTGGTCGGCGGCGTGGAGGTCGGCGGCGACGCGGTCGAGGTGCGCGAGTCGAGCTCCTTCCCCGCGGGCGCAGTGACGAGAAAATGCAGGGAGGCGGTCGACAAGGGCGACGTGGTGCGGTCCGCCATGCTAGTCGCGTGCGGTGGGTGTCGGGCGGAGGTGGTTGAGGGCCAGGCGCGTGAAGTGATGCGTGGAGGAGATCCGCCGGTCGAGCCAGGATCCAGGCACGCCCCAGAACACTTCGACAGTGTGGCGCGTCGGAGCAAGCGGCGACGCTCAAAGGGGCCCGGGCCGTTTGCCTGCACGATGCACCGCGAATTGGGCGTGTTATTGCCCTGCAGCGATAACCCGTCTGCAAGACGGAAGTTGTGGAGCTGCTTGGGGGTAGATGTGGTAAAGTAAACAACCGCGCTAGCAGTCATCCTCGACCAACCAATAGTGGCCTCTATGCCCAATCTGCTTGTACCACCGTCCTCGTATCGCGTCTTCACTATGGCCAGATGCCTCAAAGCCCGCGTGTGGAAATCATCTCGTGGCTCAACTCTCGTGGTTCATTCGGTTGCAACTATCTACAGCCCAGTGTTCCTCCGCCGCCTCCCCTTTCCGGCTCGTCGCGCTGCATCCCTTCCCGCAAATCTTACAGTGCAAGCAAACAGCCCATGTTTGCCACTCATACGTGCATACATGAAGACATTAGATGATGGATTATGATTATGTATAGCTTGAAGCATGTACCGGTCGATAGTGCACAGTGTATACAACAGCTACCTACAGTGTCGGCGGGCCAGCTTCGTCATGCCCTGCTCTGCTTGCTGGGCCCTGGAAACCCTGTGTCGCGGTACGGACATCGTGCATTTCCAGCCCGCCACCTTGTTGCTCAGCTGTCAGAGGGGCTGTCCGTTTACCCCTGCGCGGGCCAAACCTCTGATCGCCTTCCTCATACTTGCGCTTGAAGTGCAGATAAGTCGGTGGTTTGGGTCGCTGCAAGACCGCAATCAGATTTTTGATGATGCTGCCCTGTGTAAAAGGCCGGTGTCGGTCTTTTTTGAGGAATTTGTGCGAGTTCAAGTACTCGCGTGTCGTCTCTCCTCTGCCCATGAGGAAGACGTGATATAGACCCAAGCTCAAGGGATAAGGAGTGGCAAGAAGTGCGTAAATGCACATTGCGAAAGGAATGCGCCACTTGGAGATGGCCGCTCCGAACGAAACGCCGTTCTGAGAGCGCCACTCCAAGATGTGGACTAAGCTTGCTGCTAGCAGATAAACTCCCAGAAGAGTTGCAGAAGTGACAAAGGTGAAGAAGTAGCGGTAGTTTCGTCGACCAATGCAGTTATTCAGCCAGACGCAGTGATGATCTTGTGTTTCCACGCAATTGTCGCAGACTCGACAGTGGTGGGCACGCGGCGGCCTCCAGATGTTGCAGCTCTTACAATATTTGGTGGGGACTTCCATGGCTGCGTTGGCGCCGGAGGTCGATACGACCATAGTCCACTCCGTTGTCGGAGGGCCAACGCTGAGCGGGTCATCATTAGGATTAGGTGGCGGAAACGGGTGCAGATTGCGAGGAAGTATCTGTGGCGGTTAGTATTGAGAAGCTGAAGGCGCGCAACTGACTTACCCCGGGATCTGACGCAGTGGCATGAATGAACGAGGAAATGCAGACCATGAACAAATAAGCAAAGATGATGGGTATCGAAGGAGAAATATGAAGCCACAGCCACGGTGCACTGCAAGCCGGTTAGTATTGTCGCTGATTCACAGGTGATAAGAATTACGTACGAAAAGCCCAAAAAGAGCGCTGAAGGTATGACAATTAAAGTCCCGGTCGCAATGTTCACTGGCCGGTCGCGGGTGTTTTGTAGACGTCCTCCCCAGCAGAAAGCGGTGTTGCCGGAAAAGTACTGATAGTTCTTGCCTAGCTCGTTCTTCACAGTCTCTTTGGTAGGTTCTTTCCGGGACATTCTCGGAGACGATTCGGCGGAAGCCAGTTTCTCGTGGCCTGTCTGTGGTCGCATCTGCGATCGACCTTCGCGGCTTCCAGAAAGCCCGAAACTAGCGCTGAATGAACGTGGTGACCGGCTGGGGGTGGGCAGCTTGCCAGATTCGCCCTTGTGAGACTTGGACAGATCGAGATGCTGAGGCTTGGGACGATGCAACGGGGTGATGCTCTCGCCACGGCTCCGGACGGTTTCTGCGCCGGTGGGGGTACTATTCGCTGTGGTGCGGTCCGGAAGGTCGCGGTCGGTTATGTCGGTGCCGCGGGATGGTGGAAGTTGCTGGTCAGGGTCGTGAGAATGGGAGAGTCCCAGGCCGAGGGGCTGTTGTTGCTGGGTGCGCACTGTCTGGTTTGAGCCAATGCTCTGGCGGTAGGGGTTTCCCCCGATCTCACTCGTGCCTTCCGAGTAGAGCGAGCTGTGGCCGAGAAGCGACGTCGGGCGCTGGTTGCGCTGTTGCTGCAGGCGCTGCGAGCTCATCGGGCGGAAGAAGCCGTGCGCGGCGAGTGGAACGTGGGTTCTGCTTGCCGCTGTCGTCGGCCGGCTCTGTGCCCCCATGCTGCCGGCTACACTGGCCGTCCCTGCGCTGGGCAGCACGCCTCCTCCGCCGCGCCGCGACGGCGGTTCCCGGGACCATCTTCGATTGCTGCCGGACTGAGATATTGCGATGGACGAAGGGCGCGACGGTGGGAGTCCGGCCTCTCCGGAGGGGCCCGTCATGCCCAGGACGCGGCTGCCGGTGGAGTTGCGGTTCTGCGACGTGGGGGAAGGGGCACCGAAGGTCGTGTGCTCGTCCTCGGGCTTCGTGGGCGCGCGCGCGGCTTGGTCGTCTTGTACGACCATGGCGGGAGTCGAGTATGTATGTGCAGCGGATGGCTGCCCACTTGTCGTCATGGCGAAGGTGCGGCGATGGGCGTCTCAGCAAAGATTGTGCGAGCGAGTGGCATGACAAGGCGCGGATCAAAGGGACATCCCAGGTGTTCCGAAACTTTACGACGTTGACTCAGGTGCGAATGAAGCGCCGAAAAGCAAGCACCTGCAGAAGCGAACGGCAAATGTCAGGGCTGGGGCAAAGGAGCGCGAGAAGGGAGACGCGGCAGCACGCGTGCAGAGTGAGCGGAGGGGAAGACGAGGGTCCTGGCAGCCTCAAGGGCGATGCAGCGCGCGCTCGCTCACGGCCGATCAGCTATATGAGGGTGTTTAAAAGGGGCGCGCGACTCGCGACGTTGATGCGCATGGTTCCTGAGATGCAGGACACGATGCGAGGCTAGCCGGGCCCATCCTAGCGCCCCGCCTGTCTTTGTGCCCGACCCAGCCTGCTTACATACGCATGGCTTGGCGCACAGCTATCGAACCACTGCGGCTGCAAGCTTCAACGTCACACACCACCACCCGACACCACCCCTCTCCGCTCCACCACGCAGTCCAATTGCGCCCGCCATGTCGAGCATCGTCGGACGCACCGCCTTCCGCGCCGCCCCGCGCCTCCGCGCCACCCAGGTCCCCCGCCGATGGAACTCCACCGCGAGCTCCAACGCCAGCGACGCCGGCAAGGCCGACAGGCAGGCCGGCAAGGACGCCCTCAAGGCTGGAGCCAAGCGCGACCCTGAGCTCTACGTACGTCAAATACCCGGAGCCTAGCTTGCTTCGACGGGAGGAGCTGTGTGGAGGCCGCAATGGCTGGCCAAAGGCCGCGTGGGAGGAGCCTCATTTTGACCACACAGCCCGACGCAAACGCCGCATCAATATCCTACCGAGCTGTCGCTAATGTGCAACTGCAGGTCCTCCTCGCCATCATGAGCGGCATCTTCGGCGTTGCGGGATGGCATTTCTGTAAGAGCCCCCAGGCCCTCGCGTACCTCGGTCGTGGTACTTGACGCTGGACATCGCTCACATTTGCAGCCCGATCGCCCACCAGCGCCTCTTCCGAGCGATCCGTCTCACAGGCACCCAACAGCAAGCCCTGGGAGGAGGGTGGCGGCGAGGGCAAGTACCAGTACCACCCCGGCGGTGACACCAGCGCCCCCAAGAAGGACGCTCCTTCAGCGCTTAACACGGTCATCATTCCTAACGTGACTCTGCCCAAGGTATTGAATGTCTTCCAAAGTGCCATCCAGGACACAGCTGACTGCTCCAGGAACTGCACGACGCCTACAACAAGTGGGGCAAGGACGGATACTAGATCATCTGCACTCAACGTCCGTTTTCTTGAATCACTAGACAATGCACACCCGACATCTCACCATTTCCTTGCTGCGATGGCTTCGCACCCTGTAGATAAGCTCCAGGCTGTACCGAGTAGAAGAATTGAGTTTTTGCATGTATTCTTTCGATTGACTGATATCTACTGATGAACAGTCCACCTCCTTGGGTTGGCTCAATCGTCTCCTGAATCTTATCAAAACAACACCCGACCTCGCTCTTGCAAATCTATGCTAATCCGCCACCAATGCTAAGAAGAAGGGTATATGCTAAACGCCGCCGATGCAAGGAACAAAAGAAAGCTGCTCTCCCCAGCCAGATCTTACAGCCACGCCACTAGCGCTCCCACAGCCACCGCAAGAGCCACTCCACTTCCAGCCCTCGCCGCCCCGCCCGTAAACAGCGGCTCTTCAGGCCCCGTCGAACTCGCCGGCGGCGCAGGCGGTGTGTTCCCACTCGGTTGCGGTTCCGGCTGTGGCGCTGGCTCCGGAGTGGGTGTAGGCGTCGGCGTATCCCCTCCGTACTCGACCGCGCTGCTCGACTGGACGAGCTCAGACGATGTCTCCGGTAGCTCAAAGTTGGACGTTGAATTCACTGGCGGCTCGGGCGTTGGGGAAGGCGGCGGATTCGTGCCCTGCGTGGGCGCGAAGTACGTAGTTGTGCCATTCCATCCGCCATTGCCCCCAGCGTAGCCCGTGCCGCTGGGGAGGTACCCGGTGCCGGTGCCGGGCCAGGGGATTGTGACTGTTGTGGTAGTCTTGGAGCAGTTGCGGGAGGGCGAGGCGCTCGGTGAAGAAATTGAGGGGTAGATTGTGGATGTTACCGTTGTGTTGTGGCAGGTGTGCAAGGTTGAGGGTGTGGAAGTCGACCAGGGGATTGTGACTGTTGTGGTGCTGTTCGAGCAGGTTGGTGAGGAGGACGGTGCGTACGGTGTGGGTGTTGTTATCGGCGGGAGTGTGGCTGTAGAGTCTGCTGAGGTGGAGACTTCTTGCCCGTACCCGTAGCCACCGTTTAGTGTTGTTGCTGGTTCCGGTGAGGGTGAAGGTGCAGTCTCGGTCTGGTAGCCATAGCTCTCTTCGTACGCCAGGAAGGTGACATCCTCCGCATGTGTCGCTGCTCTTGCGGTGTGCGCTGAGAGAAGGAGGACACCCAATGAGAGAACGGTGGTTCGCGAGGCCATCTTGAGCATGTTTAGTTCGATGGTGTGTACTGTGTACTTGTGTTTATGTGCGCCTCTCCCAGAATCGAAGGACGATACAAGACCAAACGAATCAGAACAGAACGAAACGAAACGAAACAAACGACAATCAACAGCCAACACCTGCCTGGGGTGCATCCACCTCTTAACCCACGCCTTCTGCGGCTCCGCCACGCGAGCAACACGAAACACGGACTCACCCGCACTGCACGGCTGTCGCGCAAGTCTCCGTAGTGCCGTCTGCACAGCGCCACTCGGATGTCTGAAAATAAGCACGCTGTTGTGCCCGAGAATTACGGCTTTGGGATGGGCGGTGCTTATTTTGGCTCAGTTGGTGGGGTGTGATTGGTTGGCGTGGGGGCTGAGCGTGCACTGGTGCTGAAGAGAGAGAAACTGTAGGTGTACCAGTGGAAGTTGGGTCAGAAGTGACGTGCATCACATCTCTTGGGATCTGTACTTTTTTTGCGCGCACGCATTGTCTCTATGAAAGGAATGCGCATGTGCGCGTAGTGGTTGGCTGAACCTGTATGTGTCTTGCACGGCAGACATCCCTAGCTGCCATACGTGCAGCATGCATGTACACTTTTACTTCTGGAAACGTCAAAGATCCCGGCCGCAGAGCTTTCTCCGAGAGACAAGCCTTCCAGCAGATGGGGAACGTCCACGATATCCGCGAGACAAACAAGCTTGAGGCAAGGCAAGCGACCTGGGAGGCTGAAGTCCGTGATCGGCTGCACGTGCGAGTGGAGGGTGGTCGGATCTGGTACTCCGAGGTAGGCCTCGAAGACTTTGCTTTCGGGCAGGCAGTGTATCACATCCGAACAGCTTGTTTGGAGCTAGACTAGTTTTGCCTACTGTTGGCTGCTGAGTTGAAAGGTTCTCAGGTGCCATCATACTATGTGGGCGCGTGTTTGAGATCTGGTCTCCCATACAAACTTCCTGCACAACTTTCCACTCTCCCAGCCAACAATGTCAGTCACTCTCTCCTCTCAGACTAGCATCTCAATGCACATCAACACCTCCTCAAGTGTTCCACATATCAACCCACTCCGCTGATCCACATCTCCGACACTCTTTGCTAGGATATCCTCCCCACTGGCAGGATCAGCAGCCCGGCCACCCGCGCACTCTATGATCAGCGCTATAGGCGCAACTTCATAGAGCAGACGGAGTTTTGCGTGGGATTTGGACGTCACAGGTGAGACATACACCCCGTGGCCTTTGATGAGGGAGTGGTAGATATCCGGGACCAGACCGCCCGAGTATCTCAGCGTATACTCCTTCTCTATGAAGTGATCGATAAGCGCCTTGTACCTCGGGTCCTGGGCCGCAGCGCGCAGGTTCGCGGGCGCGAAGTAGCGCGTCTTTATGGCTTCTGGGGTTAGGTAGGAAACGCTCTCCCGGATAACGAGGATGTCTGCCGTAGAAGACGATAGCCCGACTTCGAAGCACAAAGGACTTCCCAACTCCGGCAGGTGGATGGCCACGATGGCGGTGGTTCGTGGCCCCAGCACACCTAGGATAGCGGCGATTTGCTTCTTCCGCGCGGGTTGGTGCAGCGCAGATGTTCCGTCCCAGATCCCGATGATGGTGCCTACGCTCCAGTTCGCGGGAATGATGGAAGACCCGTCAAGCGGGTCGAAAGCCACGGCATATTGCTCTTCTCCTTCTTGGTGGGGCTGCACGCCAGCGTCGTGCTGCACAGCGTTTTCGCCTTCGTCTTCCTCGCTGGAGGCGGAGATGATGGAGGGACATGTCCGGACCGCAGCGTGGACTATCTCGTTGGTGGCGAGGTCAACATTGAGCTGGGTGTCGCCGGAGGTGTTTTGGCTACCTGCCGCTTGGATATCTTGGGATTCGCGGAGACATTGCGCGACACGCGTGATGGATGTGAGGAGGGTGGGGAGGACGGAGGTGCGGAGTTGAGCACGGGATTTTTGGGGGAGGTTTTGGGAGAGGAAACTCGTGAGGGTTTGTGGGGAGGGCATTTTCGATGTTTGATCTTTGGTTCGGGGTGGATTGGGAATGGTTGGATATGCGTTTTGGTGATGAGTCTGCAGAGGGGCTCGAGACGAGGCAGAGGCGTGGTGGGGACCCACTTTTGCGACGGGAACGGCCTTTGCACGCGGATGTACAGATCGATGCAATTCGCAGCTGAACGTGTTATTAGTGACTGTCTGTAGCTCGTGATGCATGGAATTGATGAGGATTCATGTGGATACAACATGAGTCGACGTGCAGGAGGCGGCGCTTTCCTCACCTGGTGTTTTACGAAGTTCAAGATAAAAACTCTAACTTGGATCGTACCGGTAATACGCACAACTCAAGGACGCCTGTCATAGATTACATCCATGAGGTCTTTATCTTCGTTTTGTAGCTCGCACTCGTATGCGCAATTGCTTTTCTCGTCTGCAGATCTGCGATTATTCGTATTCGGCTTCTCGGAAGGCGCCAGCGCTGCCCCTCTCCCTAGCCTACCATACCTTCCATCGCCCACCCACGAAGCTCCGCGATGTCAATCACATGGTCAGTCAAGAGGCCGGAGTCAGCAACACTCTGTGAGCGATGTACCCCTTATCTTCCCTTGCTCGTCGAGGTCAGCCTAGCGGGCAAAGACTATAAAGCTCACGACGAATGGTGGAAGGCGACGTATGACAAGGTCAAGCCATGGGTCATCCAAGGGCTCTACCCCAGCGAATGTGAGCTTTGTCAGATGCTCCAACGCTGTTTCTCGCGATTCCCTGGTTTCGACACAGCCACCACGGAGATCCGTGTTACCAATTACAAACCATCCTCGCACAAAGGCCTTGACCATGATACATGCATATTCAAAGCGTGTGGTTACAGCTTGATTCTAGCACCAGTCAACCCCAGTGTAATGGTCGGCGATGCAGAAACTGTGCATGCTTTCGCGGCCCGGCCAGTTTTCGCGTCGTTCAATCCGTTGCTGGCGAAGATATGGCTGGCGAAATGTGGTGCGCAGCACGCTGCATGCAAACCGGATCACTCTTCGGAAAACTTTAACTTCCCTTTTCGGTTGATTGATGTCCAGGAGGGGAGGCTGGTAGAGGCGCCGCCTGATGTGCGTTACATTGCCTTGAGTTATGTTTGGGGAGGGGTCAAACAGGTCATGTTGAAAAGATCCAACAAGCAGTTCCTGGAGCAGCCCGGTTCGCTTACACCGGAAGGTCTCGCAGAAGCCGAAGGAGAGTATGCCAGTGTCAAAGAAGAGGTGGAGTCTGAAGGAAGTGTCGTCCCGCGAACCATTCGAGAAGCTATCCGACTTTGCCAGCTCATCAACGAGCGCTACCTGTGGGTCGATTCGCTTTGTATCATACAAGATGATGAGATACAAATGGCAACTGGCGCGTGGACAAATGCGGATAAGTTGGCTCAGATTCCGAAGATGGATGTGATCTACGGCGCGTCTGCGCTCACTGTTATCGCAGCATGCGGTTCAGACTCCAACGCCGGGCTACATGGGATACACCCAAGTAATGCACGTGCGGCTCAAACCATGGGCAAAATTGGGGACCAGTTCTTCGTCTCGATTCAGAATGACCCAATGGCGGCCTTCTGGCGGTCCACTTGGGTGAACAGGGCGTGGACCTTCCAGGAATTTCTTCTGTCCCGGCGTCATCTCATATTTCTTCCTGAACAAGTAGTCTTCCATTGCAGAACACTCGCATGGTGCGAAGACCACCCTCTTGAGTACATCGATGACGGAGTAACGCACCTAGGTAGCTCGGCCCCAACCTGGACAAGGACCGCGGAATTAAGTCCGTTGATATTACCAGTACGTTCAGTCTGGGCGGCAGATGTCTTCTTTCCACGGATATTCATTGAAAAATTCTACGCAAACTGGCTCCAAGATTTCTTACAGCGACGCCTCACTGTCCCATCGGATCACCTATCCGCGTTCGAAGGCGCACTATCGGCTTCGAAGAATCTTCTTGGAACGTTTCATTACGGTCTTCCGGTCGGCTACTTCTGCGAGACTTTGAATTGGAAGGTTGGACAGGGGCGTGACGGATGGAATAACAAAAGCCCATACCGGGGTCTCACGCAGCGCAGATCAGGGTTCCCATCCTGGTCTTGGACGGGTTGGATATGGGACTTGCCGCGCACCGAAACATTCAACTTGAGCTATCAAGTCGACTCTGCAGAACAATGGCGTCGTGTTGGAATTTGGGGCATAAAGACTTCTACAAGTGAAGATCTCGAGCCATGGCATATCACCTCACCAGATGTGACACCATGGGATCGCCTAAATCTCGCCCCGAGTGGGGCATTTGACACAGACGAAGACTGGATACACGAAAAACTCCCAATGTACTTCGATATCGCCAGAAAAGCGACGATTCCGTCAAACTGTCTTATCATCAAGACAATCATAGCCACCATCCACATCAGCTCTCATTTATTAAATCAGTCCAGCAACCTCAATCGAGCCTACCCTACCTCCGACTTCACGGCCAAGCAACCGCTTGACGGCATTGGGTTTTCGAGTGAGTGGGCGCATAGGATCGAAGCTGGCTTACAGTTACAGATCATTGCGATAGGGAATTTTTACTGGGGCACTAACCCAAAGCAGCCGGACTACACGGATGAGGATGATCCGACTATCGTGTGTTTGGTCGTGCAGCCAGTAGGTGATGGTATTTTCGAGAGGCTGAATGTTTTGCGAGCGAAGGCTTCTCTGATTAAAAACTTGGATTGGAAACCCGTTGTGGTTGTGTTGCAGTGAGATGTTGGCATGTAGGATCTAGGCACCATTCAAATATCGACAAGTCAATTCTGCATAGGCCGACGGTTACTCCTGCAGACTGAAGGTTTCTCAATTCGACGCAGCTCACCTGGCTCTGCTAATCCACTACGCACGAAAGCTAGCCCAACGAACTTTCAATTATTTCCATTTCTACACCAAAGATTAGGCTAGTATTGTACCGAGCATTATCGAGACTACTCACCATTCGGAACCAAAAGAAAGCCATGTAACAGATTGGAAGCTGGCATACTTCGTGGAAAGATTTTACCTCAGCAAAACTGAAATTAACAATCCTGAAGAGTCCTCAGAACCATCCCCATCGTCATCAGATGGCTCAGGAGAGTCCAAAAGCAATGATGGCAGTCAATTCAGTCAATGCAGTGAAGCTCGACTGGTCATCCATAAGTCGCCTTGGCAGGAATCCTTAGCTACAAAGATGTTCTATCTCTAGGGACCTGATCTACTTTCCGACCGCCCAGGCATCTCCTGGAACGCGATTGAACAGAAATTTCAAGAATAAGCCCGTCCTACAGTAGCCCGAAACTGTCGGTACTGATCGTGGGGCAACATATTCGAAACTCAGAATCTGCATAAGTCTCTCCATTTTCTGTTCCGCCTGTCGCAACCTTGGACCCTCGTTTCTTCGTTCTTCCTAGAATATCGATCATCATTATCTACAACACGCTTTTCCTTCCTTCATGATACCACCAATAGAATATCTAGGGCCACAGCAACCATCCGCTTTGCCTTGCGTGTCGTAACACACCCAGGAATGCTCACGAACCGCGCCATGAGCATCTGGATCTTCCCTTTTTTCCTGTGAAATGGTCGTTCCGCTTGTCACTCTGTCTTTGGTTTAAGCCATATCCAATCCGATGATTCGGCAGAAAGGTCTGCTGTCTTTCGTCAACCTCATCAACAGCCCTTTGAATCTTACCAAGACATTTTCTTCCACGGATCATCTGTTCATTTGTCTAATTTTGCTCAATTTCTCTTTTTTTCAGAACTGGTGTTTTGTAATTACGTCCTCTTCTAGTTGCGTATTATGTTTGGTCACTTCGCTAGCTGTAGTCATTCAATTTGCAATACAACAGTCGCTCATTTATTCGCAACTCTCTTAACATGACGTGTGGACTGATTCAGCTTTGATTCAAATCTAGTGTATGTCTACATCAACATCCATGCGGCTCTCGATTTAACTCGTCAATGGTCGTCACGATGCGCCCAAACCTCCCCCCGATCATGCTAACTTCTCAGCCAAACCGTTGATATAAGTGCATCTCTCATATAGCTTCTAATCTTTCAGCCTAGCTTTATTGGTCTCATGAGCATAGCCGAATACTTCATCCTGTCATCTACGAGATGCTGTACACCCCTAGAGCTTTCGCGCATAGATCCCATGCCATACTTCAAGGTCACCAAGCTAGAACCGTACGGGGTACCTATGACCTGAAACCTGACCTCCTGTGGCTTATTGCTTGTCTCATCCCTACTTAAATTCCTGAAAGGAACAACCACTCCTCATCAAAGGCACCTCCGCCACTTGGGTTTCCAGAATAAGCGAAGTAGGAATGAGGTATCCAACTCATGAGATAGTGTCTTGTCCGGTTTTATGACAGGCAGCTTCATGAAGTACCCATTCAATATATAATTTGAGTCTGAGCCATATGTCGCACCAGCGTAGGGCATGCAACCTATCTTTAAAAGCGGCATCAATATTGTCTAATCGAGATTATACAATCTTACGCCGTCCTAGTCTCCCTTCTTAAACCGTTTAATGCGCTATCTTGAAGCTGAAATTAATGGACGAGCACATGAACAGGATAACCCGCACGATGCGTATAACACGGAAAAATGTACAGACACCAAGGGATCCGATTCTCACTGCGTGCTTCGTAGCTGGCGAAATCGACCTGGAGATCAACTGCAGGGTAGTGAGCAAACGGCTCAGTATAATCTGAAGGGCCGAGGAGAGCGAAAAGTGCGATTGGAGCGATCATGTCTTCTTCGGAGTCGAACAGGTTGGCAGGACCGGCATTCGTGGCGCCGTCGTCTTGAGTCTAGCCGAAGACTGTAGGAATTTATGAGATTCGTGAGCTTTGCCAAAAGCTGGAAGTGGAGCCAATCGAGTTTGCCAACTTTTCCAGTCTTGTAGAGAACTGACTGTCGACCAGGGAAGTAGTCACCACCTACCGACGGAATGAAAATGAACAATCCAACAGGAGGGAAGTTTTGTTTCGAATAATCCACGGCCGCATTGAGGAGCTCCTTCATGGGTACATCCCGTAAGCACTGCAGGACTGCCGGTCATCATTATGTGCGCAGTCTAACTTCTCCGCAAAAGCTCTTGTGCGCGCCTCAGTCGCATCCCTGCTTTCATTGATTGCCATCCCAGGGGGACCAGACATAACCCACGCCTGCACATTCGACTAAAAACGCGATGATACTGAACGTGATGCTAGATTTCGTTCTTATGATAGCCTTGCATATTTACAGACAGAGGCGATCTCCTACTCCCTCTTCAAGCCCACCTTGCCCGCTTTCCTCAGCCCAACCACCGCAATCACAACACAGACCAGCATGTAGGCAAACATGGTCCAGAAACTTGCCCTATAACCCTTCAACACCTGTCCCGCATCTTCTTCAAAAGCTTCTCCCTCTTTGCCAGCATGGCTCGCGCCACTGCTACTATCCATAACCCCAAGGGCAACCACCTGGCATACGCCGACGCCCAAGCTCATGCCAAACTGCGCGACTGTGTTGAAAACAGCTCCGGCCAGCGCTTGCGTTTTTTCGGGGAAGCTATCAGACACTATGATCAAGCCGACGGTAAAGAGAACGTCGCCGCTGAAAGGCGCGAAAACTTGGGCCCAGAACTCCAAATACCAGTAGTTCCAGGCCGGATTGACCAGTGCCATGATGAGCGGAGAACATGCGCAGATGACGGCTGAGCCAGAAACAAGCCATCTCGCAGGGACGCGGTGCACCACCAGGCCAACAGTGAGGTTGATGAAGACCCCTGTAACGAGATTGGGGAGCAGGTAAAGTGATGTCGTCAGTGTGGACGCATTCTGCACTTCTTGGAAGTACAAACTAGCGAAGATTTCTCCGGAGTTCATAACGCCGTAGGAGAGGGCTACCATGATGCAGGTTGAAGAGAATGGGACGTTCTTCCAGAGGCTGTTGGGGATGAGAGCGGGTCTTCCGGCGCGGGTCTGGAAGTGCATCCAGGCTGGGAAGGCGAGGATAAGTACAAGACTAACGGCAAGGAGTGACGCCGTCTCCGCGGATCTGATGGTAGAAAGATCGGCACTCAATATGCTGGTAAATGTCAGTGTTGAATGTTTGGAGGTCTCGTGGCTATACTCACGCAAGGACATATGCCAAGGTAGCGAGTCCTCCACTCGCGATGACACCTCCCACCCAATCGACGTCCTTTCTTAGTCTCTCCCAGGTGGATCGCGAGCCAGCAGCTACCGCTGTGTTTACTTTTGGTAGCGCCCAGTATGCAGCAACAGCCGCGACGAGAGTTGCGCCTCCGCTCAAATAAAAACCGGACCTCCATCCTGCCTTTTCAATCATGATACCGCTCAACACCAGGCCAACAGAGAATCCCAGAGGCTGGCTCATTCCTAAGCAGGCGAACCCCAAGTTGCGCGATCTGCCTGCGGGCACTGCCGTCGTAATGATCGAAACTGAAGCAGGCAAGTGCATAGCTAGAGCAACGCCTTGGATTGCGCGGAAAACAACGAGCTGGACACCCGTCTGGGCCAGACCGCATGCCAACGTCATTGCACCCAGCAAAAAAATCCCGAGCAGTTCGACGATCCTCGCGCCGCAAATGTCCGCAACGCTTCCGGCGATGAGGAGGATGGCGCCTGATGTCAGCCCGTAGACACTTTGGGGCCATAGATACAGCGCACGCTCAAGACTGATTGAGCGCGCTATGACCGGCAGCCCGACAGTGATTATCCCATTCGTGAAGGAGGCCCAGAACCCGATGAGCGAAGGCACGAAGATGGTAAGTATAAGTCTTGCAGTAGAGAGCTTGGGTTTCGCCAATTGCGCCAGTGCGACATTTTGCTCGTCACTCGGGGGAGTGGAGGGAATGCTGAGACCTGTGCTCGAAATGGACGGTGATGATGAAGGAGAGTTTCCTGGTCCGTCGAAAGGATGGTGAATTTGATCCGGAACCTTTGGCGCAACGCTCGAGAGCGCGATTGTCTCCGTCGCGCTCATTTTTCTGGATCTAGGGTTGTGATGACAGGAGGACTCGGGAACAAGCTTAGTTAAGGCTGGCTTGACCTAGTCTCCCTTCGGCTTTTGGGTGTCCTGGTATGGTCTGTGGCGGCTTGCACTTCGGCCGTATGAAAGTTTATCGGTTCCTCGGGATGATTTATCTTGATGGGAGCCATGTACCTTATGTATGAGGCTGCGAATCCTTTGTTGGATGCGGAAAAGACTAGCAGACTAGCTACGCCCTGCATGTCAAAAGGACTGGCTCGGCATGATTGGCTACTTCGGCAGCACGCTATGACAAGACTAGGTTCTTCTGGACCCCATCTCGCAAAAGGAACCAAGAGATCAATTTTGCATGTCATATTCTGATGCAATAGGCACGAGGCTGGTTACGACGGTGACCGGTTAAAATGCAGTTGCTCGTGCTCGTCGCAGGTTCTGGTTAAGAAGACTAAGCTGCCACCTACGATTCGTCAGCTTTCCTGCAGGACAGTGCAAGTATGGGTTGACACATTCCGGCTCCTTGGAGAACAAAGCAGAAGATACCCTCAAGGAGATAGAACCATGTCATCTTCTACACATACTTATTACATTAATCCATTTAAGGGGGTCAATTTCCGTTAAGAAACGCTCACAAGTTGACAGAATAGTGTGAAATACTGCTAACAAGAGAGTAGCGATCCCCGTCCATCAATCGTATGACCCGCCCAAGAATTATGTATATCGTATCCGCGAACAGCGCCGGCGCGATGACGATGCAAGAATTCAGTATTATGAACGAAATCAGGGTGTAGCGCTCGAAGGGCCGGTGGCAAAGGTAGCGCGGCAGGTGTGTCTAATGACCTCAATTTATTGAGTTGGGCGTCTGGGGTCGTTTTTGAAGTAGTATTACCCACAGTAACATCCAATACGAGGGGGATCGGAAAGCAGTGCTTCTTCTCTCAGGAAGAAATCTAAGCATAGCAAGGTCAGACACTTATCGAGCATTTCTTTGACAAAGACCTGGGGGTAGGTGAAATTCACTAGGAAGCGCTGTAGAAGCTATAAAGTTGGTCGATTTGTTGGGCCAGTGTAAGAGCATTTTCGAGTGATTTATTGGTGGCTGCGATGCTGACTATCAGGACGTCGCGATCACTTCGTGATGCTCGCTACATCAAGCTTGAGCATGGGCCACGCATTCTCGAAAGGAAGCCACGGCTGAGACACCACGGACGTGCCTTTGCGACACCTTGTTCGAAGCCGCGTCTCTCGATATCAAAGGGGATGGCCTTCACGTTGCAGCCACTGACATCTTGGCATGAGCTCGCCCCTACGCGTCGTCCAAGCCATCGAACAAATGCACACCCCATCCGTCACTCGGGTTATTAAATCTTACCGGCTCCTCCCCTAATTCGTCGATATCGGCGAGATCATCCGTTCCAAGACCACACCCTGTTGCTCCAAGGTTCTCCTCGATATACTTCTCGTGTTTACTTTTTGGGATAACGCTCGTGCCGCGGCTAACACCCCACTTCAGAACGACCTGTGCGGGAGTACACTCTCGTTTCTTCGCAATGCTCTTGATAACTTTGTTCTCGAGCAGCAGTGGACCCTTGGACTGCGTGGTTACCGAACGCCGCAAGCGGTCACCGTATGTAGGATTCATGTTTCCCAGCGGCGAGTAAGCTGTGACCGCGATGCCATGTGCTTTGTGGGCATAGATCCATTTCGCCTGCGGGAGGTACGGATGTAGTTCCATTTGGTGGACCGCAGGGAGAGGTGAATCGCCTTTCAAGCTGTGCTTGACCAACTCCTTCAGCTGCGCAGGCGAGAAGTTGCAGATGCCGATGCGGCGGACTCTGCCGCTCTTGAGTAGCTCAGCCATGGACTTCCATGTGTCGACGTAGTCGTAGTGGTACATCTTATCGTCTAGACCTTTGCCGACGGGCCAGTGCATAAGGTAGAGATCTAGGTAATCGAGACCGAGGTCTTTCAGAGTCTTATCAAGGCCAGCTTCTACGCGGTCCGGTGCATGACTGTGTGATGTGAGCTGAGAATATTGGTTTGCATAGCCTGGATTGAACATACTGATCGTTCCATAGTTTGCTTGTGACCCAGATCTCCTCCCTCTTTAGACCAGCTTTCTTCAATCCCTTGTGTATGCCCTTGCCGACGGCTTCTTCATTGCCATAAGCAGCTGCACAGTCAATCTGCTTGTAACCCTTCTCGATTGCGAATGCAACAGCATTTGTGGTATTTTCTGGGCTCTCTTTTAGGTTCCATGTGCCGAACCCAATTAGTGGCTGCTCAATTCCTTCCGGCCGCAAAAGGATTGGATGCTGCTTGTTGCGGCAATGTGCTACACCAACGAGAGCGGCAAACGCGATTTGCACGAGCATGGCGGTGTATCAGGAGTACTTGAGTAGCTCACCGATGTAGTCGTTGGGCTAGTATTGTACAAATTTTGCTATGCTGTGGTTTTATGCGACATCCGCGGCAATCATGACGTTACCGACCGTTGGAGTACATGCGGGGCTATGCACAGACCTCAGGGTGTTGAGAGCAAGCGAGCTCGCCTTGATGCAGATACTTACCTTGATCGTGGGTCTTATGGAGTCGCGCACCCATATGGAATTGACAGTGGTCTGATTCCTTGGGTTGTGGGCACTGCGATCAATCCGCGACAAGCTAGGCATGCACAGTACGGGTCGGATCGTGCCTTGCGATATACTGCCGTCACGGCCCTTGAAGAACATGAGTTCAAGTTCCACGCGCTGCAAGATGCATAGGACGACCCACTCGCATTATGGGTGTTGTGTGACGGCCTGAACAGCCGATTCTCACGGCCGAGGGCTGGTCTAAACTATGGCTCAGGAACGTTGTTGCGGAACAGCATGGGAGAACTCCTTTTCTCACGTTGCTTTTGCAGTGAGCATGGGGTTTGGAACATCGGATTCGGGCTCGTATTTTGTTGGTATCCCATGTTGCTAGGAACGCACCAAGCTAGTCGTGTTGGGCAAGGTAGAGAATGCTGGTTGGACGCCGAAAGCAAGCGTAAGCCATCGTGTTGCTGCCTCCTGCTCTGGACCGTCCTTGCATGGATACACATGTCCTCTAGGCATGTCCTGCTGGTATTTGGCAGGTCAGTGCTTGTGACAAGTGCCCTGATGGATGTGCGCCCTCATTGTAGCCACGATCCATGGTGGTCTGATTTTTGCGTGAGCATGTTCTCTTGCGAGACACCAATGGATCAAGACTTCAGGGGGACGTTGAGAGGCTAGAACGTTGCTGTCAGCTGCTCGACGAGGATGAAGAAGAAAAGGCTGGGCCCGATGCCTGGCGTGGGGAGACGCACAGCTGGATGACAACCTCGCACAAACAGCAGTGCGGCGTCCAGCTTCTCGTATTGAGGCGTACCAGTTCGCATTACACTGCTGGCCTCAGCGGATCGTGCGACGGCTTATCGCGCTGGTGAATACACATAAGACCAGCGATTGCATATATTGTGAATGGCAGCAAGCCGCATGTCCATCGCGGTCACTAGAAGTGTCACGAAAGAGTGACCAGTTGCGCGCGGGGTGCACGGTAGAGCGGGCATAACGGCCGGTTGCACTGCCGCGAGGTCACAAGCACCCTCTCCGGACACGGAACGATGTTGTGAAATAGCGATGCTACTGACGCGCTCGATTGGACGGAGGATCGGCGCCATGGTGTTGATACGAGTATTGTTTAAGCGCGGGCAGTAATTACTGCACTCACAGATGCGACGAGACTCGAATTCTCCAGGAGGCGTGTGCTCAAGGCAACCCGGTGCAGCGGTGTGGGGGCGCTGCTGGCAGGCCTCCGGAATAGGTGTAAACCGGTGTTCGATGGCGAGTCCGCAATGCATGTTTCCTGCTGCGCCATGTCACATGTGCGCGACGGTCCAACTCCAGGACTTCGTTGCTCAGTGGCGGACAGTCAACAACATCGATGGCGACAAGGCGCGACGCTAAAAGCGACCCTCGTCAAAACGGCTGCCATGGGCGCGCTGGCCCTGCATCTTCACCAGCGCTGCCGTCTTTTCCGGAGTCAGCTTTTCCGTCAATCTCAACCGCCAGCTAACAGCTGGCTTGGGCCATGTGTCTTGTTGTTGGGGTTGTTTTGTCCTACGAAGAATCCTCCCGGGGTAATACTGCCGCTGGGCATTATTTGTGTCGCAGGACCGTCCCTCATGCGCCGAGCGACATGCCGTAATCACACCTCGACCGTCAACAAATCGCGATGCCGGCGCGATGAGGCGTCGACACAGGCCCGTTGGCAGCTGCTGTCCTCCAAGGCCAGACAGTACGCGTGTCATGCCTCCCCGCTCGTGCCGTCCATACACGGCTGGCCACAGCTGACGCCGCGCGCAATTTGACCGAGCTCGCGCTTGAAGGATCCACCCTAGTCCTCAATCGACTACCAAATGCACGGACGTCCCCAGCTCCCGCAATCCTTCATCTGCGCTCCGTGGATCTGGGTCACTGTTGACAAGGGTGACAGTGACGCCCTCTTCTTGAGCACCCTGCCCCTTCCAGCTGCTCGGACTCGAGGTGGGTCCTCATCCGCCCTGGTCGTTGTGCATTTCCCCTCCATTCTTTCTGCTCTTCTCCTAGCGACTGCGCCTGGTGTTGTCGACACGCTCTGGTCCGGTACCGCATCCAGCTTCAGGCGGCGATTCTCGTGACCGCGTGTGCCATCCATGATGCAACTGTGAGCATCGGCCACCACAGCCATGGGGAACGGAACTGGCATGAGCAGGAATCACTTCGACCATTGGAACGCCGAGGCCCTCGCTGTGGTAATCTGCTCCGCTTTGGCTCTGTACAATGCCCTGGAACTCGAGCTGCTCATCTTTACGACCTTCCATGCCTACCGTGGGCTCTACTTCTGGTCACTCACCCTGGCCAGTTTTGGAGTCATCCCGTATGTCCTCGGATTCATGATTGAATACTTCCGGCTCAGTTACTTGTCTCTCGGCACCGCCATTGATACTGTGGGCTGGATCTTGATGGTGACTGGCCAGTCAGTCGTGCTTTACAGTAGGCTCTGGCTCGTTTTCGGCAACAACCACAAGCGCCTCTTGAAGATGATCAAATGGATGATAATTTTCAACGGATGTACCTTCCATGGGCTCACAGCTAGTGCGTTGTAACATGCCATTGCATGAGAGGTTTAACTAACAAACATACAGTTGTTGTTTATGGCTCTCGGTTCGGCAAAGAAACAGACGGTTTCAGCAAGGCCTATGACGCTATCGAGCGCATCCAGATGTGCGTCTTTTTCCTCCAAGAAGTCATATTGTCCGGCATCTACATCTGGAAAGCGCTCGACATCATACAAACGTCCGACCGCAAGCGCAGCCATCACATCATGTGGCAGCTTTTCTCCATCAACGTCATCATCATCGCTCTCGACATTACCCTCCTGGCATTGGAATTCTCGAGCCAGCACGTCGCCCAACAGACCATCAAAGGCCTTATTTATTGCGTCAAGTTGAAGCTCGAGCTAGCGATTCTGAACAAGCTGGTAGATGTATCGACTGTTCATGCACGAGCAAATGCCCTGACTCTCGGCAATACGAACGACTTCTTAGACCCTACCAAAACAGTCTGGGATATAACGCGATTCACTCCAGCATTCAGCTCGTCGATGCACACGTACCCAAAGTGGATGCAAGACTATGAGAAATCAGGCTTGAGGGCGGCATATTCTCCGACGGACAGCACTTGGATTCAAGCGCAGAGGCGTAACACCAATTTTTATGCCGACGATAGCTATTTCTCCGCTGAGATACAGCCGTGTACGATGTTACCAGATCCGAGACTTGAAGGCCGGGATAGAGGCTCTGCGACGGACTTGCTGTACGCTGAAGCGTTACGGAAGATCGCGACCCCAGGTTGAAGACCGTATGCAATTCAATGCAACAATCGAACATCGCACGATCTCGACATGCCACGGCTGTCTCCTACAAATAGGAAGTAGATCAGGAGGACGAAGCAAAGTTGTCACGCCGAAGAAAGGAACCCACACGAAGAGCATCGCGAGCTCGCCGACACGTTCACATGTGTATCCGAGAACGGGTCTCTTCGACCGACATACACGTGAGCCTGACGGCGCCAATGCGGCCTGTCGGCAGCTACGCCTTCTGCATAAAGGCAATTAGTGGTCATGTATATTCCTGGCGCACCCTTAGAAACTTGTTGTAGAAGGAGCCACCATTAGCAGGCAGGACGCTCCAGCGCCACGGTAGCCGAGCTACATCGCATTGCGCGAGCCGCGCCCCATCCAGCCTCAACGAATTGATGAGTACAAGCGGCGCACGGCTTTACGTTTCACGAGACTCATGGCACGGTTAAAATGGACAGTACAGGAGGAGCAACATAAATAGTACAATAGGAGCGTACAGAATCTAGTATATTCTAACACGTTCGTCACGATCAAATACGTTCCCGAATATCCACTGCTCTTCTGATCCCGTCACATTCTGCATTTGTCTTTCATACAGGGATGTGGAGAACATGCTAATTAGGATTCGCAAGCCCAAAAGGACAATATCGACTCCAATCTACTAAATTTCTTGGACTTGGACGATGGCCAACGTCGTAGTATATTTAAGATAGGTCGTGTCTCACTTGCGCATTATCAGCATGGATGAGAAAGTATATCTCAGCTGTGCCTTCCAGCATGAACCGTACGAATATCGCTTTTAGTATGCCCGTTTGCTCTGCACTTGGATGCATGTTTGCTCCTTACGCCACAAACACACCCTTCACCTGACCTTTTGCAGGTAAAGTCCTGTTGCTTAGGCTGTCGCACTTACTCTCTCTCACTTTCTCTCACCGCTGCTGGGGCGGGCCGGACTTCAAATGCCCATCTTTCCCCGAGGAACCCCCAACAACTGCATCTCTCTTTACTAGGTACGGTCTCGTCACCTCTTCCGGGTATCTTTCCTCAGCATTAGTGGCCGACCACCTCCTTCGCCGTGAGCAATTCCTTACCTCTGATAGCAAGTACTAAGAACGTGACAGACGCACAATGACCGGTCCCCTCACAATTCCGAACTTCGAGGCATGGCGTGAACAGCATAATCAAAAGCAGCAAAGCAACAAGCGCTCGAAGCGAGGACGCCAAAATGTGTATAATCCCACCTACGAGTCGCTGCCTGGCCATAAGTTCTTCCGATTAGACCGCGGAGCCATCGACGACGAGTTTCATAAGATCTCGACAGCAGTACTGAAGACTCTGGACGGAGCGAGACCACAAGATAAGCAACTCGCAGCTCTACAGCTACTCGCTCGTCGTTTGCAGACGGTCGTCATTCCAGAGACCCTGGACGTTGCCGTCGTGGGGGAGCAAGGCATGGGCAAGAGTCTAGCTATCAATGCCCTGCAACATCGTCCGAGGTTATCGACAACATCGGCGAGTGGCGGTGCATGCACGGCTTCGGCTATTAGGTTTTGCTATAAGCAGGATGCCGCGGAGTACTCCGACAGCTTTGATGCGAAGATCAAGTTCATGACCGACGAAGAGTTGACCGAGAGCATCGAAGAGCACATCAACAGATATTATCATTTCCACTTCTCCGACAATGTGGATGATGAGACGTATTTCGAAGATCAGAAGGCAGCCAAAGATGCTGAAGCTTTCCTTGAGCTGCTTCACAACTCAGAACACGACTGTAAAGCAGCATCGCAACTAAAGATTCTCCTCACCGCCGACAACATCAAGGGAAAGAATCTTCTGAATGCCACAATGTCGATGGCACATCGTCGCATTGACGAAACGCGTTCGCTGTGGTCCGAGAGTGAAGAACGAACGATCATATTCAAGGACCGTGGCATCAAGGCGTTGATGGAAGAGGTCGAGCAGTACATGGCCATGTTCCCTTCCATGCCGTCCTTGTGGCCAATCGTCCAAAGCCTCGATATTCTTCTTTGGTCTCTCCTCGCAAAGCATGGGGTAAACCTCAGGGACTTGCCTGGTAATGTTTTCCCTCAATGAATGAACGGATCGCTAATACATGCAGGCTTGAACGATGAGAATCAGATTCGAACGGCAGCTACAAATGCATTCAGACGCAAAGCTGGATACGAGATGATCTTCGCTAGGGCAGATCGGGTCACCACCGATAACAACGTGCACCGATATATCAGGCAGTCAATCAAAGCTCATGGTGCTAAAGGAACGATACTCATTCTCACCAAGAAAGACGTGAGTTTCTCACCACAAAGCCCGGGTCTGAGCTGATCTAATCCAGGAATACCTACTAGATACCAATTCGGCGGAGAAAGTTATCAAAACGCACGAGGCCGAGCCCTTCCCTACTATCCGCGACCACATGGCTCTGAACGAAAAGGCGATGGACAAGTTACCAGAGGACGACGAAGCCGCTGATCTAGAGTACAATGATCGCCAGGAATATCACGCTTATCTCGGGAACCTCGGTAGGTTGGCTTTCATACAGCATCGTGGCGAAGGAGTAGCGGCGGAAATGAAAGACAAATTCAAGGAAATGGATCCGGTCCCGATCACAGTCTTCTCCATCTCCGCTTCCATGTATATGGAGTGGATGAAACAGAGCCACGTGGAACGACCTCTGATGTCGCCTGCAGAGACTGGAGTTCCCGCCGTTCGACAGCACCTCCTCCAGCTTTGCGCCGAGGCAAATCTCAAAGTATACGAGGACCATGCTTTTGGCAAGATGGAAAGCATGCTAGACAAATGTCGACGAATTACCGATGTAGAGAGGAAAGACAATAGCTATGCCCTCCTTCGTCCTGTTTTCGCCGCGGTAGTTGCCAAGATCCGCGAGAATCTCGTGAACATTTTCAGCCAATTCATCAGCAATGATAACGTGGATGAGGTTTTTGAGTTTAACGATAGGCCAACGCGACAGAAGGAGCTGCTTAGAGTCGTCGACGACTGGGGTTATGGCACCCATTGGAACACATATCGATCTTGTCTTATGCGCAAGGGCATCGGTTTCTCGGCATCCGCGAAGTACAAGACCGCCGAAAACCCCAACGGATCGTACAACTGGAACGAAGATCAAGGCAATGTCATCATCAAAGACGTGGATGGATGGAGGGAACGTATGGACCCCGCAGTCAGCTTGCTGGCAAGGCAACTTGAAGAAGCCATCATGTCAGGCTGCCGAGATATCCAGGCGTGCATCCAGTCATCTTCGCTTCCCGCGGAGCTCCGCACTGCTGCTATTCAAGAATGGAATGGCTGCGAACTGAATGTGTTGCGGCTGGCCAATGCCGAAGACAAGCTGCAAGATGCGGTGAACGACACGCACCAGTATGCTACGACAGAGACCGATATCCGGTGCATGAACGCCAAGGTGAACGTGGAATACTACAGAGAAGTCTACGACATTGACAATTGGTCTCGAAGCAAATTCACGAGCCGTTTTGCCGCACAGAAGAGCATGATGAGTGACGTGATGAGTTCGCCCGACAAAGCTGGCCGAGTGCTCATCGACAGAATCGAGCACGCCGTCACGCTACGGTCGAGGCAAGATCTGGAAGGTGCTTTTGATGGATTCCTCGCTGAGGTTATCAAGGCCGCGGAGGCCTTTGATGAGCATCTGAGCGACCTCGCACCACTGGACTACGATCTGACTGACTCGGACCGGCAGCTGCGCGAGGATGTTCTGAGGCGCATTCCGGAGCTGGAGCGCATGGTTGCAGATGTGCGTGCGAAGTTCAGCGACGAGGCGCTGCTGACGCAGCAGGTTGTGCTTTTTACGAGGCACAGGGAGGAGGGCGAGCCAGCGGCTAAGAGGATCAAGGTTGATGCGGATGAGTAGGATTGTTTGGCGTGGGAGGCAGGCATTGTCTGATATCTATGCACTCTTGCGAGCTAAGGGACATTTGGCGGCATATGCACACCCAGATGGAAAGCTTCTTAGTCCCTAAGTCTATTTCTTGGACTTAGGATCGAGCTCTACATACAGGCGGTTTTATGTGGGTATTATTTTGGAGCGGGCACTATCCTGATGTCTCTGTGCTTGGTGGTCTGAATCATACAAGAATTTACTATACTTACATGTACGTTGTGCTCCCGCTTCAAGCTTCCCGCTTCATCTGAGTTACACAAAACAAACGCTAATTCAGCAGCTTCCTGCACTTAAAGCTTACGGTATGCATTAGCCCACTAGTGCTGCGTAGCGCCTATGTCACCGATATGAGCCAGGTTTGCTTGTTCCTGTGGCGATCATGAACCCTGATATGATTTAGAGCAACGCTCCACATGCACTTGAAGGCCAGAAGTTACCTGGGTTCCGACAGGCACATATTCGCTGTCCTGTAGTATTTGGTCAGAGGTTAAGTGCCTTTTGTCACCCCGGGATAAGCAACCCAGTGTTGCAACCTCTTCTAGAAGTAACTATGTGCCACTCGAGTTCACCTGCGTACATTCCTACCTTCACATGCCGTCCCTTGGCCCGCGACTGGAAATTACGCCATCTAGCAACCGCCAGTCTCTCTCGCCTGGACGTCGCTGCCACTTATATCTAGCTGAGCCGCGCCTTCACTCCTCTCTCCTCTCTAGAACACCACGTGCACATCTACCTTCTACAATACTACAATCGAGCACCGCATCAGCTCGAGGTGAGAATTCCAACGTTGGAATGTGATACCAGGCAGGTACCGACGCTACGCAGAATAGAATCAGCGTCCATTGGTCACACAAATTACTTTCAGGCCTGGCCAACTACAGGAACAACTGATTTTCCGGAATCCAGCGAGATCCTGCGACCTCTGTCGTCAAATCCATACCGCGATCTCTGGCCAATCCTGAATGCGGACCCAACGATCTTGAATACTGACTGCTCGGACCAAGAACAATATCTATTCCAACTTGCAGAACCGCACGGTCAAGGATCTCATTTCAACCTACATATCCCTTGTCTCTGTATGATGAGCTTTCGCCTGTCTGACATCTGCCCTACTATCTACCGCCACCGTACATCTCACCTCCACACAGTGCACTTACGCCCAAAACATCAAGCCAAGGTAAACAGATCAAGTCCACAAATCACAAATAGAATATCATTCTCAGCCAGACAGGCTTCTCGGGGTATGCGGCGATGCACTATCAATGGGATATCAAACCCCTACCATATGCCCTGTCCCAAACGCCATTGCGATCACAGCCACTCAAACTCCTTCAGCCTCTCCATGCTCTTCTTTCCACCGAGCGTCATATACATCTTACTCGCGCCCGGTACTGCGACCTTCGCCCTCGTACCACCCGAAGACGAAGCCGCGACACTCCCCTCCAGAAAGGACGGACTCCTCGGAATCGCCATCTTCAGCTTATCGCCCCGCTTCCGCCCCGTCCCAGCAACTACGTCTAAGCGCCCATTCTCCGCTGCAAGCTCTGCACCCTGACCTCGAGCTCGTGGCACTCGTCCTCTTTGCGGTGTAACTCCTTCTGCAGGCCCTCCTTCTCCGCCCGCAGCACCGCGAGCTTCCCGCCCATACGCTCGCGGTAGTTCGCGTGCTCCTCGTGTATCGCCTCGACGCGGTGCCACGCGACAGCCCCCGCGGCCGCTGAGGTCCCGCCAGAAGGGGCCGGCGCGGCCATACTCTTTGCCGCGCGCAGCTCTGCGATCTCTGCATCCTTGGCCTTGAGCTTGGCGGAGATGGTCGCCACTTCACTCTTCCATGCCTCGTGTGCGGTCATGCGGTTTAGGTCGTCGATGTTGGCGCCGCCCTTGAGCGTCTCGATCTGGTGGAGGAGATCAGTGTTGCGCTTCTCCATCTCGAGGGCGCGCTGTTCGAGGGCGGCGGCTTTGGCGGCGGCGAAGAGGTCGGTCGTATCACGGCGCTCGAGCATCATGCTGGGGGGTCTGCCGCCGCGCATCGGGCTTGTGCGTCCGCTGGCGGCGGGGCCTTGTGACTTTAGGCGATCGACCTGCTTGGTGGCTTCGGCCAGCTTGATCCGGACGGCTTGAACGTTGACGAGGTCTTCGTCGCGGAGCTTGGTCATGGCCTCCAGCTCGCGACGGGTCTTGGCGAGCACGCCGCGGATCTTGATGTTGTTGGCGACATCTTCGTCGCGGAGGGCCCAGATGGCTTCGTGGCGCTTTTGCCAGGTGCGCTTCTCTGCTTCAAGGGTTTCGAGACGGGCCTTCATGGCAGCGTAGTCGTCGGGGGTGACAGACGCAACCGGGTTCTTTTTCTCGATCTGCGAAACCTTGTCCATGAGCGCTGCGAGTTGCGACTCAAGAGGGCCCATTGCCTTTCTTGCAGCTGGGGCGGCCGTAGGCCTCTCGATGAGGTTCTTCAGTGGCGAGAGTGGAGCCGGTTCGATACCCGTGTAGTAAGGAATGCTCTTATCTGCTGTGCTGGTTGTGCTACTAGGCTGTTCAATGATCTTGAGTACACGCGTGAGAGGCTTTGGTTCGATACCAGTGTAGTACGGTATCGACCGATCTGCACTGAAAGTCTTGTTTGTAGGCGTCTTCTCCGGGAACCCGAAATCCAGATCATCACCGTTCAGTGTGCTCATTGTGCTGGCCCGCGAGCGAGCGTCGTCTTCGTACTCTCTCCTCATCATACTAGACTTGTGAGCCGGAGGTGAAGGTCTCAACGGTGCGACCGCTGGTGGACCTCCGTTCACAGCAGTCACAAATTTTTGGCTCAGCCTACTAACGGCCGATCCTGTCTCCTGACTCTTGCCCTGCCACATGACTGGCATGGCTGCGATGAAGTCTTCCTCGTTGAGGGTGTCGCTCGATTGGTCGCTCTCGTACCCGCTGCGGGAGTGTTGGCGACTGAGCTGTAGCTGAGGGCTGGCTACAGACGATGGTCTGCTGTGGGCGGAGTGCACCGAAGCGATGCTATGTACAGATCCGGTGCGTTGAGGGCGAGCAGGAGCGCGGCTTGCTGTCCACATCTCACAAGCCTGAGGCGGATAGGTGGAAGAAGAATGAAGCGTCGATGGTCCAAGTCCGGGTATGTTCCTTACGAATGCTCCTCCCGAAAAAGCTAATCGTTACTGCGAATCGTAATGCGTACCAAGATCTCTTCACAGAAGACGTGCGCTCAATGCAATCAGGTGCAGTCAATGCACTTGAGCCTCAGTCCGCCGGAAAGGGAAAAATACAAATTATAAAACAAGTACCGGGCCGTAAAAGGCGCACTGTAAACAGGCGAGTGGAAAATAGTTTTGGTATCCTGAGGTTCCGTCGTCTGAAGCGAGCGCAGCATGAGCTTTTGATGCTGGTGGTCTGAAGGGCCCGAGATTGCAGAGACACGCTGAAACCGTTTTGAGGCATCAGGGGCCCCCTGTACAGCTCTCCGACGCTGGGAAAGCGACAGCGGTTACACCGGTAGTTGACGAGATGGTAGTGGAGTCTTCTCGGCGAACAGGTGTTGTCGTGGTCTTGGAAAATGTCGCTAGTGCAAGTACTGCAGATGGTAGACAGCGCTGAATGTTGCGATACAGCGTGGGAACCGTGAAATGCTTTCAACAAAACCCCAACACTTGGACTCCGGGAACCTCCCCACCTCTTCTATGCAGAACAATCCAATCACATAGAGTACTGCGGCTCCTCGCCACGTTTCCTTCCACGTCTTCGAGATTAGAGGCCTCAGGGCGTGAAGTTACGAAAACTTGCTGACGAGTCTGAAACGCGTTGCGCTTCACACACGCCCTGTCCACAAGTCAAGCCAACTTCTCGAACTGTGGCACCGCATTCAACGCATTGCATGCTTCAGCGGCTCCTCCCGAAGTGCGCGTTGAGGTGTCATTCTGCCGACGAGCCGCTTCAATAGTTCATTAGGTGCCGAGGCTTCCTTTTTGTGTTGGCGGTGGCCGGAAATTTAAGAGTGTCGCGTGCGAACATCCGCGCGACGCGGTTTTGCCTTCATCTCGTAGTCATTGGGGCGTAGCCGTATCTGTCTTGTTCCAGAGATGCACGCGAGGCTTCCTCTGGTGGCGGGTTGCGAAGTGTGTTGAGGGCCGCCGTGCTCATTCGAAGGAAACCGCAATCGCCTTTCCCCAAGTTCCGGAACGTGACACATGCAGCGCCCGAACACCTGGTCAGCAACATTCGCAGCCAACAGGTTTAAGGAATGGTAGCGAGCAAACAGTGGATGAAGGTAAAAAGCTGAATTCCAGACAATGTGGGAACTCCTCTCACTTGTAGTACTCGCGCCCCGGCTTTCTGTGTCTCACATGGCAATCACGCCACGCAACGGGGTTTGAAGCAAGAACGCTCCGCAGACCCGTTTATGAGTTCTTGGGAAGCCACATCACAATGCCCACACACGTCTCAACCCAGTTACATATTTGCTCAATCAAATGAGTGCATTAAGGTATCAACAATAGATAGTTTAGTCATAAACAGTACGGTGGTATATCGCGGTAGCAAACTTCATCACAGCGTCACCTCGTCCCCTCCCCGACTTTTCCACTAGCATCCAACAATCTCGCCCGCAGGCGACGCAATGCAAGAGCCATACTTATCACCCGCGATGCCAGCAACCTGGAACACGGCGTTGATGACACCACCGATACCCTCGCCGGCAATGAGACCAGCGGCAACAGCGTACCCGTAGATATCGAAGTGCTCAGGGTTCTTGGCCTGCCAGTACGCAGCGATGGCAGAGCCGATGGTCATGGCGGTTCCGTATTGAGTCTGCGCAAGCACGAAAGCGAGACCGACGCACATCATGTTGGGGTGGTACTTGCGCATCCACTCGAGGCGGCCGACCCAGACGTAGTGGCGGACAACGGTCAAGGCCGAGCCCAAAATGGCGAAGGCGATGGCGAAGTAGCCGGACGAGGCCGGGATGGGGAAGGTTGGGTCTGTGACAGCAACGGCGGTTGCGCGCCAGGCGGAGACGGAGGGGATACCGAAGGCGCAGGTCTCGGCGTCGATGTCGATGATGCAGGGGTAAGCGGTCGCGAAAAGCTGGAACATCGCGGGCGCGAGGAACATGGCCACGATGGTGCCGAGACCTTGGGCGAGCCATTGGTAGATCGGGGGTGTGCGGAGGAGGAAGCCAGTGCGGAAATCGCAGACAAGGTCAGTGGCCTGGCTAGCACCCATGCTGCACATGGCACCACCGAAGAGGTTGAGTCGCTGAGCCCTGGTGATGTCCCAGTGCTCGCCCTTGGTCGCACCACCGAGAATAATCTGCGAAGCCTTGGACGCGGCAGTAAGAGGCGTGATGTCGGTGATACCCGTGCACTGTACGGCGACGAAGGAGAAGAAGAAGGCGAGGAAGACGGACAAGAGCGACATGCCGACGGGCATATCGTGCTGGACACCGAGGACAATGCAGATGCAGACGATGCTAAGGACCAGACCAGGAGCCCACATCCACATCTTGACTTGCTCGTGCGGCGCAGCAGAGTCCTCGACGAGGTCCTCGTCAGCCCGGGCACCAGCTTTCTTCGCCCAAGCTAGGTCGCGACCGGCCTTTTGGCCCAAGGCATAGAGACCAGCAGCAAGACCACGGTAGAGAGCCTTGAATCCAAAGTAGAGAACCTTCCACTGCAGGATGAGCTCCGTGAAAGAGACTGCAATCATGAGAAGCACACCGGGCCAAAGTAGCCAGTACCGAGGAGACGGGTAGTCCTTGTTGCAAGCGGCCAAGCTAAGGGATGCGAAGTTGGTGTATCCGTCCCACTTGGTGCCCTCTCCGAGGTTGGTGCCCCAGGCCTTGTTGTTGTGCACGAGAGCCGGGCCGATGATTCCCCAGGCGAGGATAGACCCTCCTAAGAACGAGATGGACACGTTCAGACCGACGAGCATGCCGGAACCGATAAAAGCGGGAGTCCACTCGAGGAACCAGCCCCACGACTCAACAGCGAGTGCGTGAGAGTGGTACTTGGACCAAATATGGAACCAGGTGAAGAAGTGCCAATCCCAGAGAATACCAGGGGCGTACTGGGAAACGACTCGCAGGACAAGCGCGCCGGCGAATGAAATCGACAAGCCCTTCATCTTCATCTTCGCAATTGCCTCTCCAGTGACGGCCTGGTGCATGGAACGGATGGTCATGGCGGTGGCAGAAGGCGTCGGGAAGATCAGGCGAAGCTCGCGGGCGACGTACACAATGAAGAACTTGCGCAGAGGCGTGGCAAAGAAGAAACCAAAGTATCCAGAAACAGCGGCAAGGGCCACAATCGACCAGTAGTCGTCCTTGGGGGTCGCACCAAGCAATTTAAGCTGGTACATAGCCGGGAAGGCGGAGACGAAGACACTGGAGAGACCACCAGAGGCCATGGCAGCGGTCTGGCAGATGTTGTTCTCGCGAGGACCGAAGCCACCTCCGAGCATGGGCCAGCTTTCGGGCACAACCCTGGACAGGAACTTGATGACGGCAAAACCGGCGATGGCCTGTGTGGATTAGTACTTGATTGAGGAACAGTCGCTGTCCCTGAACTTACACCGAACAAGTTGGCGGTAAAGGTCCATCCCGTCTTCAGACCAAGGTAAACGTTGGAGGCATTGACAAGAGCACCGCAGCAGAGACCGACGAAGATGGCTCGAATGGTAAGGATGTGCCTGCCCTCTTCAGGAAGATCGTCGAAGGGCTTGAACGGATCGATAGTGAAATCGTCGTGGTGCTCATCGTCGAGAGACTTGATACGCTCAACGTCGAGATCCTTCTCGTCGTCATGAGCGTAGGCATGAGCCGGCGTGTTGAAGGTATTTTCCTTCTCCGTGTTCGCAGGCCTATACTTAATAAGCATACATACAACGTTGAGGAGCTCCTTGAGTATGGTTACACGAGCAACACTAACTTACACCTTGGGGTTGACCTGACCCAAAGGGTCGACGTTCACGTCCATCACCTCAGGATTGTTAGACATGCTGGGCTCTTGGACCGTCCTACAGCAAGTGGAAACGGTGGCCGCTGAGGTCAAAGGATCTCGCGATAACAGGACGCAAGCGGGAGGGGTGCGCTCCCAATATATGTATGTTGCAGCTGCAGACAAGCATGCCGGGGCCCGTCCAGAAGACTACCCTCGCCACGGTAGGCATATGCTTCTCCACGTCTATCAGACGGCTTAGGCGCCTCTGTACCCTGTCTCTGCAGCTTGGCCCCGGCGCCGCTATCTGAGCCTCGGCCAGTGGTGGATCGCAGATGCATCGAAGCTCTCGTAGAACAACACTCCTGCCCCTTGGAGTAAGGCTTGGCCACCATCAAGATTTGTAGAGTTAGAGCAGCTGTCAGTGGCCGCCACCGAGATTGTCGTAGAGAAACGCCTTCGGGGGTGCATCCCGAATGCGGAAAAAGCAGATGAAGATGAGGGTCCAGTCCCTGGTCGTTGCGCATTCCGCCCAACGCACCCTTGCAACGCATCATGCTCAGGTCTGCGTGCCGCCATCCCGAGTGCAATTGGAGGTTCTCGAGCGTTTGCTCTGCAGAACCAAGGCCCTGGGAAGAATCAAATGCAGCGAACACAGCCTTGCTCGAGCTCACTCGATCCATGCGTGCTGTGCGGACAGCAAGGCGGACGCCATCCGTGATCCATGCGTGTCTGTATGAAACGGGTGGCGGGCTTGTTTCTCGCGGAGGCGTTCCGCCTAGACAGGAAGGGCTACGATTGACGAGCGATACGGTGACCCGCTCCCTCACGAACGGCGGGCCCGCCGAGGACTCGATGTCGCGCGCCCGCGCCGTTGGCACGTCTGATAGCGGCGCGGTTGTACCACAGTAGAGTGATGATCTGATCAGAGGCGCGAGTGCAGCTCCGCATCGCGATAACGCGCTCCATCGACGCTGTAGCCACGAGGCAGCGCTGCTCGAGGTCTGGGCGCAGCTTGTGCGACGCTGCCGTGCCTGTGCGAAATTGATATTGTGTGTGGCAGGCCAACCCCGCGCCGGCAGATGTAGAGGCGGACACCATGCACGTCGGGCTTAGTCGCTGGTAGCTTTCTGCCTCAACCGGAAGGTGATGAACGCTATCGCGACCGTGCGTTTGACGAGGCCTACATCCGTGGAGTACATCGGAGCGTGCTTGAGGAAGGCCAGTAGAACGATGAGGACAGAGTGCAGAGTAGCGGTACGAAACTGTGTTGCACGGGCTCTTCATGAATGTCTCGTGAAGCACTGAGCAATGCTTCTGTCCGGCGCTGTGCGAACCCAAGGCCTGACTTCGTATGCACCCATATTGCAGATGCACACGTCCCACCATCTCAGCGGCAAACGCCCCACCGACCTCTCGCGCGCATGCTCGCGTGGTCCAGGGCATCCTCCATCCGCAATCCGCTGCTATGGTTTTCCGCTGCGCACAAGCGACCCATCCTACAGGAGCGCCGGCGCTACTCTAAATATAATTGAGAAGGTCGAAATACACTCGTCGCGAGCATCCCGTCTGCAGCCTCGGCATCGGCCTTGCCTCTCTGAAGCCAGCAACGCGCAGAAAAAGGTGGCTGGAATCTTGCTCCCGCCAAGGAAGCTTGGCATGCACAGCGCTCGAGTCTATTCGATATCAAATTGCTTTCCGAGCGCACCATGCGGTTATCATGTGAGCGAGGCCAGCCCGCGCCGCAGGACTTCACTGTGACTGCGACTGCATTTCGGCTCAGCTCACGCCCAACGGCCAGGAAATCCCCCTCACCAACTCGAACATACGCCACGCAGCTACTACCCACCCGACACAGTGTCTGCGGCGCGAGCACCGCGGTACGGTGGGCCTCATACAGTAGTCTGAGCGGTCCTCGCCTAGCCCGGCCAAGTGAAGTAAGCTTATCTCTGCGCGCCGCTGCGGCGCGGACCCTTCGTGTGATCACCTGCCGTTTCCAACGTAGATGGCGCGGGCGTACTTTCCTCGGAGGGAAGTAGCACGGCGCAAAAGGACGCGGTGTCGCGTCGTGCTTTGGAGTGGTTATGAGGGGATGAGGTATTAGGTAAATTTACATGTGCGTTGTTGCAGGTGCGATTCAGGGGCGGAGAGGCATTGAGCTGAGTTTCAGAGGGGAGCATCATCTGATCGAGTCGTCTCTGAGGCTGTATAACGTGGGAAGTTTAACCGCAGGATGAGCCAAGAAGTGATTGATAGTTGACTACCACGTTTGGCAGTGAGGTGAGCATACCAAGAGCGCGAGGCAAGACAAGACAAGCACCCAACTGGCCGCTTTGCCAGCGCCAATGCCTCTTATCAGCAAGCATCCGCCCTGTCACGCCTGCACCATCCCGCCTTCTGGGATGTCACCTAGGAGGCCCGACTAGCACGATTGACTGCAAGATCACCACGGTGGAGCCGCGGCCTTTGGATTCACATCCAGCCTTGCGCTCATCACCATTTGATTGAGGTCCAGCCTCGCGCTCACAAGCAAGCATCCACCAACAACCGTGGCTGGCAAAGCTTCTTGCCGCGACTCGCCATCAGCCGTTGTTGCGGAGGCACCTGGGAATGTCTTGGCCCAGGGCTGTGGTCGCGATAACAGACCGTCTTTCAATCCCACAATCCTGGAGCTGGTCAAAGACAAGACCCTGGACACGTTCTGCGCTTCAGGTCCGCATGATAAATGCGACAATTGCCAGATGTGCTGTTCATTGGTAGGCAGTGGATGAGACACTGGTGATTGACCTCTATTTCATACACGTACAGCAACCCTACGCCGCTAGCTACTCTACATACATACACATATATTTGTACAACCTACGTATACATACAAGGTCCACGGAGGGCTGGCATCCACTCGCATCTGTGGCGGTCGGATGCTGCAGCTCACACGTGGGGAGATGGCGCCACGGCCTCGGTGGTGCGGGTTCTTATGACCAGCGGGACTCCTTCTTCAAGGGCTTCTCCCAGTCTTTGATGTGGTCCGAGATGATGCGCGCAGCTTGTTCAGCCGTGAAGTTACGGCCAATAGCTTCCACGAAATCGCCTTCTGGGTCTGCGTGATTGGTCAGCTGTGTTCCTATCCCATCTAACCTCTAACGAAAGGGAAAGCAAAATGAAAATAGCTGACGTACCCATGAGGTAAAAGTATATGCTGTGGTCGACCAAGTAATCCTGCCCGGGCTTCACAGTCGAAGGTGTGCTAAAGTACACGCGATACTCCTTGCAGGTCTGCTTGATGTTCTCGTAGGTGCCCGTCAAGCCCAAGATGGCCGGATGGAATTCTGCGAGGTATTCCTTCAGGACCTCAGGCGTGTCGCGCGCGGGGTCACAGGTGATCATAAGAGGCACCATGACATCGCCGCACTGTTCCTTGACTTTGTCGTGCATTAGAGCCATCTTGTCGAGCTCGTCGGGGCAGATGTCGGGGCAGTGCGAGAAGCCGAAGTAGACCTTGGTTGTGTTAGCATTTGGACACCTGGGCTGCAGATCGTGTAGCCGTGGGGGCATAAGATGTAAGACAGCAGCAATGGCATATCCCATATGTTGTGTGGTACATACCAGCGAATATCGTCCCAGCAAGTCCTCGTGCGTGAACCGGTTTCCATTGTGATCGACCAAGTCAAACGGTCCTCCAACCTTGGGCTTGCCGACACCCTTGGTCTGGTTTGCTATCCGTTGCCGTGCCATGCGCTCCTTCTCGTATGTGAAGTATGTGTACAGTCCGCCAGCGGTCGCAACGAAGAGGATCGCCGCCGTAAGGTTGAATGGCTATACCTTCCAGTCAGCACTTCTCCCTCATGCTACAGGTCCAACTGCTGAGTATTTATATTGGAATCTCGGGATTGCCTACCCCGCTCTTGTTGCGTGCGCGCACTTGCTGTATTGTCTTAAGCGCATGTCGCTGTGACGAGCTTGAAAACATCCTCATCTGCTCTTGAGCGCCATTTATCCTCCTGGAAACTCCCAGCACATTCTTCTCGGCCTGAACGATACGGTGGGCGGTGTTTCCCGCTATGGCTCGCGGCGGAATGGAAGCTCTCGAGCTGTTGATCGAAGCGAAGGTTCGGTGCGCTGCCGGAATGCGGACCGGTGTTGCGGCCTGAATGGCTCTGGCGGCACCAGCGATGCAACTGGGCGTTGACGACATCTCAATTGCGGGTCTGAGGGGTGTAAGAGAGCGATGGGACGGCTGTCCGTGTGTCTGGCGATGTCTGGAGACTTTTCGAGATACGATGACAGAGCTCGGTGGCCCGTGCTCCGAATGCCCGCGATGTCAGCTGAGGCCTTGTCAAAGTCTCCATATTTGGCAAAGTTCTTCGCCCAACATCATCAGCTTTCTTTGTTTGAAACAGGAATGATCATTTTCAGAATTAGTTGTAAGCTATCGAATCACTGGAAGAGGTATCTAAGCTAAATATGCCGCCCATGCAATGCTCGCTGTACTACGCTACTTGTGCACTACAATGCAATGAACACTTTAGCTGCCAGCGGCAAACTGACTTCTTGCCCTCAAAGTTGGGCCATATTTCCAAAGCAAAAACGGTGCCGGGACACCCAAAGCAATCCCGATAAATCCCAGCAGAGTATTTCCCCAGCCATAGTCGAGCGCGTTGAACATGGCCGGCGCAAATAATGGGAATCCAAATCCGGCCAACGACCGCAGCACCGTGGCCGCCGCTATAGCACTCGCCGCATAACGGGTGTAAGAGTCAACGAGATACGTCTGAATGCACTGGAAGCTGACGATAACTCCGCCGCAGAACAGCACCGCGCCGATGTTAGGCATAATCCAGTGCACCTTGGCCTGAGCGCTCCATCCATACCAAAATAGACCGACAGGTACCAGAATCGACCCGGGTATCATAATAGGAACGCGGAACTCGGGCTTTCCTTCACCGTTGTTCTGCTTCTTCAGACGGCGGTATATGGCATCATTGAGTGGAGCAGTGATCTGTGTGCCGAGGAAGAAACCCAATCCCATGGAGATGAAGTTGAGAGAGCCGATGCCTGTAGACTCGTTATATTGGCTCCTCCACAGTCCCGGGAAGGTCGACAACATCAAATACATGAGACCATAGAGGTACGCCATGTAGCATGCGAGAACGATGACAATCGGCTGAGTGAACAAGAGGCGGAAGGGTCTCTGCATGGCGATTTTGATTGTGTTGAAGACCGTCTTGTTGGGATCGTCGAACTCGGTATGCAGCTCCATGTTGCCAGTCTCTTTGCGCAACCTATCGCGTTTCCACGCCAGAAGTTTCGGCGCATAGGTCTCCTGGAGAAAGAACAGACCAAAGCACTGGACTACTGCCGTGAATATAGATGTAGACCAGAAGCACCAGCGCCAAGTAGTCGTTTGCGCGATGAAGCCACCTGCGATGGGCCCAATGGCTGGACCGAGTAAAGGAGCCAACGAATAAATCGAAATTGCTTTACCACGCTGCTCGGGGTAGAAAGTGTCACTGAGCAGGCCACCACCGATCGCGAGAGGAGCAGAACCACCCAAGCCGGAGAGAAATCGAAATGCCATCAGCTGGCCCTTGCTCTGCGCGAAGCCGCATGCCAGGTTCCAGGCGAAGTAGAAAGCATTGGCGACTTGGAGTACGACGACACGCCCGTAGAGTTCCGACATCGGTCCAAGAAATAGCGGTCCTATCGCATACGCCAGAACGAAGATCGAGAGAGTGAGCTGTGCCTCCACCTCTTCAGTGATGTGAAAGTCCCTGCTAATCGATCCAAGCGCAGGGGATATCATGGACGAAGAGACGGGAGAAACGAGAGTGAAGCAGGAGACAATCAGAGTTGCTGCCCACTTCCTACGCATAGACCAGTTTTTTGGATTGGCTTGGTCGTCTGGGCCGTCCCATGTCACCTATGAAAGTCAGTTCCAATGGAACGAACTGTGAAGAATTGGCATACCAGATTTGGGTCCTTGATCGACCCCATTGATTTCTTCTTCTCCAAAGCTGGTGCATTTGCTTCCACATCGCATTCGTCAGGAATTCCGTCTCTTATTTCTTGGATTGTAGTCTCTTGTCCTTCTATTGGTGACGCCGGCTCGTCTTTCTCATTTTCGACGACATCACTGCTATCGCTGTCTGAGTCTGAAAGCTCGGCAGTTCTCCTCTGGGTCTCAGTTCTGTGAACAGATGCAGCATCCCCGTCGACGTGGATTCCTTCGCCGTCCTCGTGGTGGTATACGGAATGATCGTCTGGAAATTGGTTAGACAATAGCCGGTGCAGTGCCGGTTCTCGGGAGCCAGGCCGTGACCTCGGCCGAGATCGTGAGCGCGTTCTTGCTCTTCGGGTCGAGTCTTCCGTGCGAGTTCGTCCCAAATCCGACATGATGGTTTCTGAGAACGATCAAGTTGTGCTGACTTCCTGAGAATTCCTCAATAGCAAGTGTAGTTGGTAATCAGGGTGGTGGATCTATGAATGACCTGCGGGTTAGGGCGATCTCGAAAGTCGGTAGTGACAAAAAGGCTGGGCACCACGTCGATATATAAAGCCCACACCGCAGATGCTACTGTGACGACGGTTCATCGTTCTGCAGGGCTGTGCGCGTTAACCCCATTGAATGCCCCTTGGCCGGGTTTAAGAAAGTGCATGGGGACGAAAAGTCCGAGCAAGACCCCACTGCGAAACATTGGAGACATCATTGGTACGATTTTATCGAGCCCCGGCTCAAGAACGGTACCTATGCAAGCCAAGCGCGGAGCGAAAAGCTTAATTTGCCGCCGAAATTCCCATCTCTTCGGAAGAGATGTGGCGGTACATCGAAAAATGCGCAATACATTGTGGCGAGTGTATCCGCGGCAAGCAATGAGGGTGCGATGCTGTTCGCTGACGTAATTGGCGTTGGTAGGGTTGATCGGAGGATCGGGATGCCGAGCAAGGTTGCTGCGCAAGGCCAGTAAATGGAGTTCTCAGTACATATGGATCTCATTACTCCGAACCATCATTCCGAGCTCGGTACCCGTCTTCCTATATCCGTCTTCGTGAGTTTTAGGACGATGTAGGATCACAATTGGAAGACAACAGGGCTGCGATCCAGGATGACATCGAACAATCGGACTTATCGCTTCCAGAATTCGGAAAATGCGTACCTGTCACTTGTAACCTTCATCACGTCAAAAACGCGATCGCCACGTTCTGGGCTATCACCAATGCAACAGCGCCTTATCTTAGCAAGCGACTGATAGCTGACGGTGGTTTTGGGTTTTGATTGATTACTCCAAAGAAACCAGGGAAACCGCTCTCGGATCTTAGAAAATTAGTCCATGAATACTGGAGTCAGCAACTATCTGTCCACCCCAATCTCTGAAAATGGCGTCGGGTTATAAATACTCCAGCCCGTCTTACGGTAGACATGGCCGATCTACGCATTCCCGGCTTGATGACCCTTTTCCCGGGCTAGATCGTCATGCAAGAACATCAACGATGGAAAAAGGTGGCATTCATTCAACATCAAGTATAACACTTGTGGCTTGTATCTACCAAAAACTGGTCTCGTTAGGGCACATCGCCGTGTAATTCCCCTTCTAGCTCCCTGACCATGCGTTCCTCACTGGCTGCGGTCAAAATCGGCAAGCTGTCTACGTTCAATATCAGATCTTCTTCCTCGAATGAACCCCGTATGATGTCGGTACCCGGTGTGCTAGTGATCAAGAGCTTCACCGTAGCTCTCACACTGTTGTCTGCAACTAGCTGGATCAGGCTTAAGAACACCGGCAATGCATCCTGAACTTCCTCTCTCTCGAACAACGCCGCGCCGTCGATGATCAAGAACAGAACTATCTCGGGCGGAAGCTGGCCTATTAGAAAGCCGAGCAGTGCGGTCAAAGCTTCGACGTCTCCCTTTTGGAGGCTGTCATAACCAATATAGTTGTGCAGCGGTTCGGTGTTGAAATCCCATTGCCTCAAGAGCTGATCTAGCAAGCTCCCTATCATCATCTGTCCACCGGAGCGTGCACCGAACTCATATGCGTCGATATGCTGTCCACAAAACCATAATGCGGACAGGAACCGAGGGTTGGAGCGCAGCGCCTGCGCCATTGTAGTGCAAAATACCGTCAATGGTGATACTTCAGCAATCATCTTGGGCAAACGCGAGTCCCAGTGAATGAGCAGCTTCGTCGAAGATGGCGATACGATCCAACTTCGAAATAGTTGCGTGTTCGTAACCTGCTCCGCTCTTGACCTGTCCCTGGAGGGAAGCTGCTCTTTTCTGTCCTGTACCAAGGCGAGATCAGTTAGGTCAAGATCATGGACGTCAATAATGTTCCTGAGGGTCTCTTGGTTGATGCTCCAGCTCGAGACCAGGCCTGGAATAGGCTGTGGCGGAGGTAGCCACATACTTGTACGTGTCGGCGACGTGGACCGCAGTCGGTCATTTTCAATCCTGAGACTGATGTTTTCCTGTCGAATAGGCTGGAGCATCCGATCAATCTTCTGATCCATCTGCTGTGCCAGGTCATTCAGCAAATTGTTAACGGCGTTAAATCCTTGAACTGCCACAAGGGTGCTTAAGTCGATCTTTGCGCCCATCTGGGCTTGGATCCTTCTGTCTTCTTGATAGTACACATGCGACTCGAACATATGTGAGTTCTGCGCCTGTTCCCAGAGGTCGTGACTCTTCGTCTGTATCGTTTCGAAGCTTTCTATCAAACCTTTCTGGTAGTCTTCGCCGCTGAGGAGAGCTTTCCCGGTGCGCGCGAACTGGCTACTAATGAAGAAGCCTATCGTTCGCTCGACAGCAGCCAGAGTCACAGCGGTTAAATCTATGGAGGCGTTGCGGATGTTCGCATCTTCTTTGAACATACTCAAGAATAGCTCTACTTTCGAGAAGACCGGAACCATATCATCGAGACCCGCGAGGGCCTTCTTCCTTACAAGAGCTGCGATCTCAACAGCACCTAGAATGAGCTCGACAGCACCAAGAATTGGTGTCACAATCTTATCTTGCGGAGTAACCTTTGATCCTATCCTTGCTACTTCAGCACCTGGAGTAATCCTATCGGCAACTTTGCGTCGCATGTCCCGGATAATTCCGCCGCTGGTCTCGTATTTCTTGCGTGCCATTTGAAGTGTGTCATACACCGCATGCCAATCAGTCTTCTCTCTGATATCGTAAAGGGATTTCGATCTTCCTTTGGGCTCTGGTGTAGACTTGAATTGTGACATCGAATCTGCGAATATCTCGTTCCAAAACGGCATGGCGTTTAGGTCAGCCACTTCTGGTCTCGATACAAGACTATTGCTGCTGGAAGGTGCATTCGAGGCGGCTGTGCTGACAAGGCCGCTATTGCTGGCCCCCACAGCCTGGTACTGTCCCGACATTACGTCGTATTGCACAGTTTGCGTTGCGAAAAGCGGATGATGCTTCGGTAATCGTTGGTCGATGAAATCAATCGTCGGCGCTCGTTTTGTTATCGCTGGGATGGGTGGGTTCGTCATGGCGAAGTGACAAAGAGTGACGAGGCTGCGAAACTTGCGAGATGGAGATGAAGATTCAAGGCTTCGACCCAAATGTTTCTGGGGACAGCCAAGTACGATCACCGTCGTACCGCGCGGTGATAGCGTTCTGATAGGTGCGACAACATCATGGACCGGTGAACAGATGCATGACACAGCATGAGCACGTAAGGAGCTGCCTTATCCGGCGTGTCCATGTTTTAGGCCCAAGGCTGGGGCGTACCTGCCACGCGGGGGCCAATTTCAGCTGACAACAAAGGCGGGGTCGTGGTCTCCTTCAACACAACCATCTATTCAACTCTAACAGGTCTCGACCTCGCTTGGCATATCCCTTCTGCATTTTTTTCAATACAGTACTCAGAAGGGCCAGAGATTTCTAGCGCACGAGGCATCTCGGAAAAACCTCGCTGAACATAGCGTTGCGGCTTAGACGGCTTCGTGCAACGCACAATGTCGGATATGGCCTCGAGCAGCGAAAGATCAGACGACGACAGACTTGCATCGATATCCGAAGAAGGCACAAAGAAAGTTTCGGAAACAATGAACCATTCTACATCATCTGCAGGGCCGGCAGCTCAAAATGACCACAAAGATCAGCCGGAAGTAGCACGCGATGAAGGTGCTATTGCTGAAATAGAGCGGTTCCGGAGAATGGAAGCATGTCTATACAAACATCGGAAGGAATGGGAAGTGAACATCGGCCCAGGGAAATGGCAGGTGGACAGCTTTTTCGTTCAAGATCCGAAAGAGAGAGGTCATTGGTTTGATTCTCCAGAGGGGCAGAGTTGGCTCACAGCTGACAAACAAGTCAGAGGGGAACGGAAATACAATAGACCGGATATCTTTGACCCAGCATTCGTTGGAGACACGAATGATGCATGGGATTTCTCTAAGAGCAGTATCGGAAAAGATGTTTACGACACCACAATCGACTGGGGCCACCGGCGTGACAGGCTGCGAAAAACTTTCGAATGGGAACTGGATCGCATGTTTCTAAGAGAAGAGCTTCAATTGAAAAGGCTGGAGCAACAGAAGGCGGAGGAGGGCAAGAAGCGACGAGAACGGCGTATGGCTGAAAACGATACTAAATCTGGTGAAGAAGGACAAGGCGACACAGCGCTCCCAAGCGATTCAACTTCTATAGAAGCTGGCGTCGCCTGGTCGGAGTGGTTTGCATTCAAGAAGACAGGGCCATCGGATAGTAAAGCCATGAATGTTATCGATGTGCTCATCGGCGAGCCTATCGTTGACACCAAAATCGACGCGAACCGATTCTGGTTCCGTAGCTCAAGCCATCGAGTAGCGAAAAGCCATGATCCCTCTACGAGTCAAAAGACTACAGATGCCATGGATGCTGCAACATCGCCACTCCCAGAACGAATTCGAATCAATTCCGATACTCTGCTTCAGATTTTTGCTGAGCTACTCGGCCCCGTTGCACAAAACGTACTTGAGCTAGAGGAAATGAACATTGTCTTCACTAGACCCTTTAAAGCGCTAGCTTGGCGTGAGCAGGATCTACGAGATTGGTGTCTTCATCTTGAAAAGAAATTCGAGGATCTTCAGTCTGGGAGCAAGGCATTCGCTGCACTTCAGAAATCGAGCACCAGCGTGAACAATCATGCTGATGCTGCGAAGGGCGATGCGCAGGAGATTACAGATGGTGTGGAAAAGGCGACGCTACAAGACTCTACCAAATCTCAAGTAGATTCCACCGAGACAATTGAGCAGCAGGGAGAGAGACAAGTACACACCAATAATGCTCCAGACGGTCAAGCTTCAGATGCTGACAACGAAAGCGGAAACGAAAAGCATGAATACGAAGATTTCGAAGATAGCGACAAAAGTCTGACCAAGTCTCCAACGGCCCTCAAGCACTTGAAATACCTTCTACAATTTCTAGATGCTACCTTGGTAGCTAAGCGAAACTACTTCAACAGCCCCCAATGTCGAAAGGTGTTCTTTTCCGACCTTTGGCATCTTTTCCGACCAGGCACTGAAGTGATAGGGAGCGACGGAAAGCAGGCATATAGGGTCATTGGAGTTCAAAGTGCGAGGCACCGGATTGCTCCACCCTGGGAGCGATGGTATAAGCCAATTGGACGGGGAGAAAAGAAGCTAGAATTTCGCATCACATGTGTTTACATCGATTTCGACGGGGCTAACATCGGACCTGTGACGAAGGTATTTGATATTAGCATGTTTGACGGTCAAAGGGAGATCACATCCTTGGAAGTCTACCCCATAAGATTCCATTCGGTGAGGCAGTCCGAGTATAACGAAACGGAATGGCACGAGATGGAGAACTACCCTGTCTCAGAAAGATACCGCAAGAGACTCATTGGTCGTGGGGCTCGATTTCTGAACGTTGTTCGAGGTAAGCATATGTATTATGCTGGCTCAACATTGGACGCGAGAGAAGAGGTAGAGTCTCCTGTGGTCATTGACTTTGAAACGGCTATAACGACGCGAGATGCACAACTTAAACCTCCACAACCAGCCAATCTTCGAGGATACCCACCACCGGACGAAGAACAAGAGGTGCTGCCAGCGGACCTACCATGGAAGCCAAAGCTGAGCTCACTGATCAGCATACCGGAACTAGATGCTCCAGGGTACGTAGAATGCAGCGGCGAATGCTGTCGGGATGAAAATGTCCACGACGACCAATACGTGGATCGCAAGCAGAAACAAGAATACCTCGAGAGTCTTCTCCCGAGTAAGGAAGCTGTGGATGAACAACCTCCGATTACTGTAATGCCACGGCCGCTAAAAGATTTGAGGCTCGGGCCTGAGGGCAACTTTGCATGTTCGGATGATGAGTTGGTGATTATGTCGTATCGTGTTTTTGGCTTCGTTCTTCGGAGTCGCAAGTTTGGTATGCTATTACCCCGGATTTATCCATCAACGAGTGCTGACATAGCCGTCTAGCCAAACTCGATTTGACGCATCTGACCGAAATTCATGACGAAGAGTCGATTGCTAATTCGAACTCTACAAGCAAAGGTGGAAGAGGACAAAATCCGACACCCACTAAGGGCGCATTCGACCGTTTGGTACTAGAAGAGGGCCATTCTTCTATGATTGTATCGCTCATTGCACAGCATTTTCGGGACAAAAAGTCGACCACTGGGAAGCGAGAAGAGTTCGATATCGTGAGAGGCAAAGGTGATGATTAAGACTGGCCCGTCAAAATACATAGAGCTAATATTTAGCAGGCAAAGGATTGATCATCCTTTTGCACGGCGCTCCTGGGGTGGGAAAGACTTCCACAGCTGGTTCGTACCCCGAGCACCACCGTAGTCTAACCCCAACGCTAATCGCCATGAATAAACAGAAGGCATAGCTGAAAAGTTCAAGAAGCCGCTGTTTCAAATTACATGTGGTAAGTGGACGTGCTGCCGGACGATTGAGAATGAGGGAACTAATGATTCTGGTTATTCGAAGGCGACCTGGGAACAACTGCATCCGAAGTAGAACTCGCTTTGGAAAAGAACTTTACGTTGGCAAATAAGTGGGACTGTATCCTTCTCCTTGATGAGGCAGATGTCTTTCTTACCGAGCGATCGAAAGAGGACTTCAAAAGAAACGGACTCGTGGCAGGTAAGTCGCCTCGTTTCAAAAAAACGATTGATCATTGGCTGGTTCTAAAATTCACACAGTCTTCTTACGCCTCATGGAATACTATTCCGGCATACTTTTCCTCACGACAAACCGTGTCGGTGATTTTGACGAGGCTTTCACTTCACGCATTCACGTCAGCCTCTACTATCCCGCATTGAATGAGGAGAAGACTGGACAAGTCTTCGAAATTAACATGGACATGATAGAAGAACGTTTCAGGACGAAGGGCCGTGCCATCGATATCGATAGGATGAAGATAGCTTTTTTCGCAATGCGCTACTTTAACGATCACCCTGATGCCCGCTGGAATGGCCGCCAGATCCGCAACGCCTGTCAAACTGCGCTAGCACTAGCGGAGTTCGAGGCTCAAGGTGATAGCATCGAAGATACGGAAGACCGAAACCTCGTAGTGAAGTTGAATGTCAAGCACTTTGAGATTGTGAGGGATGCCTATCTGGAGTTTGCCAGATACATGAAGGCTTTATTTGGCACATCTGCTGCAAGGAAGGCGAAAGAGTCAAAGCTGCGGGCTATTCTGGTCGACGAGAACAACAACATTGTCTCAACGCAGAACCTGGGCGACAAGAGAATGGATAAGGCAGCCTTCACGCACGCCTCTCAGAATCATTCGAGTCGTCCGATGGGTCATTCGCCGCAGCAAAGCTTCCAACAATCGCCGGACCAGCAGTATGCGCGATATCAACAACAACAAAGTTCGACGTTTGGTGCCCCACAGCCTCAGTATCAATCGTCCCAGCATCCAGCCTCGCAGTATACGCCTCAGTATCCGGCGCAACACCAAAATCCTTCCAGCCAAGAGTGGTATGCTCAGCAGTCAAGGAACTCCAGTGCCTATGTTCCTGAACCGCAGCAAGGAGGACAATTCCAGAGCTCCGTTCCGCACACGCAACAAACCTCACCATCTCCGAACCGCCAACAACAAGCTCAACTTAACCCGCCTTGGCTCGGTGAGGAAATTCGAAACATGCATGCAGCATCTGGACAGCTGGGCGATGAGCAGTCTTCGGCTGGCGCAAGCCGGTTCCAGAGGACGTGACTAAGGAGTCTGAGGCGGGGTTATTCACAGTTTCTCTCATTCAGTTTTCTGTTTGGAATGTGCATGGACACTTAGATATGGGTACATGTAAGGCTCCAGCGTCGACCTTCCTTGATACTAGCTTGGGTGCAGCTCATGATCCAAGGATGCTGGCAAACAAGGCATGTGCAGCAATGGAGTGTCTCTTCCCTCTTGCAATTTCTGAATTTATGTCTGTCTGACAGATGCAGTTAGCTGGGAACAGTAACAGTCTGTCAGCAATAATTTTGTCTCGTAGACCTACCTGTCCTTACCTGCACTACTTCCCTGTAATTTCAATATCCAATCAGATCGCGCGTAACAAAGCGTTGTGGAGTTTTGTTGTGACCCTACTTGACCCTGTGTTAGCTGCCGTAAAACGAGCTGTTGGTCCACATGACGCACGCACAGCTAGGTCGTGGCAGTGTGAGACTTGCGTGGAACGGCCATCATGTTTGGTGTTTGGTCCTGGTGTGGTAACTCCATCAAATGGGACATGGTCTCCGCTCCCAGCACGAGTGATGTGTAATGTTGCACCTCTGTGCGTGCCATCAATGGAGCTATTAGGGCAACGTAATTTTAACTGCTACAACACCTAGTTGCTTACCTGTGGTGCTTGAAGCGCTGATCCGCTGATCGAAAGGAAGTCCTCGCGACGTCGTTTGTGCGAATGCCATGAACCTTCTTAGTGATTTGGACAGCATTGGTGAACAAATACCACGAGGAACGACGGAAAGTGCGACCAAAGCTCTGACTGACTGTAAAGTATTCATGAGATGATCATACAAGAATACGTTACCGAACATGCCCGCATGTACATCTGCTCGAACCTCCAGGTGAATGTAAACGAGAATCAACCGTGCGAATACCAAATCGAAGATAACGCAAGTTCGAGCTTATCACGAACAAACGGGCAGAAACAGACAGAGTGAAGCACGCTATAGAAGAAGAAAGGCGTGCTCGAGGGCCCGTGTGCTGATATAAAGTTCCTGCCCGATCTGTTTGCCTTCGACCTCGACCTCGCTGAACCCCCCTCTCCGTCGTGGCCTTCGATTCACGCACGTACTGGATAACAATACACACACAGCGATACCATGTTCGAGGCAATTAGCGACCGGATCGAGACTCATGTTGACCCCGCGCTCGTTGACGGCAGCGGGGGCGGAACTCAGCCCGAAAAACTTTTGGCTGAGACAGCACCTGACGGCGATCTTCCAACGCAAGCGGAGCTGTCGACGTTGCAGCGTGTGCCCGCGAAGATCCCGTGGCGAGGTAAGTGCAATAGGGGACTCGCACCTGACGTGACTAACTGCGAGCAGTGTACACGATCGCGTTCGTCGAGCTCGTCGAGCGTATGAGCTACTACGGCACCCTGGCGCTCTTTTCCAACTTCATCTCCAAGCCGCGCCAGAAAGTCGACGGTACTTGGTTGACCACCCCCTGGGGCGCAGCGCTCCACCCGAACGATGCCAATGCCACCCCCGGCGCCCTCGGCATGGGAAAGAAGAAGGCGTTCAGCATCACGACATTCAACCAATTCTACATTTACTTGTGCCCTCTGCTTGGAGCCTGGATCGCTGATACATACCTCGGCCGCTTCAAGACAATCGTGTACTCGGTAATCATTGCGGAGATTGGCCATGTGCTCTTGGTGGGCTCGTCGACCCCAGGCATGCTTGATAAGCCAAATAGTGCGTTCGCGCTGTTCATGTTCGGTTTGCTGATCATGGGCTTCGGGACTGGCACGTTCAAGCCGAACATCTCGCCACTTATTGCAGAACAGATTCCCCAGGATGTGGCGCGCGTCGAGGTCAACAAGAAAGGTAAGGCGACAATACTATCTGGTGGCATGAACGAGTGCTGAGTTCATACAGGCCGGCGTGTAATCATTGATCCCGCCGAGACGGCTACCCGCATCTACAACTGGTTCTACATGTGAGGCAACTCCAAACAAAAGATACTTGAATAACGCTGACCTGCTCAGGTTCGTGAACATTGGTGCTTTGATTGGCCAACTCTCCATGGTCAGTTCTTGCAACTCAGATACAGGGTGCGGCCACCTCGCTGCACACAGCTCGCTTCTGGCAGAAACCTACCTGTTTGCGTGCCGAGGTGGCCACACGCTGTACGCTTCAGAACCACGCTGAAAAGTATTCTTAGGTGTACATTGAGCGATACGTTGGATTCTGGCCCGCCTTCCTAGTCCCTACAGCCTTCTTTCTTCTGGCATTCCCGGTCCTGTTTTTCTGTAAGAATATGTACATCCACACCCCACCGTCTGGCAGCGTTCTCGGCCCTGCTATCAAATTACCCTTGCTAGCAATGAGGGGCCGCTGGAGCTGGAACCCCGTTCGGATCTGGAAGAACGCTCGAAATGGTTCCTTCTGGGAGAGCGTCAAGCCTTCGCGTTTAGGATCCTCCAAGCCGGCCTGGATGACCTACGACGACGCCTGGGTCGATGAAGTTGCTCGAGGATGGGCAGCCTGCGGTGTGCTTCTCTGGCTGCCACTCTACTGGCTTTCTTACAACCAGATTAACTCAAACCTCATCCAGCAAGCCGACACCATGCAGCTCCACGGCATCCCCAACGACCTACTCCAGAACCTGGATCCCATCGCCATCATCATCCTAGTCCTGTTCCTCGATTTGCTTGTATATCCAGCTCTTCGTAAAGCAGGCATTCGTTTCACGCCCATCAAGAAAGTCTTCGCAGGCTTCATGCTCGCCACTGCCGGCATGATCTGGGCCTGCGTTATCCAGTACTACATCTACCACAAGTCACCCTGCGGCGTGATGACGGAGGAGGAAGGCTGCCGCTCCGACGTTAACGTTTGGGCACAAGCGGGCGTATACATCTTGATCGCAGCATCGGAGATCATGGCATCCGTTGTGTCTCTCGAATATGCCTTTACCAAAGCACCCAAGAGCATGCGCAGTTTAGTACAGGCGTTCAGCTTGTTTACTAATTCGCTGAGCGCGGCGCTGAGCGAGGCGTTCACACCACTGTCTGAGGACCCGCATCTGACGTGGAACTATGGCAGCGTCGCTATTATCTGCTTTGTCAGTGGAGTGGCGTTCTGGTTCACGTATAGAGATATGGATAAGGATGAAGACCGGCTCAACATGCTGCCTACCGGAAGACATATCGGTACGCCATCTGGCGCTGGGACCGGGACTGACGTCGAATTGGCTCCTGCTGGCAAGACGGGCTGAGGGGTTGCAGCTTTGTTCTTCGTAACATTGCTGAGCTCTACCTCTGTGTCATCTATATTTCGACGGGCTTACTGCCCGATGGATTGGCACGGTAGTGACGATTTGCACATGGGCGGAGTAAAGGGTCGGATAGATGTCTCACCCGTTGGTAGGTCATCATTGTGTTACTGGCAAACGACTTGAAGCTTCCAAACGTAATCGAGATACTTCTTCAAGCCAGCGTTCCTTCCATTCAAACATGTCGCCGACTGAATGCGGCCAGCTCCGAACAGTCCGAGCTGCTAATACAATATTGAATGTCTGTCTCAAGTCTGGTTGCTAAGTAGAATGATGACTGATGAGCTTCCCGACTTCCTTCACTCAGTATTAGCCCGCTACAGTGCGAGCAACCTCTCGAGTATCGATTGTAGTGCCATTTCCTCGCAGACGAACTGGAGATCACTGTGTAGTGTCATGAAACCCGGATCGCCCTTGATGAACACTGTGACTCAAGACAAAGGCGGAGATGACACATGGAGATTCACTATGGTCATGACCATTGTCGCCCTTTTTCAGATGGAATGTTTGAGATGGATTATGACTGTTATGGCCCTTGCGCCAATGACGCCGACGGACGCGTTTGGCGGGGTAAGACTCTGCCCCACCATAAATTCGCAGACTGCAGCTCCGACCTGACTCAACCCACCGAAGACATGGCGGAAGAAAACAACGCGCCCGCAGCCGCTGCGCCGGCAGAGCCCTCCAAGAATGCCCTGAAGAAGGCCCAGAAAGAGAAGGAGAAGGTGAGTTCGGCCATTGGACTGCTGGTGACACGCGACACTGATACTTTTGCTAGGCCGAGAAGAAGGCAGCCGCCAAAGCTCGCGAACTCGCCGAGCGACAGAAGAAAGAAGCTGCCGACGCCGAGGATGTGTCCAAGGAAGACTACGGCGAGCTCCCGCTTACTGGATCCAAAGACTTCAAACCCACGGGCGCGACCCGCGTCGAGCTATCCACCATCCCAGAGCATGAGGGCAACGAGATCACCTTCAGATGCTGGGTCGAGAATGCGCGCGTGCAATCAGCAAAGTTGGCCTTCATCAATTTGCGCCAGGGGCTGAACACGGTACAATCTGTTATTGCGGCGAGTGATAAGATCAGCAAGCAGATGGTCAAATTCTCTGGCACGCTGAGCACGGAGAGCTTGCTTGTTGTTACGGGACTGGTGAAAAAGGCGCCAGAGCCAATCAACAGCGCGACTATCAAGGACTTCGAAATCCACATCAAGAAGGTCTTCATCGAGAAGAAGGCAGAGGTTCCTCTCCCCCTCCAAGTCGAGGATGCGGAGCGCCCGCTACCCAGCGAGGGTCTGGGAGAAGAGGAAGAGAAGGCCGCAGAGGGTGACGCCCGACCTCTCGTGTCCCTCAACACTCGACTGAACAACCGCACCATCGATCTCCGCGCAAAGATCAACCACGCCATCTTCGTCGTCAAGGGCGGCGTCCGCCTCCTTTTCACCGAGTTCCTCTCCCAGAAGGGCTTTATCCCCGTCGAGACACCCAAAATCCTCGGCGCGGCCTCCGAAGGCGGCGCCAACGTCTTCGAGCTCAACTACTTCGGCAAGCCCGCCTACCTCGCCCAATCCCCTCAGTTCTACAAGCAGATGCTCATCGCCGCGCGCTTCCAGAAGGTCATGGAGATTGGCCCCGTCTTCCGCGCCGAGAACTCAAACACCGCCCGCCACTTGACCGAGTTCACGGGGCTCGATCTCGAAATGGAGTTCCAGGAGCACTACCACGAGGTAATCCGCGTACTCGAGGACCTCATGCTCTTCATCTTCCAGGGCCTCAACACGCGCTACAAGAAAGAAACCGACCTGGTCCGCAGCACCTACCACGTCGACGACTTCAAACTTCCCGAGAGCGGCAAGGTCCCGCGCATCCCGTTCCCAGAGGGCATTAAGATGCTGCGCGAGGCGCAGGGCACGGGCGAAGATGTCGGCGAGATCGGCGAGTACGACGACCTTTCCACACCCCAGGAGAAGAAGCTCGGCCGCCTCGTCCTCGAGAAGTACGGCTCCGACTTTTATGTACTCGACCAGTTCCCGCTCGCTGTCCGGCCCGCGTACACGATGCCCTCCCCCGAGAACCCAAAGTTGTCGAACTCGTACGACTTTTTCATGCGCGGGCAGGAGATTTGCTCCGGGGCCCAGCGTATCCATGATGCAGAGTTGCTATCGAAGATGATGCGCGAGCATGATCCCCCGATTGATCCCAACAGCGCGGGTACCAAGGAGTACGTCGATAGCTTCAGGTATGGTGCACCGCCGCATGGTGGTGGTGGATTTGGGTTGGAGCGAATCGTACAGTTCTGGTTGGGTCTGCCTAACATTCGGATGACGAGCTTGTTTCCGCGCGACCCGCAGCGGGTGACGCCGTAGATGGTTGTGGTGGGAAACGCAGGGGCTTGGAAAAGTAGACGCATGTCACGATAGCTAAGAAGCACCAAGAATTGACTAGATGAATCACAATACTGGATTGCGGAAACGGCAGTGGAAAGGCTGGTTCATGCAAGAAGGCAGCCTGTTACTGTGGATTATATCCCTCATCCAATCAGACGCTGTACTACTCTTCTGCCCAAGTAGCACTACACTCAAATCCTAGATCTCGTATATAGAGCTTCTTCCATCCAGATTTGCTTCAACACGAGGCAAAGCTCGCACCCTTCCAAAGCATGGACTCGAGGGACGGCTAAAACCCGAGGAGGTTTCTCAGCAGCTCGGATCGTCGCAAGAGAGTGTGTATCGAACACAACGGAGCAGCCTCTAGAGCGAGTCCATCGTCCAATGCATCCGTTCCGTCCTGGAGCCCTCTTCTGTAGCGGGACGGCAGCCGCACAGGCCCGCGGGGAAAGACAACACGCAGTGCAGCTGTCGCTTCTCATACGCTCTTCAACACTTTCTCCGCGAGCTTCTTCTGCGCCTTCTCGCCCAACGCTTGCTCATCCACCTCCTGCACCGCCTTCCCAATCGCAAGCGTGCTCTTGACATTCCCCGCATCCACAACAACAACCCCGTTCCTCCCCACCGCAATCTCAAAGCCCACTTTCTCCCCCAACGCCTCCAGCAGGATTACCCCACCCTTCTTCCCTGCAAGCAACCGCCGCGCCATGCCCAGGCTGATCTGGAACACCATGCCGCTCTTCAGGGGACCGAGGCCCTCGCTCTTGCCGGTGGAGGGATCGACGCAGGTCAGCTCTGGCGCGAAGTCTTTCGTTGCGCTGGCGACGCGCGCGTAGACGAGCGAGTTGGGGGCGAGCTGGGGGCGAGTCTTTTTTGTGGCGCCTTCGAAGGCGAGGTGGGGGAGGGTGGCGTAAGGGGTGTGCGGGGTGAGGGTGCAGTTGAAGGCTTCGGCGGTGGAGGTTTGGACGGTTGCGATGACGAGGTCGCCGGTTGTGGGGAGGTACTGATTGTTGCGGTTAGCATCTGATATCCTTGTGAAGAGAAAAGGGAGGCGTACGCGTCCGCTGTTCGACTCTATCCACGCGGCGACTTTCTTCGGGTCGGTGACGAGGCCGCCTGCAATTGTGCTCGAGACGGTCGAGGGTGGGATGTGTCGGAGGCCGGGGCCCAGTGTGAGATGCTTCTTCTTGCCGGTGGGGGTCGGGAGTCCGTCCTGTGGGACGATGTCGCCCGGGAGGACGACCATTGTATCGACCGCCATATTTATTATTGCGAATGTCGTCAAAAAGTCGCACTAGGATACAGAACGTGAAGGCGAGGTACAGCCTTGGCGCGCTAAACGATCGCGACGTGCTAGCGGCGGGATGATTTTTGAAATGCCTTTTTATCGCCCAACGCCTCGACAGAGTTGCAAGAGTGCTGTGTTTTCTTCGCCTTTACGACCACAGAAGAAGGATCGGACGACTTTCGCGACCCCAACGACAAAGTAAAGAAGAAAAACTACCGCCATGAGTGCAGAGAACGACCCCGCTCAGCGGGTCGCAATTGGTATTTCCTTTGGAAACTCGTACAGCTCCATTGGATTTACCACTGGTGTACGTGGACGTCTGTCATGTGCTTGGAATGCGAACTGACAGGGAACAGGAAGGACGTGCAGAGGTTATTGCCAACGAAGACGGAGGTGGGTTGCTTTTCCCAGTGGCTGCGGAGGTTCGCTGACAGCCTCATCCAGATCGCCAGATTCCCTCGGTACTCTCCTACGTAGAAGGCGAGGAACTCCACGGTGGACAGGCCAAGACACAATTTGTGCGGAACGCGAAGAACACGGTTGCATACTTCAGGGACTTTCTGGGCCAAGAGTGCGTCCTCAAGCCCGTAATGCTGCTGCAGCTGTCTAACAGAAGCCAGGTTCAAGTCGATAGATGCCACGCCCTGCCACGAGTCCGCCCACCCCCTCCAGCATGAGTCGACTATCGCCTTCAAGGTCAAGGACAGCGCAGAGGACGAGGAGAACGAGGTCACCGTCAGCGACATCACAACCCGCCACCTGAAGAGGTTACGAAATTCGGCCGCCTACTACCTCGGAAAGGAGGTCAACGCCGCCGTCATCACCGTCCCCACCAACTTCTCCGACGCCCAGAAGGAGGCGCTGAACAAGGCGGCAAAAGAGGCGGGCATCGAGGTGCTCCAGTTCATACACGAGCCCGTGGCCGCTGTGCTGGCATACGATGCTCGTCCCGAGGCGAAGCTGGCCGACAAGATTGTCGTTGTGGCTGACCTCGGCGGCACCCGCTCCGACGTCGCTGTCGTTGCCTCCCGCGGCGGCATCTACACCATCCTTGCTACCCTGCACGACTACGAGGTCACTGGCCTGAAGCTCGACCAGGTTCTCATCGACTACTTCGCCAAGGAGTTCCTTAAGAAGCACAAGTCCGCTAGCGACCCCAGGGAAGATGCCCGCGGTCTGGCCAAGCTCAAGCTCGAGTGCGAGTCCGTCAAGAAGGCTCTCTCAATAGGTACGAGCGCCAACTTCTCCGTCGAGAGCCTCGTCGGGGGCATCGACTACACAGCCACCATCAACCGCACGCGGTACGACCTCCTCGGCAACAAGCTCTTCTCCGCCTTCTCCCGCCTCGTGCTCCACGCTGTCGAGAAGGCCCAGCTCGACCCCCTCGACATCACTGAGGTCATCCTCGCCGGCGGCAACGCTCACACACCCAAGATCGCCTCCACCATCGCCAACGCCTTCCCCGAGACGACCACCGTCCTCGCGCCGTCCACGTCCACCACCGCCATCAATCCCTCGGAGCTCTCCGTCCGCGGCGCCTCCATCCAGGCCTCCCTGATCCAGGAGTTCGAGCTCGAGGACATTGAGCAGAGCACGCACCCCATGGTGACGGTGACTCCGCACCTCAGCCACGCCGTCGGCGTCCTCTGCATCTCGGGCGACGAGACCAACGGCGTCTTCCACGCCATCGTCGATGCCGAGACGCCGCTGCCCGTGCGGCGGACCGCCATCATCAGCACGCCCCGCGAAGGCGGCGACGTGCTAATCAAGCTCGCCGAGGGTCTGCGTCACATCAAGGTCACGAAGCCGGAACCCAAGGCCAAGAAGGAGAAGGCTGAGGATGATTCTGACGACAGCGATGACGACGAGAGCGACGAGGAGGAGGAGCTCCGCGAGAAGACGTGGAAGGTGAGCAATGTGCTGAGCGAGGCGGCTATCAAGGGCGTCAAGAAGGGCGGCAAGGTCGAGGTCCAGATTAACATTGGTGCGGATCTGGGCGTGAATGCTATTTACAGAGAGGTTGGTGGGAAGGGCGGTGTTAGGGGGATAATAGCTGGGGAGAAGGCGGCAAACGGTAGTGCTTAAATGTGAGGAAGGAAGGATATGCGTGCATGTGGCTGAGTGGAAAAGCTTGGGAGAGAGAAGGGAGGGAAAAGGTGTAGATGAAGTGACATGAACGAAATCAACGAGCGATTCGTTACGGTCATAGATTTCGGGCTTGGCAAGGTTAGATGGCGTCGTTTTGCTGCCGTCAGAGACGTATAGATAGAGGGAATGAATGGCTACTTTTGGCTATGGCAATTGTTAGGTTGCGATTGTGCTGTACTGAATGATCTGCAATGTAGAAAAAGGGTTGTAGGTGGTTCTCCTCGACAATTTGGGGGTTTGGTCTTGGCTCATCAATGGGAACCCGCACAGCGTGTAACACTGGGATTTGAATACCTTCCACTACAGTATAGGTTGACGAACCTGCCTTTTCATCACTAAATAGACTTGAGATGAAGTTTAGCGGTGATAGCGGCTTTAACAACGCCAAGCAGGAATGCCGTCACGGCTAGACCCGCAACTCTCGCCCCTCCAACCCTCAACTACAGTAAAGTAGCAAACACCCCGCGTTGTTGGTTTATCTTGCGCAGACCTCCCGCTTGGAGTGCTACTCACAATGGACATCAGCTCCGAGCTTGATACACAGCGAATGGAGAGTCCGTACGCGAACTATCTCCCCGACGAACTTTTGTTACAAGTGCTGGACTTTTTGCCGCGGACGGAGGAAAGTCAGGGCACGTTGTGGAACTTTGTGCTGGTATCGAGGTACGTGGACTGAGCTGCTTGCGAGGGAAGTAACAGGGGTGCGTCGAAGTGTACTTTCCCCCCAGATTCTAGATGTGAATGCTCTATACCGCAACATCGCACTGGACAGTGTTGCTTTTCTCGAACCCACCATTCATGCTCCCACACTCAAGATGCAGAGGCCTCACTAACAAGTCCACAGACAATGGTACTCGGTCGGCATATCCCGCCTCTATGCGTCCCCATTCCTCGTCGGCCTCCGCTACACCCACTTCGTTCGCACTCTCTGCCCCTCGATCATCCCGCGCATCAAGCGCTCCGAACTCGCCGGGCTCGTAAAGCACCTCGACCTCTCGCGCATCGTGCACCAGGGCGCAAAATCCACCACCGCACGCCTCCTCGGGCGCACTAAAAACAACCTCGAGCTCTTCGTCGCGCCGCAAGCCTCCTTCGCCATAAATTGCTGGGCCGCGCTGTCCAAGTGCGCGCGCCTCAAGGTCCTCGATCTGGGCCTCGTCAGCGAGGCGATAAGCTACCAGTCCCTGAACCAGACGCTTCGGCAGCTGGGCTCGCTGGAAGAGCTCTACATGCCGCGGTGTTCCACGGAATTCGGGTACGGTCCAGAGTTCCTGACGGTGCGGCTGCACTGGCCGCCCAACCTCCGCCACCTGAGCATGTCCGGCAGTGTCAACGGCAAGTTCCTCTGGGAAATGCTGCGCCAGCCCGAAACCTTCCCCGCGAGCCTGCACTCGATGGCGCTGCTGCACTGCCCCGGCCTAGACCAGCCCGGCATCAAGCCCCTCCTGTCCAACCTCGCGGACCGCCTCACCGCCGTCGAACTCCGCGACCTCCCCGCCGTAAAGCAGGGCCGCTTCAACAACATCATGGCCTGGCTGCCGCACCTGACCACCCTGACCATCGCGCTCGACTACATCGACGAGGACTTCGGCCGCCGCCCCGCAGACTTCACCGCCGAGTCGCACTGGCACCTCGCGCGCCCCCTTTCCAACCTCACCCTCCTGACCTGCGGCACCCAAACCGATCCCCGCCGCGCATTCACTCTCGTCGACCTGTGGGACCTCATCGACACCCGCTTTCTGGGCCGTCTGCGCCGGCTCAGCGTCGCTGCGTCCTCGGGGTGGGAACGCGTGGACGAGGGTGCGCTGTGGGAGACTGTGCGGCTGGGGCTGGAGGCGCTGGACCAAGAGAACTGGGAGGCGCGGCGGTGGCACTATGAGGGGTTGAAAGGGGTACCCGAGGGGATGGCGTATGAGGAGTGGCGGGGGACGCTGGCGGGGTGGCGGGAGAGGCCGCGGGCGGTGGTGTTGAGGAATTTATGACTAGATGGGGAGGTGAGGAGTGATGGGACGGTGGTGATGGAGGGGTGAGGAGTGGGTGGTGTTGTGTGCAGACGTGGTGATGATGGACGAGGAGGAAGGGCTGGGAGAAATCAAGACTGCAGACTGCGGTTGAATTGCAGGGATTTGAAGCACTTCACCACATGTTGCTTCGCTGTGGCATGCACTAGCAATTGAACAAAGAGGTGCGATTCACGAGTTACAAGGTCGGCCAACAGTTGCAAGGCAAAGACATGAGAACCTATTGCAACAGCTGCTCGTATCGACATCCTGCTTTATGAGCACGTCGTGCGTCGCACACGGTGCGACCGCCGTCCGTTCAGAAGCAGTCCCTAGCATAATTATATACGTATTACCCTCGTCCGTTTCTCCTCCGCATCCCGCCCTTACAGCCATACCCACAAGCTGCCAAAGCAGAACCCCCCCGCCCCATCCAATCATTCACCCATGCCATCCCAGCCCAAAACGCCCTCATTAACACCCATCCCATCCAAAGCCCCAGTGCGCCATATGCCAATGCCCATGCTCCCCACCCGCTATGCCATTCATCCCAAGAAACGCCTCAGAAACAATTCGCTAGGGCGAAACCCCCGAAGAAACACGCACACGCACACCCGGCAGACCCACATGCTCCGCAAAGCTAAACGTACTGGAACCCGACTCGTCGACTGCGGCCTTCGCATCTCCAACAATTCTACCGTCTGAGAACGACGCTCGGCAAAAAGCCGCGATGCGTCGTGCAGACACTACCACGGCGCGGGTCAGCACAGAGTCGCAGTGTAAGTAAGGCCCAGAAAAAGAGATGGAGCGAAGGCTCAGGCTGTTCAAGTATTACCATCCCAAGTCTTGACCACGCCGCTCGCCGTCCTCGCATGGTGATTCTGCTGTTGCCGTGCGACATTGCACGTGTGCACGCTCACGAAATTACTATGCGCCGCGCTCGCCGCAATCATCAGCTTGTGGGGATGAAACGCAGTCGCTGTGACAGGCTGGCTGCGATCGCGGAGGAAGCCCGAGTACGGCTCCCACGTGCTGACCGTGCGCCCAGTGTTAATGTTGAATATCTTGACCTGGTGGCGCTGCGTGCCGACGGCGAAGACGGGCGCGTGCTCGTGCACGCTGAGCGTCTTGAGGTGGTCGCTCGTCGCTTGGATCGTCTTGACGCTTTTGTCCATGCGGATGTCCCAGAGCTTGACTTCGCCGTCGCGGCAGCCACTGATGAGCTCGCGCTGGCCGCCGCGCTGCAGGTGTACATTTGTGACCCACTGCTTGTGCTCCTTCCAGACCTTGACCATGGCGGTGGCGGGTTTCTGGCGCTGGTCATAGACGCGGACGGCGCCATCGCCAAAGCCCGCGATGAACACGTTACCTTCGACTTGGTCGGACGTGAGTGAGGTAATGCAGGAACCAGAACGTGCGGGTATGTCCTTGAAGTCTGTCAGCTAGCTCTGGTCTGTAGATGAATGTGCTTACGCTTGTGCAGATCTCGGTACCGGCATTCCACACCCGGATCACCTTCACGTCACCGGCCACTAAGATGGATCCTCTGCCCTGCTGCCAGTCGAAAACAAGCCCAGCATTCCTATTGCTGGGAACCAGATCGGTCAAAGCGCGGAAAGCCGTGACTAGCTCAGTCTTGCCCCGTGTGTCGTAGTTGCGGAAGATCTTGATCACGCCGTCGGAAGACCCAGTCATAAGAAGAGCCTGGTCGTCTTCGTTGATGAAACGCGCTTCGGTGATCCTGGATTCTGCTGGGTTACCGTTTGAAAAGCAATTGATCCTCCGAGTTGGACCTCCAGAGTACTCGATTACGTTTATTGTGTCTTTATTGTCTGTGACCACAACATGTTCTTCAAATTGATGGAAGCACATCTTCATTGGCTGGCTGAGATTGTCAAAAAGCGCGTGCTGATGGTTCCAGTGATTCACGACGGCCACCTCTTTCAAAGGTTGAGTCTCTGCAATGATCTTGTCGTTACGATTTCGCCGCCACAGCCGTCCATTGTAGTCAGTGCTGCCGGGTTCGTCGGCCTCGGTAGGCTTCATCTGCGGCTCTCGGAAGTATTCCACGGACCACTCAAAGATCCTGCTCTTCAAAGGAAGCTCTGGCGGTACTCCTAGGCTTCTTGGCAGGAAACCCCTTGTCTTAGGTTGCTCTTCAACGTTGTAGCGTTCCGGGGTCTGCGGACGTGTATCCGTTGACGAGTTGTACTCATCGAACTTTGCACGGCTGGGGCTCTTCTGTGGGGAGGTCGAAGAGTCGTGACCAGTCCAGATTGTTTTTAGTGAGGCTGCGACGCTTCCTGTTCGCCGAAGACCACCCAGCAGTGACAGGTAGCTCGCCTCCTTCGAGGGCGTCGGTGGTTGGGTAGGCTGTTGCACGGGCCTCTCCTGGTGTACCCGTCGTTGTGCGCGATCCACAGGACTTCTCCGGACGAGCTCGTCGAAGAGCGGTCCGGCAAACTTGGCTAGTGGAGACTGGAGAAGGGCGAGAAGAACGTAGTCCACCACGGCGCTTGCGTCCCTGGCCACCTCGGGGTGAGGATCCGCCGCCATCACCATGACTTCCCTCCAAATAGCGGCATAGATTGTGTTCTGTGAACACGATGTAGAGAGAGCTGCAACAGCTGTTTTGGAAGCACGCCCCTTCATGTAGAGACCATCGCCAGTTTCATTTTCCTTTCCGGAGGTGTCGCTGTTGACTTCCTCTGAAATCTGCTCGAAAGCAGCGACCAGAAACTTGGTTTTGTAGCGGAGAACGAAGGTTGAGAAGAATATCAACAATTCCCTACGCACCATGCTGTTCCCATCCGTCGTCATCACAAGAATCATCGAAGCGATTGATTCTTCAATGGTAGCGACCTGAGTCGTAACATCGCGAATGCCCAAGAAGGCAGTGAGGGCATGCAGCATCGCTGCCCGGACCTCGGATACGGGATCAAAGACGAGCTCGCACAGGCGTTCATGCGCCATACATCGAATGCCGACCCATTTCGCCTCTTCGTAGTTAACCCAAAGCTTGCCCAGACAGAGGCATGACCACTGTCGCAGGAGAGGATTCTGGATATCTTTGAGGTGATCCAGGCAACTGTCCACAAGCTCTGGACTCAGGGAAGCACGCTGCCCCTGGTTATAGTCTTTGCAGAACATAGCAATGATGAAAGCGCACATCGCGCGGTGTTCGCTAGCATTCTGAATGGGGATACCCGAGTTGGGGTTGAAGATGTTAATGAAGTATTGATAGCCGTTGTCCTTGAGAAGATCGGTCTGACAGGATTGGTCGACCGCGAGGATGCGTGCCCATATGAAGACCATGACGGGTTTCAGCTCATTGGCTTGCGATTGTAGAAGCTTGAGGACGTATGGAAAAATGCCGATGCTGAGCGCTAGGTTTACAGCCCAGGGCCCGTGATCCAGGAAACTTGAAAGGAGAATGAGAGCTCGCAATCGATGGACCTGGCTAAGAAGCACCTGTAGCACGATTGGCAGCTGTTCGGGAATCTTCTGCTCGACAGCGCCCTGCTGCAGATAAACTTCAAAGGCGGTTAGTTGCTCAGAGAAGAAGTCAGAGTGTCTGTAGGTATATTCTTTCTCGCCACGAGCTTCAGCCTGGAGATCAGGTAGCTGAGCCAGAATCAACTCGACAGCTAGATCCCAGCTGCGCCACAAAGGATGGTCGTGGGTTTGAGGAATTTCGGGATGAGACACTGGATTGCAATGGTACGCCCTCATCACACGCTGCGCAAGTAGGTAATTCCGAAACAGTGCTGCCACCATTAGATCCTGCCTGAAAAGCTTCTTGAACAGAGGTTTGGAGAGGGAGTTCCAGGCGATTGTGTCGGTGATAGCAGTGAATATCCAATTGAGCTCGCCAATGGGCGTCCTACGCTCGGAGACTTTGCCAGGGATGTTGTGTGCATCACGGAGAGTGACGTTGCTTGGAAGCGGATTCTGCAAGATGAAGAACTTGACCGCCATGGTGATAGGGTCCGTCAGGCACGACGTGAAGACGTCCGCAGGGAGATCGGGGTTGGTTGGTAGGGACTCTTTTTCGCGGCAAGCTGCGAGGTGTATGCAGTCATGAAAATCTACAACCTCTACGTTTGGGTCCCGCCGCTGGGCTTCTTCAAACTCCAGCTGGTGTTTCTCAGCGAAACGAAGGAAGTTGGAGATGATCAGCCCGGCGTCAGAGCAGTCGTAGACGAACAGACTGGGCGCGCCTATCCAGCTCTGAAGGTCATACAGAGACAGTGGGATGTATTGGGTGTAGTTCCGGTTGAAGACCCATATTTCGCCAGACGAGGTCGGCCGAGGCACCCCATGGCCATTGTAGTGGAACAGAACCCTCTCGTTGCGTGCATTGCGGCGAAGTGTGGATGTATACTTGCGGGTCTCTTCGGTGGTTGGGTCCAGCAAGAGCTTATAGCGCGTGCGCATGCTGAGCTGCTCGTACTGCGTCTGCAACGCCTTCCCAATTTGGTTCATCGGGGTGTGGCCCGGGGTCTGTGATGTGACGGTGGGATCGATCCAGCACTCCTCTTTTGCACAGGGATTGGTCTTGATCACATCCGGGGGGTCGACTCCAATGTTGAGGCAGAGGGCAAGCACAGCGGAGACGGTCTTCAGGCGGTCGCGCATGCGCCATTCCTGGAGCGGGTACGCGCTGCCCTCGCTCTTGGGTATGCCGCCCGTCTCGTGTTTCTTTTCCGTATAGTACATGAAGAAAGACTGCGCTTGTTAGCCCTGACATGCCACTATGCCAGCCAGTCTGCACCCACTGATGTCAACAGCTGGTTGTACTCCTCCGAATTGAGTTGGTCATCCCAGCCGTGCCGGATCTTGAAGTGGCCGTCGACGCTGCCGGCTTCGTCGGCTCCGCTGTCTGAGGGCGTCGTCTCAAAATGGCGGGGTCCAAAGTCGCTCCTCGCGCGCAGCATTTGCGGACGCGAGAAGGAGCGTGTGCTGCTTGGCCGCCGCGAGGACACGGCGTCCGCGTCGAGCCCGTTCATGGCAGCCAGGTTGGGCTGGGAGTCTGATGCAGTGCTAGGACGCGCAGGCGTTGCACTGTCAGGGCTCTGTGGTTGCGGTGGCGCCGCAGGGGCTGCTGCTGTGCCGTTCATGGCTCCGGGCGAGGGCGCGTGCAAGGCGAGGGGGTTGACGTGCGGGTATTCGTTGGCTGTCCTCATCTTGAGCTCTTAGCTGTGGTGACGGAAGTCCAGGTCGCGCAGCCCATGTCGCGGGCCTGTGTTTAAGCGTGTGCGCGAAACGGATACTATGTGTGAGCGCCGTCCAGTCCAGACTCGAGGGTGCGGCGGTGAGGGGAACGAGTGAGTCTGGCGCCCTCGACAGGCGTTATGCGCTGACGCGCGAATGTTCACCGCGGTGCGTTTGGGAGAGCTCTGGTCGGAGCTAGACCCCATCGGGCGCCGGTAAGACTGCAGGCGGGATCGGGACGGCCAATGACGCCCAGCTGCTTACACAGTACATGCGCAACACCCGCATCCGCGCTTTTGGCATGCATCTGACCGTCGCAGAGGCAGTAGTGGCGGGAAGGCTGCTGGCCGCCAGGAACAGCTCGCGGTGGCCACCCAGGCGTGTGCCAAGTGCCGCTGCACGAGGATGCTCCTCCACAGACGAGCAATACAGATGTTCCATACTGCAGGCGTGGCCGCTTTGATCCGCACAAATCTGCCTTTGTGCTACGTTTGTACATACGAGCTGCCTTGCAATCCAGATGTTCGTTTGCTAAACAGTCTCCAAAAGCCATGCTCACAATCGCATGGGGACTGCTACACCACCAAGTGGAGCTGGGGGGCCATCGAATCACGGCGGCTTTCCACCAGCGTTCTGACGCTCTGAACGGTTCGGCCTAGTTGCCGTGGTCTAACTGCCCCTGCGCCGCTACGGCGGCCAAACAGCCATTCTTATTGTGGGAACACCTGTCAAAACCCTCTGCGCCGTGTGCTGAGGTGGACCGCTGTGAATTTATAGCTCGAGAAATTGCATGCAGAGGCCCATATGCACGCCAACCAAACCCCTGTCGTCGCGGATCGGACTCTCAGGGGCATCGGCGGCGTAGGCGTGCCAGGCCAGCAAACGGGCGCTGACAGCTGGACAACAGGAGCGCTGCTGTGACGGGCAATTTGGCAAGCGCATGCCCGAGTGCCCGCCGTCGAGCGTACCAGACACATCCTGGCCGGCTGCGCTGTCGTCTTCATCTACGCGTCAAGTGCGTGCTGCCGTCGCCCGTCGATCCTCCTTGGCGCTGTGCTCCTGCTCTGTCCGCGTCCCAGAAAACCGTTGCGCTCTCCTCCTCCGCTGACCACGTCCCTCTGCCTCCACGATCGTCCTCTCCGCTGCCCGAGCGCCTGCTAACCCGCCCGCAAAGACATGTGCGCCCCGGCCCATGCGCCATCAGTTTGAGACCCGCGCTGCTCGCTGTCTCGCTCGTGCCGTCTGCCAGCCCCCGGCTGTGAGAGCCCGCCCACGAGCCCACCACCACCACCCGCCCCCGTAGTCTGCGCATACCGGATGCGTCTTTGTGCGCGCTGAGACCCGCTCTGACGTCGCCCTCGGCGCAGTCCCATCGCCATGTCGTTCCTCTTTGGAAAGAAAAACAAGCAGCAGCAGGCCGGCGCCCTCCCGCCCGCAACACGCGATATCGGCTCGTCGCATGGCCCACCACCCGCAGGCTCGCAGATACCCGCGCCCAACGGCACCGGCGCACGCGAACCCTCCTCTGAGAAGCAGAGGAGCGGGTCAGGGACCCAGACCTCGACCCCCGGCAACAACAGTGCGAACAACAGCTTCAGCTCGCTGAGCGCGGGCAACACCGCAAGCCCCGAGCCAAAGGCCCTCCGCGACCAGGGAAATGCTGATTTCGCGGTACGTATTTTCCATCTTACCTCCCGCTCGCCTCGGCTTCCGCCAAAGCCTGCCTGTCATCGCACGGCATGCTAATTCAGTGTGAAGGGCGGCCCAAGGAACGCCCGCGGTCCCCCAGAATCGTCCCCGTATCCATGGAGCTCTCGCCGATTGAACTTCACTACCAACGCCTCGCCTTTCCCTCGGTATGGCGCCGCCATCAATTCCTCGACCGGCTCTGCTGGCGTTATCTACATCATGGGTGGGCTCGTTGGAGGTGCTACGGTCAAAGGCGATCTCTGGGTGGCAGAGATGGGGAACGGTAGCATGGCCTGCTACCCCATATCGACGACAGGCGACGGACCCGGCCCCAGAGTAGGTCATTCCAGTCTACTAGTCGGCAACGCCTTTATCGTTTTTGGAGGAGACACGAAGCTCGATGAAAATGACGACTTGGATGACACCCTCTATTTGTTGAATACATGTAAGTCATCGCGGACCGTCTGTGCCCACGACACTGACGATGTGTAGCAACAAAACACTGGTCCAGGGCACTGCCGCAAGGACCACGGCCGACAGGTCGATACGGACACACGCTGAACATCCTGGGTTCCAAGATCTACATTTTCGGAGGTCAGGTCGAAGGTTTCTTTTTTAATGATCTGGTTGCATTCGACTTGAACTCGCTACAGTCATCGTCCAGTAGATGGGAGGTACTGCTTCCCAATCAGAAAGAAGGGACCGCATCGTCACCTTCGACTCGCTCCCCCCCTGCTCGGACCAATCACTCGGTTGTCACGTGGAACGACAAGCTCTACCTGTTTGGCGGCACGGATGGAGTCACCTGGTTTAACGATGTCTGGACCTACGATCCTCGCTCCAACAGTTGGAGCGAGCAAGAGTGCATTGGGTATATCCCCGTTGCCCGAGAAGGCCACTCCGCAACCCTCGTCAATGATACCATGTATGTTTTCGGCGGTCGCACTCAAGATGGCGTTGACCTCGGAGACCTCGCGGCCTTCCGGATATCCTCTCGCCGGTGGTACATGTTCCAAAACATGGGACATTCCCCTTCCCCACGTTCCGGTCACAGCATGACCGCATTCGGCAAACATGTCATAGTAGTGGCCGGTGAGCCATCGTCATCTGTCGCTGACAAGAACGAGCTGAGCCTTGCGTACGTCCTGGATACTTCTAAGATAAGATACCCACCAAACGAGGCGCCGCCTCCTCAGCCCGGAAATGCCCCAAGGAAATTGAGCGGTAGTGATAGAGCGAATATTCCCCAGGCGAAAGCTGGTTCGCCTCCTACCCGTGGAAGCATGATGCCTAGCGCACAAGAACCCAGACCACAAGATCTTTTGATGAACGGTGCTGGACCTGCTGGATCTCGACTGCCCCGCGCAGCAGGCCCAGCACCCTCAGGGCCACCTCCACTACAACAGGCCCCTCAACCACGGGGACCCCCTCCGGCGAGCGGATCTCGAAGCAAAACACCCACCAAGAATGAGAGAGGTTATGGCCCACCATTGGATACCCGTGGAGCCTCGTTCGAGCGAGAAAACATCTCTCCCATCACGAGGGAGAGCCCCGCTGATGTGCAATCACAATCGCTCAACGATGTTGCTGTTAACGGAACCAGAAAAATGTCCGAGGGTGGCCAAAGCCAACCAAAAGAGTCCATGGATACGTCACGGTCGGGGAGTCTTGTATCGCGAAGCACTTCAAAGTCACATCGCCCACAGCACTCACTAGAAAGTATAGAGCAGGCTGCCGCGAGACGTTCCAACGAGAACCAGCAACGTGCACTAAGTCGGGAAGCCGAAAGACCAGCCGATAGCGGGGCTGCCGCCTCGCCTGCGGTCACCCAGATCCACAACGAGTTGAATCAACAGCTAGAAACACTCAAAGTCCGGAACGCTTGGTATGCTTCCGAGCTTGCTCTTGCTCGGAAGGCTGGATATAACGCAGGGACAGCCACCAGCCCTGCTTTTGACGAGCGTTCAGCAGAAGCTTTCGGTGACGATGAGAAGCCTTTGTTCGAAGCGCTGCTCAAGATGAAGAACGAATTGGAAAGAGTACAAACTTCAATCAAATCGCAGGGAGACGACGCGGCTCGCAGGATAGCTGAGGTGGAGAGGCAACGTGATGCGGCGATCAGCGAAGCAATCTACGCAAAGGCGAAATTGGCTGCCCATGGCGGTGGCAGCCAGGGAGGCACCCCTCAACCCGACGCTCCGCGTAGTACCGCTACCCCTGATATGGACCGTGTGGCCGACATCAACCGTCGGTTGGCCGCATCACTGGCCGCTCAGAGTGAATTGACTATAAAGCTGGAAAAGTTGACCCATGAGGTTGAGGCTGAACGCAAATCGAAACAATTAGCGGACGATACGGCGGAAGCTGCCCAGAAGCGAGTACAAGAGCTCGATTCTTCGCGCCAGAAGAATTCTGCTGAGCTCGAAGGATTGCGAGCTGCACTACACGAAGCCGAGCAGATCGCCAGGGAAGCAACAGCTAGCGCAGCCGAAGCTGAAGCCACGTCGAAGCTCTTGTCCGTCGATAAGAACGAGCTAAGCAGCAAATTTACAAGAGCCATGGAAGAGTCCATAAATCATGCGTCTGTGCTTCAGTCGCTCAAAGAAGCTTTGGCTGCTTCATCAGATAAGTCTGGTCTACTAGAGAAGCAATTAGAGGACGAACGATTCCAACGAGAAAGTCTACGACAGAAGCTTGCTCAGCTGCGGGCGGAGCACGAGAACCAAACCATCGAACTAGAAGCGGCATCGCAAAAGCTTAACGACACTGAACAACTCGCCGGGAAGTATGCTGAGGAAGCACGACTCCATCGCCAGGCAGTTCTCAATGGCCTTGGGCAGATTACCAACCGCGACGAAGGTATTGAAGATGCAATGGATGAGCGTGTAACTATCCTCCAGCAACAGGTCGAAGCTGCGAACGTCATGGTGCGCAAGAACCAAACAGCAGCGGATGCGGCATCCGAAAAACTACGACGGGCTGAGGAGAGAATAGCCGGCCTTGAAGCGTATCAAGAGCAGTCTAGTCGTGAAGGTCTTAACATCCGCAAGCAGTTGCAGCAAGCAATGCGAGACATGCAAGCAGCTGAAGCTGAAAAGGCCGAGTTGCAACAGCAACATGAGCGTCTGCGGCTGGACAGCAATGCTTTCGAGGTTCAGCTCAAGACTTTGAAGAACCTCCTCGAAGAGCGAGGCGTAAGCGCGGTGGACGCACGCCGCTCTAGGGTTCTAGACAGCCCCAATTCCAGATTCGGAACGCCAGAGCTCAATCGCGTTCGTGAATTAGAGCAGCAAATCGACTCCATGGGCAAAGCACACGACGAATTGCGGTCTGCTTTTGAGCAGCGCGAGCATGATGTAAGTCAGCAATGGGAGGAGAAATTGCAGGCTCTGCACAATGATCACCAAGCCGCCGTCAAATACCTTCGGGGCACGGAGAAGATGCTTACCAAGATGAAGGCGGAGCTCGACCGGTACAAGCAAGAAAAGGTCAAGCTGGAGGCTGAGCTTGCGCAAACACGGTCAGCTTCGCGGAGCCCGACCAAAGAGCAGTCTGCGGAGTGGGAAGCAGAGCGTGAAGCCCTCCGGGCCCAAATATCCTCCACAGAGGAGAACATGAAGGCATCTGTCGCCAAGTTGGAGTCCCAGCTCTCTTCCCTGCAGACGGATTTGGCCATGGCACAGCAAGAAGCTGCTGCTGCTGCTAAGAAGGTGAACGAGGCGGAGTCCTCAGCCCAACAATCACGCGCCGATCTAGAAACGCTGCGTATCCAGAACGCGGAACTGGACGAGCGGGCCCGCGAAGCCGAAACTCGTGTGCAGATGTTCCTGGACCAATTCGAGACGTCTGTTGATAATTACCGCCGTCAATCCCAACCCACATCGACAGCGGTCAACGGACAGGCCCGCGGACATCGTCCACACGATAGTATCGCTTCGGGGGAATCAATGTACAGTGATGAGGGCACTGCGACCCCTGACGCCGGCAACAGGCCCAGCTCAGCGGTCACGCGGAATTCCATGGCACTGGATAACCTCGCTTCCGAATTAGATGCTCTTCGAAGCAACTGGGAAACCACTAACAAAGCCTATCGTCTTTCTGATCGCTTTGACTTTGAGCGCACGCCCACGAGCGAGAAGGGCGAATTCAATGATTTCTCAGACTGGAGGCAACGAATGGATGCATCGATGGTTGACGATAACGATCAGGATGGCAGGAAGAACTCTGAGGCGCACGATTCCCAAGCAACACCGACTTCGGCCACAGCACCTCCATCTGCGGCTCCAGTCGCGCCCAAAGCTGCTTCTCCTACACCTGCCGGCCCCGGCGGTGCCGCCATGATATAAATGACGACCAGGGCGTTTACCGGATTGATTTTGGAATGCCGAAAAACCGAATACCTCTACCTTTTTTTCTTCTCTGTAGGACGGGCTGGCTGGGCTTTCTTGGATTGTCCGTTTGATTGGCGCTAGATGGTCTGCCTTTGTTTTCACTTTCACACTTTCGCACATATGCCCGCCCTCGAACTATGTGTGGGATGCGGTTTCAGTTCCCCGTATTATACCATTTTCTTCGGCCTGTTTTTACTGCGGGCTTGTGCCACGCTCGACTCTAATTCGTAACTCTCCCTAATGGTTGTTGTAGTATCTTCTCTGTGGTCTTGTGTAGGGATGGGATTGGGCCGTTTGCGATATCGTAGGACTGGGGCTTAGGGAATACCACTATTGATTGTTGTATAGACACTGCATATGACTTGTGCCGTGATGAGTGTAGAATGAAGATGACGCCAACGCGCTCTATTCTCTTTCCTCCAATGTCTCCCGCGGCGGCGCAGAGGGATACAGATAACAACCGTGCGCGCTGCATGTAAGGTCGCTGTGACACGCGGACTGTTCAAGAATAAAACGTCCTAAAAAACGGCCCCTAAAAGCAAAATGTGGATGTTATAATCATGACAATTACCTATACCATATTGCTGCTACACTCGAACATTTAGTAATTAAAGGTCTTCAAGCTCCCGCTCATGTAGGCAGCCCCCTTTCTAGTGAGACAATCTGAACCAGGATCTCGCTGGGCTTTCCGAGATCATAAGAAGCCCTGTACAATTAATGCCGTGCACATTGCAATCTGTGTACACAAGGACGCCATGACACGCGGGGTCCGTTGTGTAAGGCCTCCGCAGCTTAAGCATTGCTAGCGCGTCGTGGCGCGCATGTCTGCCTGGCGCATTCGAGGCAACCGCCAGTCGCGCGAAGGTGTCGCGTAGGCAGCTGACCCGCCTTTCCACTTTGCTACCCGCCTGAACATTCATTTCGTCAATTCGCAGCGCCTCCCCAGCAATACGAAAAACTATATTCGTATAAACAGGACGATACCTCTTCTCCTCTTTTGATCAAACTTCCAGCTGCACTTCCCCGTTTATACCATCCAAGTCACGAATTACTTCAAAACCACCTTTCCCTTGATCCCTCAGCCGCACAGTGTTCCTCAACTACCGCCATGGTCTCTCTTTCAACGCTGCCGGACGTACCGGCAAAGCATGCTGACTTCGTTTCTTACGTTGAATCGCATCCTGACACGTCCCTTCTCGAGCTTCTTGAACCCTACAAAAAATACGATGCAAAACTACGCGAGATATTTGCCCAAGAACCAGATCATCCTGTCCTGGCGGATGAGCATCTCAATGTCGTCCCCGTCTTCAATGGTCACACTTCCAGTCTCAAGATCCGAGCGCGAGACCTTGACTCAGAGTCTCAAGAAGAGAAGGAGCGATATATCATGTCGCTTGGCGCCGAAGAAAGGCGCCCGAACAATTCGCCTGCCATTGTCCAAGATATCAAGGAATTCCAACAAAACTTTGCGCTGTTCTGTGAGAGTTCACTTGTCGATCTCGATTGGAGCAATGTCGTCGCTGCCGGATCGAGTGTCGTTACGTGTTTGCTGCCAGTTCCAAAGCAGTACAAAGAGTCGAAACGAGCACTAAGGCAGTACTACCACGAGACTATCGCCCCAGCTTCTGATGTAGACCTCTTCATTTACGGCCTCAGCGAGGAGGAAGCTGTCAAGAAGATCATTGAGGTTGAGAAGAGGATCAAAGATTCGATCCTAACCGAGACAACGACCATCCGAACGAAGAACGCAATCACCATCGCCAGTCAATACCCGACTCGCCACATCCAGATTGTATTAAGGATCTATAAGTCGGTCTCTGAGATCCTTACCGGCTTCGATGTCGATTGTTCGTGCGCGGCTTATGACGGCAAGCAAGTCTGGGCCGCACCGCGCGCATTGACTGCATACATGACCCAGGCCAATACCATTGACCTGACGCGTCGTTCTCCATCGTACGAGAGTCGCCTGTCGAAGTACTCCCATCGGGGATTTGAGGTTTATTGGCCTCTGCTGGAACGCTCCCGTGTTGACCCTACGATCTTCGAGCGTAATTTTGGACGGACTGTCGGTCTTGCGCGTCTGCTCGTTCTTGAGCGACTTCCGACAAAGACGGAGAGGGAGTCTTACATGGATGAGCGACGAAGGGAACGTGGTCGTCCGCCCGTGAATCGTTACAGAAATTTCTCGATGAGGGATAACATCAAGGACCGACATGAGGATGAAGTAGCGGAGTGGGTCGAGCAGGTATTTGCATGTGAACACTGACTACTCGAACTATGCTAACAAATAACAGGAAGATGTCAGTGACTATCACACCTTCACCATTCCCTATGGTCAGCCGTATCACGCCAAAAAGATCGAGAAGCTCTTGTACACCAAAGATCTGCTCTTGAACTCGGAGTGGAACAAGCCCAAGGATCGCGAGGTTAACCTTCATCGTCACCCTGCGTTCTTCGGTTTTGCTGAGGATATCATCAACGACTGCTGCGGATTTTGCCCCCAGCCGGTGACACCTGAAGAACACGACGTCGCAGAAGAAGAGCGCAAGATCTATGTCTCTGGAAAAATCTCCTTCATCAAAGACGACCCCGGGCGTCAAGCTATCGGCTCATTCAACCCTATCACGGATGATGATTGGACCGAGATGGCTTACGTCGGGAACACTGCTCGATTGTGTCAAGCCATTGTTGACGAAGATCTGGAGCACGTTGTGGACTGGTTGGAGCAAGACGGATCCGATCCTAACTGTCGTGACTATAGTGAGTAACAGTTGGTGATTCCACTGGAGCTATACACTAACCTCCACAGCTGGTCGCACACCACTCCATCTAGCTGTCACTTCTTCCACTCCAGAAATCGTCCGTGCCTTGATTGATCACGGCGCCCGTCTTGTGGCTCGTCTTGCGGACGGAAGAACGGCGCTACATCTAGCTGCCGCTCGAGGCAGTGTGGAAATGGTCAGAATGATTATGCAGAAGAGTGAGGAGAACGAGGAAGAAGAGGCTAAAAAGGAAGATGTTCGCAAGAAAGCACGTATGGCGGAGAGAACACCCAAGAATGAGTATCTAAGCGAACGGCCGAAGTCTGCAAAGGAAGACGATGATAGCGACGTCGATATGATTGAGAAGGATGAGGCCGAATCTGATGATGAAGCACGCACGACAATGACTGGATCGTATATCAAGGTCAAAGAAGGAGAGAATACGACTGACAATGCGGTTCCTGAGGAAGACGAGGACGATCCCGATGTATACGACGTCAATGTCCTAGCGTGGGATCTTCAGTGTTCACCCCTTCACCTTGCCATCTTGAAGGGGCATACCGAAGTCGTCAAGGAACTCGTTCAGTCGTTTGGAGCAGACGTCTTCCTGCCGATCAAACTTCTCAACGACCACGACAAGTCGCCAAGGGGAGCTATACTGACCCTTGTTTTGTCTCTGGGTCTCCCATTGGAACAAGCTAAGGAGATGACTAAAACACTGTTGAGCTTGGGGGCTACCTCCGTCCAGGCTGACACCAAGCAAATGACTGCGCTTCACTACGTCGCTGTGAAAGAGCCTGAGTTATTGGAAATATTGATTCAGGAGGATGAGCCTGCGGCTAAGCGAGCCATCAATCATCTCGGTGTGTTAGGATCATCCTGGCGTCCGTCTTCGCAAAGTCCTCTCATGAGTGCGATCTCTTCAGGAAACGCGCTCGCAGCGTTGAAGCTGCTCGAATCGGGCGCGAATCCTTCCATTGACTTCAAGGATTGGATGAAGTCGGTAGAGCCTCAGTTTGACAGCATAGCTCGAAGCGATTCTGACAATAACCGAAGAACTTTCACCCGAGACATTGAGCAACCAATTATACTGGCAATCGAGAACGAGGTTCCGGAAATTGCGGTTCGTCTATTGGAAATGGGCGCGGATCCAGACACTCTCACCAAGCCAACAAAGGAAAGTCTTGAAAGGGACTACAACACTAGCTACACCGACATGGACTCTGTGCTTGACATCGTTCGAAAAAAGATCACCGACCTGCGTGACTACGTCCGTGAGGTCAAAGACTCGGGCAGACCGTCAAACCCTCGCATCAATCTGAAGAACGATATCGACTATCTTGAGGGCTTTGAGCACGGAACATACAAGTACTTTGTCGCCAAGGCCCAGTTGGAGCGCGCAGAAGAAGAGGACAATCGTGCCAGAGAGAGCTATGAAGACCAACTGAAATCTTACACAGAGCGCAAAGGTGTTGAAGAAAAGATTGAGGCTATCAAATCGATGGAGAAGAGGTTCGAGGAGCTTGAGCAAGCTTTGATGAGCAAAGGAGCGAAGACATTCAAGGAGTTACACCCGAATGTGAAGCTCGAGAAGAGGCCATATTATGGCTACAACCACCAGCCATGGGTACCGCCACCTTTTGAAATCAAGTTCGACTTCTCTGTTCCTGATCTAACTGATGAGAGAAGGGATGCTTATTCCAAACTGTAAGTGCTACACTACCTCATCCTTACGTATTCTAACGCAAGTTCAGCTTCCAAGCAGTATGGGATAATGACCTTGAGACCGTGAAAAGCCTGACCCTGGCTCCGTGGGGACACAACAGCCCACTCAAGATCAGCGTCCAAGACGGACAGCGTAATAGCATCTTCGCCATCGCAGTCATTCGCGGCCATCTCGATCTCGCACGAGCTCTTGTTGAGATATGTTACGCGCAGTTTCAGCCGCCAGAAGACGACGATGTCAAGAAGTCACGCTACCGACTTGCGAACGAGGACGAAGACGACGAGAGTGATATGAGTGATATCGCCGTGTTAGAGGAGACTGTCGACGACAGGTTCACAATTGAAAACATTGGCGAGCTTTCGACACAGGTCAAGAGCGATATTTCACCTATTCAGTTCATGGCCGGACAAGTTCAGGCCTGGAACTACGTCAAACACTTCCTCCCTGAGAAGCAGATCACGTACGGTATCGACAACCGCAAGGTTGACATTGCTAGCAAGCGCGACTCTACGTGCAGCCTCAGGTCCTGGGCTCTTATCACCAACGACAGACCGTTGTTCTCGTTCCTTCTCGATCTCGACTTTGAGTGGACAGACAGGTTGGCCATGAAACTGGACGGGTCCTCTGGCATACCATCATTCTCAGGCTGCGACTTTCACCTCGCTGTCGAATACGGCCGCACAGAACTGCTGGCGGATATGATCAAGCACGCAGGTGCAGGAATCGAACTGGAGTCATTTGTCAAAAACTCTGGAGTCAAATACCGCGAGAAGCCAAAGTTTTATCAGGGTCTCAGCGTAGGTTGATGCTCCTACTTAAGATTCCAACACTAACAATTGCAGGTTCATGGAAAGAAGCGTCCCGCTTGGATCAACGCTGCTCGTGGCACTTACTCACAAGGAGTCTCTGATAGCGTACCGCCGCTGCTAAGCGCGGCTTTCAAAGGGAGCCTTCAGATGGTGGAGTGGTTCATGGGCGACGCGCCGGCTCGCCACTACCTTGACTTTGCTGAAGCTTACAAGCATGACAAATACATCGGGCATATCAACAAGAATGCTGGTGGCTTTGAAAGGCTTCTCAGGAAATGGCTGGGCACTAGACGTGAGTTATCGGATCCTTTGGCAAATTGACAATGCTAACTTTCGATAAGGTGAGCTTGCGCTGCATCTTGCAGTAATGGCAGAGCCGAGTCATGAGACCTTCAAGCTGATCAAGTACCTCATTGACACCATGCCCGACTCGCTAGAGGTCAAGTCCACAGACGGGTATACACCACTCCTCATCGCATTCTCGCTCCATCGTTTCAGCGCGGCCAAACTTCTTATCGAAGCTGGCGCAGATCAGACTGCCCGCATATCTACAGGTTCCAACATCCTCGACGTACTCCTCGTAGACCCCTATAGGAGTTTCATCATCAACGACAACACCATTCTCAACCGTATGCTGAGCCTCATCGACCCCCGTCTCGTTCCTTCGCTCCTCAGCGAGCGCACCTCCGCCCAACCCGGTTCCTTGACACCTGTCGCACACCTGATGACTCTAGCTGGCGGTTACAACGTCGGAGAGCTCAAGACAGAGATCCTCGAGACACTGCTCGACTTCGCAACCCCAACCAACTACGCGTTCCTCGAGCTGCTGGACGGCGCAGGCGACACCCCCCTCCACTGGGCCGTGAAGAAACAAAACCAGATGTACATGTCCGCCATCCTCAGCCGTCGCCCGGATCTCCTCTTCCGCGAGAATAGCGTCGGTCGCACGCCCTGTGAAATGGCAGAGGATTCCTGGCTCGCTAGCCGCGTACGCGACGCGCCGTCTGTCACCCAGCACACCAGCCAGTCTATCGTCCACCGCTCTACAGAGAGTTTCGCGAAGGATCACGTCGAGTCTGCTAAGACGGACATCGCGGAGAGTATCTGGGCTCAGTGCAGGGAGGTTGTGGCGTCCTCACGCGGATCGTTGAAGCGGAAGCTGGTCAGCTTATTGGATGCGAACGAAGTTGCGAATCGGTTGGCGAAGAGGCATATGGAGAAGAGAGCTACGCAGCAGGCTTGGTCAAAGAAGCAGGATGCTGTAGAGGAAGAGGAAGAGGAGGTTAGCAGGGAGGTGGACGAGGTGAGGGATTGGTTTGGCATTACGGTGAAGGGGGATGGGAAGGAGCTGGAGGTTGTGGATCGGACGGTGGGTGGGGAGAAGCATGCGCTGATGGATTATGCGAGGCAGCTGCGGGCGTTGGAGAGATGAGGTGGTGGCGGATTCCCCATGGATTTGGATTCCTACAAGTGGAAAGCAGCCAATATTAGCGTCGTAATTCGCACCCAAGCTGGCCAAGATGATGCATGCCCTCGAAATCTTGTGATGCTCGCCAGAGTCATCGATGGCCTTAGCCTTCACCTGGAAGTCACGCTAAAAAGTAGTGCTTTGCGCCGCCTCGAGCTTCGCCTTTGAGTAGGCGGCGTGTCTGCAAGCTGACATAGTATCGCAGCGGCAATGTCGGACCCAGAGTACTCTCGATGGCACGGCTACACCCACTCTCGCGACCCGTGGACTGAGGTCGCGCTTGGGGATCTCGACTTAGTCGCTCAAACATGTCGTTTCCAAGATGCCAGAAGAGGAGCATATCTAGCTGAATGCTCATTTATCTGGCGAACGGTCAAAATTCGGCGAGCTCACGGGTATAAGGTGTGGCCTTTTTTGCATGTCTGAGCACTGTCACCGTCTGCTTGGACGCAATCTGGTTTCAGTTAGTGTTCAAGTCCGGGCGCACAACTTCGGACAAGTACTACATATCAAATCTTACACACAAGGTCCCACGGCCCGCTCTCACTCCCCGTTCAAGCCCTCGAACCTCTCATACCGCGGCAACGGAAACCCCTCGTCTTCCTGCTCCTCGCTCCCCAACCACCTCGCCATCCAGCTCTGTCCCAATAGCCATGCCGCAACCCTCAACCCCGTCTCCAGCAGCCACCGTTGCCACCCCGTCGTCGGATGCGCGATCCCCGGCACCACGCCGGGGATCTTCTGCGTCGCCTCGACGAACGGGCGGAACCTTTCCTCATACCCGTCCAGAGCTTTAGACGGGTGTTGTCCACCCTCCAACTCGCTAATCTCCCCGGCCAACGCATACGCCCCTAACACCGCGAGCGATGTCCCCGCCCCGGTGAGCGGTGTAGGGGCATACGCCGCATCGCCCAGACACACCACCCTTCCCCTCGACCACCTTTCCATCCTGATTTGCTCCACGACCTGGAAGTAGAAATCCGGCGCTTGCTCCAGACCCTCCAGAAACCGCTTGGCCTGCCACCCCGCATCGCTGAACTCGCTCTTCAAAAGGTCCTCCTGCGTCTGCCGATCGGCGCGCGCAACCTCCCGCCACCGCTTCTCCTCTGAAGCGCCAGGCATGCACGTGACGTACACCCTCGCCGTGCCATACGGGTCCGGCCGCAGCGCCATGATGCGCCGGCGCAGCGCGATGTAGATGTTCCACCATGCGTTGTCTGCGGGGATGCGCGGGATGGTCCAGTACGCGCCGTACATGCCCTTGTGTAGGGTCGTGACGGTGGAAGCATCGAAGACTTGGGCGCGGACTTTGCTCCACTGGCCGTCGGCGGCGACGAGCAGGTCGAAGGAGGATGCGGTGCCATCGTTGAATTCGACGGCTACACCGCTCTCGTTGTTGTGCAGGACGCGCGTGATGGTCGTGCTGAAGCGGTATGTGACGTTTGGATGGTTTTTCGTCGCCTGGTATAAGATGTCCGCGAGGTCTCCGCGGAGGATCTCGAATGCGGACGTGAAGCTCGCCTGCAAGCCTTCTCGTACGGGGAACAGGGCGAATGGCCGGCCGCTGGTGTCGACGAATTGGGTTCCTCGCTCGGTGGTGTTGCGGGCAAGGACCTGGTCCCAGAGGCCGGTCTTCTTGAAGGCGGCGAGGGCGGTGGCTTGCAGCTCGATGGACTGGCCGTAGGGGCGGATGGCGTCGCTTTTCTCGACGATAGTGACTTTGATATCGGTCTGGACGAGGAACCAGGCGAGCGTGGGGCCGGCAATGCCGGCGCCGCTGATGAGGACGTGCATGGCTTAGGGTTGAGGGGTTGGTGTTGCGATGGAGTGGTTTGATGGGTTGGAGATGGGGAGTTTGCGATTCTGAACAGGCGTCTGATCAATCAGTATAGAGGCCAGCAGGAGTAACCAGTAGTGTTCGTTAGGTCATGAAGGTACAACATGTTGGCGATCCAGGCTCTGGTATATATAGTCGCCCTCCATCGTCGGTCTCAGTCGGTGATAGCATCGGAGTCGGACTCGTGACACCGAACTCGATAGGTAGCAGGCTCGAAGTCGAAGGGGTAAAATTGAGACGAGTTTGGCTTTCTCGCGAGAATGCACAGTTCTGGTGTCTATACTCCAGCAATGCCAGCACGAAGCGTGCGGTGTCGACACCATCGAGGACGTTTGTAGGATTTCGCTCCTTCAGGACTAGACCCGAAACCTCACCAATCTCGAGGCATTCGCATCTCGAGGGGTTTGTTCGTGCCGCAGGGCCCTACATTCGCGCTCGGTTTCGATCGATTCCAGGAGGACTCGAATGCATGGGTGTGCGGCTTCACAGGACCCAATAGCACTACTCCTGTTCGCGGTTCAAGCGCGTGGAGATGGGCGGCGTGGAGTCGCGTGACCAGCGCTGCGCATGCGTGACGTCATAAAAACAGGGCGCTTGGACGGCGTAAGCACAAGCAGGCTGCAGCGCCTCTTCCTTAAGTACACCCCGCTCGGGCTGCCACGCTTCTCCCTCAAACTCGCGAGCTCAGAAACCCAAATACAAGAATCAAAGTCACCATGTTCCAGTTCGTGCTTGCAGCTCTCCTCCAGCTCTCGCTGGGCCTCCTCGTCGAGGCAGCGCCCGTCACTGCGCAAGGCACTAGCTGGCAAGGCCCGACCGGTGGCGGTGTCGTTGGATTCATTGTCCTCGTTCTCGACATCATTGCTTGGGGTACGTCTAGACGGACCCGGCAGGGAAGCAGCAGAACACTTGCTAATGTGTCGTAGTTGAGATCGTCAAATCGAACCGCCCCCCACTGAACAAGGTCATCTGGTGCCTGGTCGTCTTCCTCTTCCCCATTGTCGGCATGCTCATCTACTACCTCTTCTCCAACCGCGCTGCCCACAACGACAGCGGATACGAGGCTATTCCCTCATAAGCGGATCGAGGGGTGTTGGAGCCGTATCCCGCTGGACCACACAGCCAGGATAATTACATACGTTTCCACGACTGTTATCATAAGAACCACTCACGAACGACTCGCATTGCTACGGCGTTGAGGTGCAGGTTTACGAGGATACGATGCCCAAGGTTCCCGGTTTTCGTTACGAGTTTGGAGACGCACCAAGTATGTCGGTGGAAGGATCGCTCACACAGCGTACGCGATGTGCTGTCGGAGCCCCCGATCTTAGCAATCGATCATGTCTTTCTTCACAACCACTGCTTTCTACCTTGTTCGCGTGCTCACTCTACATGCCCAGTCCCAGCCGTAATCGAGAATAGTAGCATCAGAGACGAGACATTCCCACGTAAATAATCTCCCTCACCATAGAAAAAAAAGGTTACTCTTCGTTAAAGATTAAGCAAGAAACTCATTATTAAGTAACTCCTGTACATTATAGCGGTATTTAGTACTAAAAGGCTATGATGTACTCCATAAGCAAGTTGGCCATGTAGGCAAGTTATCTACTCTACTGAGAGTCTAAGACCCTACTAAAATATACTATTACCTATACAGCGCACAGCGGCTGGTGGAAAAGGTGACAAGTATCATGCCTTGAAGACGAAGTAACCACAGTCGAAGCAGACAAGGAGCTGTCACATCGGTAAAGAGGCTCATGTTCATCATCATGCTCATTTCCTGAGAAACCAAACGTCGACACCAGTGCAAGGTTAAGACGATGGATCTCCAGGGCCAATAGCTGGCTCTAGGGTAATGTGCCTTCTGTACGTCACACACCATCATTGCTGGCTCCTCGCTGTCCAGATGTTCAGCAGCAATCCTCAACACCCTTGTGCTGTTGGCGTTCTTTGGACATGGTTGAACAAAAAAATGTTGCTCTGCTCCCCTGTTAACCGTCGCTCGCCCGTTTACCTTCGCTGCTGTCTCGAAGTACCAATAATAGCCTGTAGGGTTATCACCCTACCCTGTCTTCTCGTGCGACCAGTTCGTCTCCTTCTAGTGGATGTTGAGGCTAAACCGGAATTGTCGGTCGGATGCGCTGCAGCTAACCCTTGAGCAGTGACAGTATATGTGTCGCCGGCCTCATGGGCAGGTATCTGAGCATCCCCATGCACGGGCATTGCAAAGGTAGGGCTTGCATATGTTCCGGTGGTGGCATATTGATGCCCTGTAGAAATGCCGTATGCAGAAGCAACGTGAGTAGACCCGGGAACTGCCGTTTGCGCTATGTTATAGCTGGCTGTCAGATGGCTTCTGGGCCATACGCTAATGACTTCATACCAGTCCTCCACGAGAGCATGGATCAGTTCGTCGTCGTTTCTTCTTCTTTCATGGGCTCTGGCTTTCTCTTTGCCATGATATGTCCGGGCACGTGCATCGAGTCGTGCCGTCCACAACACCCCCCCGGGACGAGAACTGAACGCAAAGACCGGATTTGCCCTCGTGAAATGTTGCTGCTGTTGCAATCTTTCAAAGTCAGTTCCATTGTTCCTTTGATGGTGCTGTCTGGCGTCGTGGCTGGGGCCTGCATGTGTATTGTAAATGCGTGGGATTTCTTCCGGTATATCTCGATGTTGTTCATGATCCCGCCGGTGGTGTCGTGGCGGGCGAACATGCCGGGCTCCTGAAGTATGCCTTTCCGTATACCGACCGTCCTCGGGGTCCCATTCCGCGCGGTCTGCACCTCCTCGCAGAGAGGGCACTTGGTGACCCTTTAAACTCCCCCAATGAACTTGCGGCTTCAATTCCGTCTTGAGAATGATTAGCATAGAAACAATTTCCGTCCGGTAGCGGTTGATGCGATGTATTTCTGGCCGAATTCCGGCCACTTTCCACTCGAGGACAGGTTGCCCTATTTGTAGTTCCTGATTTTCTCGCGCAAGGAGGTCCAAAATGGCGCTTTGCCTTTGTGGCCCTAACCGCTCGTATCTGTCATGTAATGTTTGATCCTTCTTGCCATCCTTGACCATCAGGGCTACGACCTGGAGATATAACTGTTCGCTCGAAAAGGCTAATGGTTCTACACTTGGTCTTAACCAAGACCGACCTCTTGCGTCACTTCCCGTTGCATGCGAGGACCCTCTCTGGATAACCCAGCCGGCGTAGCGAGGACTGAAAGCTGCGGGTGCCGGAACTCGGCCTAGTTGCGAAGAATTTGAAGGATCAAGTGCAGGGGAGCGTAACGATTTTGGCACTGTGCCATTTCGAAGCAAATCCAACTCCGAAAGTATGTGTCTAAGCTCACTGAGCATATCACTAATCATGTCGCTCCAAGTAAGGTCTGGCCTATGCGAGCAAGTAAGCTCTCTCTTTGTGCACGCCATCATCCAGTTTACTACTAACTTTTGATTTGAGAATGTCATAAAGAATATTGACAGCCGGATTTGTAGATTTACTTTATGGTCTTGTATCCCGAATTCCACGATTGTAATCTTTGTCTCGAGCAGCACAAGGCTCTCTTGTGCCAACTCGACCTTCTCCCTTTCTTTTCCCTCAAGCCGTCTTGGAGCGGGAACGCCTTCCATGAACTCGGACATTTGCTTTTCGACACCTCCAAGCCATGTCTCACAGCTCTGTAGTTCAGCATAGAGATCATTAGCTGCATCAGGGACCTTTGAAGACTCTTCTGGGGGTTTTGATGTGAGCTGCTCGAACAGTATCTCGATCCCATGCAGGATTGACGATGTAGCGCGGATCCGATCAGCTATGTCCCTCATACGTACATCTGCGCCTTTGATTCTTGCTGCATAGCTAACCATATGGTCGGCCAAATTAACTGCGATATGGATTGTCTTACGCAGCTGGCCTGCTTTTGCGTCAAAATCTTTCCAGTGGTTGAACCCAAAACGAGGCGTACCTATGATTTGGTTCTTCCCACCGCTAAGAATTATGTTGCTTGCGACCACGCCTTTATTACCATCGATCTTGACTCCAGGTGGATCATGAGAATCTGGATCTTTTTTCTGACTCATTGGCACATTAAAAAAGCTTCCTCCAGTCGTAGTCATCTGCCAATTATTAGGGCTAATGTTCAGGATGAGGCTCCATTCACTGCCACGCATTTGGACGGTGAGCACATTGGCTTATAGCCTAAATTAGCGGCCACTAAACCCTACCTCCGCTCCAGTGGGGTTCTCGATTAGCTACAAGTCAAAACCTAGGAAAGCGAGAGTTTTGACCCCCAAAAGGTATAGACTGGCTGGCAAGCCGGTACGAGCCGGGCTCGCCCGTACTACCCGAACCATGCACTCAGCTTCCGCTAATGTAAATCTCTTCAAGAAGGCTGGTTCCAGCTTCATCCATCCAATTACAATAGTGAAGAGGATAGGCTGAATCCATTTCTAGGCATGATATCCCATGGCTTCGTCGGCAGATCAAGCTCCCCCCAAATGCCTGGGTTGATCCTGTTGCAGCTGAAGGAAAGATAAGTCGATGCCGTTGGAGAGCACATACCATTCGCACGCATTTAGTGTTAATATGCTGACTGCGTCAGAAATCGATACACAGAACATCACATCGGGCCATGTTAAGCGACCCACCAGGTTGGATCTGGCTTTTGCATGTCGCCTTCGTTTAGTTATGCAATGGTATTTTCAGGTGGAGATCACGTGGACCAGTAAGGCAGAAAGGGCAACAGAGCAACACAGCTGAACTTGCATAATGCGGGACGCAGATAAGCTCAAACCACCCAGCGAATCGGGAGCGCCGGCCGTACACCAAAATTTTGTTACTTCCAAAGCCTGTGTCACTGAACTTCAGCGTGTGGGTGTCCATGTCCAAGAGCATACAAAGGCTGGATTGGCGTCGGTAAGCGTGTCTTCGTGAAGCGATCTTAACTTCGTTTACTAAGTGCACAAAGAAATCGTCGGTCTCCCCTCATTTCTTCTGCCTATCTTAATATGGCCGAAAGAGTAGGGTTTGGAACACCTCTATACAGCCCAGACAACGCCAAAGTCGAGTGCGTTCTACCCTATATTGGCAGCGAACATTCATTCGAACTTCTCCTGCGGCCTCGCTAACCACAGGTCAGTGTCGTATTTGTCCACGGTCTGGGTGGCCATAGAATCAACACATGGACTTCGGAGCCGACGAAGAAAATCCCAGTGGAAACCTTTTGGCCAGAAGAGCTCCTCCCCAAGGCGTGCCCGACGGCCCGCATCCTCTCGTTTGGCTACGACTCCCGCTTCGTCAAATTCTTCCCTCTCTCCAAATCAAACTTAGATAAAGAGGGAACAATTGATGAGTATTCGACAGCCCTCTACCAGAACCTCGCCAGTCTCCGCGAATCAACCAAAACGCCTGCAGATAGGCCCATCATCTATGTAGCACACAGCCTCGGCGGCCTGGTCGTCGCCAATGCCGTGTCGCGACCACCGGGCGCCAACGAAACAGCGCAAAAACTCACGGACAACACCATTGGCATGATATTCTTGGGCACGCCATTCGCTGGTTCTGACAAGGCCTCGTGGGGCGAAATGGCAGCAAAGTTTGTGACATTGTTTGGTGTCCAGACAAAGGACACCGACATCAAAGATCTCAACGAGCGGTCAGCGAGGTTGATCGATATCAATCTGGACTTTGATACGTTCATCAAAGGACGAGATCGTGATCGCAAACATGGGCCCGTAGAAATCGTATGTTACTATGAAGCAGACCCAACGTTCATTGGACCCGTGTGCATAGGAAAGGTGGTGAGCAAGGAGTCGGCCGCGCGGCTTCCAGCCATTGCTGCGCTCTCAATTCCGGATAATCACTCCGACATGTGCAAGTTTGCTGGCGAGTTTTCGAGCGGATATGCCAGTGTATCAGGCCAGTTGGCGCAATGGATCACCGCGCTCGATAAGAGGGGAGAAGAAGGCGAAGACCATGCGGTGCGCCCTACTTGGTAGCTGGTCGTTGCGAAGCAGGCTAACTCTGTGCAATAGGGTTCAACGAGCGTGAGAATTGACGGCGTAGTTAACAACAAAGGTGTGGTAACAGGGGTTATCAAATCTCTCCCTGGAGGGACAACTAGCGTCACGGGCTCAGCCGACACGGTATATTTCCCAGCCCATGTCTTCTAGGTCTTTGATATCGTTAACACTACATATAGACCTATAACTTCGGCCCACTTCCCGATGAAGCAATACTGAAACTCATGGGGAAAAAATAGTGTTCTTTGGTCTAGTTAGGGATGATTTCGTGGACAGCTTTGCATAGTACTTTATACTTATACTGTGAAGGCAATGGACACAACATGGACATCGTTGGTGATAAAGGTGGTGTGTCACACTCGTGAGAGCGGATGTATTGTAATAATACGCTATGAGATAAAACTCCAAACAGCATATTCCTTTGGTACATTCCTAGAGGGATTCGGTAACGCACCGATGCACCTTTCAGACTTACGTGTCCTAATCAGCTCTAATAAGGGTCGAGAAATAGACTCTAGGGCTATGGTTTAAGAGGCTAAATGCTGTAGGAAGTATAGAAGCGGGCTAGCAAAGGATGATAGAAAACTGTTAAATACATTCTAGGAGTAATAAGCTCAAAATGCCCAGAGTAAAATTTGTTAGTATATCTTCCGATTTTGCTACTACTTTTCGCAAGGCTAAGATTACAACTAATATTGTTAAAGTCCGATCCTTTGCTAGAATAATGCCATTACATAGTAAAAAAAAACAGGCCCAGCATATGTACTACATTTATCGCCCTCTATTTCTTTAAACCCTTGCCGCCGGCGCACTGCCCATCTGCGGCCCGTTGGTAATCTGCCTCTTCTTCGCGCGTCGGCGCAACAATAGCAGGATGATAACCGCAATGATGATGACCACGATGACGCCAATCACGATACCCGCGATCGCGCCGCCCTTGATCTTCTTGCTCTTCTTCTTGCCGACTTTGCTGGTCTTGCGCGCGATGAGGCTGAGGAGCTGGTTTGCGGTTCTGGGTGGCGGGGGTTAGCACACGGGTTGGAAGACGGGATGGGTGGAGAAAAGGTGGGGAATATGCGGGCGTGTGTATGCGCGTGTGTATGTGCGAGTGTATGCGGGAGTGAATGCTTACTCCGGGTCGTTGAGCGCGCGCTTGATGCTCTGGAGGGACTGCATCGCGGGTTGTGTAATGGCGGGCATGCTGACTTTGTCGCGCGCTTTTATGTTGGACTGCACTTTTTTGATCGCAAACGAGGAATGGAAGGGCGGTATGGGCGCGTAGCGTGCCTTTGTACTCGTACTGGGCTATGCTAACGACGATCTGCTCTCGTAAATCATATCAATGACAGCAGCACCGCTAATTCTACCCCGAACCAAGTATTCACCGCATCCTGCGCTGGCAGTGCACGCAGCTCTTTTGCAGGGGCCGCGAGACGTCATGCGTTGCGAGGCTGGCCTGCATGTGCTGTACCAGGTTCTAAGCGAGGAGGGCGACGCCTTATTCGCCAGGGTAGGGCGATCACCTCGTGTGTGACATTTCAGCTCCGGCTGTAATCACGGATACGAGCGCGGATTGGCCGGTGCGTGGGAGCGTTGAGCAAGCTGGGGCTGTGGTTGGGCGGTGAGAGGGCATGCTGGGGACACCAGCGTGCTGCAATGGGGTAACGGGCGACTGCTGAGGGTGTGCGCCGGAAAGCTTGAGTTGGCAGCAAGCTTTAGGGGACTTTCTGGTGGCCTGATGTAGGCGCAAGCTTGTCTATAGTACACAACAGGAGCAGGAGGTATTGTGACGAAGAGAAGTGTAAGAGTGATTGAACTTTTGATGATCTGTACAGTATCAGGTCTCGTTGGAATCAGTACTGGAGCTGTCTTGTGTGATTGCCTTGTGGTCGTTCCTCTCCTTCGAAAGTAAGCTCGGGAAATACCCCGTGTTTGTCATGACGAAGTGAAAGCAAGAGCAAAACAATCATGCTATTCCGCTTCTGGACCGAGTCAGCTTCTCGACAATGTACCGCGAGAGATACATGCCATTTCTACATTTTGAAGGTATTGATTCAAGTGTCGAAAGACTTAATCTGTATTCGAACACTGCGAAGTATGGGATGACTCAATTTTTATTTGAACACTGCACGACCCCGCTTGGATGCATAGTTCTCTATTTCTCGTACATTGACGCAGTGAACCACGCTTTTTGGGCATTCACAAAAAGAGAAACGGCCGGCATCGATAACGTGTCACAGTAAGGAGTTCACGTGTACGCGTTCTCCCTTGACCACTGACGAGTGATCAATGCTGACAGCCTCAGAAAAGCGTAAATTTTGAACTTTGGTGACGAAGCAAAAGCAAACCTGAGCGAGATGTACGTTGCATTTAATAAGCCCGCTGTAGCTGTAGAATCGATCTCTGAATCCGCATCTGAACTCGGAGATTCTGAACCAGATTGGGGAGCGATCAAGTTCATCATGCCATAAACCGCAACCGGATCCCGCTGATCAGGGTCATCGAAGGGTGCTATATCAATATGCCTAAGGTATTTCCTCCAAATTTGTCAGCTTTGCCTCGCTTGGCCGCGTGATTCATAATCTCGGAAGCGTTCCAACAGTTCGCATGTAGACACACGGTGCCCATGGTAGCGTTGTCTTTTACTCCAGCGCCGGAGCGGAACGCCCACCCACTTGATGAAGCCTAAGCGGATATCAGACTTCCATAATTCGTCGTCGTTGTTAAGAACCTAATTAAGAACCCAATTAAGAACTTTAACAGACTTTTACACATCGATCCATTCTTGAACCCTCTAAATCGTAAGATCAATCAACACGTGATCGCGGAGGGGGCGGCGAGCACCGTTTCCTCGATGACCGCAATCTGGACACCGTACATTGATGAGAATCGGTTGAGGGGAAGGAAGCAAAATGTAATTTCGGTGTCGGCGTAGTGATGCGCAAATGAAATGATCGGAAGGAGCTCGGTGCAATTTTTACTGTCCCACATGATACGTAGCCCCTGCAACCCGCCAGCCGCCGAGTCTTCACTATACAATTCTTGAGAAGAAAGTCATGATATAGAAGTGGAGGCTCTCGCGCTCCTATACTAAATGGTTCTTGCCAGAGTAACAAAGAACGCGGATCTCTATGCCTTCTATGACAGCCCAGACCGTAGCGTTTCACAAAACATAGGCATGGCAATCAGAACACAATGCCCCTGTCATAATGATCGTCTAAACGAATTGGCTCTGTCGATTTGGCAGGCTGGACTGGACAAAGACGATAATAACTGCTTGATTCAGTCATTAGAAAACAAAGATATCTACAAGATGAGTACGCGAAGAACAAGATGTCTTCTATCATCTCATTCACGTGTGTCGCCTGAGAAACATGATTAAAGATCGCATTGATAGGATGAAAACCCACTCAAAATAGTGTAATTTCTACTTGCTGGCCCTTACTTGGCGACTCTCCAGGAGGAAATGGCACAAAGGCCATTGACACAAACTCATACAGATCATGTCCGGGCTGTCTTACGACGAACTGCAGTTCTTTGTCAATCTCAAAGTGCACAAGCAGATCCCCGTTTCATACAGTGTCTCGCGCAACGCCAAGATACTGCTTTTCTGTCCCGATAATTGTGTTCTCTAAGTTTTGTCTTTTGGACGCCCAGTTGTATATCTGTTGAATCGAACGAGGAACATCTGCTTCCTTCGTGGAGCGCAAGAGATGCATAGTCTGGTCTGCTATCCAGTAGGTTTCTCGGACCGTTCCTTCCTGATCTGGATCGCCACAACGGGTATACGGATCGTGTTCCTAATGCCATAGGAAATCTTTCCCGTTGGCGACGCAAGAGTGCTGCCAGGAGAATCACCGTAAACTCTTGATTCCAGGGCGACATGTCTATTGAACCTCCATTTTCTGTAGACTCAATCGAGATTGTTCGTTGATCGTGCATGATTTCATTACGGTCCCAGAGCGAGCTGACAACGCTGTTCACGCTCTCGAGTAAGGTTTTCGACGTTTCTGACCAATCTAGTACTCGACAAACTACTTGAAGTGAGAGGTTCCCGTTTGCGTTGATTTGGTACGCTGAAGCTTCATAATGGTTAGATTTGTCGGCACTGGCCCAGGAAGCACATGATCTGGCCGTGCAGCTGACCAGTCGGGAACCCAGGACGGGAGAGCGGCAACCTGCTTAGGCAGTGTGGATGCTCAAAGTACTAGGGTAGTCTTTCGGTCAGCGGTCTTGAATGTAGCGATTCTGGCTCAAGCAAAAACTTCGACTTGGTCGAGCGAATAATCTGGCGACAAAGGTGGAAGATCCGGATGCTAAGTTGTGACCAACCCCAGCAATCAGTATATATGATCGATTGGATTGATTGCTTGTGGCACAGTCGAAGTACCTTGAACCCCAGGAGTGAAGGTCCTAGCGAAGACGATTCTGGTGCCATGCGGGCGTTACGTCGTTGGCGGTAAAGTGCCATTGGTGGAGCATTCGTCAGATTGTGCAAGTTGTTCTCTCTAAAATCACTTAAGAGCCCATGTAGACCGGAAATCTTGGAACATTCATGCCTGTGTGTTGGACGATGTCGAGATAACCGCGAATGCTCGTGATGAACAAACATGAGGCAGCTACAAAGCCAGCAGAAACAGCTCTGCTTCCACATACAATCCACGGGCAACGTGAGAGTAGCAGCTCTTGTATTACCCAAACACGTTTTCATCAGGGATGGTCGAAGAAAGCAAGCATGTGGGTTGCAGATATCTGAGGAGGGGATCGAACGGTTTTTGATAGTTCGCGGCAGATCGAGCGTTGATGGTGCCATTGGAACAGGTACCACAAAGCTTTGCGCACCCAGGGTGTCTTGTACTTGACATAATATTCCTCAACCTGCACCGCTAGGCTGTAGACCTGAGGATCCACGTTCCAGTGCTCGTCTCCGGTCGCATCACTAGGCCAAATTGTATGGCCAGAGGAGACATGCAGCGCAGCACCAGTGGCGACTTAATCTAGGTATCCAGCGCACGTGAAGAGCAGATTGAATCTTCACACATCCTACACATACGTTCCAAGCGCAGGTGGTTACTGCAGGTACAAAGTATGACGACGATGGGCTAGACCCGGCGGCTAGATGCCTAAATCTCGCTTAATCGGTCGTTTCGCCGAGAGATGACGGATCGTTCCCGACAGACAGATGAGCGAATCACGGCTTTCGCGTAGCTCATCATCCCGTTTTGGTTTCAGGCTTGTGCAAGATTAATGGCAGGGGCGATGCATCCTCCCACGCGACGCCAGATATTCCACCAATATCTTTCGTCTCTGGTTTGAGACCCCCACCAGCCGCCTGGCCCCAATGCTCACAGCAAACACTCCGGAACTTCGCGTTTGATAGGATCGACCGACAGAACGGAAACAATAATGGAAACGAAACGATTCGGGCCACCAGCAGCACAATAGGGTCTGTTCCGGTGCCCGAATATTCTGAATAGTGCACCCTATTGACCGTGAGCCCCATTTGTTCCATGCACAAATCGCTATGCAACGATGAGTTTTCTGAGGCTTGGCTGTCGGCAAGAGGGATTGCACTAGAGCGGGACTCCCGCATAATCTTGAACGGAGAATCTACGTTCAGCAGATTAGGTACAGGATCCTTGCAGCATAATTGGCGTCAAACGTGGACATCCGAGATACCCAGGCCATTCCCCAGAACCAGGCAGTAGGTACTGCGGTGGCATGTCCGTGGTTAATCTAAGTCGCACGCGGCTCGAGGTCTTGGGCGTGGTTCGGGGACCCACAGAAATAGAGGATATATGTCGAGAGTGTCGCTCATCTTTCTCAACCACCTTGAGTGATTGCTTCCTTTCTTTTGAAGTCACCGCAAGCTCGGTGTTGTCGTTCATTTTTTCTTGTCAGAGCATCTGCCTGGCGTTACCTTCGTTTCTACAGTCATTCTTTCATCCACCACGACAGAGCTAGGATCTGTCAGCCTCGGTCTTTACCATCCCACTATCCTTCAACCATATACAACTCAACAAACACGAAACGATGCGTTCTACACTTGTAGGCTCGGCGGCGGCCCTTGCCGGACTCTTCCGCATGGCGGCGTCGAACCCGGTCGCTTATACCGATCCGAACACTGGCATCGACTTCCAACAATACTCTGCCACCGGAGTCGCGTTTTCCTTGGGTATTGCTTTCCCCGAGACACTCGGGTCGGACCTCATCGGACAACTTGTGGTTCCAATCACCAAGACGGGTGCGTGGGGAGCTGTTTCGCTTGGCGGAGGCATGTTGAACCATCTTCTGCTTGTTGCATGGGCCAACGGTGAGGAGGTCGTTAGCACTTTCCGTACCGCAGGTGCCTACGCGAATCCAGCTGTCTACGACGCCACCGAAGTCTCAGCGCTGCCGATCGCCAACGGGACCTTCGTCAACAGCACCCACTTCTCATACACCTTCCTCTGTGAGGGATGTATCGTTGGTGGTGACACAACATTCAAGGCGACGGATGACCCTCCTGTCCTTGGATGGGCACTGTCTTCTGGAAACCCGACGACCCCCTCAGATCCCGCAAGTGAGCTCCCATACCACGATGCTGGCTTTGGATTGTATGGTCAACCCATTGCCGCTGCTCAGTCGGCCGACTTCGAGACCTGGGCTTCTTGGGCCTCTAAGACTACCACGCCCGCTCCTGGAGCCGGCAACTCTACCCTGCCAGTGACCGGAAACAGCACATCCCCCGCTCCCACCGTTTCCAACGCTACTTACGATGTTATAGTTGTTGGTGGTGGGACTGCCGGTATCATCGCGGCCGAGCGTATCGCTGAGGCCGGTTCAAGCGTCCTCCTCATCGAGCGTGGCCCTGCCAATACTGTTGCACTCGGATCCAAGGAGGGTCTCGAATGGAACAACACACTGACTCCATATGACATCCCTGCTCTCGGAAGCAGCTTGTCAGGCATTTCCGGCACGAAGATCTGCAGTGACACTGCATCAATGGCTGGGTGCCTTCTCGGAGGATCAAGCTCCATCAACGGAGAGAACTTCATCCGCCCTCCTCAGCACGACTTCCAGAACTGGCCCGCGGAATGGTCCTGGGACGACGTGAGCAAGGCTGCTGACCGCCTGTACTCTCGCAACCCAGGTACCACTCAACCGTCGCTTGATGGCAAACACTACGACGACATGTCCTATAGTGTTGTGTCTTCTTACCTTGACGCAGAAGGCTGGACCAACGTCGACTCGATCGAGACGCCCAACGAGAAGCACATGGTTTACTCTCGCCCTGCTTGGTCTATCGTCAACAACATGCGTGCTGGACCTGCCAGGACCTACATGCCCTTCGCTGAAGAACTCGACAACTTCACTCTCCAGCTCGGCACAAAGGTCATCCAAGTCCAGCGCACTGGCAGCAGCGTCACTGGTGTTCTCGTTCAGCTTGAAGATGGAACTCAGCAGGTCATCAACTTGAAGGCAGGCGGTAAGGTCGTCCTCGCCGCGGGAGCCCTTTCCACCCCTAGGATCCTGTGGAACTCTGGCATCGGCAAGTCTGATGCTCTCAAGATTGTCCAGGGTGGTACTAGTGGCGTCAAGCTTCCGGAAGAAGCTGACTGGATCGACCTTCCCGTTGGTCACGGCCTCAAAGACCACGCTCAAGCTCCTCTCCAGTTCAAGACCTCCGCCAACTACACCGCCTACAAGTACACCGACATCGCCACCGACCCCGTAGAATCCGACGTCGACCTCTACAAGCAAGGCTCTGGTGTGCTCACCCAGGCCGCGCAAAGAATGCACCTCTGGACCTCTGTCAACGGCACTGACGGCCGCGAGCGCTACCTCCAAGGAACTGTCAGCTCCATGAAAGACGGCACAGTCACCATCAAGACCTTCCTCACCCACGGCACCACCTCCACCGGCGAACTCGGCATCACAGCCGGCGGCAACACCGTCCTGAACAAGAAGCCATGGTTGGTCGATGACGCTGACCGTGAGGCGTTCTCCGGCTTCATCCAGTGGTGGATGGACATCACCAGCCAAGCCAACAGCTCCATCACCTCCACGATGGCGCTCCCCACGAACTCTACCCCGGAGTTCATCCTCGCTGAAACCCTTATCTCGGGTGACCACTGGGTTGGAACCACGAAGATGGGCACGGATGATGGACGCAAGAACGGCAGCAGTGTTGTTGACACTGACACCAGGGTCTACGGCACTGACAACCTCTTCGTTGTCGATGCTTCTATCCACCCCGATCTCCCTACTGGAAACACACAGGCTATCATCATGGTCGTTGCCGAGCACGCGGCCGAGAAGATTGCCGCTTTCAAGGTCGCTAATGGCACCGCTCCTGCTACTCCGACTACACCGTCAGCTACCCCCTCAGGTGTCGCCACTCCTTCCAGTGTCGCTGTCGGCAACTCTACTGTGCCATCGGCTACTGCTGCTGCAGAGAAGAAGTACACCATCCAAGAGTTCGTTGCATTCCTCGAGGAGGCTGATGCTGCTGATGGCTCTTCTACCACCACCAGGAAGCGGGATGCTCAGGGCCGGTTGATTCGCCGGTACGTCAGTCGCCGTTCGGTGTAGAGGCCCTTGCGTTATGATGCATAGATGGGGTTACAAGGGTTATGTAAATAGGTGCTTTCTAGATTCGATTCTTCTTGTATATTTTCCAGATATCGTAAATACATTTTCCAGTCACAACGACATTTGACACCACTACAGTTGCTATGAAATTAGTCAGACTAGAGCTCAGCAGTCACAGGCACATGCTACTCAATCTCCCTCGTATGTGTCAGTTTGTAACCTACGATGTCGGAAACAAGAGGTACTTCGATTGCACTAGACATCGACCGCACTTCCAAACGAGTGTACCCCACTAACCCTGTACAATTTTTCCAGCTCAGTAAGGACCGCCTCCGCCACCTTTAGATTCCATTTCCTAGCTGTCGACGACCCCCAAAACCTCCTCAAAGAAGCATACGTCCTTCACGCACTTCCTTAGTTCGGCACACACTTCCCCGTCCTACAGTCACAGTGCTTCTTGCTGTCAGGACAGTTGTCCGCGTAGATCCAGTTGAACTTCCCGCGTGATTTCTCGGCGCAGTACATCTACCATGAACCCGTTTTGTCAGCCACACTTTACTCGTTTCAATCTTTCTCACTCAGTGCGATTAGGGGAAGATGGAGGGAGAGAGAGAGAGGGGTGGGGGGGACTGTACAGAGTGGCCGCCGTTGTTCTCGCAAGCAAAGGCGCCCGAGCCGGGGCACGACTCGCCCTTTTTGGCGTTGCAGATGGCAAGATCGGCGCGCGGGGCGAGGGTGTCGGGGATGCTGGCTGCAGAGGCGGCGAGCGCGAGGGCGAAGATGGCAGCGAAGGACTTCATTTTGGGTTGAAGGGATGAGGTTTGGGCTTGGGATTGTAACTTGCGATTGATGGTGCTGGGGTGATGAGTGCTGTGGATGCTGCCTAAGTGGAGAAAAACAACACGCCTTTATATACACACGATGTGGAGGCGATGGCGGAGAGAAGTCCCTTGCCTTTCTCAGCTGGAGGCCTCTTTGCTTCCACTAGCAAGGCGCTCTAGCTCGTCGAGTATCACCACACAGCATTCCAGTCCCATAGGCCTCACCGCAGATCGATCCTACACTGCTAGTACGAGGCAGGGTTACACCGGCCCCAAGATTTACAGTGTCGGTGAATTGCTGCCACGGAGGGAGATGTAGCCTTGGCGATTGGTGCGGCCGTGATGACGCGTCCGACCATGACTGCGTGTGGATGACAGACCGTAATGAGTACCTGAACAGGGGCGTCGAGACACGGCGGGGAGGCTGAGAGGGGTGCATTGTTAGCACGCGATCGGATATCGGGCGATGGTGATAGACTGATAGTCGATAGACATGCCAGAAACAGAATGTTTTATCGCGGTGTTGCGAGGCACAAGGAAAGGGCTGTGGGGGCCTTTCAATGTGTAGCACACGGCTATGGATTGAAGTCTGACGACCATCTCGCTGGACTCGATGGGATGGGACCTTGGACTATAGAGGAGCCATCTCGACGCTTTTACATGTTCCTCAGGCCTCGAAATAGTAGGTGGTACGCTAGTGATGCTTCCGGAAGCTTTTCGTAGCTTTAATGGCATCTCCCACAATCTCCGTGATTGTATGTAAGCCCTCGAACACAACTTGTCCGACGTCAAAAACTTCTGAATACTCCTGCAAGGCCTCCAAGAAGCGTCACATGACCAGCGTACAACTCCAGTCAGCACTCAATAATACCACACACTTACCTTCACCGCCACGGCAGATGACCGCCACGCATCCGCTCATTTTTAGCGTAAGCGCAGCGTAGTAGTTCCACGAACACCTCCACAACCACCGCGTATGCTATACCCGCTCGATAGACTTTCTACAGTGTTTGCCTAATCAAGGTCTTGCAGGGGCCCTCCCAACACTCGCGGTCGGCTCTCATTCCCCCTAGAGGACGTCCAGCTCGATCAGGTGGCCCACACGGCAACATGATCCCGACAAGGCCGAGTCCAGCTAACCCAATGAAGAGAATCGAATACCAACGCATTGATTCCGGAGCCACGCCTCAATCCAATTGCCTGGTACTATATCCGCTCGGTTTACGTATTCCACACATAGTATGCCCATAAGCTTTGGCACGGACACCACATGTTCCTTTGCTGCTATTGTCCCGAGAGCATTCGAACAGCTACCCCGCAATAGCCGACACGGAAGCGGTGCCGTAGCCTCCCTAGCTTGGCTGACATGTGCGTGCATGCAAGGGACAAGGCCAGCCTCGCAGCAAGGGAGCCGCGTCCACACACGGCGCCGAGATGTTCCATGATCCCTCAAACCGGACGGATTATACAAAACCGCCATGTCCCCGGGTGCTACAGCATTTTCAGGCATCCCAGAGTCCGCGGCTCCAACGACTGCTGTTTGCTAATATGGTGATACGGGGAATGAGGTCACCATTGGAAAGTGGGCCATCGCATTTTGATACGCTTTGACCGGTCCTTTCAACGTCAAACGGCTGACCTTGTCTCAGTCGAAGCGGTCAATGTGGCTGAGATAGGTGAATATGGTATTTCAAATTTGGATTGCTTGAGCAGGTTGTATGTGGCTAGGTGTTCGCGGCACTTGTTGTCTGGTCTATAGGTCTGCATGCATGACGACGTTGAGCGAACGACTTTTCGACAAAAAACTTAGTCGGTCAAGCAGCTTCTATCTCCCTGTCGCAAGAAAACCTCTCGTGGGATGGGTCCAGCTCGTCAGGCGCAGAGTTATATGCCTACCACATCTCCCTATATCTCAGAAGATCCCTCTGCCCATAGCACTCCCCCACCACAGTCAGTATCATATCAATCGTAACCTTCGTATTGAGATCCATATCTACCTCGGCCTTCCGTTTCTCCTTGGTATGGTCACCTTTTTCCGAATCACTGGAGGAATCTCGCTCGGACTGCTGTTCAGCCACACCATTCATACCGCCATTCTGACCGGAATAGTCCCGTGCTTCAGCGATGATCTCAGGTGGGAGCTCGGCGAGATAAGCTTCGTCTTGATCCGCGAGAACGGCGCGGCGGAGTTCAGGATTGAGGGAGGCGAGGAAGGTTGCCGGGTCGGTGTTTTCGGGCATTGCGGCGGCTTGCTTCCGGGCTTCGGCGAGGGCTTCTTCGTGGGAGCACTTGGTCTGGGCTTTAGATTGCACTTCCTCTCGTTGTATTTTCTCCGCGGGCTTCTTGGCCTGGCTTGACTGCGACGGCGATGTAGAGTTGCTACCGTTCGTCTTCGCACCCTGCGTAGCTCGCAGGGCTGCCCTGCGATGTGCCTCCTGCCTTGCTTTGGTCATTTTACATGACGGGTCATTGCACCTCTTGCCATTATGTCGGTGAGATCCACTTGTTCGAGGCTCCTTGTGCGCTAGCTGTTTTCCTTTGAGCTGGTGCGCTGGGACTTTGCGGTCTGGAATGGAATCCGTGACAAGATTGTCTCCGAGCTGGGCGAGGAGACGGGCGCGCGCTGCCTCCAGGTCGGCTGGAGTGTCTTCTTCTTCGGGGTCGTCGTCTTTGACCTCACCCTCATCCTCTGAGCTTGACATGTCGTCTTTGTGCCCCTTGTGCGTCGATTGGGCTGAATGCGATTGTGTCTGGCGTTCCGCCGCACCGTCGAACTGCCCGCCGAGATCCAGAGGCGGCTCGTATTCGTCATCGTCCTCGTGTACTTCACCATCTTCGACACGCTGACGTTGTTCCTTTGGCGCAAAGCTCGTCTCTCGTGCTTCATTCCCTTCATCAACTTCCATTTCGCTATGATCCTCGTCTTCATCATCGTCCTCTCCCTCGACCTCCCACTCTTCCGCATCATCTTCTCCTTCAAGCCGGTAGGCGTCTCGCCGCTCTCCGCTCCGCAGCCGAATGCTTAGCTGCCCCGCCTTGTGTCCCAGCTCCCGTATGCGGCCCACCTTATAGTAGTCCAGCGTCCCGGAGTCTCCAGTCAAAGCCAATAAAGTCCAGATCCAGCAGCTCTTCTGTTTCGATATCGTGTCTCCGATGATCAGCACCTCGGAGACATACTCCAGTGCGCGATAGAGGCCTTTATCGTCGAGCTGGGCGACCAATGCCGGCGTCGGGTACTTGTTGTCAAACGCATACCGCCAGTCGCTCTTGTAGTATGGTACCCTTACGTTCGCGTACTTGTCCGGGTCTGCCTTGACCAAAGCAGCCAGCTCTCTCGGGTCAGCGTTGGCCAATGTGTTCCGGAGCGCTTTGTAGCGGCCGAGCAGCGACTTGTAGTATGCAGCTTGCGGGTCGATGTCGTGGTATTGCGCCCACTCGTCGTCTTCGTCATAATACTCTCCATCCGCCTCATCGTCCACGGCCACCCACGTGCCTTCATGGAACCTCACGCGGAGCTCCCCGGTGCCGTCGTTGTATGTGGGCCGATCGCGGTCCCCGTTCTTGGGCGCTTGTGACGGTGCGACGAGAAGGGTGGGTATGGTGGAAGCTTCAGACCTATCACACAGGTAAGCTGTGCGTTCATGTCAACGAGGGTGCCAGAGAGGGATTCACATGAACTCACCTCACGCTGCGAAGGTACGCAAGAGCCTCTCTGGTGGTGTCATCTGCGTCGGAGGCAGAATCGTCGTCCAGGCCAGGGAACATGGTCTGCATGCCATTCTCTTTCTCCGGGCGCTTCACGCGGCGCGTATCGCTAAGAGCTCTGCCCGGTGACGAAGCTGCCCTGGGTGCATCGTCTGCTCTTGATCGCTTGGTGTACGGCGTTTTGTCTCCGTCCAGATCCGCGGCAGCAACGGCCTCAAACTTCCGTTTCGCGGGCGGTATTTCGCTCTTGAGCGGGTGTTGCGCCGTGAGCGACTCAAGGTAATTGTCCGGCCGGCGCAGCCTGTTGTAAGCAGCGCCGTCTTCGGTAACAGCCAAGTTCACACCAGATTGCGGCATAGTTCCAGGCATGCGACGTGTATTTCGCCGTGTTGCTGTTGTTGGCGATGAGGTAATGGTGCCTGCCTGGTGCTGGAAAGTTTTAGTGGGTCCTCGTCCTCTAGCTCACGCACGGGCCATTCACTCATCGCGGTGAACAACAACAGCTGCAATCGACGGCTGATTTCATTACCCGATTAAGCAATTTGCCAAAATAACTCCTCATCACTCACAGAAAGTTCAAGTGTGCAACTTCCAGAAGATGAGTCTATGATCATCACAGCCATGGAAACAAACGTCCAGCCAATGAAAACAGCTGCAATAGCATAGTATCTCTCAACAACCAGCGGCCTAGAATATCGACCAGCTCATGCAATCTGTTCCACATCCATGAGCAGTACCATATAACCTCTGGCCCACGCGGTCCCGACATTTCATACAGACACGTGGATTAACGTGGCTAACAGCGCCCCTTGCACGAGTGTTGACCACCACAACCATACTTTACCTACGCACTATGCGTACCTAGAACCCTCGCCCACCTTTCTCAACTTTGGTTGTATGACCCAACACACAAGAGCAAGCTCTTAACGATGAAAATACGAAAGTCAAGTCGACCTACGTATCTACTTCCGGAATTAACACACCGTACCCGGACTGTTTGTTCAAGTACTGTATCACTACAGTCGTTCGCGATCATGGGCGACATCCACAGCTCCGAGGGAAGTCCATAACATGCTTTGTCTGAAGGTAGCCTGACTGAACTCGCAGCTTCCAGATAGTGATAGCAAGTTGCTGTCCAACCCCAATAGGGGCTACTACGGCAAATCCTACCCCGGCCAGAGATTCTTCGTCCAAGAGCCCGGTCCTTTCGGTGAGAAATCCACCCGTGGTGGAACCTTGATGGGATGGTCTTTTATCACCACACATGGTGGAAAAGTCACGGGATATACCTCAAGCTATGTGTTTCACAAGGACGGCAAGCAACCCAATTTCGCGATCGAAGATGGAGAGATGGCTGTATACAACGGGAAGCGAAAAGGCAAAGAGTCAGAGAATCCGTCTTCTTGGAGACGATTGTCGGACAGTAGACTGGTGGAAAGTGTTGCGCAGATGAGGAAGAAAACCCTAAAGGCGGATGGGTGGACAATGATTGCTCCTCATGAGTGGGCGATAGAGGAAATGCCGCGGAAGATGAGCGTGGCACCGGAAAGTCCGTCCGAAGGTTCCGCATCTAAGGAGAGTACGTCGGAGAGTTCTGGGTCGAAGACAATTCACCAAGAGCCTCCGAGTCAAAGGGGGACAGGAAACCTCAATATCAGAGTGCTCCGATCGTTTCATCCTCGTCGAAGGAGAGTCTGTTGCAGAGGTCTGCGGATGAGGATACCGAGCTCTTTGAGTCACTCTTCTCAAAGAAGAGGCGAAAGGAACATGCCGAGAAATTCTTCATGTCGCTGCTGGCGAAGGGCCAGCCATGGCTTGGAGCCAGATCGTCGCTGGCGCATCCAATCGTATTCGACCCCAACGTTCCGTGGGAAATGCTCCCCTACAAGGCGTTCACGTAAGGTCCCTTCCTTCCTAGTATCGGGCGTTCGAGTTCGTTCCTGATGTTCCCTCTCCACTTATCTTGCTAACACCACTCAGCCATACCACCCCCCAATGCGCAGCACTCGGCCATTTCCTCTCGCGATCCGAAACTGACAAGCCTACAAACCCCTTGATGAAGTCCCCAAACTTCACCATCATCATCCGAGACATAGGCCGCTTCGACCATACTGGCCGCCAGCCGGGCCTCATGATCCAGGCAACAAATTTTAGCATCCGCCAGCTCGATAGGGGATTTGTGCCTGGAGAGAGGAGGGTTGAGATCTGGAGAAACGGGGAGACGTTTTGTTTTCCTGGTGTGATTGCCGTTATGGCGGATAGGTGTGCGTGGTTCTTGGGGGACGAGGAGCTAAGAAGGGGCGAGTGGATTATGGAGATGGAAAAAAGGAAAAATCTGGTCTCGGGAGTGGGCTTGGGGCAGCCATAACGACGGGGTACTCGGGTCGTGCTAGGGTAGGGGTCGTAGTTGTACCTGTAGGACCTGTAGGGACTCAACTCGCGTTACACAGAGTCCCAATGGGCCCTGGATTATGGGTGGGATTAGAAGACGATTGCAAATTGTGCAGATCTCTGGAGCTCTTATGGCAGTGTTGGCGATCAAGAAGAGTCATGGTGCAAGTAGACAGCATGATAATGACCTCAAGCATTTCATAGCTATTCCAGCCCCACCAAAACCTCATCTCGAGATGGTGGCTAGCAGCGTGCATGGCCATCGAACGAGCTGTGGGCCTTCCGGCCGCGGATGCGGTGCGCATGCACCTTGATGCGTAGGTGGATCGCCAAGATGAAGCCTGTGACGTCAGTAGCAAAGGACAGGTAAAGCAAATACGTCGACAGTGGAGATGAGGCTCTGCAATAAGACGTGGAATTGGATGGAGCGGGAAGAGGGCGTGAAGCAGCGAATTACTGAACAATGGTGTGTGGGTCCTGGGGCGACTTCGCGGCTTCCCCAGCTTTCCCCCGTGGAGCAGGCGCGCTAGGAGCTTGGGCCACGGCCAGGATGGCAGGCGCACCTGAGAGCTTCCCCTCAGTCATCCTGCAGCGGGTTACACAGCAGAGAAGTAGCAGACGCAGACAGAGCCGCTCCTCTACCACTCCTCCTCGCCCGCCATCGCCAACCCACCTCGCCTCCATCTTCTATCTCCGACCGCAGCAGCTCGCGCGAGCTTCCGTTGACTCTGACGTCAATCATTGCACTAGAAACCACCATCGCAATGCTCGCCCGTCGTGTTGGCGCTGGTCTGCGCAGCGCTGTCCCCGCGCAGCCTACGACTGCCATTGTCAATTCGCGTTGCTTCACAGCCTACGCCGCAGCCCAGGCTCAGAAAGCCCCTGCTCTCGCCGACATCAGGCCCGATGGAGCTGCCGAGTTCAATGCCCGACAAAAAGAGTACCGTGAGGGCCTCATAGCCGCTCAGAAGGAGAAGGAGCAAAGAGAAAGTCAGTCATCCCCCTCCGGTAATCTGCCTGCATCGTTACTTCTGCTGGGGGGAGATGTAGTCAGGTGAGCACCCTCGGATCGCTAACATCCAATGCAGAAGAAGCTCGTGCACAAGATGATGGCGACAAGAAGAAGGGCGGCGCCCTGAAGTCGCTGATCTACGGCACGCCCGAGGGACGCGAACTCGATAAGGACATTGAGAGGAGCTTCTCGCAGGTCCTTGCCCGCGGCAAGTACGTGCATTCCATCGTCTTCCACGATGTCAAGCCAGACAAGGTCGACGAGTACACGGAGCTTGTGGGCAACTGGTATCCCAGAGTGGCATCAATGCCGGAGAACAAGGTGCACTTGGTGGGCAGCTGGAGAACCGAGGTTGGCGAATGTGACACATTCGGTAAGCAGTCACCTCATCGTGCAAACTGAGCCGCGTGTTAAATAACCGTCCTCTAGTGCATATCTGGGAGTACCAGCGGTACGAGGGCTACCACGCCTCGCTCAACGCCATCCAACACCACCCTGAATTCGCCGAATTCGACTCCAAGCTAAAGCACCTGATCAACTCGAAGCGCAATTCGCTTATGCAAGAGTTCTCCTTCTGGCCAACGACTCCGCCACGCCAACTAGGAGGCCTTTTCGAGCTCCGTTCTTACACGCTGCACCCCGGCAACCTTCTCGAGTGGGAGACACACTGGAGGCGCGGCCTGAAGGCACGTCGGGAGGTCATGGAGGGTGTGGGTGCTTGGTTCGTGCAGATTGGCGAGCTGAACACGGTGCACCACCTGTGGCAGTTTGCTAATCTCGAGGAGCGCAAGGTTCGCCGCGAGCAGAGCTGGAGCGTTGAGGGCTGGGGCGAGACGGTGCACAAGACGGTGCCGCTGATCCAGGAGATGAAGAGCAGGATCTTGATTCCTTGCCCATGGAGCCCGGTCGCGTGAGCGGCAAGCATCTGTCTTTGATATTCCAATTTGCGATGGCGAAAAGAAGGCAACTCAGTACGGCGTAAATCATGTTCAGGCGCAGGAAGATTTTCATGTAGTATAACTCCACTCCCGGCAATGAGCTTCATCCGGACCAGCAAGCGATCGACATCATCTGTAATAGTGAAAGCGATGGATACGCTCCAAAGACACGTGCTTCATTCGTCGTAGCGATTTGACAACTATTTTAGCCCAGGGCGCGTTCTTTGAAACAAGCGAGTGTTTTCTGGCAGACCCCACCCCACGTCATCACCATCACAAGCTAGCGAGACGCGAAACCTGGCTTGCCCAGAAATTGTAGCGAACACCACAACCTGCCATCCTCCGCCCTCAACACCTCCTACACGGTTTCGACGCGACACGATACCAACAAACCGCCGTCATGGTGTACATACGGCAGGACAAGCTCCCGAAGCTCAAGGAGTACAAATACTCTGGAGTCGATCACAGTCTGGTTTCGCGCTATGTCTTGAAGCCCTTCTACACGCATGTCGTGATCAAATGCTTCCCCATGTGGATGGCGTACGTATGATGGCTTGCGAAGTCGAATGTAGAAAGCTAACGCGTGGACAGACCAAATCTTGTAAGTTTCCTCTCAGGCACGACGACCCGCCGAGCGCACAAAACGCCGCACACGCAAACGCGCCAAAGATGCATGTACTGACAGAGAGGCATAGATCACTCTTTCCGGATTCGGATTCGTCGTCGCCAACTTTCTGACTATGCTGTGGTACACGCCGACGCTCGACCAGGACTGTCCGCCGTGGGTGTACGCTAGCTGGGCGATTGGGCTCTTCCTGTACCAGACGTTCGATGCGGTGGATGGGAGCCAGGCAAGGAGGACACACCAGAGCGGCCCGCTAGGCGAGCTCTTTGATCACGGTGTCGACGCTGTCAACACTACGTTGGAGGTCCTGCTTTTTTCGGCTGCGATGAACTTGGGACAGGGCTGGAAAACTGTCCTCACGCTGTTTGCTTGTGAGTAAAACTGGGCTTGGGATTCAAACGAAATCTGACATTGCAAAAAGCGCTCTTGACATTCTACGTCCAGACTTGGGACGAATACCACACCCATGTGCTCACGCTCGGCTTCATCTCTGGGCCCGTCGAGGGAATCCTCACCCTGTGCTTCGTATACGCGGCTACGGCCGTCCTCGGTGGCGGCAGCTTCTGGCAGCGATCACTCCTCGAGAGCATCGGCGTACAGAACTACGACCTCATCCCCGACGTTCTCTACAACCTGGCTTGGAATGAGTGGTACATGGTCTACGGCAGCGTGGTGCTCGTATTCAACACCGTGAGCAGGTACGTTCTCCCTTTCCCGGCCATCCATTTCAGAGTGCTGACATATACAGCGCCCTGAATGTAATGAAAGCTCGCCGTGCCCGTGGCCAACGCACCCGCGTCGCCCTCATGGGCCTCCTCACTTTCGGCGCCGCCTGGACCCTCATCCCCGCGTACCTCTACCTGCAGCCCATGATTCTGCACAACCATCTCGTCCCCTTCATCTTCTACGCTGGCCTCGTAAACGCCTACTCCGTCGGCCGTATCATCATCTCGCACCTGACCAAGTCGCGCTTCCCACGCGGCAACGTGCTGATCTACCCGCTCATCTACGGCGTCGCAGACTCGCTCGGCCCATTCCTACAGGAGCGGGTTGGCTTCGGCTGGCCAAGCGCGCTGGGCAACGATGTGTATCAGGTTGCGTTTGTGTTTATGTGCCTGGGGCTGGCAATCGGCGTCCATGGTAGCTTCGTTATTGACGTCATTTGGACCATCTGCGACTACTTGGATATCTGGTGCTTGACTATCAAGTACCCGTACCAGCCGGTCAAGGAGAACGAAGAGAAGGTGAAGAAGGATGAATAAGATGGGGGCTACTAGCTGGGTTGCGAGACGGATGGAGTTGGGACGAGAAATGAGAGCACGGTGGGTATGGTTGCATTGCATTGCTGTTCCAAGTATCGCTTCGCGAGGCGAGGAGGTGCGTTAGCGAGAAGCGTAGTACTGTTGGGCTCTGCTTCTGCACAGCATGGATACATTTAAGGATTCTATATGTTCTGGGGCGTAAATTGCGGGCGAGAATATACCCTTTGGCTAGTCGTACTTGTACAATTTGTTTTATCGCATGAACAGAGTCCATTCACTCCTAAAGTTGACAGACCTCTTCGTGCAACCCTGAAGGTCGAACTCGAATCCCTCGAGCTTCCTCCCACTAATCCAAGCCCTCTCATTGGCCCTGTGCCATCTCGACTCCACACGCACACGTCCATACACATCTTCACAGACTGTCATCACGGGCCACAGCGCCACGCAAAGCGCCGCCAATAAACGAAGCACTGATTATTGCATGCCCCGCCTGCATTCGACACTTCCCGCTGCTACCACTTGTGGAAAGTCCGTGACATGGCGACGTTGGCCTTGCCCGACACCAAAACCAGCATCGTCACCTGCTCTCGCCACTCTAGGTCATGGAGTTTTCCCCCCGATGAGTCCATTGTTCAGGCAAAGGCAAAGGGTCTGATTTGGTGCCTGGTACTTGGAACAAATGCATGGTCTTTCGTTGGGAACGAACGGGGTGAGCCACGTGCACGCCGCTCTTCTAGCTGAATTTCGTTCACATGCACACTCCCACGCATGAAGATGAGGCATTACTAAGACTGCGTGTCTGATTTTAGTGTTTGCGCCTTGCTGCGATCGATAGTTGAACTAGGCTGCCATTCTGGGTGGCGTCGGCGTGGATGGGACCGTGGTACTGGGACAGAGACGGACTCATCGCGTCGTCCAGGCCTGGGGTGTGATTTGCAGAGAGTGGATGAAGGAGCATGTAGTAGCAAAACCTAGTATCGTAATCGTATACTAAATCGCTCGTACAGACGAAGTCATACGTAGATTTCAGCTCACTCTTTGTTATTCTGCTTCTTATGCATCCATCATCCTCTTCACCAAACCCTCACGCTCCCCAAAGTACGAAGATGAAGATGCGCTGAATCGGAAGAGGCAGACGCTAGGGGATGGGTCTGGCGACGTAGGAGAAGTCACAGTTGATCCATTCAATGGTCATAAGCCTGAAGATGTGCATCGTCGTCCCGAAACCTGCGATTTTGCTGCAACAACTGGAGTGCGATGTCTTGGTTTGTGGAATCAGCGGAAAGACCCAGCTTGCTTCCAAGAGCACACATAACATACAATTATCTAGAACGCTGATTATCGTTTTTGTGAAGCCGAGGAACGGCTTCTTCATTCCATACCTGTCTAAGAAGCGAGAGTCTTCACAGAGGAGTACACACGAATCTCACGAGCCGGGAGCATCGCTGATGAGCGGTGTCACCGCAGCGCGAACAGCGCGTCTTGATATGCTTCGCACAAGTGCGCATATTGCGGCGTAGTCCGCAGTGACATGTCTAGGCTTAGAAGCAAGGCTATCGAGCTACGTTCGGCAGAGGTTTTGAGGGCGCGTAGGAAGGGTTTCTCTAGGTACACCGCTGCGCGACATCAAGGTGTTTGTTTGGAAAAGCGACCCATGAAGTGAAATGCATGCTTATTTCCTAAGCATGGTGAGTGCGCCTGTATACGATGGAGATTATTCTACGGTGGAAATTATATACGTGCAGTTCGTGAGCTAGATGCGCAGCTTTGGAACAAGCAGAGCTTGTACATTGACGTGGTTCTATGATATGTGACTATTTTTTTTGGACGAGAGCGGGTGAACAAGTGGCGGTGATCTTGATTTACTGGGGGTTGTGAATGGTGGCTCAGCTACTCTCAAAGTCCGCGGATTTCAGTTCGATCGAAGGCAGATTTCGGGCGGTCGTTATGGGTTCGTTTGCTGGCGAGCGTTCAACCTTGAAATCTTATGAGACTGATCTCCCGTATCGATATCACTACTTGCTTTATCCTTGTCACTAGGATGGATGCCCAGGTGGTCTGCAGTCCGTGTACATCACAGGGGCTTACCGAAACGCCCGAGCGCATGGAAGAGCCACACAGCCCTGTCAGATTGTGTGAGTGTCTTGTAGGACGCTTCGCCGATGGAACATGAAGCTTGTGACAAGTTGCATCGAGACGGGACACTCCTAGACGCTTCAGCTTTCCATACAAGCGTATGCGGCTTTGTATGAACACCTAACTTAGACATCAACTATTATTACAACGCATCGAAGACTGCTCACATGAGATGGGAGTGCAAGTGCGACTTTATCGTTTTGGGCCTGCGAGCGAGGGCGTTGCTGGGCCAACGCGAACCACGTAACCGAACGCTTGGCGCGACCACACAGATAACAACGCTCGGTCGCACCCGCCTCCCGCTTCTCCACCTTCACACCACCGCACATCACTTGCTTGCACCATAACCAGCACCACTAATTCAGCAAAAAAGACCTTCCATCTGGTACAAACTCAGCAGCAAGCAAAATGGTCGCGACACGCTCTCGTGGCAAGGCCACAGGCGACGCCGCCACCACCAACGCGCCTTCCACTACATCCATCCTCAACGCGCCGCCCAAGCGTGCCCCGAAGCGCAAGGCCGAGGAGGCCCCGGCAGCTGAGCCCGCTGCACTCTTCACAGCCGCAAAGAAGCCAACCAAGAGGACCAAGACTGCAGAGCCCGCTCCCAAGAAGCCCGCCGACAAGCCCGCCACAAAGCCCGCGACGCGCACGACCAGGCGCGCGGCAAAGCCCGTCGAGGAGACTCAGGCTGAGGACACAGAAGCGCCAGAGCCGGCCAAGCGTGCCACTCGCGGTCGCAAGGCCGCAGTACTCCCTCCCAGTAAGGCAACAGCACCCGCTCCCACGAAGGCAACAACAACCGCTCCCAAGAAGGCAGCAGCGCCCGCTCCTAAGAAGGCAGCAGCGCCCGCTCCTAAGAAGGCAGCAGCACCCGCTCCTAAGAAGGCAGCAGCACCCGCTCCCAAGAAGTCCGCTCAGAAGCCCGCGACGCGCACGACCAGGCGTGCGGCAAAGCCCGTCGAGGAGACTCAGGCTGAGGACACAGAAGCGCCAGAGCCGGCCAAGCGTGCCACTCGCGGTCGCAAAGCCGCTGAGCCAGCTCCTCCAGTCCAGGACGAAGAAGCCTTGCAGGCCATCCTGAACCAGGAAGCTCTTGAAGAGCTGCCCATCGACTACCCCACCACGCCGGCACATATCGCAGAGGCACATGGAAACCAAAAGGCATTCAAGGAGCTTGCCGCCGAGTATCCATCTACCCCCAATGAGTTTGTGGATGCGCACGAGAACCAGCAGGCGTTTGAGCAGATGGCGGGCTACCCCAAGACTCCCTCCCATATCACTGCTCCGGTGTCTTCACGAGAGGCACTTCGGGAGTTGCCCATCGACTACCCTACCACGCCGGCACATATCATGGCTCCGGTACCTTCGCGAGAGGCACTTCGGGAGTTGCCCGTTGACTACCCTACCACGCCGGCACATATTATGGCTCCGGTATCTTCGCGAGAGGCACTTCGGGAGTTGCCCATCGACTACCCTACCACGCCGGCACATATCATGGCTCCGGTA